TGTAGTGTATTGTTTTTCATTTCGCTTCGAACCAATCATGTACTCTGATCATGGAGGTGATTAGAGTATAGAGATCAACTATTTTGAACAACTTGCTTGCATGCTGATTTCTGCTTGATATTTGTTGAGTGCGGATGTCTAACTGTAGAAGTCAAGATTTTTCTCATACTGATGAAGTTTGGGAAAGTTTGTGGTAGTGACGTTATGGCAAATGATACAGACTCGGTTTATTTTCCGAGATCGGCTGTAGGTAAAATTATTCCGTAATTTTTAATTTGGTTGAAGAGAAGACATGAGAAGTTCTATATCAACCCCACAAGAAGGTGAATATTCATAATTACTGGATCGTTCGGAAGATCTTGCTGACTGAGGATGCATTCACGATGGTAATACCTAAATTACGACTATCAAGATGTCGTGGTAAGGCTTACGTTGTTGTTAAATGGAAGAACATAAATCGCTTTATTAAAAGTAGGTATTTGAACAGTAATTAAGATTGTAATGTCTAATGGTCTGCAGTTAAACATTGGGATCATCAATGCCTGGTTTCCTCAAGTAAAATAAGCACGACCAAGAAACCTTAAGTCTTTTATTTTCGTAAGACTTAAAAATACAAACATAACGAATTTTCTTTTATTCATAATTCGGTTTATGCTTAGTCTTATACTTATGCCTTTGCTTATGTCAAATCTAATTTTCCATGTTTCGCTTATTGTCTTTGTTCAATACAGTATCGTCCTTAGCTGCTGCTTTAGTTCTCTTTGTGAAATTAACTCAAGTATATTTCACTGTGGTATAATCATGAGTGTTTTCCAGGCGGATCAGACGAAGGACAACCCCTTCTCTTTTTGAAACTTTGGCAATGTACAAAAAACATCTCTATACTGACTATACACATCAACACAAAAACATATTTTGGGTTTCTATGTTTTCAAATACATCCTCAGCTCAGAAATTCAGTTTTAAACCAAATAATTTAAAAAGTGAATACAATAGTAAACGGCGAGAATCGCTGAAGATAACATATATACTGAAATATTTGATCAAAGTGTCATATTAAAGTACCTAGAATATCTGTACCGAAGAAATACGGACGTTTAATGCTTTCATAACGGACATACTTAGTTAGTAAAACGCTGATGTTTTGATTGTTCTATATTTCTAGAAAATAAAGTCTTTGTCAATATGCTGCAAATGAATGAAATAGATAATCCTTTGACACAAAAAATCTTTCCTTACCGTACAGATTTCCTTACCGTACACCTTTCCTTACCGTAAAATATCCATTCTCCCGGACAGACCAACGGAGAATTATATAATGCTTTCATTCTATATTTCAAAGTCTATTTGTAAATACTTCTATCGATGTTAGCAATAGTAGGGGGATGTGGGATTAAAGGAATGTGCTGCCAGCTTGTTAACTGACTGGCACTTCTTGCACAACTCTTGCATGACATGTTAATATGGAGGTTCTTCTTGTTAACGTTCAAATGTCCTGATCTTGCATGTAACATTAAAATGAAATTTAAATTCCAATTGATTTATGAAATTTAGAAGAATAAATTGCAATACGCCGGCAGAGTATTGCAAAACGTTTTAATTATATCTGGTCTATTTGAACTTAAAGTGATTACCTACCGTATCAGTCAAACAAGCTGTCGTCGTTAAATATCTTGTCGCTTTATTGTATCCATCATTGGCATTTCTATAACATTGAGGGATGTTATAACAGTGTCTTCTTACTTTATAGAAGCTAAAAGTTTAAAACATAGTGAAAACAAACATTTTCTGAAGAATGTATTTGAAATATCAGACAGCAATTTCATGTCAGCATCTTTGCAAATGTTTTGCAGTTTACAGCTGTCTTCTGCCAAATATCGCAAAGTACGAGTTTCGACAGAAATTTTAACAAATCTTCTGCAAACACTGGTTTTACGAAATACATGAACTTCAATAGCTTGTCATTATTGTATTTTAAAAATTATTCTTACAGTTATTCTTACATGGCAACAGTTGCAAATTGAAACTGCGGTATGCATTTGTTTGTTTGTTTGCCTTTTATTTATTTTGTCATACCACTAACTTGTTGTTCAGTATTTTTCAGATGCAGAGGACAAGAAGATGTGAAAAGTGAAAGTCAGGGCTGTAAGTGTTTTTATCATTCAACAAGTCTGAAAATTTTGTTGCTTGTGTTTCTTTTAGAAGGACGTAACTAGCCTACCATGGTCAACGTTAACGTTTCTTACGGTAAGTCTAAGCAATTATTTTTACTAGTTTTTAGACTAAGTACTATTATTTGAATAAAGTATCGCTTAGAAACGTAAAATCTTTAAACTTCAATTCTCCGATCGGTGTTTGCAGATGATCTATTGAAAAATTTGATTTTTCAAAAAGTATAAATATCAAGAGCAAAAACACATATAAACAGACTAACACAAAAATAGTTACATAAATAAGCATTTGTAATATTCTAACTAAATTAAAGAGTTCCCTCGCTCTCTAATTTAGGAAAGAAGTTCTACAAAAGTTGATGATGTATTCCAAAATAGACTTCTGCCACCTATTTTGGAATACTTTTGCACAAAATTCACACAGCGTACACTTGATAATCTTAGTAATTTTTTGTAATTAAACTAAGATCCTGCATATTTTATGCAAAGAGTGCTTGAATAGACCTTTTCAAGGTTATCGCAGCCATATTGCAGGGGTGCGAAAACATTGGGCCGAGCGCGCGGTAACCCATGGCGTCCAAATAAATTACAAATAAATGCGCAAAAATTACCCTTATACATATTGGCCATTTCTTTAAAAAATATTTCTCAAACTCGTCGATTATAATAGTCGAATTATTATTTGCGATTTTTTATAAATGTGAGTCCAATTTTCTAGTATTCAAAGAGCAGAAAGTGAAAGAAAATATTTGTTTTCTTTGAACAACTTGACCGTCGTTTGAGCGATGTTCTTGAGTTCGCAACACACGCACATGTTTACAACAAGTATCACGAGGAACTATTCTACGGTAAACTCTTATTAGTATTTCCATTTATTTCTAAAGTAACATTGGTATTTTTATTATAATGTATGGCGACCAAACAGTCAGAAGAAGTTGACTTGGCTTATGAGTTCCGTACATTTGCGAACTCAAGAACATCGCTCAAACGACGGTCAAGTTGTTCAAAGAAAACAAATGTTTTCTTTAACTTTCTGCTTTTCTATTACAAGAAAATCGGACTCACATGTATAAAAAATCGCAAATAATAATTCGACTATTATAATCGACGAGTTTGAGAAATATTTTTGAAAGAAATGGCCAATATGTATAAGGGTAATTTTGCGTATCTATTTGTAATTTATTTGGACGCCATGGGTGACCGCGTGCTCGGCCCAATGTTTTTGCACCCCTGCAATATGGCTGCGATAACCTTGAAAAGGTCTATTAAAATGAGAACGCAAAGTATTCAAAACATTCATCATGTACTAAATTAAAATGAATTTTACTACTATTGGTTCATTCTTTGAGGCTGCGTGGTTGTAGAGGGTAGTAAATTTTATGGAAACGGTTGTTTGATACAGTACCGATTTTTGTTTGTCATAGTCAGGTATGATTGACGCTTTCACTCAGCGTACTGTATATAAAGAAGCTTCACCTATAAAGTTTATTGTTTTGTCCGGCAAAACTTAGTATTTATATATTTCATCTATAATATTTGCCAGGCTACCCACTTGTACGCCTAGCGTACCAGCTTTTATTTTATTATAGGAGAATCTGGAGAAAACAATTTCTTGAACATTGTAGGCTTATTGCAGATAGGAGTAATGAAAGAAAGGGTGTATGATATCCCTAGTTTTTTATGTACTATGAAGTGCATTTTTTACTGGCCTAATATAAAGTATATTTATTGTAAATCATCAATCAGGCTATCACAAATTGCATGAAGACAATTACAACGACATTAATACAAAAACACACGACAACATATGTGTATAAAATACATTACATAAAAAGTTTACAATCATTTATCATCCACATATTACATTTGAATTAATTCCGTTTACAAATCATTTCTGTGCTAATTACATCATCAAATGAAGTCAACATGTCAAAGCAAAACTTCCCAGTTAATTCAATAATTGAGTAACTTGAGTTGTCTTTCATTGACATTAGGTAGGTGAACAGAGCCTCTTTAGTGGATCCATTTATTCTATATAGGCTTTCTATGATTTTTTTCGTGATGTATCGGTAAATTTTGTAATCGAGCTGGACGTCAGAAGATCTTGCTCATTTCCGATTCCATTGGTGTTTTAATATGTAATGTGTATCAAAAGTCGTTTAAAAAAGTGGCGTAACTGGAGGGAGTCAGCGTGGCAAGTGATGGGGTGTTGCCCCCCCCAAAAAAAAATTACGAAACATGAACGTATAGGCCTCATTTTACACCATTTACGTCATAAAGTTCTGGTACACTGTCACAAGTTATCAACTTTTAATATGTTGTCAATGAAATTGAATTTTTTTGTGTGGAGTAAGCTCGCATGTTTCAACAAGTAAATATAGATTATTCTCAAATTATACAAGTAAATGAAAATTGCTTTCGTTAGTTGGGGAGATATATAAACTCGGCCATTCAGCTTATTTCTACCGGCGAAAAAATCAGCCTCCCACCTATGGCTGACTGGCGAAGGGCTACTACCAGCGGAGTGTTATACCAGAATCCAGAAATTGTTCAAGAACGACCGAAGTCAGTCCGGCTAGAACTGTAAGCTTTGCTGGACACAATCGGTCTCATATTTCCAACCCTCTAGTAGTTGAAGGAAAGGGCCCCCCCTGGAATTATCTAATCCAGAAGTGGCCATAAGTGTTTTTTACATCCATCCAGATCAAACCTGCCAAGACTGCCATCATCACGATATATCGCCATGCAACCCCTTAGTAACTTTTTTACAATAACTTTGTGTTACCTAGTAACTTCTACAAAGTATGATAAACACGTCACTAGTACTTACGTCACATGTTGATGACGTTGAATTCTGGAAAAGAAAATGGAGAACTAATCTTGTAAAATTGTGGAAAACTGGAACGTCCGACCTCTGCACAGAACTATTCCAATGAACGATAGAATGGAAAGCTGGGGGAGGAATGCTGTGTTCAAAGATAGACGTTGCACATTGGAGAGAGGAGAAAAATTTATCTCAACGTTGTACTTCAATGATATAAATTTACATAGTAGGTGAGTGACAGAGTGAGAGTCCATTTTTATGTAAGGATTTGTCCAGTTTGGTATGATTTTATCTATTTCTCAAATTCCTAAAATTAACTACGTAACAGACTTTACCCCAAGAAATGTCCTGTTACACAACTACTCCACTGTCCAATAAATGGCCGTTTTGAATATGAGAATGTCATAAAGAATAAGAAAGATTTCAATACAGTGAAAGTTGGTGACAAATTTGGACCAAGGTTAGTTACCTCCATTATTCATACACGACATTCTAAGTATTGTTTAAACTAAACTCTGTTGCTTCATTTTATTCTGTGCTCTACTTTTTTTAAATTTTTTTATAGTTGGAGCACACATTGGTTTAAAGTGACTGCCACAATTCCGGAAGATTGGCTGAATGAGGAAGTCCATTTTCGATGGAACTCCAATTCAGAGGCAATGGTAATAATTTTGAATTTCTTTGGTTTTATACATATTTAAGAGGGCAATGTGGCTCTGGACAAACATTAAAATATATGTTATATAGCTGGTAAAATAAAAATGTTTATTAGAATATAACTTTTATTTAAGTTCATGTGTTATTGTATTTGTAGCTAATTGAAATACTGTTCATATATAGATTTGGTACGATGGCAGAGCTGTGCAGGTATGTAAATGTTTCAATGCTTTCCTTAGCTTGACTTACAAATTGAGTAATAGTCAATAGTTTGTTGAATTGACTTTTAAATGATTGGTGTACAACGTATGTATTATCATTGTTTAGGGATTGTCAGGTTCAGAACGCACTGATTATGTTCTAACAGAATCTTCTACACCTAATGAAAGGTAAGAATCATGTAGTGTCACAACACAATACATATATAATTTATAATAAAAATGCATTGATCCTTGTAAAATGCTTCTCCTGTTCAAAATGCTGCAATTATTTAACTGGGCATCTCTTTCTAAGCTCACTAGAGCGTATCTTGTAATAAAAATCATCAAGTCTGGTCACAGTGCGATGGGCGACCCTATGTATTTGAAACTCAGCATGTCACTAATTCTAAAGCATTTTATCATTATCTCACAATATTTAAGTGTATTTTAAGTTATCTGATACACCCTAGTAATTGCAAGTGATTTAATTCTTTAACAAGTTGGCTAATACTATAGCAATTGTAAGCAGTATGATGCCTTAGCTATGTTGCTAATACTCTGGCAATTCCAAATGATATATTGTAATACTCTGGCTAGAAAGTTAGCTAATACTCTACAATATTCCAATACTCCTATAGTCTTTAGAATTATTAGATATCTTTCTTGCAATTGCATAAAATAAAACTGCAGGGAAACACAAGACAAAATCCTCTCATAAGTAAAGTGTAATCATGTTCATTAGATCCGCTACATGAACATGATTAGTTTGTTGAGCACATGTATCCCTATTGAGAATATTTCTTGAGTAGAATAACCAATCAAATCAGTGCATTCCCAACCAAATACTTGTATTTGCTTTTCTGCCCTATAACCTACAGGGGCATGCTGGAACCTCAAAAAGAACAACAAATAGGAAGCACTTAAGAGGCTCAATTGCTGGATTAAAATCGAAACAAACTTGATATAACTTTTATACAACTCTTGTACTGAAGTTGCTTTAATAAACAGTTTTGTATTGAATAACTATTTAACTTTTATAGTTTTTATTATCGTGTAAGTGGCCTATAGTGCTTGGGGCCAACAACGAGCGCTTGTTGCCTCGTCCCTGACACAGCAAACCCCTGATAACCTTCACATAGTCATGTCAAAATTTATGTCTTAAATCTGTCATTCACTTGTATTATAGCTTTACGTTTTACATTGAAATGGCTTGCAATGGTTTGTTTGGTGCTGGAGAAGGAACAATGATTAGTCCTCCATCATTAGATCGATATTATGTTTTATCTATGGCAAATATTGCAGTGTTTGATCGTGACTGTTACCAGCTGATAATGGATCTCAAAATTCTTCTTGGAATGGCAAGAGTAAGAAATAAAACTTTCTTTGCTTGAACGCGAACCAAAATGTTCGCTTTTCACTCCATTATGAACCATTGTGAATTAAATAATTTCAAGATGTTACATAGTTTGGAATTGTTATTGCTCTCAAGATAGTATTGGCTACGTATATATGTTAGTAATAATTCATCATTTCAATGGTATTTTTGTATGCCAATGCCATTTATCAATTTATGGATGTATTGAAATAATACGAGCTTGGATTGAATATAGATAGAATATTCACCCTTAAGAGTGATCACGAAAATTTGTATTATTTTCAGCATCTACCACAAGACAACCTGCGTGCATCAAATGCTCTCTTTGTTGCCAACGACATTCTTAACAAGTGTGACGTAACGAAACGCGAGACATTTAAATTGTGAGCAATTTTTTTCCAACGATAATTCTTTGCAACTTACTTAAAAAATCCTCGTGCGTACTTTAACAATACAAAACATCCATTTAAAAAGGTGCCATGAGCTTGCAGAAAGGTTTTTCAATCAGAAGAACGGCGAAGGGCAACACGTTATTCATGCCATTGGTCATTGCCACATCGACACAGGTAAAGTTATTCTTTCATTATCAAAATTCCATCTTCCCATGATGATACATAATAAAGTAAATGGTTTGAACCCGGGAGTATCGTTACATGTTTGTAAATGTCGATCGTCCAGGTTGGTATAGTCCTCAGAAGGACTGTTTTTGTTGTTGTCGACTGACATTTCGACTACCTTAGCGGTAGTCATCTTCAGATTCATCTTCAGAGTCGAGTTATTCTTTCATTATCATAATTCCATCTTCCCATGATGATACGTACATACAGATTGATTGTTTCATCGTTATTTATGGTGTTTGCTGACAGTTATTGTTGTAATTCTTGCTTTGTTTGTTTATTTTAAGAACTATTTCGTTAGTATTTCGTTAGTATTTGACCAGTCATCATGGTATTTGCTCTTTGTTATGAAAATTTTTTAATCATAAAAATCTTATACAAAATGTACAGCGACTGAAATGAAATCTTGTGCTTTAACTTCACGTAATATGTTTTTTACTCATTTTATAGCCTGGCTTTGGCCTTACGAAGAGACAAAGCGAAAATGTGCGCGGAGTTGGTCGTCAGCTATTCGTATAATGGAAAAATATCCTGAGTTTGTGTTTGCTTGTTCTCAGGTATAACTCATTGTCAGTTGAACTTTAAGCATTTGCTGATAATAAGTTACTTGGAAGAAAACGTTTTAAATGGCCCGTCGTCTTTCAAAAATTCTCACTGTGTATGGTTTATGATTGTTAAACATTCACGTGTTACCCTGTGTGATCATGCAGATTCATTTTCAGGCTATGTTATAATATAGGCTTTGTGTTTTTCTACTTTTCAACCAGGCTCAGCAATTTGAATGGGTGAAGAATCATTATCCACACTTGTACGCAGATATAAAGACATTTGTTAAGCAAGGAAACTTTGTGCCAGTCGGTGGAACATGGGTCGAAATGGTAAGAAGAGTCAGAATATGATATGAGAGTTTTTACAACTGAAATTGAACTTATTATTGACACCACTTTTTGTGCTGTTTGTGCTTGGGTCTTTACGACTCGGAAAAAGACCACTGAATTAAAAATAAGTCATTCACGAAACAATGTGAATTTCACAATTCATGACAACAACACACTTTGAATGTATGTACTAATGCACGTCTAAACCACGTGATGTATTTAATGTAAAGTTTGTGGAACTGGGAAAGTAGTTTCCGCTATGTCAAGTATTGTTGTAGGAATCTTTCATATATTCAACCTTGGCTTTCTTGTTTGCTTTCTATACTCATCTGCTCCCAGACATCATGTTGATAAATGTTAATATTCAATGTTCAATTTAATGAAATTGTATTTTTGTAATATTTTGGACATATTATACTTAATGTTTTCAATGATGAATTTTAGGATGGTAACATTCCTGGCGGTGAATCATTTATTCGGCAGTTTTTGTTTGGACAGTCATTTTTCAAGGAAGAATTTGGCTTCTTCTGTCAAGAGGTGTTTTGACATAATGTTTTTAATGTGGTTCTAAGAACCCCACCATCCATGGTCAAACGATCTGTTCAACTTCCAATTTTATCTCACATTATTTTTTGTGTTTATTTGACCATACAATGGTCATATACTGTTCCTTTGTTCCACTGTTCCTTTGGTATTTAAGATTGCCTCTCTTTGTTTTAGTTTTGTGATGATGATTTTTTTTGTGTTCAAAGGCCTACTATCTTTCTTTTGTAGTTTTGGTTGCCAGACACGTTTGGTTATTCCGCTCAGTTACCTCAGATTATGCGCTTGGCTGGCATAAAATACTTCGTCACTCAGAAGCTTAGTTGGAGTTTGTTCAATAAGTTTCCTGTATGCAGAGAATAAGTATTTTTAATAAACCATCTCACCAGTGGCGCAACACTACCATAGGGGGCCCTCCCTTGCTTTACTAGAAATAGGCTGGATTATCGTAGTTATTAACATACATTTCCTGAACTTGCAACTTTTGTGTACAAAAAGCAATTTTCACGTACAAATTTGATCAGAGAATAATTAACTCGTGTCCATGCAATAAAACTTCATACAGTAACTTTGCCTGTAGAAGTGAATTAAAAGAAACCGCGAGTTACCAAAGAATATTTTAGCAACATTTTCCCTCAATTTCAGCACAACTCTTTTATTTGGGAAGGAATCGATGGATCAAGGTAGTTGAGAAGATCAATCTTTTATTCGAATTACAACCTTTTCTCGGAAACTGCTGAGCACAGTCATTTCACAAATAAGGCGAAAAATTTTTTTCCTAGATGTCTTGCTCACTTTCCTCCCGGTGACACATACGAATCTATGGTTGATGTAGATGACGTAAGATCACGTCATATGACGTAGAAATATTTGATGTCGAGTTTGAAGCTTGAGCATGCATGTCTACCTTCATCATTTAGATTGCAAAGACAATCAATAATCTTAAGGACAAAGGTCGTACGAATGTCAGTATGTTACTTTATGGTTATGGTGACGGTGGAGGGGGACCAACGTACGTCTATTTTGTTTATTAACTTGACTGCGCATGTGCTAGTATCGTTTGTAGGTACAATGTCTACACATCGATGAATTTGACTTATGAAAAATGCACGAATTCGTTTTGTTTATATATTCACGAATTTACAACATGTTGATAAAGGAAATTATGAAAGTCATGTTCACTAACTTATGTCTACTTGTAAAACACGTTATAAAAGTCGTGTTCAGTTTTAAAATTCTGAAATAAGCTGTTTTATAAAATTTTATAACTGAGAGTTGACAATCGTCAATAATTAAAAGCTATGCAACACCTGCTCTAAAAATTTGTTAATTACCAGTATATTTACAGAATGTGTAAAACTCTCAAAACGAGAGAATTTGGCTTTTTATAGATATGTCAGTTTTCTTGGTTGTCTTTCATTTAAAGAAAAAAATTTCATTTTGTTTGTGTTATAATAGAATGTCATGGTAGAAAGACAAAGAAATGTTGGGAAACGTAAAATTAACATTCATATATAAACTTTGGTATTACTCCACAGCACCCCAACCTCACAGCACCTACAACCCCACATCACCCCAACCCCACAGACCCCTAACCCCACAGCACCCATAGCACCCCAACCCCATAGCCGTATTCTTTATCTCCAAATAAAAAAAGTTTTCCTCCGCCTTACAGCTTTGAAGCTACAAAAATTTCTGTCTTTGAGGGAAGCTGTAGATTTAATTAGGATAAATATAAATATATACTTAAAAAAATAATATCTGTACACTTAAATAATATAAATATAACTGTAAATAGATAGCATAGTCATTCCTTGTACTGAAGATGGCATAAGCATGCCGAAATATGTTTACTTTAAAAAAACTTGTCGTTCACTTGAAATGCCTGTTTTAATTAGAAATAGTGGATGATAAAATTCACAAAGCACATAGTTAGGGCTTATTAAATAAGATTGCGACGAGTTTAACATAAAAAAAAAATTGGTTGTAACATCTTCCTGTAGAACTAATAATACATACATTTTTCGTTTTTCGTTTAGCGAAGAAATGATGGAGAAGTTGAATCGAATGAAGGATACAAACGGTTTACCAAAGTAAGCTGATTTTTATACCAATTATTAAATACTGATGCATGACGTAGTTTTTTTAATGATCGAACTTGAAGGTCTCGTCCAATACCTTAAAAGATAGGATCTGTGCACGCGCAAGGCAATATCTGGGCATGCGCAGATCTATATCCTAAACTACTGGTGCTACGGCGATGATCTTTAGCTCATGTGAAAGCTCTCGACGAGCTCTTTCGAATGAGCTTTATTAAAAATCGCCGTAACTCCAGTATTTTGCGAGATAGGATCTGTGCATGCGCGAGCGTATTAAGTTTATGAAATTCGAATGTAAAAGGGAGTGAATGAAGAAATGAGATAAATGTATGAAACATTTTATGTTTGGTTCAATATAAGAGGCAACATATATTTTTATCTTGCACAAAACAACAACTCTTTAAAATATGTCGTATAGAACTCATTAATTTATTCTCGTTCTCATTACAGGGTTGTTTTGTCAAGTCCTCAAACGTTTTTCAAAATATTAGATGAAGAAGATTCATCCAAACTTTGTAGTTGGGTTGGTGAACTGTACCTTGAGTTACATCAAGGGACTTTTACAGCTCAAGCTAAGGTTGGTTTTGTTGTTCAGGCCGTTTGAAATATGACTTGTTCATACTCTTTAGTTTCATTTGTTTATCAGATAAAGGATGGTAATCGGCGATGTGAATTTCTTCTTCACGATTTGGAGTTTCTTGCTATAATTGCTGTTCTGCTGAGCAAGAATCATGAAAATAAAGGTAACAGGTGGATAAGGATGATTATTTGAACGTCCATCGTGTGACTAAAGCCTATTTTCCACTACGTGGAATTTTCCGCGCGTAAAGTCAAATTTGCGACATGATTGGTTTTTCAAAAAATGATAAAGACAACATCTATCAATCACACTCGTTATCAGCTATTACGCGCTGAAAATTCCGCCTCGTGGAAAAAAGCCTTAACATATATGTCATGCCGAATGTTTCGACTGTATTATTTTAGATGAATTTGTCTATCCCGAAGAAAAATTGAACAAATTTTGGAAACTTCTACTTTTAAATCAGTTTCATGACGTTTTACCAGGAAGCTGCATAAATGAGGTTTGTAGCTAATAAGGCAATGAGATCTTTAAATTTTATATTACATTAAATTCTATACGTCACTCCATTTGCTGAAAATTATCGTTCATGTGTTTTCATAGATGCTTAGAAAAAGTGGAAATAGATTCTATTACAATGCCGATAATGGTTGTTGGCCGATCATGCTGTCAATTTTTGAACCAATATTTTTGCTTTTAGATTATTGAACTACTATAGAAAAAACAAACGCTCGAATGAATTTCTCTCAGAACTACGATAGCATTATAAAAACTTTGGTATATTGTTTTCTACATTTTGTGTTGTAGGTTGTTGTTGATGCTTTAAGATATTATTCGGGTATGTTTCATTTAATACAAGGTTTACAGAAATTTTATTATCTTATTGTTTTTTTCTAATTTATTCTTGTCACACGACTATTCAGACATCAAGAGAGATGCCTCCACGTTGGTACAACAACTTTTGAAGAACGTCACCACCATGGTTGGTCTTTAATTTCATTTTTAAAAAAAGTTGTACTTAATCTCAAAAGTTTACACTCTGCTACGATGATCGATTCGCCATGCTTGTTTTTCTCAATTTCAAAATAACGTGGTATAACTAACTATAAATATTTGTTGCGGACTATAAATATTTGTAAATATATTGAAACTGAATATTTCTTTTGATTTTTGGTGTTTCTGGTTTTTCATCTTGTAAGCAATCGTTTTCTGCCAACTTGTTAACAGGGAAAGTCCAACTCAACCAAAACAACAGAAGGATCTCAACTTATAGCCTTTAATACTCATTGTTGGCCGAGGCGGGAAGTTGTTCGATTGTCGAGTGACATTTCGATAAATCAATTTGATCATCTGGAAACTCAAAAACTGAAAAGTGGAGAAAGTTTAGGTTGGATGTTCGTTACTTTAGAATCCACTGAAAGTATAAACATGCCATTACATCATGCTCATCATCTTTGAAGTCAAATATCTATTTGTTGACAATTTTTATATTTGTGCACTTTTCATTCGTTGTCAGTTTTCCCACTTTTCTCTCGTGCATGTATGTAATTTGTTATTTTGAAGTTGATTGTCGACAAACTGTGTTATTGATTTGATTTGTCTTACATGTACCGTCTATTAAAATCATGTAGATTGTTTTCTTTACTAGTGATCGTTGATGTTCCAAGCATGGGTTATTCTGTTATTGAAGCATTCAGTGATTATGCACCTTGCAGTATTGAAATAGTAAAGGTATTTCTGTGCTCTTAGATCCTCCTCTATTGTTTAATATTCAAACAGTCCATTTTCTTTTTTAGGACTTGGGTATTATAACTATGAGGAACAGCTTTTTAACGGCGAAAGTTGATCAAAGTGGTCGAGTCGTTTCTCTTCAACACAATCAAACAAAAAGGTTGCTTGGCAATTTTGCTGCATGCATTTTTATGCAGCAAATATCTTCGCGTTTGATTGGTTTATTTTCTTATAACCACACAGTTCAAATGTTTACTTTTATACAATTGTTGCAGTCATTGATACAGTCTTTATCATTTCATCAATTTTTGCGATGATGTCAACTTTCTTGATAAGATTTAAATAGTTCCTGAAAGAAAATACACTTAATTTAATCCCTTACCGTTATATAATGTTATCTCTTGTACTTGGTGTAGAGAAATCATCGCTGAGGGTGGTTATGGCAACCAGTTTGTTATTTTTGACAATATCCCGTTATATTGGGATGCATGGGACGTTATGCCGTATCACTTGGAGACAAGGTAAAAATTTGAGAACATGGATATTGAAATGTTTGTATTGATAATATAAACATTTTAACTTACGTCTTGCAAACTCAACGATACAATTTTTAATACTGATCTACTTTTCGTGACAGTGAATGATAAACTCACAAAAAAACAAACTGTAAATTGTTATTTTAAGTGTGAAGATGTTCACAATTATTTGTTTCTCTCTTTTTCATGTAGGAAGGAGCTTTCAGACAGCAAAGGTAGCGAGTTGGAAATCCTCGAAGATGGTCCACTGTTTGTGGCAGTGAAGGTAAGGTCGTAATCTTGGTCAAATTTTGTGCTATGCAGACTCAGGTTTTTCTGCTCTGACTTCGTTAGTTTTACGGCTCAATTATTTACTTTTTAACTACTTGATTGCCTTTAAAACATACTTGAAAGTTAGATCCAGATTTAATCGATTATTAGCAAGTTTGAAGAACCAGAGTATTTATGATATATGACCTCGAGTTTGAGATAAAATACGACTGTTGACTTGAGCGCATTAGTTTACCCAGTTTATCCCGACCGTTAAAACTGCTTAAGGTAACGAGGTTTACAATGGTTATGAGGATTATTGGTTGCGAAGGTTACGGGGGTGAGAACGTTACAAGGATCATGGGGTTAAGAATGTTAGGTGTTAAGAAGGTTACAAGGGTCATGGGGATAACAAGGTTAAAAGGGTCATGGGGTTAATAAGGTTACAAGGGTTATGGGGATAAGAAGGTTATTGTGGTTACATGTTACAGTTCATCTCTTAATTTTGCCTCTTGTCTTTTTGAGAATAAATTTCTTATTGGACATTATCACTCTGGTTAACACTAATCGTTATTCTTTGTACTTTTATTCTATTATCTGTCTTACAATTGACTCTTTGTCACGCGAGCGACGTTTTCACATGATTCGGTTTCTATTGTGGTTACATATAATATATTAATCCTAACACGGTTTTTATATGCACATGAAAAACATGTGACTTGGACGAGACTATTGTGGTTACTATTGTACACAACGCGCAATAAGCTGTTGACATGGCGAAATTCGTGAGATGATTACACCAGGTTCAGGTTAGGCAGACTTTCATATAATTCTAGTACTTTCTTAGGACCATTCAGTTATATATAACCTGGAGAGGGCAAGTCGCCAATTTTTTGTTTATTGGCGAAAACATGGCGCTAAAACGTTTTTCGCCCTCCCGGATATTACCAACTCATATGCGATGATGAAAATTTTCAAAATAATTCTGCATCGCAGGCGCACCTCCCCTCCGTTTTCTAGACGAGTGTTCTCGTAAACAACATGGCTAGCGTTGGTTTATCGAAGATTTTATTCGTTTTACTCGTGACGTACTTCTCAAAATCTTCCTCCTTAAATGTTGAATTTGGAAAGAAATACGTTTTTAGCGATAAGACACCGTATCACTTTTTAAACGAGAGTGTACAAATACCGAAGAACTATGAACCAATATTCATAAACATGATTATCAGACACGGTTCTAGATATCCTTCAACGCATCGCGTACAAGGATTTGATAAATACCTTAAAGTATTAAATAGGTATATTCTGGTGAATAGAATGGAAAATACGACCATTCCTTCAACCGAAAGACAGTATTTACCTTGGGAAATTCCAATAGATGTGAAGAACGCCGCTAGCAAGGAATTATCGAAGTTAGGTGCGCAAGAAATGTACGAAATTGCAAGGCGCGTCCGTGTTAACTTTCCTCAGTTATTTAACTTTAATTATTCCAACAATAATTACAGTTTCATCGCAACTGACAAGTTAAGATCCAGTCAAAGTGCGGTTTCTTTTGCGCAAGGTCTATTTGAATATCGTGGTAATGTTGGTGATTCAAGATACCAGCCGGTTGCGATTAAGTCTTCGGGACCATCACACAGAGATCGTGTTCTTCGTATTTATGAAGCTTGTCCAAAATGGAGAAACAAGATTCGCTTCTCAGAATACCGAAAATTCTTGTCCGGAGAGCACATGCGCAAAGTGACTGAAAATATTCGAACCAGGCTAAATTTACACAATAAAACGTTATCTCCTCAAGCTGTCGTTGAAATGTATTTGATGTGTGCATTTGGAACGCAGACCGATAGCAAAGACGTCAGTCTATGTTCGTTGTTCAGTGATGACGATTTTCGAGTATTGGAGTACCTGAATGATCTCAAAGTATACTGGAGCTATGGTTACGGTCGTAAAATCAATTCCAGAATGGCTTGCCTTCTATATCGTAATCTGTTGTTAAGCTTTAATCAACACATACAAATCAGCAAGCCATATGGTGTGTTTCAGTTTGCGCATACGGGGACAGTCGTGCCACTTCTCACTTTGCTAGGTTTGTTTCAAGATGAGCAACCTCTTCGTTCAGATAATTTTCCAACAATGCAAAACAACAGAACGTTCCGTCCATCAGATATCGTTCCCATGTCGGCAAATATTGCGTTTGTGCTGTACGATCGCTCTAGAAATGCAACGAAATCAAATCATGCTCGTTCGAAGTCATCATTCTCTCGAATTTTGATCCAAGTGCTTGTGAACGAGGTCGTCGTTAAAGTACCTGCTTGCAAAGGCAAGAAATACTGTCGTCTTAAAAAGTTCGTCGAGTTTTATTCGTCCTTTGAAAAGAATTGCAACATCAGAAAGATTTGTGGATCACGTAAAAATCGCTCGCGTTCACAACGTCGGAATTTTGATTGAGATATTAATACAACATGTGTTGACTTAACACATGTGTTGATTGAAAGTTTTAGTGTTTCTGGGGTTGTATGATGTATGTTTTGGTATGTTTATGGTTGTATCAGTTTGAATAAATATGTCACAATAAAAGAGAAAATTTGTGATTTTCTTTTCTTAACTCATTATTTCAACAAAATGTCTGTCGAAAATAAGCAATGAACGGCAAAGCAACGACAAATGACAATGAGGATTACCGAGACTGGGGAACGCTGAGACCGTGACACCGGGGGCTATGCGTATTTTGGTATGTCTGGGGTTATATCATGTATGTTTTTATATGTTAGTATAGGGTTATATCATGCATGTTTTTATATGTTAGTATAGGGTTATATCATGTATGTTTTTATATGTTAATATAGGGTTATATCATGTATGTTTTTATGTTAGTATAGGGTTATATCATGTATGTTTTTATATGTCTGTATAGGGTTATATCATGTATGTTTTTATATGTTAGTATAGGGTTATATCATGTATGTTTTTATATGTTAGTATAGGGTTATATCATGTATGTTTTTATATGTTAGTATAGGGTTATATCATGTATGTTTTTATATGTTAGTATAGGGTTATATCATATATGTTTTTATATGTTAATATAGGGTTATATCATGTATGTTTTTATATGTTAATATAGGGTTATATCATGTATGTTACAGTATGTAGCCTTAATTTGTCACGTGATTAAAAATATTCGTCTGAATTTTCTAACTTTATCTTGTGTTTTCTACATGAGTTACGAAGTTTTATTTCTTTTGTGTATTTTGTCTTATATCTTTCATTTAAAACAGTTAGGCAAGCTGAGCAGCTTTTATTTCAAAAAAAGCCATTTGATTTTTTTTTTATGATTTGATTTGATGATTTGAAAATGAAGTTTTTTGTGCATATCAGTTTCGAAAGCCGCTACCGAGATGATCCCCTAAATATTCCTCAGTCTGTGAATAGCCTGTATAAACTACGAGCAGCTGTCCTAATCAGAATCGTTTGCATTCAAAAAGCATCTCTATTCATGCGATGTCATACCTTTTGATTTTTGTAGTTTTCTCTCAAGATTAGTGATGAATCGTCGATCACTCAAGTAATAACTCTTGATGCAATGTCATCGTTTCTTTCATTTGAAACACAGGTATGTGAATTGTTCACAGTGTTTTATTGCTCTTGGTCGGTCACCTAAGATCAATGGGTCATCTCGCTAATTTGTATTATAAAAAATGGGGAAAATGATCTCACTGTGCATATTGGTCGTAAACATGTGATCGTATTGGTACAGGTTAGCTTAATTTGGCTATCCCTCTTATATTTTACGTTCTTGTTGCTCTGCCTGGTGTCAGAAAGTATTATTCAAACCATCAGATGTGCGGTCACTTTCTAGATTGAGCTTAAAACAAGAACAAACCAATGATCAGGCTGCTCGAGTGGTCACTTGGAAGGCGATGAAAAATGTCTTAAATATGTAGAGATACTTAAATAATCGACGACCCATTAGTCAAATAGTTCTGCTAACATGTTTCGGGAGATTATTTTTGGAAGATTGTACATGTTTTATCACTAAAATTATAATCATTTTTCTCTCAATTGTAGTTTCAAAAACGTCTCAGTTTGTGGCTTTCATTGTTGTTGCGTTTTAGGTTGAATGGCATGAAAATAGAAAATTTTTAAAAGTTGAATTCCCTGTTGATATTCGTTCTCCAAATGCAACATATGAAATACAGTTTGGACATCTTCAAAGGCCAACGCATTCCAATACAAGTTGGGATTGGGCGAGATACGAGGTAAAGATAATTCTTGATAGAAAGGTAGAAATACAAATTGATTGAATGAAAGAACCATATACCTTACATCAGTTGCTCTTTCAATAATTCAGTTATAATAATTTAGAATAGATTTTTCTTTGTCCATATTCGTATGACTTAAGATATGATTCATCTGAGCTGGCCATGACGTTTCAAAAGTCGACTAAATCGTTATTGATTTTATCATAACTTTCGACTGGTTTACATTTGATGTGTACCAAATGATATCTTTTTGTTGTCTAATAGGTATGCGGTCAGAAATGGTTCAATCTATCTGAACATAACTTTGGATGTAGTTTAATAAATGACAACAAATATGGTTTCTCTACCCGTAACAACATCATGACGATTTCTCTGTGAGTAAAAGGTTGCGTCGTAAATTATTTTTATAAGATGATATTTTAACATTCACCATGTGAAAAGAAGAGAGGTGTGTTCCATTGTTGTGTGCGGCTCTTCGGCTCTGGTACTTTCTACTCTACCTAAGCTGAAGGAGGAGGCTCCATGCTTTCTGTCAACTTCGGTTGAAATTGTAAAATAACAAGTGACGTAATGTGTAAACGTCACGGGCGGGAACGGGTGCTCCATCGTACGTTGCATGAAGTGTTGTGAGGAAATGTGAACTCCATTCCATGTTGTATACATTGTGGTGATGAAGGAGGTGGGCTCCGTTCAATTTTTTTATACAATGTGGTAATGAAAGAGAGGTGTTCCATTCTGTTTTGTATACAACGTGGTGATGGGAAGGGCTCCGTTCTATTTTGTATACTGTGTGGTGATGAAGGAGGGATTCCATTCTATGTTGTATACATTGTGGTGATGAAGGAGGTGGGCTCCGTTCAATTTTTTTATACAATGTGGTAATGAAAGAGGGGTGTTCCATTCTGTTTTGTATACAATGTGGTGATGTAGGGAGGGGCTCCGTTCTATTTTGTATACATTGTGGTGATGAAGGAGGGATTCCATTCTATGTTGTATACAATTTTGTCGTGAAGAGGGGCTTCATTTCATGTTGAATACAATGCATCTCATTTCGTAGAATATTCTTGACAGTGGGTTGCACGATTCATTTGATCTAATGTGTTTATTTACTGATACATAGCCTTCGTGCACCAAAAGCTCCTGATAACGAGGCAGATATGGGAAGTCATCAGTTTAAATATGCAGTGTTTCCTCACTCAGGTAATGAAGACCGAAAGACAAAACTTGAATGGAAGCTGTCACATTAACCTTACTAATAACATTTTTTGCTTTTCGTTGCTCTTTAAATTTTATTTCTCATGACGGATAATGATGTTGATGTTTTTGTAGTGAATTGTGGGGTTAGCATTGCCACTGTTGATCGATGCTGTAAACCATTAAGGGTGCACTGTTTCTTAACATAAATTGACAATATTTAACCAGGCTGTTTCCAAGACTCGTGTGTTATTCAACGTGCTTACGACTACAACAACGCCATTAAGATCTTTCAAAGTAACGTTTGTCAAGGTATTTGATAGATCTTTTTAATTCATGAAAATTTGCCGCGCTTCAATGAGTGGAAAGTAGTTCGTACTCATTGTCATAAATTAACATATATTGCATACATTTTCATTGTTGATTTACAACTTGTGAATAAATTAGTTCATATATATTTACAGACTTGAAACCAACGTCATATTTTTTTGTCACCAACAATGCTATTATTTTGGAAACGGTGAAGAAGGTTAGGACTCTTGTGCGCTTGCATTTATTGTCAATTGCAGTCTCACTAAATTCATCGACGAATATGTTTGAACAAAATTTTGTAATTATGATTAACGTTGTGTATAAGACTTAGTTCAGTTCCTTTTATTTAAAGGGGGAAAATTTTCGATTTGGTTTCGTGTTGAGGGCGTATGAATCATTTGGTGCAAAAAATTCTACTAGAATCGGCACGATATTTGAAATCAGCAAGGCTCAGAGGTAGGAAAATCTTCTTTTGTATTTAAAATGCCATAACGGTTTTAATTATCTTATAAATTTTGGATATACTTAAGTATTCCACAATGCTCTTAATTATTTTGTATATACTAAATTATCCCACAATGTGCTTAATTATCTTGGGTAGTCTTCCGTTTTGACGATATGCTTAAAAAGAATAAATGAGAACACTAAAATTGTCTTTTAAACATTAAGAAAACTTCACTTGTATATTTACGTTGTTATGCGATGCGCTCTTTTTTTTTGTATGACGTCATTTTCATATGAGAAAAATATTTTTGAATTTTTTATACGAACCTTTACCTTAAACCATTTTTTTCTGCAAGAAAATACGTCTTTATGTGTAATTGTAGAAATAACATGATAGATTCTCAACCATTAAATCAGATGGTCATTGTCAACGTTGATAATAATATTTTGAACATACTAATGGCTAAACACTAAGGCTGGATGGAACATGTCTTCCCAAACAATACTGTTTCCAAAAAAACAATGCTGACGAGGAAATATGTCATTAAAAATACGTAGCTCGCACGAGTTGTGAAACCAAACCCATTGATTTGCAAACGTTACTCAAGGAATTAAATTTGTTGATATCATCAATAACTTTGTTTGCTTGTGTCATGAAAGAACTTTTTATGTACAGTTACTGAAATGATGAAGAAAAAAATTTGTTGGATTTTTTTATCATTGTTTATAGCTCAGAAAGTATTTGTGATTATTTGAATAATAGTTGTACCCGAAGATATTTCTTTGCTTTTGTTAATTGTATATTTTGATAGTGTGTGAGAAGACTTTTAATGAGTAGCTTTGTGAGTCCGCGTCAGTGGTCAGCGTCCGATATTTTGCATAAAACGTGATGATATGCATATAGCTAATAATGCGCATGCTGTGTAGGGAAAAAGCCCCAAATCAAATTTAAACATTTTAAAATCTCTTTTAGATGTGATATCCTTGAGCAGCCCCAGGAAGATCTCATTTGGAATGATGACGGATTATCGTTGAGTTTTAAACCTTTTGAAATCATAACAATACTGTGTTTTCTCAAGGAAAAATAATTTAAATAATGCTTTAAAATCGAAAATTAAATTAAACTTAAATTAGATTATCTTTCGTATAACACATGCCAATGGCAACAATTGTCGTGTGCTACTAAACGTATATAGTTTATCATACAGTTGGGATAATGGAAAATATACTATTAAGTTGAAGAAAAACAAAGTCAGAAAAATGGAAAAAAGAGCGGCACAAAGGTATTACACAGAAAAATCCAATAATTTTTGGCTTCTTCTTCATGTGCACAACTGGTTGTCGAATGTTGTATTACAAAAATGTTACCATGCACCGAATTTTATGTTTATTATTGTTTACATATTATTGTTGTGGTTTTGTTGTATTGTGCACTTTAAGGGGCTGTTTACATGAGCCCGGTAGCCGGGATTCAGCGAGGCGTTAAATCATTTTGGTGAATGGAAAAGATTAAATACTTCACAACAAAAATCAACTGAGCAATTTCTGTATTTTCTGACTTTGAAAATTCACAAAACCTTTAAACTGAAAACAAATAATTTTCCGCCCGATTTGAAAATTATAAATAAAATGACATATGACGCTTGTAAGAAAAAGTGGTAAGTTTTGCGCTTAATGTTTTTACCCCTTTCAATGACTCAAAATCATTTTCGCCTCGCTGAATCCTGGTTACCGGGCTCATGTAATCGAGTCCTAAGTCTGTTCCCTCATCTGTAAATTTCAAGTGATACGCTTTTTGAATTTGAATAGGTGAATTCTAATTAGATAAATTCGTTATTCCACTTACTAGAACTAGAACAATATAAATTGAGGCAACAATGGTATCACAATATTACAATTTACATGTTGCGTACCATTTATTAGCACTCCTTTGGCATTCAACTCGTGGATTTCGGTTAGGCTGTAACTCCCCTGTACGATTTCTAAAAAGAAAGCATTTCAGAAGGCAAAAAACTACATAGATATTGGGCGCCATGCAAGTATTAAAAAAATTTTAACTTATGAGTGTTGTTTTTCATTATTTAGATACATAATGTGTTTTAAGCTTACAAACCAGAGATGATTTGCTTATCATCATCGATTTGCAAACCATTCATATAAGGTTTGAAAACAGCTATTTTGGAAACGTTCTTCAAAGTGTGATGAAAGATTCTTGTCACCAGTGATGAAAGGTTCATTCCATTCACAGCGAAAGCTAATAAAGTAGCAAAAAATCAATAAAAAGACTTCCTTTCGTTACGATTTTAGGTCTGGTGTCGATTGGACTGTTGAAGAGAGCTGAGCGCGGCACTTTCTCGATGTCAGACGTGCTTCCAAAATTCTTATTGCTTAAATTTCTAAATTGGTCTTAAACGTTGTTTCGGGATCAAATCACTCATATAATTACTTTCACAAGATATCGAAGCTATCTTATGACGTAAAAAGAATCTCAGATAAATTGTGATATGATCTCGTAATGATCTTACCACATTTGGATATGAAAATTAAGGCGTAGGACTATGTGAACTTTTTGTTTTGCTAATTTTAGGCAGTGTTTCAGTTTAAAATGGCGACAACAGTTCATCAAAACTTGTTAAAAAGTCGTCAGAGATCATTAAAGAAAGCAATTTAGCGCGAGGTTTTCCTTTAAAATGTTAACTGAATGAAAATCTGTACACACCTGTTCGAACTATTTTTTCCATATCTTAATAAAGTGATGGGCACGAAGTGAATCGAAAATGAATGGGAAAAGCACATATAACACAAATATAAAAACAAACAGATGAAAACATATGTTCTTTAATTTCCAACACTGTTATTTTTTGAACAAAAAACCTTCCCAAATGCGTAGGCTGTTGTAGATTTATCAGGTATGTTTCTGTTGCATAAATGAATAAATTATTGTTGAAACGGAACAATCAAGGAGAGTAATACATTTTACAGAAGAACTGATATGTATATGTTGTGGTTTGACGACGAGAAAATGATGCATAGTTACAATTTATAGATTGTTCTTAATATGGTTCGTTTCGTAATAGTTTTGCTATTAATATCCACTGGCGAACCATGGTTTAAACGGATAGTTTCGGCTCCGATTAATGATGAGGGTATGTATATGTAAATAAAAGACAGCGACATCTCACGTTAGATATGCTTGCATTATTTTGCCGCTCTATTTTGTGTTGCTTCAGATGGCCTACATTCAATTGTGATGGCCATTGACGAAAACCTTATTTACTAGCAACTAGCAGTTATCATACTCAAAGTTGAGCCACGAACAAGATCATATGAAAGTGATCTTTCGAGCAGCTGATACGGCTCTTTGACTTTTTTATGTTAATAGTTTTGAATGTTTACGTAAAGTTTGGTTTCGTGTCATTTAATTTTTGCCTTCTGAATTAATCAACTTTTACTTTTGAGCTCAATTTACTCAGTTTTCGTACTTGTATCTGAAGGTACACGTTGAAAATATACTAGGGAATCACGACGATTTCGTAGACAATGATTTATGCAGCAGAGCGATGATTCATGATAGAAGAACTTTTGTTTGGTCTTGTAATTTGCTTTAGTTTAACTATTAACTGTTCATTGTCAGCATGGTCGTTAATTTATCTGTTTTACGTATGAGCTAATGTAAAATGTTTTGAGAATTCATAATTTGTTCCGATTTTAATACTTCTTGGCTGTAACTTAGACAAATAGCAATGTATATTCCAGAAAAATACATTCTGCATTAGACCGACTTCTTATAATACATTTGGTTGACCTAAGTCTCAAACAATGTGAATTTAGCGTTATGAAGTTAGTCAAACTTGATACAACGCACTCACAATTAGTTAAATTTCTTTAACCTAAAAAAAATTATGAATGATTCCGAATGAACATGTAAATATGCTTGCGAATGTAATCTAAAAACACTGATTCACAGATAGGAGCTTTAAAATCGCCTTATAACTACGTAGTCAAAATTGGTGTTTTCACTGATTGCTTTATTTGAAATATTTCGAAATGTATTTGAATTCGACTAGCGGGAGCTTGATCCCTGTGTCATACTCAGTGAGTCAGTGTGTGTTTTATATGATTGAGTGAGCTTTTAGAAGCAAATCATATATCGTCATTTCTCAGCTAAAACACGAAAAGCTTTTAAATGTCAGTCATCAATAAAATTCGAACAGTCATGATATTTTTTCGCAAATGATGCTCCATGTCAGTGTTGATAGTTGATATCAGGCGATAAAGATAGCTAGAACGAGGGGCAACTGAAAATGTATAAAAATTCTGTGCTTATTAGCTCATAACATAACACTTATGCCAGACGAAAGTCTCATCAACTTGTTCAGGAAGTTTTTTGTTCATTCTCTGTCTTTGATATTCAAGAGTTGAAAAGTCTTTTGATGTCGTTGCTAAGGAATTGAAAAATTTGCTGAAGTAATTCATTTGATATGATTGACATAACCCAATGTTACGCTATACCCATTGATATGATGATAATAGTGATTGAATATTGAATATTATCATGGTTTTCTTCACTCATATTTTATATGCTTGTGAGCCGTAGCCCTAGCTAGTTAGCTTATTTAAAAGTTGTCAAACTATGATCACCCAGCGCATAATTAGAAACATCGAAACAGCACAATATGCGCGGGCTCTGGTTCCCTTCCCAATAGTCGGATGCAAATTTTTCCAAGCATCAGTGTTAGCACACGTCACAAAATGATGAATTTTTATATTTAAATCCATCAGTTCATTCAAAAGGAAGACTTTTTATTCTCACATACATTGCTTTTAGAACATGGGGGATTTCTGTTAGGATTTTCACGTGTTTAAAAAAGTGTTCTATTTGATAAACTTGAAAACCTTTTTCATCCGACAATTTAATGAAATAAAATGAAAAAAAGTGCACCATAAAATCACGATTTGAGGTTTACTAACAAGAGACGAGATTTATAAGCAACATTTCGACTTATTTTAAAGTCATTATCAAGCCAAGACGATTTGAAGAACTTTAATAAGTGGAAATGATTTATCTTTTAAAAATGAATTGTAGTTGATGAAAATGTAATTTTTAGCTAATGGCGATTAGTTCATTTTTGGAGAAGCTTTTTCAAGTTCAATAAATTATTAACTTAGTAAATGATTTTTTTTAATCATCATTTGTGTTTGCCCCAGAGACACGCGAAGTCGTTATTTTTAGCTTCACTTTCACGATTAAGCATAAAACTGAACACTTCAAAGTCAATACAGTTCTTTTAATTTTTGGACAAAACTTTATTCCAGATGAAATGAACGAGAAGAGTTACAAACGACAATTGGAATTATTTGAAAACGAAGTTCAAGATAACTGGGAACATGATGATCACGAGTATCTTTCACAGCGTGAACTACATGACGCCAAAGAGGAAGAAACGAAGAATTCTCAGAGTTCTCTCGATAATGAAAATGACAAGCGCTGGATAGATGTGGATATGCCTGACAAAAGTGGTATCTATTGATAAAAATTTAGTGAATTTCAATCATAGTGTAACACTTGGAGTGTTTTTTATTAACTTTTACTCACGAAATCATTGTTTATGAACAATACATAATTTGCTGCTCTATTTTGTAATCCAGTTACGAAATCTTTTGTTGTTGTTTTTTCTGCTATCTCAACTATGTTGTTTTGTAGAATCTGCGGAAAACAATTCTCCTGCAGTGAATTATAAATTGCCAAAGAATGGAGGTATGTTTTTATGCCAACTGCACAGACTATATCAAATGAATAGTATCAGTGTTATGTGTCTGCGATAGCAGTTCCTATTCATTTACGAAAGGTCATCTTGATAGATTGTTGTGCAAATGCTAGCTGTACATCATGGATTTACCCCTCATCTATTACAAGAATCAGAGGCAGTTAACCCCGTCGATAATTTCCGAAACTTTAGACATAAAATTCCAACAAAAAATTCCTGGGAGGGGTTGTCTTTTTTCCGCACTGGCTGACTGATGAATCGACGTGTAGCCCTTACTCAAACAACCCCGTAGATAAACTTTTTAAAACATATCAAAATGAGCTTGAAATATTGTGACTCTCATATGAAGGCTAAATTATGATAAACAGCCATCAAAATATAGCGATGCCTTTAGCCTGGGTAGCGCTATCCTGCTACCAATTTTTTATTGCTTAAGACTTGTTAAGCGATAGGTTGCAATTTAACGCCAACAATCTATGAGAATTACGTGTTAATTCAGTGATTACTTCGTTTCAATTTCTTATAAAACACTTCATCACCTTTTTAATTCGCTTTAAAATACAACAGAGAGATCAACACAACAAAGGTCTGCCTCTTTCACACGGAACATTTCACTTTTATGTGACTACTTTTCGCAATTTCACCTCGTCAATTTTATGAATTTCTTTTCATTTTATTGATTTCAGAGATATTTCAAGGAGACATCGTTATGGATGATTATGTGCGAAGTGTATTTGATGGTGAAGCCGAGAAACGGGATGCAGTGAACATCAGAAAATACCGCTGGAAACATGGACTTGTTTACTACACGTTTCATCGACGCATTGGTAAATCAATGTTTACCTGTGTTCAAATATCTAAGCCTGATATTGTTTGCGGTTTGCTTATGAATTCCTCTAGAATAAAAAGGGAATTTAACGCACAATTTAGTGGTGTAGCATGCCTTAATAAATGGGAACGGCTGGGGATATTTATGTATGCGTGTTTTAATCATTAATAACAATTCTCTTTGAAGTAAATGGTTTGAACCGGGAGTATCGTTTCATGTTTGGAGATGTAGATCTTACATGTTAGTGTAGTCTTGAGAACTGATGCTTCGACCAACCTTAGAGGTAGCTGGTAGTCATCTTCTCAGAAATGCACATATCTGGACGATCTAAATCTACAAACATGTAATTCTTTTTAAAGTATATGGAACATGCATGCATATATGAGCATTCACTACCCCCTCTCTAAATTAACGAGATGCCACGCTACGGATAATTATGTGAAACATGATTATAAATACGCGCTAGGTTTACCCAATTTTATGTCTAGTTTAAGAGTACGCATGCGTTGCATTTGACGTGTTGAAAGTCTGGACGAATGCATTATTTCTAAGTAAATCAACATTTTCTGGTTTTTAGATCGTATTTCAAAAATGGAGATAAAGAGAGCAATGCGCCTGTATCACAAATACACTTGTATTCGTTTCAAAAGAAAAAGACGAGGAGATGGAGTCAAGGATTATGTTCGTTTTATATCAAATGGATCAGCGTAAGTTCCCGCATTTATTTCATCTAAAATACGTGATGTGTTTTAGAACTGGTCCCTGTCGTAAGCATTCGCAGGCTGAGTTACACAAAAGTGAGTTATTTTGTGCCAGCGTATAAAAACGAAGCTTAGCCAGAGCCCAGAGCCGCATTTAGTCCTGTTATTATGATTTTTTTCCAAAGAAATGAATGTTTACATCAGCAATGGTAAAAATTGTGGACTGATTGTGCTACTGACGATCGATTTCATTACGCGCTTCATATGTATGTGTGTTATATATTTTTACTTGATATAAAAAACTCCCAAGAAATCAAAGCATTCATATATTTTTCGATCTTTGAACTAACGGAAAACCTACGTTATTAACATTCCTGGCTCGAGGATAATCCGTTCTGTCCAATTTGTCTAATTTTTCCAATGGTGCTTGTCCAGTCAATAATTATGCAAAAATTTAGCGTTGTAAAATCATAATGTAAAATTGCTGCGAAGAAAAAAACTGTGTATATTGTGTTTCAAATTTAAAAAATCAATTCGACTCAAATTAAAAGTTTAAACTTGGCCCTGAAAATGTTTAAGGTGCTATTCCCATGTTGGCCGTCGTGGTGGCAGACAAGACGTGTCGATTGGTTCTGGTTGCTACAGAGTGGGAACTTCTATCCATGAAATAATGCACGTGCTCGGTTTTTTTCACGAAATGGCTCGTCCTGATCGCGATGAATATATTAAGATACATTGGGAGTATATTAAGAAAGGTAAGCGTTCATTTTTTACCTTTGTATCATTACTATATATACTCGTGCGCTGAATCGTGCGAGCAGAGAAGCAAAGAAGTTAAAACTGCTTGGTTTTGTTAGCTTGTTGGCTTGCATAACTATGGAGCTCTTAAACGTAATGTCTTTCAAGAGCACCACCAATTAGCTACCGGTTTTGGTAGCACAACAATCTTTTCTCATCTAAAATATCTAATTTCGTTGTTTTTGTTTGTTGCAGCATTGAGGCATAACTTCAGGAAAATACCAAAATCTTTGGATTTGAATCTCGTACCCTACAATCTGAACGTAAGTGAAGATAAGGAAAAGATGCGTACTTCAATATCATTATAGCTACCGATGAAGTTTCTTATGATGTTATAATCTATCGTTGCCATCCGTTTGCAAGCAGTCAGTTTGGCATTAAATATAATAAATAATTACACAAACCTCTCTTATACGAATTTCAGAGGACTGCTATAAGTGATAGAGTTTTCATGTCATACATTTCTCCTTCAGTTATCATCTTGATGCCAGGTTTTTTTGAATGCATTTGGTCGTCCATTTTGAGGCCCTTTCAAGATGAAAAAATGTTTGGAAAAAAGTTCATATTAATGTATTGCTTCTGCTTCGTATATCTTTTTCTCTGAGAAATTGTTTCATTTCGATATTGTTAAGTGTACTTCGATCAATAAATTTGTATTATCAATATCTAATACATCGTCAAATCAGCACGTTCACTGACATTATAAAATTTTATATAAATTTATTGCACGAACGAATTGTAAAACACTTTCAAGTTTAAAAGAAATTGTATTCTGTATTTTTTTCGTTCTATCTAGTCTTTGATGCATTACAGCAACGATGCTTTTTCTACAGATGGTTATCATCACACTATTACGTCACTGGAAGATCCTGATAGAGAATTTGGTCAGAGAAAAGATTTTAGCGTTGGCGATATTATGGAAATTAACAAGTTGTATGGTTGTCTCCAAAAAAATAGAAGATTTGCTGGTGTTCCTATAACAACTGTGTTAAAGGATTAAGTTAACGCTGAATACATTAAAATGTCAATCGAAGTTGAATTGTATGCATTTCCTTAACCAATAAACCAACTTTTATCCTTTATACTCATCTATACCATGAATGAAATTAAAGTAAAGTTTTCACTAGCGATATAAGCACACAGTCAAGAGACAAAGCAAAGCGTATTCTATTTGCGTGAGGTTGGAAGAAACAGAAACAAAAGAGATTTTGTTTTCAATTGGCTTTTGTTACATCGTACCCTTATGTCAAGGTGCTTCGCTTGTGCTTATTTAACTAAGCTTGAAAGATCATGATCAGAATCATTTTATCTGTGGGTTTTTTTGTGAGCATTATCGTATCGCCAAACATAACAAAATTTGCTCCTGTTGAACGATTTCTCCAGCCTCTCTGCATTTTGCGACAAAAACAGTCACCACAGAGTCACAGATCACAGGAATAGAGGCGTAACTAGAACGTTAATTGGGGGGGGGTGTGCATATTCATATACTCCGTTGTGCCCTCCTGATTTCTTTTGAAAGTGAATTGAATTTCAAAAGAAATCATTAGGGCACAACTGAATACATGAAGAACACCCACCCCAATTAACGTTCTATGTTCTAGTTAGGCCTATGCACAGGAAGTAAGTCTAAACAAGGAGGAAGTCAAAAGGGGCAGGATGTTTTGATATCAATATGAACCATTGAAATGAACAGCAATAAGATAATCACAAATATTCTAATAGTTGATGGTAAACAACTTGCGCGTCTGCTCATCCATCAGTCAATATTAATACCAACAGTTCTCAAGACTCCACTAACCTGAACAATCAACATCTACACATTAATTTAGCTACATGTAATTTGCTCTCAATCTGTTCCTGCGTGTTCCTCTTTATCCAATTTGATTATTGGTTTCGGTTTTGGATTAGCCAGCTTAGCTTTCCTATTGGCCAAAAAATGCAAGAACAATGTCCTTCAGTGAAACTGTCAAGTTATCGAAATTTTCTAAATTTTTTTGCTTCTATCAGGAATAGAGTTAAAGCGTTTTAAAATAATGCATTTGTGATGTGTCAGTCGCTGGTATGATTCGACCAACATCCTCATGTTGATAATCCTTTTGACCAATTTTGACGCACATTTTGACATCACGCTGGGGATTCATTCAATTGTCCATATGGCGCCGCTAGGGTTGTTGTAGATATCTGTTTGTCTGTTAGATATTTTGATAAACCATTCTTTGTAGAAAATCACTCAACTACAAAGGAAATCAGTTGTGTTATCAACATTTTGAACCACAGACATGTATTTTTCCCTTTAAATTAAGGTATATTACAGTTAATAAAAGAAGCAATTTTTTATTACCTTAATGGATAACTATAAAATATGTTTTTTAATTGTTTCATGGGATTGATGTATATAATCAACGTGAATTTGTTGTATTAGAGACAGTTCATATTTTCTAAGAAATAGATTTGTGAGGACGTTATCCCTTTGGCAACGCTTGACAACAAGCACAGGGTTTTAAGTTCTCTAGACACCGCTATTTGCGGTTTGGTTTGACAGCTAAGGACACTCAGCCTTCCTATTGACCAAAGAATACAAGTAGCCGAGAATAAACGTCTTTGCCATTTGCAAAGTGCTCCTATGTTTCAAAAAATATCTTTTGCGATCAGAAATAAACAAAAGGAATATTGACGTCAAAACATTTTCAAATGATGCCTGTGTCAGTCAATTGTGTTGTTCGACCAACATCCTCTTCCTCTTTTTGATAATCCGCTTGACGTACATTAAGGAATCACGCTGATTTGAGTTGCCGACTATTAGTAACTTTGCATGCTAAAGTTATCAAGTGTTCGGCTGTCAGCGTCTTGCAGTAAGGATATTTTAATAAACTATTTATTACAGAAAGTCGGCCAACGGAGCAAAACGCCGTAGTGATATCAACAAACATTGAGCCAACAGAAGCATCTTGTGAAGGTAATACAGTTAAAAACGGAAGCAAACGATTTATGGATTTGATGTTTGTTACTTATTTGACGATGAATGAACGTCGTAGTCTGCAGCAAATTCGATGTTATAAATAGCAATACTGGTTATTTGTTCCTTTTTAACTGCATCAAAATTATCTCAACATAGTAATAAAATAAATGGTTTGAACCCGGGAACATGTTTGTCAACATAGTAATGTTGACACAGGTAGTGAATTGGAAAATTCAATGTTACCTTGCTGTAATAGCAACAGTTGAACAGTTCATATTTTCTGAGAAATGATTATTGATTGACGAAGTTCCCGCCTAATCCCAGTTGCCACTTACGTTTGTTCACAAAAACTGTGTTCATAAGAGAAGTGCAATATTTTTCTGTGGTTTTATCATCACCTAATATGTAGCTCAAGTAATTAAAAATACCTTGGTTGCCGGACTGGCAACCTTGGGTAACTCGTTTAATTTTGACGAATCTGTTTTGTCTATTTTCATTGCATGTTCTTTGAAATAATTACGACGAGGCACTATGGAAACATTCATTTTTCATAACCGAAGGACTCAATGTTAAGACCTTCCACTCGCCATAACAATACTCAATTTGGGTAACTTAAACCACTAAGGCTTTGGAAACGTCAGTCAACATCTACACCAACACTAGGATCATACATCTACAAACATGTAGCGATACGTGTATATTTTCTCTAAACTGTAGTTAGCATCCAATTGATCCAAATTATCACAATATAGTATTTAAATTTTTATACAACTGGTCAAAGTCGAAAATTGAACTAAAATTTTCCTGTAAATTAGTAACAGCTCATATTTTCTGTGAAATGAAATCATTGTATGAATTCAAAAATAATTTGCATGGTTTGTCTCTATTTTATAGGTATTTAAAAAAGATGGTGAGAAAATTGAGAAGTTTCCAAGTCCTTATTAATGATAATCGGCAGGTGTTTTATCCTGGTGAGCAAGTCACAGGCTATGTTCAAATAGATATTGCAGAGCCAATTAAATGTAGAAAAATCCTAGTAAGAATAACAGGGCAAGCACATTGCTATTGGACAACACAAAGAACAACTCAAGATAGTGAAGGCCATACACATACTCACACTGATCACCACACTGGAAATCAAAATTTAATTGATCTGCAATCTATAGTTTTTGGTGGAAGCTCAGAATCTGTAAGGCATCCTTCTGGTAGACACGATTATGCATTTTCCTTTACTCTTCCATCACCTCTTCCAAGTTCATTTGAAGGAGGCACTGGTCACATCCGATATTTTTTAGAAGCCAAAGTTGATCGACCATGGAAGTTTGATCACAAATTTCGAAGACCATTCACTGTGAATGAAATTATTGATATAAATCTCCCTCAATATTTGGCGCCACTAAGTAACACAAAGCAGAAACAAATTGGGTGTCTTTGCTGTATTGCTGGTAATTTGAATATTCAGGCAAGTATTGATCGCTCAGGATATTGCCCCGGTGAACAAATATTTATCACAGCATCATGCGATAATGATTCAACTCGCCAGATGGACTGTATGAAAGCCAAGCTGATACAGCACATCTTATTTAAAGCAGGTGATGGAACAACAACAGGTGCAACAAGAACTATTGCACGATTTGAGGGTAAACCAATTCCTGAAAAGAGCCAAGATTCATGGAACAATCAGCCATTTTTAATCCCAGCAATACCTCCAACAATCCAAACAGTACCAGTCAGTGTGTCATACTATTTCAAATTTGAAATCAAAGTACCATGGGGTTTTGACCCTGAAATAGTTTTTGGTATCACAATAGGGACAGTACCATTTCGTGAAATGTTTGGAAATCAATCTTCATATCAGCTTGCCGAAAATCAATATATGGAGGAAGAATTTAGCAACTGGGTACCACCAACTGCCCCTGTAATGCCTTCAGCACCGCCACCACCATCATCTATTCTTGGTTATCCTGATATGCCTCCTCCCAGTTATGCTTTTGCAGTTGGGGGTGTTGCTGTTGATGTTGGTGATACCAATTCAAAATCAAACTTTGGTGATCAAAGCTATATGCCCATGTACACTTATGCACAACCATTCCAAAGTCTTGCATATCCACCTCCAAATGCATCACCATCATCAGGGTATCCACAAGCCGGTAATCCAACCACAGTATATCCACCTTCTGGTGGCCCATCTCAAGGATATCCACCAGCTGGTAATCCCACAACGGGATATCCACCAGCTGGTAATCCCACAACAGGATATCCACCAGCTGGTAATCCCACAGCAGGATATCCACCAGCTGGTAATCCCACAACAGGATATCCACCAGCTGGTAATCCCACAACGGGACATCCACCTGCTGGTTATCCTACAGCAGGATATCCACCAGATAGTGCACCTCCATTAGTTTAGTAATAAAGTGTAATTACGAAGTTATGACTTAATTAAGTTAGTCTAAATGTATCTACTAAGGAATTTCAAGTAGAAGTATTTTTTAAGTGCTATGTACACATACCAGTGTTGAATTATGAATTGTTTAATTTGATCAAATCATTCTTATGTGTAGAAAAATAAGAATGCATGTGAATTTTTCAAAATTCTGTAATCACTAATCTGCAAAAATTTAATAAAACATTCCACGCATATTCTAAAAGAAATTAGTAAATAATGATTATTTGTTTCCAGGGATAGAGGACAACAAAAAAAAACAATACAAACCCCATTGGACTGACAAATCTATATTTTTAGGATTGATAGGAACCCCACCCCCCCCTCTTAATTCCAAAGGATGTTAAGCCGTCTTCTGATTTGTCATTAGTCCATAAGGCATGTGTGATACTGTCAATCTGTCTCTCAGGTTTCAGCTTTATAATTAAAGTCCTGTGTGGTTTAAATCTTGAAATAGATTTTGGTGTCACAATAGAGACAGAACTAATTTGTGGAATGTTTGAAAATAAACCTGTATATCAGGCTGCACAAAATCCATTTATGGAGCAGGAATTGGTGATGTTGATGTTGTTGACACCAGTTCAAAATTAAAATTTGGTGATCAAAGCTATATTCCCATGCATGCTTATGCACAACCATTTCAAAGTCTTGAATATCCACCATGTGGTAATCCCATGGCAGGATATCCACTGTCTGGTTATCCCTTGGCAAGATCTTCACCAGGTAGTAATCATACTGCTGGATATCTTTTTTCCTTCAAAATTTCTTAAGATTATCCTTCATCTGACATCTGGTAATGCCAAGGCCCATAGCACATTTTCCAACTGGCAATCTCTAATCTAATTTACATCCACCAGTGTAGTGGCAAAGAATAATTACCAAGTAATGGTTTCATTTGTGTTTTTTAATGAAGCAACTATAACTTCTATGTCTTCTAAGGAATTTCAAAAGTAAATAACAATTTCACATAAATTATGAATGAATTATGCAATTTTTTGAAATCATTCTCAAGTAAAGAAAAGTAAAAATGTAATTTAGGAATTTCAATATTCTTTTATGGCAGATTAGCTGAGTTTTAATAAAGCATTTAACATTTTCTACATGAAATTAGTAAAACATGACAAATTGTTCCAGGGATGGGGACAGCAGAGCATTGAACTCTACATCTCTATTGGGCCGAGTAGTCTATGACGGGAAATCCCCCCGTAATTCTAAAGGATATAAAGCCGTCTTCTGATTTGTCAATAGACGATCAGCAGTTATGTGTGACGTAATATTGTAAGTCTGGGGAAGCAGAATCGGCCATAAGATGCGTCAGTTTCTTCAGAATTACTATGGACTTAAACCAAGGGTATTTTTACAATTCGATTTCTACACGTGATGCCAAAACCAACGGAAGACAATACCCCAATACGAGGAACGAAAAACCCATCGCGATTTGATATCCAAAGCCTATTAATTCAATCGAATCCGTCGCTAACTACAACAAGTAAACACAACTCGGAATCTACCCCCAAATCATCACCCTTCGAACTGAGGGAGAATGATCCTATGGAATCTAGTCCTTCACGTTCTGACAAGACAACTACAAAAGCCCCGCAAAACCAAGTACCGATGTATCCTTCTCATAGGCTAACGTACCCATCAATTCCCCATGGTTATGGACAACATATTGCTTTGACAAACCTTCACTTGTATTCATTATGGTCGGCACAAGCACAACAAGCACAAGCTGGCTTGCTCAACTGGCCTGTACTTCACCATTCAAATCCTGTCGTTTCTCAAACTCCATCAAGATTACCTCCACCCCAACCATCACAAAATAAACCAGCTGATGAAACTAGAAATCATTCTAGCGAGATACAATCAAATGAAGGTCATTATTCAACAAGTATTTGTATCATAATTTGTGTAAAGTCACCAAATATTGAAAGCATATATCTTTTCACTTGTCACCAAGGTAAAACCATGGCCATACCTTAAAATCTGCTCCCCAAAAAATGCCACAGCACTCATATGCCACAAATTTTTTGAATTTTTAAATTTAGAGAATCATTACCTTTGTTGCACTGTTTTTACACCATTGTGTTTTTAATTTTATTTGTCTTTAAGAAATAGTCATACAATTAATTTTTTATCTCTTATCTCCTTTCATGGATTGTTTTTTTCAGAAATTTGATATCCTAAAATGCTTTGTTGCTTTCAGAATGTTTTACTTGTGTATTTCTTTCTTGATACCATAATATTGTTTTATTGATCTTAATAGACATTAATAGTTCAAACAGTGCAACAGAAAGTCTTCTTGCTGCAAGTGAATGTCATATGGCAATATGTAAAGATGAGGATGGGGATACGTAAGTTGAAAAGAGAAATTATAAAATAAAAAACTTGTGAATTATAAAGTAAAAAGTTAAAATGCTTAATGAAAAACAGCAAAGAATCTAATGCAATATATATTTTGTTTGCAGACCACTTCACATAGCAGTTGTTCATGAGAATAAAAAAATAATACAAAAACTGATTGGGTTGATATCGTTTTCAAAACTTACTGTAAACACACCAAACAATTTATCTCAAGTAAGTTATAGAACTTATGCAAAAAGCCTTTTCTTTTTCTCATTTTTAACTTTCTTTTTAGACTGCCTTACATCTTGCAGTTATAACTCAACAACCTCAAGTTGTCTGTCAGCTCATGAAGGTAGGCGCTGATGCTCTCATGCAAGATCGAAATGGTCAAACGTCATTACATTTGTGTTCAGAAAAGGGAGATGTGGCATGTTTGACAGAAATAGTGAATTTAATGCAGGGAAAATTAAACTTGGAGATAAAAAATTTTGAAGGAATGACACCACTACACTTAGCTGTTCAAAAGAAGAGAATGGAAGTCATCCAGGTCCTTGTACAATATGGTGCAAACATTGATGCAAAGGTAGTAAAATCTTACCATGGTTATGTAGAATCACTTAAAATGGTAATGATATGCTTGTAGTAAACATCTTAGCACTGTTTAGATACACAAAAACAGTACTTTAAGAGATAAGTAGCATCTTCAGCAGCCATTAAATGAACAAACTACAGTGTTTCATGCATATGTTCGACCATTATGCTCTCATTTATTTGTTCAATTGAAAATCATATTTAAGGAACCGTTGTCACTTCACTGGGAGATAATCTTTAAACAAGCACATGCATGAATACCAAGGTTATGAATACCAATGGATGACATTTTCATTTTTAGGATGGCAAAAGTGGTCATACCCCACTACATCATGGCATAGATCAAGAGTACATCGAAATTTTACAGTTTTTGGTGTCGAAGGGAGCCAACATTAACGAGCCCAATTTTTCTGGAATAACGCCTTTACAGAGCGCAAATAGCTGTCGTAATGACACCATATCAAAAATAATTCTTTCGCAAGAAACGCCAAATAGTTCCAGCGCTACATTGACAAGGCCAAATGTAATTCAACAAAACTTAGCGAGCACTGCTGGCCACAAAGCCACAAATTCGTCATCGCTTCATTTACCTGCATTGAATTCTAAGAAACGACAGGTATGTTTTGCATTATTTTCCATGACACATGAAGCCTTATCTTGCTTCTGGCAAACAGATTATTTATTATTTATGCCTTTGCCCGGTGTACGTGGTTGTCGCTGTAGTATGGAATATGCCTTACCTGCTTTACCAGAAAGATATTTTTTCATTTAAGTCCCAAAAATCACAAACTGTTTTCCAGGAATACATCTTTGAAACTTCGGTGTTAGCCTAGTTCATGTGTCGCAAAATAGCTTCACTCTAGGGACGTGAATGTTCAACTGGCCTTTCCCCTGTAACCAATTCTCTAGTTAAGTAAAATTGGTATAACTGTTTTTGCACAATAAACTGGACATTAATGAAAATCTTTAATGAAAATTTGATGTTATTAGGAAAACGAAAAAAAGAGAACATCTTCACATAAACGAAAAACTGAATCACCACCAAATTCTTCAAAACGAAGTAGAACGGAAACCCAAAAATCTTAGCTCGGTAAGAGATGTATTTTATTTTTCTCGTGGAAATTCGGGCGCTATGAGTGAAAGTGTCTTTGCAAATAATAAAATTTAGAAGTAGCTACAAACGGCAAAAAGCTGAAAGCTTTTAACATATGAGTACTATTTCGTATGAAAATATTCGGCAGCCCTTTGTGTCAATGCAGTAACGTAAGACTTAAGCGAAAAAGATTTTTAATTTTTTACTTATAAAAAATTATATTGAAGAACGTACATGTACTTAATTTAGTCAATATGAGTAAAGTTACGCAAGATTTTCAAGGTATATTACAAGATTTCTAAAGGTATATTAATCGTAAAATCTTTAGTGATTGTCATTTGACATCATAAAAAATAAGCAAGTTTTTTAAGTTTTCAGAAAAGCTTCTTTCCCATGGTTCCAAACAAATCCATCTCCTTCTGTAATTTCCTCTTTTACACGATGAAGTAGTTTATCATTCACTTTATCTTCTGGCCAATGGTAAACGACCATTTGTTTAATCCAAAATGGCAGCTCTGTTTCTTCTACGCCAAACAGAACGGGAATAAACCTGGAGCTGATATACGCTTTTAACGAAAGTTCGTTTCGGATTTGCGTTATTTCACTGTAAGTTAATTTTTCCTCCTGGGTTAACGTTGTCGCGTCTGTCTTTCCTTCATCTAGACCACAAAGCTTCAGATAAGACGGTGAAATAACGATAAATACTCCTTTTGCTCTACATAGTTGCCTTTCTGCCCATCTCCACGGTCCAAGTTCCTTTAAATCTTGTTGGTTCTTCGAAGTTAGCATGATATCCGTTTGAACATCGTAGCCATGTTTGCGCAGCCATGAACAAAATTCCGCGACTTTTTCCGTGTGATTTTCCGTTTCCGCAATGTATGAAATATATATGTAACCTGGTGATCTTGGGCTGTCTGAAAATTGTCAAGGTTCAAGGTTTTAACGTAGTTGACGTTAAATTTATACAAAATGAAACAAGAGGGAGGGAGAGTCAATTAGCTCTTTCGTTCTTGAACATTGAGATTTTTATTTTATTTGCACTTACATCGCAAAACACAACTATAGTTTTGCTACGTAAATGGAATTTCTGAATGTTGTTTGGTTAAATGGTTTTACAGCGTTACTTACTGAGCATAAGTCGACTTGTCAAAAACAGCACAAAGAAAATCTAGGTCTACGAACAACTGTCGGAATCGGGCCAGTTTGCTTTTCCCTTTTTTACATTTTCTCAAACTCAATGTTGTTTTTTTCGAATCCTAAAAATTTGGTTGAGGCATGCTGGTAGAATGGTGATTTTTTCCCTTTTCTTTCGTCTATTCTATACCTTTATTACGTATTATTTCCCTTGAGAATATTGTCAACTTTAGCATAACGATGCATTCGCCTACCTAGATTACCATACTTCTTAGGCACGCGGCAACCTCTCATCAAAATATACACAATAACAGCTACGACCACTACACTGACGGTAGTTATTATGGCGATGATGAAAATCGCCTTTTCTGTTATCTTTTTTCTTTTGACAGGCTGAACGTTTGTAAGGTTTTTCTTTGGTTTGTAAGGCTGTCTCGGGTCTTCAGTTCGTACAGTACCATATGACGTTGACAATTTCGTCATGATATTTGTAGAATATGTAGGCATCGCTAAAAAATAAATATCAACATCTCGCCCTCTCCGTTTTTTTTCCTGCTTAGTCCGTACTTAGATTAGAGGAGTGTTTAATTTATCGTCAATGCCTCTATCGTTTTGGGAAATCATAACGTCATGAGAGGGATGAAGGTCAAAGGTCGATATCACCGATCATAAGTGATTGGATGAAATGCTTTCTTGGTAGTATATTAAAACTTACCAATTGCTATTGTTCAAAAAACTGGTGATCATGCAATTTCAAAAAATTCACAGGAACATATTTCAGAAAATTGGATGTCAACCCCCCACACCCCCCCCGCTCAGTACATCTCTTGGTATAAGCTTCGCGGGTTTATCACTGGTATGAACGATGTAAGCAAGTGAGCAACAACATACAAACATGCAAATTAATAGAGTGCGCATATTAAAGAAAGATTGTTGCAATTACTGACTCTTTTCACTAAGCAGTGAACACAGAACATTATTTTGCACGAAAGTGTCAAAGAAAGGGATTGTAATTTCATTTAAAGGAATATTGTCACAAAATTATCATTATTATTGTTGTCATTGGACTTATTTTCTGACTTAACTTTTTGTAATTACGATGATCTCGAAACTTCCTTAAAGATGTTTTAATAGACGTCTCGATATTTTTTATGCACGTTAAATATTTTTTATGCGCATTACGTACCTATTTTTTTACCTTTTCTATAATATCATTTACTTACTTACTTGCAAATTTAGGCATAATGGGCGTATTAAACACAAAACGTTTTGTCAGATTCTGCTTGCTTGGTAGTGGATATATCTAAAGTGAAGCATAGGCCATACAATTACCTCAAGGTTAGAATCTTGATGATTTGTTTCTGGTTATTGTTTACCTCCCAATTGAATAGTTTACATTACGACCAAGAAAACTGACTAAAAGTACCCTTCAAATCATTTATATGCTAGATACTGACAATTTCATCGCGAAAAATGTGTGAATGATCTCGTCCGATTCTCGATTTACTGGAATTGACCAGTTTAGAGTAAAGTAAAGTTTAAAAGATAAACTTACCACAATTTCTATCCAATCGCCTTTCTTCCATTTATTTTCATGTATTAAGAATGAGGTAGTCTATAGAAGAAAGTTTCAGTAATGAACACTAGCATAGACATTAGAGCAGAATCGTGATAATTTCAAAGCGTCATATCATTCAAGTCCTTAAAAGGAAACGACAAGAAAGGCCAATACTCTCGAACGATGTGAAATGATGGAAAGTCTTGGAAAGAGCGTCAACAGGGCTTATGAGCATCATGGAAAGTCTAAGATGCCTGTCAATTGTCATATAGATGAAAAAAGTGCTGGTTATCTTATACCTTGGGTTGAAGAAAATTGCAGGTTGGAAACCTGTCGTGAAATTCTTTCCAAATAAACCAATAACCATCAGGAAGATTGTTGTTGACACCTGAAATTAAAATTTCCTCTAAGTTTAAACTTCAAAGACGATGATGTGATTTCTATATCCAGATAAAATGAATCGTTATTAACGTACTTGGAGTTTTCCAGTCAACTTTAACAGAGTATTTTCCTTCGTTTTTTATGAGAATGACATTCATGTCATTTAGCTCGAGACGCGAAAATCCATTTTTGTAGTCGATGACGACACGTGTGGTACAGTTTCCTAAATAATTTATTTGCTTTGGTTAATAATCTTTTATTGTTGTTAAACATACCTGGCAACATAATTACAAAGTTGCAACATAACTATTCACTCCAAAACGCTGGGAAACTGGGCTATATATGCGCAGCAGCATCACCTGCATTTCTACACAGGTATCCTATAATCCCACGCTGTAAACGACTTACCATTTACAAACATGCCGCGTTTAGTACGTGTTCGAGTCTCTAACATCTCTTTCTCTAATCTCTATAAGTCAATGAAAAATTTTGTTCATTTTGCAAATACAACAATTGTGATTCAAATAAAGGCAATGGTATAAATTCATTGGAGAATCGAGAAGTTGAAGTTATTCTTTCGCTTCTTCATCCTCAAGACAAACCACAGAATATTAAGGATTAATACATAGAACATACAGTGCGCATGTCAGGGATGGAATCAAGAGGGGATGTATCTTCCAGTTCCTCTATTATGAGTTGAGGTACAAAAGACCTTAGTCTGATTTTTCTCGGTAAATGCCTCGCGCTTGGTTAATGAAAGCTTAATATAATATTGATATAACTTATGTTTGTGCTTCGTTGACATGGATGGAGAAGGCATTTGACAGGTTCCTGTGGAAGATATTGGAAATGGCTCTAAGGAAGAACCACGGAGCCTAAGGAAAATGCAAAGACGAATGTAGGTTGAGTGAAGTTATTTAAACAGTTTCAGATGAAATGAGGGTTTTCGTGGTTACAATTAACGATCTTGGTTGATTTGAATATGGAGAGTGGCGAGAAATAGTTTAATCAGTGAGATATTTTTGTCAATATGAAATTAAATAACGTTGCATGGATTCCTTTTAGTCATTAGAATTTCAGACTTATAATAATAACGCATACTTTATTTTTTTTGTCATTGTAATCTTGTAAATTCATGTGAAAAAGTCGTTGTGGGGGCCCTACTGACATCACAATCAAAATATAATACAATCTTCCGGAAAATGTATCCGCTTTTCTAAGACCCTTATTGATGGACGAATATTCTGAAAAAAGAGCCTTTCTTTCTACACTTTGATAAGATGTCACAGGATAATTTTTGTCCATGACGTTATAAATTTATCGTATAACTCATTCAATGTTAACCAATACGAACACCAAGTCACTAACACATGTTGGAATCAACACAATCGATAGATAACAGAACAGCAAAAGCTCCCCTGATGTTATCCGTTTGGAATATTCTCCGAACTAACCTGTAGATAACAGAACGACGCGTTTACACTACCCGTGGCCTTCGAAGAACGAGAATATTCCGAACGGATTGCATTTTCAATTTGAAAGATTGTATGGAAATTGTATGGCTAAAGTATAGTGAATAATTGTTACAACTTGTATTGAAGAACTTTAGAAGAGAGAATATTTACACTCTTATGTATAAAAATGCACATTTAAATTAATTAACATCCTAGACTCGAATTTCCTGCGCTGTTTAATTTCAAATATTTTTCAGCTGTAAGATTTATAAGAACTATAAAATAGTAAATATGATGTGAGTTTATTTATTTGTAAATAAAGTATGATGTTATTCTGAACTTAAATGGCGGTCGAAAGAATCTAATAAAATTGCGTGACAAGTCCTCTGAAATATCGGGGTCAGTTAGCGCATGTAGCAAAATTACCTACCTTTATTTCACCTGAATGTACATGATAGACCAGTAAATAACACAAGAATATGTAATATGTTATAATACGCGAATTTAGTGTTGTTGTTGCTGCCATTTCACGGTTATGCTTCCTTCGAGACAAGAGGTCAATATTCAAAGATCTTTATATTTTTCTTGAACAATGGTAAACACTTCGCTACCACGAGGTGTACCTATGTTTCATTTGTATTATTGGAAATAGAAAGAGTCGCTTATGAGCCAACAAGACTTATATTCGATAAAGCGGTTCATCCACTCCATCATTTTTATACATACTTCCGTTTTTACGGAGAATACTCAGAATAGTATTCTTTGTATAATGAGAATCGCATTTCAGCCCTGCATTTTAGGCGTTGACTAGATTACATTTCATCAGTGAAAGACAATGATTCTAGCGCATTATCTATCGATCTAAAGGGCAAAAAAATATTAATTATTGAAATAATTTTATAAACACACGACTCTTTCAAGCAAAGCTTATTTCAAAAGAAACATGCAAAAATGAAGCACGGAAATAAAGTATTTTAGGCTACAAATTACACAATATCAGTAGTAGTTAAATAATTAATAGATAATTGATATTGGCCGACCTTGAAATCAACTTTGTTCACGTGGTTATGATAGCAGACGTACATATATGGTATATAATACCCAGGGAGCGCGTGGTGTTTTATTTTTCTTAATTTTTAAATTTAATTTTGTGATACAACAAGAATTGCCAAATTTTACCTAATTTTTGAAGGCGACTAAAACATTTAAAAAAGCCATTTTAAAACATTTTTCATTTGCAATGGATTGAGTGGCTAAAAATTGTTAGTTGGTGAAATATATACGGCAAATAATTCAAGAAAAAATCTAGCATAATGTAAATAAAGGTCATGTTACTAGCAAGCATTGTGATAAAAAGATGATTGACAGGGTGTATCAAAAAAACTGAACAGTTTAGAAAAAATTGCCAAAGTCGCAAGAAAACATTGCGCGCAAGATTTGCAAAAACTTTTGTGGAAATAGGTAATTAGACTTCCAATGGTTTATATGACGGTAGAACTGTCGAAAAAATAACAATTTTGACAATGAGAATTTTTTTGCCGAGAAGCACTTTTTTGAAATAGCTTGCGAACAAAGATGACGAAGGTAAAAACAATTGGAACACATGAGATTAAAACATGGCACATTTCTCAATCTACAAACGGTTATTATTTGCAAAAATTTTACTGTCAGATGATCCATTGGAAGTCCAATTAGTATCTATTTCATCAAAGGTTTTTGCAGATCTTGCGCGCTGATAACTTTAGCGACGTTTCCTATCTGTTCAGTTTTTTTTTATACATTCTGTATTGTGCAGTTTTACTCAGTAAGCAAAATATCAAAAGCCGACAAAAATTAATATTTTGTTTCAGCGATCTATCAACTTCACTATCATTATGTAGCCAGCTAGCGAAAGCAGAAAATTGTCGCGACTCGTGCCCAAGGTTTTGTAAAAAATATTTGTGATAAGTAGCTAATCGAAGAAAGAGTTTACCCTTCGAGTCTTTAGTTATATACATGTAAGTATTGTAGTAGTTCATTAATGTTGTCAAGTTTGGCTATTGGCAAAATCGAAAACAAATCCATCTCCTCCTGTAATTTCCTCTTTTACACGATGAAGTAGTTTATCGTTCACTTTATCTTCTGGCCAATGGTAAACGACCATTTGTTTGATCCAAAATGGCAGCTCTGTTTCTTCTACGCCAAACAGAACGGGAATAAACCTGGAGCTGATATATGCTTTTAACGAAAGTTCGTTTCGGATTTGCGTTATTTCACTGTAAGTTAATTTTTCCTCCTGGGTTAACGTTGTCGCGTCTGTCTTTCCTTCATCTAGACCACAAAGCTTCAGATAAGACGGTGAAATAACGATAAATACTCCTTTTGCTCTACATAGCTGCCTTTCTGCCCATCTCCACGGTCCAAGTTCCTTTAAATCTTGTTGGTTCTTCGAAGTTAGCATGATATCCGTTTGAACATCGTAGCCATGTTTGCGCAGCCATGAACAAAATTCCGCGACTTTTTCCGTGTGATTTTCCGTTTCCGCGATGTACGAAATATAAATACAACCTGATGATCTTGGGCTGTCTGAAAATTTTACATATTAAAGCTAAATTAAACATTATTCCGTTATAAATCTGGGTGTCCTTCATTTTGTTAGTGCGTGTAGCTCAAATATATCTTTTCGATATGATTTTGGCTGGTTTTTGAGTGGATGATATGACGATTTAGCTCACTCGGCACTAATTCGGCACAGCAGCAACTGTGAGTGTTAATGATAATTGTGTAATCAACTTCGAAAAGCAAATAAATTGGCCGTTGTATTTATCATTTTCAACAAAAGGAAATTTAAAGCTTCTGCCACGAAAGTTGTATGTGAAGAACGCTGTAAAAAAATACAAATAATGTAGCAGTATATGTTGGATTTTTTGCCGGGTTGCATTTGAAATATGGCCAAAGGGGAGTGAAGAAAGTCTAATGACTTAGATACTGAAAGTAATGTTACTAATAAAAAAATTCATCAAATGGCTTGTTTGTTAAAAAGATTTAATCATAAAGGTTTTGCTATAATGTTTGGAATTAGAGTTTGCAAAAACCGAGAATAATGTACCATAAGAAGGTCGTTAAAAAGTGTCGCGAGTCTCTATATATGAGATACTGCGACACTTGAAACTTTCTTCTCACAGTTTTATATTTTAACGTCAACGGAAAAGCATCCGAAACAGACTATTTTTCAACTTATACGATATTAGTTATTTCCACTTTCATTATACTATGTAAACACGAGGAATAGAAATAATATCATACAGATCTTTAAATAATATAACATAATGCAACGTTATGCCTCTAGATATATAAACTGAAAAAATTTATTCTTTAAAAATGTCTCTGCACCAGTCGGGCACTGATACGAATTTTGCAGCCGAATGAGCTATAATCTCACAGCACACAAAAACTACCAAAAAATTATTTATACTCTTTCAAAAACAAAAAAGTGAATACGTATTTGTCTATATATAATATTTATGCTTGATTTACTTATTATACCAGTATTGTATAGTAGCTTGGACTGAATTGATTAGTGTCGGGGACGCAACCACATTCATTTTGCCACAAAAAAAGTGAAACGATTTACAGCCAATGTGTTATTTGCCAACAATTTTACATTTCCAACAAGTTCAACAAGTTCAAATTTTGCCTGTTACACTAAAAATATATTTAGACATGAATCTGGAAAATTGATGTTCGTGATTATATGAATGTCGAGGTGACCCCTTAGAGGTGTGTTAAGCAGAGTTATAAATTAACGAGTTTTTATCAACCTTGTTTACCTTGGCTGAACAACTGATTTGGTTTGGGTCGACGTCTCACCATAAATAACACAAAAATTGCCATGGTAATTACAATGGACGAGACAACAAGGCTCGCTGTTACAATCAACGCAGTGGATGTCTTTCGACTTAAATTCTTAGATGTCACATTGATGTTTCGTCGGCCTTTGCTTGTTGGAATAGCTGGTGTGATGTTGATGGTTGAGATGCGTTATAGCGTCGTTGTCATTGTCAAAAATGCTTCTGCTCTAATTTTGTTTAAATGCATGCTGTAACGTACCTGTAACGTTTTGCATTTTCTTATCATTTTTGTAATGTGGCTCATACGGTAAACTCAAACATGTGCTGCGGTACGGTACTCACACTACATTGTTAATGGCACATGTTACGCTTGATACATTGTTTCTTCTTATACACATTATGTTACATACATTGTTAGAACAAGTTACAAGAGTTTACATCTCATTTCATCTGTTGATTGCATACAGTACGCCACACTTACAATACATCTTTACATTTGTCTTTCGATTCTCACAATCATACATCATACTCAACACATCACACCACCATTTTCATACATTGACATACAACTCACATACGCTCCACGCCTTTCATACATCTTTCATACATTGTTGAGTCTAACAACACACGCCACATCTTACATACATTGTTACGCCTCATCTTTCATACATTGTTGAGTCTAACAACACAGGCCACATCTTACATACATTGTTACGCCTCATCTTTCATACATTGTTGAGTCTAACAACACACATCTTACATACATTGTTACGCCTCATCTTTCATACATTGTTGAGTCTAACAACACACGCCACATCTTTATACATTGTTACGCCTCATCTTTCATACATTGTTGAGTCTAACAACACACGCCACATCTTTCATACATTGTTACGCCTCATCTTTCATACATTGTTGAGTCTAACAACACAGGCCACATCTTACATACATTGTTGCCTCATCTTTCATACATTGTTGAGTCTAACAACGCCACATCTTACATACATTGTTACGCCTCATCTTTCATACATTGTTGAGTCTAACACAGGCCACATCTTACATACATTGTTACGCCTCATCTTTCATACATTGTTGAGTCTAACAACACACGCCACATCTTAAATACATTGTTACGCCTCATCTTTCATACATTGTTGAGTCTAACAACACACGCTACATCATACATTGTTACGCCTCATCTTTCATACATTGTTGAGTCTAACAACACAGGCCACATCTTACATACATTGTTACGCCACATCTTTCATACATTGTTGAGTCTAACAACACAGGCCACATCTTACATACATTGTTACGCCTCATCTTTCATACATTGTTGAGTCTAACAACTCGTCACATTTTACATGCATTAATTGTTAAGTCTCACAACACAACCCATATATTTATCTTACACATACTGCTGAGTCTAACAACCAGTGCGAACAACACATATGCCAATTATCACATGCACTGTCAAGTCTAACAACACACGCCACCTCTTACATACATTGTTCAATCTATCAATACACGCCACTTCTTACATAAACTGCTAAGTTGAGCAGCACACGTCTTAATTACATAGTTGTCAGACTTATCTTTCGTACACCACTGAGTCTAACAACACATGGCTCATTTTATTTTGGAGTTGAGACAGACCAGGAGCTTGAGTCCGCATATGGGAGATGTTTGCTAATGCGAGGTTTTGAGAGGTAATACTTTATTGGCAAGGATCTAATAACAGTGTCTGCTTACGTGAGAGGTGTTTGCTTCCGAGAGTTGTCCTTTAGTAAAATTCCACTGTATCTGAGTCACACTATGAGTGCGTGGATAAGCCTTAAGTGTATATGCTAAAATGGAAAACATTTTATAACTTACTCCTATTGATATCATGTCGTTTTTCCTCCAGTGTGTGGATTCGCTTTCATCAATCAAAAACGAAGTTTTCTACGCAAAATACACACGATGATATTGATAACATTTTATAAAAACTGTGAAGTAAATTTATTTCAAACCAGTTTTGAATAGCTATATCATGATGATTATACCTCCCTGGAAAGACAGACAGATGCGAACGGGTTTTTTCTGTCCCCAAAAGGATAACGTTCTACCAGCCAAACAAACCAGTATCCTTTGGGGACACTGCCATTACGCCCTAAATTAGTAGTTAAAAGATTTAGCTAATTCACTTCATGTTAATATTCATGACACATCTTTGGATTGCTTCAAGAACAATCTACTATTAAAAACAAATCCATTGTTAATATAGAAAGGGGCTGGGCTAAGTTCTTTGGCTTTTTATTATTCGTACCTATTGGTTTTTTCCAGTCAACTTTAACAAAATACTCTCCTGTATTATTGATGAACTGAACTCTGAATTGTCCATCAACAATAGGGGGAAATCCATTTTTTTTGTCGACCTCGATACATTGAGTAGAGTCTCCTAGATCAAAATAATTTTATATGTGATGAAACTTTGTCACATATATATTTCAACCGTTTGGCAGTTATTTTAACTGAATCCCCAATATTTTCCACACTAAGTTCTTTATATATGCATATAAGAAAAATGTCAATCTTATAAAATAGTGTGTAAAACATGCAAGTGATATTTTGGGCATGTTTTGACTCCTCAAAATAAAATCCTGAACCATTTTTTCACTTTGACCACTAGAGTGTTCGGGTGTAAAAACCAAATGTTTAGAGAGAGAAAAGCGCTCGTCAATCTAATATGTACAACAATGCATGCTCGGGAAATTTTGCCAAAGCTAACTATCCATGAAAGATACTTAAATACTGTTAAGCCTAGCCCATTCCTTCAAGCTTACTTCTGAGTCAATCACAATATTGCAGACGGGAAACTCTTCACTACAACCCAACCACTTGTCTTAAATTAAGTGTACTTCCGATAAACAATCCTAAAAGTTGAAAACTTTTGGAGGCTTAAGCCCAACCCGTGAAATTTAAGCTCATACTCCTTACAAGAAAGTTTGTATGTTCAGAACTTTCTAAGTTCTGCAACCGATATATAACAGAAATGTTGTCAAGATGGATAAATACAGTTTCTCAGCTTTATTTAAATAAACATGGTCAGTATAGGCTATATGGAAATGGTAATATCTTGTTTGCATAGAAATGATGAAAAACAGGCCAGTTATTGACAATTATTGTCATTATTGAAACCTTTATTTTCGTTACTGCTCCATTACGCCTGGTGGTATTCTGAGACCAATGTTAGCGCGGTTACCTTGCACAATAATTAAATACGTAATTGTATCTTTGGTTGATTATTTCGTTAATTGTACATGGAAGATGAACACTGCAGATTGGTTTTGCGTGGATGAGGTCTCAATACGTACACTTATGACCACGCAAGACCACATGCCTTTCATTCTTTGCCTTTAACACAACTTACCATCTTCGATGTTGCTTCGTCTAACCCGCTCACCCAATATGTGTATGTTTTTGAATGATTTCTATGCAAAAGAAGTAATTTCGTCAGTTCATTACGACCATAATCACAATCTCGTGTTTGGATGGAAATATCAACGGAAATTTCATCAGATTATATTCTTAGTATACTGTAAACAACAATTTGACTTCCCGTTGAGTTATTTAAAATTTTTTTGCAAAACTAAGTGAGCGCGCTAAACCAAAATTATCCGACTGTTATGAGAAAATTTATGTAAGTATACGGTTCTTCAAGTCGTTATCGTTGGCTCAACAATTTGTACAGTAAAAATTATCCATTAGTATGATCTATTTCCTTTGCATATGATCTACATTACGTTTTGTTAATAAAGCAAACATATTTAGTATTTAAATGCGCATCAACGTCTCGCAAATCGAAACACAAACACATAAATTATACAGCATGCGCCTAAACTCGGTGACTACATCTTTTGCCAGTTTATTACCTTGATTTTTCCAGTATGAGCTTGATGAACAAATAGATACAACAGAAAATAACTCGAAAGATGGGAAGAAATTGTTCCTTTAGCTGCCATGGTTGTGTTAGCTAATTGTCTCTATGTAACGATCGCGCAGTCGAGGTCACTCAATTAATTTACTTTGATTTGCATTTTTATAAAAGAAAGTTTCAACTGTTTATCCCAATACAAACACGTGCGATAAATACACAACCTTTTGTCTTTTCAGGAAATACTACACCTAATATAATTGATATTCCAAAAATCTTTGTTTGCAATACATCTTGCGTGTTAATTAGACCATTGGTTATGTTGTCAAGTCTTTCAGCTAAAAATTGCACAAAATCCCGAGCATATGACACCGCATAACTTCAATTGTGTTCGAAAAAAGCGATGCAAAGTACTTGTATATACTTTTTGTTAAATAGATTTTATTCTTTCATAGTGATATTTCTATCATGATGGGAGGGAATTTTCTCATCTTTCACCATTATGTATTACTTTGCACTTTAATCGACGATGACATTCGCTGTAGACATTTTTGTAACGATCATTTTTGGGCACAATGCCTTATATGTCTTTCAAATAGACCACAAGCCAATTTTGAACTCACAGTCCGTGCGCCTTACGAGCTATCTAAACATTATTTATATATCCTCCCTTAATATGGATTGTCTGAAACGTTTAACTTTGACTACTCAAGGAACATTTGAGCATTTACTTACATGCAGTTTAACGTATGTGTTTTTACTTAGGCCTGTTTCAAACGTCGTATTTTGCATGTGTCGAATAAAATAGTTTGAATTAAGTGCATGCGAAATTCGACGTATGAAACAATTAAATTCGACTGCTTAATTTGAGGTCGACCTTAACTTTAAATTCAACCGGTTTGGACCACTGGTTTGGACGCATTATGCGACGAAAGTGCGACGTCGTTTCAATTGTGTTTTTATTGCATTCTACGCGTGCGAAATTCGACGTTTGAAATGCACAATCAAATTTTGCATTTCGGTCGAATTAAATTGCTAATTGTATTCGACACATGCAAAATACGACATTTGAAACAAGCCTAACGCAAGTTACATTGTCTGTTTCATGAAATGAAGCAAGGCAAAATTTTGAAAGCACTACGTTTATGACAAACAAGCATTTACAAGCTATGATTCTCTCTTGTGAATACTTAGCCTACGTAATACGTTCATTAAAATACTCCGTCAAAGTAAATATGAGAAAGTTGAGGTCCTGAGGACAAGTTGAGGACGTCTCGTATCAATTACACAATTACTGCCTTTTAGGGCCGCTACTTTTTTTTATTTGATTGCCATTTTTTTGATGTTTTCCATTCCTTTCATCGGTTAATTGCTAATAATTCTTTATTTTTTAACGACCGTCTCTCCTTTTGTTTTTCAGTGATTATAGTGTTCACTGTCACGTGTCATCATCGTGTATTTACTCGGACAAAAATGTATTATCTTCACAGAATATAAATGAACACCAAGTCACACATTCTGTTATGGTCAGTTATACCACCACAATACATCACACGAATTTACTTTGCTTTGTACCTACATACTGCGACTGTAACTAATAAAATATGGCACATTTGTTATGGTAATATATCAAATAAGTAAAATAACAAATGCATTTACGTTATTTCCAGTGATACAATAAAATAATAAAGTGCCAAAAGTGAATCTTTACGAGATGAACGCCATCTAAATTTCAATGGGTTTTATTACAGGTTTTCGAACATGCCTCATTGAGGAACCTGGCTCAGATGGTTTGAAAGGAGCAAGTGCGCCATACGGTCGAGGTATTGGTAGCTCAGCTTTATCGTCAGGTATGTATGCATTAGGACGAGGCTCAGCTGTCGTATATACATCGCCTGCAATTTTGTACTGCTCCTGGAGAGCCTCAACCTGAAAATATTAAACAATCAGATCTGAGGTATGACTGGCAGTGTATCAATTTACCACGTTGTACTATACACCAAGTAACTAATAAATGTGTCAAATGATTCTTGACGCATTGAAAACTTATTAATGATATAATCAAGGTCTCAAAACGTCTGTTTTTCATATACCAAACCCAATGTAACTTGTTAATATACGTCATGCCTTTATTTGAACTCTTGTTTAATGTAATATACATTGAGTTCAACTCATCAATTAAAGGATGCTTGACTTAGGCCTTTAAAAAAGTTACATGATCAATTGATCATTCATGGAATTGTTGATTGAAGGTACATTTTACTCTAACGTACTTTCTTTCAACTTTTACCATTTGTTTTGTTAGTTGGCTTGACGTGATCGTATACTGAGAAAATTTTGCCCTAAGTCTTCGAAACATTTTTCATTGTACTAGTGATTGACTTTTGTTTTCGCAAGTTGCATTGTCAAAAAAATATGTCATTGTAAGCGATTGTGTATAACCTCCAATCTGCGCATTTTTTCTTGTTTTTTTTGCTGTTCATTCTTCAGCATTTTCAGCCATGTTTTCTCGGCATCGTCGTCTGGTGGTTCTCCTCTCTCTAATCGAGCGTAACATTGTTCAAGTAAAGATTCCTTTTCTTTCACTTCTTGCTGCAGTTTCATCGCATTCGCCTGAAATTTTTCCACGTAGACGAAAATCACGTGAAAATCAATGAAAACAAAAAGTTAGTATGTTGGGTTGGACGTTCTTCGTTTCCATCGAAAACTAAAGAGTGAGAAAACATACTTGATTCATCGAAAGCTCCGATACAATTGCCATCATTTTTCTTGTTGATGCTTTAATCTTTGCTTGCAACTCGTTAACCTTAACAATATAGCTATATCGCTTAACCCCAAAACTAAACGCTTTTCGAAGTGTTTTAGATTGACTTCATTTTCTGCAAAAGATTTACAGATTTTATTGCGGTTACATAAACTTCATTTTATACCTTTTTCGCGAGGTTGAGCGTATCTTCTTTCCCTGTATCTGCTTTTTTCTTCGTCCGCTCTGAAAGTCTGTTTACTTCTTCATAAATCAATGCTTTCTCGAGAAGTTTCTCCTCTTTATTAGCGAGACGAACTTCTAACTACAGAGAAAAAATGACAGCAGTGGAAAGCAAACTTAGAATATATTTCCCTTGAATTGGGATGCAGTGAATTACACATTTCTTCTGCAGTGTCTTAAAAACACAGATTGCATGAGAACCAACTTGAATCAGTAATAACACATTTTCCTTTACAGTGCATATTAAACACATGTTGGCAACCAATTTCCATCTTTCATTCCACATTTTCAAAAAATACAGTAAATTTAACTCATGTAAGATCCATACTAGAGCCATCTCCATTAGGACCATTACCTCTTCTATTTTAGCAGTCAATTCGTCTGGTTTTGGATCATCCCCTTTCAGCACTCTTATACGACCGTCTACAGACGGTGTTTCCAGCTTTTTCTCCAAGTCCAATAAGTGATCGCGACAAAGAAGAAGCTATTAAATAAGAAACACAAATAAACTTAATTTTTCCATAATTTACATACATACACATGAAAGGAAAATTTTTGGTAATAATTCAGTGTTTTACAGATAAACAAGTACTGCTGCCACAGGACAGTAATGCCTGCTCGTATTATTGGCTGTTGTGTGTTCAGTTGTTGTAAATTTTAATCCTACTTGGATTTGTGCTGTCACAAGTTCATCATCTAACGATTTCTTTTTCGGTAGTGCCTTCTTTGCCACAGTGATTAAACGTTTCAATTCGGCGACCTGGTCAGTTCAAATCAATCATATTTTATTAAAAAATATTCGTGTCCGATATGGTCGGTCATAGGATCAAGATTTTAACTGTAAAATTACCTCTAGCTCAAGAATGCGGACTTCTTCTTCTCTAGTTCGAAGTTCGATGTCTCCATTACGAAGTAGCGTCTCTGGAAAAACGACAAGGTATATTTCACATTACGGATTCTTAAAGGATTCACGGAGAAGTTTAGGGGCAAAATATTCACTGGGTGATCTTTCATGTGGCTCAGTGGCTTCCTGTACTTCTCTTCCGTATTTTTGGCCCGTAGGCACGGGGTAAATTACCCCCTCCCCACTGATAAGCGTTGAGATCTGAACTGAGTTCAAACGATAAGAATTTAATTTTACCTTGAACATTTAGTTTCTCGTAGAAAACGCAAACTTCCTCATTACGTTCAATCAGCATTATTCCCCTGAAAGGGAAGAGATTTACGAATTTACACGAAAAGGTTGTCAATCAATTTTATCCCCAGAAAGAGAGCTAAGCATACATATTATTTGCAACTGCTAAACAGGAAATACCTGTCATTTCTTTGTTGAATGCATTGTTCATAACGTTTTCTAAGCTAAATAGAATAAAAGATTTGCGGTTACATGGCGTATTTCATATCATCGTTACAATGTGCAAAGCAAACGAGAATCATAGTTTTACAAGAAATTGCATAACAAAAAGTCGACACAAAACATGTATGATAAACCTATACAAATAAAATTTCATTTACAAAAGCAGCCAAAATTATTAAAAAGTAGTTGAAACAACAAACCAATAAATAAACAAACCAACAGGTAAACAACAAACCAATAGATCTAAATCAAAAAATAAACAACAAAAAAACCCCGAACTATCCCTAGTTTACCATTTACCTGAACCATATCTTCTTCGGCTTTATTAATTAATTCGTTCAGTTTTGATATATCTAAACGCTGTAACGTTCATAAAAAAAATTACAATCACAATATTTTAGTAAGTACATTGGTGTGCATAATATAATGAAACAACGATGAAAAAGTCCAAGAAACAATTTGATTCGATTCATTCACATTCGTAGTAAAAAACTGATCAAGTCAGTGACAGCTATTGCACTTTTTACTTTTTTTGTTGCTGTTAGGCGTTGGTCAAAATAGCTGGTTTTTGAAATACAGATTTTGCTAGTTACTGTGATTATTTTTTGTTCTTTCTTCTTCTTGTTATTATTGTTGTTTTAATTTATTTTGTTTTTATACTGTTGTTGTTTTTGAAATCGATGATGTTACCATGTTCGCATGCCAATCATTTCAGGGGCTATGCTTTGCTGTTGGTAGAAATCAGGGAAATTATTTTGCCTCCACATCGAATTTTTGAAATTTGTCTCCGGATCCCTAATTGCTACTATTTTTTCCGGGTTCGCCAGTCGATAGCCTTCCTCCCCTCGCCCCAATCAAATATGTGCCCTACGCTCTCTGCAAATAACATTTTATACAGGATCCTGGTACACATATGTAAACCACCTTTTGCTCTCGTTTCTCCTTATTTTCATCAGCAATTCCACATTGCTTGCTTACTTCGTTTCTCAAACTATCACGTATTGAAATTGCGTTGTTTTTCTTTAAGTGAGATTTCTGCAGCAATCTAGTGTGCGTATAAAGACCAATGTGTTCTAGCATAATTTACGACTGTCATTAGGAGTAGATATAAAGTAGCAAAAAGCTTTAGTGAGTCTTGACCACAGTAATGCAGAAAGAAACTGCAATACAAGTACCTATCTTTTGAGTTTACTTTGGATCTTAATATCTCAATCTCATTGTGCAAGATCTTGATTTTCTCGCGCATTTCTGAAGCTCTCTATGAAGAAAAAACAAACGACTCGCCAAATTGAAAGAAGTCAGTAATAAAAACGCGTGAGTACCACATATTGTGTGAAAGAATGTAAACAATTTAACCTGAGTACTAGTCTGTATGAGATTAACGCATTTATTTCTTTCATTCTTTATTACATCATACAGCTTGGCGAAGTCTGTCAATCTTGTAAATGAGAAGGTATTATATTATGTGTTCAATTCACAGGTGCAAAAATTTCTTTTCATAATACATACTTATGTTGCATTTCAGTGTACTTCTTTGAGCTATCTTGGATCTGAAGGTTTTTAGTCTTTACGTCTTTATGAGCTCTCTGGTATCTTAACTACAGAAAAGAAAATTTGTCGTAATTGCCATAGTAACAAGAACACTTTTGAAACCTGGACGTTTTGGGGCTTATCTGACCGATACGTGTTTTTGAACAAGCAATGATAACAGGTATGTCCAATGAAAGTAACTTTTATAGGAAACTACAGTTCTGAGAATGGTCTTGCCATTCCCATTTTTTGGCACCCTGTGAGCTTTTGCAAGTGACATAATTCAACCTGGAACGTTAGAGCGGAAGTTGATTTTACATTTGAGACCAATCACGTTTCTCTAAAGCAGCTTTTTGACATTGCAGCCTTCAACAGCATCCTAATCTAGGTTCAGTGAAAACAATGCACTACGTTACCTCAGCTCTCACAAAGTCTCGAGCTTTGCTTTCTCTTTCGTCAGCCTGTAGAAAAGCGATTAGGTTTATACGATAAATTAATAGTATAAATTGATAGTAGCTACAACTTGTTTCGCATTGCCTTTGCATAATCAGTCGCACAAGCCGCTCAAATCGTTAAAGACTTAAGTCAGAACTTAAGATCTTCTTCGTGGATTCATTTCTGAAATGTTCCAGTTGTAAAACACATTGCCTGGTCAATCAGACAATAGCAATCAACGTTACTCATTAGTTTTTCAGATTTATCACTTTTAGAAAGTATTGTACTTTATGATACTGCATTGTAACCAATCATAAACTCTGATCATATACGTGAATAGCTACATACCCAAAAGTAGCTAGTTACAATAACTTCAAGTTGTTTCAATGCATTTTATATTTTTGTAACGTCAACTCGCACCTACAACATTTTGAGACAAGTTGCGAGGAAAATTCACCGTGTAACAAGGCGCGAACTTTACTTGAAATTTCCTCTAATGACGCAACAACTTGAAGAATTCAGGAAAGCCGATCTTGAGTTAAAAACGAGCCAAAATTTAATGAATTGTAAAACATATGTTGTGATATTCCTTGGAAAAGGGAGCAACGCAATCTGTCATTTAAAAGTATAAATTATTCAGGTTTTCAAAAAATCAGTTTTTCATTACTTTTATTGTGGCCAATCGCTTTAGATCAACAACATCGAGTCGCAAGTTGGATTGATTACGAAGAAGGATTTCCTGTTCCAGGATCATTTGTTCAACTCTGGCGCGCTCATGTGAGGTATATCCATTCTATAAGCATGTAAAAACATTCATCCATAAACGTGGCGAAAGTGTATCTGGTGTGAAAATTTCATGTAAAAATATTTCATGTTAAAAAATCCATGTAGAACCCTCCATTTGTTAAATAAACATGCAATGACGTAGATAATAGCGACATCCATACAAAAAAGGCATAAGTTATCAATAATTGTACACAAAGTCCACGTGGATCTCATCATTCTATTTATAAAAGTGAAATGACATACACAATGGTGTCATAAACAGAAGCTAAGTCTAAGTGATAGTTGTACTCGAAATTCCCGTGAAACCCTTCGTTCTATCAATCAACGAGAGAAAATCCATGATTAAGCACAAAAAATCCTCACTTGTTGTGCCAGCATTTTTTTGGCAATATTAACTTCCTTTTGTAAATCCTTTCTTTTTTGAAACATTGTGCCATCATCTTTGGGTTCACTGTCCACGTGAGATTTCACCTTAGTATATATTTGTTTCACTTCATCTAGTCCATCATTGGCAACTTTAAGTTGAAGTTCGGACTTTTTTAAGTTTCTGAGAAAACAATTAAGACTCTAGCGATAGTAAGAGATACACACGGACAAACGTTTAGACCAATATATCAATGAAAAGATCTATTTCATTTTGCGTAGTTAGTATTTGATTAACTTGTTTTCGAGCCGAGTTTCGGCATCGTTCATGATTGATCTAAATAGTCTTTCCAACACACATGTGGAAAGATTTATTGCATATCTCATAAAAATCCTATTCATCTAGTTTCAACAGAAGACAAAAGGTAAAAGATTGAAGCGATTTGCACGACTTGATACATTAATTATTTGAACGATTTTTTAGCATTTTAAGAAAATTAGATGATAACTGATACGTACTTTAGATCTTTGTCTTTCTCACGTAATTTTCGACATTGCATGTCATGTTCTGTCTTCATATCGATTAAAATATGTTTCATAGTGACATCAATGGTAGCTCTGAGAGAAAGATAATTTCATAAGTAAAATAAATGAAACATGCACATCGTGCAAGAACTGAGCAAATTTATATCCATTACTTATCTCCAAATAGCTCAGTCTGCTTTTCTTTAGAAAACTCCAGATCTTTTGCATATACATCTATATCACGTTCCTACAAAAACACAAACGTGCAGATGAAGAAAAGAAGCACCTGCAACTTGCTAGCTGAATAAAATTTTACATCAAAAAAAGATGTAGAACAAAGTACAATAAAGTATATATAACTGCTCGTTGTACTTTAATTCGTATAGATAGATAAAGTGTTTTTTAACTGTACTTTTGATTCGTTTGCATGTCGTTGTCTATCTAGTGCAATCGAGAGCTCCACTTTTTCATCATCTAACTTTTGCTTTCTTTTTTCCAATAACTGAAGCTGAAACAAAATACCCTTGTTTAGAAAAAGTTTGAATATGAAACACTCCTTTATTAGTCAAATATGGAACCCTACTACATTTTCTTACCTCTTCATTTACATCGGAAATATTAGATTCATAGGATTTTATTTTTTCCTCAGTTTCCCTAAGGCAATCACAATGTAAATTGTATATCACAACAGATTTTGAACAGAATAAAATTATGAACAATCCAAGTGATCTTTCTTCAGTAAGGGTCACTCGGAGCATTGAAGACCTACTTTAACTGTCGTGACAACAGATCAACTTGTTTCAACAGGTGACCAGGCTGTGAATGTACTTCTAATAATTGTGACTTTAGATTTTGTTCTTCATATGAACCTTTATCAGCCTCATTTTGAAGCTTTTTAACCTCATGACCTCTCGCCTCTATCTCATCTTTCAAAGTCTTTGTCTCATGATTTCTTTTACAACTTCAATTTTTATCTCTTCTATCGATTTTTTTAGTTCATTTACTTGCTTGTCAATTTCTTCTTCTTTGGGCATGCGTGCATACTCTCTTTCTAACATAGTTTTCTCTTCTTTTAAACCATCCAAAATAAAATTTAACTGGTACTGTCGTTCATCTGCTAGAGCAAGTTCATTAGAATGTTTGAGGAGTTCCTGACGCAATCTGCTGACTTCAGTAACATCTCCTTCCGGAAAGTTATCGCATATTTCCAGCTCTGATCTTTGCTTTTCAACCTCCTGATGCAGATCTTTTGCTTGAGTCAGCAAACTTCTTTCAGTTTCTCTTGTCATCTGCAGCAAATCATGATGGGCTGTGTATGTAGACTTTAACTTTGCTAATTTTTGTCCATCTAGTTCACCTTGGCGAAACAGCTACAAGGAATGCAGTAAACTAATATTTCAGCAGTCAATTATGCACATTTTTCATGATCAAAAATATGATTTGAATTATAGCCACAGGCCCACAGCAATATATCTTGGTGTAATAAATGTGACCATAAAAACAATATTTATCTGTTTTATTTCTTTCATAAAGTCGTTTTGAGTCGAACAGTTAAAAAGCACACAAAATTTTTATTTATTGGTAAATTTGCAATTGCTTACTTCGTCTAAACATTGAAAAGCTGGACTGGACAAGACGTCCACTTGTTGATTTTCTTCGTGAGACAGCTGTGGAGCAATGGCATGAATAACTGAATCACTTTCGTGAGGTCTTTCGTCATCTTCGCTTTTATCACTCATTGTTCTCCTCTATTTACATAACACTTCAGTATATTTGATTCAAAACAAAAAAGAAATAGTTCCTCGAAAACAGTTGTTCTGTCAGCATCACTGTTGCCATGATGACAGCATACATAAACTTCAATATCCTTTAAATGTCCTTATTATCCTTACAATATCCCACGTGAGATCGTGTGAAAGTGATGGATGGGATGATGTTCATTGATCATATGGTCATGTTCAATTTCAAAGCAATGGCTCAATGGTTGAAAGTAACAAACAGCACCAGAAAACAGAAAACTGATCAGTACCAACGTTCAGCAAGGTTATTTTAAATAACGTTTGTACTATGGAAAAATGAATTTCAAGGAATTTTTCAGCTTTGATGAACATGTTATCCCATGGGTAGCCGAACAGATCAAAAATGCATCTCGAAAGAAGGAGAATTCATCAGGTTTGACTTTGAAATTCGCTAAAAAATGACAATATAATACGGTGCGCACCTTTTACTTGTAAAGAGTGTGAAAATTTCATTCAGTGTAGAAAAGTAGATCTCGATTGGCTGAAGCAGCCTTTTGTTTTCTGCTTGTTTGGCAATGGATGCAATCATGCTAGTTGATCTGCTGGAGAACTAGTTATTCTGATTCATTCATTAATCTTGACAACTGTGTACTATTGTAGAAGAGACTACGACCAAAGAAAGGTGCAATGCTCATATTGTTGGACAAGTCAGCTACAAAGAATTCATTTTCACCTGGGATGGAAGACCTGACAAAGTAACCTAATTCATTATTTATAAAGTAATAACACTTTAATAGGTGTTTTGTGGTTCATTAGCAAACAAACTTCAATTGCAGTAAATCAAATCATTGAAACAAATTCAAGACATTTACTATAAATAAATAAATTCAAGAGGTACAATTTTCATTTGAAAAATAGTTAAAAGGATCCATCAAATGTTAGATCCTATGTGAAACCTCTGATTGACATGTGATTGACACATGCTGTACTATTCACTTAAATAACCTAATTTATGCCTTGAAGGAAAACATTGAGTTTATTTTTTTCTACTTTTTGACTTGATAATCCTAAAAGTGTTAGGCTCCATTGATGATATGAATTTATGATCATGAACACTCAAAATTTTTTGCTTATTGCATTGTGGGAAACATTGCAATTGTTTGAAAACATAGCGGGAAACATTGACAAATGAATTTTAATAAACCAATCACTTTTTCCAAAGTGGTACAAATTACCTATGTAGGACAATTATAGGTACTGATCAATACCTGTCAAAACACAGTTGAAAAATTAGAAATATTGACTTATAACAAAGAAAAGTATACAAAGAGTTTTGTCTTTCTTTATCTATGAAGATCTTGCAGACTTGCACTAATATTTAGTTAGCAAATTTCAAACCAAAACATGATTAACTCAGTCAGCTTTTTGTACATTGCCTGCAATCAAATTCTTACATTAGCTTTATTTTTTGTTATGAATGGAACTTGTTTTACTTTTTAGATTGAGAAAGAAATTACACACTTTTGTACGTATAATCTGGAAACTAAGGAATTTTCAGTAAGGGGTTTGAAATTTTTCTTGTGTGGCTTTTTTATTGCACAAATTCTATGGCTGTTGTTTGGAAAGTTTAAAGAAACCTAACTTCCCACAAGATGTTTTTTTCTGCTACTTTTCTGTTGCAGCACATATGATGAACCTAAAAATTACTTTCATGTACATTTTTTTCTTGTAGATTCTGTTCAAACACCAGAAGGTGGATGTAGTTAGCGCATCTCTCAATGAAGAAAGGATTCTTTTAGGTAAATAGGGTTGTTCATATTTTAGCCCACCTGTGGAAGAGTGAGAAGATCAGCTATTATATTTCTGTCAATAGTCTTTTCAGTATTAATAAATGCAACTATGTACATATAGGCAGCCGGGGGATGAAAAGGAGATTTTGTGATTTTCAAAGAAGACATTATTACAAAGCTTTTGAAACACAAGGAAATTTGAACTTTACATACTGTGATCTGATATCATTTGAAACATTATGTCACGCAAAGTCTCTCACTCCTATTACACATGTACCAATGCTAATTTTTAGATTCACTAGCTACATTGTAGCAGTTCAATATGACTCATTTGATTCAACAAAAAGCCTCCACCTCAAAGTTTGTTATCTGTTTTTCATTTCAGCTTTCACTGTTATTGACTATAAATCACCTCCTGATGATCATGCCAAGGAAAAACTTGGTAATTTGGTTCATTTTAGCCTTTTGTGAACATAATTTTATGTGTTGCAGACGTGCATTATGCTATTAAAAGTTTTGTTTTACTTTAGGAATTTACCAGTCCTTGGTTGCTGAAATATCTCCTCCCAAAGATGTGTTCAAGTTGGCAGATGATCATACGCATGGATGTGGCTGTCAATACCAGAAAGTGGAGGTGAAATTCAAAAACATAATTTGTGTCAATGTTGTTACGAAGCTTAGTGCTGTTTGTATACAACAATGGTTTTTCTTTGTTGTGTTTATATATATACAATGTGAACAGTAAACCATTTTGAGTTTTTTTATTTTCAAAATGGAGGCAGTGTTCTTTTGAATATTGTTTTGTGGTTGAAATAGTGTCATGTCCATGGGACTTCAAGTTTATGAAAAGCAGCTTCTGCTCTTAGCAAATTATTTTTGATGTACGTAATGTGGTCATATTAATGTGTACGGTCAAAACTTAAGTAACAAGAAAGCAATGGGATTGGCCTAGACAGCAAAACAGTTTGATTGAAAATGATTTGACAATTTGTGACAGCGTGTAATTTTATTTCATCTTATTTTGTGTACGTTTTAGTTTCTTTATGGAAATTACCCACTTTATCTTGAGACGTCTCGCAGGGAAAGTCATTTGTTATACTTCGTTCACTCGAAATGTAAGACCTTATTTCATCATAGAAAATGAATCTGTAGCCTTTTGCTTGAAGATAAGCAGAACTAAGGCATTTTTCAACTTACGTACATATATCGAATTCAACTTTTTAGCTATCGATTTGTTTCACATCCCTCTCAAGAAGATTAACAGTGCAACGGTACGCATTCAAACTGTATGCATTCAAGCGATATCGCTTTTCGAACTATATGATGTTTAATATGCGACCTACGCCTGTGAAGAAATCCAAGGGGTTTCTAGATCCTGAATTCCACCGCTTGGTTCGATAGGTGATTGTTGACCATGGGTAGTCGTTGATGACTGCCAGTTTCGGGAATGTTCACTTGTAAAACCCTGGATTTTTAGAGAATGACTAAAAGTAGGGATTCTGAATCCGTTTTAAAATTTTGATTCAATATTCCAAACCAGTGGATATATATCTTAAATAAAAATTCAGTTTACTTTTTATGGGTTGGTTTTTGTGTATTCTTTGACGTTTGCATTTCACATGTTATCCACGTCTCCCTCATCAACTCTCGAATAATATAGGATAAAATACTCTTTTGTCGTATAGTTGATCAGTGGGAATCCACAAGTTGAACATCTGGTGAAAAAATTTGTTTGGTCCCAATTTGACAGATCAGAAAAGCGCTTACATTACGTCTACTCTGAGGTAAAACTGCTGAAAATTATTTAAATGCTGTTAATGATTGAACACCAGAGAAATAAAGGAGAGATATCTCGTGCAGTTAATGATTGAGTACTACAGAAAAAATGATAGGTATCTCGTGCAGTTAATGATTGAGTACTAGAGAAAAAATAATGAATGATATCTTGTCAGTTAATGATTGAGTACATGAGAAAAAATAATGAATGATATCTTGTGCAGTTAATGATGGAGTACATGAGAAAAAATAATGAGTGATATCTTGTGCAGTTAATGATGGAGTACATGAGAAAAAATAATGAGTGATATCTTGTGCAGTTAATGATTGAGTACATGAGAAAAATAATGAGTGATATCTTGTGCAGTTAATGATGAGTACATGAGAAAAAATAATGAGTGATATCTTGTGCAGTTAATGATGGAGTAAATGAGAAAAAATAATGAGTGATATCTTGTGCAGTTAATGATTGAGTACACGAGAAAAAATAATGAGTGATATCTTGTGCAGTTAATGATTGAGTACATGAGAAAAAATAATGAGTGATATCTTGTGCAGTTAATGATGGAGTACATGAGAAAAAATAACGAGTGATATCTTGTGCAGTTAATGATTGAGTACATGAGAAAAAATAATGAGTGATATCTTGTGCAGTTAATGATTGAGTACATGAGAAAAAATAATGAGTGATATCTTGTGCAGTTAATGATGGAGTACATGAGAAAAAATAATGAGTGATATCTTGTGCAGTTAATGATTGAGTACATGAGAAAAAATAATGAGTGATATCTTGTGCAGTTAATGATGAGTACATGAGAAAAATAATGAGTGATATCTTGTGCAGTTAATGATTGAGTACATGAGAAAAAATAATAATGATATCTTGTGCAGTTAATGATTGAGTACATGAGAAAAAATAATGAGTGATATCTTGTGCAGTTAATGATGGAGTACCAATGAAAGAAATTAGAAATACCTTATGTAGTCACTGCAGTTGATAAATAAGTACTAAACATAAGAGGGATGCAATTAACAAACAAGTATAACAAAGACACGAGAATTACGTATTGAGCAGTTTTAGCTAAGAGTTTTATGAGAAATACCAGTCTTATATTACATTTATATGCAGATGCAAGAATTCGAATTGGAATGTTAGTAGCAAAGGGTTTCAAGGCTCTTTTTTTGTTGTGTGAGAAAAGTTATGTGCGGTAACTGTCTTGTGAAATGAAGCAGAGGAGAAAAAATAATAGGTACGAAAAAATAAATAGAGGAAATTAAGTGATGTATAATTTTTTTTCTTCATTTAGTCGGATGATGAAAACTCACTTGATGGTCTTGTTTTTTCTACACTACAGTTTTGTGAGGGTTCACGTCAAGTTCCCACGGTACTAGTTTAAAAGTTGTTCTAACTTTCAAAATTGCTTTCTTGTCGGCCATTTAAATTATTCGAACAAGGGCCACGAAAGGACGTTTTAGTCCGTGGTAATCTATAACCACAATTGAATTCAATAGAAACCACTAAAGCAGAACATGTATATATTAATATTGCACACACACACACACCCTCCTCCTCTATTATCGATTTTGCGCGGCCTCTGTCGAAGAGAAAGGGAAATACAGTGCCCTAAACCTTTTTCATACTAGGTTAAAATATCACTTACTCTTACATGTATATTTTTCAGACCGCGTTTGACTGTAAACTTTCTGTTTTTGGATTAGGCCATGTTTAAATGCACTTTGGTAGTTTGCGAATAACTAGGAAATTTGTTTTTCATGCACACAAAGTTTCAAATAACGTTGTTTCAAAAATGATTATTAGTGCAAGATGATGGTGGTGGAAACACAATTCTAGCTAACTTTTGTTTGACTGCGTTTGGTAACCTTTGAAATTTCATGATTATTTGCTTTTTCCTTTAACCTGTGTAGCTGAAAGTGACCTGTCCGTTTTTTGTATGTTCACCTTACCAAACCAGGTAATCAATACTTGGCTATCGTACAAAGAAAGCAGTAATTAAAGGTCGGGTGACTTCCCTGTATGACATCACGTCATGTATCATCTTACATCACGTACAATTATGATTAAAGGCCTATTTTATTTCCATGTATGACATCACGTCACGTATCATCTTACATCACGTATGATTGTGATTAAAGGTCTGGTTGACTTTTGACACTTAACTGGGAATATACAATTGGTCCACTTCGCTTTGCTATAGGCTGCTGTATATTTTATTGATTACTGGCTGCTGTAAGCCCTTTCATCATTCTTATTGGTCAAAAAAGCAATTGACTGGCTCGCAGGGTCGATGATCACATAAGATATGCGTGCCACGAAAAAATTCAACGAAGTGGCTCTACTGTATATTCACTATACTGTACTTTTGATCAGTGTACTAGCTATCAAAAAATCATTTTTTATGATTTATGCAGGTTTCTCTACAACCGAAATCCTCTTTCAAAATGCATCTCAGGTAATTGGTTATCTTTTGCTACATCATTTGCTCAATTATTATATATATTTTTGTCGCATTATCATCCGGAAAAAAATGAAAAACTTTTTCGAAAGATATCGACTGTAATCAGTATTGTGCAGATCGGAGAAAATATTTGTGAGAAACTACGGTTGTAAGTGAGGAACACACGTTTGTTGTATAATGTTCATTGTTTTATTGTTTGATACTTTGTAATTATTTAGAAAGCAACATTAACATGCAACTTGTGACTTCTCATGATGGTAAGAAACTCGTTTTACAGAGCTGTAATTTGAATTTTATGGATTTTTGTAAGTTTTTTTTTTCAAATGACTAAATTACTCACCTTAATTTAGTCTGTTACATAGTCAAACTGGGAAACTAAATAGCTACAGATGTAAGGTTTCCAGCTCGGATTTGATTTCAGATTCGAGAAGAGAAGCATACAGGGATTAAGTTGAGATCTTAGATAAACGGCTCAAATTTCTTACAAAATAAAACATTTCCTTTGAACACAAAGCAATGAATTCTGTGCAAACATCCTTTCTATATTTCATTCAAAACGCTTTTACGTTGTGTTGAAGCTCCAAACTTGTCTATGTGCATTTCAGCTCTTAATGTGGAAAAAAACTTTCATAATTCTTGAGTGTGCCATGCAAGACTTCACATCTAGCGACGACTCTCAATGTTTTGCAATGGGATTTTGTTTGGATGACATGTTATCGTAATGCTATTTTACGCAAAATTTCAATTTTTGTTCCAGCGCTGATATAATGTTCTCAATGTTGTTCTTGTTCTTGTTTGGTTTCGTCAACGTTGAAAAAGTTATTGTAAATTTTTAATCATGATTGCAGGATCAATTTTTCTTTGTTATCAACATCCTATTGATGCACACAAAAAGTCCACTATAACGCAGGTACTAATTAATTATCTGATAATTTATTGCCTATTTTAGCATTCAGCAAAAGTAATACCTACATGTTTTTCTCCAAATTATTATAAGACTATACTTCTCAGTTCATTTAGAATCTAGTCAATTTCAAATGTTCTTCATCATTGCCACATGTTATTGAATTATTTTACTATGCGTTATTTTAAGTACATCGCTTTATTCTGTGTTGTTTAGAACTGCGAAGAAGTCGTTTCAGACATCGGTGTGGACGACTTTGACGAAAGTGATTCAAGAACAACTTTCTTGGAGTATTCTGTATTCATGTTACATTTCGGTAAGCAACCCATGTTTGTTGTTATAAAATGTTGTGAAATGAAAGCTAATGGAAATGTTTTCATTGCATTTCATGCCAGGATCAATTCTAAAATGCAAAGTTCCAAATGTTGTGCCCGAAGATTTGGTTCCTCATTGCAGACTACTTTTGCAATGTTGGGTAAATAATGCGGAATAATGCTTTTCTATAACTGATAAATATGGTCACATTTGTGACGTGTGATTATTTTATTGCTTTTAATATGAGGAATGGAATGTACATGCAGAATTTCGCATAATCGGAAAACTTATGTTCTGCACTCAGTTGCAGTTTACTGCTTTTAAGAAACATTTGCAAAGGATTTGGTGGTGACTTTAATCAAAATTTGCATTTCGTATGCTGTAATTTCAAATGGAAATTCCAATTCGATTGAAATTCGGATTTAATACGGACATCGATTTATAATCACAAACATCTATGGATATAATCCATGCGAATCGGAAAGGAACACAGAACATATGCAGTAAATTACAACTGACGTTAGAAACTAAGTATATATACTGAGTTGAAAGTTCTTTTATTTTGACTGTTTACGTGAACTATCCGGCCTCAAGTCGATTCAACATTTTGAACTTTTCTGCGTGTTTTCTTCAATCAAAAAACCCATTTTCATTGATCGCAATTCCTTTACAACGCATGCGTATTTATATATCTCTATGGTAATTTAGATGATTGCGTGGCCGTTATGTTACCTGGATACATATTTCATATGCTCGACTGTGGTTCTGAACATCCTCCATGCAATCATGTTCTTCTCTCAGGTCAGACATATTAGAAAATGTCTAGTCTATTGTTAAAGCGTATTTTTACTTGCTGAATATTGAGATGTTTTACCATCGAAATCATCAAATTAACTTCAAACAAGGTTTTGAAAGGCATTTGAAAATTACACGCGTTAAATGCATAATTCGTTCCAATACTGCTTGGAAAGAAAATTATACATTATTTTTATATATATGTTATCATAGTGTTCTGTTAGTAGGTATAACTACAATTTAATTACTTCAATCAGTCTTAGCCAACGTGCTCGTATGGTGTGCGTGCGTACATCTTAAAGATGAAACTCAATTTCTACTTAACTGAATGATACATGCAATCGTGTACATTAGGACAGAATTGCGGAGACCTGATATCTATCGATCAACAATGTTTGGAATGTTTGTGTGTGAACAATGTTTCAGAAAAGATGCAAAATCGAGAAGGTATAAGAACTTGTTTCGTTCTCTTTCCTTCCAGAACTCCCTTCTCCCGCGCTCTCTTCCACCTCTTATTTCATTAGTTCTTTTTCCACTATTCATGTAGAGCTCCTGTTATTTGAACCGACATTGGAGAAACTGTTTATGTTGAGAATCAAAAACAGCTTGTGGACTGATTGCTTTCGAAAGTAAACATGCATTTCATCATTAACAACGTTTTAATCATTGGATACATAGCGCTCGTATGCTCTTCAGTTTACTTATCTTTGCTTTTTTTCAACGTGTTGACTGATTTCACCAATTAGTCGAAACTTTACGTGACATTTCATCTTTTTATTTGTTGTCATGTGATATTTTTATAGTACACACTGCTATTCAACGAGGCTGGCTCTTCTTCATTTCTGTATTTTACATGTTCAAGATGCGGACATTATTATCCAGGTGATCACTATGATCTTTTTCCACCAACGTCTTTTGTTGTGTTGGAAACGCTCGGAATAATTATTGGTTTTTTCTGAACAAAATCATACATCACATGAGATGAGGAAATTGCCATCTTGTGTTAAACAGGTTCTTATAACTTCGGTACTTCTTCAAAAGGGGCAGTTTCGCCCATCTAAATTGAAATGTCTTGCGCGTTTCAGTCAGCCTCGCTATACTATATATTTTCGATTTTTCAAGCGCAGCAGTTCTGTTTTGTAAATTTTTAATTTTTATTTTTATTTGGTTGAATATCTTCATTTTAGATGTTTTGTCATCTGGCTAGTGATCCTGCTAACCCAGAATGTCTGGAATTGTTGAAAGAGTATCTTATATGTAGGTGATCGATGACCATTGATACTTATTTTATTTCCTATTTAGACCAGATTAATAGAAGCAGGGCAGAGGCAGGGACGTAGGAGCCGGAGGGTGTGTGTGAACGGATCCTTCAATAATAAAAGAGGGTGGGCGCCCCCCTCCCCCCCCAATAATTTTCCACTTATATACTATTACATGCACTTGGGAATTTTTAAGTAAAATTGTTGCTATATTATGTTGTGATATTACATTGATACAGTTTGGCATGTATATTGTGTAAAAGTATTGATTTTTTTATTATATTTACTATGTATGAATACTTGCTTCCCTTTAACACCTATGATGCCAGGTTATCATCCCATTTCTTCTTTCCTTCGTCGCTAAAGGGTCTTGTCAAAAACAAGAAACGGTTACTTAGCTGTTATTCGCCATAGGTTCAACGTATTTTCAAATGAAATTTCAAGTTGAATCGAAAATGTTCAAGTTATTTCCATTCTCTAATGCTGAACCATTTCGTGGTCATCTTGAAACGGTGAGATAATTAACAATTATTGGATGAAGTTGAGCATGATATCAAGAATTATTCAGACCAAGGTAAATTTACCAAAGCGAAGCTAAGGTGGATAACATTGACCGAGATCTGAATGATTCTTCATATCATGCGGAAGCCGAATTCAAAGTTTATATTACTTCACAAGTATAAATGCAGAAGTTTTCCAAAGTATTTTGTACTGAAGACATAAAGTTTTCCGTTATTCCACATTAAATAGTTTTTGTGGTTCCCTTTCGTCTTTTTGTCGTGAATGCTCGATGAAAACTTTCTTGACGAACAGTGTAACACTTTCCGTGTTTTTACGTCTTTATTCTCAGTAGTTTGAGCAAAAACATTTTGTAAAATACTTGCAAATCTCGAGCAAGATTTCGCCATATCACTTTTTGTGTTATCAGTTGTCATATTACAAATTTCTAGGTGGCACCGTGGCAATACACAGAGAATTATCTGTAGGCTCTTAGCTAATTTCACTAGAGATTGAACCAACATTTTATAATAATTTTCAGTTAATGGCGCGAGTAGTTTGTCCTCTTTTGAAACTTGGAAGTGCCAGCGAACGTTAGAATTTCCTAATGAGCGTTGTAGCCTTAAACGAACTTTATGATTACATACTATTATTTGAGATGATCTGTCAACAAACTATCTCAACCAAGTTGGTTTTCTTAGAGCCGACTAGGAGAAAAATTGCCAAAATTTCGTACTCGTTTCAAGAAATGTTGAAGGAAAATGAAATTCTTAAACCATTTAAGGTATATCGTCAACATTCATGTAAACTGCTTTAATGAAAAATTTGCTACTTAAACATTGCTTTATTTGTAGGAGGAAAAAAGAAAGGAACTCGACTTTTGGACTTCTTTTTACGAAAATATATATTTTCATAACAGCTATCATAGGTATGGTCAATTGTTTGTTTGTTTGTTTGGATAGCTTATCAAAACGAATAGGTGCGCATGGTGTACTTGAGTTTAGTCTGAAAGATGCAAATTTTATAGACGTTTTTCCACGTGGCATCATATTTGCTCCATATGTTTACACGCTGAGAAAGCTTTTTGATCTCGTAAATTTTTCATAAATCGTGCATTCCAAGAATTTTAAGGATTCGATTCTTCACACACACAAACCACGCGCTTAAACACATTTGATTTTCCTGCGAACAGGCTAACCACAAAAAAATCAGATTCTGAGGACTTTGTATAGGTAATAGCATGGTTTCGAGTGTTTTGAAAAAACATGTACGGGTGAGTTTATCAAAGAATATTAGGATTACACGAGTCCCAAGGACAGGGTAACCACCGTGTTTTTGATAAAGCATCAAATATAATACAGTCGGCAAAAGATTAAGACATCATAAACAAGTTACACGATTGTTACACGTCCTCTTTTGCTATTTTCAAAACAAAGTAAATTTCTGTTATCTTTTGACTATGTCGATAGAGTTCGATCTTTATTAGATAATAATAGTTACCGTGTTTTAGATTTTCATTGAAGGAAGTTTCCTTAACGAAAGAAAGGCTACAGTCGAATCAGTCAAATGTATCTTCTAAGGTGACATCGATTTTTTTTTCTTCGTTCGTCCCATTTGTTTTCAATAATTGTTGTGATTGCTTTTCAGAGTGAAAATGCTAGTACATCGATATTTCAACGATTCAGGTACACCTGCAATCTCTGAATATTTCACAATTTGCAAAACTTACAACATACAAAACAGTTTTCTATGTAAAATAACTCTCATGTAAATATGTGCTTGCAGGAAAATGCCTTCTGTTGAAAGTCAAATACAAGGGAATGTTGAATTTTCAAAAGGTATTGGGACTGTTTTTGAAAATGGTGATCTGAGGAATGGTGGAAAGGGAATGGACAGTTTGAGGAATGGTGGAAAGGGAATAGATAATCTGAGCAATGGTAGAATCGGAATGGATAATCTGGGGAATGGTGGAAAGGGAATGGACAGTTTGAGCAATGGTAGAAAGGGAATGGACTATCTGACGAATTGTAGAAATGGAATGGACAATCTGAGGAATGGTGGAAAGGGAATGGACAGTTTGAGCAATGATAGAAAGGGAATGGACTATCTTAGGAATGTTAGAAATGGAATGGACAATGTACGAGAATTTCAAATAGAAAACATGGAATGATCTAGAAATATTTTTCCTAATTGACATCTGTAAAGTCAACATCTTATTATAGATTACAGGCCTGAATATCTCGAAATGATTGAGTCTGATAAAGATACACTTGAAAAAGAAGAAGGGAGAAACATGATGGTGCGTATATGTTTCGCGTTTGAATTTCATTTAATTCTTTTAAAAAAGCATTCATCCAATTACTACCTAGAATAAGGAACACGTGATTATAGACAGCAACCCAAACATCAACAAAAATATTTCCGCTTCTCCCTTCTCTAAAAGTCCATTTTTACATACACCGGCTTTAAAATCATCAAGCGTTTTTACTCACTTCCAGCATGGAAGCAAAGAAACTCGTTACATTAACAAATATAATCCCATCTCAACTTTCGTCAATTTCACCATTCCAATACTATTTTACGTTTTAGATTAATAAATTATCACTTTGTGTACTTACATTTACATCGCCTCTCCATTATGTAAAGTAATTTATTCTTATCATTGTTCATATATTATTTCATCATATTACACCACGTCAAATAACATTCTAAAGTTGTTCAAACATGTGACGTCTTTGTTTGAAGAAATCGTTTGCTTTATGTACGTAAATTTGAATCATTGATTTATTTTTCCTTATGAACGTCGCAACGTTTATCGTAGGTTTTGAAAAGCTTAACCAAATTTCTTCACCTCTGCCTTCCACCGGAAGTGCCTAAGATGAAAATACAAAAAATTGCTCTTGAGTACATTACTTGTCAAGTAAGAACTGTTGGTTTTAGATTGGAAGAACTCGTTATTGTCATTATTAATATCATATATGTTCTTTTATATTATGATTTCAGAAGAAACAGTCTAGCTACTTACTTCAATTATTTTGGTACAGCCTGAATTATTCTGAAGATTGTCATCCATATGACAAGAAAATGTAAGAAAATTTGTCGTCCGAATTAATTAATTAATTAATTAATTAATAATAGATACAAACCCGACTTCAGTGCTAAGTCACAAGCTTCTAGGCTACATAAACAGGTGTAGTTAAATTTTTGTTAATCAAGGAAAGTCTTTCATGCATTTTTCGTTCCATGAAGAAATGTCGCTTATACATGTTATGTTTTCACCAAACAATATTGTTATATGAATAAAATGTGATTTGGTGTACATGTCACTTACTCCAGTCATCATTAAACTTTAGCAAGATACGAGGAACAATGAGGGACCGCGCCCTTTTCATGTTGTTTGAAAGATACTACATGGCTGTCAATGAAATCAACTTTCCAGTGTCTAAAGGTACGTAAGTGTGTCGAAGTCACGAACCCAAACAATCTGCAAATTGCTATTCAAATGCCAATTCAATTAAATTTCATTCGAAAACACCAACTCAACCAATGTGCTATTTAAATTTCAGTCGTGCTATGTAAATTTTTGTGATACATGTAAATTTCAATTGTGCTATGTAATTTTTGTTGTGTCATGTAAATTTTAGTAGTGCTCTGTGAATTTTAGTTGTGTTATGTGATTTCAGTTGTACTATGTGAATTTTAGTAGTGCTCTGTGAATTTTAGTAGTGCTATGTGATTTCAGTTGTACTATGTGAATTTTAGTAGTGCTCTGTGAATTTTAGTTGTGCTATGTGATTTCAGTTGTACTATGTGAATTTTAGTCGTGCTCTGTGAATTTTAGTCGTGCTCTGTGAATTTTAGTTGTGCTATGTGATTTCAGTTGTACTATGTGAATTTTAGTCGTGCTCTGTGAATTTTAGTAGTGCTATGTGATTTCAGTTGTACTATGTGAATTTTAGTCGTGCTCTGTGAATTTTAGTAGTGCTATGTGATTTCAGTTGTACTATGTGAATTTTATTAGTGCTCTGTGAATTTTAGTAGTGCTATGTGATTTCAGTTGTACGATGTAAATTTTAGTCGTGCTCTGTGAATTTTAGTAGTGCTATGTGATTTCAGTTGTACTATGTGAATTTTATTCGTGCTCTGTGAATTTTAGTAGTGCTATGTGATTTCAGTTGTACGATGTGAATTTTAGTCGTGCTCTGTGAATTTTAGTTGTGCTATGTGATTTCAGTTGTGCTGTGTGAATTTTAGTCATGCTATACAAATTTCAGTCGCGCTTTCTGGTTTAGGATTCCACACATTTTTTGTATTCATTGGATTCCGTTGCCTCCATCAAAGGTGAAATTTTTTAGGATCTTCTTCTCTATTCTTGCTTCGTACCAAATTATATTTGCAATAAATTAGTTTCATGATATTTACGTTCTAATTAATCATATCAAAAGCTTCGTTCTTTTCTCTTTACAGTTTCTTTATGCAGTATGTCAGGAACAAAGTATTCATTTTAGAAACTGAATTTATGGATCGACTCATTCATGGTATAAATGCTTGAATATTTATACACCTTACAGGGAGATTCAAAATTGATTTTTCTTGTGCCGAGTCCATTACACTGAGCTTAACATTTTATCATCTCAGTGCTTTTTCTTCTCCAACTATAGACGTTGGTGACGACGAATCATATTTCCAATTGATATCTCGACTGATTTCTCAGTTTGATCAGGTTTGAATTGCTGCATTAATGATTATTTAGAATTTAATACTTTGCATGCAGATTTTCCGTGATTGTACGCGATTCGCGCGCACTACTGTTATAGCTTCATTGTGGAATTGATGATTTGGTAAATATCATACATGTAACCAAATGCTCATGAAAATTAGCGATTCATAAATGCATTTAATCAGTTCTTGTCATATTAGAAAGAGTTGTGTTTTGTTGTATTGCACTTAGTAATTCATGCATTTAATATTTAATGGAGAGATAAGAAAGTTTCGAGACTATTGAATTGTTGCGATCTGTTGAAAAATCGTGTTTTGTTCCTACATATGATCATTCTGTAGACCACCCATTTCCACCTAAAAAATTTATCTTCACTGTCTTAAAACTCTTGCTTTGCATATCTCTTGTCTTATACACAATTTCCAACTGAAAATAAATTCTGAAATTTCCAACGTTTACATTGGCAGCTGTATGTATGTTATATTAAATTATAGTAAATTTAATCAATGTATTGTTAAAACAATTTGAGCTTTAGCTGTTACTTATGACAGTTATTTTGAAGGAACTTACTTTAGATGTTTTTTTTTATCTTGTGTACTCTATGGTATTGCGCTAAAGTGGCGTTTTAAAAAATAGAAAATTTTTATCGTAACTCCATTTCTTTTCTGTATAAGTAATTTACTGTTGATTTTCTCTTTCATAAAAATCATAAAAAGCTTTGAAACGTTTTTCGTTTTATTTCATGCTAATGTTTTTCTTCTCATGTTTTCAGTCCAAAGCTCAACACTTTATGTTAATGTGGAGAGGTTTTGGTGTGTCGAGGTTAGTCAAAATTTATCTATTTTCCCTAAATTTGCACCTTTGCTGGGGCATTATTCTGATTGCTTTTAGATAATGCTTTTCTGTTGCGATTTTTCCACCACTGTGCCTTGTAAATAACATGATTGTCATTTTCAAAGCAATTACTCAAAAACTATATTACTCTGGCTGACATTCACAAGCTATACTCGTGCATTTTATATACATTTGCATCCTTTCACTTCACGTCAAGTTGAGACGTCTAAGCCTGCACCTGTCGGCTTTTTACTCAGACTAGAAGTAAAAGGATTTGAGTAGAGTAGATGTTTGTAAAATGAACGAGTTTGTTGTGAATGTCAGTGCATAATACTTTTTCTGTATGTGCTCGTGTGAGTTCACTGTGATGATATTCAGGATATTTTATCTCCAAATTATTCCTCGTCGCGTTGCTGGCATGAATTTATCCCACGATTCACGTTGCAAACATGAGATAAGTCATGGTTTGAACTGCGAATGACTTAACATGACTTAACTGGCTTAGTCCAGGATGTAGAGCCCACTGCTTGATTTGCTTATTGTTCTTGATTTAGACTAGAATCTTATTATTCGGTTGCTTATTGTTCTTGATTTAGACTAGAATCTTATATTTCGGTTGCTTATTGTTCTTGATTTAAACTAGAATCTTATATTTCGGTTGCTTATTGTTCTTGATTTAGACTAGAATCTTATATTTCGGTTGCTTATTGTTCTTGATTTAGACTAGAATCTTATATTTCGGTTGCTTATTGTTCTTGATTTAGACTAGAATCTTATATTTCGGTTGCTTATTGTTCTTGATTTAGACTAGAATCTTATATAGACTAGAATCTTATTTTTTGGTTGCTTATTGTTCTTGATTTAGACTAGAATCTTATATTTCGGTTGCTTATTGTTCTTGATTTAGACTAGAATCTTATATTTCGGTTGCTTATTGTTCTTGATTTAGACTAGAATCTTATTTTTTGGTTGCTTATTGTTCTTGATTTAGACTAGAATCTTATTTTTCGGTTTTTCTAATTTTGTAGTGTGCTTTGTCAGAGATATTTATCCAACCTGCTCAGTAATGGTTTGTCATTTTGTTATTTTTTTTTCCAGTCGTCACTTTTTCTCTTGCTGCTGGATTTATGCAAATACATAAAACACAGCGCACAGTAACATAAAGCACTGAACCACTCACTTCTATTTTATGTTTGTCTAAATGAGTGTTGCAATAAACATGATGGACTTTAGGCGGGAAAATGTTAAACGCTATAACTATAAGGTTTTTTTCTTAAATGTAAGCGATGAAAAATCCTATTCTTGTATTCCTGTTCTCATTTTAGGATCTTCCCTTGAAAGCATTCCCCGGGATTTTCTCGCGGAGAGCGAAAAGTTTCCAGTTTCACCACCATCAGGTACAAAATAGAAACTCGTTGAACGAAATTCCTTTGATGTGAGCATTCCTCATCAACTGCTTAGCCATGAATAATTTTATTTAAAATTCTCTGTTTTCTACTCTTGCTTGATTCATCCGTTAGAGTGATGGCTATGGGGAATCTGGGGATCAGGCATATTCCACATCTCGTAATAAAGTCATTATTCAAATAAACTTGTATAATGAACTGACCTGTAGTTGCTAAAGTGTTTGTAATTTTTCTCAATTCTGTTTGTACGGCGATTGCTTTTAGGGTCGTCTTCTTCAAGAGATCCATCTCTTATCCAAAAACAGGCTGAATCTATATATTTCAGGCCATTAATCTCTGTTATGACTTCAATAAAATTGGCAGGTATTTGTATAAAATACGCGCAGTGTATGCAACTATTGAAACTTTACATGCTTTTGATTTTAGAATATTTAAAGTCGACTGTTGCATTTCATAATTCACAGAAAAGTGATATAAAATACGGCAAAACAAATCAGTTTTTCTTTGTTTCTTTCCTATATTTTTATTCGATATTCCATGTTTTTAATGTTCAAATATCCATTTTATTGTTTTGAAGAACAATACATAACATTTCGTCTTTAAATATTGTAAACATTACACGTAATTTAACTTCCTCATTGTTGCAAGCACATTTTGAAGGATATTTTCCTGTAATTGCATAATCTGTGGATTGATATCATCGTCATATTGATTTTATTATTCCTGCTATTTTTAGACGCTAAACAAAAAAAACAAAACATATGGAAAAAGAAAGTGGTGGAATCTGATGCTGAAACCAACTCTAAGTTATCGTTTATTTCTGATAATGCTCTGGAACATACAATTCGAGCAATTGATGACGCGTCTGCACTTGAAGCGTTTTGAATCGTTGAGTGTGGATTATTTCCAGGGCTGCTGGAAGCAAATTAAGATTGTGGGGGAGGGGAGGTGGCAAGGTGATCCAATTAAGAAACAAGAGATGTTTGGGTGACGGAGAGGGAAATTTGAAATTTTCGTAATTTATAGTAAATTATTGTGAGATGCCTCCGACACTGGACTAACTCTTTTTGGTATATGAAAGAAACTTAATCATGACTAGGAAGAAGGATGAGTGGTGCTGAATCAAAAAATATAACAGAATTGAAAATTGAAATCAACGTTGGCGTTAGGTGTATGTTGTTGTTCGTGAAAGTTTGAAATTTTGAGCGGAACTAGTTGAAGTTTTGGAACGATGCACAATGCTGTAGTAGATTAATCAAACCCTGGATGACTAGTCGCTGGTTCAAAAGTTTCACAGTTCCTACTGATGGATTACTTTAGTCAACCTACCTAACCTTTGCTTCTCCTTTCCATTCTTTTTTCTTCATCTCTTTTCTCCCCTTCCTTAGTTTAATTAAATATGCCCGAGGCTGGGTTGTGGGACCTGTGTTCTAATCTTATCTTGTGAAATCTTATGGTAATGCCACCTGTATATGTTGCAAATCGTGGATTTTTTATTTGACAATTAAAAATGTCGAGGTTTTTCAGAACTATGTTGGATATTTAGAAAAACTGACTTCACGATACTAGTAGGAAAGGCGCACAGTTACCGTGTGGTTAATGACATGGAAGCGAGGGAAGCCGAAGGATTTGATGCAAATGGACGAAATGGTAGAAATTGTTATTAACTTATTGAAGACAACTGTACTATAGTTATTTGTCATTTAAAAAGGTATAAGAAACCTTCTTTTTCTTAAGAAGGCAGCACAAATCTAAAACAACTCCATACCGTGTGTTCTGCATCTCATGTGTTTAATTTCTTGCAGATGCGTCTGATATATTGTGTGAATTCCTGGAAGTTGCTGTTCATTTTATTCTTTACATGAGAGAAGTGTATCCAGCTGGAATTTTTGAAAAGCGTATGAAATACAATGTGGCTGTGCAGGTGGATATCTACAGTGATAACTTAGTCCCAAATATCATCATATCCCATCTTTAATGTACATGAAATGGTGATGGTCCTTTGAATATGTTGGGGGGTAATAGCATAGAATTCCTGTTTCTGATGACAAACAGATTTGTTTGTGTGTTCAGTGTTCTGACATGTTTGCATTGACAACAATAACCATGGTCCTTCATGGGGAGTACAAATGACAACAAAAAAAACTGTAATGTGTGTCCATAAGTCATGGAGGAAAGAGGCCCAGCATTCAGCTGAGCATTGGACTTCTTAATTTCTCTGAATGGCCCTGTCCAACTCTCTATGGCTTCCCTTATCTTCCAGCTTCTTACACTTCATCTTTTGCTGTTTCCCATCTCCACTGGCAGTAATAGAACATTATTAATGTCGCACTTTTGAAATTTGTTTTCAGATGTCATGCCATCCAGAACTAAATCAATACATACAAAATGTTTTGTATAGCATCAAGCCTTGTTTGGAGAAGGTAGTCATGAAATGTAGGAAGATAAGTTTAAATTTTCAATGCTGAAGATAAAGTAGTTCTTGAAATCAATAAATCATTGTTTTACAAACATTCATATGTGGGTACTGGTCTCATAAAAATGTTTTTAATTCCTACCAAACTCTAGCTTTGGCATGCAAATAAATCAGTTTCATTCAAGAAAAGTTGCAACACATATTGACTTTTAACTTTGAAGCTGCTGACTTCAATATGTTTATCCAAGAAAATTTGGGACTGTTGTAAGAAACATAATGGATTTTCTTCAAAAGCATTTGACAATACTAGTTTCCAATAGCAACCATAGCAATTGAGGAGACTGTTGGTCATTGTAAAATTAAGTTTTGAAAATTGACTTTTAGGGCGAAGTGGAAAAGTTTGCTGTTGCAATTATTGATAAGGTAAGTACTAAAAGTGTAATCATGATAATGCATTTGAAACAGAAACTTTTTATTTGTATAAGTGGGTTGAGAAAATTGGAATACACAGTATTTCCTTGACAAAGTTTAAAGTTGGGCTTGAAGTTAGCATTTCTTCACTTGTTGTAAGATGATCTGTAATTCTTTGTTGATAAATTTTATAGGAGCTTCATCCGCTAGAAAGATTCGTGTTTGAGATCAAATCTGGCTATGATTTTGTATCATTAAGGTTTGTATTAGCTCTAATATGTATATTTTAAAGATATTTCCTGTTACATCAGCGGTAATGACTTATTTGAATTGAAACAACTGGAATTTGCTTTCCGAAATACTTATGCATGAGCACACATGATGAGAGAGGGGAGAGGTGACATGATGGGAGAGAGGGGAGAGGTGACATGATGGATTGGAGGGAGGGTGACATGATGGGGAAGAGGTGACATGATGGGGAAGGAGGTGACATGATGGGGAGGTGACATGATGGGGGAAGGAGGTGACATGATGGGGAAAGGTGACATGATGGGTGGAGGAGGAGGTGACATGATGGGGGAGAGGTGACATGGTGAGGGAGGAGTGACATGATGGGTGGAGGGAGGAGGACATGATGGGGGAGGGTGACATGATGGGTTGGAGGGAGGGTGACATGATGGGGGAAAGGTGATATGATGGGTTGGAGGGAGGGTGACATGATGGGGGGAGAGGTGATATGATGGGGAAGGAAGTTGATCCCAGAAAGAAAAACTTCCCTCCAATTTTATCAGGATGTGTGCCTCCTGTAATTTTGCAATTAATATTTAAAAGAAACAAATATGCACATCTTGGACCAAATCATGTTGCACCTGAGTATTATGATACCTATATTATTATTATTGTTGTATTGTGTTATTATTGTTTTACAGTTCATTTTGTTACTTTCAACTTTTTTTAGGAAAGAAGACCCATGTTTCTTTAAAATTGAGTCAACTTTGCGAGCCTTTTTGTTGAAAATTGGTGTTTGTGATGCAATGTTGCAGCCAAATCCTTCTGGTAAGGATTGCATGAAACGTGTTAACGTGATGACTAAAGAAATAATTCCAACTCTTTTACATAGTTTTACGTTGAGCCCAACGGATCAGATAGGAACATTAGGGAACAGCCATCTCGCTTTCCAAAATGCATTTCCAATTCATTACGCATTTCCAATTCATATTTTTTCTTGCGTTAAAACATGGAGTCATTTTTGTATATCATATTTGAAATCGATTGACTACCTCCCCTCCCCCCCTAAATATTTGTCAAATGTGTATCGCTGCTCAGTATGGTTGTTTTTAAATCATGGTTTATATTTAGCCTTGTTTTCTTGGCAGCAATCGGTTTTCAAACACCACTTTATATACAATTTGTTGTACACTTTTAAACCACCAGGCCTAAAAGCAAACGAAGGATTCCTTATGAAAACTTTAATGTCAATTAAAACTTCAATTTAGTAGAAACTAAGTTCAACGACCCACGGAACGTTGTTTACCGTTATTTATTTCTTTCGATCGTTTCAAACCGTCAGTAGAGTTACAATACATTAACTTCGTAATCAATTAAATGCAAATAGCTTCATCAAATAGCTTTTCTCTCTGATTAGATTAGAAACGTGCATAGACATTGAATTGCACTATCTAAACTTAATGCATCTGTCACCTGCCTGTTATTATTTTCAGTAATCAAACAGACTAAGAACTTGCTACAACAGCAAAAATATTGTTAAATAACATACTCAAAAAGAAGGTAAATAAAGGAAATTTTAATCATTAACATGGAAGCATGTAAGCACTTTTAATATCATTGACCATACTCCAACAGCGGGAAATGAAAATATTATGTCCCATAGAGGAAATCAAATTTTGAATGTGTAGGATGAAGCACATAATGGAAACATTAATCATACAATAAGTGATTGCTATAAATCTTTATTTATTCGCTGAATACATTGTTAACGGAGAAACGATTGCACAAAGAAAACTACCGAAAAGATAAATTTATAATAATATTGTTTTTCCAACTTCCAAGCTATACAAAACTGTTCCAACTCCTAGCTTAACATAATCTTCTTGGCCAAAAAAATTTTGCTACTAAACGTTTTAACCGTTATAAGTTCAATTCATGTGTAATCTCTTTGTATTTGATAAGGATATATAAAGCTTTCTATAATGGTTGTACAAATACCTACATCAAAGTTCGTAGAAGTCAATCAGGTCTATTTGTGTTATATATTTATAGTTTATTCGCTTGTTTCAATGCCAGCCTTTTTTAATTTATTTCGCTCTTTTCGAATACTATAAATCTCCTCAAAATGATTGAGCAGAACCGGTGCTGGTAATATAAAGACGATCAGAATGCCGAGAACTGCAGCCACTGCTCCTATAAGCTTTCCAAGATTTGTGATTGGAACGACGTCACCATATCCAACGTTAGTCAACGTGATTATCACGAACCAAGTAGAATCAAGATTACTGATGATATTTGTCGAGTTTGATTGTTTCTCTGCAAAGAGGACGAGCGAGGATAACGATGTTGTTAGAATCGCGACCAACAACATGAGTCCAACAATCAAATAGAAACACCGATGAATCGTGTAGCCTAACAGGCGAAGTGCCTCTATATGATGTGTTAGTTTGAGCACCCGGAAAACTCTTGTGAGACGGAGCAATTTACGTATTGTTACATGGCGTTTTTTGACGAACATTGCAGCAAAGTACGGAACGATAGATAGACAGTCAATGATACCCAGTACCGAGAACACAAACTTCAGTTTATGCTGTGCAGTTACGAGAGCAGCAGTGTACTCTATCACGAACCATGTTGTTATAATGGTATCAACGATAAACCATTCTGTCTTGTGGTCGCAACGTCCTGCGCGATCGTTCGGTACCAGGCCTTTGTTTTTGCACACCATCCTATAGCCGTAGTCTGTGGTCTCAAAACAGAATAGGAATGTCGTTATCACGATGAAGAGAAATGATATCCACGATATTATCATTGCAATTGTTGAACTTTTTGGGTCGTGGAACAGTTTCCATAACGTCTTCTGCCATTCTTGCTTAGGCATTTCAATTGGTATGGTTTTGAATGCCCAGCTTTCAGGAAAATATTCCATCAATTCAAAGAACTCGAGTTCGTTGGTAAATATTTTGAAGGGAACGTCACTGGGCTGTGCTAGTATCCCTCCTGACTGATAGAAAAATAAAATGGCGTTGAAAGCAAACTTGTTTCGCTCCTTAAATACATAAGCGTTTTTTTCTGCCACATAATGTTGCTTTCTCTTGCGTCGTGATCCTAGAAGTGTGTCTGGAAATCGCATCAACGTTTCCTCGAACGTTTCAAATGATTCATTTTGAATCCAGATCTTTACACGACGACCGCTTACGAAGGTCTTCGAATGAAAAGCGAATCGTTGGTCGACGCTGTCAACAAGTTCTATACTACCTTTACTAGTGAGTTGGAAATGAGTCGTTCCGAGAAAACTTCCTCGATGCGAGGCATCGTCCAGCTGTTTTGTCAGAGAGAAAGGTTTACTTGCTGTGCCGCTAAACATTATGGAGATGCGGTAGAAATAAGAAAGTAGGTTATTTGTTTCAAGCCGAAGTGGAGAACAACGGTGTGGTAGGATTTTTGAACGCCTGTCCGTCTCAGGTACTGTATACAGATTGCGTTGAGATTTTGCACTATACAATCTCAACTCGACGCAGATGGAATGATGCGGTCTTGGTAATAAATATTTCACATATTCTAACCGCATAACTGCGATGTGGATTTGCGGAAACGTGATGTACTGCACAGTAAGCCAGCTGCTTCTATACCAGACTTCAGAAGATGATTTATTTCTTTCCAGCTTCATCAACATGCAGATGCAAAAGGCGATAAAATTTCCATCAATACTGTCGAGTTTTAAATGTGTGTTGTGGGTAGAGGCAAAATTTCGTACAGTAATGTTCATGCATAATACGGTAGTCGAGTTTTAAATGAAATTTACTTATATTGTTTCGAAGAAGAGTGTACTGCGCACGCGTGCATCTTCATTTCAAGAATAAAGAAAATAATCAAACATGACATTTCAAGTAATTAACTTTTTCATCTGCTTTATAGTTAATATGTGCTCATTCTCGTTTCCAAGTCTACATGACATTGCGCGCATTCCTGTATTTTAGTTTTTGTTTAAGCCAATGACAGTTATTTGGTTCTGCTTTAGCGCAAAGCTGCCATGTTTGTCTCCATTTTAGAATGAGTCAGAAATGAGAAATAAATCGCCTTTTACGTCATTTTAGGCGATTGCAATTGCCTAACTCTAACATCTGTGAGGTTTTTCAAATTACCTGCAACTACATAAACTACGTGACTTTCATCTCGCAACTTGGATATTACTGAATGTTAATAACAGGTTTCGAAACCATTTTATATAGATTGCCGATTCTCGATCATGGTCTACACGAAGCAGTCGTCAGAAATGAAGATAGAAGAATCTGATGATACTCAGGCATGTCATTGACTTTCCCGTTTATGAATGACGTAGAATTTAACCATTCAATAACTTGGGGAGTTGTGCGTGGGCTCATAAACTATCTTCTTTTTACTTCTCCAGAAAACCTGTGTTTTGTTTTGGTTCACAATCTCCAAATTCATAAGAGAAAAACGCTTATTAGGGCATCTTTCATAGAGTTACTTTAGTTCATAAGATACCTTAACGTTAATTTGATAATTTACAGTGATAAACTGCCCTCTACTGTTTAAAAGAACTGATTTACAAGCATTTAGTCAGATATAAATCAAAGATTTCAAGTGCTGTGTATTCAAGTTATACGCCATCTATTACAACAGGCATTTGCATGGATAAATGTTGAAAAAAATGAAGCAGAGATGGAATCGCCGTGGATTATTCCACTAAAATCAAATTCATCGCAGTTCTTTAAAGTAAGAGCACCATTGATTTGTGTATGCACAGTCATTATAGTCCTGTAAATTAACTCGTTTCATCATCATCATCATCATCATATCTTTTCGCGCCAAGGGGCGATCCAAACTCGGGCTGGAAGTTTGGAAGTGTTGCGCGTGTTGTAGCAATCAGTCGAAATCATTTGTTTGATGAAGGATTATTTGAATTTTGTTTTATATTATATATAGATGCAGTTATTTGTGGAAGAGTCTCGCACTAAAGACACTTGACATTCATGGAATGAAAGTAAGTTCATAGAATCTTATGTAAAAAATTATGGCGAAGCCCGTATAGTATATTGTTATGTAGTTTCATATTCTTTCATTTTGTTCATCAGCTGCGTCTGTACAGCTACATATACGGATCAATGACGGGCTAAACTTCAACTTTTATCTCTTACGACACCATTTTTACCACAATATATACAGCACAGCATATATGCTTTTGGTCAACATTATTGAGTGTGCTGTGTAAACACACTAAATAATGTTAAGGTACGCTTTAGTGGCCACGAGGCAAAGAAAATGTTGAGCGCTGTTGTATGGAAAGTTTGAGCAAGTTCTTCTCTCATACAACAAAGCTCAACGACAATCAATGACACTCAACACTCCTCAGCAACCTGTTAAGTTTACTATGTTGAGCGGATATTCAGTTAACATGTTGAGAGCGTTTGTACGTAGCGTTGATAATATGTATGATGTCATTCACCGATCTGGAGATAAAGAAAATAGTACGGTTGCTTCGAGGCTAATGGTGAAATATTTCGCTTAGCGTACTGATCAAATCGATAAATAAAACTATTTTGCTATTTACTTTATTTTTCTACTTTTCTATTAAGCGGTCCATATCGACACATGTGGACCGCTTGCCTAGCCAATCAGTTTACAGAAAGTGCCTAAATAGGAACTCGAAACGAAAATGAAATTATAGCATAAAATTATAGTCCATGTTATAAAGTTTAATCACAAATTTTGTTACATGATGATTTCAAGGATATGATCATTAAATATATTGTCTTGTGAAAGTAAGTTTTGGTTCTGCATGCATGCTATGTAAATTTCAGAACATTATAAGCATCGATTTCTTCAGCAATCTATATTGTTTTTGCAGCGAGTGAATACAGTAGCAGGAGTAAATTCGCGGACTGCCTACTCCATTAAATCTGTCATATAGCTACATGGCGTCAATTATTCCTTACCATGCAAGCATGAACGGACCAAGCGTTAATGTTTGCGATAATTAATTATAAGTTGTTTTTTTTTTATCTTTAAAATGAAATCTTTGAGGGCATGCCTGACAGACAACTACCATATGTTTCCTCGGAAAGGTCTGTCAGAAAATTTATTTATTGAAAGTTTTTTCCCTAGAGAGAAATGCTGTTATTACTGACTGTATCCCAGTCTGAAACATCATCTTTTGAGTTCTCCGTTTCGTGGCGAGATTTCTTTTTGGATTGTCTTTCATTTCCATCTTTATCGTAATCGTCTCCTTTATTACCTTTCCTTTGCTGTTTCTTGCCTTTTCTTTGCTGTCGATCGCCTCGTCGCGTTTTTTTCGTTTCGTCTTTCGTGCTCTTCTCGTTTATTGGCAATCTTTCTATCAACGTATTCAAAGTTGGTACTTGGATCTTTCTCTCTTTCCATTGATTTGGTGTAAATATACGAGAAATGGCGGAACTGTCACCTTAAATGTTAATAAAAATATGACTTTAGTGAAAATAATGTCTAAATTCTCTCTTAAACCTATGACGCATCCAAATCAAAACATCATCAAGCATTCAATAAGTTTTTTCAAGAAATCTAACTTAATAAATTAAGCTCAATGTTCTATGATACCTCGTAGTTGTTTCAGAAGTCGTTTTATTTCCATTAGATTATCATTGTCCTGTCTCTGAAGTTCTTTAATCTTTTTAATGTCGCTTCTAAGTTTATCGAAATCGGACACTTTATTTCTTCCATAGACTTTTGCAAATCTTTTATGTAGTGCCTGTTTGATTGTCTCTATGTCGTCAACCAGTTGGTTTGAGTCAGCTATGTCTTCTGATGTGATACACTGGGCCATAGTCTCTGTGATTTCTGGGCTGCAGTTCATTCTGATATGCTCATGATACTTTGACTTTCTTTTTTTATTCAAAATTCGCTCTACATTTATAACTTTTATGGCTCGCTGCATAATTCCGTTTGCTACTGCATTACTATGCACTCGAGTGAATGTGTCTGAAAGTAATGCTATTAACAAGTTTAAGGTAACTATAGTCATAGCTGTAATATACATTACAGTAAGTATACGAGCCATTACTGGTTCCGCTTTAATCAAATCTTCCAAATGGAAATCATCTCCGACCGCCATTCGAAACACCGAGTATATCAAACTGTTAACTTCATCGTAGTGTTCCACAGGTTGCAATGATAAACTGCCGAAAAAAATCCAGAAAGATGCTGAAAACGGTACAAGAAGCAAAATGAACAAGAATGCCCAGTTGATAAAATCACCACTCGTTTCACCAAGAAGAATGACAAGAGTTCCAATGCCAGGAAATGGTCTCACCGTTTCCAATAAACGTAACGACACGACCAGATTGGCAATGCTTAGAACTCTTGTGTAAATAAATCTTACACTGTTGCTACTGACTTCGTAAAAGGCAAAGTGCAAACCAAGCGCTCCAATCATTACAATCAAGACTATCCAGTCGTAGTAAAACCATCCATTATTTCCACCAAATCCCTTTAATTTATTAATTCTCGTCATTTCGTTGTTTAGTGCCTTTTCCTCTTGTGGCCATCTTGGATGGCAATACTTTAAGTCCTTTTGTAAATTCTCTGTTTGAGATTTGATCCAATAATTTTGTGCTCGCATCTTCTTTATAGTCACTGAAAAAAAGCAGTTATTTTTATTTGTTTAGTTAATTAGTTTGTTAAACGGGCAATACTGAAACAATCATAGATGAAAGTCATCATGAATGACTTCCACTTTTCCAACTATCCGAAATTCAAAGTGCTGAAATTCGAGAAAGTAGGTTATGTGTATTTGATAAATAGCCTACGGTATGGATGTCCTTTTAATTAGGGTTTTGTTTAAGTTGCTCTCAGTATTGACGAAGCAATGAAATTAAAGCAAAAAACCTACTTCTCACTTGTCGAACGATTTGATAAACAATCATCATACAGATAACCACGAGCAATAAAATTCGCCAAATGTTTTTGTCTAATGGTTTATACAACTTTTTACCCTCGTCTGGTGTTAGTGTAGACATTACAGTCCACAGTATATTGAATATGACATAAAAGCATAGGTCCCATATCGTCGCCATACGACCGAAATTGATCCACTTTTGGTTGACGAGGCGCTGCATGACTGGATGTGAAACAACTTCGAACCTTCTCCCAAAAACGGCAGCTTCAAGTGGAGTTGGAGCTTTTTTCGTTTGTATATTCATTCGCGATGTCTCGAGGAAATTTAAGTAATAAATCTCCTTCCTTGTTATAACATCTGTTCTGTGGAGTTGATTAAGAGCTTCCAACGATAGGTGTGGTAATCGATCAATTAAAACTGACAATCCTGAGTTCCCGGAAGAGTCAAGGAGACACGACGAAGCACCTTCGTCGATCAAAACTTTTGCAGTTCTGTCTCGCGACCATTCTCCAGCCAACTAAATTGAGAAAATGGTGATGTTTTATGCAAACAAATTTTATCACAACGAGTCTCAAGTATTATAAAGGTTCTTTGATGAATGCAATTAAGTGCAATAGTCCATTCCAGTTAATTCACGACAACGAATTTCAAATGCAATTTTTTTTTATCAAATATCATTGTCTGATACATGCTTTTCATAACCTCTCAATTCTTTGATCGTCGGCAATATTTCTCTGTGAGAACTGTTCAACTTACTTGTAATGATGTTCGATTTCTGTAGTCAAGTGAGTCAATATTTGCTTGATATCCCAACAATAATTGAAGTGATTTCACCGAACCATTCTTTGCTGCGTAATGTATTGGAGCCTGTAATTCACCTACTGTCCTTGCATCAATGTCTGCTTGGTTTTTTAACAAAAACTCGGCCATTTCGACATGGTCAACCGACACAGCTACGTGTAGAGGGGTTCGCCCAAAGCTATCTTTTATGTTGATCTCTCCCCCTGCAACGAAAAAATAAGGAATGCTGGCACATCATATATTAGACATAACCGAGGTGTCTTAAGATTTGTGGGTTTTTTTAATCTTATACTTTTTTCCGTTGTTTCGTTTTGGTTTGAAGGATATTGAGAAATTTTTAAAAGAGTTTTCTTTATTCAAGTTGTATTTTATATCAGTATGGCAGCTTATAACGTGTTGGCTTAATAATCGTAATGACATGTTTTCTAAAACAAGTTAGATTTTTTCAGTTGTCGTCATTCACATTTTGCATGATCCTTGAATACTTAGTTAAGAAAACTGATTAAAAAAAATACTGCAACGAAGACGATACAATTGATAAATACTGTATAATGAAAGTGACAGTAGCAAGTTCATTGCGCCTGCTGGATTGTTATTGGCAATAATATCACTACTTTCGCCTCACCCATAGATATAATGAATTTAGCGACATCAACGTTCCATGAACGTGCGACCTCGTGAAACATGGACTGACCATGTTCATCTGTAATGTTTATGTCAGCGCCACCTTTAATAACAGATTCAACAAATTCATAGTTGAAAACATCGTTTTTACTGTTGGATTCGGCTAACGTTGCGATGTACTGTAAAAGAGCTCGATTGCGTTCCAGTACACTACTATTTTGCTCCGTTAATGCTGTTTGATTGAGTTTATTTTCAATGACTGCGTGGCGCGCCGCCTTCAACTTTCCCGAACCGTCTATATACACAAGACAGGAATATTTTATAAATCAGTGAAGCGATATTGGCTACTTAATCTTATTTATTGCTATATTTACTTCAGCTTCAACAAATGAAATAGGGAACAACGGAAACTTTATATGTTCAGTTAAAAGCACACATAATTTTTGTGTCTCGTACATGGACATTTGTCGACATTAATTTTATTAGGCGTTTGATGATGAATTGTTCTTTGTATATAGTGTTTATGCAATGTTTTGAATTCGCTAACTTCCCTTAGGCATAGGTTTCTAATCATAAATGATTAGTTATTTGTACAGAAACAGTGAAAAATTCATGAAGACAATATGTCTTTTATCAGAGATATACCATTAAGCTTCTAACCACTTCTGGTTTACGTTCAATATACAGCTGCGGGGAAGTAAATAAGACAACTTTCGATTACGCTCTTCAAATATAATACAAGGGCTTCTAGCACTCCACATTTCTTTCATACCGATTCCTTTGTTGTTTGAACTCACTTGAAATTTTTTCAGCCTTAATTTCTTCGAAAACTTTCATTTCATGTCCGCTGTACCGGCCATCTGACCGGTTGTCATCCATTATGTATATCTAAAAGTAAAACAATTTGAAAATTGACCTGACAATGTTTGTAAGCAATTTTCAGAGTTAAGTCAAACAAATCATTACCCTTCGATTTGCTGGTTATTCAATATCAAGGTTATTTTTGTGTTCTTATCACTCTATGACATGTTATACTCCATATATCAGAGATGAATAGTTTATTAAGGCAATGAGCCGATGGCCGCTTTTGTGTTAAAGATTTCGATCGCATTCTTGATGCAGAATATTTGCATTTTATTGTTTGTAAATACCACAATCTTTTAAAGGGGTTATATCACGAATTTTAGCCCCCCTTTTTTATTAGCTTAATTGAAAATTTGGATTATTTGAAGAACTATGACATGTCGCTGGACTTAAACAGATAAATATAAGTTCCTTAATTTTGCCTCCAAAGTCGGGTACTTTTTGCGAATTTTTTACGACGCCATATTGATACTTGTGACGTAGATAGTTGAACACGTCTGTTTCCGTCAATATAATATTATATTATAGGAGGTGATTTTGTTGTCGTTTTTCTTGTGTTAAAAACAAATAATGACAGTATTTTCAATAAAATATTAAAAAACAAGTTGTCCGGAAAGTATGGCTTCAAATCAGTGCTCAGATAATTCGAATTCGATGTCTGAATGCGTATCTGATTCGAGCTCGGAATCCGTGGGTTATGTCGAGCATTTAAACGACTTCGCATATGACGATGAACCGCTCGCAGGAGATGGTGATGAAGTGCATACTCAGATGATCCCGATGGAATTCTCCCTGCGACCTTAGAACAACGAAGTGATGGCGTAATTCCACTCGGTGAATGGTAAGTTGTTGTTTTCTCCTGTTTGTAATATACATAAAGTTACTTTATAAACCACAATGCTCCCACGTTTCAGGTGTAATTGTCAATGCTGTCATACCGATTTGTTAGAAGGCGCATTAGAGTACAGATGCTGTAAGGAAATAGGACCAGCTTGCAGAAAATGACATTCGATGGCAGCATTGAGAAAATATCATGCACAGCATGCCAAATTTGGGCCTTTAGTTCATGAGGCTGTCCTTGAAAACGTCGGGCCACTATTGAGAGATAGGAATGGACGTGCTTATCGCCGCCAAGCATCACAATCATTAAATATGTAAGATTGTAAATTGTATGAGAAAGAATGTTATCATCAACATTGTTTCATCAACAATAATTAGTCCAACCTTTTTATTTACTTCAGGTACTTGAGAGCTGTGGCATACAGATGGTTGATGCGATGGTTTTGTGGGTCTATGGGATGGGAGAATACTAGGCCTTTACCTGCTTGTGTTTACCACTTTATTCGGAAAGCATATCCAAGTGGTAACACAAAAGTTATACCATCAGAGGGGATGATGGAAAGGTCTTTAACTTGTGCACTGTAGAGACTGTTGGCCTTCTTTGCTGAGTTTAGAATGGTCAGGAAATATGCCTAGATGAAACCAAATAGGAGATACATGGATGCACTATAAGGTAAAGAAAATCTTTTCTTCAATGTCAGTCTGGGAAAAAAAAAGAAAAATTATATGGAATTAAATCATAGCATAAATGTAAAAATGGAAAATAGCAAGCCACATGAACTTATCTTATAAGGTCTTCACACTTGAGTGCACTGCATCCACAAAGGGCATGTTGAGCATTAAACTACAATAAAAAAATTATTCATGAAAATTAATTATTTACAATCGAGTGAGATAGTCATCTTCAATCTGACAAGTATACATACCATTCAATGTTATATTAATACTGTAATCATCAGGAAAGGTGTGTATACTGCTTACTTGAATGGTGGTGAAGAGGTGCTTTTTATTCCCAAGCAACTAATATTTGATTCCGTGCATCATTTGTTGAGTATTTCCAGACTGCTATCTTTGCTGTTCCTGTTCCACTAAGGAAAAATGCAGATCATTACATCCTAAAATAATTGTAAACAATACCATTATCCCATACTTACAGCATGGATAAAGTGCATGACTGACATGCTTGTTCCTCAACATATTTTTTTACTGCCTCAGCCTTGGATCGTTTGTTGGGAAACTGGCTGCACAAAGGTTCGGGTGCTTTTCCTCTATATCTTTCCATTATAGTTGAAAGTTCTTGTTTATTAGACATGAAAAGAACATTCTTTACTTGTTCAACATATTCTAAAACTTGTTCAACATCCTCAAAACCCGGTCTATGTTTACGCACAAAATTTACCCATTTTCTATGTCTTTGCGGCTCTGTTTCTTTATTAGGAAACAGATGCATCGACATTCCTTCTGTTTTTGAATCATTGGCGCAACTAATTTGATTAGGTCCGCCAGCAACACAGCGTTTTCCTCCGCGTTTCTTATTAAGATTACTAGTAGAATACGCCATGTTGATATATGTGTTCAACTATCTACGTCACAACTCATTAGCATACCGATCAAAAAGTTCGCAAAAAAAATGCTGAAAATCGTGACTTTGAACGTCCATAAAATCACTTTCACCAATCCAATTTCAATTATAATTGCAGATTTAAAATCACTGAAATAAGGTCTTTCAATTTAGCTAATAAAAAAGGGGGGCTAAAATTCGTGATATAACCCCTTTAAATTTATTCCTTATTTTTAAGTAAATTAAGTGGTTAATTTCCGCCCATAAACAAATTTCCTACGTATGTAGTCTGCTGCCCAGCGATTTTTTATGCCTGGGGCAAATCATCAGCAACTGAAACCATCCCCACCAAAATACGCGTGTTTCACAAGTAAATTACTGACCAAGAAAAAAACATTTTAGAAAACTCCATATTAAACATCGTCTCTAATACCAAGCAAAGTTTTAGAAATTGAATGACCTTTTACAAACCGAAAAACGCTAAGACCAAGCCTAAGGTTTTTTATTTCAAAAATCGTTGATAAGGCGGGAGACGGCTTTGGAATTCATTACAACGAAGAAAGTCCCTTTGAAATTAATGAGATCTTTTTTGTTTTCTATGTCTCAATACATTGCTTAAATGTTTGCATGCTGAGATGAGATAAGCAGAAAATATGAAATGCCATGCTTTCATATTCTGTTCTCAATTATTCAGCAAATAGCTTTTATATTAAACTCTATTCATCTAAATATTCTATATTAGTATTCTGCAATAACAATTTACATCAGTTATTCAATTTATAAAGAGAGAAAACGCTACCATTCTCTACAATGCTTTGATTATTTAAAGTATGGGATTTTTCTTCTTTATTACGTTAAGAATGAATATTTTTTCAAGGTCTTCTATCACTGTCTTCTATCAGCTCGAGTAATTTAGTTATACGTGGTGTTACAAAGTATTTAAGTGTGGGCACTTTGCGCATGCCTGACAGACATCTCCTGTTGCTATAGATGTGTGTTTATAGGAAGGTCTAAAGAAATTTTTCTCAAGCGTTTTTCCTTAAAGAGAAACGCTGTTATTACTGACTGTCTCCCAGTCTGAACCTTTATCTGACGAGTTTTTGGATTGTCTTTTTTTTTCTTGTTTATTATAATCATCTCCCTTATCACCTTTCTTCTGTCGTTTATCGCCTTTTTTTTGCCGTCGATCGCCTTTTTGCGTTTTTTTCGTTCCTTCTTTCTTGTTACTTTTCTCGTTTGATGTTTCTACCAAAGTATTGGAAGCGGAAAGGGGAATTCTCTCTCTCCATTGATTTGGTGTAAAGATACGAGAAATGCCGGGAGAATAACCTTAAATGTAAATAAAAACATGATTTTAGTGAAAAAACATTAAGTTTCTTTTCATTTATATGACACATCCAAATCAAAACATCATCAAGCGTTCAATAAGTTTTTTCAAGAAATCTAACTTAATAAATTAAGCTCAATGTTCTATGATACCTCGTAGTTGTTTCAGAAGTCGTTTTATTTCCATTAGATTATCATTGTCCTGTCTCTGAAGTTCTTTAATCTTTTTAATGTCGCTTCTAAGTTTATCGAAATCGGACACTTTATTTCTTCCATAAACTTTTGCAAATCTATTATGTAGTGCCTGTTTGATTGTCTCTATGTCGTCAATCAGTTGGTTTGAGTCAGCTATGTCTTCTGATGTGATACACTGGGCCATAGTCTCTGTGATTTCTGGGCTGCAGTTCATTCTGATATGCTCATGATACTTTGACTTTCTTTTTTTATTCAAAATTCGCTCTACATTTATAACTTTTATGGCTCGTTGCATAATTCCGTTTGCTACTGCATTACTATGCACTCGAGTGAATGTGTCTGAAAGTAATGCTATTAACAAGTTTAAGGTAACTATAGTCATAGCTGTAATATACATTACAGTAAGTATACGAGCCATTACTGGTTCCGCTTTAATTAAATCTTCCAAATGGAAATCATCTCCGACCGCCATTCGAAACACCGAGTATATCAAACTGTTAACTTCATCGTAGTGTTCCACAGGTTGCAATGATAAACTGCCGAAAAAAATCCAGAAAGACGCTGAAAACGGTACAAGAAGCAAAATGAACAAGAATGCCCAGTTGATAAAATCACCACTCGTTTCACCAAGAAGAATGACAAGAGTTCCAATGCCAGGAAATGGTCTCACCGTTTCCAGTAAACGTAATGACACGACCAGATTGGCAATGCTTAGAACTCTTGTGTAAATATATTTTACACTGTTGCTATTGACTTCGTAAAAGGCAAAGTGCAAACCAAGCGCTCCAATCATTACAATCAAGACTATCCAGTCGTAGTAAAACCATCCATCGTTTCCACCAAATCCCTTTAATTTATTAATTCTCGTCATTTCGTTGTTTAGTGCCTTTTCCTCTTGTGGCCATCTTGGATGGCAATACTTTAAGTCCTTTTGTAAATTCTCTGTTTGAGATTTGATCCAATAATTTTGTGCTCGCATCTTCTTTATAGTCACTAAAAAAAAGCAGTTATTTTTATTTGTTTAGTTAATTAGTTTGTTAAACGGGCAATACTGAAACAATCATAGATGAAAGTCATCATGAATGACTTCCACTTTCCAACTATCCGAAATTCAAAGTGCTGAAATTCGAGAAAGTAGGTTATGTGTATTTGATAAATAGCCTACGGTATGGATGTCCTTTTAATTAGGTTTTTGTTAAAGTTGCTCTCAGTATTGACGAAGCAAAGAAATTAAAGCAAATAACCTACTTCTCACTTGTCGAACGATTTGATAAACAATCATCATACAGATAACCACGAGCAATAAAATTCGCCAAATGTTTTTGTCTAATGGTTTATACAACTTTTTACCCTCGTCTGGTGTTAGTGTAGACATTACAGTCCACAGTATATTGAATATGACATAAAAGCATAGGTCCCATATCGTCGCCATACGACCGAAATTGATCCACTTTTGGTAGACGAGGCGCTGCATGACTGGATGTGAAACAACTTCGAACCTTCTCCCAAAAACGGCAGCTTCAAGTGGAGTTGGAGCTTTTTTCGTTTGTATATTCATTCGCGATGTCTCGAGGAAATTTAAATAATAAATCTCCTTCCTTGTTATAACATCTGTTCTGTGGAGTTGATTAAGGGCTTCCAACGATAGGTGTGGTAATCGATCAATTAAAACTGACAATCCTGAGTTCCCGGAAGAGTCAAGGAGACACGACGAAGCACCTTCGTCGATCAAAACTTTTGCAGTTCTGTCTCGCGACCATTCTCCAGCCAACTAAATTGAGAAAATGGTGATGTTTTATGCTAACAAATTTTATCACAATGAGTCTCAAGTATTATAAAGGTTCTTTGATGAATGCAATTAAGTGCAATAGTCCATTCCAGTCAATTCACGACAATGAATTTCAAATGCAATTTTTTTGATCAAACATCATTGTCTGATACTTGCTTTTCATAACCTCTCAATTCTTTGATCGTCAGCAATATTTCTCTGTGAGAACTGTTCAACTTACTTGTAATGGTGTTCGATTTCTGTAGTCAAGTGAGTCAATATTTGCTTGATATCCCAACAATAATTGAAGTGATTTCACGGAACCATTCTTTGCAGCATAATGTATTGGAGCCTGTAATTCACCTACTGTCCTTGCATCAATGTCTGCTTGGTTTTTTAACAAAAACTCGGCCATTTCGACATAGTCAACTGACACAGCTACGTGTAGAGGGGTTCGCCCAAAGCTATCTTTTATGTTGATCTCTCCCCCTGCAACGAAAAAATGAGGATCTGTTGTCTTCACATGTGTCGAAAACAAACACACAGACACCGAGTTGGGTACGTCAAAAGTTCGGCGTCGGAATCAAGTTAAGTTCGACAAATTTAATTGATACAACAATAGAATTAAGTTCAACAATTTAGTAGAAAAATGAACTTTGGTGCGGCAAATGATTCAAACGGCGTTTTTAATGAGCCGACTGCCACTCCACAACGCGGGATATTTTAGATCCGGATATTCGGTCCCTTTTTCCTCATCAAAAAGTTAACTACCTAAGTCCGACGTATTTCAGTGAAACGTCAGTTTAAGAAAAAATGATGGCAAATCAAGACATTCCCGAGCGGATCGATTTTTATAATTTATTTCTTGCATTGTATACGCACCCATAGTTATAATAAATTTAGCGACATCAACGTTCCATGAGCGTGCGACCTCGTGAAACATGGACTGACCATGTTCATCTGTAATGTTTATGTCAGCGCCACCTTTAACTAGAGATTCAACAAATTCATAGTTGAAAAGATCGTTTTTACTGTTGGAATCTGCTAACGTTGCGATGTACTGTAAAAGAGCGCGATTGCGTTCCAGTACACTACTATTTTGCTCCGTTAATGCTGTTTTATTAAGTTTATTTTCGATGACTGCGTGAAGAGCCTCGTTCACCTTTCCCGAATTGCCTACAAAAAAGAAAAGAATACTTTAGAAAACAGTGTAGCGATATTGTCTCTGCAGTCTTTGCATGTTGCTACCTTTCTTTAGCTTGAACGAATGAATTTGAGGGGGGGAGGGAGAGCAGGTAAAAGCTTTGTATGTATTTAAAGTATATATGCAAAAATTTTGTTGTACGCAATTTTTGAGTCAGTGTACTATCTTGTAGGTATATTAATATATGGTGAATCCTGCGTTAAGAGACTAAATCAGGCTTAAACGATTCTATGGCTGTCTTATAATGATCTGAGATCACTTTTTGTAGCCAAGTTATTGTTTGTTGTTAAAAAGTTGGTGTATCCATTGCAAAACAAATGTTCAACTCGACAACCCCCTTTTGCAATGTTTTTGCTCGATGCGTGCTTCTCGGAAATTCCGGAAGTGTGTGAGTCTAAGTAAGCTTTCTAAACAAACTACCTCGCCGAAGAAACTCGCAACATTTTCTATAATCACTGGTTCATATTTAATTGATGCAACAATAGAATTAAGTTCAACAATTTAGTAGAATAATGACTTTGGTGCCGGAACGTCTTGTTTCCAGCTATGCGGGGGAAGAAATTGCGAATGACAGCAACTTTCCTATCTCTTTCACCTTTAATTTTGATATTTGAACATGATTCAACTCACTCAAAATCCTGCTGGCCTTAACTTTTTCAAAATTTTTCATTTCATGCGCGCTGTGCCTGCTTTTTGACCGGTTTTCATCCATCGTGTATCTGAAGTTCTAAACAAAGTAATTCAAATAATTTCTGAATGGAAATAATATAATTTGAGGGTTTACGGGCGCAAAAATCCTTTCAGTGCAAACGGGTCATAGATATTAACTATTAAGTGTTTTATATGACGAGAAGTTGAAGTCCTGTTCAATGACATTCGAAATTTCTATGGAAAACAATTTAACAGGCGAAATGTTTGACGTAATTGTGTTTAAGCCATTTGTATAATATACATAACATGTGTTTTTATCGCTTTTCTTATTAATGGCTTTGTAAGATTTCCTAAATGAATTTAAGAGTTGAGGCATATGACTTCGACAGTATTCAGGTATTTTTATGTTTCAGCAATTTACGTAACCCCAAACTTTGATGATAAGGAAATCTAACAATACTTTACCTTGGTTATGGTGATTATTCCGTATTACGTAGTTATTTGGATATATATTTTCAAATGGCTAACATGTATTTCTGCTTCTGGCGACGTAGTCGGTTTTTTCCCATTACACCATGAAACGTTTATCCGATTTCACAACTTTAACTTTTTGTCAGAGATATATCATTTGCTTATCAACTCCTCGCGTGAGTGACCACTTTTGTTGTCAGATAATTGTTCAAAAATCTCAAACTCATCATATCTGCATTTTAACAGAGGGGGCGTAATTTCCGTTACTGCTCACACTTTATTTTGGGTGAATTCAGGTAAAGTCAATGGCCGACGCCTGTCCGAAATTTTAATGCAAATATTTTGAGCAATATCATTGTTCATTTCTTTAGAACAATGCCATTTAGCCATTTTCCAGTGAATAAACGCAAAAATATTTGCATTGAAAACTGGCTAAGCCACTGCATGTAATTCATAATCATCTTCCCACCCAACATTCTTGCTTTTTTTTATTAATTTGACGACGGCGAAAATTTATGCAAAATTTTTATGATATTTTTTAAATACCGAAAGTGATTGCTTAGTCTCAAATATCTCATAAAATACTTTAGCTTTTGTAAATTAATTCAGACCATTAGAAAGCCTACTATTATTGCTTTCTGCTGATATAAATTTTATTACTTGAACTTGTTTATAACGATTACAATGGCTGTTTCAGTGCAATCAATATTATGCAGAAATCATAACTCAATAAAAAAAGTACCCAAGTTGATCGGAATTGGAGACTTTTATGTTCACTCATTAATGCAGAATGCCTGTTGCCATGGCGATACATTCATATTGTCTTAAAAAACCCATCTCTCAAACAGGCTTTGTTTTTACAAAACGATTAAAATACTTCATCTTATAGATAACAAATGATGCTGAGTCGGTTCCCGGTGGTTCGAGAGTCATAGGATGTACAACACGGGAGATATTGATGCTCAAAATTTGCCACGGCTTTCCCATCACTACTGATCATGGAACGCTACCTGTAACACAGAATAGATACCACCAGAAGGGCCACTCTCGTCGGAACCTTTGAAGATTTTGTTGTCAACTTTTAGCCCGCAATCAGGCATCGCCGCCATGTTGGCAGCAAGATAACTTCAGCAAGTTCGTAATAGAAAATATAGTAATGAGAAACAGTTCGGCGCGTCCTCGACAATTATATGGCTATTCCATTTTTGTTTTGTGTATGCCATCACGAGCAATGTCAAAGAAGGTAATTTTGACAACTTAGGTCGAATCGCATCGTTAGAATACACGTTTTAGAGTCAAAATTTGTTATTGTGGTCTTATGCTTTTGCCAACTTGCCAACATTCAATCATGGTTATGCTTGTATTGCGAGCTACAATGAAAAGGATCATCAACTTTGTCTATGGAATTTTCCTTGTAGTAAGTTTGTAGAATGTTACAAATGCTTGACTTTAATGTACTTTCGCGATCTTTTATTAGAAGAGGAAAACTCGCGATTTGCAAATTTGTTGCCGTAATAAATTCGCATTGTTAAAAAAAGTTTGACCAAATATTGCAGTGGAAACTGTGAACATGTACGGAATGGCACTGGTATCATGTTAAGACTCTTCAAGATGCTCTTTCCAACATTCAGATTTTTGGTTGTGACTGAGAAGCAATCCACGAAGGTGTCTTCAAGTTGCATAATGTAATTTAAATAGCACGATGAAGGAGCAGTCAGCCCACCAAAGTTGAGTTCTTTATATGCCTTGAAATAGCAAAGCAAATTGCCATCATTGTTTATGTTATTTGAAGTCAAAACGTTCTTACATTGGAGACAGCTGTGGATTTTGAAAGCTTTGCTTAGCAAATATCCTGAAACATAGGCAGCAGCATTTTTGAGCAATAAATTGTTGCTAATATTTTGTTCTCGGTAGTCATTTCACCAATCAACAGTGAGTTACTTGGAGCTTTTGCATGGGTAAGTGACATACTAAATGGTTTGGGCTTTTTTTTTTTTTTGAAAATTGTGTTAGCAGAGTGTCCATATCTTTAGAACAGTTTCCTTTGGAAGAGGTCAAAAGTGAACTAAAAAAAACCTTTCGAAAAGCTCTGATAAATTGTATTGGCGTGGGATTGTCAGAATTACCTCCTTGCTGGCGTATTGTTCCAAAAAAATTCTCTAGAGCATCTGTGTTTAATCTTCTGGTAAGCAAGAATGCAAAATTATGTGAGGCATGAAGATAGGTCCAAAGACAGATAATGGCCTTTATAGATATAAGCCATCCCTTCAGTGATTTGATTCTGCTTGTGATGTTTTTACCATCTTTTACCACTTTGATTCCCTGGATAAAGGACAGTACTTCTTTGAGAAAAGCATGTGATTATTGCTGTTGCTTATTGCACTTCTTTGTTCTTTTGCTGATTTCAGTGTGGAACTATTGATGCAATCGAAAAGTGAATCAAATTTGAAAAGCAAGTCAGCTGTACCCAAGGCTGATGGTGGTAGTGCTCCAATAGATGAATATGTGCAAATTGATGCAGCAATGGTGTGGCTGAATATTTGTGTAGCATATTTAACTTGAAAATTAATCTGAAAATTAATGCAGCGACAGCGATGTAACGAAAATAACAATATATATATATTAATAGAAGCAAGAGGACAATTTTATTTCCTTACAACGGAATCAATACTTTAAATTATCTAAAACATGACAAATATAAGGAACATATAGTTAAGAGCATCTGGAAGTTAGCTACAATCATACAATATAAGAATTTTCCCAACACAATATGGCATTGGCATTAAATACAATTGCACAAGTTTGCAATTTCTCAATGAACATTTATCGAATGTTCGGGATATGACTAAATTTGTCTGAATTCTAAAGCACCAAATCCAATGTCATACGAAATATCTTTTTTAGTGTAGCCCGTCCGTTGATATATTTCACATTGTTCCTTCTTGTTTCTGATTTAAAGACGTTCGTTAAGCGCTTTTCCGCTCCGTTCTTTACAAATAAATAAATACGAATAACCTTGACCACACGGCCACGGCACAGCATTTCTCATACAGGTCTCGATAGAATTGTACACATTGGTTGTACATGAAAAAGCATAAAAATATGTTGATTGTATGTTCCCATTTCAGCACAGCTTTCATTTGGTCGTCTCAGGATAAATATTTCAACTTTTCAAGTAATAACGCCAAGATTTTTGAGTTGTACATTGCTACCCTTATTTAGTGTAGCAAGTTTATCTTGCTGCCAACATGGCGGAAGTGGCGCATGCGCATTAAAATTTAGGACCGCATTTTTCGCGAAGTGGCCCTTCTGGTTGTATCTATTCTGTGCCTGTAATACAAAAGTAACAAAACCCCAAAACCCCAATAATTTTTTGAAGCTGTGATACCCCAGACAGGCGAGATTTTACCCCAAACACGCGTGTGTAGTCATCAATTATGATCAATTTTCACTCCGCGAGAGAATCTCGAAACACTACACACGTGTGTCTGGGTGTAATATTTGGCTTCAATTATTTGTTTCAGGGTAGCCGTTCCATGTGTTTTAGTTCAATGCTACCGATCCGTAGACAGTCGATCATATGTCTCCGAAAATTCAGCAATTCGAAGAACGCAATTTGAAAAAAATAAGTTACTGCAACAAATATTTCAACATTAAATTTTTGGTTTGTTTTAACAAGTAAACAAAATGCTAAATATTGAATATTTTAACTTTTTAATTCTGGGTAATTAAACATATATTGTGTAAACTTGACTGTAGAAGTGAGGTTGAACTACCCATTTTCCAAGTAGAACAGCCCATGATTTTGGAAAATAGAAGGCCTTTGATAGTGTGACCTTAGGATGACCCTGGATCATTGGTTGCTGATGCTATCGTCATGCTAATAAACAATACGTGAGGAGACGACAGAAGAGCGAATGGCCTGAAATATTTGCGATCAACTTGTTTAACTCAGCGTATTTTATATTCTCTGAAATCTCCTGATCGCTGTTTCAATAGGTTTATATGTTTATACCATTGTACCTGTGAAAATTTTATATGATTGGAATGAAAGACGTCATATTCCAAAATGCTTGGATTTTTTCGAAAGCTTCCAGGCACCAAACGCAAGCTCTCGAATGTGCAGTATCAAATTGAGGATATCTTTAAACGGTAAGTGAAAGAATTAATTCAAGGCTAATTGATTGCGGGCTTTTGTCTGCAATAAAATCTTCATCTAAATTATCTTTATTTTTGATTTTTAGTTTAATTTGTTACATAATTTATTTGCCATATTAAGCTCAGGACGGGCAAACCAGAGGCTTGTTTTACTGCACTCTAAGATTTAAAATTGAAATTGTTTGTTTAGTGGATGCAGGTATCTTTGTTCTGTTACTTCAGTGCCATCTTCAACCACCAGTAATCAATATGAAAAACTGAGTTACTTTCATGGCATACCCAGTAAAGCACTTCTTGGTTCAACTATTGGACAAATTGTAGATGTGACATCTGAAAAACATCCAGATCGTGAAGCATATGTATTTTGCGAAAGTGGAAAAAGAGCTTCATTTGCTGAACTTAAAAGCAAGGTAAAATAATATCAAGTGGCATTTTTGTTAAAAAAGGACATGAAACAGTGTATATTGCTCAATATGTGTGGCAATATGATGTTAAAATACACACTTTTAAAGAATCATGTGTATATTGAACGTATGCCTCAACTAATGTATGTATCATGTTGACAACTTTTATCTTACTTAACTGTAGACTGAGCAACTTGCCTCAGGTTTCCTGGCTCTTGGTCTGAAGAAAGGTGACAGAGTTGGAATTTGGGGTCCTAATGTTGAGGAATGGATATTAGTGCAATTTGCAACTGCTAAAGCAGGGTTGATCTTGGTGAGTATTTTGTTAAAATAAATTGTTTTCTAGTTTTGGTTGAGAGAAAATTTAGCTTCCCAGAATTACAACACATAGATTTTGAATATCTTGTGATATTATAGGTAAACATTAATCCTGCTTATCGAGTTGCAGAAGCAAAATATGCTTTCAGAAAGGTAAATATTTGCATTGTAAACAACAAACATTTCATAGATATGCATACTACCTCAGTCATGTATGTATGTTATCACAACAAGAACACGCTATATGGTAAAATATATACATTTGCAATATAATGCAGTGGTATAAAGGGAATAAAACATGACATTAAACATATAATAATTTTGATTTAACTTGCAGGTGGGATGTAAAACTTTAATATCAGTTGCACGCCATAAGACTTCTGATTATTATAATATGTTGTGTCAAATTGTGCCGGAATTGCAAAATAGTACTCCAGGAACCATGAGAAGCACAAGGTAGGTAGATATTTGTTACCTGTTTTGTATTAATTTAACTATGGTTTTGTATTACTATTTAGAAGTCATTGAATCTTTTTATTTTAGCTTTACAATAAGTTAATTTGAAAACAATATTGAACAGAACTGCAAATTGAAAAGTTTTAATTTTGGAGAAAAGATAGAAATTCCAAAAATGGATCGTACAAATTATTTTTTTGCTGTACAAATGAAGACTATTCCTAGAAATTATCTTAAAAATACTACACCTCCCACACTCCCCCTTTCTCCTCCTTAATTCCATCCCCTTTCTCCGCCCCTCATCCCTTCTTCCCTCTCTCTCCTTCTCCCCCTCTCCGCCCCTTCCCCCATGATTCCCCTGCCCCTCCCTCCAACCATCTTTATCCCTCCACCCCTCACTCTCTCCAATAGAATGAATAAGAGCTGGTTTGGATCGGGGGTACACAAGAATAACAGAGAGTAGCTAAGAATAGAAGTGAAAAGTCTGAAATACTGTACAGAGATCATGAAATGCAAAAGTATACCGTACAGTTGGTTATGATTTCTGGCGATTAATGAGGTTCCAGTAAAGAATTTATCCTTTCGTTTCGACTGGCTTGTTTCAGTTGTTTTCACTTTCATTTAGACTTAGCGCCCATTCAGTTGCTTTGTATTGCCGAGGGAACTTATATACAGCACTAATGATTCTCTCGTATCGACAGTAGTGCTGTGCAAAGGGAGGCCGGAGTTAGGCCGGACCTACGGCTATTTTTGCCTGTTGGAGCTGGAGCCGGCTCATTGAGACACCCACGGCTTCCCAAAGCCCCTAGTCTCAGACATGTTAAGGTCATGGCCGTAGGAAGATCGATAATTAGGGGGGGTTCATATTCATAAATACATGAGATGCAGTGCTAAGCTCCTTTGAAATTCATTGTTCCCAACGGATTAAACCGTGACTATATGAACATGAACTTTTCCCCTTTATTGATCTTCCTATGCCCATGGCTAGGGTAATGTTTTGATGGTTTGTATGTTGATCACACGTGATTTATTTCCTTTAGTCTACCATTGCTTGAGCACGTGATTATTATTGGAGAGGAAAAGTTCAGGTACTAGTTTGTCGTTTGAAAAAGTTCGGTGTTAAAATTTTGTGTTTAAATTAAAGAGCAAGTGTCAATTAATGTGGAAAAATAATAGTGATGAAAAGTTCTGTAAATTTGAATGTATATTTTGAAGTGAGTGACATTTTTCTTTGTTTGTTTTTGTTCATGTCGTGCAGCGGCACGTTCTCCTTCAACGAAGTAATGAATTTAGGTGGACAGAGTGAAAAAGAAGACCTAGACTCTATTCAGCGGACACTGCAGTTTGACGATGCAATCAACATTCAGTTCACTTCTGTATGTGGCTATTGGACATATTTGCATTAGTTTCTTATTCCCTAATGTTGAATATTTATTTAGTTGTTAAGTAACAATTTCAAATTTTAATTGTATCTTTAGGGTACAACAGGTCATCCAAAGGGTGCAACGTTGACTCACCACAACATAGTTAATAACGCCTTCCTCATTGGTTCAACTGTTAAATATGCGGAGCATGTACGTGAAAGAATAACATCATTGGAGTCAACATGTTTCTTTTTTCGTCAACAATTTATCGTTAATGTTCTTATTTCGTCAATTGCTTATGTTATTTAGCTAACTAAAATATGCATTCCTGTTCCACTTTATCACTGTTTTGGCATGGTTCTCGGCAGGTAAGATATAATCATGGCGTATTTTATTTTGATAATTGTGTTAGAAATAGCAATTGCCATGAGGGATGGTCAAAATAACCTAGGAGTTATAAAAAGAACTGTTTTACAACTAAAACAACTACCAAATAGTTCTAAAAAGTACTGTTTAAAAAACTAAAAGACATGCAGGATGCATTTCAGCTGACTACTCATCATGTGACGACGTCTGCTAAATGAGAACATTAAATTCAATCGATTTTTATAATGGCAAGAAAAAGTGAAGAAATATTTGGTTGGTGTTTTAGTTGTGAAACAGTTCTTTTTTGAACTCTTGGCCATCCACCACGTGACCATTGCATCTGTTATTTTCAAAACAATTGTTGATTTGTGTCTCTATTTTACTATTTATATTAATAACAATGTCCGTCGTACAAATGGCAACGTTGCGCAGCTAATTATCGTCGAAGTGTTTCTAATTCATTCTTGAAGTTACGCGATAATTTTTGTTCAACCTCAGGGTTTCACGATCCAAGATTTCACTGCATTTATCTCAGACCACCTGCAAAAATGGCAAATTTTGTTTTCTGTTTTCGAATATTTTCAATTTTTTTCAAACGTATATTTCATACTTGGCAATTCACGTTGTTCCTATTTTGCTAATAAGGTTGGTTGTAATCAACAAACAAAGTCGATTTCACCCCATTGACTGACCTTTCTTTGTTTTTCATCTTTAGTCTCTCGTCAGTAGTATTTGGTGCTACTGCCGTATATCCAAAGTCTTCTTTCGATCCTCGAGCGTCCCTTGCGGCTGTCCAAAATGAAAGGTATGTGTGTTTTCAAGCATAAAGCAAAGAGTATGTAATGAAATAAAGTTTATGTCTAAGTATCGATTTACATAAACGCTAAAAATGTCTCCAACATAGGATTGACTCCATTCATTTCTGTAGATGTACATCACTTTATGGAACACCAACCATGTTTATTGATATGCTGAATCAAGAAGATGTTTTGAAATATGATCTGAGTTCCTTACGAACTGGTTTGTGCTGAGTTTTTATATACATCATTCTTTTTGAAAATAGATACGTTTCAAATTGTGTTATTTTTATTGGGTTTTATCCTTCAACATTCAGGGATTATGTCCGGATCTCAATGTCACATTGAAGTTATGAATGCAGTTATTCATAAGATGCACTTACCCGAATTGACGGTAAGTGGCGTGCAGACCCGATATTTTTGGGTGGCGAAACAAAATTTGCGGGTTTTACAATCAAGTTCTCCATACACATACGCTTAGATTGCCTATGGTTTGACGGAGCTATCTCCAGTGTGTTGTCAAACTCAAATTGAAGATCCAATAGAACTCCGTGTTTCAACTGTGGGGAAAATGCTTTCATGTACTGAGGTAATTAGTTTTAAAATTTAAATCACAATAACCATACGTTGCTTTTCTCGGGGTATATCAATGCTCGAGGCAATTTTCAGTCTCGCGAAAAGCGTTGTGTACAAATTTCTATGTTACGGCTATTGCATGACATACAAAACTAAACTGCAAATATTACGATTGCACTGATCAGCTATCGAGTTCTCCCAAAGTTCTCCTTGGCCGATTTGCTTGAGCAAACACAGCAAACATCTTTATTTCTTAAAGTATGTACCCTTTAATGGATGAAATCCTGGATCCGCCCTGAAATTTCACAATATTAGCGGCAATCTCTTACTACCGTTCAATTGACTAGTATGTTTATTTTTATAGGGCAAGATTGTGAACGGGAATGGTGAAATTCTGCCCGTAAATGAAGAAGGTGAATTGTGTGTTCGTGGTCATGGTGTTATGTTAGGATACTGGGAAGATGAGGAAAAACCCGAAGCACGATAGACGCAAATGGTTGGCTGCACACTGGGTAATAAGGAGTAATTATTAGTTACATTTGTAGGTGATTTTAAATATCTAGAAAAGAACAAACATTGCTTTTTATGTGTTAGTGCTCATTTTAATAATATTCCAGTTAATTTTGTCTATGAATGTTTGCTAATAGTTTTACTCAATTTTAGCGACAAGGCATCCATGGATGAAAATGGTTATGTTAAAATTGTTGGTCGAATAAAGGTACTTTGTCTTCACAAAGCGTCATACGTGCGTATTTGATGATTTTCTGTTCCTCGTTTGACATTCTTCCCTTCGACAGAAATTGTTTTAAATTTTGTACGTACATGAAGGTTCTGTGATTTTATACTCTATGTATAATTTTGTTTCTCCTAATGCTCTGTGGTGTGTTAAATTGATTTTATATTTTGCAATTTGAAGTGAATTGATGAACTTGAAAACTTGTACGAAAGAAAATTTAATAAGTACAAGAACTTTTTACAGTACACAATTTAAAGCAACAGCATATCATGTGAAACTTTACCACATAATGCTTCAAGTCATTAATCGAGATATTCAACAACCAATGCCAATGACATATCGTTAAGTATCTACGAGCTACGTATATGGTTTAAGGATAAAGTAAGCTTATCGAAAAGACATAAAGATAAATGTTTATCTTACAGGACATGATAATTAGAGGTGGGGAAAATATTTATCCCAGTGAAGTTGAACAATACTTACATAAACATCCTAAGGTTCAAGAAGTAGAGGTAAAATTTAATTGAAACATATTGGGTATGTTATGCATTCGACGCAATCGATTCAGTGGCGTAGCCAGGCCGCAAATTTGTTCGTGCTAGGTAAATTTTTCATCTTAGCATTAGTTTAAAATGTTTATACAGTGAGTGACGCATAGTATGCACAAACTTGCGGCAGGCTATGCAACTGAATCGATGTAGAAGTTATGAAAAAATCATCTTTACTTGCCCAGGTTATTGGTGTGCCTGATAAAAGGATGGGTGAAGAAGTTTGTGCTTGGATACGGTAAGGATATTTAAAGGACCTCCGGGAAAAGACTCTAGTGAAAAGACCCCAGAGAAAAGACTCTAGTGAAAAGACCCCATAGAAAAGACCCTAGAGAAAAGAGCTTTGAGAATAGGGCTTCATTTTGCCCTTAGCACCTCTGATTCTCTTTCTTTGTGGCATTCTAATTAAGGTTTTCTAATGTAGCTAGTATAGTAACTACATTTTATGTAGCATTTTAGGGTAAAGATGTTCGTGTAGAAATCTGTTGTTTTATTTGTGATTTTCAAAGCGTCTTTTCACTTAGGTTAGTAAAGGGAGAGACTGCTACGGATGATGAACTCAAAGAATTTTGTCGAGGAAAGGTTAGTGGACAAAGCCGCTTTTGTTTTCGACTTCACGACTCATTTTTTTGAATTGATAAAAAGTTAAGACTTTACGATAGAAATGCGTTTTTTATTTTTTATATTTTTGCGACGGGCTATCTGTTAAATGTAACTAATAACGTGTTTGAAATTTGATGTGTATGGCTGCAGATTGCCCACTTCAAGATTCCTCGGTACATAAAGTTTGTCGATGAGATGCCGATGACTGTAACTGGAAAGGTGGGTTATGCTTGCTAGCTTGCTGTTGAATAACAAGCGCTTTGATTGTCTCAGAAACATTTTTGAAAAGACTACAAAATGTGCCATATCTGCGTGTTTTAACTTTTCATTAAAAACCTGCTGCCTTGGTCCGTCTTTATCAAGAAATTTAGCACCTCTGTGAATTAGTAAATACATTGCCTTGCGGGTTCTATGTGTGCCTTGGGTGTATTATTGTATGTGATAGTTAACTTTTCGTTTTTATTAGTAAAATGTGATTTACCACAGGTAAAAGTTATCGTGATATGAACACATGAGCGTGTCATGAAGTTGCCGATATTATTAGATTATTTTAATTCGTTTTAAGTTGTTTTTCATTATGCTAGTCTCATTGTCAAAACCAAGCGGCTAGATTTAACTTACTTTCGTTATTTTCGCTCTTTAGGTAAAGAAGTATGTGATGCGTGAGGTATCAAAAAGAGCTGGGACTAGAGTAGTCGTTCCAAATAGCGTTTGATTGACAACGCTTCGTAATTGGTATTTTATTTTTTTAGAATTCCACCTTTATTTGTGCTAATTATGATTATTTTTTTAGCTATATGTACAATGCTAACTGAGATTAGCTATTAATATAAATATATATGTTATATGTAATTAAGGTAAACCTTTTACAAAGGATTATGATCAGGCCATTGATCATGTGATACATGGATATTTTGGATCAAACGTGAATATACATTCATACACAAACATCAAGACAGAAACATAAACGCACAGTCATCCTAGAATGTTGATCATTGGCATTTCTTCAAAATAATTTTCATACAAGAGTGTACCCATCAACCCCTTCAATTACAATTATTATTCTTGGAAACAAAAGAGCTTTATTAATAATTATGAACATTAGCTACTAATTCCACAAAACATTTACTGTTAATCACACATAATATCAATAAACTAAGCTAATGTACAGAAGTCAATACTATGTATTTCTTAGTTAAATGGAAATATTAATTTTTCAAATGAAATGCTACTGTCTCAAGTCAGGTAAAGTTAACTTTTAATGGCACAACCATATTTTTCCTTTTATCACAAATTAATAACAAGCAAAAGTTGTGAGTTTTTCACTGAGGTAATGGCTGAAAATAATGAAGAAATTTTAATCATCACTGGAAATGATTTATTTATTATTTCTTTCACATCAAACTGTTGCAGTGTGTTTCTATTGTAAACCAGAATTCAGTATAATTTTGCGTGTTTACTAATCCTCTTTTAAAGCAACTGGGTTTGAATCTTCATTCATGGCCACCCATACGTATGCACCTATAACAATATGAACCGCCACAACACTTCCAACTACTGGTACAACCACATTTTCTAGAAAAAAAATACAAGAAACTTTGACAACTAGAACAAATGTAAAATCAACAATCACTAAAGAAAAGCCTCACATGCTTAAATCATATAGCTTGCACCAAACGTCAACTGGGCACGTGTGGTTCCTTACAGTCATGAGTAAACCATATTTATTGCACAAAATTTTGCTAGTTCTCATGCATAAAGTAAGTGGTGCTGGCAAGGAAGAGTACCCACCTAATAATTAAGTGCCTAATGATGATGACCTCTATAGTGTATATCACTGAAAAATGACACGAATTCAAATAGATGATAAAAACGTTTGCTTGATAACTAAATACCTTTTGGGAGAGTTTTTTGCAAAGTAAAAACGTTCCTAATGGAAAAGCAAACATCAACAAGGAAAAAAACAACAACTTCTTTAAAACAGATAGATCTTTGGGGCTATAATGGTTGAAAAAATTGATATTACAACTCTACAAACCTAATTTAATACATTTCATAAGTTCATAGGTCATTCATTGGAAAATACCTAAAATTTTGTCCGAGAGATGTCTCCATTTTGAAGAATAAAGCAATCTCTAAATTCTAAATGTTGGAAACGTCACTTTTAAGAATCTTGCCGAATAATACTTTAATTTCAACTTTTTGACCTCCCCCCCCTTAATAAATCGCAGTGAATTTGGCACTACAGTGTGACATGTGACTACATTCAGCATCACAATCATTGAAACCAATTGAAACAATATAAAATTATATTAAATTCTGGGATAAATGAAATAAAAATATTAAGGAGTAGTCTTAAGTAAGAATTTATGCTTTTCTACACACCGAAAGAATCGGCGTTTTTCTATTTGTATAATTGAAAATGCGAATCAAAGGTGGTGATCACAATTGGATCATTGTTGTGAATCTTGTGATGAGACTGGTGCTGCTGTAAGGTGCCAAATTCACTCTAGTTCTCAGAAACAATTCAATATGGCAGCCGTCTACTGGCAGTGGTTGAAATTCAGAACTTCTTACCGATTTATTTCGAGAACGTTGAACAATTTTGCGCCACATGTTAGTCGGACAATAAAAAAAGGATGTATCTTTAAATTACTAGAAAGAGACCGCGTGGCAACATTTTTATCAAGAAAACTTACTGTTGGAACAAGTTTTGCTTTGGTTGGCTCTCTTGCATGGTGCTATTCATCAACGTCTGGTAATAGTCAGTACGTTATGACGTTCTGTATAAATGTATTTTGTTTACAAGAAAACTGAGTTAGCGTTAGGGTGCAGTATTATGTTATGAAAATTATGTATTTTAAAAATTGTAAAGACAATTTCTTTTGTTATCAAATGTTCTAATCAGCATCACATAGCATTTCGATAAAAAATTTAACAAAATGGCTACTTGATATTATTCAGATGAGTCTGAAAGAATATGCTTTTTGGCTAAAGAGAATCGAGTAACTGAACTGGAAAGGTGAGCTGGACAAAATGAATGCATACAGCAGCATGCTTAGTGAATACGCACTTACACATTTATTTTGTAGTTAGTTGATTTAAGTAACCGTTTATCTTCTGTGCATTATAAAAACACAGATGTAGACATAAAAATAAGCATCAAGAAGGTTCGATCATTCACTACGAGAACATACATTATGTGAACATCTACTTGTATAACTAAATTACGCATTGAAAAAGCTTTCTATTTGAGGGCAATAGTTTGAAGAAGATGCACGATTTTTGTAAATATCTCTTTTAAAGGGTGATTTCTGGATCTGGATGTGATGTGAACAAATTTCATTCACTTGGATGGACTGCCTTGCATGTTGCTGCAATGAATGATAGTGTAAAGTATGTTAAGATGTTTAGTTCAATATACATAACAATATTACTAGTATTTGCTTAGTACTTGTAACATTGTTTGATTTCTAGATCAACAGTCGAAACCAAAATGTTTTGTAAATTTTTTCATTTTTTACTTATTTTTGTGTCATGCTTATAGGTCCATGAACTTGCTGTTACAAGCTGGAGCAGATCCTAATGTGAGAGATGACTATTCAACAGCTTTTAAAATTGCAGGCAAGAAGAAGATGAGACTGATGGATGGTATGTTCCAATCATACTTGCTCACTTTGTAGTTCTATTATTGATATTAGTTTTTCTTGATTTACAACAGGGATTGAATTAGGGGAGGGGGCACTCGAGGATGCTGGGTACTTTTCTCACCAAATATTAATATAACCAAATAATCAAGCAAAGGCTATTATTATTTGTACTTCTAAAAATCTTGCAATTACAATAAAAAGTTAGCGAAATTTAACAAAAAAAGTCAGACACAATATGGCAAGAAATAGCCCCCAAAATCAAATTCAAACTCATCATCATCATCATCATCTTGCGGCCTCAGCCGAGATTGAACTCACCACATCTTTCCAGTATTCTCTATCTTTCATAGCTGCTAACAGATTTTCCTTAGGAATTGTTGTGTCTCGTCGTATCTTTTCTGGAAAGGTTAACTTGCGTGATCTATTCTCAGATGATGGGTGTCTCCATCAACATACCAAACTCAAACTAAAGCCCACACCTGCCTACCAAACCATAATTTTACTGTACAATTTAAAAATTTTGCTCAAATGTTTAAGTTATGATGATTCGAGAAAATGAGTTCTCCCATCGCCTGAATAAAAGTGCAAACTTCTCTGGATTTACACCTCTCCATTATGCTAGTCTCATTGACAGTTATGAAGGTGTGAAACTTCTCTTGAGCAAAGGTCAGTTTAACAATTTTGATTTTTCACACTTATGCTGTAACATACGTTCAAACTTACACGTAGTTATGACACGTTTTCGTATTTCTTTCGTTTTTGGCAACTTTTAGAGCTGCATGTTGTTTTCACTAACTTTCGTGTTCGTATGATTAGGACAATTATACAAGGTGTCAAAAATACGTTCATTGGCCAACAATTGCGTAGCCACAAGTCAGCCCACTACATATAAATTCAACAAGTATTATAAACTTTCGTGTCTTTGGAAATGTATCGTTTTCGCAGTGAGTGAAAACAGAAAAATTATAGCTTAGCAAAACTACATAAATGCGCAGGCTGCTGGCTATGCCACTGTTGGAACGTTTTTGCGACAAAGTGAAAAACTTTCGTGCTATTTGTCTAATTATTTGTTTTTCTGATACAGCATATCTCTATCTACGGTCTCAAAGTTAGACCGCTGAAAAAATAAAATATGATGTTTTATTTTTGTTGCTATGAAGTAGTTCATGTAATTGCCGGTTTTTCCATCAAGGCGCTGACCCAACAATAAAAGATGACAGCGGTCACAGTGCGGATGAATACACCGAGAATGAAAAGATCAAGATGATCATCAAAAGTAATCAGGCAGAGGTTAGCACTTGTCCATCAATGCTTATAAATATAATTGCATTCGGTAAATTCGGTGATTTTTTGCAAAGTTTAAGTAAAATGATGTTTACGTAAAAGATTAGGTAAAATTTGAGTAAAATTGAGTAATTTTTTATTATCTAAGTTTTCAGAAAGCAAAATTTTTTGAAAAACTGTTTGAAATAATATACACATGGCAAAACGATTGACTTTATGCATTTTGTCTGCAGTTTGACTATACAATGAATCTGAGAAAGTCTAAGAGAAACGTTTACCAATCAACAGCTCGGTATTTTATTTTATTTGTTGAGGGCTTAACATAGTTTATAATCGTGTTTTGCCTGATCATTCAACGGTGTTATTCAGGTTAGGTGACCCGATCGCAAATTTATCATAGCTATAGATGAGTTAAAACTGGCGTGTATTGTGGATGGGGTGGGGAGTGAGGGCTCGAGGTGTGCCTTTTGAAGTAGAGACCACCACCCTTTGTAAAAATTTTCCTTTTAAACAATTCTGCGTCAAGTGATCAATCTTTGCTTGCCATAGCGAAGTCCTAGCGTATTTTGCCCTTTACATAAAATCATATTGCTGTGTTGCGTTTAGTATGTGCAAAGAAAACGTCGACTTGAAGCTGAAGAAAGAAAGAAATATCCTTTGGAGAAAAGAATCAAAGAAGCAATTATCGGTCAAGAAGGTGCCATCACTACAGTTGCATCAGGTATTTACGTATAGGTAATTTTTATTTATATCTCACTCTGGTTTGTTATGTTCGCTTCATTGAAATCAAAAATTAATCAAACATAGCAATTAGAAGACGTGAAAATGGCTGGTATGATGAAGATCATCCTCTAGTGTTTCTTTTCCTTGGCTCATCAGGAATAGGTAATTGTAACACAGTTAATGTAATATAATCCGATATGATTATAGATGTTTTGAACAGATATCCAGAAAATAATTGCAAATGATATATTGTTGCTGTGTAAGTTAAATGTGATTGGTTCATTCGTAGTCACATGACTTAAAATGAATGCAATGTTTCCTGCTAAGGAACAAGTGGACAATTGTTGCGCGCTCATTTTAATATGCTGTGGTCACTATCGTATAGCGTTTTCCAACGAAACTATGCTGGATGAATCTATCCCGGAAGACGTTAATTTTATTGAAAAGCTATCAAAATCTATGATTTTGTCTCAATGTAACAAAACATTGAGATTCTCGGAAAAAAAATATACTGTTTCCCTTGGGAGCATACATTAAGTGTATATAGTTTATTGCAAGGTCTTCATTGTGAGTTTTATCAGGGATCTATAGATCTACAGAGAGCTATATCTATTTAATTGTATTTTTTCGATTGTATCAAAAATCTCAGAGAAAAAGGCAAGGATTTAAACAAGAGAATGCATGCAGAATAAAACGTCGACCCAAATATTACAAAGTTTTAATATGGTAGAGTAAACACGAGCTTCTATTTAGTACTCATGAAAAAGTTACTATCGTTGTCATTATCCGGGTTTTAGCCCCCGACATTTAATATGGTGAAGTAAACACGAGCTTCTATTTAGTACTCATGAAATAGTTACTATCGTTGTCATTATCCGGGTTTTGGCCCCCGACATTTAATATGGTGAAGTAAGCACGAGCTTCTATTTAGTACTCATGAAAAAGTTACTATCGTTGTCATTATCCGGGTTTTGGCCCCGACATTTAATATGGTGAAGTAAGCACGAGCTTCTATTTAGTACTCATGAAAAAGTTACTATCGTTGTCATTATCCGGGTTTTGGCCCCCGATATTTAATATGGTAGAGTAAACACGAGCTTCTATTTAATACACATGAAAAAGTTACTATCTTTGTCATTATCCGGGTTTTGGCCTCCGACATTTAATATGGTGAAGTAAACACGACCTCCTATTTAATACACATGAAAAAGTTACTATCGTTGTTATTATCCGGGTTTTTGCCCCCGACTGTCAGTTATCTAAAATGACTTATGATGAAATGAATGTGTTTGTTACTATAAATATATGTGTTGTCAACTTTTCAAAAGATTCTTTTTCTTTAGGGAAAACTGAACTCGCGAAACAAGTTGCCAAATACCTCCACAAAGATGATAAAAAGGTACTCGTAAGTCGTATATAATTAACAGCAAACGTTAGAAACTTCATTTCTTATTTTCGATGTTTAACGTATAAATATTCGGCCATTTTATCGAGAAAAAACCAAAACATTGTAAAAAAAAGATGGCGACGGTTTCAATTTCCCACAATGCATTTCTATCATAAAATACTATGTAAAAATTTTAAAGTAAAAATAGTTTGAGAAAGATGGCAATCAAAGGATTTAATGATGTCAAAGTTACAGAACAGAACGACATTTTTACTTGTATTTTCTTCTCTTCAAAAGAAATCTCAGAGTCTCTAACGAAGTGACGAGAAACATATAAGTTTAACTTTGAGATATTTTGGAGATCTATAATTTTTACCAAATTGTTACTTGACAGAACTATTGCTAGTGTGTCCCGTCATTTTTCAGTGTTATTCGCCAATCGATGTCTAAACTTAATATGTCTTACAAGATCACAAAGTCGGTAAAACGAACCGCGCCCGCAATGCTCGCATGTATAAATGGCGTTTTTTCTTGCGTGTGACCGAATGTGCTTCTTCAAGTTACTCGGATCTCCAAAAGACTTCCAACACACGGTGCAGCGAAGTGGTTTATGACCGGTGTGCGTGCGCATGTGTATTTTTAGCACATATCTTCGGCAATAAGACTTTCCGCAGTAGTCACATATAAAACGGGATCCATTCTTGCCTTTGTTTTCATTATCAGATTCTGCGGTGAAAGCATTTCCGAGCTTTTCGCTTTTGCTTTCACTCTGTTTTTCCTCCTTGTGCTGTAGCAATGAATTATTCGTGCTTAATCCTGATGTAACTGCATTTAAAGGGTCTGCTTTACATTCACCGTTGTTTGGTCATCTTTCTTTATGGAGTTATTAACTTCTTTTTTCATCATAAACTGCTGAAGAAGATTAGTGTTCACATCCTTGTCGTTTGTTTGACATAGACTCTCTTCACTTGGGACGTGTTTTCCGTTTTTTCCATTGAATACATTTTTTGAAGGGATGAAAATCTGCTGAGGTTGTTCATTTTTTGTTGGTATTATCCAATGTTCTTGTCCATTGCTTTGTATGCTTTCTCCATTTTTTTGTGTATATTTTGTTGAAAGTACTTCAAGATACTCTTCGCTTGAGTTATTATATGTTTGATGGTCTCTCGATATGATAAACGGCGAAGACCAGTTAATTGTGCTGCCTATCGAGTGCTTTATTGCAACGTGGCGGTTTGTTGAGATTGTCCTTTCATGTACACCCATCGTCCTGTTAGTCCTGGCGTCTGAATTGTACGGTAACGTGTAATGCGTGTGTAAATTATCTCTGTTGTATTCCCATATTTTTGACCATTTTTCTGGAAAGGACTGCACATATGTATTACGTCCAGTTTCACTTCGTCCAAATATCCAATCAAGGTTATCTTGTTTAGGTATGCTTATATTCTTTAGGAAGTTTCTTTGCTTTTCATGTTCATTCGTATTTTGAAGTGTACACATCAAGTCTTTATCATCGTCGAGCTTTATGTCTGCTGTAGAATATATTTCTTCCGTGCATTTTTTATTGTTCCTGTCTGTAAGTTAAATAATTTTATTGTTACTACCTGCTATACGTCGAACTCTTGGTTAATACTAAATGTCTTTGGGATCGAGATAAAATTAAAAAAAATACCATAGTCCGTTCTCTGTTTTTTTCTTTTTAGCGTTTCTTCTTCGTTGAAAGAATAGACCAGCTCTTCCCCAGTCTTTATTTCGCACCACGCGCGGAAAAATATCTCCCCGTTGTCATCAATGAGTGCTTTTACATTTGCTTTTTTTTCACGAGACGAAGGACAGACGTATTTTAACCAATTGAATTGACGACCGTACTTACACACTACATTTTGGTCTTTTCGTTCCACCTGCATGAATATATTGTGGTTGATTAACGATATTATTTATGGAAGAAAAGTTTGTTCTTTCCCACTAAATATATAGTGTACAAAAACTCCGCAAATGATATAAATTATGCCGACTAACTTGCCATGTTTTTTTTTATAAATTTAGTTGCTTATAATTTTGTGTTAGTTTTGGACTTTGGCAAAAAATTCTGTGTAACGTATCAAACGTCAAATAATTGTATTCATCGACCAACTCTTGTAAATCAAGATATTACATTGAAGAAAAGAATCTACTGTGTATGTTATATAATGATGTCTGTCACTATAAAATTTTGTAGCGTATTAGCTAACTCGTGCATGTGTTGTATTCTCTTAATTTCGGCAAAATTAGAGCAGTTAAGTTTATAGATTACCACTAAACGACTTTAAAGAGATGCCTTTTTTGTTTCATTGTGTTACCTCAACGAAGCCGATCTTTTGATCTTCGTGGCTGTTTTGCGATTTTATTAAGCGCACTGGTATACTTCCAAAGCCAACGCCCATTGGAATATCAGAGGCTGCTCGCACACCAATGTCGAAAAATGTTGCGTCCATCAACACTGTCAGTGTATTCTCGACGATTTTCAATGATTTTATGTTGAATTGAAAAAAGTGAAAACCGATCGCTTTGTTTTGTATTACTTGTTCCGTTCACGTTGCTTGCATGCGAACCGAATGACTTTGATGTTGTGCAGGAATATTATTTTATTGAATTTGGCGGTCAGCATGCACCTGCCAAAGCCAAAACAAGTCCTTTTGATTTATTTATGAATGAGATAACGTTGATTATGTTATTTTGGCATAATTATTCATTAATCGTAAGCACTATATAAACATTCGCGAGAATCGCGTGATTTTAGAATGCTGCTGTTTTGCGTGCGATTCTAAACTCAAGGTAAAGCCTTGACTTATGATTACCTCATATCTGTAGTTCTAGGTATTTGTGTGTTTTTATTACAAAAACATTGAAAAAGAAAGACGACATTATGAATTCTTTGCGGTAAAACTTAGTATAATAAACTCATCTTTTTTCTTAATTGACACGTGTTTTACACTCAACCGCATGGATTTCATCCAATTTATTTTTCATGCGGATGTCCAATAAAATTTTATACACAATTCTAAACTCATTCTCGAGTACTTTATTAAAGTTTCATTCATGTTACTCGCATGTGTAAATAATTTTTGCATTAACTGGAAGGATCGAGCGTTGTATTGTTACAAATATGTTAAAAAATTCATGGCTTGTAATTATGTCGAATGTGTTCATCCATGCTGCGTGAGCTTTCAATGGTCAGGCATGCGCATAAATCATTAAATAGCTTGTCATTGTAAGGTCGTCCAAGTGAGTGCATAATTGTTTTTTTCGGTCAAAGATAAAATGAATTTGGCTTTTTCTCATCTCGAAGTGCAAAACACAAATCTTTTCTTATGCATGGGACGTGTCATAGCGCATACAACAAAAAACACCTTATGAGAATTGACGACAATTACAAATGAAATGGTTTTTCTCAGTTAAAACACGTATTAAGTCTTTGTTAGATTGTTAAAGATATACTCACAGATTGATGGTTTTTACACTTCATTCAAACATACACATGAACTTGTTTTGTGAAATTGCTAATTATGATGTCGTGTTAACGCCATCTGTCAGCCAGCAGCCATATGCAAGAAACTTATTTCGATGATTTGTTGAAATGGGAACACAAATGCGTACAAATTTCTCAAAGAATCTCGTTGAAATGGCGACGCACGCAAGTCTTTCATCAAGTAATCAAATTTTTAAAGATTTATTCAAAAAAGAAAAACATAAACTATAAATTAGCGTAACTCCCAATTTACGTCTACATTCTTTTGATTTAAAGCTCCTAATATGCCTCCTACACGCTGCTTATTTTACATATATACACTCTATTCAGCGTGTGTGCGTTTGATCCGCTTATTTGGGATACTACATGATCTTGACGTTACTTTGTTTTTTTTTTGCCTGTTTTACGTTCACAATACCTTAATTGGTCAATTTATGTTTCAATGGTCGTTCTATTTACCTAGCCTGTACAACCTAGCCTGAACAATATGTTGTAAAATATTTTCATGGTTTCATCTCAATTGCATTTTACGGAACATTTGCAGACATTTGAAATGTTCCAAAAACTTTCTATCGTGTTTATTGACAGGTTGCACAGCAAGTCGTCGCTTTTTATTATTCAGTTCCATTATACATCTATAGCTTAACGTTCTTTGATTTCATTCAAGGGTTTTATACGGTTAGACATGTCCGAGTTTCAAGAAAAGCACGAGGTATAAATTTTATTACATTGAAGTATAATATAATTGGACCAGACTTCAGTCGTCCGTATCATTCAGTGGCGATAATATATTGAGCGTTGTGATTGAAACACCAGTCTTAAATCTGGAATACAAACAAAACCTCCAACTGAAGTCAGTATTTTTTTTTAATATTCACACCGAGGGTGTATAGATTTCAGTTTCATACACAATATTTACAGTAAACTAAAATGTGAGAACTGCTATATTCATCTTGTTCTATTAAATCGTCGTCTCTAATAATGAGCTACTAAATAAAACTATAATGTATCTATAATGTCACGAAAGGAATGCGAATAAGATAAGAAAACTTAAAAGAACTCCGTCGTGTTATTCCTAAATTTTTGAGAGTTTGTCTTAAATTTAAATGTAATAACAGAGTATTTGCGTAATTTCGCTCTACGATGATAAATACTTTGTTATATCTACGCACTCACAAAAGGCAATTTTAACCTACTGTTCTTCAAGTTCCCTTTTCATCAAAGTTTGCCTGTAATATGTGAAACTTTATCGAATGTCATCGGAAAATCATCTGCTTCAATGATTTCTATTGATTACTGTTGAGAAAATGAAGATTGATTTAGCGCAGAATTTGTAGAGGTTTTAGGCGAGGAATTATTAATGAGAAAACGAGCGGCTGGGTTCGTTTTGCTGTGTAGTCACGAATTCAATCTTCTCGACAAAAAAATGTATAAAGGCAAACTATATTTTGAAATGAAATTCCCTTGTCGTTTTGAACGATAGTATATGGAGGACATGGGTCTAATCAGTTGTTGTAGTCCATCCTATTTTTTAAATTATTTATGTATAAATGCTGTGAGTTTTCGGTTTTCACTGCCTACAACTTCGGAAATTATTGGTGAAATAACTTTAGGATACAAATGACGACGACTGCCAATAATGTTTTCTGTTGCTTTTTTTCATTGGTCACATTTCATCGCAATTTATAAGGAAGCTGTTTTTCCGATGATCTCCGATGAGCTACGATAAATTGCGTCGTATGAATTTATTCAGGTAGCAAAGATGATTGGCTCACCCCCTGGATATATCGGTCATGACGAAGGTGGTCAGCTGACGAAAGCTTTGAGAGAGTGTCCCAATGCTGTGGTTCTTTTTGACGAGGTATAAAAGTTTTAACCGTACATCTAACAAACTAACACGTTCTGTACTTTCCAAGGTAATCTCTCCACAAAATTTATATAATTGTAATAAACGTAAAGAAATTTCCTTCAAGGTTGACAAAGCTCATCCAGACGTTCTCACCGTCATGTTACAGCTGTTTGACGAGGTAGGTCTTTGTTTCAAATGTAGCGGTGCATTTGTAAGAGGAGTCATATACGCATAAATTTTTTACATAAACAGGGTCGACTTACAGATGGCCAAGGTAAAACGATCGAGTGCAAAGACGCCATTTTCGTGATGACGTCTAATCTTGCTAGTGATGAAATTGCTAAGCATGGTTTAAAACTTCGGAAGCAAGCACGTCAAATAATCGAGGAGCGAGAATCGAAGACAGCAGGTGGTTTAGTGGTCGCAGGAGACTTTTTAATGAACTCAAGCGGCTCTTTTAATTCCCAAGATTTAATGTCATTAACTTTGGTGTTTTAGCAGGAAAGTTGGAAGTTGATCTGTCGTTGAAGCGGATTGAAATTTCAAAGAAATTCAAAGAAGAAGTCGTCCGACCAATACTTAAGGTAAAATATGGTTATTATAGTGAAAGAAATGTGTCAAAGAAATGTGTCAAGTCGAATTTGCGATATTTTTATTCTCGTTAAATGGCATCCTTTTGCTTTATCCAAGAAGCTGATCAATCCTAAAGTTGTTGCCAAAGTTTTTTTCTTATTTTTTTAAAGTGCCGTTGTTTTTAGTTTCATTTTAGACGAGATGAATTTCTTGGAAGGATCAATGAAATCGTATATTTTCTTCCATTTTCTCAAAGTGAACTGCTCAAATTGGTTGAAAAGGAGATGTATTATTGGAGCAAACGGGTAATCTGTACATATTTTTACTGTTTTTAATAAGGAATCGTAATTATGTCGGGTATATTAATATTTTTTTGGAAAATTTGTACCCCTTCTAGCCAAGGCTAGGGGATGCGCACTCCCTCCCCCAAGGTACCTCTCCCCTAAATTTATCCCTGATTTATGTTTCATACAGGCATTAGAACGTCACGACATTCACTTGAGTTGGGATAAAGAAGTATTAACATGTATGGCTGATGGTTATGATGTACATTATGGGGCAAGGTCTATCAAACACGAGGTATAGTATGACGAAAATTCCTTTTTTGTATTCGTGGAATTGCTAAATTGTGTCTCTTGAAATGTAGCGGTCGTTTTCTCACTGAATAAGAAAACGATATACATAGGTATGTGTAATATAGTGGTGGACTTACTGGTTGAGGAGGATGCAGGTGAGGGAGATGCCCCACTCTCTTTGGCTAGAGAGCGTACGGGAGAAGAGGCGATTTGCTAACAAGCAAATTATTGTATACGTAAAATGTACCCAGAAATGAAGGAAAAAGCAATTTTAATTTGTGTTTAACTGAGGAAACCTTTAAAACAACCTCCCAATAATGGTGTAGTACCAGAGCACCTCATCTCTACAAATTGTCTATCCATATTTATCCATGTTAACACCTAATATAGTTATTGTAGTATCGAAGAGGATGGCCTTCAGCTGCAACTTAAGGGCTTTAGAAGCTTTTTGATGTTGTAGACCTGTGTTCTATGCTCATTATGGGATAACACGCAAACGTTAAACTAAGTAGCAAAACGATGTCAAAGATGTCATAGTGAAAAGACTTATCTTTATTTGAAAATTTGGTATATCTATATAAACCCGGTATTCAATATATTGCGAATGTTTTAGCAAGAAGTTAAGTTTTTAGATGTCCTTCCTTAAAGGGACACCTGCGCTACAAAAATTGTCTTTGTCAGGACATCCAGTGGCTGCAACTCACAACTGTTTTATTTTTACAGCCTTATGGCACTGCACAACGTTAAGCAGTAAAATATATATGAGATAAGCTTTTCGCATCTCGATGTCCATACTCAAGAAGCCTCTTCTTATGCGAACAAGGAGTAGATCTTACGCGACATGCAATACTTGGGATTTAATCAAATTCAAAATCGATGTCTATAAATAAAATAATACATTTCATGAAACGTTGTTTCATCTCCCCCCCCTTCCCCCAGAGACAGGAAAGCTATAGCAACATATTGCGCCTGTGATGTCAAATAAAAACTTCCACATTTGCAGGTTGAAAGAAAAGTTATCAATCAAGTAGCGGCCGCTCACGAACAAGAACTGGTCGGCAGTGGTTGTGCCGTCCATATCGCCGTGAAGCACGAGCAAAACGAGGAAGAAAATATCGTTGTATCAAAGATTGTGTTGGAAGTTCTTGAAAACAATAAAGAAAAAAGACAGATACAATTGGATGATTATTACGCTCCTGAACAAACTGCAGTATTTTGATGGGGTCATGGAACGAGAGTAAGAAACGCTATAATCTTCATACATTGGTGTGAGCTGAGTTCAATGATTTACTTAATACTATTGCAAACAAACATTGGCAATGATAAATATTCAATGCAACAGAATAACATAGAGACAGGCAGAAAAAACAGGGATAGTGAATTTGTTATAGGTCTCCATTGTTCTAAGCTTTCAATAAAGCATTTACGACAGCCCTTGCGTTCAGATTTCGTAGATCAGCGTACGTTTGACCAGTTCCAACAAATACTATTGGTTGTCCAGTTGTGTACGTCATTGATATTGCAGCACCAACCTTAATGAGGTACAAAAAAAAAGTTCTTGAAATTTCTATTATCTACAAAAACATGCGTTTACTATGCATATAGCTATTATAACCATACCTTGTCATCAATGGTGTCAAACTTGGTGAGCACAATACCATCAATCAACCTTGGATTTTCTTGAGATGAAAAATCAGCTAATGCCTGGTTGAACTTACTAAGCTGATCAACAGCTTCATTGCCAACTAAAGCTTCTCCAACAAACAATATAAGGTCGGGATCATTGATGCGAATGAGCTAAGAAATGAAAACATATTTTTCAAAGTTCAAATAAAACATAATCTAGCTTATCATCTCACAGAACTTACTTTGGAAAGTGATCGCATTAGAGGTTCGTTGTCTTGCATACGACCGGCAGTATCAATCAATACCACATCAAACCGTTGATCTCGAGCTGAAAAAATTACTATTTCTTAATACCGTGAACAAGAAATCAATGGTTTTCAAACTGTCTGTTTTCTATTTTTTTTTTTTTTTTTGAAATGAGACTTTCTGTCAGTCAAAGTCACAGTTTTAGAATTATGTATTTTTGCATGTTCAAGAAGTTTTATCCATTGATATTATCTCAGTTGAAACTAGCAAAAAGATCTTCGTACCAAAGTTGATGGCATCCATTGCAATAGAAGCAGCATCCTTTCCATAACCACGTTCATACAACATCACTGACAACATACCATTGCCGTCTGGTGCAGGATGAAGTGAGTTGAGTTTACGCACATGCGTACGCAGCTGCTCAACTGCACCAGCACGAAAAGTGTCACATGCTGCAATCATAACTCGAAGTCCATTTTCCAGCAACCAAAAGCAAATCTACGACGTGTAAAAAAGTACGGAGTATTCATGAAGAAAGCAAATAAGTAAATCATCGAACATTGCTTACTACAGTACCATAAATTTCTACGAGTATATCATACTATACGTTAATGCTAACCTTGGCGAGGTTAGTTGATTTGCCTACACCATTGACGCCACAGAATGTGATAGAGTACGGCCGTCCACGACGTTTAGCGGCCAATGCATCCCTAAGAATGTCGACACGACGACGTGGTGACAAGATCTGTACAAGTGATTCTTCCAGTCCTGATTTTACAGTGGACGATATACCTTAAAAGTAATACAATATGCAAAAATAGTATATCCTTGTCGAAATCCGTTTTGCACATATTTATGAAGCAAACAGAAAATTCAATGAAAATGCTCACTAGAAAATGTTCCAAGAACTTTGCCTTCAAGTTTTGTGGCAACACTCTCACATAATTTCTCTGCGATATCAGAAGCGACGTTCTTTGCTGTAAGAGTATTATAACGTCATTCATCCTCCTATTGTTGGTCAAACTTAAATGTCCTTTATGAACGCATATAATATTGATTTTTTTATTTTTGAGTGTGAAATTATTTGGGTAAACAAACCAATCAAGTGTTCTCTCATTTTTTCTAAAACTGGTTCAACGGATTCTCTTGTTAGGGTTTTCTGGCTTGCAAGTCCCTTGAACCATGCAAATACACCACCCATCTCCTTTTTGGAATTGCTATTGAGGGTAAAAAGTAAAATGCACAAGATTAAAAAAAACTATCTGAAAGATGAAACTAAAGACATGAGATAATCCAAATCACTGTAACCTTAAAGATTCAGTGTCATTTTCCTCTCCATTCTCATAAACATCCTCATCTTCAAGATCATTTTCATAGTCCATGGGTTTAAGTTCACCCTCCATTGTACCAACAAATGATCTCTGTGAAGATTAGATAACATCGGATTTATATACACATGTGTAGTATGAATGATATAAAAAGGATAGAGAGAGATAGTATCCCACCCCACACCATACTACAATAATAGCTTTTGTCATATTCTTACATGCAACTTGCAATTACTTGCATGCATCTAGGATCAAATATACTCATCCTTTTGTAAGAACAAACTTACTAAGTTCTCTACTTCTTCTCTTTCCTCTTTTCTTATACCATTGTAGTCATCATCATTTCCAACACTGTTACTGTAGTCAAGGGTTGTGCTATCTTTCTTTGATCCTCCATTCTCCCACACTCTTGCCGTTTTCTTTCGTTCTTTCTTTGCTGATGGAGAACCTTTTCTAAAAATTGGCATGTTAGCATGTCAGTATTGGTTTCAATTCCAAAGAGAATGGATCGGCAGACATTGACATATGTAAAATAACATCTTATAATAACATTTCATGCAAACATGTAATATAAAAGAGCTGCAGTCACCCAGAAGGTTTCGGATTCTTTCCGACCATTTTCTTCATCATTTTTTCTCGGTTGATGCGTATCATTTCATCAGTAGCCTCTCCATTTTCTGCAGGCAGTTTTGATTCTGCAGAATTTTTTTCATCCTTGGCAAGGTTAACTTTTTTAACTGATTTTTCTGTGAAATACATACAACCAAATGGTTATTGTATAAATTCATCTTCTCAAGAAAAAACTCAACAGTCTACCCAGTTTTAAAAATGGATTAAGAATGTGATTATTTACCAGGTTGAGTTTTATTTTTTTCTGTCTTTGTTTCTTTCTTTGGGTCGATTTTCATCGACGCAACAGTTTTTTGAGATTTTTTTGACTCTTCAAAAGTCCTCATTTTCTTTGGTGCTTTCGACTCCAACTTAGCAGAAGTCTCTATTTCTTTAAGGATACCATTAAAATTTTCCTCAAAATCATAATTTCTCATCTTGCCCATTTCTAAGTCATCTTTGTATTTGTTGCGAAAAGCAAGTTGTATTTCAGTCAAGAGTTTGTCAATATATGATAATTGCAGATTCTTTTGATAAGCCACCTTCAAATATCAAAAGATCAATGGCAATAATAAATACAACTATATTCCACTCCACAGATACTCTCATGATTATGAAATGAAAAAGTTTAGAAATATACTGTTCAACAAATCAGCTAAACAAAATTAGTAATCTTGAATAAGATAAAGTTCCTCACTTTCAACAGTTTCCCTGCTAGCTTGAAGTAGCAACGACGGGAAGAATTTAAACAAAGCACATGGATCATAAAGTCAGTATTTTTATAGTTATTAGTATCAGGCATCATTTTGTGGCACACAGCTGCCTGGCATAATAACCAAACAACAAAAATTAACTACTCACTACAAATACGAGCTCAAACTCATTATCCAACTTGTACTTTAACGCAAGAGAGCCATGACTGAAAGAACTTTCTGCTCCACGTTCCTGTACAAAAAAAATTATAATTACAAGTTCGTATTGGCAATGGCTGAAGTTAATAAACGGATATTTTCATTATTACATACCTGAAGTATGACATTTCTGATCAATTCATTTACTGGCAAAGTGAATGACTGGCATGTACCTTGAAAGCACCAAAGAACAATTCCTCCTTTTGAGAAAATGGTGAACAAATCCAACATTTTCAAAAACTCTAGTTCAGTATTTGAAATGTAACGAATTATATGTTTACACTGTTTTGAATATATGTATATTTGTATAATGATTCATCGTTTGGGAAATATTCCTATTCTTTCACATAATGACATTCCTTGGCAAAATGCGAGTTATTCCTTAATGGTGGTAAAGGCAGAAAACGAACTAACAATACAGGCAGTTATTAAAATTGAAAATAAAAACTAAGAAATGGCTAAAAATGTAAATCTCCATGATACAGAGGAAAAAAATGGTACAATTTGATTGTTAAAACGATATCGCTTCCTTTTGTCTTTTAAAACAATAGGTTTTCTGGTTTCCACTTAACAAAGAGTTGTCCTACTTCATTTAAGTCGCATATTGTTGTTGCACGTGTAAAATGGCTACGGCCAGACAGATTGGCGGTGGAGCAGAGACCTATTTTGCCAAGAAACTAGCGAGTAATGACAAAATCGTGAGAGATAAAGCCGTGAAAAAGTTGAAAGCATGGATATTGTCACGAAGCTCTAAATCTACAGGTTCTATTTGTTTTTATATGACATTTCAACCTTTTCATTCCTGTTGCTGTCATGACTTTTATAAATAAAGTCAATACGAACTACTCAGTTCTCAGTAGATGTCCTCATTTTTTCTCTAAATACGTTTTGTTGCATGTGTTGCACTCTCTATACCATTTGCTGATACGTTTTGCGAACATGTTGAAATAAATAATTGATGTTATAGCTTGACACTGCGGACTTTTAACATAGTTAATGACTGACAATAATCAAAGACCTGACCATCTTTCAATACGTGCTAACATTTCACTATTCATATGCGTACACATTATGTCTTGAAGTATACAGTAAAGATCTATAGTATACCTGGGTGTTTTTACAGATCTCAATGAAAATAACTTGATGAAACTTTGGAAAGGTCTTTTCTTTTGTGTATGGATGGCAGATAAACCAAATGTTCAGGTAAAGTCCCTTACTGGAAAGTTTTAGTGTGCACCCAAAATCTTGGGTGCACCGTTTGGAGAAAACCAAACTATTATGAATGCATATTTTGAATCTTGAGTGCACCGTTTACAAACTTTCCAGTCATGGTAAAATCTAAAATGATTTGCATTAGGTTGATTATGCCAGAAAGCCTTTGACATGTTTTTGTTATTATGTGCATAAACATTTTTAGGAAGAATTAGCAGAGGTAATTGCACAACTTCTTCACTGTTTTCAAGATGTTTCTTCAGGTGTGTGTGATGTTTTTTTGTTCAAAATGAATATGACAGTTTCTTGTTGAAACTTGTCACCTTCATTGTGCCAGAATTCTAAGCAATTTCTCATTATCCAATTAGTTTACTAATTTATATTTGTTCAAAAATATGTAGCTCTGGATTATCTTCATGCGTTTTATAAAACTATTTGCCGGGAATGGCATGGAATTGACAGACTTCGCCTTGACAAGTTTTACTTGGTAAGTAAAACAGTCTTAATAATTGAAGAAGTGATATTTCTCATAAAGATTAACATATAGTACTGCTCAAAAGTAAGTTTGCCGAAATTGCATTCCGAACTCGTTCCAAAATGTGTTCCAATTGCATTTGGCTCAAGGTGGAATGCGTAACAAAACACGTTTTTGGCTGCATCCAATCATTGATCGGTAATCATCATTCATACTTGTTATACAAGTGTTCAATTTTGGAAATTTCCGCATCTCTCCCATTATTCAATTAGATAAAAAGAAACTTAGAAACACACAAGCCTATTTCACCCACAAAAATCACCATGAAGTTTATAAATAACCATAATTAGAGTTGTAAATTGTTGTTCTCTCATGATTTATAGCTCATTCGTAAATTTGTCCTTGAGACTTTCAATTATCTCAAGAAACAAAATTGGAAAGAAAAGTATGTTATCTTATGGCTTTTATTTTATGTATTATAACTCACTTGGCTTGTGTTGCATTTCATTATACATGATTATACATATATGCCTTATGATTTATTTGTATTTGTATAGATTTAATAGTATCTATTTATTTATTCAAAGTAAAGCAATTTTTTTCCAATTGTAACAAAATTGAAAAGAATTGCTATATTTTGAATAAACAAAATAAGTACTTGCTTTACTTTTGTAATTATATTAAGCACTTTTTTACACTCAATTAACAATTCATAAAAGAAGGAATTATGTTCCCAAATATACATGTATACTTACACACACATATACACCTAATTTGATTATAAATTTATGTTTGTAATGTAGCATTCTAACGGTAATATTGTGTTATACCTTTGACTTCTGACAATTTGTGTCAATCTTTATGTTAGTCCAAATACCAAATATTTAAATCTACCACATATTACAATAACATGTTTCATGTAGATCTGTAAAGTTGGTTAATGAAATGCTGACATCTGGACCATTGTCCTCTTCTTGTGAGACAGTAAGTAGCAATAAATTTGACTCTATGTTGCTGCTGCCTGATTGTAAAACTGTATGTGTACTTTAATGTCGTTTCTGTGGTATTTTTTATTTAGTTTTTTGTTCCTGAAGGTGTACAATCACATATGATTCAAGTATACCTTGAAGAACTAGGAAAGTGTCAACTGTCTCATGTATGAAATATTTTTCTAAATCGACTGAATTGGTTTAACTGGTGTATACGTGTATAAAATAGATTTTATGTTCAGATTGAAGGACCTGTTCTTCTTCAACTATTTCAACCATTCATTCAACTATTAGCCAACATCAAACGGTATGAATATGCTACTCACTACTATAGTAAACTTTATAAAATATATAAAATACTGTGTATTGTATTTTCAATTATTGTTGTTAAAAACTACTAGGAAAGTGATTCTAACAACTTTATCCCGAGAGATATTTGATAAAATCTTCGTAAAAGATGACGAGACTAGTGAATATCCGATCAAGGTATGGCTTGCATGTGCTTGTTATCAAATACGTATGAGTTCTTCTTCCAAAAGTTGTCTGGTGTTATGTTGCTTCACATGGATATAAATGTAATTCATCAAAAAACTTTGCCATAATTTAGATACCGTACTGCTCAGAAGTAACGCTCGCGTTCCATTTGCGTTTCGAACGCGGCCGGAACGCGTCCCGAACGCGTTCCAAGAAAAATTGGGGATACTTTTTGAATGCGCTCTCGATTGTTCAAAAAAACTCATTATAACATGGAAATTTCCTAAATTGAACACTAATATAGCGAGTATAAATGATGATTACCGATCAATGATCAGATTCGCCAACAACGCGTTTTGATACGCGTTCCATCTTGAGCCGAACGCAACTGGAAGCATTTTGGAACGAGTTCGGAACGCGTTTTCGGTAAACTTACTTCTGAGCAGTACTGTAATTTATCTGTTAATAACAATTTACATTCTTCTACTACAGATGGACTTTTCATCTCTAAGTGAAGAACTGTTTTCATGGGCTAGTCGTAGAGACATCCCAATTAGAAACAGACAAATTTTGTATGAGTATATTGAAAAAGTCAAGACCATTTCCCAGGAAAGTGAGACCACTCCTGCAAAAGACGGAAATCATAGAATAAATGGATTTGTTGACGAAGATTTGAAGACTGATGACAATGACAAAGACAGTACTGTCTTAACCAATACGAATATACCCAACCAAAATTTTAGCCGAAAATCAAACAAAAAGACCAAACGAGAACGAGTGGTACAAAATACCGAGAAAAGTGATGTTCAAATTGTTACGAATAACAATTTTTCTGAAACTGAGCACAGTTTCAAAAAGAAAAAAAGATCTAAGAAGGCAAAAACTGCCAACGACAGTTCTACTGGTGTTAATACGTCAATTAATGGTTTATTGAAAGGTAATGAGATTGTTGCTCATGAAAACGACGAGGCAATCGCTTTAGAATCATCAGAAAACAAGAACGTCATAAAAAATAGCGGAACTAGTAAGAGGAGAAAAATGAATTCCAAAGTTGCCGATGTAACAATTATAAATTCGAAAGACGGATATAAATCTAACGGGAAAAGAAAAATGAAAAAGGTCGTGAACATAAAATTGTCGATGAGAGCGAAACGAGTGAACGAATGAACAAAAGAAGAAAACATTCTGTCATTATGAATGCTGACAGTGAGGTATTCTCAGAAAACAACGCGAATGACGATGAATTATCCCGCGTGGAATTTCCTACGGAAAGTGATGACTTGGAAGACGTTAACAATACTATTAATTCTTTAGATGGGTCGTATTTGAGCACGTTTTCCCGTAAAAATATTCGTAAACTCCGTTCCTCAAAGAAAACAACTTCAAAAAGTGAGCATAAATCTAAGCCATCTCCCGAGGAAAACATTTTACAAGCGCAAACATCTCTCGTTCAAAATTCTTTTGAGGAATGTCGTTCATCAGAGCCTAATGAAGATGATAACAAAAGGCAAGATACTAACGTTTCAACAAGTGATAACCGTGACAGTGACTCGATGCCTATAGCCATGTTTGTCCGTCATTCTTTGAAGAAATTGAACAATAATTCTGATGGAAAATCGCAGGGAGACAAATCGGTAAGCTTTTTATGATACCACGAATTAAGTTTTGAAAGCAATCATCTCAAAAACAAAAATTTATAGAAGGAACAAGTTCACCATTTCCCTACATTGTGTCATGAGATGAAATTTGAAATTTTATATGTTTTGATAATTTTTGATAATTTTTATTAAATGTTTTTATATATTTTGCTAGTGTGCAAAATACTAATATATTTAACTGTCAAACGAAACTTTTCACGTGTATTTAAAGATTTTTTATTTATTGATGTTGGCATTAGATATCCTATTTAGTACCCCCTATTTTTACAAAGTGGATGGGGGGGGGATGGTTTTTAAAAAATGACCTGAAGTATGCAATTAAGGAAATAATTTAGGCTTTTGTGAACATACGTAAAGTTGCAGGTGGAATTCAGTTGCTCATCGGTTTATTTTTAAACACTGCTTTAATCCCTGTTCTCTTCTACTGTCTGGGAATATAATCTTTTCTTTTGAAGTTTTGATGTGGATGCAGCGTCTTACAGTAATATTTCAATTACTACTGCCAACTACAATATTGCAATTTTTTATTCACAAGAGACAGCATGTCGTGGGTTTTATCTGATGTTGAATGTTGCGTATGTTGTACTCTTTACAGACCATTGACAAACAGGAAAGCTCCAGTCAGAAGAAAAAAGTGCGCATAGAATTATCGAAGAACACCAGTCACTCAACTAGAGGTAAGTATTAAAGTACGTACCTGTTCAGCATTGTAGTGAATGATGAATTGTAGAAAGTAATGCATTTAAAATTGATTCACAAAATAATTAGTTGCACCGATGTGAAAGTATGACAGACAGAGCATACATGCACGAGTTTATGGAATTTCCTCAGCTTTAACTAATATGTTTGTTTGTTTGAAAACTAGATTACCGTCATCTGCTCAAGTGTAAACTTGTCATTCCATATGATGCCGGGAAGAAACCCGGTCAAAGTTTATTGAAAACGTCTTTTTCACCGGAGACCAGTAAGTGTACGGGTGCTTTGAAACCACAGAAGCGTCCAACTGCGTCTGATTTTTTTTAAACATACAATTTTATGTCTGTCAAACCTCTTATAATCTCTCTTGTCATCCTCACCAACTGCAAACATTAACAAATTGAAATGATGCGATTGCTTGTATCATTCTGTCAATTATTCCCTCGCATTCAGTAAGATTTTTTAACATGCTTATAACTAAATTGTGCTCAATTTTTGTTGTGTATTGTTGATTATCGTGGGAATTCAAAAAAAATCTAGGAATCTTGCTGCAAACAGTGTTTATATAAAATAGGACTTTATAAAACATGTAAAACTTAATGAGTAATGTATATTAAATTATCAAAAATAATTCCTTCATGTGGGACATTGAATGAAAATACTACATACCATATCGCCTACTCTATCTCTCTTAACCCTAACTCTATCACCCCCTTTCTACGCTATCCCCTAATCTTCCACCCTCTATCCTAACCTACCTTACTCTATCCCCTACTCCACCACTCCTGTATTGAGTTTAATAACAAATTTACGTTATTCTCCTATGCGTAGGAGTGCACCATAATGATTTCTATGAAATTGTGTAGGCTTCTTGGCTTGCGGTGTTGACTAGTGTAGAATATTATGGAATAGTTATAGCCTCTTATCATAAGTCTTTTTGAACCTGATTTGCTGAAAAGTAGTGAAAGTCAAGCAATTTTCTTTTCAATTCAAAAAAAAACATTGCGGCAGTGTAAGTAAACCAAGATTTCAACAAAAATTACAAAACAATGCAAAGAATAAAAATAAAACAGCAAGTAGCTTCTATTTTTGTGCAAATATTTTTAACAGTTGACCGCGTAACGAGTCTTTTATGAAACGATAGAGAGTAACAAAGCGAGACAGATTTAGACGACACAGTCAAGAAATATATCAAAGTATGTTATCATTAAGTAATCGTATAGTTTCTCGTTATGAAAACTCACACTTCCGCCCTTTTACTGAAAAAATGTTGAAATCAACAGTCAAGTAGCACATTTGTGTTGGCAAGCATGTAAACGAGATGTGGCTTTTGACATGTGTTACGTGCAGTGCTTTAGAACTAAATTTATCTCTCTTGACGAAGCTGAAGCCATGAAATTATGAATAATTACCTATTTCAAAGGTAGAAAGGGGGCTCCTCCCCAAGCGCCCCCCCTCCACTTCTACAGCACTGGTTACGTGCATTGTGCAGCACTAGCCTGAAATATTTCACTTTTTTGAGATTAGAAGTCTGTGAGTGGTGATTAGTTTTGGATATGCATACATGGACCTGTATTAATCAGCGAACACAAACATGGCTTAAGTTTAACTATAATATTCTGATCGATCTTCAATGGAGATTAAATAAAACCTGTATGAAAAAGTATTATTACTTCTCATAAAGTGAGCGAAAGGAAACTATATTTTACGTCAATTTCTTTCTGTGCAACTCATCCCTCCATCTCGAGCTTGCTTTGTCAACAGATCACTTAACTTTAATGGTGGAGGTAATGTGTCATATGCAATCGTTTGTTCGCTGCGGTCGGTGCTATGATATCGAAATCCTCCATTTTGTTTCATCTGCTGTGAAAATTTATCTTCGGGTGCTTTAATTTGAACCAATCGAGGCTCGGGATGTAATGTTCTTTCTCTAATTTCAATATTTAAAGTCTTCTGGATTTCCTTTATCTCTTTACTTAAACAATACATATGATCTAGTACATCCTGAATGTCATTAACCAAACTCACTTCCTCTAGTAAAGGATTATCGTTTGTTTTTACAAAGTTTGTTGTATCCGTTGCAGGTCTAGCGTCTTTTTTCTTGATCAAATTAGTATTATGTTTATTATCTTTTCCAATAAAAACGCTTTCTGTTTTTTGTTTTCCATTCCTTATTCTTGAATTGATCAAAGGCAAGGGAATCCGTTTTTTCGCTAGAAGGATATGTTGTTGTCTAATTTCGCGTAATTCGCTGGTTAGTAATTTTTGCATCCTATCCATTTTACCTTGAAACGCGTCTCTTTCGTCCCTGTTATCGAAATCGATGCCGTGCGCATGAAAAACTTGACGTTTAGGTATGCAGTAGTTCTGCAAATTTTCTGTATGCTCAACCCGGTACTCTTCAGAAGTTTTTCCGAAATGAACATGACGAGATCCTTGCCTGTCATCGTAGATATAACTGTATCTGCGGCAATTTTTTTGTTGTGTACCTTTGTAATTTTCTTCTTCATATCCGTAAAAAAAGTTCTTCAACGTTTGCCACTTTTGTTTAATGCAGTAACATAATGACATCGTCTGACCGTGTGTTGCAACATAGATTATCTTTAGGTACACATTTCTATTTTCTTTAGTACTCAAGTTGAAACACAGCTTTAGTCTTGCTGCAGAAAATACTGCTTGTCTACTGTACGTATTCACTGACTCGCGCCCGCATATTTATGCACAGGTGGCTATGACAAAAAGGTTATTTCCGCGTCGATATTAGATTTTGCTCCTTTAGAATCCAAATTGGATTTATTCTGCCCAGTTTTCAAAGATGAACGTGCATAGCTAAATTTAGAGTCAGTGTATATGTATGAAAACCAGAAATAGACCCTCAATTAGGTTAAAAAGATATGTGCAGATACTGCAGCTTTAAATATGTTCAGCTGCATTTAAAATACAAAATTCAAATCTACTAAATGGTTTTACATTATAGGTAATATAACTTTATATTATGGTATACTCACTTTATCAAAACTTTAACTTTTCAGGATTTTATCTTATAAAAATGTTATAATTCTGATTGAATTTGCCACATAAAATAAGCAAGAATGGTCTATTTGTTAAATTAGTCAATCGAGCTCATTCGACTGAGCTAAAAATTATCGCCGTATCTCCAATACTTTCGGAGATAAGATCTGTGCACGCTGAGCACATTTCTGCGCATGCGCAACGCTATCTCCTAAACTGCTGGTGCTACGGCGATGATCGTTAGATCTTGTTCTATTTAGTCCAGACTTAGTGTAACCATTAACCACCTGTGTACTACTCTCATTTAAGCGGGTATTTGGTGGTTTTTTGAAACGGCCAGCTGCATGATTATTATTTTCAGATGTCATAGTCATTCTGTATATTAATGATCAATCAAAGAACTTTTTTCCACATTGCAAAATACACTACTGGTAAACATTGGAAAAGGGGACAACCTTTGGTAGTTATAAATTTGAATTCAAAAATGTACTTGGGCAAATAATACTTATCTATGTTTATCTAGACTTCATGTTTTTGTGAATTGTTGTTAGGTACCACAAGATGATGCTGTTGATAGAAGAAATTATGCCAATGTTTTAATTAAACTTTATGGGTATGATCCTGCAACTTTGACAAGTTTTCATCGATTTGTTGATCAAGCTGCAAAGAACATGAAATTCAATGTGACGAAAAAGTAAGTTTGATCAGCACTTTCTTTGTTTTTACTTAATTTGTACCTGTGGGTAAGTTCTTCTAATGAATTTCACAAAACACCTAGGTTTAATTTAACTACGAAAGCATTTACAGTCACACTTGCAAACACACCTCATTATTTCAATGAGAATAAAATGCAGTACCACTTAAAAGAACATGGACGACTGATTCAGGTATGTTGATTTGTGAGTTATACTGACATTGCAAATGGTCTTAGTTTAATATTTTGTTTAAATTTCGAGGTTGAATCACTTCCCACAGAAACTGCTGACATATTCCTTCAGTATATCAGAAAGAATATCCCTGCTGGCATTTCAGTTCAAATGGAACTGGTAATTCAGATTAAAATTGACTAAAAGTAGATTTTCAAAGAGTATGTATGATACTACTTTCTAGAATTTGAAAAATAACTGTAGAATACACATATGGTAAATAGGAAAATATTGAGACTTGAACTATTGAATTGTCTAACAATTGTCTCAATATTTCCCAATATTGTCTAACAATGTGTGTTTATGATCTAATGATTCTAACCAAAGTTTTGGTGAAGCTTTTTTTTTTGCTTTTCAGAAAAAATGGCAAGATTTTGTTTCTCCCCAAGGAACTGGTGAGGCTACTTAATGATGTGTAGTGACAAAGCTTGTATGTAAGCTTTTTGATTTGAACAAGTTTAGATTTTGGAAATTTCTTTGTGATAAAATTAGTGACTAATAAATGATTAATGTACATCATTATAAATGCACCTAATTTACTATTTATGTGCTTTAGTTAGAATTTAGAAAGTTGTTTGTTCTGTCATAAAAGTCGATTCTTTAAAAGCATGCAACTTCTTGACTTGCAATGCCATATATTTTGATTTTCATTGATTGGACTAGTTTGCATTTGTTCCCATGTTGAATTAGTTTGCATTTAGTGGCACAGAAACTCATCAAATGATAGTATTAAATCATTTGCCAATTGCAATAGTTAAAATAGTTCTTCATATAATTTTTGTCAAAGTAAGTCGATATTATAGGGAAATTTTACGCCTTGTGCAGTTGCATAGGTCATTTCAGACAAACATTCCTGATGATGATATCAAAATACTACAGTTACTTTGAAAAATTATTTCATTATTGAAAATAAATACTTACGTGGATTGCTCCCACATATTTAGAAATATTAACCTTATCATTACTTATATGCAAAGCACTGATGCAAGTTTACAAAATTTTCAAACACATACCGTACACAATCAAAAGAAAATCATACATTAACCTTTATACAACATAAAAGTTTATAGTTTCCATAACATAGCAACAGCCTTACATACACCAACATCATAAATATTTAAGTAAGCTAAGCCAAAAAAAGTCAAAATGGAAATCCCAGCCCATGCATAAACAGTGGCAGTTGTAATGGATTTGGTGGAGAATAATTGAGGAATATAATCCGATATGACTTCTTTAGTCCCCCTAAAATATAAGAAAGAGTAAACAAAAGCAAAACGACCATGGCTGCCATCTTCTTTATCATGGTTAACTTACCAATAAGAATGCAATGGAAATGTTATTGCAATTGCCCAATCAATGACAGGAGTTGGTGCAAGAATTGCTGCGGGATAGACTCCAATCATGATGACAGAGAGGTAACGAAACATTTTCCAATGTGATGAGCCAACTTCATGTTTATGAGACACTAAGGGGGGAATTTGAAACATGCAGTTTAATTAAAAGTTAATTAACTTATAAAAGACATACATTATGTTAATATATGTACTGCATCATCTTTCCTTTTCTCTGATGATCAACTTTGCATCAAACTGAATGCATTGTAAAAACTTTTGTACGGCAATAAATGAATCAGGAATTTTGGAGAAAATAAAAAATACCATTTTATTATTGTAGTGTCACTTTACGGCCCATTGGCCCTAAAATAACTGAATGAATCGGTCAGATTAGAAACATTTATACCATCTTTCTGTTGCGACAAGCAGTTTGTATGAAACGAAGTCTTTACACATAACGGAAACACTGAAAAATAAATGTAATTTTAGTTTTTGAACGTGCATGGGCAAATCAAAGTTCTTCGCAATACCTGACTTTAGGCAACGTTGATGTGTTGTAGAATGTGTTGGAACTACACAGTTGTATTTTTGCAAGTGATGGAAAGTTGAAATTGATCTTCCTCTTGAACTAATCAAACCTTAAAAATTATTAAATATTTTCACACTGAACATTTAAAATTTGAATAAACAGTTCATTTCATACCGAAGCCATAACGATTACACGATGGCCTTAAAAAAACAGCCATCTTGGATTCTTGGTGAACACAATAATCGGAAAATGTCGCTGACTCGACATTCGCGCTCGGATAGCTCTGGAAACACTGTCATACATAGAAATTCAATATTCATACAACCTTCGAAATTACAACAAAAATTAATCTGAAATATTAGGTGGAATTTAACATCAATGTGGTAATATCAAATAAGTTATGAGCTTAATCTTAGGAATTGGCTCAGGACTTTTTGCTGTTATACTTATTTGGATTATTGGCCTCGTTTTAGCCATCGCTTTTTCGAGGGTCTCGAATTTGAGGTAAGCTGAATTTGTTTATTGGCAAAAATAGATTGTTTGTATCAGTTCATGTTAATGAACGGATATTTGTAATGTGTGGATATTTCATGTGTAAAATTCAGTCGTAAAGAATCTTCATCAGTGTTCTGAAAATAAGTTGTCGCCCATTCTGGCCATGCATTTATACAAAATAGAATTTAAAATGATTTGAATATATCTTTATTTTTTATTCAATGATATGCATTCTTTTGCACCAAGCGAAGAACTGTTTTAGTGTAAATAAGGGAATTTATGTTCACGTTTGTTTTGGGGTGTCCTAGCTAGCATAACTGTTTCTTCCATCATGGGCAGATTTTTTGGAGGAGTATGTGCAACGAGTACCAGCCCACCTCTCCCAATGTCAGTTTTCATCACATTAATTGAATGGTTCTTTCTTGTAAGAAATATTTTCACCAGCAAATTTTCAGCTTTACAAATCAATAGTATAGTCGAACTGTCTTTTGCAATTCAATTTCTGAAATATTTATGAGACACAAACAATATTTTTTGTTCGTTATAGCAAATTTTTGCACATTTTGTTGTTTGTTTTAACAATTTTAGTCATGCTCAAGATGCATGAGTGGCAGTGTAGTAGTTGTGAGTAATTAAGTACTAAATATCAAAATATTTGAATGTAATCACATTGTCAAATTGCTAGCCCCGTTTGTTTATCAAGTTTTTCTTACATATACTGTACTGTGTTAGTTTGTTTCTACTCTCTACATTTACTCAGATGGCTGCATTACTTGACTTGATGCTCTCAGAATCTGTCTTACTTCAAATGTCTTAAGTCTTACTTTGTTGTATCAAGTCACAACCCTAAGATTTATAACACTCCCCTTCAGTAAAATATCAGAAGATTCATCATTGATTTTCATAACAATCGAAAATACACAAGCATGTTTGTAGTGTATCAACAAAATTATGATATAGAACACGATGCCGTGTAATTTAGAAAAGACAGAGCACAAACTCTATGATTTTCATTTATTGCTAGAACTTCAATAGTTCCAGTTTTAAAACATTGATATCAGACAGAAAGTCACTGCCATTTTAAAGGACTTTTTCAATTGGATTTTGCTAGTTTACTTCTATCTAGAAGTCTTTAACTTTGATCTTTTGCAAATGTTGTCACTATCAAATCTATGACATTTAATTGCATAATTCACATTTAATATAAGTTTTTTGAAGTCACTCATACTGAAGATGGCATCATGAGATGTCAAAACATGTCTATTTTCAAAAAACTTGCCGTTTATATTAAATGTGCATTGGCAATAGTGCTTTTACGAAATTATGGAAACATTATTTACAAAATTGCATAATTAGCTTACAAAATGAAAGTTCTTATCTGCGCTTTGTTGCAAAAAAAAAACAAATGTGTGCTTTAGTCACCATGCATGTATTCATGAAATTTTTGTACCCATGATAAGCCTTCTTGAAAAACCTCTTCTCTTCGCCACGTGATCATTTGTTATTATGACGTCACCATTTATCAACGGCGACGAAGATCCTTTTATAATCTTGGCAAAATAACAAGGCGATTTTTTCCGCCAATTTGTTTAAACTTGCCTGAAAATACCTTTTTTCTGGCCTATTAGCACACCATCCGAGCGACTTTTTAGAGGCAATGTCGAACAAGATTGATCATCAAGGGAAATATAAACCAATTATTCCAAATTTCCAAGTTTTAGATTTTCCAATTAGTATTTGTGTTATTACAATTCTATGGTTGTTTTTCATTTGCTATAACTTATATATTTTTACTCGTCTCTACGATACTGCGATTTTGATGTACCCCTTTCTGGTTGTAGTTTTAATAAACGTTCTGATTCGTCGATTGAAAGTTTCAGATAAAAAAGCACAGGGGGGAGGATTATTTTGCTTGACGATTTTCGGTATCGTCTTTTTCCAAAAGAACCGCCTCAGTAACTACGTAATGTGATGTAATGTCTTTAAATAATTTTGTGTGTGTGTGTTTCTTGTGAAATATATTATAGCCATATAGCTGTTAGAGCTGGTTTGTTCGTCCTTGGCTTGAACCAAATTGTGAAAAATGGTGATTTTACTTTGACTGAACGCATCGTAATTTTTCTTCATTTTGATCTTTTTTCATTTTAGAAATGGAGTGCCGGGAATTGCGTTGTTGATTACCATCATCACTGTTGTATTTATTTTTTACCCCAGGGAATCTAAAGATGATGCAGAAACTTCCTCAAAACAGGTCAACAAATATTTACATGGAATATTTCATTTGTTTGCATTAACTTTTCAATTTTGCATAATTTCTGAGATAATACTAAAATTATTATGTAATTTTAGCCCGTGGACAATATCTTCGTTCTGCGTATAACAGTATTCGTCGTAGCATCTCTGTTTGTTTTTATATCCTTGGTATTGATGTTGCTATTTCATTGGATGGAACCTCAGTATGCCTCTCCCGTGCGTACAAGAATGACTGAGAAATTTTAAGGAAAATGTCGAAAATCTCTTCTTACTTTTTATGATGGTTTTAAAATAAAACCAACGTGGAAGTAAGTGCCGTTTAAAGTGGATATTGGGTGCGAATATGTTTCCAGAAGAGATGCTCAAATGAATTTTTATTTGACCATTTGCTGATAAAGCGAAATTTTCTCTCCTTGAAATTCCTGGTGCATGATGGGCATCATTATCATGTTGATCACGTTATCAAAAATTGAATTTTGTCAGAATGCATTGAAAAACATGTTTGCTCTTCACTTGTCACTGATGAAGCTACTTGTAAGCTTTATATTTGCTGGAAAATATCTGCGATAACTGAGGCAATGGCTGTAAAGTATAGGCAGCAGTTTCAGAAGTATATTTTTTCAATATTTACATATGCCATAAATTGCGCTGTCTGGCATTCGGACATTTTTCTGTCGACAATTTTGTCTTTCAGATTGATTTATATATTTTTGAATGTTTGTGATGTGATAGTTCTTTGGATTTATGACCGTCATTGCCATAAGATAACAATGAAAAGCTCGCAGAACGTCAGTTGAACGTTAGCAAACATTTTCAGCATTCAAAAAGTGTTAGTAGGAAATTACACTACTCAAAATAAGTTTATTGTTAACTACCAACAGGCCATTAAAAATGGTGTAATAGTATGAAAAATGATTAAAAAACAATAACAAAGACACCACAATAGGTGTATAAAAAGTACATGACGTATAAATTTAATTTATATTTATATTACATAGACATGGGTTTGGTTTGGAATTGATTCTATTCACAAAACATATTTACGTTATTTATACGTCATCGTATGAGGTGAACATATTAAGGTGGCTCGATAGGCCAAAATTCATGCGCATCTTTTTTGAGAGAGTGTAAATAACAATCATTTGATAGTACGGTTGATGATCCTAGTTCATTGCACAGCTCTGGACATCAGTTACCAGTGTGCCAAATCTCAGTTATCCACTATGAAGCATACCAGAGATATTGTATTTACTATTTACCCCATAATTTGATTTGCGAAAATGGGTGTGGTTTATTAGGAATGTGAGGAATTTGCCAAGAACTTGTTGGAAATTGTTCTTTGAAGGCTATCTAGTGCTATTAACTTTAATAACAGGCCATGGGTGAATGTAAACTGTTTGAAAAATGTTAACAAAATTTGCCATGTTTGGACTATCGAGAAACAGAACTTCCCTGCTAGTTAGATTGTTGAGTTTTGAGTTTTCCTGCGAGGACATCAAGTTAGTGAACAGAGCTTCTTTGGTGAAAGCTTGTAGGTTTTCCATGAACTTCTTAATATCGATCAATTTTGTAATTGTGCAGGTCATCTGGACGCATTGCTTATTTCTGATTTCATTGTTGTCACAATGCTTGTGAATCCTATCATTATACGAGGTAGTGTTATAACGACCAGTTTCGATATGGTGGTTTATGCTATGCAAAGTGAAAATCGAATTTTATTCATCGTTGTTTAATATTACAGGTATTTTTCAAATACAAACAATTTTGTTGAGTTGACAAAGACTTGCGGTCTATCACTAATTTATAGTCGTGCAATTGATGCAAATAAGAATTGTTTTGCTGGAGAATTAGGCACTGACTTTGAAATAAGTAATGAGAAATGTGGAAAGGATCTTCCGTTTGAGCAGTGCCCAAACCAGAAAGGTGAATTTACCATGGCGGTCTTTCTTTATACATTAAAACTAAAAAAAATAGTTTGAAAGATCAAAGAACTATAATTATTGAGGAATATTCATACTAAAATATTTTCTAGAACAAAAGCAGCACAAATTGTTTTTCATGCCCTACCAGTTAGCTGTTCATTGTATTATTTGTATATTTACCCAATGTATTGCCGCGAGCATAATGAAAATAAACACCACACAAAAAGAGTGTCCCCCCCCGGGATATATTGCTAGAAATTCTAAATGAATAAACCCAGATGATTAAACACAGCCCGTTGTGTGAAAAATGGATCACTCGTGCTTTAATGAAAGAGGTATCGTCTCATGAATCCAAGAATACCTAATTTATAAATTAGCTTTAACAAGTGGTATAATCCTGACTGCAATTCAGTGTGTGGTGTTTGTATTGTATATTTACGTGTGCGAGAAGTTTTGGAAATGCTGGTGGCGCTAATTTGGGCTTACTGTGAATTTATATTACATATAACTTCCTGCTTAATTCTCACCGAATAGAAATATTTATAAAAATTTCTGTACCGGGCATGCATAATTAAGTAAGATTTTGTTTTTCACCATCTAGCTACATGGCCATCTAAGAACTGGGTTAATGCTGTGAGGAGACAAACCTTCCTTCAACAAAAGGATCATCTGACTTCATACTGAAAGCGCCAAATGATCTTTTTAAATCGCACATATTGCAACTTATCCTCCACTAGCTGAATTATGTGCATAAAAATGCCTTATTTTGTAGACAGCCTTCTTCTACATGTGGTAATGATTCAAAAAATGGTTTCACAAGTTTTTCTTTTAACTGAAGAACATGATTTATTGTGTTTCTTTGTACCTTAAAAAAATCATGACAACATGTATACACAGGTAGGCAAAGATAAACACTTTAGGTTAACTCCCGTGTGCGTTATCAATAATATTTATCGACGGAAGCGGCTTTTTTTTGTCGACTCAATTAATGTAAGCTTTCTTTCATGCTGCTCAACAAATCAGCAAGTCTGTTATGTGTAGATATCATCGCCTGTTTCCAAATATGAACTCCACCGGTAGCAAATGACTCCACAAAAATTATTCACATTAATGAAAGATTTTAAATTTTTGATTCATTTTAGTGAAAGATTTCATAAAGCAATTCTATGTTTGCCTTTTGAAACCGATCGATATAGTGAATTTTTCGGACATAGCTTGCAATGCTGGAAGTTAACGGCAGTAAATAATTTATTTTGACTGGACTCTTAAACATTAAATCTGAAGTGGATGGCATTTCACGCATTGCCTTATAAAATCGGGAAGTGGATTGATTGTAAAGTGGATTGCTCCTCGGTGCCTGATTTCATAAGGCAAATTCCAAAAGTGGTGAGGCAAAAGCCAAAAGTCACAAAACTAAATTAGAGTCATTTATGGTGTTTTTAAGGTTAAAAAAAACATCTTGAATACATTATGTGTAATTGGTTCTTCATGCTATCGATTTGGGCAATTTCTCTAATTCCTTCTTGATGCTATCGACACTTTTAATGATAATTTCATGAATGTTATTTGGAAAGTGACAGTGAGTTTGATGTTGTTGTTTTTTGAAATAAACTCGTGCTTATTCGCATTTCAATACCTCTCGTCATAGTTCTTTTCTGCCCGTTCAACACTTTTAGGTTCGACTAATTTATTAAGTCAGATGTCATGAAATCTCCCTACGCCCGTTGTAATAACAATTAGTGTAACGTGTGAACATCGGATATATTGCGTTAACATTCGAAATGAACTTACATTCGTATGTAGCTTCTTTTAAACTTGACCCACCCCAAGCTGGTACGAACTGTTGCTGTATGTGTCAAACTCCCCGTTTCTTTTGACCCTTGAATGGCAAGCGATAGCAAAATATGTTGACACGTTCACCTACATGTGTTTAATTACAATCAAGTTCCTGTGATTGGTTAAAATGCTTGTCTACGCTACTGTCATAAATAAATATTACACCGTCCATACCATCTCCTTCCTTAGCTGCTACTTGCCGCTTTTCATTTTTTTTCTTATCTGTTGATTTAAAGAAGGGAAGTCTTGATTGAAGGGTTCACTGGCGCGCATTGCACGACACTTAATCAGCCAGAAGACTTTGTTTGGAAGGAATTGAAAGCTGTTCTCGACTGGTAGCTGCGATTGAAGTTCTTTTTCAAGCTTCAAGAAGAAGATCGTCCGTAAGTTATCAAATAGGCAATTAATTTTGTTGATTCAAGGTGTGTTAACGATTGTCTGTGTTTAATACCCTCCATCTAAGTAATTCCCCGCAATTTATGCAAATGACTTTCTTTTAGTTGAGTAGTTTTGTAATTTAAAGAAACGATATAAGTCATAAGTTCCGGCTAAATGCAAATCGAATGAAAGATGGGAATGTTTCACATTTTATCACGTTAAGATACCCACATTCATAAATCAATTGATGACCGACCGTGTTGATACTTATAATAATGTGTTGCGTCTGACTTCATTTTATTTATTTTTAAAGTTATTTCTGTTTTTAGGCAAGTTTACGGCGATTTTGTAAAGTTTAAGAAACGAGAAAATGATGGATTTCTTTCGTGTTTTTACTGTCTTCATTCTTGCGACGTGCCATGGAGTAAGTGATTTTGTTTGTCATTACACAACAAAGATGAATGCCGTCATTCTACCCATGACTCCAGCGACTCCAATGCATGTAATTCGTCACATTGCATTGTCTAATTTGCACATCTATACGTTTGTAGATGCCATGTAAACAATTTGGATTTTCTTAACTAGGTAAAAGTGCTGTTTTAGCTGTACGCCACGCAATTTTAAATTAATTTAGCCAAATCAGCTGGACATTTTGCATATTATTTTCTTTCAACTTTCAAAATATATTTTCTTGCAAAATAGCGCTGGCTTTTATGTAACTCGTGAAACTGAACGCCGAAGTTATTCAAGTCAATTTAGTGTTTTGGCCTCAAGCATAATGGCAAGGCATGGAAATTTTTAAAACAAACACATCTAATTTTAATGACTTTGTTTTGTTTTGCGCATTAACGCGCGCATTTTTTTATATAAAGATGGCGAATTGCTTTCATTTTCTGTGAAAGTGCTTGTTATTTTTCCCAGTGAACATCAAAACACATAAGTCAATAAAAACTTGGAATTCATCCCTGTAACATTTTTACATTCAAGGCATGCTCATTGTGGGAGGAACAATTTGTGACCCAAAGTAACATTTTTAAAACATCGACCAATATACTATGACCAACACATATGTCGCTCTTCATTTCAAAACGTCAAAAAACTTCGATTGCATCAAAAAAATATTTACTTCAGCTATTTTAAGGTACTCTTTTCACGAGGATTTTGGTGGACGCATTATGCGGTCACCTGTTGTTCTTTATCATACCATTCATAACTGGCATTTTTCTATGTCGTAGTTATGACCGTAAGTTCTTTCCGCTCCCGGAAGACGCGACGCTGTTGCTGTTTTTTCACCTGTAGAGAAAATCGACTTCATGTTTAGAAATCCTAAAATTGTTACCATCTGAAGGTCAATTGTACGCTTAAACTATACTCGAAGACATATGTATGAAACATGGATATTGTCAACACGTACAAACAATGATATTTTGCTACTGCTAAGATATCTACTAGAATTGCATATCCAGTAGCAGGGTGGTACGCACGCATAGCCAATCATGCATGCGTACCTATTTTTATATGTAGAAGTAGTTTGCTGCCTAATTCATATTTAGTTATAAATGTTGTCATTTCATCGCTATACTTGCCAACGGATTTACAACACTACACGTTCACTTGTAGTAATAGTAGTTGTTGTAATTGAGGAGATATTTGCATACTAGTATATCAAATACACATGCAGCTTCTCATCGCTTGTACTTGATATAATACGCCCAAGTTTGGTTTTGATGACTAACTTTCTCAACGGTAAGGTTCGGTCAAAGGATTATGATCATGTATCAAATAAGAAATTTAAAAAAGAAATGAATTTCCATCGCCGATAAGCGTTCACATATGTACTTCTTATTTCGGCAAGTGTTGCAACTGTTGTAGAAGTTATACCGGTTTCAAAGTTTGCAATTTTCCAAAAAACGTATCAATTATTGAAACTTTTATCCACGTGACAGTTACTTATTGTAAGTAACGCGAAGCGCTTTCACTTTTATATTTTCTAACGTTTTTGAACGCGCTGTACATGCGAGTTTAAATAAAAAAAAAACAAATTATTTTACTCGCAAAAAAGGAGGAGCAATTTCGGACTTAATCACGAATCAGTTAAATAACTACTTAATTTTCAAAAAACTTTTGAATTAGTCTTACTTTTTTGTTGTTTCACAACAAAACCCGTGCGAGCATCTGGCATTTTCATCGACAAGATTTGAACATAAGTAAATATTCAATTACAAGAATTAAATGTGAATAAATTTTAAATTACAAGAATCAGATATTAATAAACATTCAATCACTAGATTTCCATTACAAGAATTAATTATGAATAAAAATATAAGATTTCGTGTATCGTGTTTTAAAATATAAATGTTATAACTTTTCTCTCTTCACGCTTTCATTTACAGCTGCCTTATGTAAAATATAAATGTTATAAATTTTCTCTCTTCACACTTTCATTTACAGCTGCCTTATATAAAAACATCTGGAGAAAGACGGTCAGGTAAGAAGTTTTTGCCCGGAACTTATGATATTTTGTGAAACTTTAAGACCATTGTTGTGTTACTTCTTTTTTGAATATTTATTATTCCTATTGAACATTGATGGACATGTTTTCATATTTTCATGCTTTTGCTTGTAATTCGTGCAATTTGCACTATGAATCAGTTTTCCTCATGACTGAACACATCTTTTTTTTCAGTTCAGTCTGGATACGGTGATGAAAAAGACAAGCCAATTTTCCATCCAAAAACGAACATGCAAAATAATGCTTCCAATGATTCTTTTACAAATGGTGCAATTGATGTTTTAATTGCTACAACTGAATTCCCGACTGGTAGTGCAAAGAATTGGCACACAGATAGTGTTTCTGACAAATCTACGGATGATGTTACTGATATATTAACTTATACTGTTACCAACTTTACAACTGTTATGGTTTCGTCAACGGCTTCTGCAGTTGATCCTGTGACTCATACGCCTTCTGATAAAACACCTGACGATTCAACCAAGCCATCAACCCATGCACCTATTGTTATGGTTTCGTCAAAGGATTCTGTAGTTGATCCTGTGACTGATACACCTTCTGATAAAACACTTGACGATTCAACTAAGCCATCAACCCATGCACCAACTGTTGTGGTTTTGTCAACGGATTCTGTAGTTGATCCGGTGACTGATACACCTTCTGATAAAACATCTGACGATTCAACCAAGTCATCAAACAATGCACCTACTGTTATGGTTTCGTCAACGGATTCTGTAGTTGATCCTGTGACTGATACACAATCTGATGAAACACCTGACGATTCAACTAAGCCATCAACCCATGCACCAACTGTTATGGTTTTGTCAACGGATTCTGTAGTTGATCCTGTAACTGATGCACCTTCTGATAAAACATCTGATGATTCAACTAAGCCATCAACCCATGCACCAACTGTTGTGGTTTTGTCAACGGATTCTGTAGTTGATCCTGTGACTGATACACAATCTGATGCAACACCTGACGATTCAACCAAGCCATCAACCCATGAACCAACTGTTGTGGTTTTGTCAACGGATTCTGTAGTTGATCCTGTGACTGATACACAATCTGATGCAACACCTGACGATTCAACCAAGCCATCAATCCATGAACCAACTGTTGTGGTTTCGTCAACGGATGCTGTAGTTGATCCTGTAACTGATGCACAATCTGATAAAACACCTGACGATTCAACCAAGCCATCAACCCATGCCCCGACTGTTGTGGTTTCGTCAACGGATTCTGTAGTTGATCCTGTAACTGTTACACCTTCTGATAAAACATCTGATGATTCAACCAAGCCATCAACCCATGCACCGACTGTTGTGGTTTCGTCAACGGATTCTGTAGTTGATCCTGTAACTGTTACACCTTCTGATAAAACATCTGATGATTCAACTAAGCCATCAACCCATGCACCAACTGTTATGGTTTCGTCAACGAATGCTACAAGTGCTTCACCTTCTGATACTACAACTACTTCTACTGATACTACAACTGTTTCACCTTCTGATACTACATTTGCTTCACCCATTGGTACAACAACTTCTTCACCTACTGATTCTACAACTGCTTCACCTACTAATACAACAACTGCTTCACCTACTGATACTACAACTGCTTTACCGTCTGATACTACAACTGCTTCACCTACTGATACTACAACTGTTTCACTTACTGATACTACAACTGCTTCACCTACTGATACAACTACTGCTTCACCTACTGATACTACAACTGCTTCACCTACTAATACTACAACTGCTTCACCTACTGATACAACAACTGCTTCACCTACTGATACTACAACTGCTTCACCTACTGATACTACAACTGCTTCACCGTCTGATACTACAACTGCTTCACCTACTGATACTACAACTGCTTCACCTACTGATACAACAACTGCTTCACCTACTGATACAACAACTGCTTCACCTACTGATACTACAACTTCTTCACCTTCTGATATTACAACTGCTTCACCTACTGATACTTCAACTGTTTCACCTTCTGATACTACAACTGCTTCACCTACTAAATCTACAAATGCTTCTTCTACTAATACTACAACTGCTTCACCTTCTGATACTACAGATAAACCTTACAATGCTGAAACATACAAACCAAGTAAGAAGCAAAGCAATATTACATATAATACACCTGCTAATACAGTTACTGATGTCCAAACAAATGAGACAGAGATTGAATCAAATCATACTCAAACTAATAAAGAAAATAATATCGTATATATTTCACCGACTGTAGCTCGTACAATCGCTCAGTCACTTTTTGTCGGTACGAGTGGAAACATTGAAGCTCAGAAAGTATTAACTAAACCAACAGCATTCAGTAATAGGGCAACGGAACCGCCAAAAAACAATGTTTTTGGATCTGGTGAGTTAGAATAAGCTCAAAATATATTCTGTTACTCTTGTATTTTACAAATATCACGTTGTTGCAACATTAATATTTCTTTCCTTTTCTGTAGATATTAGATACGGGTTTTGTGAGCAAAAATATAAAGTACAGTTCAGAGGTCGTTTTATTGAATGGCTAGCTATTACAAAAGCTGAAGAAGAAGCCAAGAATAATAAAACCTTTGACGTCACGATTTTCACACGAGATTTTCGCCGGTCTAATAAACTGGACGAATCAACTTCTGAATTGCTAACGGTTAGTTGATACTTTGTTGATGCAAGACTTTCACTATAACGCTCTTAGCAGATAATGAACATTCGAAAATATGTTTTTGAAGAACATACTTTTTCTTTTCTGCAGTGGAAATTTAATCAACTTGACTCGGATAATGACGATGTCGTCGTAAACCGTGAGTTGGAAGCACTGAACGGTCTATTTCTAAGAGAATCTTGTTTATATGATGTGTTGAGTTCGTGCAAACAGCGGAATGAATCATTTATCACACGAGATGAATGGAGGAGATGTTTTATGAAAGCTAGAAATTACAGGTATCGAAAGTGGAGGCCTTATATTCGCTCGGCATTTCATTTTTTTTCAATTGTGTCGAAATCCAACTGTGAATGTATTCATGGATCACGTGTTTATTTTTACAGGGGGCGACAAAGTGATTACGATCTTCTTCACTATTTTGGTTATCTATAGAATGGTTTATTGTTATAAAATATTGTTGTTACATTAGCAACAAAGATGATTTCCTGCTATTACTGCCATTCATTCCACTGTCGACACGATACATATCGATATTAAATGAGAGTCGCTGAAATACTTTTCATCAAAGAATACCATCCATTATAGAGACTGCAACACGACTGTGATTATTTTAAGTCGCAACAGGAAGGAAATTTTTTTCTAATCGTGCAGCAATCTGCACAGGCACGTATGTTTGCAGCAAATTCCTGGTTTTATAGCTGCTCATAGTTGATGCTGATGTTTAAACTTTTTCTAAAATCCTTTGGTGATTAGCGATGTACAAAGATTGCTATGTTATTTATCATATTGGCGTCGTGGGAAAGTTTTACTCAAAAAAGAATGGTTTTTCGCTGGAAGAACAGAAAGCGCTTGCTTTTTCTTGAAATTTTTCTCTTCCTGAATACTTTTTTAATTGATGCACAACAAATATCGCTGGTGTTTAACACAATTTCATTTGGTATTTGCATTTGTTAAAACAAATGACAAAATGATCATCAGATTGATATCATTCATTTACACTCAAAATTGGGTTAAGATAATTGATTATGAAAGTCAATATCCACGAAAGAAATGCGTTGAAGGAATTTTCTCCTAATTTCTAATGCAATATCAGTTTCTAGAAATAATTTACTGTCGAATAAGAGCAAAATAAAAAATATTTTCTTTAGTATTTAGCAAATTTTGAACGAAAATAATTGCATAAAGAAAGGATTATAAATGAAATTGAATCATGTTTTGTTTAAGCTACAGTTAGTTATCATGTCATGTGTGTGAGCGCAACTTTAACAAGATGAACAAGGTCACTTTGCAAAAATTCCAGCCACCGACTGCTGCATGCGTGCATTTCGCCATTGGCGAGAACGTCTTTAATATTTCCGAAGAAACTAGTAATTATTTATAAAAAGATTTGCTTGCAACGTGTGAAAATTTGGGATTGCTACGCCAGCAAACACTAAATTCGTTTACAATTCAGACTTGAAAAACTTGAACATGAAAAGAGATGACTGCCAGAAAAAAAATAGCGTTTAGGAATTGTGAGTTTGCATCACATGTTGCATGGTTTTCAGACATTTAGGACACATTACAAAAAAACTTAATTTACCGATGAACGGTATAAAGCTTTTTAATAACTTTCTCATATCATGAAATAATGACTCCAAATTCTGTCGTTTAATTTGTCTCCGACAATAAAGTAGGCTTTTTCTCCACAAAAGCAAATTGATTTATTTTAACGACATGCATATGGTTTATACATATAAGTGCATGTTATTTATTAGAATGACTCGAATGCAAATTCTTTGTGAAACTTATAAATGCCTGTTTCATCTGAGAATCAAGGAAAAGTCAAGTGATTATGAAACAGATTATTGGAGCCTTTGTAAAGTACGATTTCTTTTTATCAAGTATACATAATTTTGCAAGGTCTAAGGTTTATGTGTTTATATGAATTTAGAAAAACATTATATTATCAAACATGACCGGTTTGTGACTATAGGTCAAGCGAAAGTTATTTCTTTTTTTTCTTATTTGCAAAAAATGCCATTTTTGACAACAAATTAAACAGCTGCACAGAAGATGCCATCTAGAAGTTGTGTCTGCATGGTGAGGGATACCATTTGGCACATTGTTTCCATGCATAAATTTGGTGCAACTTCCAAGGTAATTTATCCTTGTTTATGGTTTAAATTAAAATCATTAATATAAGAACATTACAAGACGTTAATTAGCCTAAGGTGACCAGGTGTTAGATGTTCACATTTAGATTTTAAATAAGCCGGTGACATTTACTGTTAGTGATTATTTACACATTGTAAGTCAAACTTTGACTAAACGATTTTAAGTATGTCTAGAAGTTTGATCTTTTACGGATGTGTATTGAAAACTTGCAAAGAATGACAAGCGTACACAAATCGGCCTGTTTAATTTCTGAGAAAAATAAAACAGTTAACAAACTATACATTATAAAAAGCGGAGTTTGGCAGTTCAGTCAATTAATCGTTCCTTTACCACCCAAACAATTTGACCACTTTCCTAATGCGCCTTTTATCGATCCTTTTTTTTTGTTATTGTTGCTTATCTGGGGGTTAAGATGCTAATCTTCTAAAGCGCTGACGAAGGATTGAGCCAAGGTTGTGAAACATGCTGCCTTTCATCTTAGATTAAATGACGTAATCCTAAGAGCAGGTGATGCGACAAAAAAAGACATTGAAAATCTTGTACTATCTTTCGTTATCAAATTCAACACTTAATAATGAAAACAACACACTCAGAGATCTGGAAGAAAATGATTTTGTAACATTTTCGGCACGTCCGGCTCAACTTCCGGATGGTCATTTGACAAACATAAACAAAAATAAAAGGGGCGGAACTAAGAGAGAAAGAGCTGTTTCCAAATGCTCGTTGTTCGACTTGTTAAACTGCAAGCCATTTTCAAATTTATGACATGAAAATTGTCAAAATATGAGGAACTTGCCTTTGAGATAGATGTTGAGAAATTAGAAGCAAAAACGCAGCATTTGACAGCCACCGCGTTGGAAGTGCTCTCTTAAGTTGAATTAAGTTGTATAAATCCCAAAGAAGGTAAAACATTTCCGGTATAATTTTACAAGAATGAACGACGAATCTTTTGATTTTAGCGCAATTCAGCCTAAAGGCTTGCTTGACTGCTTTTGTGTTGTGGGAAGTTCTGTCAGTGATTCGGTCGACCTTCACACAGATCAAGGCAAAACTCTTTGAGGACAATGAATGGCTACTCCGTGAAATGTGTTTTTGATGGTTACCAAGCTGGTTAACACTAAATTGTCTAAAATTCAAACTTTTTGTCAACGACTCCTCAAGTTTCGCTCTCTTAGCAATCAAACTTGATATAGTATTTCACAGACTAATCACAGAAGGCGGAGCAACACTGGTGCGAAATACTGAATATATATCCGTCTGTAAAATGTCTTCTGGAAGCTCCTTGTAACTGAGAAGAACTTGTTGTTAGAGCTGAATAAATGAAAGCTTCAATTTAAAGGTATGATGATTCAAATGTTTATTTTCTTGCTGCCATTTAACTTTTGTTGCTTGTTCGGACACCTGACTCATTTGACAGTTGAAGCAATTAGCACTTATACACAAAGCCTATAAATATACAAAAGTTGATGCAAAAGCTTGCATAAAATTCAAATTTTATGGTGGAGATGATCGGAGACACTTCGTTCGCATTTTAAGTCCAAATGGCGCACTGATGGATCCGTAACCAATCACAGAAACTACTTTTCTGTTACTGACTGACACCTTTTATCACAACATCATTTAACACCGAAGAAAAATATATTGTTTTCAACTTTGTTATTTTCGAATTCAACATGAGTAGCTATATGTAATTTGGACAAGCGACAAATCTGGACGTTAGAGTCCAAAAATTCGAAAGACTTTTACTTTGGAGCAACTTTCAGCACAAGATCATTAACGTTTTATTTGCATTGTGCTCTCTCGACAAATTATTAATTAGCAACAGATAATGAAGCAGTTATCTCCACTTTTGGTTTCAAAACATTCAGCTAAAAATATAGAGAATCATACCATATAGAAAATAATAAATTGATTGAAAATCCATAGTTTCCATACACTTTCAAAAACAATTCGTCCCAAATATGATCAAACAGGCGTTTTAAAATAATGATCGCAGAACGCTAACACAACAGAACGTCAGTAGAAAATACAAGTTCATGCGATTTATAATTCAAATAGTGTGTTTCTTTGGTAAAGACATTTACATTAATGGCAAAATAGCTGCAACAAAATTTAATTATACATATTGAAAATAAACATTTTCACAAAATAACAATTTCTATATGGACTAAAGTTATCAAGAAACACATTAGTTCCAGTATGTTTTAATGCCTCGGCTGTGTTGAATTTGACAATAATACAGAAAGAAGTGATCATATATCTGAATACTTTTGCATAGTTTACATCTGCCTCGTCTCTAGTAAATGTGCAAAACCTTGAATGGTGATGCACAGCATTCCAAGAGTTCCACGATTTTTAATCTCTTAAGCACCGACAGCTATTTAAAAGAAATATCCAGTGTACTAAACCTTTTATCGATCGATACTCTTTTAAACGCTTTGAGTGGCTCTAAAATTTGAACACATTGATTTGTTTGTTATGAACTATAAAGCTAGGAATATTTCCATCAGCCAGTTTGATAATGCACGACAGTAGCATCTATACACGATAAATTAGGTAAATATTCACCGAACTTTGAATCATTTGCAGAGAACAGAGACGCTCAAAGGTCACTTTGAGATGATTAATACAATTTCAGAAAATTTGAAATGCATGGTAGTGTTTTAGTGTTTTATATAGAGTCTGTAATTCATTGAACAAAAACTTATTCGTAAAACTTTTTCATTTTCGTCAAATTCCCTACTCTCTAATTTCTCACGACAAGCCTTCGTTTTCTGACAAATACAAGCAGTAAAAATTAAAAGCTTAAAGCTTGTTCTTTAGCTTGTTGTTTAGCTTAAAGCTTGTTGTTTTAAACTCCGTCTAAAACTTATTCGTAAAACTTTTTCATTTTCGTCAAATTCCCTACTCTCTAATTTCTCACGACAAGCCTTCGTTTTCTGACAAATACAATCAGTAAAAATTAAAAGCTTAAAGCTTGTTCTTTAGCTTGTTCTTTAGCTTAAAGCTTGTTGTTTTAAACTCCGTCTAAAATCCACCTCTGATAAGAAAACCAGGTGTTTAATTTTTCTAATATAAACAAACACTTAAGTGGACACATTTCAGTCTTATATGCTATGAAATTAGCTAATTACAGACAAAAAAGTTCACACAGCAATTCTTATTGAGCACATCTTACACATTGCATTGACCGACTATTAATATTAATTAGCCAACAAGAATAGACAATACATGGATATCGTATGTCATGCTACCAATGTAGTATTTTTTCCACTTACGAGTTACGATGTGGAAGACTAGTTTTGCAGTTGACAAATTCTTTCCGAACGTTCATCATTTTTTCAGATCCCTGCCGTTTGATTAGTACACCAATACATAGTTAAAGTGTGGTAAATAGTGACTTCATTCGTTTTTTGAACATAATTCAAATTAACCTCAAACTTGATGATTATAAAGCAGACACAAGTGTTCATGCTTGTCTATAGGTAACATGGCTTAGCTTTAAAATTTGAAAAGACACGAAAAATTTGTGTCTTTGAGTCTGACCGTATCGTAAAATTTTCGCTTGGAATTTTTTCTCATGAATTAAGTGTCGCGACAATACACACACAAGTCAACCACTTGACTATTTTGAAATTTGAATAATATAAAGCTCAAACTTTCAATCATGGTACTGTCATGCATATCATGTCCTTAGAGATAGCGTCAACATTTGCCAGAACTAAAACCGGCTTCGTCACAAATGAAAAAAGATGGAAGAACACCACACCAGGGCTTCGGAATACGGTCTTTTCGTCGCTTCCAATGACCAACAAATTGAAGGCCATCGAAGACAGCAAAATAATGACAATATAAAGGGTATCCCCAGAAAAATGGAGAGAAGACGAACGGAGACAATGAATTTAGCGTTTGCTAATCTACGCGAGCACATTCCTAACGTTCCAACGGATACCAAACTTTCAAAGATAAAGACATTGCGATTAGCTATAAGTTACATACGCTATCTTAGGGAAGTGCTTGATGGTGAAGATCCAGGAGAGTATGTTGTAGATCTACATCGGGACAGAAGTATTGCAATGGACATAGCAAATCATTATGATCACAAGGAGAAACAAAAAAAGGAAGTGGTAATGGATGTTTATTTTACTATCTACGCATAAAATATGGGTGTTTAGTCACTTAGTCTTTTATTTCAGCTTCATTTTGAAGTCAATCGATCAATTTTAATCGAATTAGAAATAATATAATCTTTAGACAAAAGATTTTTGTTTAAAAAGTATTTAAACTTCCTACAGAAGTAAAACGAGGTTCTTTTTTCACGACAAGACGATAAAAGAACTTTTGATTCGATTCTGATGATTTTCCAGTAGTCCTAATTTGTGTACGTTACAGAATATGAAGTTTATTTTAAACACTTTTAAAGCAATATGTAATCGGTGTAATTTGTGTCTTCCATCCTAAATCAGATATGTTCGTTTTTTCATGCTGTCTGAGATCTTTTTCTGATTTTATAAAAAGTCAAATTTGTTGTTGAATCATGTTTTATATGCATCGCATCTCAGAAAGAAACGAAATCGTTAAATAATAAACATCCTCACCAAAACGCTTCGTTTTACCGCATGAGTGAATGCATTTAATGAAGGAAACGGAAATTGCTCATTGCTGTTTGCCTTTTGCAAGACACGTATTAATTATCCGTTTTCTCACTCGTTTACATAGGAGTATCGATCTCTTCCAAAAAAGAAACGAGGTAGAACTGGTTGGCCGCAGAAAGTGTGGGCCCTCGAGTTGCAAAACGAATGACAATACACCAACTTTAATCTGAATGGAATTGGTACAAAATATTTTATTACACATGTAATTAGTCATTCTGAATATTATTTAAATAGTTTATGGGTTCCACTGCTTGTTGAAATTAATTTTCAACAATTTTCTGGTATATTTTTTACATTCGCGCTCGTTAAAATGAACATACCAAAGTCTGGACTTACTGACATCCATACCCCTAAAAGTAATAATTTTGAGTAAAATGTTCGTATTTAAATAAAACACAAAGTAAAACTACCATTTTCAGTGTAAACAGTAGTTTTGGAAAACGTTTCGTAATAATTAAAAAGGCAAGATACAGAGTACACAAATGATCAGATCCGGAAAGAAACAGCATGTCCATGCAGTTTATGTAATGCGCGGTAATGCTATAATTCTCTAAATTGTTCTGCAATTCTCTGAACTTGATTGTTGGGAGAATGAATTATTTAAAAAATCAAATGAACTCAAAATTAGTTGAGTTACCATTTCAAAACAGCCTAGCCGTTGTTCTTGATAGATAATCTTAACATTTCAAATCTATCGTGAAATTATACTAAGAGACCAGAGACCAGAGCTGGAAAATTGACATCTACAATTTCCGACCAATTTTTATAATTTCTTATATTTTGAAGAGAAATACAGAATATGACAAAGTCAACATTTAAGCTAATCTAGACCCGAAAGAAGATCTTGTAATATAGATCACCACCAAACACCTATAACATAACGAGGCATGTAAGTTGGACTAGGCGTTAGTTTAATTGCACTAAACTATTGTATTCTGATTTTATCCCAATAGGTTTTCATACTAAGTTCGCTCATTCCAAAATCGCTATAAGATTAGTCAGGATATAGCCAACAATATCACGGCATTACACCACAGCCTCTCGAATTTGAAAAAGTTTTTCTAAACCAAAAATTAATAAATTACAATACTACTAATGAATATTTATTTGATGGATTTGTATTACCAATAATTAATGAAAAACGAGTTGATTTTAATTGTGATGGTGTAAGGAGGTTCTTTTTCTGATTTCATTTCTGATAATAGATCTTGAGGGGTATCTCATAAATAAAGGATACTAATATATATGAAGCTTTACTCTCATTTACCAAGACCTTAACAACTTTGCAGGTGTACAGTTTCGCAAATTACCTGCCTCCCCGGTATGCATCTGTGTAAAGTCTCATGAACTTTATAACATAAAGTTTCGTATGTTTAACGAATATACTGTAATGTATCACAACTCGCTACACCAGTTATCTCGATTACGCGCGAAAGGAAAATGACACTTTTCTTGGCATGCCCTGCCCTATTATTTTTATTGGTTGAGAGTAATCAAATCTACTTCCCGTCACGTGACCCAAAACTATAACGATTGTTTTCTATTTCAAACAACAGTACAACTAATAAAGTAAATGGTTTGAACCCGGGAGTATCGTATTTAGTTCATATGTAGTATAAATTTTGTAGAAGTGTACATCTAAAAGGCCTGGGTCGATAGTTGATTACAGTTCGGGAGTTAAGAGTTAAAGTCGAGAGTCACGGACAGAAAACGAGAGTCATGAGTAAAAGTCGAGAGTCGAGATTAAAAATCGAAAGTTAAAATTGTTAAGTCGAGAAACAAAAGTATATACAACAAAGCGTTGTTATTACAAAATGAATAACTCATACTTTTAAAATGTAGACTCAAGCGTTTTCGAAGTACTTGTTTATCAATGCGACAAATAGACCTAACTAAGGGGCTGTTTACATGATCCCGGCTAAACGGGATTCAGTAAGGCGTAAAATCATTTCGGCGCATTGAAAAGAGTCGAAACTTCAAGCGTAAAAATTACAACTGTTTGTTAAGCGCTGGAAGTAATGCCTGTTGTAATTTCTCAAATTAGGCCAAATTTTTTGTTCGATTTTGAATTTTTTGCGTGTAGTTTTTTAAATCAGAATATTGTGAAAGTTTTGAAAAACATTTCTCTGATGATAAGTATTAAATCTTTTCCATTTGCCAAAATCATTTAACGCTTGGCTGAATCCCGGCTACCCGGGCTCATGTAAACACCCCCTAAAGCACTCACCGCGCTTGTTTGCAAAAAAACACTCACGCTTAAATAAGTTATTACATGTTTGTAAATGTAGATCGTCCAGGTTGGTATAGTCCTGAAAAGGACTGTTTTTGTTGTTGTTGACTGACGTTTCGACAACCTTAGCGGCAGTCATCTTCAGAGTCAAATGAGGAGTAAACGTCAGGTTAGCCGTTAGAGTAAACGTCAGTCAACAACAACAAAAACAGTCCTTCTCAGGACTATACCAACCTGGACGATCTACATTTACAAACAAGTACAACTAATGTTTGATCAGGAAACTTTTTCATTTATATGGTTTTCAAAAATAAGCTGCAAAATATTGCATACTAAATAAACTTTTGATAAATATCTTGAAGACAAAGTCGAGGACAAAGTTCTGAGTTGTATGACATTTGAAACAAAGAAATTGCTATTACGATGACCATAAGGATCAATCGGCGCTTCTAATTTAAAAAAAATACCTTTATAACAATGCAATGGGTGACGAGTTTCCAAAAGAATAGAATGTAACCAATCGATGTGCATTTGTAATCTATAACTTGCCGAACTTTAAAAACAAAGGAAATGATTGACTTTAAAGACGCTTATATCGAATTCATTACAAAAAAAACACCAAAATTTTGTGTAACTTTATGTCAGTTTGAAATCATAGTGGGAACAGCTGTTGCCTGTTGAAGTTTCACTTATCGTATGCGCGAAAACGAGGCTTTCATCATCAAAAAAGGCTGAAGACGACCCCCACGTGCGTGCGTGAGAAATACACAAATACGAGAGAAATTGCACGCAAATCTTTTATGAACGTGCATAAATCCTTTGCTCACATGCGTTACCAACAAAACAGAACCGAGAAATCAGACTGTTTATAAACGCAGGGACACAATAAAGTCTATAAACATGCGGTCGGCATCATGTATTTTGAGCCGCCCGTGAGCACGTGCGCACGTGCCATTCGTCGTTTTTAAATGATTCACGTGATCTATAAATAATTGGCTCGAAGCAATGGATATTTATGATGCACTGCCAGTGCCCAAACATCATTGACTTTTTTTCTTTGTATCTTTGACGAGAAATAAAAGCAGATCAGTCAAAGTACTTTTAGCGAAGAAAGCTTTTCAGGTAACCTTTTAAACTTTTCCATTTAGCTACTCTAGAAAAGCTTTAAACAATCAATTCCTAATCCTTGTCATATATAAATCACAAATGCGCCGTGCAAGTTTTCATTCAGTATCCAAACGTCTTTCAGTCGAAGTTTCTATCGTATTTTCAATGAAATGATTAATTTAAAATGTACGAATGAACGCTAGAATTTGAATACTTCTGAAAATGATTTAAAATATATTTTGTGTTTACTTAAGGAAGCCTGGCAAGCCATTCCTACAGTACCGCCTCTAAAATAAACATCGTTTCTGATACTGATAAAATGTATTTCAGTGTAGGAAGAAATTTTTGAATTCTCAATCATTCACAGGCATTATACATTATGCTACATCAGCTTATGTAAATCCATTATTTGAGTTCAATTTGGAAAAAGAATGAAAAACAGCCCAATGGAGAGTAATCCTATTTGAAAAAGTCCAAAGGCCAAGTGAGTATAATTTGATGTTTTTCTAAATCTTGATATACCATTTTTTCGCCCATACTTAAGCTATGTTGCTATTCATATGCATTGGATGGAAATGATTTAGTAGTGGTATGTAGTAATCTCATCCAGAACTTATAAAATGTCAAATAAACTATACAGGTCTTGAAGTTCCTTATGTGTTCAAGGATATGACTGTTCCTAGCAATTATGTATTTGACATGCATGCAGTTTTCTTTTGTTATTATGAAAATATTTTATGTTCTTGTTGTCACTTTAATGTTGGAAGTAAAGGTTTATTTGAAATGTAAAATCAGTGATGTTCGGTAACTCAAAAAATTGATTGTATTTTAAAACTTTGAGTAAATTTTGCATTGCATCAGTTCACTCCTAAGTTGACCAAATTGCTTCTTCATACACTGCCTGACATTAGAATTTCACAACAGTTGTTTGAAAGGAATCAAGAGTACACTATTGCAAATCAAATATAAAACAATGAAAACTTGTAGCTACTTGAGTCAGTGAAGCTTTATGCTCTTGTTATATTATCAAACAATACTTATCATGTATTGCCATTTTTACACATTACATTTATACACACAAGCTCTTATATGCCTTTTCTTGAGCTACTAACTCTGGCATCTTTTCGCATTTCTTATAAGATTTCCTAAGTTTAAACATTCAATTATTCCTTCAACAATCAATCATTAATTATTGTTCATGTTGTTTTTCTTTAATCATTAACTCTAGTTATTGCAGTGGAATTTCAAAATGAAGGGAAGGCAAAACAATGAACAAGATGTTAACAACAGAAAACAAAGACAACATGCCTTGCAGTCATCTCTTGAAAACAACACCAAAATAACTTCAGATAAAGTAAAGGGTTTGAGGGCTAGTGTCGTTTTCGTGCTAATTTTGAATCTGATAAATGCATGCATTGAAATGTGTTGTTTTAGTGAGTTTTCTCATGTGGTTTGATTGTTTTGTTTTTAGAGAAAGAGAAGATATTCAAATGAGGTATCTTAAGACAAATCATTGCTACCATACATTTAATTTATTATCTATGCAGATATTGAGTATGTTCAGAGAAAAGCCAGGTTTGAAATCATATTTTTTCGTAAATGAAGCGTTTTCTCCTCAATATGAAGTTTTTAACAATCGAGTACCTACTTTAGGTATAGGTTATAGTCATCCAGTTATTGAAGCAAGGTGCATGAATTCAACTTCGATTGAATTTACACAAACATGATTTGTAGATTTACCATTATGAGAGCTAGTCCTTTGTAATGCCTTCTTCAGAGTTAGGAAAAGCTCCTTCAATCACTTGATCATTCACACACCAACTCATGGTCCATGTTTACCTTAGTTGTAAAATATCATTTCTAACATCTTATCTTAGAAATTACTCCGTTCTGTTTATGAGGAAGCGAGCTACGTAATTTTGTTTGTTAAAAAAGGAATGTCGGATGTTCCACGATGCATGTTGAAGGAACTTGTGCTGATAGATTTTTAAATTTCATCTGCGAATTCCTTTCGTATCTTCTAATGTTTCTTGTTGTCATTGATAAAAGTAACTCGATACGCGATAGACAAAGTTCACAGTTGGCTAACAGGACGCACGTCAGCGCAGTAGGCATGTCCATAGTCAAATGTACACTTGTAGAAGTCATTAGCGAGACGTTCTGACAACAAGAAGAAAAAAGGGCAGGCGTACCACGTCAGTGTTGAGGTGTTTGCTGAGATAGAATGCTTAGCTTAGGTGTCTCTCACATCATTGAATTTTATTTTGGATATAGGAACATATTTTGTACCCAAGGCAATCCAAGGTCAAACCAACTAGTTAAACCATTCAAGCAAGGTTTAGGGTTTAGGTTCGGATGACATTCCGATTTTATACACTCTGGATAAGCATATCATTTACATCCTCATTCAACCCCCCCCCCTTCACATGCGACCCATACTTTTGAATCATATCATATCAATATCTAAAAGGATGACTGTGGTACAGCAAATTTCAACGAACACCGAACTGTCAAGAAGAAGAAAGTATCAAACCAATATAACCAAGCAAATGTAAGGATGAATCTCGAAAAAGTGCTTACAATTTTTTTCATTTACACTTTCTATAATTAGCATTATGAATTCGTGAAACGCGCTATGTATTAAAGTACATACATATTATTGATTTGTACCATCGTATTTAAGAGTTCAGACTCCGATGATTCAACATCCCATTCGAGCACAAATTCAAGTTGGGATTCCTGGGGATCGGATTCAGGAAGTGCTTCACCGTGCGACTTATCTGACGACGCAACAAAAGATGACAACACCAGAAGCATAACTACAAGCGAAGGTACAGAACTAGCTGCTTTATTTACCTCTGCAGAACTTTCACCTCCTGACTTGATTCGATGTTGCGCGTGTAGTTATTTTAGAAAAGATGAAACGAGAAGAAGATGTTGTTCTTGGTGACTTAGATAGTTTTTGGTCCAGCAAAGTTGCACCGAAAGCTCGAAAAGAACTGCGCAACCTAAAGGAGTATTGTAGTGGAGATGTATCTTCCATAGAAACCTTGAAGAAGCGTTGCAGATTTGTTCAAACGTTAATAGAGTAAGTTTTTAGCACAATGAAATCAAACGTAAGAATTTGACTGGCGATCTCAACTATACTAATGTTAACAACACCAGGAAGAATAGAGTTATAAATTATTTCTTCAGGTCCATTCATGCTGGACCACTATGAGAACGGATAGCGTAGAAATGTTATTGTGCGTAAAATATTATTTAATTGTTTCTCGTTTGTTAGGCTGCCTTGTGTACTTTCTGTTGGCTTCAATAAAGAAGATTCAAAATTCAGCGTTTTCGTCTCCGACAGTAAAAAGGCCCAAGAGCTTTCCGAAAAACTTACAGATCCAAATATACATCTGGTTGAGGCCAGAAATGCTCATTTTCTATGATAAATACTTGTGTATTGCATTTTCGGCACTTTGTTGTTATAGAAAAAAGTTTAAGGAGACATGATCTGTAGGACTATGTTTTAGTTGCATGAAGTCAAATGACTCCCATATATTAGTTATTACTCTTAATATAAGTAAGACAAATATTACATAAAGTTGTATATAAACTATCTACGTATATATATACAGATGTGTTACAAGGACATTCAGATTAGGGGGGTGTTTTTCAATGGTTCTAACCACTCTTACGAAATCACAATAGGTACGCTTGTAAGACTTTTAAAAATCATTGATCAGTTTTCTCAAGCCTGTACATAGAATTTGGCCTGCAAATGATCAACAAATCATCTAATAATTCTATTCAGATGAAGCAACGTTTGATGATCATTATGATAATTTAATTTTCATTTGAGTCGTTTCGTATCAGGCGTACTTTCCATGAAATTGGTTTAAACTGAGAACGAGGTAATGCAAGGAAAGTCAGTCTTTTCGGAATTTTCACTATATGGGGATTTGACATTTTGGGTTTTATTTTTTATAGACTTGAAATTCAGAAACGCTCGATAGAGAGGGTGAATGCTCCTGTTATGGAAAAAAAGATTTACTTACTTACAAAAAAACATTCCTTCGAGCCGGATTTGAACCAGCGACCTAGGGATGGCAATCATTTCCTCTACAGTCCCCCGCTCTGCCAACTGAGCTATCGAAGGTTACATGCGATGCGTGGCAAATTTAGGTAAAAAAAGGTATGCGTTGCTTGACAGAACTACCTACCAACACATCTAAGTTGATCTTTTCCTTCACTTTTTACACTCCGTCTTTTACTTATGAATGGAACAGATTGTTCAATAAATATATACCGAAACAAAAGTCCATACTACCATTTATAAGTCCTTAAGATGTTTAAAAGACTTCGTCATATTCCAAATAACGAAGTCGAATTATCTTCCAAGAGAAGATTCGTGCCTCTGAATCACAAAAAGCGTTGCAAAGCTAATGAAGAATTCCAAGCCAAAAAAGACAAGTAGTACGCAACAAAGAATGAGTTCTAATCTCAACACATAAGTCTGCCATAGCATCAAATATAAGTTGAGCAGCAAGACAGGAATGGTAAGAAATATTGAGAGTACCACTGCAAGTTTCCGTTCAGCAAGATTCCCTTTGTAGCCAAAAAATAGACGGACACTCTCGATAATTGCGAACATCAACAATAGTATTATTTCGAGAGCCAATGTCCCATCTTGATTGGGATACGGTAGAATAATTCCTTTGTAAATATACACCAGCAATTCAGTAATCCAAAATACCAAAAAATACCAAACGTTCAAGTGTAATAATACTTGCAAAGGCAGCGATGATAGATCCTCAACTACTTTCCCTCGATACGATGGAACCGCCATCTTTGTTTAGCGAATAGCGAACTAAGCGATGTAAACAAGATATGTGACGTAAATTAATCGCGATTTTTGCGTGACTTTTGCGTGATGAGTTTTTCAACTCAATTCATGACCACTAGTTAGTCATGTTCCCGAAGAGTTTCCAAGTATAATTTTCGATCTAGAGCACATTTTCCTTAAAGTTTCGATAATCAGAAACCATATTTATGGTTTTTCAAGATTCCTATAATCGATACAACACAAAACACGCTTGCACATTGTTACGCATAATATAGTTATGGTATACTCAACCGAACTTCTATCAAATATAATTTAGATTATTGGATATCAATTGTGTCAAATGCATATTCAGTCGCCTTTGAAATTATATACAGTCATTTAGGCACATTTTTATTAAATGTTTTATTATTGCGAGAGCTATCCTTGATTAATTTTATGATGTAATAATGTTGTAACCCTAACAGAATGTTTTGTCTTCAAAATCAAGTGAAATTTACGTACCCTGGGGGAGTTTAACGTTAATGGAACAATATCGAGACAAAATATTTTGGAAATCTGTCAACTAATGGAATAGTTTAAGGATATATTTCGTATCGTTTATCTGCTATAAGGAAGCCTCACCTGTACCATCATATATTGTCGTCAAAACGTTTGTCATAGAGAGAGTTTTCCTGCTTGGTCATAAATTTGATTGTAGTTGAAGCTGAAATATGATTGGGGCTGTTGGCATTTTTGTCACCGTATTATTGAGAGTATCTTTTGTAACTGCTGTTGAAAATGGTACTTGTATATTTTTTTGAATAATTTTACTTGGTTAAACTGGGACGTTCATAAGTTAAGGAATTGTTTACATCGTTCTAAAATGTGATTAATTGAACTTTTTTTCTCGAGCCACATGAAAAATTTTCCATAACCGAACTGAGAACCCACTAAAGCTCTTTCCACACTAAGAATTAATACGTCAAATCTTATGGTTTTTGTTCACTCACAATGAAGATTGGACAAATTAGTTGAATGAAGTGGGAAAAATCATTCAGTTTTAATCATAAACTAAGAAATAGAACATGTTAACAGTGTCTCAAAGATATTTCTTGCTACATCTTTTGAACGAAAGATATTTTCTTGTAGTCAGTAAAATATGCTGCTAGTTATCACAGTTTGAAACTCAAAAGCTTATTCTTACAACGAATGATTGTTTGGTATACAACCATATATAGCAATGCAATAATATAATATACAATGACATACAGACACTAGATTTTTTTTTATATTGATTTTGACCACTTTATAGTTTCGATATTGAATATTGTATGATAATGATATGTATTTGTATTATTCTTTTCTTTCTTAGATAGGTGTATGAAAGACATCCTTGTAGTTTTGGATACGTCTTTCTCCATCGGCAAGACTAATTTCATGAAGAAAGTAAAACCATTTTTGAAGCATTTGACTAATCTTCCCGACTTGAATGTTTCTCCATCGGGCACTCACATTGCCATCATGACGTTTAGCTCAATTAAGCAAACAAAGTTAAGGCTGCATTTCAAAGAGAGTAAACAAAAGAGTCAGTTTTTCCGTAAAATACAAGCTATGCGTTGGAATAATGTTAAAGGTGGTCACACGAGAACAGAATTAGCTTTTCAAAAGGCTGGCGAGGTATGATATCCCATTCATTTAACAATTTGTCTATCGTGCTCCTCAACTCTTCTTGTCACGCATATGAAAATTTTCAACTGAAATTTCATCTAGATATTTAAAAAAAATAACCCACTGAATCATCGCAGGCAATATGGCGACGTAATTATCCTGCTTACTGATGGAGAACCTCACGGTGTTCATATGGCTAAAGAAAAGGCAATAGCTGAAGCTCAAATATTGAAAGAACGAGGAATTAGAATAATAGGACTTGGTGTCGGCAAAGTTAATATGAAGACTCTAGAAGCAATATCTAGCCCGGGAGAAGCAATGATTGCCACTTTTGAAAACATCAATTCAAAATTAAATCATCTCGTTCGTGGATCATGCTTGATTATACCAGGAATATGTAAGTCTACACGTAAAAGACATATAGCAAAATCCTCGACAAGCATTGGCTATACATTTAGGCAAAGCTTTTGTAAAATAGTAAAGGCGTGAAAATTCATTAATGTATTATTGAATTTCATAGAAATACGCAATAGGTAGATTTAACAGCTAGGTAACGATAGATGTATACGTCAGAACATCAGCCATCAAAAGTGATTAAAAGCGGTTTATGTCTTTATGATGCGTCAATCATAGCATAATCATCTGCATGAAACACGACAGTGAGAACACAAAACAGCCAGCGGGAAAGCTAAATTGATTGAGGAATGAGAAGGAAAGTTTTTTGTTGTTTTTGTTCGCTTTATCTCCATGGCTCTTCTGCCATGTCGCTGTGAAGGTATTAATTAAGATGGGGTTCTCACCTTACGATGCCAAGAACATGAATCGTAATCTCGAACCAAGAAACAGATTGGGTGCCTGTGGACCACTCCTATGCCTGACCGGCTAAAAAATGATAGAGTGCATGATAGAATGAACTAGGTGCTAAAGTTAGGTCAAAGACAACCTTTTAAATTTTTGATGTATATTTCGAAAATGTTCAACTAAGCAAGTGCTTTTTTCCTTATTTTAGCCTGTTCTTGCCCAATGCTTGATCTTGGCGACATTTTTATCGATTCTAACAATCGAGCACATCGAGTGTTATGGAGTTTGCCCAACCCCAGCTGCTCAAGAGATGGTATAGAAACTATTCTAGTCAAAACAACGCCAAATGCTCAGCCTGGAGATTTATTTACTCATGGTATACATAATATTCAATATACATTTAACGTCAGTGGCATCAAACAACAGGTCAAATGCAATATAAGTTTCACCATTAAAGGTACGTATCAAAGTGGGGGCGGGAGGGAGAGAGAAGTGAAGGGTCTACTCATTCAAAACATTACAATTAGAACACGCTTAATGCACGTGCGCACTACATTCTAAAAAGTACATTTAAGGTGTAGATTGAGATGATTTGGTAATATAAAAGATGATTTCGTGTTTTTACTAGTAAATTGTCCTTTCAAATACATTACATACAAGTCTTGCATAAGTCGCCACCAACCCTTGCGCTGCCTTTGGTATGAAACTTACGTTTACCTTTTGTGACAATAAAAGTGTATCAAAGCAGTACATATTTTAGATCTTACTCGTAGTGTCGTGCTTAGTGGGATGATTGTGTTGTAATCATATCAAATGACATGATAGGATAAGTGCAGTGGGTGGTATTCATGACCTTCTTACGATAGGAATAGCAGCTATAACTGGATTTATTGGATAATATAATTTAATTACCTAAGAACAAACGCAAGCGGTGAACATCAGAATAATTTTCAGCACTTGAACTATGATAGCCCTTTATCTTTATTTTTTTATTTCAGTACTGCACGAAAAATCTCAATTATGTGATGGTAAAGCTTACTCGACGTCAAATGAAGTATGTTGTTGTGGTATTATATACCTGAAGATGAAAAATCATGAGTGCTGTGGATTAAACTTTTTTTCAAATACAACTCATAAATGTTGTCCAGTAGCAACAGTGCAAAGATTAAACCAAGCATGTTTAGGACGTGGTTCTGTGTAGTGCACTGGTTACTAGGACCTTCAAACATTGGGTATTATCCCTGGTTTGAATGAAAAGAACTGCAATAAAGTCGTGATAAAAGCATTGAGAATTGAAGTGCCTGATGTTGTATTGAATAATGCAGATTGTGCTATGCATAGTTGCAATTTTTCTTTTTAAACATATCGAAAAGACAAAAAACTGTCAGCTATTGGAAAATACTCCTGAGTAACAAAATTGCTAACTCACTTGACCTCTGCCGAGAAATATCAGATCTTGGTATTTTTAGACAAACTTAAATCGATACAAATCTCGTTCAGAAATATCACTTATGCTAATACACAATACTTATAAAGCCAGAGTTAAACACTGGCTTTGCCTCTCCAGCTCAGTTGATTGGAAGTAACTTTAAAATACTAATGTGAACGGCGCCCTTGTTGAAGTACATTTTCGAATTTTTTGATAACTAAAATTCTTAGTAAGCGATGCGACGTTTGTGGACATTAAAAAACTTCAATATCTTGAAAATGAAAGATGTGTAGATGAAACGTTTAAGGTAAGAAGTTTGCTGTCTTGAATGTCCTTTTCAATAATATATATTATAAACATCAATTTAAATTACTTTTTTTGCTTAACATAAAGTACGATGATAGTTTTAACATAGAGGAGTCCGTCTATAGATAAGTATGGTTTAATTTAGCTACATCGTGATGGAAAAGGTGGTTGGGATGCTGTAATTTGACCTTCGTGTTCTTCGATTGCCTAGTACATGATTCGTTTTAATCATTACGATGATCTCATCATAATGACGATAGTTCTTTTACAATTATTTTCGTTGATTTTGAAGAGTATCTAATCCTTTCAGCAACAGAACTGGTCATGTCAACTAGAGATTCTCAAGTGTTATCCTCTTGTATTATGATAGTCCCCGAACTTCATAACCCTTGGGTTATTACTGATCAACTTTCGAGTCTTATTGACTGTACTGGTGAAAGAAATAACGTGGTTTTAACACATAATTGATGTATAAAGCCGATGATCACGATCCTTCAGCCAAAATATGTCGTATTCTTAGCATTAACTTTAGCCGGAGAACGGACTCAAGGAATAACCTTCTAGATAAATCAATAATTTGGCAAATTTAGTGACTTTTCCACTTAATTTTTACTTTGTGAATTTTTCACTTGGTGAATTTTCAACTTCCCACAAAAACTTGGAAATATTCCACGAATATTGAGAAAACCGTAAACATACTTGTTTAGGCTCTCGCCTTCGCGTTCAAAGGTCAGGTGTGACAATTTCGTTGTGTGTCGGCATAAACAGCTGTGTTCTATTGATCTTACTTCCTTTGAGTTCACTCAATTGTTTTACTCATCATAATCAAGGCTTATTGTCACAAATTGCTCTGCTCCAGACGCTCAATACAAAAACAATTCCTTTGTCAAGTTGAATTAACGACATGAATGACGAACCATCATGTTTGATATCGATATTTTGTATATATTTGCACGTCATTATAATGTACCAAACAGATCAACCTTTCTTTGTTTCACATACAAAAAAAAGATGCAAAAGAGTTATGAAAATAAGCTATCAAGGAAGTAAATCTGCTGTGCGTCCTTTGTAACAGCGTAGCAGGTATGTCTTATTTATACCCACGTGCCTTCAACATGACTGCTCATGTCTGTCATTACCTTTGAGTAGTTCATTAAGTTTAAAGTGACGAGAGTAATGATGATCAAATGGTCATAAGTTATTGAACTGTACAAAGCGCGATTTAAATATGGCTATGGAGTCGAATATGGAGGGAGATTTTCGTGTCGAAGAATCGCAAAAACAATGCTGCACTTTCAAACGAAAGATAGGTCCTATTCAAATCAACCTAAATCCAGTCGTCACCCTTGTTTCTGCCAGCATTATTTGGGCTCTCATGATCTGGTGTATTGTTGATACCGAGCGGGCTTCATACAAAATGACGCAAAGCAAAATATGGATTACTGAGACATTTAGCTGGTTGTACATTATAACCCAGGATGCATGGTTTGTCTTTTTGATTATCGTATATTTCTCAAAATATGGCAATATTAAACTTGGCAAAGACGACGAAGAGCCGGAATTTAGTGATGTCTCGTATTTCACAATGCTTTTTTCAGCAGGGATTGGAATCGGACTTTTCTATTTTGGTGTAGCGGAACCAGTGTTTCACTACCAACCGAAAAGCCCGAATAGAAATAGAATTTGGCACAGGTTTGTTTTGTTTATGTTATACTTATGTTTAAATTCCGTTATATAACTTATCATTGCACAATCGTTGTTTCATGATAATATTCGATAATATGACGATGCGCAGTAATAATTAAATATGATGAAGCAATGCCTGTAATACGATGACTTTAGTATTCAATGGCATAGCTGGCTGGTCTTGTCATGCTAATTTTTTGGTGCTCTCTTACTACAACTTCTGACTTTTACAAAACAGGACAAAAAGTACAATTGTCAACTCTAATGATGGTATTGAGTTGTGTTTTATCAATCGAAACGGTTTGCAATAAGAGTTTGCCCTTCGTTGGCAATGAAAAGCTCACACTGTCTTTAATCTGCGTCACACTGCTAAGAAAATTTCCTGTTCTTCATCGTTCATCTTACCATACTCGTATTACCTCGGCTCATGAAAATTTGTAGACAGAAAATGATTTACGTCAATCGATTGTGAGCATTACAATTACAAAAATACTTAAAAAGTGCTGAGCACCAGCCCAGTATCAAGAGATGAACATTAACCATTGTGATATTATATGTGTCGCGTCCATTACACGAATTCATACGTTGTAGGAACTAATTTCCTGCAGGGAAATTCAGCATATTGTGCTCAAGGACAAAATTATCAAATATAATCTTTTCGCTGATTACACAGATTGAAATTGGCGCACATGTATTTTTTTAGATTGTTGCAATGCTATAAACTGCAAAACCAACTATCATAGAGCAAATTTTTTTGTTTTAAACCATTCCAATAACAATAGAATTCTAAAGAAATGAATACAACGATAAAGGTATAATGTTATGAGATTTAGAACTAAAACTTGCGGCCTGGCTACTGCGCCACGCAAGAACCGTTCTTTTTCTGATGGCACTTATCAGTTTATACATGCGTAGTCTGCACTTATGATTTAAGTTCACACAAGGCAATCTTCACTTTCATATTTTGCTAGAGAACAATTTATATTACTTGAACTACTACGACTTCAAAGATTCCTAAACTCAAATAATACTGTATTTCATGAACAATATACTAAAATTGCCAACTTGTAACATAGTAGTATCCGTAGTCCATAAACATGTTTTATTTTTTATGACAAAAACTTATGGCTCTGAGTCTTAAAGCTCAGTTCTCTCCCCCTCCCCGTCAATTGAGCCCTCCCTTCCTCAGCTACACAACTGCTCACAGTTAGGTTTTTTGTTTATATTTATAGCAAAACAGACAATGAAAGAGCTCAGGATGCCATGAACCTCACATTTTTTCATTGGGGGATACATGGATGGATATGCTACACGTTAGTTGGTCTGATCATGGCTTTTATAGCATACAGAAAAGGACTTCCAATGACAATACGTTCATGCTTTTACCCCCTTCTCGGAGATAGAATATTTGGAGTTGTCGGCGACATTATCGATATTTGTTCAGTCGTGTCAACAATGTTTGGAGTTGCAACAAGTCTTGCTTACGGTGTGCAAACCTTGAACGCGGGATTAAATCGTATGCATAGTGGTATAACAGAAACACCTAACAATCAAATTATCATTATCTGGGCTGTTACATGTTGTGCCACTCTTTCGGTTATTTCCGGACTTAAGGCTGGAATTCGTCGCCTTAGCGAGATATGTTTTGGACTTGGCATATTTTTGATGCTGTTTGTGTTCTTTCACGACAGCACATGGTTCTTTTTGAATTTGTATGTTCAAAGTATTGGTTATTATTTTCACAACATCGTGCAAAACGCATTCCACACTGACGCCTTTGCACAACTTGGAAATGCTCCGGATAATAGGCATGCACCACGATGGATGAATGAATGGACGATATTCTATTGGGGCTGGTGGATAACATGGTCACCGTTTGTTGGTATGTTCATCGCCAAAATTTCGCGAGGTCGAACAGTTAGAAGCTTCATCAACGCCACATTAACCGCACCAATATTATATCTCTTTCTCTGGTTTACTATTTTTGGTGGCGCAGGGTTGAAAATGGAGCGGGATGCTTCCACTGCTAAAGTATTCTGTAACTCGACCCTTGGTGGCACAGACGCGACAGAACCCTTTGAAAGAATGTTTCGCTTATCTTGCAGAAACAAGAGTCAAATGTATTTCGATGTTATCCAACAATATGGGGACAATCTTGGGGGATTTTTGCGAGTCGTTTCACTAATTAGTGCTGTACTGTACTTTGTTACAAGTTCTGATAGTGGCTCTCTTGTTATCGATTGTCTTTCAGCAAATGGAAATCCTGATCCACCAATAGCTCAGCGTGTATTTTGGGCGTTTACTGAAGGAGCCTGTGCTACAGCGCTGTTGAAAGCAGGAGGGGAAAAAGCTATCGAGGCTCTGCAGTCGGTTGCGATAGCCGCTGGCTTACTTTATGCTGTAATTCTAAATCTTATGTGCGTATCTCTTTGGCGAACAATGCAGATGGAAGTAGGCGATTATGATTTCAACAAAAAGACATTTTCCTCCAGTATCGTGTCAGTTTTTGACGTGCCATCATTGAAAAGATTTTCTGATATTGTGATTTCAATTTTCGCCCCTTGGTGGCCTGCTGGACGTGCAGCTGGATTGCTATTTATGGTTCATCCCTGGCGTCACATGTTAGTCATGGGCATTTTGTTCAACGGATGGATTTTACTGCTTATCTTGCAGATTATAGAAGCTGGGTTGGCGTACATTGGTTGGGTCCTTTTGTGTTTCTTTTTGGCATATCTCACATGGATAAGGATGGCTATACGTGCACGATTTGATATAGAAAATAGCGTCATTGAAGATGGCATTGTCTGTTTTGTTTTTTATTTTTTAGCCGTCGATCAGATGTATCAGCACATGATGATTGAAGAAAAAAATAAAAAAGATGACCGCACGTTTGGAATCCGCCTTATGAATAGCAATGAAGCTAATTCAACGAAAAATGGATCAGCGGAAAAGTTGAAAGCGCCAGAAAATGTTTAAAGGAAGAAATAGTGTTTTTTGTCCATATTTTTAGCACGGGGAATATTAAAATAAAAGTAGTTTCGGATAACGTCAGTATTTTCTTAAAACCATGAACACATGGTGCAGTGTATGCAGAAGCTTAATTGAGTAACGTGCAGCTAGATTAACGACCAAAGTGTGCAAGGTTTTAGTTTTTCAATTAATCGATCACTGCAAGCGATGCATGTAATAAAATAATGCATAACCCTGCATGTTCATGATTTTAATTCCAGCAAATTTTTAAATTTGTACAAAATGGAAACTTTTTGTGATGTTTCATGTTTCATTTTTTTTACTTAACATTCTGGAGTACGACACGACGGTGGACCGAAGACCTTAGGAATACGAATAGCACGATCAACGATTTGGATGTCGACTCAAGATCATGATAATTAAATTTACGTTGAAAAATATATGCTACAAGTAGAATTTAGATGATAAATCTTTAATATTTGATTTATTAATTGACATTGTCCTTATATTTTTTCTTTTTCTGTTGGACCTCCTTTCGTCGCCCATTTTTCTTCCTAATATATAGATTTGGCGCATATCAATATTTGTCATGAAAATATAGCAAGCACTTTTTGTTAAACTATCCATCTGCTTGGAGGTGAAACTGGTCGAGTTAAGTTTTTTTTGATCTCATAGCTACGTTTGTGCTCGCAAGGCAAAGTAAAATTCACCAAAAAATGTGAGCGTTTTCTTACGTCGTTTGTTCTTATATTTCAATGGCTTTCATCATCATCACTGTTCTGTTATACCGCAGGCTCAACGCTGTTGCTACCTTGCATCCATTGCATCTACAATGTGATGTGCTGTCATATGAGGAACAATATGTTTTCCTCTTCCAACATATTGGATGGTTTGATGATGTAAATGCGGTCCAACCAATGTAGTTGGAGTTTGTGATCAGTTGGATCCTGGTTATCCACATTTCACCGTCAATTTCTCGGCCATAATGGCTTTTTATACCGTACGGCGGAACCGCATTTTTATGATCATTGCGTTATTTTTTATTCCTGTTCTTCTTTTGCTTATAAGATCTAATGGCAGTGGCAAAGGTACGTACATAATAAACGCCTGAGTATTCGCAAGGCATGTTGTTTTCGCATAAGTTGACGGTGTAGTAGTGTAAACAAAAACATTTTGTGGGCTCAGATTATTCTTTCGATAGAATTACAAATCTAGTGTTTCAAGTGTTTTGCTCTTTCGAGAGCTGTCTTTGGAATAGAGCGATTAACACTTTCGTATTCTATAAATGTAATCGACTGCCTGTATTTTGAGATTCAGTATTTTAGACACACTTACCATTGGCCTTTAAATCGTGCGCACTTTGTGAAACATCGACATTATTTCATTAAGAATCACGTCCTGTTTGATGTTTACGCATGTTTATCATGTTTAATTTGACTTTTCTGCTTGTTTCGTACGATGATTTGCCATGCACTTGCTATATTAGACTATTGAATGTTTAATGAAAAGTAAAATAGAATCTGTTGGTGGTCGTGTAAAAGAATAATTATGCTGAATTAAATAAAAACACATTGTTTATGAATTCAAATGATATCTTAAGCAGTGACAGATCCACAAAGCAAAATAAATTACAAAAGCCAATCGATTAGTTGAATTTTATTATTTTAGAAATGTATGACCAATGCATTATTACATTGGTATTTTCAAACTAAAATTAGTGACATATGCTCTGCTAAAGAATGCAGGTGTGTTATAACTATTTTTGCACTGATGTTTTGAATAACATCTAGTTGAAAGCTATGCTATTAGTTTTAATGAATCGCTTGCATGATTATAAAATACAGTACCTGTTGAAACAGAAAATGTTTAGCACAACATTTATTTCCATGGTGACAGCAGAAAAAAATTAAAAACCACTCTTCCCATTGTCGTAATAGTCAAATGTATGACTTGTGTCTTATCAAAAAAATACCTTGTTTTTATGCCACATACCTTTTGTGTAGATGCTTTGACATGATGTACTGTAGTGCCATACGATTTTGTGTTTTCTATATCACTATGTTATAATTTTGTGTTATATCATTTTGTAAAATATATTATAAATGTATTATAATATACTATATTACATCTCAAAGTATGAGTGTTTCCAAGCAATTTTGAGTTTCTCTCAAACTTTCACAATGCAAATTATTAAATGGAAAAATACAAACAATATGTCATTTAAATCAATAAAATCATTAATGTTCTTTTCAAAAGACTATTTTATAACGAAAATGGAAAACATATTCACTTTTTCTAATTGTGTTATTGATGCACTTGAAAGTTGTCTATTTCTAAAATAATATAGATAGAAAATCAAAATTTTTCTGCACCATTTGATATTCTTGTGAAGATTGATGTCCAAAAAAATTATGTCATGTAAGTCACGTGACTGATGACGTGTTTTCAACATACGTAATCAAAAAGTTACTTAAAAGTGTACACTTATGATATTCTTTGAAAGAAAAGAAACAGACTGAATAAACCCATCCCTGGAAATCAATACCCAAGGAATTTTTACATGAGAAAGTTCTTGAATGACGTCATCACTTATGCTGTTGAAAATGAGGAAAAGTGCTGGTTCCTTTTCGGTTTTCTGTTACTTTCCGTCGGTCATTTCGAATGTTATGTGAAACTTCAAACTACGAAAATATAAGTTTTTCTAAAGCAAAATGTTCTCAAAAATTTCCCAATTTGCTCTAAAAAATTCCTTATAATATACTTATTTTTTCATTTACAACTCAAAAACCCAATGAAAAATTTAAATACTTGACTTAACTGGCAAAATTTGCATACTATACCACTTGTAAAGCAAATAAGTGTATCCATAGAAAAGTTTTTGCTGAGAGACCGGAATTTCTCCCCGAACTTTTTCTATTTTATGATTTGACTCTAAAATTTCTTTCTATAGTTCTCAGAACTGCTGTTGAAGTGGATCCATCAATTTTAATTAGAATGAAAGAAATGTCAGCACGATTACGTTCTGCAGAGTCCAAGAACGATGCAGTGGCCCAAACTCTTATATCCTTGCGAGAATCAAGCTTTCAATCTTCACATAAAAAAAGCACCAACAAAACGTCTTTACGAAATTTAGCATTTTCCAACAACAAAGAATTGACTTTACCAAGTATATATAACTATATGTCACACCTGTTAAAAAATCCGAAGAGTTTGGTGCCAGAGATTCTTCTTTCAGCTGGACGAAGTGGAGGTAGGTGATTGATTTACATAAATGAAAATTCTTACCCATGGTTCATATCTTGTTACAACCACTATTTTGTATTTTCAGTAAATAATATTGCTTTAATTTTTAAATAGTTTCTCTTGCATTCGGAGTTCCAACCATCAAAAGAAACAAGGCATCGTATGTTTTGGACACTATTCAGTCATTATTACATGGACTTTCTCCAAATGAAGAGGAGGATTGTATAATCATCATATTTATTGCGGAAATTGACGATAAAGAATTTGTACTAAGTCTTATCGAAGATTTAAGAAGGCGGTAATCAGAATGGACGTTGTTATGTACATTGTTATGTACGTTGTTATGTGCGTTGTTTTGTACGTTGTTATGTACGTTGTTATGTACGTTGTTTTGTACGTTGTTATGTGCGTTGTTATGTACCTTGTTGTATTCGATATTATTTTACAATATGGGTGCAGTAAATAGTAGTGTTGATATAAAGTCTTGTTTTGAATATTGTTTTTAGGTTTGGAAATGCACTTCGTTCAGGTCTGCTAGAAGTAGTTGTTCCACCGAAAGACTTTTATCCAGATCTAGACAATTTGCCAAAAGATATTACATTTCATGATCCCCCTTCCAGAGTTAAGTAAGTACTGTTCGTAATTCTGTTCAAGTTTGTTTCTATTTTAATGGTTGATAGTATACTCTAAAAACTATCATCATGATATTGATAATTTGAATATTATAGATGGAGGACGAAGCAAAATCTGGATTTTTCATATCTTATGATGTTCGCCCAACAGCGGGCTATGTTTTATATTCAGGTAAAAAGATGAATTTTATATCTTTATTTACGTGTTCTGAACAAACTCAACATACATTATGCTAATTCGTCCGTTTTTCTTGCAAAAAAAGTAAAATTTCCGACCGACTGAATTCCGTTCACATAACTTATTTAAAGTAAATGGTTTGAACCCGGGAGTATCGTTACATGTTTGTAAATGTAGATCGTCCAGGTTGGTATAGTCCTGAGAAGGACTGTTTTTGTTGTTGTTGACTGACGTTTACTCTAACGGCTAACCTGACGTTTACTCCTCATTTGACTCTGAAGATGACTACCGCTAAGGTTGTCGAAACGTCAGTCAACAACAACAAAAACAGTCCTTCTCAGGACTATACCAACCTGGACGATCTACATTTACAAACATGTAATAACTTATTTAAGCGTGAGTGTTTTTTTGCAAACAAGCGCGGTGAGTGCTTTAGTTAGGTCTATTTGTCGCATTGATAAACAAGTACTTCGAAAACGCTTGAGTCTACATTTCAAAAGTATGAGTTGTTCATTTTGTAATACAACGCTTTGTTGTATATACTTTTGTTTCTCGACTTAACAATTTTAACTCGAGATTTTTAATCTCGACTCTCGACTTTTACTCATGACTCTCGTTTTCTGTCCGTGACTCTCGACTTTAGCTCTTAACTCCCGAACTGTAATCAACTATCGACCCAGGCCTTTTAGATGTACACTTCTACAAAATTTATACTACATATGAACTAAATACACATAAAAACATGATGACAAGAAGAAACAGAGAGATGGATTCCATCTAGTGCCAATTACCTTATGTAATGTGAGAGTTAATTGAATCTCAGTCAAAACATTCAAAACAAATCAATTTGCATTGTTGTGGTTGTCTTTGCAGTCAACAGCATGAAAAATATGAAAAACAGACATGACTTTGAATGTCAACAGAAGACCATCTGCTTTATATGGATCATTGTTATATTTTGTACTTCCATATTTCACACTGTAGAAAATAGTTAGCTCATGTCATTATCTCAAAACTAAATTCCAACCATCGACTGCATTTTATAGCTTGAAGACGATTTGATAGCAACACCTGGTTATGTCAGCACCATCCGCACATTTGCCTTACAGCAAACACAAAATCGATGGATGATTCTTGAATTTTCGTCGCTGGGATTTATTGGTTTGAAATGCTTGTTCAATATTTGTTTTGAACACTTTATAGATCTCAAAATTCGTGTTTTTTTTTTATCAGGAAAATTGTTTCGTACCAGTGATTTACCAATGATTGTCGAGTTCTTCCTTATGTTTCACAAAGATAAGCCCGTTGATTGGTTGCTTGATCACATACTTTGGGTGAAGGTCTGCAACCCAGATAAAGATCAGGTCATTGTTGTATTTGATACCATTTACTACACGGGGTCTTAACGTATTAATGTTTTAAGCGATTGTATCTTTTATTAATTTCAACGCTTTGATTTATCGATTATAATTTTTCATTATCCTAATTTTAATCCTAATCCAAACTTTAAGCCTATTCCAAACTTTCACTCCAAACTCTATTTCAAAGTGCAAATGCGTACGAACGAGTTTTGAAGGTTTGCGTGATGTTTTTTATGGCACTCTTTATGCTATAATTTCCCATAATGCTTTTCTTCGTATTACAAATGTGCGTTGCTCTCTCCGTATCTAACGTCCTTGCTCTTCTCCTACCTACTATATCCCTTGGTGTCCCATTTTGTTGTTTTTCGTGACACCATGTCCTGTTTTGCTCTTCTCCTACCTTCTATATCCTTTGTTGTTCTTCTTTGACCACCTCTTTGACCACCACTTTCGTCTTCACTTTTTACTTATTAAACATCATTTTATGTTTTTAGGCTCATTGCAATCGTGAGAAGGCACAACTACGCATTCGACTGAAACCGTCTCTCTTTCAACATATTGGGAAAGAATCATCGTTACCTGGAAAAAGACAGAACTTAGTTGTGAGTGATTTTAACTTTTGTCACATTTTCCTTTGAAATTCAATCAAATGCTATCTGTAGTAATGGCAAAAGAACGTCATTGTTTCGCTTCTAAAATCGTTTTGACGTCAGCATTATTCTAAATTCTTTGATGTCATATTACAGGATAAGGATTTCAAGAAATCTCCATTGTTCCAAGCTCATTTAAATCCTAAAGCAACTGCAATAACGACTATAAATGTGTATCAATCACATTCTATCGAGAGGGCGTACACCGGTCAGACTTACTTTTGGGGATATACTCCACATAAAGGAGACGTTGTTAGGTTTAAATTTGTTGACAGCTTAATTCTTGAGCAGTAAGTACATGTCTGTCTCGTTTTTGTGGAAGTTTTAACTGATTTTTTTATCAAAGCTCAATCTTCTTTTAGTTTCCGTGTAAAAACTGGCAATGTGGAACACCCTGGTGATATTTTCTCCAATGCTTCTATCGAACTGTTGACAACAGAGAATAAGTTAAAACGAGATAAATGTGAGTATAAAGTAGAGTATATTTTTTAAGCAAAGGATGGGATTATGTTACTGCTTGTTTACCTTAGTGAAATATCACTGTCATTTAATATAACCTTAACGTTGTTCAATTATAACATATTTCGTGTACGGTTATTACAAAACTAAACAACTATGACATACAACTAGCATTTATACGATGGTAATTTAGTTGTACAACCATAAGCTAGCATTTATATAGTTATTACCAAGGTAAACTACTATAACATTGTATGAAACTGGAATTGGCTAAACAACTATGACATACAACTAGCATTTATACGATGGTAATTTAGTTGTACAACCATAAGCTAGCATTTATACAGTTATTACCAAGGTAAACTACTATAACATTGTATGAAACTGGAATTGGCTAAACAACTATGACCTACAACTAGCATTTATACAATGGTAATGTAGTTGTACAACCATAAGCTAGCATTTATATAGTTATTACCATGCTAAACTACTATAACATTGTATGAAACTGGAATTGGCTAAACAACTATGACCTACAACTGCCAATTATACGATGGTAATTTAGTTGAACAACCATAACCTAGCAGTTATATAGTTATTACCAAACTAAACTACTATAACATTCTACGCAATTGTGACTTAGCTCAAAAACTATTACCCAGCAGTTATGCGATTGTTTCTAAACCAAACAATATAATCTATTCAGATATACAATAGTCAATATGTTCTCTATTGTGAGGGTTGGGATTAAAACTCAATCAAAGTTTGTTTTAGGTTACAGGTAAGAATTAAAGTTAGAAAACTTATATTTTAAGGTTAGCAATTTTGGTTGAAAACAACTGCAGCATTTGCCATAAAGACGTGAGTGGATATTTAAAGTTGTAGCATATGATGGAATATTGTTGAGCTGTTTGATTTTAGATACTAGTCTATTGCAGTTCTATTAAATTTTACTCATCTGCTTTTTCTTTGTCTTTATATAATTGAAGTCGGTCAACAAATTAATCCTGTTGATATTTACATTTTATGCTACAGTCAAAACATGTGTGAAATGTAAATTGCTTCAGCTGGATCTGCGCAATTCTTACCAGCGGTTGTCTTTTTAGCTGCTGAGCTGAATGATGCAGAAAATGCGGCAGATAATGAAGATAACGATCAAGGGGTGTCATTGGAGTATTTTCCGTCTGATTACGTTCTTGTTGGGCGGTTTGTGAACGGTCTTGCCGATGGCACTGTTCCAAATGAGATTGGTGAAGTTAGTGAGCTGTTGATACGTATCAACGATCATATTGGACAGAATTGGGTCATAATTAGCGAAGTAAGGCCTTTCGGATATCGATTTGCTAGAATTTTTGACAGTTTCCATCTATTACGTTTGTGTATAGTTTATATACTAACTACGGATGATAAGGTTTTAGCCTTCTGGACTTCAATGGTGGATTGATTAGATAAAAGATTATGTATATGCTGCACAATAGAATGCGTGATTCAAATAGCAACGATGTAGAGTTAGAAAGCACAAGTAATGCCTTTCACAGAGAGCGGTTTTATTGAATTTTTTTCAACTAGCGTGTTTCTATATTTAGATCCATCTCATGGCGAAAAGGTGACAGCAATCATTCCTCGATCCTGATCACGCCTTTATGGGCCGGCCACAAATGCTAAAAGCACCTGGCGAAGTACAATTTTTGCATTCGTTTTTATCATCCATCTTACTTGCATTTGTAAAGTAAACTTTTTACGCATCCAGCGAGAGTTTCATCTACGATTTATTTTTTACACATTGAACGGAAAACGATAAAATTTATTATGAGCATGCGCTAATTATATTTTTGTGGTGCTAAACATTTGTTGACTGAAGTTGATTGCTTTCTCAATGTGAGCTGAGCTTTTTATAATACTACTAGTAGTTCACCGAGATTCAAATAATTTAACCCTTAGTTTTCAAATACATCTTTCAAATGATGTGTACGTCTTGAAATTTAATAATCATACGAACCAATGCTGTGAAGTTATAAAGAAAGATGAAGTGCTTTCACAAACCAATGAAGACATAGAGAAACAGTTTTGGTTTCAAAATAGCTGCACGAGCCTTGCTACCAATCTATGGCAATAAATAATGGAAGTCCTTTTTGGGCATCTCAAGTGCATGTTTGAAAATGTTCAGTGAATGAATTAACTTAACAAACTTGATTTTTGATTAATTTTTGTAAATAATGAATTTTCATGAATCATCTTTCCTCGTAATAATTTTTACAACTCACCAAATCGAATCATCGCAAAAGTATTTTTGTAAACAAGGCTGTGCAATAAGCTAAGGAAGGCACTAATTCCCAAATAAAAGATATCTACCCAGAAAACAAAATTTCGAATTAAAATTGAATTGACAAGCGTGGAAATCTATGTTCGAATTGGAACAAAATTTGATGCAATCAAAAGTTGCACCATGAGAGCAAAATGGCTCTTCTTTTCTCTTTTCTTCTCTTATACAAATTGGACAAACATTCAGAAGCGAAGTCTGATAAAAACTAAAAAAGCAAAAGAAATAAAGACAAACCAGACGTACAGTGATGTTTTTGCAAAAAAAAAACAGGAACAAGTTCGTAGTTTTCAATGAAATCGTTAATTTTCAATGTTCCTCATAGTATCGAGTTGTGTCATCGATGATTTTGAAAAGCAGATCATTTATCATAATTAAAAAATTTATGGGACCGAGTATCGGACGATTAAGTAGTAGTATTATATGGCAAGCGTCACTTCCGAAAACGCGTAATTTTACAGTCAAGTGTAAACAAACTTCTTATAGCAAACAGCAAAACGCAAGAAAAACGAAACAAAAAACCATTTACGAATCTGATTCGAAGGAAAAATACTTGGAAAACAGTTTAACTATCCAGACGATACAATTTGAAACGATTTATTTTTTATGGACGAAAACTAGAAAAGTGAAAGCCAACCAGTAAAAAACAGCAAGGAAGAGAAAGAAAACAATCTTCGTTTCAGGTCTCGGTCCTTACAGAAATATTGGACCTCTGTCTTTTTGTACAAACCTCGCCCAACGGGCTCGGTCTGTACAAAAACACCTCGGTCCGTTATTTCTCCGTAAAGACTTCGCGCTTGGCCATAAAGGGCTTATTAATAACTTGCGGTTAATTCAATCAAAAGCCTAGCTTAAGTCTAGCATGATAATACGAATTACAGTATTTCCATTCAATATTAGCGTGTAAAAAGGTGAAATAATCTTATTAAGGCATCAATGGGTGAAGAACCAGGAAGTGTTTCAAACTGTTTAAGTCAGGTTTATGCCAGTTACTATAAAGAAACTTCGTGAAACGACTCCATGATTTTGAAGTCTGGCAGTGAGGGATATTGGTCGAAAGTCGCTGTTGAATATCGATGTGTTTCACAAGACAAGCCTTAGTCATTGCAGGTACAAGAACATCAGCAACTCTCCATTGTCATTTTATAGGAGTAGTCCTTTCAATGTTCTTTTGTCTATCCGTTATTTCTATCTTTGTCTCTACCTTTGTATTTATTTACCGTTATGTCTACCACTTTATGTCTACGTTTTGTCTACCTATATGTCCACCACTTTATGTCTACGTTTTGTCTACCTATATGTCCACCACTTTATGTTTACGTTTTGTCTACCTTTATGTCCACGTTTATGTCTACGTTTTGTCTACCTTTATGTCTACGTTTACGTCTACGTTTTGTCTACCTTTATGTTTACCATTTGTGACAATGCATGAATTATAGTCTTTGTACGAAAAATTGCGAAAATTTGTGACAATGCGTGAATTATAGTCTTGTGTATGAATAATGTAAATTTGTGAATATGCATGAATTATAGTCTTTATAATGAAAAATTGTGAAACTTTGTGACAATGCATAAACTATAGTCTTTGGCATGAAAATATGTGAAAATGCGTGAACTATAGTCTTTGGCATAAAAATGAGTGAACAATAGTCTTTGGCATGAAAATGCGTAAACTACAGTCTTTGGCATGAAAATGCGAGAAAATTCATAAACTATAGACTTTAGCATGAAAATGTGTGAAAATGCAAAGACTATAGTCTTTGGCATCAAAATGTGTGAAAACGCAAAGACTATAGTCTTTGGCATGAAAAGGTGTGAAAATGCATGAACAATAGTCTTTGGCATGAAAATGCGTGAAAATTCATAAACTATAGACTTTGGCATGAAAATGTGTTAAAATGCGTGAACTATAGTCTTTGGCATGAAAATCCGTGAAATATACTTTTTGGCATGAAAATGCATGAACTATAGTCTTTGGCATGAAAATGCGTGAAGATGCGTGAACTATAGTCATTGGCATGAAAATAAGTGAAAATACAAAGACTATAGTCTTTGGTTCAAAGGGTGTGAAAATGCAAAGACTATAGTTTTGGCATCAAAATGTGTGAAAATGCAAAGACTATAGACTTTAGCACGAAAATGTGTGAAAATGCAAAGACCATAGTCCTTGGCATGAAAATGTGTAGAAATGCGTGAACTATAGTCTTTGGTATGAAAAGGTGTGAAATGCATGAGCTATATTCTTTGGCATAAAACTGCGTGAAAATTCATAAACTATAGACTTTAGCATGAAAATGTGTGAAAATGCAAAGACTATAGTCTTTGGCATAAAATATGTGAAAATGCAAAGACTATAGTCTTTGGCATGAAAATGTGTGAAAATGCAAATACTATAGTCTTTGGCTTGAAAAAGTTTGACAATTCACCGATTATAGTTTTGGCACCAAAGAGTGTGAATATACAAAGACTATAGTCTTTGCCATCAAAATGTGTAAAAATACAAAGACTATAGTCTTTGGCATAAAAATATGTGAAAACGCAAAGACTATAGTCTTTGGCATGAAAGTGCCTGAAAATGCATAAACTATAGTCTTTGGCATGAAAATGTTTAAAAATTCACAGATTATGGTTTTGGCACCAAAGAGTGTGAAAATGCAAAGACTATAGTCTTTGGCATGAGAATGTGTGAAAGTGCAAAGACTATAGCCTTTGGCATGAAAATGTGTGAAAATGCGAAGACTATAATCTTTGGCATCAAAATGTGTAAAAGTACAAAGACTATGGCATGAAAGTCTTTGGCATGAAAATGTGTGAGAGTGCAAAGACTATAGTCTTTGGCATCAAAATGTGTGAAAACGCAAAGACTATAGTCTTTGGCATCAAAATGTGTGAAAACGCAAAGACTATAGTCTTTGGCATGGAAAAGTGTAAAAATACGTGAGCTATAGTCTTTGGCATGAAAATGCGTGAAAATTCATAAACTATAGACTTTGGCATGAAAATGTGTTAAAATGTGTGAACTATAGTCTTTGGCATGAAAATCCGTGAAATATATTTTTTGGCATGAAAATGCATGAACTATAGTCTTTGGCATGAAAATGCGTGAAGATGCGTGAACTATAGTCATTGGCATGAAAATAACTGAAAATACAAAGACTATAGTCTTTGGTTCAAAGGGTGTGAAAATGCAAAGACTATAGTTTTGGCATCAAAATGTGTGAAAATGCAAAGACTATAGACTTTAGCATGAAAATATGTGAAAATGCAAAGACTATAGCCTTTGGCATGAAAATGTGTGAAAATGCGAAGACTATAGTCTTTGGCATCAAAATGTGTAAAAGTACAAAGACTATAGTCTTTGGCATAAATATTTATAAAAATGCATGAACTATAGTCTTTGGCATGAAAATATGTGAAAATGTATGAACTATAGACTTTAGCATGAAAATGTGTGAAAATGCAAAGACTATAGTGTTTGACATAAAAATGTGTGAAAATGCAAAGACTATAGTCTTTGGCATAAAAATTCGTGAAATATCGTTTTTGGCATGAAAATGCATGAACTATAGTCTTTAGGAGTTAGGTGCATGAACTTTATTCTTTGCCATGAAAATGTGTGAAAATACAAAGACTATAATCCTTGGCATGAAAATGTGTGAAAATACAAAGACTATAGTCTTTGGCATGAAAATGTGTGAAAATTCGTAAACTATAGAGATTGGCATGAAAATGTGATAAATTGCGTGAACTATAGTCTTTGGCATGAAAATCCGTGAAATATAGTCTTTGGCATCAAAATGTGTGAAAATGCAAAGACTATAGACTTTAGCACGAAAATGTGTGAAAATGCAAAGACCATAGTCCTTGGCATGAAAATGTGTAAAAATGTGAACTATAGTCTTTGGTGAAAATGGTGAAAATGAGACTATAGTCTTTGGCATGAAAATGAAAAGAACTATAGTCTTTGGCATGAAAATGTGTGAAAATGCAAAGACTATAGTCTTTGGCATGAAAATGTGAAAATGCAAAGACTATAGTCTTTGGCATGAAAAGTGTGAAAATACAAAGACTATAGTCTTTGGCATAAAATGTGAAAATACAAAGACTACAGTCTTTGAATGAAAATGTGTGAAAATGCAAAGACTATAGACTTTGGCATGAAAATCTGTAAAAATGCAAAGACTATAGTCTTTGAATGAAAATGTGTTAAAATTCAAAGACTATAGTCTTTGGCATGAAAAGTGGAAAATACGTGAGCTATAGTCTTTGGCATGAAAATGTGAAAATTCATAAACTATAGTCTTTGGCATGAAAATGTGTTAAAATGCGTGAACTATAGTCTTTGGCATGAAAATCCGTGAAATATATTTTTTGGCATGAAAATGCATGAACTATAGTCTTTGGCATGAAAATGCGTGAAATATATTTTTTGGCATGAAAATGCATGAACTATAGTCTTTGGCATGAAAATGCGTGAAGATGCGTGAACTATAGTTTGGCATGAAATAATGAAAATACAAAGACTATAGTCTTTGGTTCAAAAGTGAAAATGCAAAGACTATAGTTTTGGCATCAAATGTGTGAAAATGCAAAGACTATAGACTTTGGCATGAAAATCTGTAAAAATGGAAAGACTATAGTCTTTGGCATGAAAATGTAGAAATGCGTGAACTATAGTCTTTGGTATGAAAAGGTGTGAAAATGCATCAGCTATATTCTTTGGCATAAAACTGCGTGAAAATTCATAAACAATAGACTTTAGCATGAAAATGTGTGAAAATGCAAAGACTATAGTCTTTGGCATGAAAATGTGTAGAAATGCGTGAACTATAGTCTTTGGCATGAAAATATGTGAAAATGCAAAGACTATAGCCTTTGGCATGAAAATGTGTGAAAATGCGAAGACTATAATCTTTGGCATCAAAATAAAATCAAAGACTATAGTCTTTGGCATAAATATTTATAAAATGCATGAACTATAGTCTTTGGCATGAAAATATGTGAATGTATGAACTATAGACTTTAGCATGAAAATGTGTGAAAATGCAAAGACTATAGTCTTTGACATAAAAATGTGTGAAAATGCAAAGACTATAGTCTTTGGCATAAAATTCGTGAAATATCGTTTTGGCATGAAAATGCATGAACTATAGTCTTTAGGAGTTAGGTGCATGAACTTTATTCTTTGCCATGAAAATGTGTGAAAATACAAAGACTATAATCCTTGGCATGAAAATGTGTGAAAATACAAAGACTATAGTCTTTGACATGAAAATGTGTGAAAATTCGTAAACTATAGAGATTGGCATGAAAATGTGATAAATTGCGTGAACTATAGTCTTTGGCATGAAAATCCGTGAAATATAGTCTTTGGCATAAAAATGTGTGAAAATGCAAAGACTATAGTCTTTGGCATGAAAATGTTTAAAAATACGTGAACTATAGTCTTTAGCATGAAAATGTGTGAAAATGGAAATGCTATAGTCTTTGCCCTCAAAATGTGTAGAAATGCGTGAACTATAGTCTTTGTCATGAAAAGGTTTAAAAATGCATAAACTATAGTCTTTGGCATGAAAATGTTTGAAAATGCAAAGACTATAGTGTTTGGATAAAAAAATATGTGAAAATGCAAAGAATATAGCCTTTGGCATGAAAATGTGTGAAAATGCGAAGACTATAGTCTTTGCCATCAAAATGTGTAAAAATATAAAGACTATAGTCTTTGGCCTAAAAATATGTGAAAATGCAAAGACTATAGACTTTAGCACGAAAATGTGTGAAAATGCAAAACTATAGTCTTTGGCATCAAAATGTGTAAAAGTTTAAAGACTATAGTCGTTGGCATGAATATTTATAAAAAGCATAAACTATAGTCTTTGGCATGAAAATATGTTAAAATGTATGAACTATAGACTTTAGCATGAAAATGTGTGAAAATGCAAAGACTATAGTCTTTGGCATGAAAATTCGTGAAATATCGTTTTAGGCATGAAAATGCAAGAACTATAGTCTTTAGGAGTTAGGTGCATGGACTTTAGTCTTTGCCATGAAAATGTGTGAAAATACCAAGACTATAATCCTTGGCATGAAAATATGTGAAAATACAAAGACTATAGTCTTTGGCAAGAAAATGTGTGAAAATGCAAAGAATATAGTCTTTGGCATGAAAATGTGTGAAAATGCAAAGACTATAGACTTTAGCATGAAAATGTGTGAAAATGCAAAACTATAGTCTTTGGCATGAAAATGTGTAGAAATGCTTGAACTATAGTCTTTGTCATGAAAAGGTGTGAAAATGCATGAGCTATATTGTTTGGCATGAAAATGCGTGAAAATTCATAAACTATAGACTTTATTCATGAAAATGTGTGAAAATGCAAAGACTATAGTCTTTGGCATCAAAATGTGTAAAAGTTTAAAGACTATAGTCTTTGGCATGAATATTTATAAAAATGCATAAACTATAGTCTTTGGCATGAAAATATGTTAAAATGTATGAACTATAGACTTTAGCATGAAAATGTGTGAAAATGCAAAGACTATAGTCTTTGTCATTAAAATGTCTAAAATTCAAAGACTATAGTCTTTGGTTCAAATTGTGTGAAAATGCAAAGACTATATCTTTGGCACGAAATTGTGAGAAAATGCATGAACTATAGTCCTTGTGTGAAAAAGCGTGAAAATTTGTGAAAATGTGTGAATTATAGTCTTTTTTGAAAATATTTGAAAATTGGAATCAGTAACTGCTTAATCATGCAATTGATTACTGTTTAACTATGCAATCGATTACATTTTACTTTTGTTATCTATTGCCATGTTAGTGTTTATTGGAGTACAGTGTAATCGTTTATCGATTACAGTGTACGATGTATTAAATATGCAAACTACTCTACATAGTTGTATTTTGTTTCTAAATATTTCAAAGTTTGTATGTGTTTGCCAAAGTATGTTAGTAAAGGCCATTTAATTTTTTATAATAATGATAGCAATTTGAAATTTTTATCGAAAATGTTCCTATCGTCTTTTATGAAATAAAGACTTTCTTTCCTGATTACATGATTACATAATTACATGCAATGTCGTTCGTGTCGTCTATCATGAAATAAGCACTTCTTCGAATGTCATCAATGTCTTCTTTTATAAAAGAAATTATCTTTGTTTCCATCTTAGCGCCTACTTTTTCGCTTTGTGAAGACCACGTGGTACGTAAGCTACGTAAGCAAGGCAGGGGCGTAGCCAGATGAAAAAGGGGCAGGGGGATAATATTTCACAATTCATGAAGAACAGCTAAATATTAGTTTCTTTAATACGATCAGAAAAGCTTTTCATCATTTTGAAATTGAAGTGCCAATGTAACGAAAACTTTTTAGTCTGAGTAATACTTTTATTTAAGAGATAATTTAAAATGAGAATGGACATTCTAAATTAGTTTATGCATATCACTTTGAATTCTTGAGATATTGATGTTCCTTCCGTGTCCGATATATCTAACTTGTGACGTCACATTGCTTAACTAGAACTTAAATTATTAGGTATATTTACCGACACTTAAATTCACAAGGACAGAGTTTCCTTCATTGTGACGTGTTTAATGATATAAAATGCTACCTACTAGTATCAATCTAAAGTTGTCAGGAAACTGGGGAGTATTTAAAACATTATTAGAGCTCCTCATGCAACATGTGACAATTGTTGTAATAAAAAAAATCAAAGTTTTGTTGTTTTAAGTACAAGCCATGCCATTTTAAATGTTCAAACATATTTCCAAAAACTTAAAAATCATTCCATAAATATAAAAATCATAACTAAGTCTCTTTCATAAATCATACCTACACCCTGTGATTGACAGCTTGCTAATCAATATATAAACGACACCACTCAAGTCGGTAACAGAACGTTGAACAACCTCCCTTCTTTGTCCCTGCCTTTGTGTACGTTTTGTCGATGCAACTATGTCAGCAATTGGTGCATGACAGCGTTGCATGCGTGTAATGACAGAATGGCAGAAATGTGAAATATAAAGGGTTTAAAAAAGGCAGGCATAAAGAAGACAAAAAGATAGAAAAAAAGGTTGACAGAAAGATAGACATTAAGGTAGACACAAAGGTTAGCTCAAACCTAAATTAAAAGATAGGCACAATATTAAGCACAAAAGTAGACAAAAAGGTTAACATAAAGTTGATAAAAACGATAAACACAATTAAGAGAATGCAATAGGTAGAAAAATAGATTGATAAATAACCAAAACAAAAATAGGTTGACAAATAGATAATTGCGTGTAAGTATGTCCATATGAATTGCCACAAACTTACTGAATATTATATATCTTCGAAGGGACCGTGAAATACAGACCTTGATAAAGGAAGCAGAAGGAAGGCAATGTAGCTCTACCAAATAATGCTTAGTATTCAAAATTGAAGAAAAGAATCGAAAATCAGTTGTTGATTTTAGAGAAGTTAAATTCAATGAAGTAACTATATATTCAAAGTACATTTGTATATTGTGTTTTCATAAAATTTCACATCGCCGTTCTTTTTATTCCACCTGACGATTTTAAGAAATTTAAAGTAATAAATTAATAACAATGCTTGCGTTAAGATGAGATCATACGCGCATTACTAAACAAAAGTTTTTTCTTTTAATTATAACATACTTGCTATTTAATATACGTACATATCAATAAATGTGCATTTTCTTTAAGCACATAAAGACATTGACGTCCATTCAAGCGAAGAATAAAGGTCCATGAAAGCATTCGATGATTTGAAACTCCAAATATGGGAAATTTCTAATAAACAGTGTATTGGGAATCAAACCCAAAGACTAAATTATATACAAACAGATGTCGTTTTTTCTAAATTGATGATTTCAACGAAATAGCTATAATCGTAGATTTTCTGCAGCTTAAAGTTGGTAATTTTTGCTACACTGTAAGTAAAAGAACTAGATTGAAAGAACGCTTTAAGAAACGCCAACAATATATTTGAGATAGTATCTCGTCAGAAGTGTTGCTGTTTCGTCACATTGTGCACTTTTCTGAAATTTTCTATCATAGAAATCGAACACATTCTATTCTTTCAAAAAATCGCTACGACACTACTCCAGGGAGAAGTTCTTATATGACATCACCAAACACAATAGCTATCATCCTAATGACGGTACAACATTAATAATAGGCAAACTTCCAACTTTAAGCTACCGAAAACTCATGTAAAATCATCATTTTCATACCAATCAACGTATGTTGCAGAAGTGTTTTAAAACGCCTTAAACTAATTCTAAATGGTACTATTGCAAAAATTTGCTATTGGTTCGTTACTACGGAGAAATGAAAAGGCAGTGTTAAACTTTTTTCTTCATAAATCGTAAGTTTGCTTCAGTTAGCCTAATCTTCAAGTTGCGTATCTATTATGTACGAATTTAGTCCCAACACCATGGACACTGTTTTTTTAAAGACCTAACCGAAATAAGAAAATCCCTATTGGAAAAACCTGAGCAGTATTAAATAAGACCGAGCACAAGGCGCAAGAACTTAGAGAATACTGAACAGGAAAAAACCACTAGGGATTTTAGCCGAAGTTCCGCACCCCAGGGGACCCTTATAAACAACAAACTTTACTAACCTTTGAAGCGATTTAAAAGCCAAAAAAATAATAATTAAAATTTGCGAAGTACACTTCAAAGTCTAACAATTTGCTAGTCTTTTGGAATATCATATTTTTGAGAAACTCGCCATATTTAACGTACAGAAAACAGAGCAAAAAGCGCCATTTTTCAGTTCAACTACTCTTAAGCCGAACACCGATCTTAACAATTTTCTACTTTGATCGAGAAAATTGTATAATTCATGGGAATTTCCAAAAACGTGTGCTTAGCTAATCCAATCCACATCCAAATCAATCGCACCTAGCGCCACCTAAGCGTCCCTATTTTGCACCGTTTCATTCAGTGCTTTGCGCGCCCGGTGTCACTAACGCTTAAATTGGAGCAAGCTCTTGCTGTATCAAATGGATTGGATTAAATTAGTTACTTCAAGATTTATTTCAAAGAGGCGGATCAGTTTTACTATTCGAAAATCTAACGCTTTTTGACTGCAAAAATCAAAAAACAATTTCAACTGCAATGAAGTAACGCACACGTTTAGTTTGGTTACCGTGAGACTAAAGATAATGCAACCAAACAACCGATAGCATTTTAAGTTATATTTTTACTTCGACGATTATCACGTATTTCACTTATATAGCAACGTGATTGGTGAACATGGAAACCTTCGTGTGACTATTTAGTAAAATACGTGACAACGTCTGCGGTTTGTCTTAGCAATAATCATCAAGAAAATATGAATTGTAATTTCATTATAACTATATATTTTCTTTAGATTTTAGGAAGACATTCCGCATACTAGACCTGGTGCCTTATCGTTTAATTTTTTTAATTGCGCAGTGTGGCTTGCTTCATTGAAATTCCCAGGAATGAAGTTATCTTAACAAGATAACTTGGTACCTTATTTGCACATTTACAGTAATTGCCACGCCGCCCCTAAACTGTAAATGTCTTAACAAACTGAATACTTCTCTCGAGCTTCAATTTGTCGTCCGAGAAATGACTGGCTGAAAGACTGGACGTTTCTTTCAAACATTCTTATGAAATTAGTCATTTCTGCTGAACGTGGCGTTGCTCTGTATATTCATACAAAGGTATTTTAACCCCACGTTCGTTATCTGAGCGTGGCACAACTACCCGCCGCAACTACAGCGCACGCTTAAGCTATCTAAACTTCCTACCTGCGCATGACACCGGAATTCCGCCCTGAAAAGGAATGCCCCTTGAAGGAGGTAACCCATCATGCCCTTAACTTAACTTAACCTAGTGCTTGTTGCACCTACGGGTGACCTCCGACCGGGGTGGGTTGAACTACTCATGCATTATAGGGAATCCAGGAGTGCCTTAATAGTCATTGTAGAAAGCCGTTCATGAAATTGGCCAACTACAACGACAGCATGCTTTTACCGTACTAGGGGAGAGAAATTGTTCTTTCCACCAAAGCCACCATCCTTCCTTTGTCTGCAATAGGTCTTGCTCGCTTGATCCAGTCTTCTAAGGTCTTCTTACAGATGCTATTTGCATCCTCTACGCTAAGGTACCATTTGTACCCACTAACCCCAAGTCGAAGTTGCCTTCCTTTGGCCAAACTTCACTTGCATTTCCGATCTAAACTTGATTTATAGTCTATCCTTCGGCGAGGCAACGATCGCTGCGAACATGCGCGCTCCTTAAAGCAGTATATTCACACAGAGGTTTGTTAATGAAAAGAAAGACAAAATTGCATTTTAATCAGACAGATTCGTAACTCTTCGTGCTTACTATTATACGAATTTTAATAAGAAATCAACATCGACATACAAATGAATTGTTTGAGACAAAAAGCGCTTTTATATAACCTCTCAACCAAGACTATTTTTTATGTGAGAACTTGTGCTAAAAAGTGTATTCATTTAAATCTCTGCAGTAAAAAAATAGCCTTATAGTGGAATATACTGCACACCAGGATTTTTTGTGGCTATTGCCCGAAATTTATTGGAGACTGGCCTGTTAGCAGGCTTAACTAAAAGTAAAAGGCATTAATTACACTCACGGTTTTCGACGAGTCGACGACGAACGACAAACGACGAATCCCTTGCGAATTGTATCAATGAAGTGATCAGATGCCGAGATTTCCACATAGAAGAAACACTTAGAAGCCCAAAATATTTTTTAAAATATTGAAACGTTGATGGTAAAGCCATCGTATCCAACTTTCAGGCTATCTGACGAACATCCCCGATTTCATGTCGAAGACGGCAAGCACAGAAGCAAGATTGGCCATTTCTTACAACTGTGCATGTCGCCTACGGCATAAAATTGGTAATATCGGCAATTAGTCGGAAAATTAGGACTTTTAGGTTTTATATTAAAATTGCATGCCAAGAAAAGTTCCATGTTTTTATGCCGAAAAATTTTCAATTGAATTGATGTCAAAACTTGGGCGTTCGATCGTGGCGTAGTTTTATTCATCAGAAGGGAAAATAAGATAATTGTCAAATCGCCGTTTATAATTGACCAAGTTGTCTTTGTAATTATAATTGACCAAGAAGGTATCGTAGTATTAGCAGGAAAAATCTCCAAGAAAATCCTTTCAGGACAGCCATAGTCCAGTAGAATGGTGACTTTTCTAGGTGCTAAGCTCATGAAACCATTGCTGAAGAGCTGTATTTAGTGTTTGCATTCATAGCTTGTCATGTCTATATGCCATTTGGACAGTAGTCATGTGTTTTTCTGCTTCATGGCGATTGTTCTTTCTGGATCATTGTTCAGTACATTGTCAATTTATATTATGACAAATTGTCCTTTAGTATTCTTCGTCGTTGCAATTTATTGAGAAGTATTGTCATGTAGCTATATATACAGCCTGCAGGACAGCAGTCGCGCGTTTTTCTTATTCACTGGAGTATATTGTCCATTGTAGATTATTGAAGAGACGGTTTCTAACAATGCGATGAAAGAAGTTGATATTAATTCAAAATTACTGACAAAAATTATAAGAGCAAAAACGTACATACTTCTAGCATTTTATTCTTTATTCATTTCGAAAGCAGTTGAAGAAGTAGAATTTCAACTGATCGCTCAAGGGAATAGTCAACCAAAGCTGGCATGATCAGCGTCTATTGTGAACAATGACGACTTTCTTTAGTTTTACAAGTACACCATTATTGTGAATAACTGACCACCAACATTTCGTTCCTTCTTTCTCAATCTTATTTCGTGACCACGCGCATTTGCCTTTCAACAGAAAATCCTCCAATCTAAAACAAAGCATAGAGCAATCATGAATTAACAGAGCAAAACTTTATGAAAAGATATACAACATCTCACATTTAGGATGAACAAAGATGACAGTATCTTCACATTACTCACTTCCATTAAAGAATGAGTACTCTATAAAAACGAGTATCAAAAAGCATTTTTACCTGGACATGATTTCAAAGAACTCGACAAAATACTCAAAGAATGTATAGTTTCAACTTTTGCCAACTAATCGTCGTGTACCGTGCTGATGTACAAATTCAACTAACACACTCATCGTACGAGTTAACTTTAAGTATGCCAAAAGTTGCATGAACGTGTTGTATTCTGATTGGTCAGCTCCTGGGTGTGCCGTCAATTGCACGTGGTGATGGTGGTAAAGGTAGGTACCAATATACAAGGTGTTGCAAAAAAAGGAGCCCGTACAAATGATTATGTATGCATCAAAATGAAATCTGCATAAGATAATTAATCGGCAAAAGCTATTTGTTCCGCCTGGTTAGATTTAGTCATACGCTTGCCCATGTGCTTTGCAATTTATGGAAAATATGATTACGTTTTTGTGGCCCTGAGAACTCAATTAAACTCGTTTTGCTTTTACAAAGATTTTGCGTAATAAATATAAGATAAAAGTCAGTGTATGTCAGTAATTTTAAGTTTAAGCTTGTTTTGCTTTAACTAATACTTGACAAACCCTAATAAATCCCAGTGGCGCAGAACTGTCAAGTTCATTGAACAATTTTGAATGCTAGCTACGTTATTGTGCATAATAACTTTAATGCATACATAATTAATTTATGTGGGTCCGTTTTTTTTGAGACAGCTTTAGAAATTGACTTGTTCATTTGCATCGTAATTCTACTACGTCATCAGCCAACGATCATTACGGAGTTGTACGGAATTGATACGAGATAGTGCCGACCGCTCGCCGATAACATTTGGACAGCATCCATTGGTGAAGAGGTTTATGAAAGGAGTATTTGAGTTGAGACCAGGCTTACCGGGGTACACAGACATTCGGGATATAAGCAGTGTTTTTAATTCTATTTGCAAAAAACCTGAAATATCCAGTTTAACATTAAAGGACCTTTCTTATCAACTGACCTTTTTACTTCTAACATTTAAAGAAATTTTTAAACAAGCTATAAGCACATTTAACAAACAATTGCTAAAATACGTCAGCAATCTAACTGATGAAACGGCAAATGAATTATACCCACAATATAGTTGTTTGAAAGTTACCATGAAAGAAGCAAGCTTATCAAAGTCTACCACCTGAACACGACTAAAAATATTCACCATGATCATGGTGCTTTTATTCTACTTTAGGCCTGTTTCATACATCGTATTTACCGAATGCATTTGAAATAAAATATAATAAGGAATTTCATCTCATTTTTTTTTTGTCTTTAATGCATTCGGCGCATATGAAATGCGAAATTTGAACGTTTACACTATACCGGGTTACTATCGTAACAGGGAAAATTTTCTTAGTATTAAAAAGGTAGTGACATTGTTCAATGTCAGAAACACAATCAAATAGACTAAATCTATCAGCTTAATAACGCTTTTACTGCGAAAAGTTACACCTTTAAAGCAAATGAAGATGTCGTGATCAGCGAATCCGGTATAGTGTAAACGCAGCCTCAGTGTTGTGTGTATAGTTGCTTCCTTGGCAAGTCACATAAAATCATCGCAAATAACATTGTTCTTATAAGATATAATCACTCAAATTTGCCCTTTTGCAGACAGCCTATGGATCACGCCTGAATTATTAAAGTCATACGAACAGCAAAACTAACAAAAAACTAAAGAATACCTTTGAAGTACAAACAAATAAAACATTTTATTTATCAATCCATCACAAATACTGGTATTATAAATAACGAAATGTGTTTGCAGTTATGGTTTGTAGTTTGAAGCATGGTTAGTAATTCAATCTTTCCTAGTAAATACAATAGACTATGGCACAATACAGTATACACATACACCCTCTCTCCTCGGCAGAGGGAGGTAAATTTCCGCCCGTTTTCAATTTCAGCGGCACAAGCGATACGTCGTGTTATTGTTGTCATGCAGCGCTCAAATATAGCTAGTGTTATACAAAATGGTTTTACATGAAACTCGAAGCCTCTGCAAAGGAGAGAGCCATACACCCTTCATGTTGATGCGTATGAAGCAACAATACTCATATCAGCTAGCTTTTACAAGTGGAAGCCATGTTACGAATCATTTATGTTCGTTTACTGTATGCTAAGGAGAACAGGACAATCAAATTCTTAAGCTAATAAATTCTTTACTTGGTCAGGAGTTCTTACAACGATCGTTTTGGGATCTGCATATTGGTTGAAAGGATTTAAAACAGCGTCGTATATTTTTCTGTACGCCACGCACACCAAGTCACTAGTATGTTTGTTGACAGTGTCTCTAAAATAAAGAAATAAAAGTTACATGGAAATCTAGTATATCGTACAATACGTTGCGTGAAGATACTAAAAATGATGAACGAATCTATGAAATAAATATGATACAGGTTTACGACAGGTTTACGACAGGTTTACGAGAGGTTTACGACAAACGCAGAGCAAAGTGCAAAGTAGTTTAAAAGCGAATAGTATGTGTTTAATAAAAATATTACAGTATACAAAATATTTCTTTCTGCAATTCCCTTATACAGTTCTTTCAAGATATTTTTATGCTATGCACTTCACAAGATGGAACTTAAACTATGTATACTTTCATACTTCTGTATACAGGCTAGCTTGTGTGTACGTCTTACTTATACTTTCATACTTCTATATACAGGTTGCAATCAGCGATGTTTCAGCATGGACACATTATGTAATCATTTAGGTTCATCGTTAGAATTACATCAGAATTGAAATCTTTTTATTCATCGATATCATTTGATGTAACATTTTACTTGTCAAAAAAGAATGTTCCATACAGCCTGGCTACTTTCTCCTTATTTTCTCGTTACACAAATCTACCTTTCCGACGGTAAACACACATGTCAAAAATACGAGATCAATTACAAAGTTCGGACAATGAAATGGTCGGACATAGTATTGTATTTGTAGATTAGTGGCACTAAAATAGAAAGAAGATGTTCTTGGGGCATTTGTAAATCTTATTTTAGAAATCCAGAATGACTAATTATAAAGGCTGAAGGTGTAAGAGTTAATAAAAACCATTTTCTGTCAAATCAATGGAAAGCTTGGATATGACATGCAATATATATGCAGATGCAAAGTTATAGAGGAAAAATAAAAACATTTCTAACATTGTCACGGATATTACGAGTGCTGTAACAAAGTGTTGATAGTTTGATATACATTTGTCAAAACAAGCTTAAGAAGACAAAGAGCATGCCAAAAATATATAATTGAAAATTTGCTAAGTGCATAATACACAAACACCAATTTCAAAGCTCGTCCCTCACAAATTAATTGAGAATTATTCTGAGCACGCGTAGTCAGCTCCACCAACTCTTCAAGGTTATGACAACAACCAACTGTATGCACTATTACAGATTAGAGAGGGTATTAGCTCGCTCAGTCACAAATTTTTAGATAAATCATCTGCGCATGCGCAGTAAGCTTGAGCCTGAGCAGTCGACTTGACCAGCTGCGCAAGTTCATGCTTATGGCAACGATCAACTGCATTTACTAGCACCGATTTTGAAGTAAATAGCATGCTTAGTAACAATTTAAGAGAGAATCATCTGCGCATGGTAACGACTAACTATATGTACTTGCTTTACATTTGTGGCAATTAGCTCAATTAGTCGCAAATTATCAAAGAAATAATCTGGGCATGCGCAGTAGTGACATTAATAATACCATAACTTTCGTAAGCCTTTGAATTTATATATATATAAAGCTAAAACATCATGTAGTAGATGTAAACCGAGCAAAGCCTATCGCAGGTGATATCGTGGTCTGGTGAGCTTGCTATTGCATCTCTCAAGTAGAATAGCGCGGAGGGGCCAAAATCTCCTACCCAAACGTTAACATGAGGCGTTCTAGTGCCTTACGCTTAAGAAGGTATCGGGAAGCATGGACCGAAAACGGGTTTTTTTTGCTTTAGAATTTTATCTTTTTGTTCTCATAAAATAAACCAAGCAATGTTTCAATGAACTTCTTCTAACACTGAACCTTTTTCTGACACTTATAATTCAATACCACCTGTTTTATATAATTTTTAGTGGTTTATATCTTTCTGATTTAACTCTCTCATTTGCTGTTTCTCATGTATGACGAGCAAACCATCCAGTGCTTAACTATCTCGGGGTATCGGGAGGCATGGACCGAAAATAATAGTTTTTTTAAAGATAACAATTAATAAGCTAAGCAATTTGTATCGTCTAAATTGAACCTCGCTTTAAACCCTTGTGTTATAGAATTTGATTAATTTTGGATAGTAAATTTCTTTTTACCTTAGAATATTTTTATGATTCAATCGAGAAAGTAGCTTCTCTTCTCGAGTAATTTTGCGATTAAACAGTACACTTTTGGGATTCAAAGGACTTCTTTTGATCGCATAGAGACAGCCGTCCAATTTATTACGTAAATACATGTAGAATGCATTTCATGGTAGGAAACCACCTTACCAAAGAATATCCAGATCCGATTTTAGCTGCATCGAGCAAAGAATATTACAAGTCATTGAATTTTTTTAAGTGTTATTTTTATGATATTTATGATTCGATGTATCATGAGATTCCAGATGAGATTCATGACTGCCTTTGAATACAAATAACACATATTCATAATAAAACAATGTTTTATGTTATCATTTAGCGTCATCGTAATTTTATAATTTTAAATTTACAGCTATAGGTTAAAATTCCATTTTTACGTACACAACTTCTAAATGAATGTGAAAAGCCAGTTTTTTATCCATCCATAATAATAATAGTGATTAGTCATTATAAGACAGCGATATTAACAGGTAATAAAAAATAACAGTTCAAAAATTTGTATGGCTTGCTTTTTTGCGCTTTATGTAGCTGGAATCCGTCCTGGATATTCTTAAGTCACGCCGTAAAGGCCCGTAACAATCTTTACAAAAAAGTCATTAGCGCGACAACATGCAAGTATTCAAGCCTCACTTCGATCGTTATGCTTTTTTCTAACCAAAAATGATTAATATTTTCTGTTATGCCTTCTGCCTTAATAAATAATAGTTCTGAATAATTAGAATCAGATTCACAATTGCTCAAAACTCAAAAGTATCTCGTAGCCATTTTATTGCCACTATTCTACATAAACTATACTATGTTCAACCATTTGATTGTTCGAATTTTGTAATTTGATCTCGTATTTTTAACGATATGTCTACCGTCGGAAAGGTGGATTGAGATACACATGTGAGCCAGAGGGGGTGATGAACATGCGAGCAATGGGCAGAGTGTTAAACCTGCGGGCAACAGGATAGGGGGTGATGCACATGCATGCAAGGGGGTAGGATGTTGCACCTGCGGGCAATAGGGTAGGGGGTGATGCACATGCATGCAAGGGAATGGGGTATTGCACATGCGTGCAACAGGGTAGAGGGGTGATGCACATGCAAGCAAGGGTGTGTGACCGTGGGTGTTGCACATGCGTGCAAAAGGGTAGGGGGTGATGCACATGCAAGCAAAGGTGTTAGACCGTGGGGTGTTGCACATACAGGCAACAGGGTAGGGGGTGGTGCACATGCAAGCAAGGGGGTGAGGTGTTGCACATGCGAGAAAGAGGGGGAGAGTAAGATTATTAAAACTTCTGAATCATCTTTTAATACGATTTACGATGAACAATTATATAATTTCTAATTAGCAGCAATTTTAAAAAACACTTGAGAAAAACGACGATTTTTTTGAGAGCAAACATGTTTCGACATTATCAGATAATGTCGAAACATGTTTGCTCTCAAAAAAAGAACAATTATATGTTTGTAAATGATGATCGTCCAGGTTAATAAAGTCCTGAGAAGGACTGTTTTTGTTGTTGTTGACTGACGTTTCGACAACCTTAGCGGTAGTCATCTTCAGAGTCAAAAAACAACCTTAGCGGTAGTCATCTTTTGACTCTGAAGATGACTACCACTAAGGTTGTCGAAACGTCAGTCAACAACAACAAAAACAGTCCTTCTCAGGACTTTATTAACCTGGACGATCATCATTTACAAACATATAACGATACTCCCGGGTTCAAACCATTTACTTTATTACGATGAACAATTATGATAAACAGTAAAGATAAATAAAAAGGTAAATATACCTTAATCGCGTGCTTCTCAACAAATCGACTTGTGGCAAAACCAAACTATCAGGTGATGATAGATATTTGTCAAATTTACTCTAAAATAAATTTATAGATCATATCAGAGTATGACGCATTTATAACTGTGATATATCAGTATGTGACGCACTAATTGTGATGTATCAGAGAATGATGCACGTAATTGTGATGTATTAAAGAAATAAAAGATGTTTACTGTGTTTGCACAGGCTTATGCAAACCGAGGAAACCTTTGGAAGAACTCGAGATTAAGATCAGTGCAAACATAAAAAACATTTTTCATTTCTTTTATAAAATGACAATAATGCGAAACAAACAAAACGTTTAAATATTCTTCTAACGTGTATTCAGGATTGATTGGCAAATTCTCTTTGATTGATTGATTGATTTGATTGGTTGAGCTCTAATCGGTTTGCAAAGGTTAACGAAAACACAGCTCTAGATCAATCAGCGCACGCGTTTCATTGTGTTTATTTTATAGTGGAGTATGGACGCATCTATTAATAGTACATCAGAATATTTTATCAGAATTGTGATGCATTATCGACAACTGCAAAACAATAATTTTTGTGACAGCACTGCACCAGGTGGTCCACAATTAAGAAACAAAAGATGTTTTCTGTGCTTGCACAGGAATCAGTAAAAGCCCAAAATCGAAGGTCGAATAGTAGGTCTTTGATTGATTTCATCGATTGAGCCCAGGCTAATGCAAACTGAGCTACACACCAATAAATGACAATTGTAACAGCTATGTTGAAATTATAACAGAATAATAAAATGTTCATGCTCACCATACAATCCTTGATAGTTTGAGCATCCATTCCTTTCATCGATGACAGTGGAACCTGCGAATTGGAAAAAATGAAGTAGAACTTTCTTACACAAATAAAAGCCTCATAAATAGAGGAAATCCTCGTACAGCTGAATAAATGTCAAGAAAATTTTTTTCAAAGGAGCCGACCTTTACAGATGATTGTTCTTGAATGATATTATATATATTTCCAATACCAGATTTTTCAAGAATAAACGAAGCCTGTTCACTAACCAAAGTATCCTGATGGGCTTCTGTCTGAGAAATAAAATATTTTCATTTTATGATAATTATTCTAAAATATTTTCTTTCGTGATTTTCCTTTGTGGTTGACATACAAAGGAAAGGTAGGTATACAAAACTAAGTACTTTCTGTTGTGAAATAATAAAGATGATTTTTTGAAAAGTCGTTTCGACAAATATGTATCAACTTCACAAAAACTATTTCACATAATTCGAGAATGGTAAAAAATACCTGAGCAGCGAGCATTTCAATGTGTTTATCAGTAAACTCATAGACGGCTAACGTAGACTGTATTTGATAAATGCAGTTAATCATGTACGCTGCCATATCACAGGTACCCAAACGACTTGCTGACATTGTGCAGCTTTGTAGCAAAGGGTCGATCAGACTAGAGATAACCTAGAAAATATTAAAAGTAGATCGTCTCAAATACGAAATAAAATAACATTTTTATGTCTCATATTCCAATACGTTTCAATATCAAACTTCAGGTGCACGAAGCACCATCCCGAGGCGTAGGAAGATCGAAATGGGGGTATTCGTATAATGCATGATATGCCTTATTAGGTTCCTAAGAAATCCATTGTTTTCTACAGATTATTACATGCATATATCAATATTGCCCCCTCCTTCCATTTATGGATCTTCCGACGGTTCCAACACTTTGTAAAGTGATTTTTTCTGTTAAAAGATGTGAAGCTGAAATTCAAACTTAACAATCAATAGAAGAATAGAACACTTTAATATCTAAGCTAAAAAACCTTTTCCGTAATTTCGCAGTAGCACCAAAGTCATACGAAATATCAAATAAACGAAAAATCTTATAATGCCGAAACATGTTGTTATTAAAAACATTCTCGTTTCTTTGAAATGTCTTAAAAAACGTATTATCCAGTACTATGTACTGCCTTTATAGATCCAAGCCTCACCATCTCATCTTGTATGAGTAGCCCCCCTTGGCCTCCTAACCCATCGAGCAAAGTTTCCTTGTTTGGAACAACGGCTTTGAAAGTAGTAAGTTTTGTTCCTATGCTTCACATGACAACTAAAAGTCGTTCAACGGTTAAACCTCGTCAAATGTTCAGTGTATGAAAATATTTCAACTAAGAAATATAGGATGTTTACTGTGTTTGCAAAGGCTTATGCAAACCAAGGAGACCTTTGAAAGAACTCAAGGGCAGGTCAGTGTAAGCCCGAGAACGAAGGCCGAGGGTTGCACATGCTCAAAAGTTCTCACAAACGTCTCCGAGGTTTGCATAAGCCAGTGCAAACACGAAAACATCGTTTCTTTTATAAAAATAACAATAATGCAAAACAGACAATTTTTTCTCTAGCATGTATTCATAATTGATTGGCAACTTCTCTTTGTTTGATTTGATTTAATTGGTTGATGTCGGATCTGCTTGTCACAGGATAATGCAAACACAACTATAGACCAATCACTGCACGCACTTGTAAACGGTAATAGCACTTAAGTATATATTTTATGTTTCAAGACAAACCTTTGAATAATCTCCTCGTCTTGCATCGAGTGGTACAACCGATGCATCATGGGATGACAAAACATTACGCAGCAGAACAAGCGTTTCGCCCAAAGATGCAGTAGGACCTAAATCTGAGGGTGGAACTTCAATCTAAAGAAATGAATGAAAGAAACGTTTGTGAATGTCAAAATGAAGGATTTGTCTGAAAAAAGTTTGCCTAAGTCGAAGTGAATATTGTATAATGAAAGGGAGAAGTTTGTTAATGTCAAAGTGAAGGATGTAAAGTGAATGAGAAAATTTTGCCTCAGTCAAAGTGAAGGATGTAAAATGAGTGAAAGAAGTTAGTGAATGTCAAAATGAAGGATGTAAGATGAATGAAAAAAGTTTGCATCAGTTAAAGTGGAGGATCTAAAATGAATGATAAAAGTTTGCCTCAGTCAAAGTAAAGGATATACAGAAAGTTGACGTTTTTGCTTTCATAATTATTTAATAATTATATATGATAGAAAAAACTATAAACTGCAGCGCTCTAAAAACATAAAAGGATAGGACTGCAGCTTTAAATCTGTCGCTTAATTTATTCAAATTACACAGTGATATCTTATGACGACATCCATCGACAGATGAAACCGTTATTAACAAAACTACAGTAGAAACCTTATCAAGGACTTTGCTTGCATGAAGACTTAAGCTGTTCAAAAACATTTTCATCGTCAGCGTGTGTAGTTCTTCAATCGTAAATATAAAGGACGATTCTTCGCCAACGATGGTGCTATATCAATAAAAACAATACAACTGGAATTGAATCACCTTAAATCCTAAACATACTAGAGCTGCAGCAAACATGGTGAAAAGTGCCCAGCAGTCCCAAGTACTTCCTCGATACATATGCAAAAATGACCTCATTTCAGATCACATGACTATAAAATGACCTATAAAGAAGCCATTTTATGTAATGCAACCTGATATGAATAAACAAGCCAAGCTACAAGCTAAAACGTCGCACAAATCAATAAAATTTTTTTACAACTCCAAAAAAACATGCCTGATAGTTGACTTATAAAACTTCAGTACACTCGTCAGTTTAAAAAGCACGACAGAACCTTGTTCAGACACCACCACTTGTTCAACACGGACCTGCGTTGTGTAAAGAATCATTTTAAAACATCCTACGAATGACGTAAGGTTTCTTCATTCAGCAACAAACCTTCAACGGTCGACAAACGCCTTCGGAAATGTGACCAAGAAGTTGCCAATATAAATCGCTGGTCACTAAAATCAAAAAAATAAGAGAGTGCATAAACGGTTTTATGGTCGACAAAATTGCTTCTACCTTTATATTTTTTAGTAATCAAATAATACTTAGATGTTAAAGTATAAAGTGTCACAACTAAACATATTTTCCATATAAATGATCATCAGTTTAAAAATAGATCACGTAAAACTTTTCTATTCTCGTATTTTTTATTTTCCATATAAATGACTATGAGCCAATCAAAGATCATGTAAAACTTTTCAGAGTATTCGTTGTATCTTTGCCGTTTTTTACCGACCATTGATATATGTAGTATGCAAAAATACCAACGATTTACAATCAATCCATATTAATAAATATTTACGTAGTTCATATCACTACGGCACAGAATAACGATTTTACAGAATTTCGTAAAAGCACTATTGCCAATGCACATTTAATATAAACGGCAAGTTTTTTTAAAATAGACATGTTTCGACATCTCATGATGCCATCTTCAGTATGAGTGAAATAATAAGTGATACAAGGTTTATATAAAAGTAATATGATACATAAATTATAACAATAAAAATTGTTATAATTTATTGTATTAATTGTTATAATTAATACAATATTTATTTTATTGTATTATTTCACTTTATCTTATTATTTCACTCATACTGAAGATGGCATCATGAGATGTCGAAACATGTCTATTTTAAAAAAACTTGTCGTTTATATTAATGATTTTACAGAAGAGTCACTCGTGTCGTCCTCGCGCAGGTTGTGCCGCGCATATCGGTCGCCATTGTTCTTAAAGTTTCTTACTTGTTCCTATCCTTGAGAATGATCTAAAGTCATTTCGTAAGTCAAAATATTCTCGAATCATTATTCGGAAATGACGTCATGTAGCTTTAATCGTTAGAAACAAGTGACAAAACTAATCAACTTGCTGCAATAATGACTGAAGTGAGGACGCGTTGACTGAATGAATCTTCTGTATAGTCATTATTCTGTTCCTAAGGTACCTCTATCTACATTCCACTAAACTCAATAGTAACATCTATTTAAGGTAAAACCTTGGTACAGGCATAAATATACATATGTGATGATGACAAAAACATACTTGACGTCGGAGCTTGTTTTAGTAAAGACTGAATTGACTCTTTCTCTGATGCAAATCCTTGATGAAGCCAGGCTAACATATCGCCCAAGTATCTAACGATTTGAATATAACATGTTAACATCTGTTTCATCAATTTATCTCAAACTTTACAATTTTAGAAAACATCGTTAAGTGCAAGACAAACCCACGTGAACAAGACTTTTGTTGTTAAGATGTGGAATAGATAATATTTATGCTAAACTGAAATTACTAAATCGATTTGAACGACTTACGAACCAGTCGTATAAAATAGTAAATTTTATATATAACGTTGAACATTCTTTAATATCTTGGAATATAAAAAGTGGAAATAAACCGCTAGTTATACGCCGCAATGTAAACCGACGTCATTACATTGCCATCTGACGCATTGGAACCAGTGTTCTCTTGTAGAATTGACTCACCTGATTGGATCATGAGCACTTAGTTCAATTGGTCTCGGTGTCCCACCTTGACCTATAATTTGGTGATATTTATCAATGAATTAATTGGCTTACGACCGCTGGATGTTTTAAACAGCTATAGATAAGGCAGAGGGAGGGCATGAAGCGTAATTGATAAGAAAAAAATAAGATAAAAATTATGAAAACTCTAAGTTAAGTGGAAATGACCATTTCAAGTTACTTGATAAGAAAAATTATCACGTCAGCTACTATAAAACAGGCTTACACAATAAAACAACTATATAAATGTTTAAGGCGTCGATGCAGTAACTAATTTTTGTACCCTTTTTATCCGTAAGTATAACAGTATTGTCATGCATAATTTATAGCATGTAAGTAATCCTAACGTTTCAACTATTTAATAATCCCAAGAGATTATTTCGGTTAGTTCAAGCTCAACAAACTCTGAAGTAGAAAAATGCGATACTATATAATGAAAAAAAATATGTACGACCAGGTTATGAAGCATTCACCTCCACGAGTAAGTGCATCAATAAAACAACGAACAATAGCAGTTCTTCTGGCTCCCGCATACTCATCAACAGCATACCTAAACATAATAATGTGAAATGTGGAAACAAAGAAAAACTTTCCTGCAGATTTTAAGGCTTGTCTAAAGTTGCGCAAGCAATTTATTCAACAAACCAAGGCTGGCTATTGTCGTAAACTTTAATGCAATATTAAATTGTGAATTTGTAATTATGGTATATAGGCACCATTTTCTCTGGCGTTATGTACACCCATAGCGACATTTCTTCAGAATATTACACTTACTTCAATAAAACAGGTCGATCTTGTAAAACAGCCATTGCATTTTGAAGATTTGACAATATCTCAGGAATATCACCCGTTAAACCTCGACACTCGGCTTTGAAAAAATTTGAACGCAAATATGTAAAAAAAATCTGACAATTACAGTTTTGGTTACAATAACCAACAAGAATCTAAAGGTAGAATTTGTACGACACTATATCCTTCTTTTTATCACCTTGTGGACTTCTTTTCATGACAATTACATTTCTTGTTTTCATGTTTTTTTATACTTTTTACTGATTTATACTTTTCCCTTACGGTAAAATATACCTTGTGCCCATCTATAAAGCCTTTCATAAGCAGATTCCATATACAAAGCCATTGACTCCATTATCTCTAACCTAAATCATCGTAAAATAGTAAACGTAAAAGCTTCGATGGGGATGTTATCAAAAGATCGCATACGCTCTCATTCTCTTTATCAAAGCAGAAATGAGGGGATTTAGTAGAATTTTGCATTCCATGACTGAGCCTGTTTCAAACGTCGCATTTTACATAAGCCGAATGCATTTAAAACAAAAGATAACGAGGAATTTTATCTCATTTTCTTTTGTTTTAAATGCATTCGGCGCATGTAAAATGCGACGTTTGAAACGGCCTTAGCTTGGTATCAAAATAATGAAAATATATTTACCCGGCAGTTTGTTGCTTCGTTCTCAACAGCAACTTACAATCATTATGAATTATCTTTACTCTTGAAAGGGCAGAAAAAAATTCCTGACAATCAAAAAGTCAAAGCTTAAAAATCTAAATCGCAATGAATTACATAAGTTGCAATATATTGGGCGACAATTGAAGTAATTAAGTACACATGCCACTATTTTTATCTCACAGCACGACAATTCTCGCTTTTAGTTTATTAAATATTACTGTACAGCAACCAGTGCTGTAGCTAGAACGTTATTTGGAGAGGGGGTGGGTCATTCATCTATTCAGTTGTGCCCGACTGACTTTTTTTGAAAGTGATTTGGCGAAAAAATAAACATCAACAGGTACGTTATTGACAGAAGGCAAAAGACAGCATTCATTATTGGATTAAAAATTTGAAATTTTCAGTTTTTCATCAGGAAAAAGCAGCATTCATGAATGATAGATTGCATTATAAGTCGATGTTTTAGGTACAACAGATGTAATACTCACTGCAGTAATTGCTTCGTTTCTAGTGTTCTTCAAAACTTCAACTTCATGTTGTTTGAGTTGGAAACGATCGAGGAATGCATTTGCAACTTTTTGTTTCATCTGAACCTTTTGACTTAAATTTTAATGGAAATAAATGAAGATTAATTCCCTTGTTTAGAAGCGCTACTGAACAACGCATTTTTACTATCGCACAGTCTATCGCACAGTCTATGCACGGAATAAACTTCTAAAGAACATCAAATCATCTATCTCTGTTTAAAGCTTTAACAACAATTACATATTTTTCTAACACTCATAAGAAAATACACATGCAAACTGTGACATTAGCTCTGAAAACCCTCTTTGGGGAGAGTTCAATAAATATTGTATTGCACAGGGCTGCTTAAAATATCATATTTTCTGGGACCACAAGGACAGCGAAAATATTTCTGAAAAAAAACGCCTCGTGGAAATTTTTACTCCAGCAATATGAATGAAACAGTTTGCATCAATCACTGCTGATAAATGTAAGTGATAAATGATGAAGAAATGACATGTAAGAACTGTAAAGATGACTTTTTCTTACTATCTTTTGACTTTCTGAGTGCTGAGACTGCTGTCAGTCAGGCAATGTGCCTCGATACGTATACCTGAAGCTTATTCTTCCTTTTTGTTTTCCATTTCTATGTCAATCCAGTTTTTTTATTAGAGAATTCTAACTTTTTGTAATTTTAACCGAAGTTTAGTAATGATTTTTATAAAGGCATTTAGCCAGGCGGCAGTCCTAATGACACCACTTCTGAATGTAGACGGCTACAATAGGACGGTCGTGGATAATTTTATGGAAAATTTCATTTATAACTCCAGTAACCCACAGGTTTACGTTTAACATTTATCGAATACATCGTAATTCGTTTCTTTAAAGTATACTTAACTTAAAATAGATGTTTTGATATGTCTTCAAGTCGAAAACACGTTATCTATGCATCATAATTCAAATGAAACCAACTTCCATATTTTTGTTAACTACATTTCCATAGCTATCCTAAAATTGACTACGGCCTAAAAACTATGCAACAACGAAATAATATGTGTGGAAAAACAAATAAAAGTGTTTTGGATGGTTAGCTTTAAAACTCCTGGGCCCCAAGCAACACTTAGCTACTTATTAACCCTCTTATAGACTTCCCCTAGAAAAATCTGCATCCTTCTTCTTAGATAAGCACTACTCCATCTCTATAATATTTTGTATATGCAATATGTATACATTTTGAGATCATAGAAATCTGAAATTTGTTATGAAAACAGCCTCAAAAGACGAAAAGAAATACCTTTCTGATTGAAGTTTTGTAGTTTTGGAGATCAGATCAGATGTTTGTTCTCGAGCCATCTAAATCAAACAGTATCAGCTATCTAAGCCATTTGCATATGGCAAATTACAAAAAAGAAACAACAAAAAGATGTAAAAAATATAAATAACAAAACGGCAGTTGGATTGTAAAACATCTTTTTGTATCACAAAATAACTTTTATATAATGTATACATGACCATCTATACAAGCTCACACAAACGTGACCATACATACATGTAAAGCCATACATGCACATCCATACACACATATCCATACATGCACATCCATAAACCCATATCCATACATGCACATCCATACATGATCATCCATACACACATATCCACACATGCACATACATAAATACTTGCCTTTAATCTTGTTGTCATTTCTTCACAACATTCACTCATTGACTGAATATCATGATGAACAAGATCAAGCTGCTATAGGAGTTAAAACATATGGTTCACTCAATTAATCACATGCATTTTGCCTCATTGAAATATTGGTAATCTAGGGCAACCATTGATACACATAATCTCATCAAATTGTACAGTTTTTCCACAATAGCGTAGCAAATGAATATTTGCATGATTATTGGTGAAAACTTGCAAGATTACAGGTGAAAGAACTTTGTGGATCAAAAAATATTTCATGTTTTCAGTGTTCTCAATAGCTTGAATAATACAAAAATATCCGAAAAAAAACAAAATCCTGAAGACATGAAATGTTTTCAGTCAATACTTCCATTTTAGCAAGACTGCAGAGTATGTGGGTTTTTGGCCAGATCTTGGGAGAAGAAAAATTGAAAATATCAACCCAGGAGAAGACTGAGTGGCAAATATGTACACAAATGTCTTAAATTGTGCTACATTTATTGTTTTCTGCTTAAAAACTAAGGGGAGCCCTTAAACTTATCACTTGGAAAATCTTTGCATCGCAATTGCCGTTCTTTGCATGGTGGGATTTAAGAGTTCTCGCATGTCTTTTGACTACTGAATGCTTGAAGATTTAGTCCTTATATAGGTAATTATTTCAGCAAAATCTAATCTTTTTAATGGTATGTAACAAATCCAGGATGCACAATTGACTCTGTCAACGACAGACAATGAGTCGTTACGAAATACGAATCAATGAAATTATCTATAATAATCATAAATAACATACCTGCTTAACATCTCTAAACGCACTTTCAAACTGTTCATTTACATAAAGACTTCTCTTTTCGATATCACCTCGAAGATTTCGCCTCTCTCTCAAATTATTATCCGTAAAAAATGTCGAGAGAGCTTTCAATGCTTCAACGAGATCCTGAGTATGAATGTTGTAAATGTTCACAACTACATCAAAACATAACATAATTTGAAAATATACAATTTTCGATAAGTTGCTTTTACTTACTTTATCGTTATCAAATCGCATATCAAGGATTTTATTGAGTTTTCTAGATAAAGGATTGTTCGCCTGAATGGAAGTGTCATCCGCCATATTGAACGAAGCGAAAAACTGCGGGCTCAAGTTGCCACGTCTGAAATGAAATCTGAAAAGAAGGAAAGTTGTTGAATATTTGTGTGAAATCGTGAATAATTGTAACTATTCGGAAACTCAAACAATTATCACAAAAACTGCACAACATATGAGATTATTCAGGATATGGGCTCGGCACAGGTCAGTGGCTCGGCATGGGTGCTTATTAAGTGTGAAAAGGAATATTATAGTGACTGTGAATAGCAATGTACAATCAGCGTGTACAATAAATACATGAAGGATGTCCAATTAGACACTTTGATTAGTTCGAGTTCAATGAAAATAAATCGTTAATTGGCTTGCAAGTTTTAAGTACAATATACGCAGTTCATGACTCCATGCACGCTTGAAGGCTAAAGAAACGACCAGCTTCATTGGGCATGTGACAGAAGTTACACAGTTACCTGTTTATCCAATGGTCATCATCACTTGCACTTATAATCTTATAAAATATTGCACAACATAATAATAATAATCACTTTTATATATTAACATACAATACATACAGTATTTACAATACTACTATTTTTATTTACGTGCATACAATAAATACTGCAGTGTAGCTATTTCACTTAAGTTCATATACTGTATCACATTTGAAACAAATTCTTCGAAAATTGTTTCGAAAACCTCTCCAGGGGTATGCCTCTCAAGAGTCGTGAATTGTATGCTGGAACGTCGTTTACAAGAAATAATACGAAACACTTTGATATTTTCATGGCCATTATTATTTATAAGTCTGCATAATAAAAAAGCGACATCATCTTGAAACAAAAATCTGTCAAACTTTTCCTTGCTTTTAGCGTTTCTTCAAGAGAACTCGAAGAAAACAAATAGTGTAATACGACGAAGTAAGGCCTTACAAAAAATGTCGTTGCATGCTTGCTAACATGTCACAAAACCTGTTTTTGATTTATGCCATCTTTTGTCATCTTTTAAAGTAATGGAACGAGATATGCAATCATTCATTCACAGTCCAAGAGGGCAGTAAAGATCAATGAAAGCTGCATTATGACCTGTATTTCTTACCAGCCACATATTTTTGGATCACCGAGAGACAATAAAAAACTGGATGCCTAAAACAGAGGAGCTTCAACCGCAATTAAAGCATCTATAGGAAAAACAGCTACTGCAAACTGCCGATGGCAAGTGTCCCATAGTTTTTCTGTTGTGCCGTAGTAAGTTATGAAATCAACCTGATTGTCCAAAGATGATTTTATTCTTGAATAAGAGTCAAGACAAATTAAATTATTTTGCTGCACATTATCTCAGGTAAAATGATGGCTTCAGTCTGGTAACAGTCTCTTTAGTGTCCACCAAATGCGTATAGGCTCTTTTCAGAGATTATAAAAGCGATCCTCACTGTAAGAGAGTTCGTCCCCAACATTCTACACTGCAAAGCGGACATAATAGAAGACTAACTTAAAAATTTAACATCCAAAGGACCCAAGCAATTGGTGTCGGCTGACAAAATTGGAGCATCTAAGTTAATTAAGTTAACCAAACTGTCTCTTAGTCTTTATTTGACACCGACGCAATCATAAAAACAGGCGAATTCAATGAATGCGAATAACAGCTAAATTTTTATCAATAAACTAACTATTGTTTGTTCCTGAAGAGAGGTTCAAGTTAGCATTATGCGGATTATGAAACTTTAATCGAATGCAATAAACTACACATTGGGTATTCACAACCTTCGTTGCATCAATCATTAACAATATAAATCAAATAAGCAACGATTGATGAAGAAAGTACAAAACCCTGTTGCATCAATCATTAACAATATAAATCAAATAAGCAACGATTGATGAAGAAAGTACAAAACCCTGTTGCATCAATCATTAACAATATAAATCAAATAAGCAACGATTGATGAAGAAAGTACAAAACCCTGTTGCATCAATCATTAACAATATAAATCAAATAAGCAACGATTGATGAAGAAAGTACAAAACCCTGTTGCATCAATCATTAACAATATAAATCAAATAAGCAACGATTGATGAAGAAAGTACAAAACCCTGTTGCATCAATCATTAACAATGTAAGTCAAATAAGCAACGATTGATGAAGAAAGTAAAAACCCTTAAGTTTGGACAGAAATAATGACGTAGCGCATAAAAATGCGTTCTTGCTGTTTCATTGATTATCATGCTGTGAATTATATTGACAAACTTTACCCTAAAAATCAATTACTTCGGCAAATATGTCATAGTGTTGAAAAGTATTTGCAGTCAAATATTTTGCTTTTTTGTCGTTGTTGCAAAATCGTTAGTTATAAGCAGCTCAATTAAATTTATATTGCTAAGATAATTCTTTTATGTGGCAAACAGTAATGATTTCTTCAACCTCGTGTTGAGAATAAATAAACACAGAGTCTTACGGAAGGCAGCCAAAGCTAACTGAAATGCAGTAAAATTTAAAAGAGGTGGCAACAATGTGCCTTACTCAAATTAATGAATAAAATAATAAATATTTAAAACGTAATGTTTGGAAACAGGTGAAAACGAAAATGGACAAAACCACAAATTGATTGAGAAGCCGGGTTTTTTTGACACATCCAAAAAGGCCAAACAACATTATTATTCATTTAAAAAAATTGAAGTGTACATGATGAACGCGTTAAAATGTGGAAGAAACGAGACTTTTACGTTCTGACGACATCGGCATATTGGTTAGGTACAATAAAGAAGCTAATTATTTATGCAACGATATCCGAATTACAATTTAAATTACGTAAAGTTATGTGGCTCAATTCAAAGATATTTTATATCATTGAGAGGTAAATCAACTTACTTTAATTGAATGGCATTGATTTTGGAATTCATAAAAGTTTGGTGTCTTTTCAAAAGGGAATAGCTATCCACAGAAAATTGCATGATAATTGTGTTTTTTTTCTACCCATATCTTTATATCGTTTTCTCTTTTTTGTATATTACGTTGGTGAAATTTCAAAAGGAAGAGGTCTCAAAAGTCCACACGTGCGCATAAATCTTGATAATGGTTTAATTAGCCGCGCCTTTAGTGGTCCAACTGGCGTCAATTGAGAACAGTACACTTGGCTCTAAGCATCGCCATGTCTTTTATATGATTTTTCTAACAATAAAAACATGCTTGAATTTTTCAAATATTGAATAAGAATTATGCAAACTAGGTGTAAGAAAACGTGTTCTTTCATGACATAACAGCATGAGTCTTGCCACAAAACCTCAACTGATAACATGAAAACACTCCAAATTTATGTTAAACAACCCAGGACATCCCAAAAGGGCTTGGTTCGATCTCTTGGAGGAAAAAACTGTAAAGAAAGGAGAGAAGTGTCGAATTTGACATCAAAACATTTAACATAATGTCTATGTAGATAAGTATTCTTAACAATGCAAAAGATAAGCATGCAGATGGCCTTCAAAGCTTCATCTTTACTAATACAAGTCAATCTTCAAAGGTGTCCCGAAACGTCATCTTCAATATGAGATTAAAGTCAAAGTTGTGATACTTTCTTCCTGCAGCTATTAAAAACAGCGTACTTCTAAACGTAAACAAGTGATTGCCTTTTATATTTCGTGATGACTTCAGTGATGAAAGCATGTTTCCTGTCTTTTTGAACAATCACCCAAGCACTTGCTTGAGGCAAGACAAAGATGACCTTGCGGTATTCCTTATTTCTGTTCTTGAACCTCAAACACAAGAATATAAATACAATGGGAATAAAATAGAGCTGAAGAAGACTTATATCTTAAACATACTTTTGCATTCATAAAAAGAAGTGATTTCCAGATTAGTCATTAATTGCTAGGAAAGCCTGCTGTCTACAATATGTTCCTCAGTTCTATTGTTTGATATTGTCTTGTATACAACTTCAAGAAACATTCTCATAAAATGATTTAGATTTGTATTTAGATAAAATAAATTACCACAATGTAGTTTCATTGAAATAATTCTTTTCTCCAGCTTTTGATTTCTCTTCGCTTGAAATGCATAAAAGCTTTTGTTAACGCATGCGCAGAGAATCTGCAAATGGTCAATGGACGAAAAGCAGATGGGAACATTTCTAATAAGTGAAAAAAAAAGCATTGAATTATTGAATTTTCTGCTTCTAAGGTTTTGAGTGGACATTCTAACTTAATTTGATTATCGCATAGAAAGTCCAAAATCCAAACAAACAGAAATGCAAGCTGCCCTGTGTATGCGCACATGCAGTGCTCAAAACAAACACAAAATGCGTTCTCATTGAAAGTTTATCAACGAGTGCGAAAAACTTTTAGGAGTTGTTTTAATCTTTTGGAGTACGTGCTAATTATTTGTTGTTAACGACACTAATTCGAAGCCTGGCTTGAAAGGGCAGATTCAATATTTATTATTAAATGTTGTGGTTTGAAAAAAGGACAATAACATTTATGCGCAAGAGTCTTTTCTTCTCTAACAATTGTTTGTTGTGCCTGTCACTGCAGTCTAATCGGTCAAGTTTTATTGTTATAAGTATATCACGGATCGTTAAAGGTCTATGTAAGGAAACAAAAAATTGCCAGGGGACACCCTGCAAGGTCGGTTGCTAGCCATTTAGAAGAAACGTCGTCGTTGAGTATAAAAAGCCACATTACGTCCACCGTGTTATTCATGCTACGACAGAGAGCACAAGGGAAGTAGTCTCTTCATTTCGGCAACTGAACAAAAAAAAAGAAATTAAGGTAAGCTTTTTGTTTTCACTCTTGAATGTTAAAATAAAATTTCTCAGTGGTTTTTTTATACGATGAGAAGCATTTCAAAGCAATTTTACACACAGAAGTTGATAAAGCTTAGACGTGAATATCAAATGTTAAACAACAAAAAATGTGTGCGTTAAGAAAGCAAATGTTGTCGAAAAACTTTTTGAAAATCCAAGGCAAACATGGAAGTGCTCTGAGTTTCAGCGACTACATAAATTGAATCAACAAAAACAACAATGAACACAATGAAAAGATTTTCCACGTTGATGGTTGCGTGCATTTAAAGGTAGTTGCACACGGGAAAAATATCTGCCACGTGTTTTTCCAGTTTGTTAGTATAAATGAGGACACAAAGAAAGTGATATACTGAATTGACCAACTGATTTGAAGCGAAATATCTTTTCAAACGGTAAACGCGCATGAAACAGTAAACGACCCGTCACAAATGTACCAAACAAGAAATCTGGACTGAATATGGGAATCATTATACAAAGTTTCAAAATAAAAAGCAATGCGTTACTACAAAGGCTAGAGATCATACCGATAAAGTGCTTTCTCTGATGATTTTAACATTTTATTACAAACGTTTAACAAAATATATTGTACACGTTTTGTCCACTGCTAACAAAGAAGGCGCAAAAAATAGAACAAACAGGTCTTTTTCATCGACAATAAGAGACTCGCTAAAACAAAACAAGCCCTGCCAGTTTTGGAGGATTAGTTTTTGGTAAATGCTTGGCATGTTATGAGATCATTAATTAAAGTACTTATTATAAGATATCTAGAGGTTCAAAGAGTTTCCAGAGCATGAATTTCAAAAAAAGTCAACAAGATCTGAACCCTAACATTTATATAACTTCCCCCATTTGCAAATCACCATCGACGAAGCAACAGAAGAATTAGTTTTTTGTCGATAATCTGTACACCACAAAACCATAGTATATCTGCATCCTTTTCTTAATTTGACAAGTTTTCGAAACCAAAAATTTTGTATCTACAATTTCAACTTTAAAGCAAAGCATTCATTTGCAAACCACCGAATCATTCTTTCATTAGATGTCATCCCATTTCATCAATATTCCCGGACCAATGGTTCAAACTCAAGATGGATTTCAAATACCACTCTACGCCAATTTTCCTGGACGAATCAGCTTTGACAGTGATTCATATGTTGCAGCAACTTGTCAAACATACGAAAACGATCATTCACGCGAGAAAATGAACTCTGCTAACAAGACAAAGGAACGTAGACGAGAACGAAAAGTCATACCAGCATCGGTAAAAAGAAATCGACAACTTCGACGGAACGCAAGAGAAAGAGAACGCCAGTCAAGACTGAATAGCGCCTTCGATGTTCTACGTGGAGTAATACCAGATTATCTCACTGGCAAAGGACCAGAAAGGAAACTTACGCAAATAGAGACTTTACGGTTAGCGCAACATTATATAATGGCTCTAACAGAGCTCTTGCAGGATTCTTCACACAGTTCCACGTGTAATCACCAATGTTATGGAATCACGAACATTTAGATGGGAACATGGGAAAACACAGTCTAATAGGAATGAAGTACAAAAAGTTTAGAAGAGGCTGTAGTCAAATTTTGAATAACTGTTCCGCTAGCCAACTGAAAGAAACTTTTCAGTCGATCGCAAGTTTGTACTCGATAAAATCCAGAATTTTATAAAGATCATGCACGGTCAATATGACCCGGAAAAATAGGAATATTGCCAGACAGGGAATAAGCTGCATAACCACCACATAGCAAAACTCGATCCCTGAATATAAATCAAGGAGAAAATTAAACAGTTTCATGAGCGTAATAACGTTTCATTTGAAACGGTGAAATGAAAAAATCTTCTGCAGTAAGAAAATGTTTTACAGCAAGCATGCAAAGGTAATCGTCGAGCAATTTCAAACTGTTTCATCTCTTTTGTAATCACACAGTAAAACGTACGTTTAATCGTGAATGTCATTGTCCTAAAGTGCTTCAACTTTCTCGTGACAATGGAGTCGCGTTGACAGAAAATTACTCTCGGTGACGAAATATTTTATTAAAATTTTATTATAAAAATTTCATCTCTTTTGTAATCACACAGTAAAACGTACGTTTTATCGTGAATGTCATTGTCCTAAAGTGCTTCAACTTTCTCGTGACAATGGAGTCGCGTTAACAGAAAATTACTCTCGGTGACGAAATATTTTATTAAAATTTTATTATAAAAATAACGAAATATTTAATTTTATTTATAACATTTTAAACTTTTCCGAAAATTTTTAACACTGCAATATAAACGAATGACGTTAACACTTCATCTGAATGATCTGAACGTTCTTCAGAGTCCTGAACACACGGTCGTTGAAACAGAAATGATTTTGTAATGTTGCATTAATTGATGAATCCAGAGCCTATTCTAACTACACAAAAATTCGCTTTTTGTGCGCTGTTGAAACAAACTTCGTGTAGGAAACACAGCTAATGTGCTTGCGTGAGAAATTGTCCAGATCACAGTTTCATTGGTCTTTTATATAACGTATAACTTATTTCTGACGAAAGACAAAATTTTAAACGAAAGCAAGCAATATTAATTAGCATGTTGAATGGTGATGGCTTTTGACCGTTATGTTTTCTACAAATGATCACGTAACAAATAAAATGTTGAAGAATTTCAAGAATATGTTTAAATATGTTTAAATTCTAGAGTAGCTATGTAACGGATCAAATGCACATTCTTAATTACTTCTAATAATTTGAAATCTATTTTTATTAGGTATCAGTAAATGGTACCCATATGAGCGACGTTCCATGTACATGTTACAGTAATAAATACATCGTTCTTTAAAATTATCTCAGCAAAAACGTGATCACCTAAAATGAAGGAAGTCCCCATAATCTAGGGTCAAAATCCTCCAACGATTTTAAACACACAGTAGCATTTGTACACATAGATGGGTCTACTCTAGGGTCGGGAACCATTACAACGCTCATATCAGCTGCGCGAGCAGCAGTAACACCATTGGGTGAATCTTCAAATACCAAAACATTGGCAGGTGAGAGTGGCTTACTTGAGAATCTAGATGCAGCTAACTGAAATATATCTGGGGCAGGTTTTCCATGTTTGAGTTCAACGTCATCTGAACAAACGTAGTGAGAAAAAAGCTTGAATAGGTCGTCTTTATTCATGATTTTAACTTTGTATAGCCAGGTCTTAGAACCAGTTGCTACACAGAATGGGATATTATGAGCATGTAGGTGCCTCACTAATTTCTCAGCTCCTAGTTGAGAAAGAAAATGAATAAATCCTCTTTTAGAATTTTGATGAATTTCATAAAAGGAAATCACACCAATAATTTTTAAACAGGCATAATTTACCTGGCATTGGTTTGCAGTGAGGAAAACATTCTTTCTCCAAAGCAACAGCTTTTTCTAAGAAATCATCAACAGTCATAGGTAAATCCAGAAGTTCAACGGTCATTTTAGCACCATCCTTGGGACTTTTCCCCATTATTTTTGACTTCATTTCCCAAGTAAATACCTTCCCATATTTGTCAGCGATTTTTTGAGTGATTTCCGTGTAAATACTCTCAGTATCTAAAATTAACGACAACAAAAGACATGTTTAAACTCTTGGTTTTCATTACAGTTGATACAAGTTGGTAACTTGACTAATTATGCTTGTGAATATTTTTGAAAAGTTGATTGCTAACAAAGTTTGACATTGAATTTGCAATGGGATGCTAAATTGCCGATTAAGAAAGTTTAAAGTGTGTAAGACCTTGTCGTGCAAAGAATTTAAAACATGGAAATAAGCATTGGGCTGCCAAGAGAAAGTGTCTCGCCAAAGGAAAAATTTCATCCCCATTGCCATCATGATTTTAAATATCTGCAAATACAAGGCCAAACTTTAAATAAAAACAATAACAAGGTATCTCACGAATCAAAATAACAATGATTGTCTTAATTTTAGTTCCTCAGCTCTTCCAAATTTGAGTGGAGATAGAGAGCTGTAACCAGAAAGTCTAAAGGAAGGTAAACTTTAGATAAGAACAGACAGATACTGGCAATTTTTTTTTAATTTTAACTGACATAAATGATATCAATGATTTGTATGCTAAAAATAGTCTTGGATTCAAATGACATAAGGGACTGTATTTATTTTTTTCAATTTAACCAGACATTATCAATTGTGTTCAATACTTTTTCTCTGTTCATTTTTGAAAAATGGACCTCATGGATACATGGGGATACATGTGCACCCAGTGCACCTTCCCGGTTATGGGCCAATTATGTTGGGGACCAGGGGAAAAATATGCCACTGGATGAAAGTTCTTTTGGCTGCTATGGAAAAAAGAAAAGCCAGCACATATGTCATAAAATAGTTAATTCTATTATTTATAGTTTTGCTAAAGAAATTCATTATTCTAAAGCCATCATCTGACAATCAAAATATGAATTCATTGAAAACCAATAAACTCTATTATTTCTGAAAATACCATATAACGTTTTACCAGGAAAAGTAGCAGATTTTAAGCGAAAACCAATTGGCGCGGGGTCCTGCCTGCACCATATGACGTGTAAATTTATATAGCAATAGTTGAAATGAGTGCAATAACTTGCGAAGTATCCCGACTTACTAGGCTATCTTACCTAACAATAATCCATCCATATCAAAAATTACATGCGTTATAGGGGCCAGTTGAGCCTTGTTTTCCATGGTTTTAACATTAAAAGATGAAATACTTTGAACTTTGAATATTGATGAGGTGTACCATTTTAGTTTTTTTGTTTATAATTCCCCCCGGATTTAAAATAATATTTTCTGGGGGGTTATAATAACTTTTTGTGTGATGGCGACCAAAACATTTCAAGGAAAGCGCATTTTGTACAAAAATCTAGGCAAAATTAATTACATTGATGGTTTATTAGCCATGAAAGAAATTGCAAACTTACAGTTCAAAGCCATGAAGATGAACTATCAACCCCCAAATACTTTGTTGTTATGCGAACATTTCCCGGTCTATACCACCGGTATTCGAGACAAAAAAAGTGAAGAAGACGTCAAACATTTAAGAAAATTAGGCGCCGAATTCCATTACACTAATCGCGGAGGACTCATAACCTTTCATGGACCAGGACAGTTGATGTGTTATCCAGTCCTTAATTTAAAATGTTTTACGATGAGCGTTCGATGTTACAACGAAATGTTAGAAGAGGTTGCAATAAAGACATGTAACAGATTTGGTGTAACTGCAAGAAGGACTGTTGATCCTGGAGTTTGGATCGACAATAGCAAGATAGCTGCAATCGGTATGGTTGAAGCGATAGGAAAATTTTGGAAATTTTAATTTTAAAAATATTTTCTACAAAAATAAAATAAAGCCTGTTATAGACTTGCCCGTCAGATTACGTTACTTTGTAGTAAGTTCTGACTTGAAGATTTAACTCGACTGTACAGTCTGCCTCTTACTGGCATTCGTCAACATCATACATAAAATGAAAATGTCATGGTCAAAAGTTACACATATGTATGAATTCCCTACGAAGACAAAATTTACATAGGGGGATTCTTCAACTATGCCAAGGGTGTTTATGATTTTTTTACAAATTGTTCATGTTAATCATTTTAGGATTTCATGTCAGTCGTTGGATAACATCCCATGGATTAGGATTAAATTGTAACATTGATCTAGATTGGTTTGATAATATTGTTCCATGTGGTTTAGTTGGAAAAGGTGTAACATCTCTTTCTGTTGAAACTTGGAAGAACATCACTGTTGAAAAAGCTACTGGACCTTTCCTTAATGCATTTCAAGAGGTTTTTGATTGTGAATTGACAAACAATAATGAAATAGACCTTAATAATAATGTGTGACATAAAGCCATTAAAGAATTAATCTTTAATTTTATTGTTTCAAGTTTTGGGTCTTGGATGTCTAAGCACTATTTAGCAAGCCAACTTTCACTACTGCAATGCAATGTTTTTGTGTTAACCAAAGACAATCATCTTTTCAAAAAATGCATGCAATAATCTGGTATATAGTTTCATATTGAAACAATTAACAGGTTGCCTCTTCTACATGCATATCCAGTTTAGTTATATAATCCATGGCATTTTAAAGGATATTCTGCCATTGTTCTTTTGACCTGCACCACCAATCACCTGCTTTCTGCAATGTTGCAAGTTCTTATGATCAATGTTATAAGGTCCCATTTGACATAGTCAATATTTTCATTTGTTCATGCCGTCCACTTTAAGCATCTAATAAATTGTAAAAATACATCAACTTTAAAGAACTGGGTCGATTATGTAATTCATAAATAGCTCAAAATAAAAATGTGAGACAAGTTATATTTTCCATTAATTTAGTTACTCAATTGAGTGACTGTCATCATGTTGCTTGCATGTTTAAAATTTAAAATATGTTCATACCTTAACTTGGTCAATAAAATAAGCTTAGATTTATATAAGAAATGCAACTGTCCAAGTTATATATGTGAGGTATACTACAAGTTTATGTACTTGCATGTTGCAATGTTTCTAAGCTGATAAAAAAAACAATTGAAATACAATAAAGTTCATCATCAATGAGTTACCTAGTATCTTTGTGTGTTCCTAAACATTTCACGCTGCAGTACCGAGCACCACATTGAACGCATGTGTAATTTGATGGAAATGTGGATGTTGTCAAGAAAATTAAAAAATGTAAAAAAGTTTCTATCAATTCAAAATTTGGGTCATGGTCAAAACATGGTGACAAGAAAACCTCAGGAAATATATTGTCATCTGAACAGCATAAAAGTTATGGTTATGTAAAAAGATATCCACAAACAGAACAAAAGTGACGTTCAGGAAATCTTGAAGGTGGAACACAAGCTGTGACATAGTTTGGTTCTCCATCAACAAATTCTTGTTTCTTAAAAAAATAATTTTTTATTAATATAACTAAGTTATGTATTTCAGAGAAACTTGACACTAGTGGAATGCAAAAACTATACTATTAATTATACCTCTTCTTCAAGCAGTAAAGCAAATGTTTTCTTAAATCTCTAGTGTATAAAAAGTCAAGTGAGGTTAGCAATTAGTTCTTTAATCTATGTTGTAAAAAAAATTCATGTTAATCTGTTTGCTTGCCTTGGTATTCCAATTGATTTTCAATAAACACTATTGACTACTTTAGCTTTACACAATAATGAAAATGTTAGTGGTACCTGTTTAAAATGTTCTCCAGTTCCTTTTTTCCTCTTCTTCTTCTTTTCTTTATCATGTAGTTTATAATAAACAGAAAAGTTTTTCAACATGTGATAGTAATTAAGTCGAAATATCCATAGCAAGTAGTACATTTAATAAACAATTGAAACATATGATAGATAGCGTGTTTTGAATAGTTATCAAATATTTTAGGTCAAATTATCATATAATATAATGATTCAAAGAAAAACAAATTTGGAAAGGCCAAAATTTTTTTCTCATGTTATTGACCTACATAAAATTACATAAAAAAATTCTACCATTGTTTAAGTGCATTTTTATTCATTCATCACATAACATGCACTTCACCTTCTGAAGAATCAATGAATGAAGGAAGCTTTTTGCCTTTTGCAAGGTTGGCATGAGGATCATCACCAAAATTATCCATTTCCAATGCATCAAGCTGTCTTTTCCGACGTCTTTTTCTGGCATACTCATCCAAAACACGTCGACCAGCTTGAGCCTTTTGTCTAGCTAAAAATTCAATGCTTAAGTGTCATACAATTTGAAAAAGTGTTGAAATTACAGAATTGTGTTTTAGCACATTAGTAAATTATTAAACTTTTGGCTCAGTGCGATTTGACTTGCATAAAATATACTAAATGTTAAAAAACAAGCTATTCAACTATAAAAATTGTACAAATTTCAAGGATAGAGGCAATTTATCAATTTGAAGTCTCAACTGTCATTGTTAAACAAATCAAAATTAAGAATTATTTCTGATGTATTAGTAACTGAACTTGGCTGTCGTAATTTATCATAAAAAAATATAACTTACCAGAGGATTTTTCGGGCATAGCTAAACTTAAATCAAAGAACGATTAATTAATTGATATTTATTAATTATTGAAAAGTATACAAGTAAACTCGTCTTTCGTTATAAGAATCTTTAATTTCGTTCCAAATCACTTGAAATGACCCTCCCCTGATCAAGTGTAAATAACAAAAATTAACCATGTAAGTGAATTCACTTCAAATTTCAATTCATCATGTGAAAGTTGTTTCAGTTTTTATATTGGTGTATTTGAAAATCGTTAGTTCATTCAGAGTCATGGCAGAATGTCCAATAGCCAACACAACACGTTCAAATTGGTTTGAGAATCATCCGAAATATCAGGAAATGAAATCATACGGCGGGGAAGAAATATCCATACGGGCGGCAATGATTGTCTACTTGGACTTAATTGAAGTAAAACATTGGTTCGATGTGGAACTACATCACTGCGATGCGATTAAAAGTGTTTATATAGTTGGTAGACCTCTAAAGAAATGCCAAATTGAACTTATTTTACCTGTTGAATCATCCCATTCCTTCACTCATTCAGATCTTATGAAATACATATCTAATATTTGCGAGGCATATAGCAAGATAGACTTATCAGTTGCTCACAAAGATCAGACTATATATGTCGCATTCACAGACAGCAGTTCCACTATAGTTTATTATAAGATGAGTAATGGACTGATAGAACCTGATGAGGTTGGTGATGATAATGCAGAAGTCGACTGCCAAGTGAGATGGAAAAGGAACAGCAAAAACAAACGAAATAAACGTTGATATTTTGGGCCACATTCATGTTGTTTGGAAGTTTGCATTATGTTAATGAATGAGAATGTTTGTTGTATTATGAAAGCCACTATCATTTTCATTGACATTTTATGTCATGTGACAAATTATTCTCTAATGTTTTTTTTATTGGTAATGTACGTACAGATTAGGAACCAATACATTCTTTGTGACTATCAACAATTTTTAAATCAACAAATATTTACAACATCTAATTTACAATAACCAACTTTACTTGTTTAACAATGAAAATGCATACTTTTTACATCAGTTTGCAGTTAGAGTCAGACATTTGAAGACATTGTGAGTTATGTAATTCAGAGAGAAATGAACTCTTATGACACAGAAACATTGAGCATAACAAGAATCTAGCTTTTGGACTGGTAGAAAAGAATATAGCCTGAATCACTTGATTTGTGACCACCAATTGTTAAACCATAAAATTCTTCAAATGTTTGAGGTTCAATTTTCTAAAAAAGAATCGAAATAGTTAATTTTGCAGCACCTACAGTTCTTGTAGATCTTGGTGGCATTCACATACAATTATGTATAATGAAAGTGTTATTTCATCCCTCAGATGAGGGAATATTGCTAGTGTACTAACGTGTGCAAACAGAAAAGATTTAACTGAATGCATGACTTTTTAATGAGAGGAAAACTTGTATGGATTGAAGCTGGTTTAAAGTAAATGGTTTGAACCCAGGAGTATTGTTACATGTTTGTAGATGTAGATCATCCAGGTTAGTATATTCCTGAGAAGGACTGTTTTTCTTGTTGTTGACTGACGTTTTGACAACCTTAGCGGTAGTCATTTTCAGAGTCAAATGAGGAGTAAACGTTATGTTAGCCGTATTTGTTATCTGGTTCTCATTGTCCTACAAACGTCAGTCAACAACAACAAAAACAGTCCTTCTCAGGAATATACTAACCTGGACGATCTACATCTACAAACATGAAGCTGGTTTTATACATAAATCATGACACCACAACATGACGACAATAAAAACACTGTGAAAAAAAGTACGCTTGTTAACTAACATACCTCGACAAGATCGTCGTCAAATAAGAGCCAAAAATCATGACTTTTCACAATGCTTATATAATGTCCACGATTTGGCCCACTATAAGACAAACGACGAGAAACATAATACCATGAGAACTAGATATTTAACTATAAACTTGCAATAGTAATGTAATAAAAACTTTTTGCACTATGCATATATTTTACGCTGTAGTTAGAGGTACGACATCGGATCTTTAGTTTTTACGGTTAAGTTGATTGTTTTACGTCGATAAGTAGCTAATATGGAGCCATACATGTAATGGGTCTTGATACATAATCATGTGTTTTCCTATAAATATGGTCAAAAATAAAAACGCCAAGAAAAAAATCGCATATACATAATTGCACGACTTGCTGTGATTGTAATATTGATGAGCACAACACTAAGTCCAAATGGTTGCTTAAAATAAAGAAGCGAAGGACAGGATTTACGTTCGCAACATTACAGTTCCACAACTCAGATTTAGCCCCCAGACCTAAAAATTCTTGCTGAGGTATTGAAACTAAAATTTAACTATCCTGGAACATTCACTCCAAACCATTTTATCTATGTTCACTAACCGTAAGTAATGTGTCCCTACTTGACTTTCTCTTATCGTCCAAGTTGACCAATCATTCACTTACCTGCCACAATGTACGACAACAGCGACGAGATCATAAAGTCTGTGAGGATTGCATGCATCGTCCGACTACATCGAGAAACAGAAATTCACAGAGCATCAGTTTTCAACAATCAGTCATTTAAAACGTTTTGAATGGTATATAGCTTAGATCTTAATCTAGAAACAATCTAAAATACTTATTGCTATGAAGTCGTGCGAACTTTTATTTAAATCTACAAATGTCATTCTCTGCAAACTTACAGTGTTAAAGAGCCGTAATTCCAACGGGAAAACAACTCTATAAGACAACTTGGTATAACGATTAAGATGCTCCACGTATTTAAATCGTTTCAAATGCAGCGCCAATATTTTCGGAAGTTTCTTAACCCTCATCCTATAGAACAGAGAAATAAGCAATCCATTATGACGTAATGTCTGAAGGAAACAAAGCAATAATATAGCTAGATCACATAAAATATAATTAATGGCATGCTCTATAATGAAACTTATTGCTCTTAAGAAATTTTTGAAGAAACATTTCTTTTGACAACGATAATTCTTTCTGAGATTGCATAGGAAACCATTATATGAATGTTGAATGACGACAGTCGACAGTCTACGAACCTCTTTTGCGCCTCCTGTTTACTTTTACAAATTTCACAGAAATATTTATGTTCGCTACACAATGTTTCAGTCGAGGAAAAACCCCTAAAAAATGGTGCAGATTGCTATGACACTTAAAGCATAGAGAAAAATTCAACAAACTGCAAGTAACGTACCTTAGACAGTGAGTTATAGACGTATTTTGATCCACATCTACCGAGAGATCCAAAAAAGATTCATCTTTGCTGCTTACCTAGAAAAACAAAGTCAATGGAAGGATGAAATAGCAAACTTATTGCTGTTTGATTTGATCAATATTCAGGGGGGGCTTCTAATTATGACAAGCCTTGGTGAGCATGCTTTGACAAACTGTCGTGTGCCTGCACACAAGCACTATGCATGACTTTGATAAGCAGTTGTGGTGATGCACACACAACTCATGACTTTGACAAGCAGTTGTGGTGATGCACACACAACTCATGACATTGACAAGCAGTTGCGGTGATGCACACACAACCCATGACTTTGACAAGCAGTTGTGGTGATGCACACACAACCCATGACTTTGACAAGCAGTTGTGGTGATGCTCACACAACTCCTGACTTTGACAAACAGTTGTGGGGATGCTCACACAACTCATGAATTTGACAAGCAGTTGTGGTGATGCACACACAACATGACTTTGACAAGCAGTTGTGGTGATGCTCACACAACTCCTGACTTTGACAAACAGTTGTGGGGATGCTCACACAACCCATGACTTTGACAAACAGTTGTGGTGATGATGACTTTGACACACACACACATGACATTGACAAACAGTTGTGGTGATGCTCACACAACCCATGACTTTGACAAACAGTTGTGGTGATGCTCACACTACCCATGACTTTGACAAACAGTTGTGGTGATGCTCACACAACCCATGACTTTGACAAACAGTTGTGGTGATGCTCACACTACCCATGACTTTGACAAACAGTTGTGGTGATGCTCACACAACCCATGACTTTGACAAACAGTTGTGGTGATGCTCACACAACCCATGACTTTGACAACAGTTGTGGTGATGCTCACACAACCCATGACTTTGACAAACAGTTGCGGTGATGCTCATTGACCAGTTGTGATGCTCACACAACATGACCAAACAGTTGTGGTGATGCTCAAACAACCCATGACTTTCAAAAAGAGTTGTGGTGATGCTCACACAACCCATCACTTTGACAAACAGTTGTGGTGATGCTCACACTACCCATCTTTGACAAACACTTGTGGAGATGCTCACACTACCCATGACATTGACAAGCAGTTGTGAGGATGCCCACAATACCATTGACCATGACAAAGAGGGCAGTGAGAAGCCAAGTGCCTACACTATTTATCAGGGGCAAAGTCAGCTAGCAAGTCTAGTGGTGCTATGTATGTAGTTATTTTGACATTCACTGTAAAATCAATGGATTTCTAAAGAAATAAATAATGCAAATGATCAAAAACGTACAAAGCACGAGCAAGTTTGTGGGTTGGCAATACAACATTATTATTAGAGTGTCAGCATTATGAGATAGTTGATTTAGAAAAAAATATTATTTTGATTTTACATACTGTTTCACAAGACAAACAGCGTGTTTCATTTGTTAGAGTTCCTTCAAATAACTCATGAATCCATGTTTCTTCGTGACTCTGTGGTACATTACTGCTACTTGCCATTGATGAGCTAATGGTCCCATTGCTTCTGCTACTGGCTGTACTGCTAACACTTCCATGTCGTACAAGCTTTTCTTTTTCTTTTTGCTTTTCACCTAAAATTTCAACGAAACAACAGTTGCAAGATACACTTACAGAACACAAAAATGTAGAAAACATAATCATAGAGAGTACAAAAAGTTTTTGGGCTTACTTTGCAATAAATCTCCAATTGTATTTAAGAGATAATTTAAAAATTCATGAGCATCTTGTTGCATGTAGTTATCAAAAACATCTAAATGATAAAGCAAAGTATACTTAAAAAATGAAAAATATCAAGGAAAATGCAAAAAATTTACATTAAAAACTGCATTTTGTACAGTATGTATCTCATGAGATTACTTATGGGGAAAATTATGACAGAAACTTCCTCCTTTCCTCACCATTTTCCTTTCTTAATCTTGCAACAAACTTTTTGGGAGCTAAAACTCCAACCTTTCTCTTTTGTGAAGATATGTTTCCAAACAAGTCACTGAGGCAAGTAAGCAACGTCTCTTTCCGTTTATTCTGTGGTTTATATGCAAGAACTTTATCTCGAAATGGCTGACAAAAGTAGAGTGCTTGAAGAACCGAATTGCAATAACATGTGTTGCCAAACTAAAATTGAATAAAAAATTCATTTGACATGAAGCTAAAACATTGCAAATGACAGCTTCAGAATATTGAACACAAGGAAGTGAGCACATCAATATCTTGCTAGCAAAATCAGCATAATACATCAAAGACATTGGCAATTCTGAACTTGATCATTTGCTCTTTCACTTTGAAACTTTAAGGATGGAACAAGTTGTATAAGGATTACAATGATTCTACTGTTTGGAAATGTTAAGAAAGGAATGTAAAGTACATAATGATGTGCAAAATGTGCAAGAACAGACATCTCGAATTATGTTAAATGATGTGCTATCTCGTAATTTTCTTCTGTTAACCTGCTAAGTAAAATTATACTTCACAATATCAGCAGAATGACTCACATTTACAAGTCCAAAATATTTCTCGTTTATAGGAAACTCTTCGCCAATTTCTTTTTCCAATTGCGATGAATTCACTCCCTAGAGTTTGGAATTACAGGCGAAAATCCAGTCACAAATTGTTAAGCACATATTTGCACATTTTTCAAGATTCTACATCAAAACTAACTTACCATGGCTAAACAGCTCTTCATCAGGGCATAAGTTGAAAAGTTCTACAAAATTTGCCAGTTACGTCGAGAGAAAAGACATATTTTGACTTTGAAAATTGAAATTACTTTATAGTTTAGTTAGACTTAGACAAAAATCGTGAAATTTCATGATTCGTTAACGGATAGTGTACCTCGTTATCCCTACTTGACGTATCGAAGACAGTCAGGGATAATTATGTATTTGATGTGGCCACGTATATCCAGTGACCACGTATATTTTAGTCGACGTTACATTTTCCAAATCTTTCAGAAAAGAGACTTCACACAATTTTCAACAACAACATTAGCTTAAAGATGTAGGAAGCGTGAAGCTGACAGCATCAGGTATTCCCTGCCCGTGAGTTGGCTTTGAAAGTGATAGATGAAATGTCTTAATCATATTATCCACACCCGTAAGTCAAGCAGAGATCTACAATAAAAAGCTGTGCCATTTAATCGCTATTCCGGTTATTACAAAACAATCCTTCAAACGAAGGTAGGGTAAGCAGTAAAACAGTATTAAATTTTTCAATTGACAGGTGGAGAAATGGGCTAGTCGAACTTTTTGCAATGTCAAAATGTCGCCCTTCATTCCAACACAAAGGGCGTGTTTAATTTCTAAAAGCATTGGTTCAAAATAGCAACAAGAAATGAAAATATTCTCTGGGATACGGAAACACAAACTAAAAAAAAGAAACGTTACGTTATCAGAGAACTATAATTTAGCAGACGTAACTGTATATTTACACGTGTTTTATGAATCCTCTGGGATTTTCAACAACTAGCAGATCTTATAAATCATATGTATTCGTACAGTCGAATTTTGTCAATTTGAGCAAAAATTCCACACATGATACTGTGTTTCGTTAAATCATTCATTTATCTATTTTGCTACGTCCTAATTTGCATCGTACCGATGAATTTGGATTTTTTTACTTGTGTCATAAGCTATGTAAACTAATACGAATAAATAAAATCCAAAATTACATTCGGACCATTATATCTAAACTCTACTCGAAACTATATTTTATACCTATTTGCATCTCCGAACATTTACTGTGGTTTCTTTAGTAACAACTTTCACGTTTTTCGAAGCGCTCCGCAAATTCTTCCGTTTCATTCTTGAAGCACATTTCGACGAAGCATCGTGATTTGCATTACACTCAGCAGACTTTGGAATTTCTGCTCTTTTCGACGACGAACTTTTTGTCCTAGCTGAAAATATTAGTAAATTTTTTATGACAGCAGTAACGTACTCAACTCTAATTCGCTAATTGTAATTTTCAAAGACTTTTTAGTGAAAATCGTCTAAAAAAAACCCATTTATTATTCTTTATAAACTGTACTCAAAACATTTTTTGTTTTTTACATAGCAAAAAATGTGTAAATTGGCATCGTAATCCATTGTGAATAATGCTACACTGCTGCAGTTAAAACAAAGCTACTATCTTAAGACTTTGAAATTTTCAGCTTATACTCCATGGTGATTATCTTGAAATTACGTATCAAAACTTAATGCGAGTTATTGAAGGAAATTGCAAACAACTGAATAATTAAATAATTAATACTGGATTAATACTGAATAATTAATACTGGATTTTGAGCTATGTTGGATAGTTTAAATTATCCTACCTGACGAAAGTTTGCACTCGGCTTTGTGTCGAGATTTCCACGCTTTCATTTTGCAATTTCGACTACAGAAGAAAACTTGCTTACAGCGAGTGCACGAGGAAAGGCGAACAGCTAAGGAACGACCACATTCGTAACAATAACGAAAGCGACATATGCTTATTATTTGCCGGTTGTTGCTCGAGTTGAGCGATAGTTGAGAGATGTTCATGACGTCAACAGACGAATAAACGACAGTAACACGCAATCCACAATCTGAAAATCGACCATCGCTGAACGAAACACGTGACATAGTTTCAGAACTTTCATCAAAAGTTGACGCCTGTTATGGAACAACAACAATAAGAAGCAAAAATTTGTAACGCGTAAAAGAAGCATCTCGTTTATAAATGAAACAGAAGAAAACTTCATTGAATCAAATGAATCAATCACTCAAAGAAATAAATAATAAAAAGTGTTATCTACAACCACATTGAAGCTACTTTACGACTTTATCAGCAATGTATGATAAAAAAAACTATCATTAGACAAATCTACAGTATACATACCAAAATATTTGAAGGGTTCGCTTTACTTTTGCCATCCTCCATTACGGTTTCGTCCAAGTGAAAACTCAGTGGACGATCGATGTGTTTCTTGTGTATGTCCTTGCAAGATTCCATCTTCAGCGCTATAAGCAAAAATAACTAGCATTCCTTAAATCATCCATTGTTAAAATAAAGATTCTATAATTGAGAACATGGTTTATTTTATTCAATGAAGAGAAGGAACTTGGGTATGAAGACTTGACTCGTTATTTCCGAAGAAAGGCAGAATCAAATAATACAACGGACTAATTTAACTTCACGTAAAAACTTATTCCTTTTGTATTGTTGTATTTAGATATGTAACAAAACATATACAACGGACATTTGTCGAACGTAATCTTTGAAAAATTCCGATGATTCTGATACATAAATGAAGCAAAGTACGTATCATCAGCACTTCCAATTTGCATGAAATATTTACAATCCACTCACATCTTGCACAAGATAATTGTTCTTCGAGTAGTTTCTTTTCCCTCTTCAGAACGTGCGCTCGAAGTAAATCTGCCAGATGATCAAGCATCTTTCGTCTAGACTTTAAAACTTTTCTTTCATATGATGACAGCGAATGATACGGCGTTTTAGATATTCTTTGATCCTGCAACACAGAATCGGGATCATTCATGTAAAAAGTTGTGTTGTAAACATAAGGGAAGTCAGGTAATCCATCTGAGTGAAAACCACATACAACAAAATAGCATCTTCAAAGTCAAATACTTATTCTGAAGGCCTCAAAAGTGCAAAAATTACCTAGCAAAAGTCATGCTTTAAAGGAGATTTTATATTGTGAAGAAATTGATAATTATTGATAAGTAAATACTTCCATTGACAATGTTGTGGAGGAATTGATAATTATTGATAAGTAAATACTTTCATTGACAATGTGGAGGAATGGATAATTATTGATAAGTAAATACTTTCATTGACAATGTAGTGGAGGAATAGATGATGGTTGATAAATACTTTCATTGACAATGTTGTGGAGAAATGGATGATTGTTGATAAGTAAATACTTTTATTAACAATGTTGTGGAGAAATGGATGATTGTTGATAACGTTAATACTTTTATTAACAATGTTGTGGAGAAATGGAGAAAAGTTGATAACGTTAATACTCTTATTGATAATGCAGTGGAAGCATGGATAATTGTTGACAAAGCAAAGATTTTTAGTGATAATGCGCTGGAGGAAAGGATAATTGTTGATAGGGTGCATACTTTTATTGACAATGTTTACCAGGTGAATTTTGAATTATTCAATAGTAAATCTGACAGTCACAAACCTGATAAAAAACGTTGTACGCATAATCCACAACTGTGCCAGGTGGCCATTTATCATTGATAGTAATTGGAGCAAGGATATTAGCACCGTTTCGTATCAAATTGTTCACCTGTCGTATAGAGACAAACAAAAACACGTAGGCATGTGAATTAGATTGTAGTTTAATTTACAATCTTTGTATAAACAACATCTCTTGCATTGAAATGAAGCCATATTTGACTTTACATGTATACCAGGCGAATTCGGTCGACAAATTTCCGTCGTTTCTCCGCAGTAAATGAAATTGCTGCACATAAAGACGACCCAACACCACACTTTAAAGGTAAACTAGCATCAGCTTCATGTTCGAGGAGAGTTTCCACAGCCTGGAAATGAGAGTCAAAAAATCAACACATTTAGATACAGTCTTAATTACCAAATAACCCTTATTGACACTGACCATGTTTATGAAAGCAATGAAAGAAAATAATAACAAGACAAAACAATGCATGCTCACCAAATCATTACCACTTCCAATAGCAAGTGACAATGCAGAATGACCGTTACATAACATATTTGGATCAGCTTCATATTCCAACAAAAGTTTGATGACATGATTTGCCTTCTACAGTAAAAAGACAACACATGTTTACAACGTCAAGTAGAATCACCCGTATTGAGACGCCACCCACTTCAGAAAATTTTATTTAAGCTACACATCGTACGCGAAATCGCTTCTCTTTATCCATTGGCGGTTACAAGGGGAGGGACTCCCCGATAATTTTGATAGATTAAAAATCCTACGCCAAATCCCTCCAATTACACCTACATAACATAACTGTAATGTTAAACAATGACTATTTGATAGATTTCTCTACAGTACACGTACCAGCAGACGCATTAAGCCATGTGTGTGTATGATTAGTGTATGTAGGAATACTTAAATTGCACTTCTGAGGATCAAAAGCCCCATGATCTCCTTAAAAATCACATGCCTTGAGGACGAGCCCCCTCGACCACCCCCTCCAATATTTCATAAAGTGTCCGCCACTGCCTTTATCATAAAAATATGGATTCTTAACTCATTTTTCAAGCGATATAATACGAATCTATTTTAATCAAAAATTTTTGAACATGTCCTACTTCATCGTCATCCTCCCGACAACAAGCTGTGTGCAACGGTGTGCGGCCATTCTCTACGCCAGTAAATGCGAAATCCCTCATATTAGGATCAGCTCCAGACGTCAGCAACAGTTTCGAAATAGTAAAAGAGTTAGACGGCAACGCAACAGCAATGTGCAACGGTGTTATACCTAGTTGCTAAACGAAACAGAGAAATGAGAAAATGTCGAAAACAATTGCTTTCTACATGATAGAAATCTCGCTGTGAATTTACTAAATGATGTAACTTATAACTACCTCTGACGACAGTCGTGCGTTTGGATCCGCGCCTTTTTCAAGCAAGAGCGCCACGACCGGTGCATCAGCAGCTTTGATGGCAAAAAATAAAACAGGCATTGGGAGTGAGGATGCATTGGGGCTTGCTCCACGCTTTAAAAGGAGTTGTACGGCAGCTTCCAAATGTGGACGCCTGCAAATACACTGTACAAATATAACAGGAAACAACGCGTTGTTTGCAAATTAAGAGTTGTATAAGCTATATAATTTTATTTTGTTAAGCAGTAGAGAGAACTGTACAATGTATGTGTTGTATGAAGCAAAGATTGTTTAACACGAGAGAAGATAGTATGAACTGCACAAGGGGAAAGGATCTACGATGGTTTTTGTGGAGGATGTTTTGGCTGGATAAGATTTCGGTGGCCAATTGTCGTCGTACCATATTACACTTTTTTGTCAAATACTGTACCTTTTTTATTAAATACCCTTTTATTATGATTGGAAGTGTGCGTCATTAAACGCTAATCACAAATTTAATTACTTGGTAGAATTAGTATTTTGTTAGAGATTTGGAGCCCCTCTCGCAGCCCATCCAGCGAAAGCTAAGAAGGCCGAACACCTCCGCACCCTTTCAGTAAATTCATCTCTGTGTACTGTAGCACTGATTACATGATAGACAATAGTTGAAAGAAATATGGACTGGGTATATGTAATTGGACGTATTGTACAGGAATACGAACTGTATAAGTACTACAATGTGTAGCAATATGCATGGCTTGCCGAGTGGTACGGATCTAGCTGGCTCACATATGGCGGAGTGTCGAAGTATACCAGTAGTTAATCATTAAAAATTGTAAAATAGTATGGATTATAATGGTACGAATGGTATATGGATGTGTAGAAAGCAGTATGGATTCTTTGGGGATTAATTTGTTCATAAGCACGAGTGCTAATTTCTTGAGCGCTAAAACACGTACCACAGAAGAATATCAGAATTGAAGAATCATCTGCAGTTAAAGTAACTCGCTCAACACATACCTTTGTTGGGCAAGTAGTCTTTTCTTGCTTTGCTTACAGCTGTTTAGACTATCCGTCTCATCGTCCGTGAATGGTGACGACAACGAGCTGCTGATGACGTTTTGTAAACTGTATTGCAGTGATTGCTCTCCATCTTCACAAGATGAAGTAATGTTCAAATCACTTATCTCTAAGGAGCTGCAGTTTTCGACATGAGACGGATTATTTTCGTGACAATGTTTTAAACTGGGGGAGGTTCTTCCACTTAAAAAATCATAAATGAACAATTGTTTATCTATTGAATCAGGAGAATGGTTTGTCCATTTTTTCATCGAAGGACTTTTATCGACAAATCTACGGTCCGTGGAGAACATTCTGACATCAGATTCATCGGAAAACTGAGCGGATTTCAAAGTATCATTGAGGCGAGATTTTGTATGACGGGGGCAAAAACACTTCATTTCATCAGCAATTGGATAGAGTTTTTTTGTTGAAGGAAACAACTGATCACTTTCCCGGGATTCGTAAAGTTCAAGTTTATCTCTAGTGTGAACATCCATCTTAAAGTTTTTGTGAATATCACGTTTAATTTCCAACGGTTTATTTTCCACCTTATTTCTTGAAATGGAATTTCTTGAATCAGAAACCCTTTCGTCGTCGTGATAGACTGGCTTTCGTTGTATGAATGTACCATTATCCGTGTCCCAACGCACACTATTTAATAGATTCTCTTTACTTAGTGTTTCGCCAATATTTTTCTTCCATGTGTGTTTTGTATAAAATAGAACATGACAAGCAGCAAGCGGTGATAAACCTTCATAGTTCAGTTTGTTTATATCCGCTCCATAATCAAGCAAAGAATTGATGACATCTTTGTGGCAATTTACCTAAAATTATTGCTCAACAATTACATCATATCTTCAGATGACAACATATGCATGACTGCATACGGAGTAAATTGACCATGGAATAGAGCAAGACTGATTTTTCCCCATCTTACATTAACAATGGTTAGAAATAAGTAGTTATTAAAATAATTTAAAATGGGGTGTACATGCTACATTTTAGGTGTCGATGTCAGTATGGGCAGAACATTGATATTTGGGAGGGGGAGGGGTGCTGTATTCTTGTATTCATATTTTGTAATCCGTAAACACAATTGATTTCAATAGAAACTAATAAAGTAAAACATGCATGTATGAATAATACCCCCTCCCTCAAAAAAAATTATCAATGTTCCGCCGCCTTGGTCTTGGTGAAATCACTAACACCACTGTAATAATCATATGCCATATATTATTTATAAAAATTATTAAAAACTCCTTATTTTATATCTCAATAAAACGTATCTAGGCACCCTTGCACAAGGGAATAGAAAGATCAGTAATTGAGAGGGGGGGGTTCATATTTAACAAATACATGTTATAATCCATTGAAAAAAATAGATTTCAATGGAACTGAACACTGAATGTCATGCATATATGAATATGACCACACACCCCAACTATCAATTGTTCATGCCTTTGCATTAAGATGACATTAAGTTCTGCCAGTGTAAATCTATGCATACAATGATTCAATTTTTATTCTAGATTAAATACACACACACATACCGAAGCAGCAAGTAATGCCGTAAAACCTGTTTTATCAGCAACATCAACATGAACCAATCCTTCCTCAAGCAACTCAATGACTCGCATCCAATCACCATCACCAGATGCTAGAAGAAGCTCTTCACTAGCTAACTCACATGGACCTTTTTTATGATTAGAAAAATTCCTCCCTCCATTGATAATATCAGAAAGAAGAGACATTTCAGATACTTTCTCATGGAGTAAGAATGAATCTTGTGTTATCTCATTCTCTTCAATGTCCATGAATAATGGAGATTCAGAAATGGCTGAATTCACTTGTCTAACATTCAATGGAACATTATTTCCAGCATTGACAACATATTCAGAAAAATGTTGAAATAAGAAAGCATTGTTCATAACAATACATAATTTGATCAATTTTTCCCCATGCCATAAGCCAATGTCTTGTGCACCATTATTATAAAAAACTACCCCGGGACCATTTCGTTCATCATTTTTGTACATACCCTGAAAATATGGAGCATATGAAAATATGGAGCACATGAAAATGTAACCATAGCAGAAACTAATCAAACATTTAACTTTTAAAGTGCAAACCTTAAATTGTTTTAAATCTGAAAAATGAAAACACCCGTATCCTTCCTTGTGATCATGAGAGAAATTTCCCTCAAAGTGAGTTCCATTGGGCCAAAAATATCTCCCTTTTCCATGTCTTTTGTCATTTGCAAATGTACCTTCATATACCTAAATGTAGTATGTATATCCTGAATTCTACATTTACAACACTCTCGTGCTCAGATGTTTACTTGATTCGCAAACAATAAAATTTGCAAAAAAGCAACAAATAGATAAGATGAAGAACATTTGTTTATCACAAAAAAAATCTTAAACATTTTGTAGTCAACAGACACTGCCATGAAATTGGACCTGGGAAAAGTGGGGGGCTTAATTGGCTGCTAAGACTTGGATTTATCAAATTTACTGCATCTCAGTACAAATGATTCTTTGTACACAAGAGAACGTTGACATGCATTATCTCCCTCTCTTTTCAATGTCATTAGACTCATTGTAGTAATAAAACTGTAATATAATTCAATAATTACGAAATGCAGAGCTAGGTTTTCATGCATGCAATTGAAGATAAAGAAAGTACACTTCGTTCATAGCCAAATCATTTAACGTATCTGCAAATGACTCATCAAGTTTTTTAAGATCAATTTAACAAATAAAGCAGTAATTCTTTTAACGTGAATGCAATATAACGATTAACGACCACTTAAAATTTGATCAAACATTGTTTACTAAAGTTATCCTTATTGTTTGACAACTAAAGTTGCTTCATTGCGTACCTCGCCATTTGCCCAAGTATGTCGACCATGGCCTTCTCTTAAGTCACACCGAAATTCTCCGATGTACGAAGAACCATCAGGCCATTTTTGCTTTCCTCTACCATGTCTTCGATTCTCAAAAAACTCACCATCATAGGAAGCTCCGTTAGCCCACGTAAAAATACCGTGACCACTTCGTTTCTGATGCGATGCACGAGTGTCTTTCTTCACTAATGTACTCGAATTGAGTTTGTCAATTTGACTACAGGTAAGCGTGCATTTTGCTATCATCCTTTTTTCACGTTTAACAGAGAAAAAAATTTAACTTCAATAGTCTTAAAAGTAACGTTTGTTGTAACCATATCGACAGTTTTCGTACTTTCAATACATCGACCCATTCATTGACAAGAAAAATAGACCAGTAAACACAATGAGAATTAACCAATCATAGAACAGGGTTTTAACCGATAGATTATACTTGCAGTACGACTTGGTTGGTCTTGGTTTCAATTGGTGTATAGGAAAAGAATAAAGTTAATTTTATATTACATTGCAAGACAGACAGGAACGTGTGGTGAAGACAAAGCAAAGCTTAGATAGTGTCATACACTGGGTCACGAATGGTTCAAAGCATTAAAGCGCCTGGATTAGTTTGATTTCAATGCAATAAAACTTAACAAATCATTTAGAAGAATATTTATTTGAGATTCATCAAAATATATTACAGTTCGTTTCTCTCTGCCTGATTTTTTTAAATTTTTTATTTTGCGTTTTGTAATATATAAATTATTTATAAACATAAAATAATAAAAATGCCACAAATGATTTGAATAAGAGCAACGCAGACATTTTTATGTCATTGGATCCACCACATTTATAATCAGCTTCCTGCGAAAAAACAATGTTGCGTATCAAATATCAATCAATAATCATCTTCTGTTTTCCGAGTTTTCCTGCACTTTTTGTGGAAGCATGTAGATAACTGATTCATTTAAATTTTACGCCAACATATAGTAAATGCATGGCAAATTACCGAGCTCGTAGACTTGAAACATCTCGATACAAGCTGTCGATATTTATCTTCACGACAAACTGAATTTTCTACATCCTTCTCTGTTTGTTTCATTGTGAAAAGTTAAAGGCAATTGCTTTTGAAATGTCTTAGAAAAAAAACTACCATGTTGAACACAATGGAGCAAGCTCAGTTGCTGCTCAGTTTCGCGAGTCTTCATTTGACCAATAAGAATGAAAAGTAGAATATTAAAGTGCTTACAGATGATCAACAATTCAAAACTGTGAGCTAGCAAAGAATTTGCCCAAGATTCAACTTATATCACTTAGCTTTGAATCAGGCTTCTTTGCTCGATGACATGTATAGCGCTGCACTGTTATAGGAACTTTTTCAATAGTGTTGTAGTTAGATTTTCTCCAAGAAAATGAAATCTTTAAAGAGACGTTTTTGCTTTTTAAGAGAATTTTAAAACAATCGAAAGACTTAGAATGCAATGAATAGCACTAGCGCAGTTGCACACCAGACCCAGTTGCCAGAGATTCAAATAAAAATAATACGTTATTGTGAAAGGAAATAGAAAGAGAATTCGTATAATAAAAAAGAATGTCCGTAAACAAAGGATATATTCTTGAGGTTCACCAGGAACATCTTTAGTATTACCAAATGCAGTACATAATCCATCCACAATGACAAGATAAAGGTTAGTTTTAGGAACGTTTGAAACGACAAATGATCTTTGGCAGTACCGACTGTAGCAGCTACAATTTACTCTACCTAAAGAAAGTTGGAATAAATAGCTTGGCTTAACCTGCCAATGAAGCATATATTAGCCAACTGGTTGCTTGTGTAAGTTGTGTTCACATCTATTGATTTAACTGATAATTTTTGATGCTAATGTTCAATATATTAAGTATGAACCAGTATATATATACATATACATAAAGGTAAAGGACAAAAATGTGACCACACCATCGGCATTATAACGACATATCCACATACAAGGCAGCATGTATAATTATATATGTATAAAAATAAAAGTTTCTCCGGATTGTATAAAATGATTTTATTGAGCTTTTAACTCGGTGCTTCGAGCCTTATTATGTATGTATACTTTATAGCAGTAAGAATTTTTACCAACTAAATTTAAAATATATTCTTAAAAACAAAAAGAAATATTCGTATCATTTATATTGCAAAATAACAACATGTATGCTCATAAATAAAACACCATTATAAACAAACCTTGTTTTGTCATATTTTCATCTTTAATTTCTGAGTAATATGCAGTCATCTCCCAAATGCAACTTCGAGTTTTTTGCTCAACTTTTGTTTGGGCTATGTTAAAAAACAAATTTATAGACTTCTGTAATATATATTGTAAATATATATTTGATACAAAACAGTTTTAAGCGAATAAAAAGTACTCAATACCGGATTAGAGCATAACTTTACAAATAAAGTAATCACAATTTTATAACGGTCAGAGTAGTACTATTATATGTAAGTGTGTTTAATGGGCAAAATTTTTCCAATGATGGTTTCAAGATAGCAGAATTTAAGAAAAAATTGTCTGACTTGACACGGTGACTCTTACAAAGTGGCCACGGGAATTCAATTCAAAACTGGAGCACCCCACCATCAAAAAAAATCTAGCATCCGTCCTAAATATGTATATATAAATAAATAAATGCTGAGAAGTTTAATAAGAACAATTGAAAATCTTCGAACATTAAAATGGATTCTAAAGCATACATTAAGCATGTGCAGGGTTGAAACTGCACCAAAATGCTTGAAAATTTGTTCATGAGATTATTTTAAAAATAAATCATAACAACTTGAGCAAACTTTTACAATGGCGAAAGTATTTCTTTAATGCACGGACGGATTTACTGGGGTTCAGGGGGGGAGGGCGTCATTCCACAAACATCGGATTTCACCCCACTAAATAAACTGTTCACTCATCTAAGAACATTTTAACCATCCCCACCCCTCTAATTTTTCGCAAAAGAAATTAGTGGTACAGTAGAAAGGACTTTTTCAGGTCAAAATTTAAACTTTCTACACTAACTTCTATAGGACTTAGCTAGTGATTCATACTATCGTTTCTTTTTTCACCTGAAACAAACGATGATCCACTGTACATCCAACTAAAACAAAAAGTTTGTGTATCATGTTATACAAAATACAGCAAAGATATTTCCAACAAGCAATGAGAACAACATGAAAAACTTACTTGTATACATTAAAGTTGGCTAGTATCCTACAAAAAATAATTAATGATAAGATGTTAATAAAGTAAACATCAAACATAGGAAAATGTCTCCAAACTCCTATAGCCAAAAAACAATGTAACTAAAACGCATAACTTTAATGTGTTTCAAATGTTTTGTTTACGAGAGAAACGTTCATGGTACATCAAAAATATTTTTCCTGCATAAAATATCTTTTTAAAAGAACTTCTTTCTAGGTTTATGTAATGAAGAAAGAAAAGAGGCTAGTAAACTGAGCTTACCAAACTGCCTTGGCAAAGCACCATTTTATGTAAGATGTAACAGAAAAGAATGATTGCAAGAACTGAGCTCCACTTGTGGAACTTACAGTATCCGTACATTTTCCTTGAGGGTTCTTTCTAGTAATTCTACAGAAACGAAAGTGACATGAGTATCCTGATTTATTTATTTTGTTTTTTCTGTTATTCAAAAAAGCATAAAAAGAAATAGAAAGTATTCTTGTTTCGCACTTTGTGTAAATCGTTGTATTTTCTCCAGATATCAACTGCTCCATAACTTCCCGATTAAGCTTACCAAAAAATTGTCCGGTCGCATTCTTCAACACAAATAATAACTAGGAATCACGTTAAGTTGCCAAAGAAAAACGCATGAATATTAAAGCACGCTCAGTTTTATCATACTCCTGAGAATGTTATATAGTAGTTAAAAGTTTCCTGCTTACTGAGTTCATGTTAGAAGCAACTACGAAAGCATTTTCATCCAGAAGATAACAATAAAACTCGGCATCCTAAAAATAATCTTCATAATTTTGTGGAATGAAAAGCACCAGAAGTCAATAGAATGAAGAAAATTTTATAGACCGTAGTCAAATAGTTGAACATTGAGCGATAGAGCAATGTTGTGAATGCGAAATCATGCACGGATATATACAAAAATTTAACATAGCAAAATGGATAAGTGCTATAGTACCTCATCGTCGAATTGACAAAGTTCCTCCATTCCCTGCACAAAAATGTACAGCAAAGTAAAAATGACAACATAAACATACAAATAAATTCATAAAGTTCTTCCTTACCTGTATGGTCGAATTAAAGAAATAATTTTTTTGAAACTGTGCATGATTCATGACAAATCCAACACTACACAGCGAAGCAAAAACATTCATACCAAAAATACCTTGATGACGGGCATTTATACAAATGTAAGTTGAAACAAAGAACAAAAAACACAATAAAGATATGTGTGCTACATTTTTGCGTTATTTATCTGTTTAAATTGTATCTCACATGTTATTTGTTTCCATTTACCTCCCACATTCACAACGGTTCCAGAAGCATTGTCGGACATTTTTCTGTAACCTGTTATGTTTATTTCATGAGTATTTTCTTTTCCTATGCAAGCATGTGTAAAGCGTTAAAAAAAACCTGAAAAACATGGAAAAAATTTCGTGGTCCAGCCATTGGTCCCAGCACTTTAAAATTATTCAAACATGGATGATAGTAACGGAAGTGATTAAATCTTTTTATAAATTCACGTTCACTTTTTGGTAAAGACAACAGTGTCATAGGATAGTGGAATAAATACGAACCAGCAGCAAAGACAAAATACAAGTCAAATCTGGACGCTTCCATCTACTAAAACACTACCTGAATTATATGGTATTGTAAAAAGTGTAATGTCATCAGGATATCCATGGAGGCGAAGAAAGATATCTTTATCTGGTTGAAATGTCCAGCCAGACCTTTACAAAAAATTAAACCATAACAAACTTCATTTAACCTCATCACAGTAGCACAAACCACATCATGAAATCTCTATTCAAGCCTTTACACACAAAAAAGCCTATGATCATGACGGCAGTTTGTATCATATAAGAAGACAACATGCACCGTTAGATAAAACTTCTAACAACTCACTGAGATTGGTTAAAATCACCATCATAAGTTTTGACGAAACGGTTTACGTCAGTCCTACAATGTACATACAAAAAAAATTATTTCCAGCAAAGTTCAGGTGTAAACATCACATAAGCTGACGATCTTATCATATAAAATGATCAACTTACACTGGTTCTTGTTTCCAGTAATTTCTCAAGGAGTCTACAAGGGTTTTGCTGATCATGGAATCATCTAAGACGACAATAACAAAATAATCTATCATTCATACGACTGCAATGAAAACATATCGAACAATAATAACCCTTACTATTTGGGATTATATTCATCAAGTTTGATGGGAATGCAATGCCAGCCCTAAAATCAAAACGACAAGTTTTAAAGATAATTATTCTACTGATCAAAATCAATATAATACTATGCAAATTTTACCAGATAGGTGAATCTTTAACATTGGCGTAATAATAACTCATTCTCCTTTCTTTACTCGATGACCTTCCTATCGGCATTGAAAAATTGGAATTCAACTCATAAATATATTTGAAATTTTATTCGATGAAGAAATATAAGCATTTCATATGTTGATTTATTTTTAATGCTTGTACAAAGGGGTATTACTGAGAATTTTTGATAGAAGATGTTGTATCTCTTCCTGAAAACTATAGTTTGTGAGATAGATATTTTTTCTCATTATCAAAACAAAAATTTAAAATTTCAACTATACATGAACTGTTTCTTTCTTTAACATTTCGCCTGGGTCTAAGTTTTGCAAAGATCGTGCATATATGTTATCTTATCAAGTGTTAACCGTTTTGCCGTCAATAAGATGAAGTTTCACCTAGTTTTGGTGACTTTTACTTGACAATGAAAGAAAATTTGAAGTTATAAATCAACAGCTGTAATTCATGTAATATCATAAGTAACAACGTAGCTACTCAATGGCCAATAAAATCACCACTAAAATGACGGTAAAAAGACAATGCAGCAGAAATTAATTGATATGCGTCGGTAATTCAAAGTGAAATGCATTATCGCCAACTTGCCTGAGTTTGCGAAAATATTGCAGCATCAAACGACATATTTCCAATTTCGTCCTCAGTTTTTAAAATGTTTGCATGAAGCTGTAAGACATTTTGCTTTTTAATTTTATATATAATGTCAGAAAAAGTGAATATTGTGTGTTTCGTACTTTCTCGGGTTCAGTTCCGTTAACATTCCAACTGTACTCAACTTCTGAGAGGTAGATATTTGGAGAGTCCGGTAGGTAGCCAGTCTAATATATATGAAATAATACATCATTAGATATAAATCCCAAACAATGGCATATTGACGTGGCTATATTAAAAAAAACTTACTTCTGTGAAAAATCGAGGGTGTAAGATGACATGTCCATTGTTATCGATAAGAAAGAAATAGCCATAGTTGTCCAGCTAGATTGCAATAAAGAATGAATAGGAATTGTTAAAAAGTCATTTGTACATAAGTGTTTTATTATACGTATGTACAGTTGTTTGCCTGAAGTCTTTTTGCCCTCTTTATTATTTTACACCAAAAACTGCACACACATACAACTTAAACACCTAAAGTATATTTCACACTGTGAATGGTTAAAAAATGCATATGCATAACAGTTATCAAACTTGGTTTTTCTATGATTGTGTTGACGTAGCCACTAGCCAGCACACTTATTTTCAGTTATGCTAAGAAATTTTTTGTTTTTTCTTCACTTAGTGCAAAATCAATACATTTTTAAAGTAATAAGTGATGTGTCGTTTACATGTCGGGATCAAATATGTGGACTGGCTTCGCCGCTGATTTTGTTTGCTGGCTCAAATTTTTTTGGCTGACAGCGCAATAATTCTTGAATCGCTACTTTTGTCAACCTCCAAAAATGTATTATATCATACGTACCGATGCCGAAGTCGACTGTTTCTTTAATTCATTCTGGGAAACATCTATTCCCGCGACTCCCAAAATGTCTGTGAGGAGCTAATGTATATTTCAAATTTACTTAGCATATGTCAACGTAGATAAAAATCTAGTTTCTAGATATTTTCTTTAATTTATAGGAGTCGATAGGGGATAAAAAAACTTAGGTCAAATATACTTAAAGTTAATACATTTGACGTTGATAAATCACTTTATAAAAAATAACTTTGTCTTGTATTCTATTTAATACTAACTGTTCTGTTAGATCTGTCGAATGCTGGCAGAGTTCCAGATATCAACATACCTAAATTCTGAGAAAAAAAAATAAATCATGAAAATATGTAAAATTAGTGATATCTTTATGGGTAGTCATTGTTGCTCAATTTGACAACAAATCCCATTGTATACTTCAAATAAAAAATCTTACATTAGCATCAAGATATACACTGCTCCATATAGGAACTTTTTTGTTTTGTTCACCCATTGGTCTGCTCAGTACGGTAACGTATTCCTAGGCAACAAAACGTAATGGACGCCATGAAAGGTGAAATTTTATTATTAATTTATGTTTTATTGTTGTCCAACGAATAGCAAAGATGCTCATCCGGTACAAGTGACGAGTTCCTATACAAGTCACGTGAGTCATATACAAGTCACGTGAATCATACGAGTAATATAGCTCTTCCAAAAAGCGCCACACCTACAAAAGTGACGAGTGGCTTATTCCGTGGTATCCGATGTACATGTTCCTGTGATGTACACTCCTTCAGGAGCCGGTTGCACAAAGCCTGGAAAACGTTAACCATTTAATAGTAATTTTTTTAAAACTTTTATAAAACGTTTTAAAAAGCAAGAAATATAAGATTCGAACTGAGCAATTACTGAAATAAAATATTGTTTCGAAGACTACGAAATTTTTTCTTCGTAAGACAAAAACAAACACCTTTTTTACAAATTTGAAAATTTGTGCTATTTAATGGATAACGCTATACATGCTTCGTGCAACCGACCCCAGATGTCTATATAAATCTGTCTTTGTTAACAAGATTTACAGTTTACTTACATTTATACAAAATATTCCTTATTAAATACTCAGCTAGTGCATTAAGTCATAAACATATACAGTTCTCAAGTGGAAAACTAAATTTTTTGTTCGTGAAACGAGGTACAAACCTTAATGACATCTCTAACTGACTCAACATCTGGTATCCTGTAGAAAAAACCTTAAAAAACAATAGAAAACGCGTAGCTTCAGCTTTCACTTACACTTTTAAATCAAAAACACAACAATATAGCTTGCCATCAATAGTCATGCATAATATCAATATAAAGTAGCAGCTTTTTTTGTCATATTAACGGTGCGTCAAAGCCTACACCAAACTGCAATTTCCAGGGAGCTAATGGGTTGAATTAACAAAGTTTTTAGACTAAAAAAGCTCTATTACAAGTTAAAAGAACTTTTTCAAACAGTTAAATTAACTTGAAAAGTAGAGTTAAAATAGATAAAGTTATATGTATTTTCACAAAAAATTAAAACTAACAGTCATGAGCGTACAGGCCAACATTTTTCGAGAGAAGTGTTTGGTACATTTTCAATCTTAAATGACATGATATACCCAACCTTCCATCAAATAATGCCCGACTTTCTTTGTCTGCTCAGCACTTTGGGGGCTGCAGCCCCTCCCTGCCCTCTCTGCCTGGTACGTCTCTGCTAACAGTACATTCCATGCTAACCTTTATTACTGCAAGCAATTGATTTCAAAGCTTCTACAACGTGAGTCGGAGGACCAACAGCATATGTAAACAAACGGACCTATTTTTAATGATTCGATCAGTATAACAAAATTAATTAATTATTCCGTCATTTATTTTAATATTTCAACCTCATTCTTCGTGTTGTATTTCTTAAAAACACTTTCAGCTGTATCGCTAGGTCCATCAGTAAACACTGAAATCATTTTCTGACAGTCTGCTCCTTTATTCTAAATCAAAATACAGTAACTTCTGATGGCAACTGTTGATGTGAGAATTATGAATTATGAATAGTGGATGATATGTGGCAAGATCATGTTAGTTTTCAAACAATAAAATCTGAACTTACTTACCTTATCTAAAAGTTCAAAAGCGGCTTTATACGCTATTGGCAACGATGCAACGTACGCAGCCCGAATGTGTTTCATCTTTTTCTTGTAATACTAAATGTGATAAATTCACATGGAAACTATTAAAGGAATTATTTGATTTCAAACTCGCGCAAAACTGAGATGAGAAGAAAAATGCATGAGAGACACTGATTAAAAACAAATTTATCGACGATCAACTTTTTTTCACTCACTTTTTTATTCTGTGAAGTTGCTTGCACAAGTTTTCCCTCGCATGCCAAATAATGCACGTCAATATTAAACTGTAAAAACATAAATACATTTAGTCCGAAACATGAAGAAATGTGCGATGCTAGAACGTGGAGATCCAAAAAAGATCATGGACAAATGCTGTTTAAACTTAAGATGAAGAAATTCAAACATTAAAAGGAAAGAAGTAATGACACACAAAAACAATTTTTCGAGATTATAATATATAACTACCAACCCAGAACAAATTAAAGAAATCATTTTCGGACAAAGTTTCAATGAGTTCAGAAGCAGCTTGTATTGCGATGTTTAATCCTCTTCCATACATGCTGCCACTCCTTCAAAAATAAAACAAAATAATTAGAATAATAGTTAGCTAATATGATAGAGCGAATGACTCCCCAACATATTTCAAAACAAAAATTACTTGCCCGTCAATTACAATAACGACATTCTTTGGTGAAGCCGAGCCACGAATATACCTGCCATTAAATAAATTGCTGTTTTTCAAAAAGAGTAAATGCAATAAAGGGATAAGAAAAATAGAGGGCTGAGCTTTAGTTTAAAAATAAATCAATTTACATCGTTTGGCTTCAAGGTACGTGAGGTGATTATATTAGGGTGAATGAACCACTTCTAAACGCTACTAAAAGAGACGGTAATTGCTCACCAAGGTCGTTTCCTAGCATCATACCGGTCAATACCATCTGGCGGGACATTAAATGAATTACCTTAGAAAAAGTGAAATAAAAGTGAAATTTGGTCAAGTGTGGCACTGAAGTGCATGAAAAGGTGAAAATAATATATACCTGGAAACCATCGAAAAACGCCATCGCGAAGGCCAAAAAACTGCCATTTTATATCACGATCTTCACGCCAATTTACTATGAATGCATTGTTCATCTCTGCAGTCCATTTGATTGTATTCTGTATTTCAGGTGCTGAAAAGAACCGTATAATCTGATTTTAAACTGGGAATGTATTAAATATCTTCATGATAAAGTTATAATGGTTATTTTATAAGCTTATCACACTTTTTCGTAAAATACAACTGTGATCTACTTCGGCAAAGTTTTGGCAAGTGAAGTTAGTACTGTGAGAATAATGCAAAGTCATATTTGAACTAATCTATATCATAGACATTGAGTGGAACATAAAAATATCACCATGTTCATCTTTATATTATAGATATCAAGATGAACATGAAGACATGAACACTACTATATTTACCTTTATCATTGACAAGATCAGGGACTTGAATACTACTATAGCGACGCGATGTCTTCGTATTAAAAACAGGATCATACGACAAATTGTAAGACGCGACAATCTCCTTATTTTTTGAGTCAAAGTACTTGAAAGGCTAAAATTGGAACGTTTGTAACATCAAGTCTCTATACCATTGCTAAGTTTTAAGCTTGGCAACAACTGAACTGCTCAATAAGACAAACCTTTATATCTTGATCGTATTGATGATTTTTATAGCCTTCTTCAGCATTCGATATGATTCTCTAAATTACATTAAATTGTTTTAACAGTGTTTCAATGAAAAATAATCAGTAATCGACTAGATCGGATCATGGATAGAGTTGACTTCATATGAACTTCAGTGACGTGACTGGGGGTTTCCTAACAGTGTGAAATGACGGGGAAGGGGTAAGCTTTAGTTTAAATTTTCATGGAAAATATTTAATAATTAAAATATATTCATGAGAAATCAGATTAACAACTATGAATAGGAAGCCTAATTATGCACACCATGTTACAACGCAAACAAGCAAGTCATCTACACTATAATGTAATGTCCAGAGATTTAACAAGACATCAAGAAATTGAGCAGATACAATTCATGTTTTGCTTTTGCTGTTTTAAGAAAATGCAGTACGGTGAAATATACATATTTTGCAATCACGATACTTGAAGTCAAACTTCCAGAGATTTTTCTTGAACAAACATGAATGATGATGTAGAGTTAAGTGTTAACTGTCCTCAAACAAGGCATTCACCATACCATACCTGTAACGAAGTTGTTTTCAATTTGAAATGGGCTTTCATTCTCTCCTGGATTTTCTTGATCAAGTTTTCGCCATTTGTTGGAACTGCTGTAAGCGAAAAGTTTGCCAGCTTCTACATAAAAAGTCGAAAGACATTTAAATCTGACAATGCTCATTGTTAGACTTAGAATTAAAAATTTTTTAAGGATCTAGAAAATACCTGTTTTATAAATGAAGACCCAGCAGCATGAATTGCAAATTCGTTTACTTTCGCCTCAACATTTCTTACCAAATTTCTAACCCTTGATATAAAATGGATATAAGATTAAAACTTTAACAAACTCACCCATATAAACACGACACATATAATGACTACTCACTTTACTGCATCTAAGTTTGAAGAGCAATAAATACAGCCAAGGAACGCTAAGATCAGTAAAATATGACGAATAGATATTATGACCATCTTCCTTATTACCAATAATCCAAAAAGCAATATCACACTGACAAACCAGCGCAACAAACAACTGCATTCCCATCGAAACTTCAAAAGTCAATTGAAAATTTGAAAAAATATGAAAATAAAACTGTGGCGGCAATAGTTACGCCGAATGACGTATGCAAACAAACTCGCACCAGGTCTCGCCTCGTATATAAGTGAACTGTTATATCGAAGGGTAACCAATTTTTAGATGCAGTTTGGTTTCAACCCAGGCACCTGCTTGAGAATTCTTTCAAACGTCTCCGAGACTTGCATAAGCTAGTGCAAACTAGTGCAAACACAGTAAACATTTTTATTTCTTTTTAAAATAATAGTCATGCGAAAAAGATAAATTTAGAACAAAGGTTTTAATTTTTCCTCTAACCGCACGCGTGTCGCTGCTCCTTTTTCTTGATTTTTATTTTAAACAGCTCCTAAACACACACTCACATACCAAGGCAACAAGTAAAGCTGTAAAAACTTTTCATCCTTGCTCCACCAATGACTCGGATCCCGTCATCTTAACCAGAGGGCACAAAGAGCACTAGTTAAGTCACACAGACCTTCTTTTTTGATCAACAAAGTTCCTCTCTCCATTCACAATATCAGTCAGCAGAGCTATTTCTGATCCTATGATATCCTGTGATATCTCATTCTCTTCAATGACAACGAATAATGGAAGCCAATTCAAAATATACGAAATATGCTTCCATAAGCTTGAAAAAATCACCATGAACGAGATCTTGGCTTTATGCGACTTGTTAAAAAAATGCAAAACAGTATTCCAAGGTCTTGTAATGGTATCATTTAGTTAAAAATAATTACATTCCAATCATTGAATACATCTTCAATAAAAATCACACGGTGTTCCTGAAGATAATAAGTGAGATAGAAAGTGCAAGCAAAAATACTTTAGTGATTTCATTTGTTTTCAATGATGCACTGACTAAAGTAAATGGTTTGAGCCTGGGAGTATCATTATATGTTTGTAGTTCGTCCAAGATAGTAGAGTCCAGAGAAGGACTGTTGACGTTGATGTTGACTGACGTTTCGACAACCTTAGCGGTAGTCATCTGCAAAGTCAAGTGAGATGATTAGGGTTGTCAAAACGTCAGTCAACATCAACACCAACAGTCCTTCTCAGGACTTTACTAATCTGGATGATCTACATCTACAAACATGTGATGTACAGAATATTGATCTAAAAGTTTAAAGCTACTTAAAATAGCATTGCATTGAATAAAATCTTACCCTGTACTGGCACGATCTCAATGCAATAAAACTTAACAATTCATTTATAAAACTATATATTTAAGATTCAACAAAATATGTCACAGTTTGTTTCTGTCTGATTCGTGGAACAGTCCGTGATTTTTCATTTTTGCATGAACAGTACATGATGTATACATTATTTACTAACATAAAATAGTAGAAATGTCACAAATGATTTGAATAAGAGCAACATCGACATTTTAATGTCATTGGATCCACCACATTTATAATCAGTTTCCTGCAAAAATACAATGTTGTGTATCAAATATACCAATCATCCTCAGCATGAGTTAGTTTGTATGATTTACTCACAAAGGGTAAGACTGTATGTTTATTTATGTTGGTTTTTACCACATAAACATTGTCAAAAACGTTCGTGGACTTTTTGAAGCATATGGATTACGTGAATAATTTAGCTAAAACATTATAACGCTTTGCAAATGCATTGCTACCTACCTGGCTTGTAGACTTGAAACACCTTGATGTAGGTTTTCGGTGTTTATCTTCATGACAAACTAATTCTTTTTCTTCATTGTCAGTTCGTTTATTTATGTAAAGTTAAAGACAATTATTGTAGAGAAATTCTAGACATAAGAACAATATCAAGCACAAATGAAAAACAGAGCAAACTCTATTGTTGTACAGTCAAACAAATAGCAATTTGGGAATGAAAAGCTCAAAACTATAAGCAAGCACTTTAGCTGCACGTAAACAAAATATTTGTCCAACTCAGTGTCCAATTCAAATAGAAGTTTTTTGCTTTTTCAGATATTTTTAAAACCATCAAAAACTTACCGATAGCACTATCTACGTTTTTAAAACCTGTCACATCTTCATAATTGCAAATGAAAAACAGGTATATTGAAAAGAAAAAGGAAGAGATATTCGTATGATGAAAAAGAAAATCTGTAAACAAAGGATATATTCCTGTGGTTCGCCAGGAACATCTTTAGTATTACCAGATGCAGTACATAATCCATCCACGATGACAAGATAAAGGTTAGTTTTAGGAACGTTTGAAACGACAAATGATCTTTGGCAGTAACGACTGTAGCAGCTACAATTTACTCTACCTGTAAAGTATAAAAAGTTTGAAATTATTGCCTGGTTGAGGGGCTGTTTACATGATCCCGGCTAGCGGGGATTTAGTGAGGCGTAAAATGATTTTGAGGGATTTAAAGGTGGCAAAACTTCAAAGTTAAAAATTCTTTGTTAAGCGACAAAATCATTCCTGTTGTAATTCTCAAATTAGGCCAAATTGGTTGTTTCAATTTTAAATTTTTTGCATAGTTATTAAATCAGAATATTGTGAAATTGCTCGAGAAGATTTATCTGATGATAAGTATTGAATCGTTTCCATACGACTATGCTGTATTATGATGATACAAAACAGTATCCTGTGCGTCTTGAAACTTTTACAAAATCTCCAGAGGCTTGCAGAACATTTGCTCACTAATTAACCACATATTATGGTATTATTTATGTATAACATATAGCAGCAAGTTTTTTGCTATAACCTACAATGCTTTTGTATGTACAAAAAAAAGAAACAAACATAATTTAATTTGCAATTCGGCATAAATAGAGCACCACTATAAACAAACCTTGTTTTGTCATATTTTCATCTTTAATTTCTGAGTAGTATGCAGTCATCTCCCAAATGCAGCGTCGATTTTTTTGTTCACCTTTTGTTTGGGCTATGACAAAGCAATGATGGCATGGCATTAACCACAAACCAAACACAGATCTAGGTTATTTTATCAACTCCTTTGTATAGGAGAAGTTGAATATAGGAGCAATGAAAAGTCATCCAACAACGAAATGGAATCTAAGGCATCAAAAATGATCCATGTGAATCTTGAATGGTTGTAGAACCTGCACCAAAATATGCATGTATGACAGTATAAAACCATTTTAAAATTAACCCAGAAAAATGAGCAAAATTTTATAATGGAGAAAGAATTTTTAAACATTCAATGTTGCGCTGCAAAAGAACTGATGCGTCTTCATGAGACTTAACTTGTTATTTTATCACCTGAAACAAATGATGATCCACTGTACATCCAACTAAAACGAAAAGTTTGTTTAACATGTTATACAGCAAAGATATTGCCAACAGGCAATGAGAACAACATGAAAAACTTACTTGTATAAATTAAAGTTGGCTAGAATCCTACAAAAAAATAATTAATGATAAAATGTTACATCAAGCATAGGAAAGTATCCCCCAAAACTCCTATAGCTAAGAAAACAAATGTAGCTAAAATGCAAGACTTTAATGTATTTCAAATATTTGTTTACGGAAATAACGACGGAAACGTTCATATTACAACAAAAATATTTTCCTGCATAAAAGATCTTTTTAAAAAAACTTAGTTTCTAGGTTTATGTAATGAAGAGAGGAAAGAGGCTAGTAAACTGAGCTTACCAAACTGCCTTGGCAAAGCACCATCTTATGTAAGATGTAACAGAAAAGAATGATTGCAAGAACTGAGCTCCACTTGTGGAACTTACAGTATCCGTACATTTTCCTTGAGGGTTATTTCTAGTAATTCTACAGAAACGAAAACCAAGTGACATGAGTATCCTGATTTATTTATTTTGTTTTTTCTGTTATTCTAAAAAGCATAAAAGGAAATAGAAAATATTCTTGTTTCTCACTTTGTGTAAATCGTTGTATTTTCTCCAGATACCAACTGCTCCATAACTGCCCGATTAAGCTTACCAAAAAATTGTCCGGTCGCACTCTTAACACAAATAATTACTAAGAATCACATTTAGTTGTCAAAGAATAGTTACTGAGCAAAAATACAAATACATGAATGAACACATTCATTTTCATTACTACTGAGAATGTTAGTAAAGGTTTCTTGCTTACTGAGTTCAAGTTAGTAGCAACTACGAAAGCATTTTCATCCAAGAGATAACAATAAAATCCAGCATCCTCCTAAAAACAATTATGAAAATTTTATGGAATGAAAATCAGCATAAAGTCGATTGAATGAATGTAGCCAATTTTCAACAGCAGAATGGTTGAACAGTCTTCTAAAGATCAAGGGTGGATCCAGAATGATTTTGTTAATTTGTTGGGAGTGTGTCATCTAGTTTGAAATTGAATATGATTGCTCTTTTGAAGGTGTCGGCTTGTATTGTTTGTGTTGAATTCTGTTACTCTACTATAAAAGTATTACTCTTGAAGTGCCCCCTGTTAAAGTGCTGCGATCTTCAAAAACGCTTATTTGCGATATCAAAACTAGGTCTAACGTCTAACGTATAGGTGAAATTAATTTTTAATTTGTTCAAATTTTCTTCTTGTTAAAGCGGTACAAAGTTGTCTTTCAATGGACCTTGTCCGTCGTGGCATGAAGTCTGGATCAAAGCAAATTCTTCCGTCATCCTCCAAGCTAATTGGTATATATATATATATATATCTTGTATTGAGGAGTCCCTTGCATGACGTCACAAAGTAAGTCGTTCCAGACTTCTTAAAGGACGGCCAAGGTCCATTAAAAGGACCATTTTTGCCAACTTTAAATAGCCATAAAAGAAACGATTTGACAAACTTTTTTCACTGATACGTCGAAAATCATACCTGAGATTTCTTGGTTTATTACTACTTTGCAAGGAAATTGGCTTCTGTACCATCGTACCCCCTACCCCCTAAATTAATCTCTGCTTATAGACAAACGAACTATACGCTGGAAAATTACACGAAGAACGAATTACAACATGCTGAAATGGTTCAATTTGGCAGTGTACTATACCTCATCGTCGAGTTGACAAAGTTCCTCCATTCCCTGCATAAGAACATGCAGTAAATTAAAAAAGACAACGTAAATTTATAAATAAATTCATATTTTCCTTACCTGTGTTGTCGAATTAAAGAAATAATTTTTTTGAAACTGTGCATGATTCATGACAAAACCAGCAACTACAAAACGGATGCCAAAAATACATTGATAATTACATTCATACATTGATAATACATTGATATTGAAAATACATTTGAAAATTGAAACAAAGAACAAAAAACACAATAAAGACATGTGTGCTACATGTTTGCGTTATTTATCTGTTTAAATTGTGTCTCACATGTTATTTGTTTCCATTTACCTCCCACATTCACAACGGTACCAGAAGCATTGACGGACATTTTTCTGTAACCTGTTATGTTCATTTCATAAGTGTTTTCTTTTCCTATGAATGTGAATGATATAAAAGTCAAGCAAAACAGCCGTATTGAATACGTACACAAAACGGTCATATTGAATATAAAAATTAAAGAGAAGCGCAATCATTCGATGATCATGAGAATATCATACAGTTACTAAAATATATTGACGTATTTGATGTTAAAGAAAATAAATTATTTTTATGAGAACCGACATTAAAGATGGCATTTACTTTTTGGCTGCAAAGACAACACGCTGCCATAGTGGCACTGACAAAATACAATCATAAAACGATCGCAGTCAGCTCTGAAGCCTGTTAAGCAAAATAGACTACCTGAACTATATGGTACTGTAAAAAGTGTAACGTCATCAGGATATCCATCAAGGCGACCAAAGATATCTTCTTCAAGATTGAATATCCAGCCAGACCTTCACAAGATGTCGTTAAGAATATACATGAATATTTTTTCAATTTTTACAAACAAAGGATAACTTCTTACTGCTAATTAAATTTCAAAGGATCGTGACCGACAAATTCATTAATGTAACAATCCATAATTAGTCATTATTAAAACTGTGTTTTATTATTAAAACTTCTAACAACTCACAGAGATTGGTTAAAATCACCATCATAAGTTTTGACGAAACGGTTTACGTCAGTCCTACAATGTACATACAAAAAAAATTATTTCCAGCAAAGTTCAGGTGTAAACATCACATAAGCTGACGATCTTATCATACAAAATGATCAACTTACATTGGTTCTTGTTCCCAGTAATTTCTCAAGGAGTCTACAAGGGTTTTGCTGATCATGGAATCATCTAAGACGACAATAACAAAATAATCTATCATTCATACGACTGCAATGAAAACATATCGAACAATAATAACCCTTACTCTTTGGGATTATATTCATCAAGTTTGATGGGAATGCAATGCCAGCCCTAAAATCAAAACGACAATTTTAAAGATAACTATTCTACTGATCAAAATCAATATAATATATAATATAAATCCTGGATTTCCTCGAATACAGGATTTATATTATGTATCATCTCTGATGACGGCTTCGGAATAAATCAATATAATACTATGCAAATTTTACCAGATAGGTGAATCTTTAACATTGGCGTAATAATAACTCATTCTTCTTTTCCTTACTCGATGACCTTCCTATTAACATTGCAAAATTGGAATTCAACCCATAAATATATTTAAAATTTTATTCGATGAACAAATACAAGCATTTCATATGTTATTTTTTTAGTGCTTATATAAAGGGCTACTATAGAGAATGACGTTCTTTTCTCATTATCAAAATTCTACAATAATGAATCTTAAACTTTAAAATAAAAATTTAAACTTTGAATTTTAATAAATGAGCAGTATTTTTCTTTAACTCTTCGACAGGCTTAAATTTTGCGAAGACCATGTTAAGTTATCTTATCAAGTTTAAAGTATTTTGATGTTAATAATAAAATGAAGTTTCACCAAGTTTCTAAGCTTTTCCTGCATGCATTGAAGAGAAAGTTTAAAAATGTAAGTTAATTGCTACATATAATGTTACAAATTAGCTACTCCGTACACAATATGTTGCAACAAGTTGATATGAATCCGTTCAAATAAGTGTTATGACCAACTTACCTGACTTTGCGAAAAAAGTGCAGCATCAAACGACATATTTCCAATTTCGTCCTCAGTTTTTAAAATGTTTTCACGAAGCTGTATAAAGTAAATGTAATGTAAATGTAAACATGTAACGAAGCTGTATGATATTTTATTTTTTAACTTATATGATGTAATTATAACAAATGAACGCTCTATTTTCGTACTTTCTCGGGTTCAGTTCCGTTAACATTCCAACTGTACTCAATTTCTGAGAGGTAGATATTTGGAGCGTCTGGTAGGTAGCCAGTCTAATATATATGAAACAATACATCCTTCATCAATAGATATAAATCCCAAACAATGGCCTATTGACGTGGTTATATAAAATAACTTACTTCTGTGAAAAATCGAGGATGTAAGATGACATGCCCATTGTTATCAATAAAGAATAAATAGCCATAGTTGTCAAGCTAGATTGTAATGAATAGAAATTAGTACAGTTGGTGGTACACAAGTGTTTTAATATCAAAGTAATCAAACTCTTCTTAGTTTTTTGTACAGACTGAGCCCGTAAGCTCCTCTGATATTTAATGTTACGAAGGGCTGGGCTACTGTTTTTTGAATATTTTTTAAAAAATAAATATCCCTATTTGACAAGGGGAAACCATCGACAAAGATGACCTCGCTCTTTCTGTATGTCTCTCTCATAAACAATAAAGAAGTTAATGATCAATCTACAATTTTACTAATTCTCTGACTGACACTTTGCTGAAAGGTCAGATTGCCACTCCCCCCACCATAACGTTTTTTGTTATTCAGTCCCCCCTCCCTCCAATACAAAGCATATTCAGCCACCACTGCCCTCAACATATACTAACTAATACTAAATTATCTCGATTGTGACTGACAAAAAACCTACTGTGCAGATTGCCCGCTACATATGCACACACAACGTGAAATATTATCTGTTGGTGAAAATATACCAAATTGCTAAATTGCCTAAATATTTTAGTAAATTTTTGTTTTTGAATGCAAGACATGCAGTTATCAAATTCAGTTTTCCGAGAATTGTGTTTCATGGTTGTCCAAGCTGTTTTTTTCTCTCGCGGGAAAATCAAAACGCTGCAAAATGAATAATGACGTCGTGGATAAACCGCTGATTGTGTTTGCTGGCTCAGATTTCTATTGCAATACCTCGATCGCTATTGTTTTCAACATTCTCCAAAAATGTAATAAATCATACGTACCGACACAGATATCGACTGATTCTTTAAATCCTCCGGAGAAACATCTATTCCAGCAACTCCCAATAAAACATTATGAGCCTAATATGTAGATTTTAAAAGAAAAAAAAAAACATTAGCAAATGTGTCAATACGAGGTAAAATTTACTTTCTTGACTTTTTTTAAGCTGACTTTATAGGATTAAGTCGCAAGGAGATAAAGTCCGAAGTACTTATAGTCAATAAAACTAATATTAGTAGTTTATCTTGTTTGGCATATATACTAACGGTTGTGTTAGATCTCGTGAAAGCTGGCATAGCTCCAGTTATCAACATTCCTAAATTCTGAGAAAAAAAACCACAAATCATGAAAATTTGTAAAATCCCTGATTACTTTTGTTAAAATAAGCAATTATGACTACCTAAAGTACTTCAAATAAAAAAATCTTACGCCAGCATCAAGATATGCACTGCTCCAAAAAGGAGTTCTTTTGCTCTGTTTTGCCATTGGTCTGCTCAGTACGGTAACGTAATCCTAAGCAAAAAAAAAATGTAACCCGAAAACAATGAAATAAACTAAATTGAATGAGAAATTGATGTCATATTTTTGTTTGACAAATATCAAAATAAAAGTGTCATGTCCTGTACAAGTTGCATGAAGTCACCAAACACTTATACAACTAATACAAGTGACATAAGTCTTGTACAATTGATACAAGTTTTATGTACTCTATGAAAGGGACGTGTCTTTAAAAGTGAAGTAAAACCTATACAAGTGATATGAATCGTATGAGCAAGTGACTTCAATCAGAAACAAGTGACATGTGTTCCACAGTTCGCATAAAATTTCAAGAACTTCGAAAGTACTTTGATTGCTTGATTCATAAATTTTAAAAATGTTCTCAGATTAAAAAGCTAAGTTTTTGTTCGTGAAGAACGCTGTTCTAACCTTAATGACATCTCTAACAGACCCAATGTCTTGTATCCTGTAGAAACGACCTTAAAAACAGTAAAAAACGCGTAGCATTAAAATAAAAACACAACATTCTACCTTGCCATAAATTGTTTTGCATAATTTTAATATATATATTCATGCTGACCTTTGTTACTGCAAGCAATTGATTTCAAAGCTTCCACACTGTGAATTGGAGGACCAACAGCATATGTAAACAAACGGACCTATTTCAAATGATTCAATCAGTACATAAAAATTTCCGTGAATTAATGTAATGTTTCAACCTCATTATTCGAATTATATTTCTTAAAAACACTTTCAGCTTTATTATTCGATCCATCAGTAAATACTGAAATCATCTTCTGACAGTCTGCTCCTTTTTCCTAAACGAAAACACAGTAGCTTCTGATGTCAACTGTAAATGTGATAATTATGGTTTCTGATAAAAAATACAGATGAGGTTAGATTTTCATAATTTTTAAACAAATTATCAACTTAAACATACCTTCTCTAAAAGTTTGAATGCTGCTTTGTACGCTTTTGGCCATGACGCAACATATTTAGTCCGAATATTTTTTAGCTGTGCCTTGAAAAACTAAATATGAAAAAATTTGAAGGAAATCAATTCGTTTTAACGTCAAACTCACGCAAAACTGAGATGAGAAGAAAAATGCACGAGAGACACTGATTAAAAACAAATTTATTGACGATCAACTTTTTTCCACTCACTTTTTTATTCTGTGAAGTTGCTTGCACAAGTTTTCCCTCGCATGCCAAATAATGTACGTCAATATTAAACTGTAAAAACATAAATACATTTGGTCCGAAACATGAAGAAATGTGCGATGCTAGAACGATAGCTTTTGTGCAGATATTGACACCACTCTAAATTAGCCATTTTTTATTGAACAGATGTAAATAATCAAGTACAGGGTACGAAAATAGATCATAGACAAATGCTTTTTTAACTTAAAAAGAAGAAACTTAAACAACAAAAGGAATGAAGTGATGAAATACACACAAAATAGTTTGCTTCATATAGTGTACCAACCCAGATAAGATTAAAGAAATCATTTTCAGATAAAGTGTCAATGAGTTCAGAAACAGCTTCTATTGCAATGATTAATGTTATTTTATTCATACTGCCACTCCTTAAAAAGAAAAATAAATAATGTGAAATAAAGTAAACGACTAATTCCCTGTAATAAAGCTAGTTTCATTCAAAACAAAAGTTGCGTCATACCCATCGACTAAAATAACGACATTCTTTGGTGAAGTAGAGCCATGAATATACCTGTCATTAAATAATTTTCTAGATTATTAAAAAATAAATCGTGCAGTGCAATGAAGTGAAATAAAAAAGTTTTCAATTATATTATAGACTACACACAATCAATATTTACCAAAAATAAGAGTTCAAAATTAATAAATTGGATCAAAAAGATGTGAATGAGGTTTAATATAAAGTGCAACCATTAACCAAAAGTTTCGATACTCAAATCATATTTTTATCAATCAGAACATCTAAAAAGATAGTCAGTACAATTTTTTAGCCATTTGCGCACAACTCTTTTCGTTCTCAAGATTTGGGAGGTTTTTATTACTATGCAATTTACATTGATAGCCATTGACGCTGCATTGAATTATGTGTCATTGTAAAATTTTAAATATCCTTCATTTTCGTGGTAAGTTTTGCGAAAAGTGTCTCGGGATAGTTTTACTCCCTATAAACACTTCACAACAATTGTGCTATATATATGTCACTGGTTATGTAAATTCAACATTAAAAACCTCTACTTTTCGAGAATTAGATATTTATGAAGCTACTGTCTTTTGAAAAGATCTGTTTTATTTAAAAACTCAATTTAAACATCAAAGTTTTTGCTCTATTATTTAAAGATGTGGTGGAATACATCTCTGTGCAAGAGATGGCCACCGCTGGGACTATAGTGTGCAGTTTATAACAACAATAATCATTCCATATGCGGTTTTTCACAGATCAATTTGCACCATTGGACTTAAAGATAAGAGAGTTTTTAACTGATTTCTAAAGCTATCTACCGTAGACTCACTGACTCACCATGGCCGTTTTCTAACATCAAATAGGTCAACATCATTCTTCACGTGAAATTCAGTAGCTGAATGACAAAATTGAGATATTGAATGGCAAAATTGAGATATTGAAAGCAAAGTTGGAGTCAAGTGTGGTGTTGAATTGGAATTTTATGATAGCGTCATTTCCGGTGGAATAGAGTGCTTTGATTGGCTCAGAAACATTTTTGCCTCTATGAACTGAGCGCAAGTTCTTTATGGAAAAATATCGGACCGAAGTTTTTTGTATAGAGTCTATAAGTCTATATAAAGTTTTTTGTATTGATTTGTACAAAAAGACAGAGGTCCGATATTTCTCAGTAAAGACCAAGAAAGCGTGTCAGTATTAGACAAGAAAGTTGAAACGAAGCTTTCTTTCCTTTTTACCCTAGCTGTTTTGCACGGGTTGGCTTTCACTTTTCAAGTTTTCGTCAGTAAAAATTAAATCGTTTGAGATTGTGTTGCCTGGATAATGAAACACGCTTTCTTAGTGATTTTCCTTAGATTAAATTGTTTCGTTTTTGCTGTTTGCTTTAGGAAGTTTTTTTGCATTCGTTTGTGTAATTACGTGTATTGGACGTCTTTACGGGAAAGTAATTGACCGACAAAAATAATTTCTGACCAATTAAAGTGCGCTATTTTACCGTAATTGACGTTTGTCATAACAACGAAGGCTTCTTATATACCTGGGTACAATCGATAGACACCATCGCTAGAACCAAAACTCTGACTTTTTATATTTCCATCCTCCTCATGCCAATTTCTTTTGAATACTTCATCTAATGCTTCTGTCCATTTGATTGTATTCTGTATTTTAGTGGCTACAGAGAAATATATGTAGTTTGATAATGATCTTGATGACGCGAGCATTATCATTTTATAAAACTTTAGTAGAATTTAAAAAATCAAAATAATTTTATCGTAGACATCAAGAGGAAGAAAAAAACACTATATATACCTTTTATCATAGACATTAAGTGAGAGATGAGTACTACTATAATTACCTTTATCATAAATATCAATGGGCACGTGAACACCGCTATATTCTTCCGTTATCTTCATTTTAAAATCAGAATTATAAGACAAATTGTATGAAGACAAGATGTGTTTATCTGTTATGTCCAGGTAGTTGAATGGCTAAAATTGAAACATTAATGACATCAATTCTTTGAGGAACGTAGCTAGAATGTTGATTCGGGGTATTCACTTGCGCCCGACTTATTTCTTTTGAAAGTGCTTTGGTTTTCTAAAGTAATAATTCGCTGGCACAACTGAATGCATGAATATACACCCCTCCCTCCCACCTCCAATTAACGTTCTATCTATATACGTCAATGAAACCATTCATGCTTTTCATACAAAAGATCAGAGTTCATAGATAATTTTCTTTACATAATGTAATTCGTTAATGGAGTAAATTCATAGAAAAAAAATTATTTCGCTAAAAAAGACATAGAGAGTTATTGTCCATGAAGCGTATAATAACTTAAAATTGTGTCAATCGTTGTGTCCATGAGTTATCTAGACATCTCTACGGCATTTGGGAAATTCGTATGAAGTTCTCAGCTATAGAGTGTTGTGTAGATTATATTCGTTTCAAGGTTATGATTTGTTTTCAAGCAATTTTTGAAGAGCGTGCTAAATAATCATACATACCTGTATATTATAATCGTATTGATAGTTTTTATAGGCATCTTCAGCTTTTGAAGCGATTCTCTAAATCACATGATTTCAATGTAAATTACCTACGACTTAATTCAATGAAAAATTAAAAAGTTTTTTGGTTTCTATGTACTAAACGTTATGAACAAATTAAATAAATAAATTATTTTAACATACAAATAATAACATTTCATAACAATTTTACAGCATTACAGTATGGCGAGTAAAGTTCATTCAAAAGCGAATTGAAATAAGTTTTTTGGCAGATATAGGCATCGATAAAAATTTTCAACGTTAGAACATTATGATAGTGCAATTGGTTTACGGATGGTCGTTTGGGCCAAAATTTGAAACGCCGACTATTTTACAGAAGCAACTTTATTCAAAATCAAGCTTGACAGATGATAATTGCAGTCAACAGTATTAAAAGTTTCTTTGATGTTTAAAAATAGAAATTCTGGTTTATCCAAAAACATATATCACTTGTCGAGCTATATCCTCTCGCAGTCTCGCTTTAACTAAATGCTCACTGAAATACAAATTTTCCCCGTTTAGGAAATATAAAAATTATCGTATGTCCGCATGAGATGTTCCTTCACCTGGGCAGCTTCAGTTTAAAGTATGAAATCGTCATCTCTGGAGTAAACAATGTCTGACGATTTTATTTTATTTACATTGAGGTCGAGTTACGGATGAGATGAAAGAAATGCGAAGCAGTTTAAAAGTTTTTAAAACGGGCTGAGTGCAAATTTACTAATATCATATTTCAATTTACTTGATAAAAATTTAGATTGTACAAAAATTACTATCAAAATGGATGCAGGTTCTTGGCAAATAAATATTTTATGTCGATGTTTTGAAAGTTATCAAGAGATCAGGCAATTGCAACTATTGTTTTTGCATTGTTGTAAATAAAATGCAGCCTGAGTACAATGAAATAAATATATTTTACGACTACAAAGTTTAAATTCAAACTTTTAGAGATCTTTTACTGAACAGACATAATTATAGATGATGTATGTTATCTGTCCAGAAACAGAGAACTGCCAAATATCATACCTGTAAAGATATTGTTGTGGTGTTGAAAAAGGCTTTGATTTTTTCTTTAATTTCTTTAACCATTTCTTGGCCATTTATCGGTTTTGTTGTAAGCGAAAAATTTGCCAGGCTCTTCATAATAATACAAAAGGTATTTAAATATTACAATGTGCTTTGTTGTAAGATAAAAATCATGTTATAGGACATGTTATTTCGGAGTTTAATAAAATATTTAACAAGAATATGGGCAAAATACCTGTTTTATAAATGAAGACCCAGTAGCATAAATGGCGAATTCGTTAATTTTCGCTTCAACATTTCTGGTCAAATTTCTGATCCTTGATATCATAAAACTTATAACTTTAACAAACTCACACATTTAAAAACGACACACATGACTTTACTCACTTTCTTTCATCTAAATATGCAGAACAAAAAGTACAGCTAAGAAACGCTAAGATGAGTAACATATATAATCGACGAGCAGATATTATGACCATCTTTATTTACCAATGATCCCAGCAATATAGCACTCAAATCAGCGCGACAAGCTACTGCACTTCTGTGGAAACGTGAAACGTCAACTGAAATAAGTTTGAAAGTGCACAGAGCTCAGATCTCAGGTTCGCAGTGACGCCTGTGGTAAAACTCGCAATGAATGGACTACTCTGCCGCCTACGTTTAGTTTATGAAGCTCGAAGATAAAGGATGCATGTATGTCCCACTTCAATATAATTACACTCCAACTTGCATTACAACGCTTTCAAACTGTTTGCTTTTGAAAACAACTATTACTCACAATTTAGATGATTTTGTACGAATAGCAAAATACGACTGAGCAAATTTCATTCATGCATGAAATGTAAATGCTGTTCAAATCAATGGCTGTTTGTTTTCAGTAATAGAAATGTGTATACGTACTTATAGACTGATATTGGCTATGCATACACCGAAAAAAACGCACAGATCCCAAATAATGTAAGAAATTAAAGTAATCAAATTCTCTACATTTGTGGAAAGACAATTTGCGTAATATCATGTCTGTTTTTATCAATAGTTTACGACCTATTATATTATTTACCAATTCCGGCAAGAAACACGTAGGTAATAAGCACTTGAAAGGATGAGTCATGACGTCATGGCTTCTTTTTGTTGGTATTGGTGTCATATTCATATGCACATGTAAGAATTTGTAGAAAACATTGGACTTGAAAGTTAAATTCTTAATACGGCATATCATACATTTATAAATCCACCCCCCTCCGCCCGCAACTATCGATCTTCCAACGCTTCTGTGACTATTTGCTTGAATAACACATATAATTTGTGGGTGGAAATTCATTGTTTATGTTTAATATTTTGTCTCCGCTTGTGCATGTGCTTTTTTCACTAATGTGAACTGGGCTTCACTTTATTTTACGAACAATGAGATAATTTCTATAGTGCCATTTTCTTGTAAACGCTGCACAATCGCATTCAAAAGAAATATCACTCTTACCCCCGGACACACAAACACGCATTAACCATCTAGTTGGGCCTTGCAAGTCTCACAGTTTTGCCAGGCTCAATTTTAACATCAATCTCACGATCACGAATGTCTGTTAGTCTTGCACTAAATAAAAATCCAATGAAGTTGCGAAAAAATTAGAAAACTAAAGCTTTTCGTGCAAATGACGTGTCCTTGCAAGTGACGTAAGTCTCACCGCTTGAGTCCAATACGAGTGACATCAGTCGATACAAGTGACGTTCCTATACAAATGACGTGTCCTAACAAGTGACGTTCCTATACAAATGACGTGTCCTAACAAGTGACGTTCCTATACAAATGACGTGTTCTAACAAGTGACGTTCCTATACAAATGACGTATCCTAACAAGTGACGTTCCTATACAAATGACGTGTTCTAACAAGTGACGTTCCTATACAAATGACGTGTTCTAACAAGTGACGTTCCTATACAAATGACGTGTTCTAACAAGTGACGTTCCTATACAAATGACGTGTTCTAACAAGTGACGTTCCTATACAAATGACGTGTTCTAACAATTGACGTTCCTATACAAATGACGTGTTCTAACAAGTGACATGTGCGTGAGGCTCGATCTTAAAGTTTGAGTCTAATACAAATGACGTCCATCTTTTCTACAAATGACGGAGAGTCTTATACAAAATTACAAATGATGTGAGTTCTGTACATGTGATGTAAGTATACCAGTTGGCTATTTCATGATTCTTCCTCATTCTTAATTGTCAGCAAAGCTAATTATTCAAGCCTACATTCTTGGCACCTATAATTTATAAGTAAGAATGCATTGTTTCTCGGTACAATTAATAATATTCTCAAGTTAGTACCAAGTATTGAAGTAAATAGATAACTGATAAGAACCTAAAGCCTCGTTTTATAATTTGTTAGTTCTATAACATGTTGACATTATCTCTGGCAGTCAATATGATAGGATGCTTTGATTATTGTTAATCAACAATACTACCTTTTCTAATTTCAGTTATCTCAAAGATTACTGCAGCCAGTGGCCCAGTGTAAAAAGTAAATGAGTATGCTGGCTTGCTCATATTGAAAGTGTCATCAACATGAAGTTAAAACGACGTTACATATGTCAATCTCACGCCACTAAGTAAAAATTCTAAGAAATTGTGGAAATGAAAACTAAACTTTTCAACTGTATTTGCATTACAAAACTTTAATTAGTTTACTAGGTAACTGAAGTCGTCTGGACCCCGTATACATTACTAACATCCCAGCATCATGTATTTCAATTCAGAATCATACATCATTATAAAATGAAAAAACAATAAAAAAAGCGTGCGTGGATTGGACAAATAGCCATTTTTACATTTAGCCTGTGCACACAGATCTGAACTAAGCCAGTCAAATCAATCAATCAAAGAGAATTTTCAAATCAATCATGAATACATTTTAGGGGAAAATTAGAACGTTTGTTTGAAATTTGTTTGTTTTGATTATTGTTATTTTATAAAACAAAGTAAAACAAATTCTGAAAACAGACATCTCGGAATTTGTTTTATTTTGTTTTACTTAAAATAGTCTGCTTGTCCTGGTTATCGTTTTTTTAGATGAAATAAAAGATGTTTATCGTGTTTGTACAAGCTTATGCAAGCCTTGGAGACGTTAGTGGGAACTCTCGAGCAGGTGTAACCCTGGCTTGCATTTATCAGTTATCGAGCTCTCCAAAAGGGTCTCCTTCGTTTGCATAAGCGTGTACATTTTTATTTTTTCTGACTATTTGTTGAAAAAAAGTTGGTCTCGTTTTATTTACTCGTTTTCTTGAAAAAATACTTCCTGCAATGAAAAAAGCAGATCAATGCTATCTACAGTAATTAGACTACAAGACAATGACAAAAATAACAAATATCATTACAACAATATCAATCAAACATAAGATCACATTTGCAATAACAACATCAACAGCTGAAATATATTTGTGGATTGTGGAAAAATAAATGAAACAATACAAACATCAATAATGTAAACATCATGTAAAAAGAGGTCACACTTAGTTTTATATACATTATTTACACTGTAGCATATAGAATGTTGCATTCATGTTTGAATTATTAAAGATCCTGACTGCAAATGATTCATTATACTTTTAAAAAGTTGATAGAAAACTGAAGACACTAGACACTAAGCTCGACAGCCTCGGTAACTACACAATTATAAAACACGCATTTAAACTCCGTAGTATAACTTCAGAGACTCCAGTCATACTTATACATTTCACGTAACCGGTTTGACACTCAAACTGTCATCATGACTGTATCTATATTGATCCCAAACCCGATCTGCTGTCAATACTGTACAAGCATGTAGCGTTGTAACGAGAGACACTTTGACCAGTTTCTGTTACACTTGTATTCATAATGTTGGTAGGACTAAACGATTGTTGAGTGGAGCCAACAAAAGAACTAGGATGCTTGTACATGTTTGGTAGCGTTGTGTTGTACTGATTCTGGTAGCCATATGATTGTTGATATATTGGTACATTATTTTGCTGATTAGTTAAACCGATAAAACTATTTTCTGGCGATGCAGTAAAACACATTGATGATGTATTGTAGCCTGGTGGATTTGTGTGTGTTCCTGCATGCGGCTGGCTTATAGATGAGAAGTTCGAACTGTACCCACTAGCTGTCTGATTTAACGATCCAAAGCTGTTAGGGGAGGCCTTATTCCAGCCATAATTGGAATAGTAAAACGGATCCTCTGTAGGAATTGCACCGTTGTCATAGCCGAAAGGCACACTGGGAAATAAACTTCCTCTGTTTTCAGGACCTAAACTTACTACGGTAGTCTGATTGTTTCTCTCTTTCTTGCGCCATTTTGCACGTCTGTTTTTGAACCAAACCTGATGTGCATGAAACCAAAAATAAAATTGAAAATGTTAATGTTGAAAGGCTTATCGATTGTTGGGCGAGTCAAAATATTGCAACCCATTGAAATCAGTCGATATTCAAAATTTCCATGATTTATCAGTAATTGGTCCGTAAGAGGCCAAACCCCACTAAGGAGCTGTATACATGAGCCCGGTAGCCGGGATTCAGCGAGGCGTTAAATCATTTTGGTGAATGGAAAAGATTAAATACTTCACAACAAAAATCAACTGAGCAATTTCTGTATGTTCTGGCTATGAAAATTTACAAAACCTTTAAAATGAAAACAAATAATTTAGCCTGATTTGAAAATTACGACTAAAATTTCTTATGACGCTTGTAAGAAAAAGTGGTGAGTTTTGCGCTTCGAGTTTTTACTCCTTTCAGTGACTCAAAATTATTTCACGCCTCGCTGAACCCCAGTACCGGGCTTATGTAATCAAGCCCTGAAAAGCATTTCATCCATGGAATTTGCAATATGAATTTGCTGTAACTTGCATGTTCTGTAAATATTTTTTCGTATGGTTAACGTGTGAGCTATGTAAGTTTTACAACGGTAATTTAGCGCAATAAATAATCGTTGTTTTGTGGTTAGTTGAGCATTTCGTAATCGAGCTGGCCATTCACAACATAATGAAAATATTTACTGCATTTTTAAATTTACTTAACATATACTAAATTAGAATTATATATATTTTCAAGTCCCACGACCAGCGTATGAAAAGTTACAAAGACAAATGACAATGGTATGCTAAATGACAGTGCAAATTATTGGGTTGCAGTTTTTTTGATACAATTGCATGTAGATCATTACTACCATCTACAACTACATCAAAACTACATCTCTTTTATTCTGTGATTAGAATGTTGAAGAAGAAAGGGAAGAGGCATACGAAAATTATTCATCATGCTTAATGTCGTCGTCATTGAATAAGCCCGAATAATGCCATTAAGCATTTTATTTATTTGTAACAAAGAGCTGAACGCAAGGTTCATGAGACAGGAACAAAAGATGGTAAAAACCATGCGTCAACATCGTTCTATAATGGATCATTAATCATCATCTGACAAAACCAGCAAGGGTAATTACTTTAGGTAGACGAAAGATTAATTATAGGCTTTTGGCAAGTAAATGATGAACGCCAATACACAACGACAGACTACATGTATTCGAATAATATTACTCTGTCTTTCGCTTATAGAATTGATTTGCTTTTGTATATTATCTCTACATGTTTCCTAGAACTTGCAAAATTCCAATAGATTTCAAGCTTGATATAGTAAAAAATTTACATAAAAACGGACTACTCTTTTAGATTTTTCATGTTAGTATTTATTACTTAATGCCAAGCCACGCGTTTTTGGTATCCGTTTCCTTCAACAACGCCAAAGAAAATGTTTTTATAACCAAAAAATGTTCTGAAGAAGTTTTTCGATGTAAACTTCAACAAGAAGTCTAACAATGGCCGTCTAACAATGACCACCATTAAGTCGATAAAGTCTGTTTGGAAGCTTCCACAGAGACGGAATTTAGTAGACTTATAGTAAAAGTAGTAATTTCTTTTTCTTTCTTGTAAGATATTGTTGTTTCATTGCCTTGACGTGCAAAAACTCATCTCAGACTACAATAATCTATGAAAGCTGCAAAAGAAACGACTTCGTTTTCGGCACAACAGCGTGTGAATATTTCCGGAAAGTTGACACCTGCGAACTTAGTGAAACACTGAGAGTCTCAACCTTTAAAATTTTATCAATGTTTAAGGTACATGCCACTACGAGCGCAAGTCCACTAACTTGTACGCGCTGTATCCCAAGTAGCAATTAAACATAGGTTTCAACGCTTCCCGGCATGTATAGGCACAAAAGATATGTAGAAACTCAAAACAGCCAAAAATGAAATGAATATAAATATATATCCAGCAAACTAATTAGTTAGATGAAATATATAATACTTGTTTATTTGATAAAAGAGTATTCATATATAAATAATCGTTGAATGGAAGTAAGCGTTAATAGGTGATTACTTACCCTGACTCGAGCTTCAGTCAAAGTCGTCCACATCGCGATTTCCTCTCTCATAGAAATATCAGGATAGCGGTTTCTTGAGAAGAATGCTTCCAGTTCTTGTAGTTGATAAGAGGTGAAATGGGTTCGTTGTCGTCTCGGCTTTTTTTGCTTCTTGGCATCGTCATTATTTTCACCTGAGGACGCGCTTCCTGGGCTTTCAATAGATTGCTCTGTCGAGTTTAAAACAAATTAAATAAAATTTTTCTCGACAGCACAAACAATTAAACCCTGTTCGAACATGGTTTACATCAAATGACGCAAGATTTGTTGTGTCGACGTATACAATTCTTTCGCGGGATATATATCTAATAGCAGGTGGGCTGAGCAATTGTGAATCCTCGAGCAAAGGTATATTATTTCAACACTCGAGATTAACTCGATTAATCCCTCTTGAAATACTACGGTAATTGCTAGCTACTCAACAACTCTTTGAATTGCAGTGATAATCCGAAGTAGATATATCTAATTACATTACCATCGTTATCCAGTTTTTTTTCCACCACGCCAGCATCAAGTTCATCAGTTTTGTCACTAACATTATTATTGTTTGGGTCAATTTCTTTGCTTTCTGTAGGAATAGCAGCGGAATGCATCTCGATTTTGAGCAACAGGACTTCTTGGTGCTTATGCTATGTTCTTAATACACTTCCTCTGTTTCGAGTAGAAAGAAGGGATTTATAGCCTTTGTTATATAATGCTGCTGGTTTACGTACTCTGCAAGTAGCTTTCTGCTAGGGACTGAGAGAGAGCTGTCGCCCGAATGGGGTAGTCATGAACACGCCTTTCGCATTGTAGATTTTGAATGGTAGTGATTGTAAACCAATCAGAGCAGAGCATTTTTGCAAATAGACTCGCATCACTTTTAATTACTAGTTAATATTTACAAAATAATTGGAAATGCCAATGTACAAGCTACCGCACTGAGATAGATTCTATTCAATATTTGGTTGGGCTGAACTTCCGATTTCATATATTATTATTCGTACAACATTTATGAACAACTTTGTGAATATTTGGTTCAAATTTTAAAGATATACATATGAAAGTTGTGTTTATGAAAGTTATATTTACCGGATTCAGTTGTATATAAGTTCAATCAACAAAAACAGTCTCCATGTGTAAATGGTAGAAACAATTGAATGGCTGGTCCTTTTTAATAAATGCGAGTTAGCATAACAACTTTGACAGTTTATGTTTGCCGTTGCCAAAAACTAATAAAGCAAATTATTCGTGGTGGTATTCATCTACATGACAGCATCCTTGCTTATACAAAGAAGACCAACGTCTCACAGGGAGATATATTGAAGTGTATTGTTGTCTGTTTTGAATGGGGAATTTAGCACGGGATTCCATGATTGTTGAAATTAACAATGATATCGAAGGCTCACTAGTCTTTGAAATCGACAGTATTCAATTTCGATATTCATTATTAATTACCCAAGCGACTTCTACGACGAGAACAAAACTTTTGTTTCCGCCCGATTGAAATTCATAATTCACATACATAGTTAATGCAAGTATCTGGCTTCATTGGTGAACAACTTATAGAATAAAAACTATTATATGTAAACTTATTAGAATTCTTGTAAAATACAGGAATATTCGATCACGAAATATTAATATGTAAATAAATGTTAATATGAAATAAACGAGTAAATTTTTCGGAAAGACACCACAATTTTTCATTTATAGCTAGCTAATTATTGAAGTTTTTAGCGGTGGACATGTTTGAATCATAAGAGCAACTAAAATAGAATTTTACAATTTTTCTCTTAATAACTAATAACTGTTGGGCTTCTACAAAAAACGTCATCGAATGCAATGAAGTTCTCCTCATTTGTATTGAAGAGAGCACAAACCAAACCAGCAGTAGTCTCAGAGCGGTTAAGCACAAGTGAAAAGATGAGGCTAAATCACTTATGTTCTTGCTTATCGTTCAGAAATATTGTTTATGGCTATTTAGCTGCACAACAGTCGCTTGATGTTTCTTGCAACAACGAAAATATTTCTTAACTTGTAATAATTGTGAAAAAAAGAATAAGTATGGAAGTCAAAACACATCACTGTTACAAAAAACTACGACAATCGTGTTCATTAAATTAAGAATTAAGTGTTAGGTAAGAACATGTTCTCAGTAAAAATAAAATGCTACCTTAGCTGTAGTTAACCAGAGTTACAATTCCCTATTATGTAACGATTATTGAATTATCGATTATGTGTTGTAAATCTTGCTTCAGATAGTGTTTCTTAATTTTAAATAAGGAAAAGTATAAAATCACGAACGAAAATGAGCTTGACATTTGTCTTATTATTAATGTACTATGAACTTGACATTTTTCACAATATTCATACCTGTCACAATGATTGACAGATAAAGGCAGCACCACTAATTAAGAAATAATCAGAAAGCAAAGACTTTCTACACAGCTGAGTATAAAACTTGGCAGGGAAAACGATGGCGTGACGACAGATCTCCTATTTAAATGCATTATACACACGCATTTTGGTAAAATCGTTCAACCTCCCGCTAATTGTTCCGTGCCTACTATTTACGTAAGGTGGCAATGTAAATAGGTGGCTCCTGTGCAAACTTTGTATTGCAACTACATGAAAAACCACGCAACAGGATATTTCCTGACTGTATTGACCATACGTCCCTCTTGATCAACATCTTTTTCTTTCGCAAGGCTCGACTTCCCTGACTGCTCTGATTCTCAACGTTCATTATCTTCTATGCACCATGGTGGTCTGTTTTTATCCAAATCTTCTTCACAACGAATCTTTTTTGTTGACCTCAATATAGTTTAAAGAAATTTCTCGTCGGTTCTTCTCTGCTTCTTTTCATCTTCACCTCGCTTCGACCGACCTTGCCTTCTTTTCAGTGTTCAAAACGATACATATTCAATTCGTATATTAAAATATCGCTAAAATACATATGGCGTGCATACAGGGTGTTTATATGGAAATAAAAGGTGACACTGAGTGTTCAAGTGCATGCTAAAGTCTTAATTCAAAATTTGCTACATGAATACAGTTAAATAATATATGTGTGAATGAAACATCAATGTATTTGAGAGACACCTCGTAGAACAACAGTCCTCACATTTCAATGTAAAAATTTTTTATGAAAGTTTTGAGAATGACGTTGACAAAGGATTGACTCACAATTTATTTATTAAGTGTTGAGTGGTATCATTGTAGAGACCTTGGCTGGCTGTGTTTGAACTATGGCGGTAAATAATTGGCCAATGCTTTCAATGTTGTCAAAAATTGTCATTTTAACATTTCTAACAAGCACTTCTGGGAGAGCTAACGGCTACAAATAGGCTTTTTTCCACAAGAAACACTCGCAGCGCAGTAAAGGCAGTTGTTTTAAGAAAATTAAATGAACGTATATATAAAGAATACAAATGCAATTAGGCGTGCGAAATGTTTGCTTTGCCAGTGATAGAAAATCATTGTACTTCCTGCAAGAGTAACTAATATCAAAATTTGATAGAATCTCATGCAACTCTTAGCGTAATGTAACAATTTCATTTTTCGCAAAAAAATCGTCCAGATAATCAGGGCTAATGAAAGATTGTGGTTTTTATTGAAACAAGAGTTGATGACGATAAAGGAAGAGTAGCTGTGTTCATCTCGACTTCTATACTTTTAGTTTGTTATAGATACTTTTAGTAGCTATGTTCCGACTTCTCGACGATGTTTATTTTCCTCACAGACCTCAGCATACAAAACACGAGTTACTTAATCCAAGGAATTTAGCCCAATGGCTCAGGATAAGTTTTAACAACGTATTATGGCTCTCCTCGTTGTGTTCGTTGATCTTTTTAACTTTTTAATTAGCAATTAAGGGAGTTGGTCGTGTTAAGACAAAGCCTTTGCAATATAAATAATGAACTATAGTCCTTGAAACTTTAATGTAAGTTCACGTCAAGTTTGCATATGAGTCGACAAACACTAATTATCTTGATGCTCTTTTCGTGATCTTGAGGAGGCGTCATTCAACAGGCAACTTATTTATTTTATTGTGTTCAAAGTGAATTTCTTTAATGAAAAAATCCCAATCAAATCCATATTCACACAGAAACACTAAATAAAACCATTACATTTCCTCGAGATTCGCACGCACAGAGACATAAATGATGAAACGCGTGTGTTGTATTTTGAGTATTTTGTAAGAATATTTGAAAAGCAATAATGAACATTCCTTTCGTTTACTGAATGCCATGGAATATTTGCATTCGCTTTCCTTTGATGTAAGAACAACTTTTAATGTTTATGTCAATATTTGTAAACGACAATTTCACTGGAGCCGAAAGTCAAACAAAGGGATTTTAGTGTCGAAATGACACGCTGTTACTGCTTGTAAGCAAAACTTGAACGGCTTGGTTGTTGAGCGACGTAGAAGACACATTTGTCAGGATTATCAAGCCCTGGTATACAATGTGTTGACAGCCATCGCACTCTAACAATACAAGTCCTTAAAATTTCACTAAAATCAATAATTAATAATTATGTACATTTTTGCCAGAGAAATTCTACAAAACATGGATTTTATCATTTTTCAGGAATGAGTTTCAACTTTGTGGACAATAAAGTTTGTAGAAAATTACAAAGATATTTGCGCTAAGGTTATAAGCTATCATTGGCTACAAACAAAGTTTATTTAATAGAAACGACTAAATGAAAGGAATTCAGTCCCAATTATTTTTGTGTATTAATATTCAACTTTTTTCAACAACAAACTGTACAGTTCCAAAAAACGTATAATAATACAGTATATTACAAGAATCAAAACTCGCATTGGCAAAATATTATTCCTTTAGATAAACGTTATAAAATTTAGTTTACTTTTTCACTATTTATAATTATTACACACTCACAGTGGAATTAAGTTTAGTCACTATCAATTTCAGCTCCTGCAGCCATGTCGATTCTTGCATACTCGTCGGAATCAATTGACTTACAAAAGTATATCGCATATTTCAGCTTCTCACTCAGCACTCGAGGATGAGAATATCGAGGCAATTTCAAAAGAAAGAAACAGGTATAACTTTCCGGAAGGAACGTGTCGGGTGGATTGTACTTGTCCAAAACCTATTATAAAAAACATTGTGGGCGAGGATTTAGGGCACCAATACGTATATTGAGTGCATTTCTTGAGTTTCGATGCCGCCATGTTGGAGGACAGATGCAAAAGAATATAGAATTCTTGGGTTTCAATCAACCACAGGGGCCATAAAAAACAATAAGGTTCGCCCACGCCACCTGGAGCTCACAATAGCAGTATTAACTTATTCTTTGGTATTTGCCCTCCGACATAGCAGCATCGAAACTGAAGAATTGACAAATTACGAACATTTTCAAAGACCAAAACGTGTATAAAAGATGTATGTTCAAAACGTTTAAATATATAAATGCAGATAGGAAGAGATGAAGAAATTAATTTCTTAATAAGATTCGTCTAAGATATACAAGGGTGTATCAAAAAACAAGACTTCAAAATCAACCACTGATGAGATTTCAATGCTCGATCACTATCTAATTCCACAGGTGCCCTACTGTGCATCTCAGGCTGTTCGAAGTACAAGTAACGTCAAATTCACAGGAGCAGAAAATCTTGTAACAAAGATATTTAATAAATGCACGTATTCTTGGTTTGCAAGTCATAGCCGCCATGTTGGATGATTTTAACAAAGGATTTGCCTTAATTACAATGCAAATTTCATCCAACATGGCGAGCATTTCATTGTTTTCGTACTCCCAGCTAAATGGCTGCAAGCCACCAATAGCAGACAATACTTTATGCACACGTGGGCTTTGCATAGTGGTAGACATTGAAATTATCACAATACGTCAATATCTACTGGTCTTCTTTTTTTGATGTACAATCTGTTAAGTATAAACTGCAGTAATAAAGAGGTAAAAACACACAATGTCCATACTGCATTCATCAGTGATGTAGCCTAGTATCGATAATTGGGAGAGGAGGGGAAAATATTCATAGATGCATGTTATAAACCGCAGAAAACAATCGATTACAAAAGAACTTAATATGGCAAAATATGAATATTGCCCCCCAAATTATCGAGCTTTCCACACCACTGGAATTCATACCTTGCAAAGAAATACATTTGAATGACAACGGTACATACCTGAATAACAAAATCTCGTCCTCGAAAATCAGCAATAGTGCGAGGCAATCGGGTACGACCCCAAACAAAACGTAGGAAAAGAGATCTTTCCGTATTTGTGAATTCTTCAAGTGTTTGCCAGAACCATTTAATGAGAGGCGCCCCAGGATTGACTCCCTTGTACGTGGTAACTGACCTCAACAAATCCAGTGGTATGTCTGGACTACCACAAACCATAGTTTCAATTTCAACTCCAGTAAAGAGTGATAATAGGGGAACCGGTATGACTTCAGCCATTCCCTCTCGTATTGCCTTTACCTGACGATCAAATTCGCTAAATCTATAGTTTAGAGCACGTCTTACGTATTCTTCTTTATTTTCAAAGTTTATAACAGATATCTTTGTATCAAGAGACACTTCACGTCCACTAGCACTTGGCGTACTAAACGGCATATTCATCGCATCAAATCCTTTCTCGTCCATATCACGAATGCAGAGAAGACCTGGAATGTAATCTTTATCGATCTCAGCTAGATCTATTCCAGTGAGAGTCATACCGGCAAACTGCTTCCAACACGGTTCAGCAAGAGTCAGACTCAGGGGACTGCCCGTACGAATAGCGATACCAAGTAGAACGCCAAAGAAACGAAACATGGAAAGATGTATTGGTGAATGAGCGTCTGGATTGATGATGAAACAATCTCTATTTGCACCGGACTCCTCACGACCATTAGGTGTAACAACAAGAAGCGGCAGTGAACCATTTTGAAGTTCATCACATATTTCAGCTATAGACTCGGAATAACCTCCACCACAATCATCAACACTTTCACCGATGAACTTAACTTTCCAAATGCGGTGTGGCAGGAGGTAATTTTCTCGAGAGAAACTGGACATGTTGGAAAATACCTGACCAAATACAGACTTTGTTCCATCTGGCCCAGCAAGACCGCCTTTTTGACGACTTTTTCTCACTTGCATGCGGTTTAGCTGGATAACGGGACCATGTTGACGATCACGCACCATGGTTTCTTGAATGATTTTACGAAATGTAGAATCCTAACAAAATATTTAACAGAAATAAATCCTATTATGCATGATAACTACAGAAACGTAAAGCAATAAGTGAGGTCAAAGATCTCATTTATAACCATCATAGGGATATAGAAATATTCATCAAATTTATCAAAATGAAACAGTTAACTTTGGTTGACTTTCGACAAGACTTAAAATGTATAAAATGACATGATTCACCATATGATAAATAAGATTGCTGCGGCGCATCACACTTATTTAAAAATTATTCACTTATCTACTTTTTCCTATTTATTACCCTTTAAAATTTTATCAAGCAGCCCTACTGAAGGTAAGACCACATTTTATCAAGTAGCTTTACTGAAGGTAGAGCCACATTTTATCGAGTAGCCTTACTGAAGGTAGAGCCACATTTTATCAAGTAACTCTACTGAAGGTAGAACCACATTTTATCAAGTAGCCCTACTGAAGGTAGAACCACATTTTATCAAGTAACCCTACAGAACAGCCTTGACTAACGAGCAAATTGAAGAGCATGTCTATGGTTAGGATACTTAGGGTTATGAATGACGTCATACCTTAACCGATGAAACCAATACAGCTCTTAAAGTATCAGTATTGATTTGTAAAGCATGAGGTTGATCTGAAGATTGTACTTGAGTAAGGTCAAACATGGGAAAAGTGCTGCAAAACATCTCTGAGAAATGATGCAACATAATTAAACGATTTCGTAGCACCACAGTAGCGATATTGCGTAAATGACTGTACTCAATAGGTATGACATCGGGAAGTTTACCAGAACTTATAGATTTGGAAGTCGACCATGCCAGTGTGTGCGCAGAGCCACAAGCTAAACGATTAATTTGTTTTCCCTGAAAAATAATAGAAAGAAATTCCCTGTTACAAAAAATATATGATTTGGTAAGGAAGCATTTTGAGGATAATTTGTCGTGCACTACATCTCGCAATTCTATATGTTGTTATGTATGAAACCAAATTGAACTTTGAATGGATGTGTTTTTGTTAATCACCTGTAAAGCGTTGACTAAACGCGGTCTTTGTACAGCGTTTGTACTGGCATCACCCAATTGACCTTCATCATTATCCCCATGTATAAACCTCTCCAGTATCCGTGCAAGCAACACAATGTAAAGATCCAGTGACGACACAGATAATATTTTTATCTTGCAAAGCGGATACTTTCTTTGGTATACGAACATGTTCGTCGGTACCATGACCAAGGCGATAATAGTCTCCTTTGCCCCTAATAATACACAATTGATCAGTTATCAATATGGATTTATTCACAGTCTAACATAAGTATAATATAAATATATGGTGAAATGAATTAAAGAGTTTTTAAGCTTACGATCACGATGTAATAGTGTGTATATCGAAAGAAAATAAACTTACCATGTATAAAGTTCGCCATATTTGGACAAAGCAACAGAAAATTGTGATCCACATTCGACAACGACTATTCCAGCCGAGGTCAGAGTGTCAATTTTAACAGGCACCTTACAGCCATCACTTCCACCTCGACCCAGTTTCCCATAATCACCATCACCCCATGACCACACACAATCGTCATCAGTTAAGGCAAGCGTTTGTGCGTCTCCGCTTCCACAAGCAACATCAACAACACGATAACCATTGAACGCTTCTACTTTTCTGGGAATAAGTTGATCTTCACTGTCTCCATGTCCTAAACGACCGTAGCGACCTTTGCCCCAGGTATAGAGTTCACCAGAGGAAGTGATAGCGGCGCTATGAGAGCCACCACACTTGATGTCTATCACAGATTTACCGCATAATGCATCAATAATACGAGGACGATCACAAGAGCTAAAGGAAATTCAAATACCAACATTAGAAACTTTAATAAATCATCAGCAAGAGTGTAATTGATCAACATTGAAAAAATAACCACAACATCTTATGCTTCACGGAGTTTTTGTCATGTTGAAATGCTCGAAAATATTTTATTTTGAATATTAAGATTAAAACAAAAGAAACTATATCCTTGCTCTCTTCTAAACATAGTACATTCATATGTCTCAGCCTAACCTCATCTCTCTCGAATTATTTCAGCTGTCACCTATACTTACAGCCTATTTCCATGTCCTAGTCTACCATCATCGCATTCTCCCCACGAGAAAACATCTCCGTCTGATGTCAGTGCTAACGAATGCTTTCCACCACAATGAACTGCAACTTTTTTTATGACGTAGTGCTGTAAGGTCTCAATTAATCGCGGACTCATGCACGTTTCTGAGCCGCCAAGTCCTAATCGGCCCCCGTGACCATATCCAGTCGCATGTACCTGAATACAGTTAATTTTCAATCAAATATCAAATTCACGTGAAATTATGATTATTTTTGTGCTATTTATGAGAAAACTGCAAGATGTACAAGTTGTGTGATTCTGTCCAAAAACATACTTTGCCTTCAGCTGTAACAACAAAAAGAGATTGCTCGCCACCACAGATTTGAACAGGTTTCAACGAAGAAAGAGAGTCACATTGCTGCGGTATTTTCACTTTCGGACCTTCCACACCTCCCAGTTGGCCGCGATGATTGTGACCCCAGCCGTAAATCATATTTGTCCCAGTCCAGGCCATTGTCCAATCATAAGGGCGTCTTAATTGATTATTAAATACTCGTTTAGTTATCATTGTAAAAGTGGTTGATAAATACAAATAAAGTGTCAAATCTAGTCTATTCATAGCTAGAAAAAATCAAAAAACAGTTTGGCACTAAGGATTTTCTTTTTTAAGATCATACAGCCTCAGAGTAATACACGAATGAATGTAGGGTTAAGCCTTACTGCGTGAACTTAAAAGAACCAACAATTGGTGTGTTAATATTGATAGGCGTCTTTCATTGATTAAAGAAAGACCTATGACACTAATGACCATAAAATCTTTTTATGAAAGCTGGAAGTATACGGTGTGGATGATTTGCTTTCGACCTTGGTTCCGATCATATTTGAATGATTGTCAACAAAGGTGTCATGTTAATTTTAACTAATTTTCCCACGAAAACGTGAGTTCCCCAAGGTTCTATTATTAGAACCGTTCTGTTTTTGGTCAATATCATAGACCAAAAAATAGCCAAAAATTACTGAAAGTAATTGAAATGACCAAGTATGGCCACACTGAATACAAAAACTCCAAAATCTGGCAGCCTGCGTCGTAACGTGTTCAATATATGACGTTATATTTCACCACCTTTATGAAAATTTGAAGGGGAAAACCCATTTATCATTCGTCAAACGCAAAAGGCTATTTTATGTTTAACACACTTTCCGTTCAAACCCCTCAATATTTACAGAAAATGTTAGTGATAGTAGATGTCAGTACTCCCTTCATGGCAAGTTATTCATTCCTAAACCTAAAACAGATTATTTCAAACGTTCTTTCTCATATGGTGGAGTTTCTCGATGGAACAACTTACCAGAGCCACATAGGTTAACGTCTAATCTAACGGCGTTTAAAAATAAGTTGGAGTTTCTATATTCCAAACAAACCGACTCCCACAAGGCAACAGGTAGTGCACTACTTTTCTTTCTCTAGTAATTTTACTTTATTTTCATTTTTATCTACATATTTTTATGACCTCTTATTTTAGTGTAATCTAGTGTATTGAAGGTTTTTTTAATCCGTATTTAAATAAAGTCAAATAAAAAAAATTCAAAAACTTACCGGCTAAACCAATTGATCAATTGTTCATCTTGCTCAAGTTTGAATAATCCATGATCTGTAAATCCACGATCTACGTTCTCACCACCTCCTACCTCCTGAATCTTTACAATAGTTGCGTCCAACATCTCCTGAGGTAGCTCAGTGCGTGCATCCAGAGCCAAGGATGTTCTGCGTGTCGTACAGTATCGAGTTAACCACGCCCAATCGTGTTGACTGTCGATGCGCGGAGAAAGTTTATCAATGCCTAAATCGCAGGCAAGCGCAATTAAAACCTAAAAGATGAAAAAAACATTAAAATCATATCTAAGATGAGCATCGCATGTTCATTATTCCGAGACGTTAGAAAACACAAACACAGCTAACTAAAAAATGGAGTCACCAGTCATACCTGAAAGAACGGACTGAAAAATAGATGTTTACCATTTCGTACCAGGGCTTCGTCATGTTCATACTGACGTTGTAACATGTTTGGAAGTCCTTTAATCAATGAACCCAGGGAAGAAGATGTAATTATCTGAAATACATTACGCTATTTTAACACGATCCTATTGGTTAAAAATAATCAGATATAAGATAATCAATGGACCCAGAGAAGAGGACGAAATCATCTGAAAAACATTACGCTACTTTAACCGGATCCAATGGGTTAAAAATAATCAGATATAAGACTAATATCCCAACAACTACGTATGTCGAAACATAAACTAACCACATTCAATGCAGGATCCAAGCGTGGTTTTATTTTGCACCATTCTTTTGATGACTGCAGACGTGATCCAAGAAGTTCAGCGATGTGAAAACGTGGACCATGTTCAGATAAGAGTAGTTGACGTAAACGAAGCAATGCCCATGTTCGATGTTCAGAACATAAGCTCTCCAGTTGTACACAAGCAGCCAGTGAAGAAGCCAGATTCACTACCAATTCGCACTTCACGAGAGACTCGAGCTCAAAATCTGCAAATAGTAAAGACTGAGTTAATGAATTCCCCGTGCATTAAAAATATCCATGAATAAAAAGCAAAAAACTCAAGGGAATTCATTTTTTCCGTCAATTTGTATCATAAAAACTTACTCGAGAGCTTTTTCTTTCAATTTGAAGCCTTGCCTGGAATCAAAAGTGACTATCTTAAAGTATACTTTTTTGTTGCTCTTGACGTGTTCGACAAAAAATTGGTGAAATTAAAATAAATGATGTATCAAAAAGCAGTTGTATGCACTGGCGAGTAAGCAGAGAAAAAATTCAACGTTAATCAAAATGAAATGCTATAGACATTCTATTTTAGATCCCTCACCCCCTCCCCTTGATCATGTGCTTTATGAAGAAGCTACGACTAAATAACATTAATCTCATTCTCCAGGACAAAGTTCTTTCATTTCGTTGCACATTTATACGCGATGACTTACGCGACAAACCATACGCACATCTGCAATGAAAAATAATCCTTATCAAGCTTGTCTTACTTACCCAACAAACATACAGCAAGATCAATGGATGGTCGAGTTAAGACGGTGCGATCAGGAAGAACATCATAAGGGATAATTGAGGACGCTGTAGGATAGACAGTCATTTTCCATCCCCAGCTTTTCATAGGTCCCGTGCTCATTACGGTAAATTTATACCGCATTTCATTGCCATTGATATTGAATGCATTGGACCATTCAGTTTTTTCTCTTCCACTAAGATTGGCAACTTCTCGACCGTTACAGTCATGCAAGGTAAGAATATCTTTCCATCGCTCAGTCGAACACTGTCGGTCGAACTCGACCCGAAGACATGAGGCACCAGGTATCTTGACGTAATTACATATTCCGCTGTCAGCAGCAGTGTATGGATGAGAACTCTCAATGATTGTAGGTTGATGAGCTGAAGGAACATTCTCTTCACCAGCAACGACATTGTCCAATTCTGTCTTACACAACTCAACCAGCATTTCTGCCACCTTATTCATATATAAAGAAAACGCATTAAATTGCAGTAAATAACATCATTTTACAGGCAACAGTAAAAATTAGGTCAATTTGTTTGTTAAAACAGATAAGCGCCTGAATCATGGTAACATTGTTCGACTTCCTATTGAAAAAAAAAACATTAAAAAAACTTACTTCGGGTGTATCGTCAGCAAGTTCTTTCAAGACATTTGACACTGACTGTTTACCCTCTTCGCTGGTTCTGTTGGCAACGGCTAATTTCAAAACATCTACCAATAGCGGGACATCTTTCGTCCCTAACTGTTTGGATAGCTCGTTCAAGCTAATATCAGATGGGACAGTACACACCACAACCTCACTAAACGTTGATTGAGGTATGGCGGACAGATCAATTGATTTAGTAGAAGAGCTGGCACGAGCATCAAAGACTTGCGAATCAGAATTATCAGCCTTTCCCTCGGCCTTGCAAGACAAAGAACTTACAACAGCTTCTCTTGCAAAATGGATCTGAAGAGCAGATAAGATGTGTCCAAACGCATGTTGTCTCTCGCGTTTCTTTTCAATGCGAGAACGATTTTCGAGAGAGAAGGTCGTTGTTTGCGTGATTTCAGTCCAGTTGTTTTCGCGTCATCAACGTGTTTTTTTGATACAAAATGCTCACCCAGTTTATCTTCTCCAACTGGATACGGAACTGGCTCATGATTGGTTGTTGCTTGATTGTTTGTATCAGCCCATGCAATGCTGTGCGATGAACCGCAAGCAACTCGCGTGATTTTCACTCCTTCTAAACCAATCACAATATGAGGACGACGATTCACAGACGTCGTACCATTACCCTGTTGTCCATGATCATTGTCACCCCATGCATAAACCTTTGAAATGTAACAGTGAAAAATCATCATCATTACAAAACAATATACTGTCATCGATGTGACGTGTAGGCAAAATGGTACAATTCAACAACTTCTAAACTTAGATTCATAAAGATGAGCTCTACATGTACATAGCATACTTTAAATAAGCACGGTTTATGAAGTTCATGAAAATTAGCGCCAAAGAAACCAATGATTTCGAACCCAATCCTCTAGATGTCTAACTACCGTGACAAGGTGAGGCAAGGACGCCATCTTGAAAGGTGGCAAAAAGCAAAACTCAAAATGAAAAGTTAAAACAAAGTTTAAAAAACCCATCTTATAAAACATTTCAATAATTAAGCCTAGACTATAAACTTTGCGACTCTATATCAACTCAGCAAAAACAGATATTTGTCGTAAATATCATCAGTTTTGCCACTTTTCAAGATGGCGGCTTGCCTCTCTCATTTACTATACAATATCGGCGGAGTCAGATATTAAGTAGATTGGGTTCTAGGTCATTAAGTGGTCATTGAAAGAACCACATGGAGACAGTGAATTTTGACGCCATATGTGAGGTCATAGGTAAGTAAAACAAGGATAAGACAAGTGGAAACATCATATTATAGTTTATGCTTACCTGTCCTTGTTCTGTGACTGCAAGACAATGCAAAGCACCAACAGCAACATCAACAATTTTCATGCTTCTAAAAACTTCAATAACTTGAGGACGACGAACATGAGAGTCATTACCATGACCAAGTCTGTAGTAGTCCCCTTTACCCCTACAAAAGAAAAGTCATGTCCACGAAACATCTCTTGTAGTCCCCATTACCCTTATAAAAGGAAAGCCATAACCATGAAAAATATCCAGTAGTCCCCATTCACTCGAACAAAAGAAAAGTCGTGACCACGAAAATTCTCTAATAGTTCCCGTTTACCCCTACAAAAGAAAGTCGTGACTACGAAAAATCTCCGATGGTCGGCCCTACCCCTAAAAAAGGAAAATCAAGACCACAAAATCTCTACTAGTACCTTTACCCGTGCAAATTAAAAGCGATAAATATCAAGGCGCCCCCCCCCCACCCTTACCTCTACCACACCAGTATATATTATTTATCAAAAAGTTGACTCTGAAGATGACTACCGCTAAGGTTGTCGAAACGTCAGTCAAGAACAACAAAAACAGAACTTCTCAGGACTATACCAACCTGGACGATCTACATTTACAAACATGTAAAAAAGTTTAGTGTTGATTAAAGAGTTACGATGAACTAACATACCATGTATAAACAAGACCAGATCTTGTCAATGCAAGAGAGAACTGGGCACCACACTCGACTTTAATAACACCTTCACCTTTCAACCTTTCTACAATTTGTGGAACGAAACATCCGTCACTTCCACCTCGTCCTAATTTACCAAAATCTCCATCACCCCAAGACCAAACATTTCCATCTTCCGTCAAAGCAAGGGTCTGAGCGTCACGACTACCACAAGCAACACTGACGACACGGTGACCTTGAAATGCTCGAACCTGAATACATATAAGAAAAATCATTAAATGCACAACTTAAAACTCTTCACCACTTTTTAAATGAAATAAAACTAAAAGTGAAGGTAGAAACTGCATCAAATATTTTCTCACATAACATGTTTTTTACACAAAACATTAAAAAACGTCAAAAATATTCAACAAAGAAAATTTTGCATGAATTGACACGGAAAATTACTCCCCCGTTCAGAAGAAAAATCATTGAAAAAATTCAATACAAAATGTAAAAACGAACGGTTTTTAAGCATTAATGAACTTTAGAGTTACCTGTTTTAAGTGAAATTTAAGAAAAGCGGTCACACGAGAGAAAAGTAAAACATCACAGTGCAATGAACTTTATATTACTAGTGTCATTATGTCAAGTTAGTACACACGAATTTACTCAAAATGGAGCAATTTTCAAGAGCAAAATGTCACAATTTAAGTCAATTAAATATCATTGTTATTTTTAGTTCCACTTCTTAGAAACAACACTCACGTGTTTTGGTTTAGTCACAGTATTAACATCACCATGACCCAATCGACCGTATTCCCCAAGTCCCCAAGTGTATAAATCACCATCACTAGTGATTGCTGCGCTATGAGAACTGCCAGCAGAGACGTCCACAACAAATATGGACTTTAAAGTTTCAACAAGCTTAGGCTTATCACAGTTTCTAAGAAAACAAAGAAGCAGACAATCACTAAGTCAGTGGCTGTACAGTAATGACAATCATGTGCTTCATAACTATTCTTTTAATAACCCCCACACACACACACACACACACAAAAAATTTTTCGCGGCATATTGCACGATTAAATATATTATTTAATGACGTCAAACAAGGGGATCTTTTGATGGATGAACTGTCGAGTGAAAATTTGATACATTTCAAGGATTGAAATGTAGTTATGTATAAGTACGCAGACTTTTCTTAATGCAATCAATGGATAGTTATGTATAAGTAAGCAGACTTTTCTTAATGCAATCAATGGATAGTTATGTATAAGTACGCAGACTTTTCTTAATGCAATCAATGGATAGTTATGTATAAGTACGCAGACTTTTCTTAATGCAATCAATGGATAGTTATGTATAAGTACGCAGACTTTTCTAAATGCAATGAATGGCTAGTTATGTATAAATACACAGACCTTTCTTAATACAATGAATGGCTAGTTATAAATAAGTATGCAGACTTTTCTTAATGCAATGAATGGATAGTTATGTATAAATACACAGACCTTTCTTAATACAATGAATGGCTAGTTATAAATAAGTACGCAGACTTTTCTTAATGCAATGAATGGATAGTTATGTATAAATACACAGACCTTTCTTAATACAATGAATGCATGCAACATAGAAGCTTTAAAAATAAACACTCACTGCCTGTTGCCATGTCCAAGTTTACCATCTTCACCTTCCCCCCATGAATAGAGAGCGCCTAAAGCAGTGACAGCTAAGCAGTGCCTGCCACCTGAATGCACTTCCAATTTCTTCACATGAACACCAGAAAAGCCGTCTATCAATTGCAATAGGGGGACATTACCAGTTACGTTACCAACACCAAGACGACCATTTGTTGATTCACCACAAGCATAAATTTCACCGGATCTTGTAACTCCAAATAAAGTTTTGGAGCCACCACACAGCTGAACCACATTTAAATCAGTCAACACCTCCGACAAAATTGGAGTCTTGATCTAATAAAATATATTTATACAAAATATTTACGTTGCCTTGTTTAAGGATTTGACCGTTAGAAACTGCTCAATGCTGAGTTCATATCTAAAAAGCTCTAAAAGTATAAATAAGATACGAACTAATATGACACACACCTTTGATCCTTTTTGTCCACCAAGTTGATCTTTATCATTTAATCCCCAAACATAAACCTTCACTTTCCCATCCTCTGATTCCTTTTGAGAACGTTTACTTTGCGATATTACTTTCTTTTCATGTTCATCGAAAGCAAGGAATGAAAAACCACAGACAATCTGATCTTCGTCCGACTTACGTTTACCAACTATTGTTAATCCATGAACTTTCGTATCGATTCCACTACTACGACATTGAATGATGGATATTCGTACAAAACGATATTCCTATAAAAGATAAAAAAATTTTTACTTTATAGGACATATTCAGTTGAATTAAAGAGAGGTTTTGTCTTCAAACTGCAGCAGACGATGTTTGTACGTGTTTAGCATTTTGTCGTTACATAAAGATAAATAAAAACAAAGAACGTAGCTATGAAAAACAAAAAAAACTTAAATTCCTACTCATAAGAAAATTCGGCCTCAAGAAGGTATTTAAAAACACGAAAATAATAAAAAAAACACACGAAAATAATACCTTGAATTTAGATAGATAAACAAAATTGTTGACCCAATTGTTTTGAAGTTGATGATGTCAACAAGCAAGGTTGTATTTTAGCCAGGGGACGATTGCACAAAGGCGAAATAGCGCTATCCACAGGATAGCTATTTTAGTTTTCAAAAATCTTATACAAGGGAAAAATCCACGATTTGAACTGGACAATCAATGAAATAAAATATTGCATTGTTCTAAGCTAACAATATCTAATTATCGTAAAAAAATATAACCAACTTTTTTATTCATTTAAAAAATTTGCTATCCAATGGATAACGCTATTCAACCAATGCTCCGTTTGATTAAAATGTTAATTAGAGCGTAATTTTTAGCAGTTTATAATTCTCGGGGCAGAAAGCATTATGGATTCTTACTCTGGTTTTGATTTATGAAATATATTCATGTTTTGCATTGAGAAACTACTCAAAAAGAAGAACGGGATTTGTTTGGCAAATAAAAAACGAAGATAAATTTGGCATGGTTAAAATAGTAAAAAAAGCTTTAGCCTAAAAAAAAGCCTAAGTCTCAAGCAGCACACACCTCCTGAAGGTTTTCCAATAATTTCACAGTATGTTCATGTTCTTTGACGTACGTCGTTTTAACCTCAACCAATGATTGAACACTATCACCAACTGACGTCAAGACAACAGATGGCGTGTAACTGCTATCAGATGGATCAACGGTCATCAACAATTTACAAATGAGAATATCAGGATGCATCTCAAGATTGATCCAATGCTAATAAAACGACGATTAAAAACTAAATAACAAGAGGCATTGGAATGACTCACAGGAGTTGGCTCCTGAGGGAAAATAGCGTTTTTTGTGTAACATACTGTATTTTCTCATGGATTAATTTAGCTCAAACCAAGGTTTCTACTTCATGCATAAGTTATCAATATTGTTGAACAAAATCTTTCCATAATTTTAACATTATAGTTGTAAATATAACACATACCTTTCCTTGTGGTCCTGAGCTCTGCCAGTAGGAGTCAGTTCCATCAAATAATCGTAACTTGAGCCCTTCGCGAGACGATACCGTGATATGTTTTACGCATCGAGTCCAATCTTTGATAAACTCCGTACGTTTGATTTGCTTTTCTCGTTTTCGTACTTTTCCTGACCTACCAGCATGAAATGGTGGGCTCCCTTCTTCAGGAATACAAAGAAAAGAGTGCTTGTGTGATCGTGTTTCGAAGCAATTTTGACAAAGATTATAGTTAGAGCATATTTTGCATTTATAACGAGGACCTTCCAGAGGCTGCATATGGCAAGAGTAGCACCTGTGCATAAAAAGAAATCGCATTAACTGAACTCTTTTTTTACCATATTCTTTATACAGAGCTGAAAAAAGCCAAACTAAACGATTAAATACAGAAAAATGAACGTATATGTGATACAAAAACTTGACTTACGTAATCCCATGATGCATGACGGGAACGAGTTCCATTTCACTTTCGAGACCCGTCCAGTTTGCTTGTTGCTCAAAATCAACTTTGATATCTTTACCATTACTGCTAACGGAGACCACAGTACCAATACTGGAATGATTCACTGTACCCCACTTGTACTTTGGAGTTGATACAGACGCCCTTACTCGCACACGATCTCCAATTTTGAATGGTCGTGCAGTTTTACCTAAAATAAAAACATGACAGACATCAGATTCACCACAATTTTCCTGTTAGTAGGTTGATATTATTTTATAAGATTTGACTTAGCCACTGTCTTGTTGATGCTAGGCATAAATGATTTCGATACGCAATAAAAAAATTATTCTCCTGAAACAAGGAAAATCATCATTATTGATTGAAAAGGCATTTTAAAATCTTCTATTAATCAAGAGTAATGATCCAGTGGTTTTTGATCTTTGCAAATGTGCAAAACATATTTTCCAACTTTGCAATAAACGGTGGTTTCCCAAGTTTTCTTACCAGCAGTATCGAAACCAAGCAAGTCTACATGAACATATCGAACCCAATATGTTCCACCTTTTCTTTGCCAGTTAACCTGCACATTGAGATCGTCCAAACCATCACGATCAAGCTGTAATAGCATAAAAGATATAAAAGCAAAACATCGACAGTCATGTGAAATACGGGAAAAAATTTTCATCCTGGGCACAATATAAGATTTATGCTTGGTGAATCATATCAACGTTCAATCACATCCAACCACCTCATTTCTGAAGAGTACCAACCAAGGTTAGTTTGTTAATCAAATATAACCGAAAAATAATTTAGAGGCTGTTCACATGAGCCCGGTAGCCGGGTTTCAGCAAAGCGTTAAATAATTTTGGCAAATGGAGAGATTAAATACTTCACAACAAAAAACTTATTTAAGCAATTTCTCTTTGCTCTGGCTTTGCAAATTCACTAAACCTTCAAAATGAAAACAAATAATTTAGCCTGATTTGAAAATTACGACTAAAATGACATATGACGCTTGTAAGAAAAGGTTGCAAGTTTTGCGCTTAAAATTCTTTCTCTTAAAATTCAACTCCTTTCAATGACTCAAAATCATTTCACGCTTCGCTGAATCCCGGTTACAACCGGGCTTATGTGAACAGCCCCTAAATCAATCCTAAATCTACAACACGAAGCAGACTGGACTCCAAAGATAAGTCTTACATTGTTAATTTGAATATGCATTATGTAATTAAGTCACAATCATTATTGCCAAATTAAACATCATAGCAAAGATGTCTATCTTAATCGTCGTTACAAATTGCGAAGAAATTCCAAACGTAAAGAAAACTGGCTGGTATTTGCCTGAAGTTGCTCATCCTTACAAAGTTTTTAAAGATGCTGGAATTCCGATGACGATAGTTAGTCCTAAAGGTGGCAAAGCACCAGTCGTAAGTTTCTTATTTTACTTCCAGATACCTTCCGAGCTTTGTTGACAGTACATATTACACCTCACACTGAATAAGTGCCATACGGAGATTAGAATTTTAAATCGATAAAATAATTTGCAATCACTTCTTATAAAGGCCCGTATTTTGGCAAGAAAAATATTTGGATAGATTGGGATATTTGTTGAGAAATCTTTGGTCTGACGGTTTGCAAATATACTTTACCGAGGTCAATTTTATAATTTGACCTCTCAACAATAAATCCTTCCAATGCTCTTCGAAGATTAATAGCAACGACATAAAGATTTTTCAACCTCTCTTAGATCAGTCAAAGTTAACTGGTCTTTATTATAAAAATGTCGTGAGCAGTGAATTGGGTATAATGTAAACATCGCCGAAGTTCCGAAGTTATCCATATCCTGATAATAATCATGTGCTTGATTGCACATGATTATCAGAAATTACTTAGCATTGGTCGAACTTATTGAACATATTGGCCAACGTATATTTATTAAACGTTCATAGCTCGAACGAAGACAAAAGCATAATTGGGTTGCTACACCAGTTAAATTTAAATTTTGTTGCGTAAATAGCGACAACATACGTTTGGTATGAGCTTTAGCATTGATGCTAAATCTTTTGATTGGATAAATCAGCTATAGTTTTTAATAATCAGAGTAAACATATTTTACTGTTGTGCAGCAATTTTATGGAGAGTGTTTTTGGCGGTCATTCTATTGGTATATTTGCATGATGAAGCTTCTACCAAGCTGAAATAGCCAAGAGTCACTTTCATCATGACTGCAAAATGTAATTACAGGATTCAGGAAGTGTTGAAGCATTCAAAGATGATCCGATTTGTGCTCAACTGTATGCAGACAAAGAATGGATGAGTCAATTTGAGATGACACAGGCTATAGCAGATATTGATGTAAGCAAATTCAATGTGATTTTCTTTGCTGGAGGCCATGGACCAATGTTTGACTTACCAAACTGTGATGCATCAAACAAGACAGCTGCAAAACTATATGAAAATGGAGGCATTGTGGCAGGTGTATGCCATGGTGTTGTAGGTATGTATGTAAACTAAAGGAATTATAATATCAATGCCAGCCTTGTGGAAAAGGCTGTGAAAATTAAACTTTGTTTTCATGGAGGAAAGTTTAGTTGAAATAATCCTGTAGTCATTGTCTAAAATATTCCCAAAGATCTATTTGTACACAGTCCTTAAACTCTTCTTTCAACCAATGTTCCATTTCCATCGATGTTTCTCCACTAACGTGATTAAACCTGCACAAACGATGTTTTTAGGCTTTCTTAATGTGAAGCTATCCAATGGCGAATGGCTGATAAAAGGAAAGAAAATCACCAGTTTCACAAACGAAGAAGAAGATCTTGTGCAACTTAGTGACGCTATGCCATTCATGCTCGAGACTGCATTAAGAGAAAAGGGAGCTATTTTTGAAGGTGCTCCACCATTTCAGGAAAAAGTTCACGTGACAGATCGTGTCATCAGTGGTCAGAACCCAGCCTCAGCAACACCACTTGCAATAAGCGTAGTGAAGAAAATGAAAGAACTAAAATTCATGTCATAAGAGATCAACAGCCCCATGCTAATACGCCATTCTCGATTGCACTGAAATGAGATTCCACCGCCTGTACTGATAGTGTGATAATGCTATAAGATTAAACCTTAAAATACAAAGTACTATTGTTTGATTGTCATTTATCTGAGTTAAGCGCACGCTAAAGATCTATCAACACAATTGCAGAAAGGTAAAAGTGACAAAACTAACCATTTGAAAGGATGGCACAACCGGCATTCAAGATATCGAAACTACTAATTTAGTGCTCTTCATTCTGGATTGAAGGTGTGAAGATAGTGTAGTAATAGAACGAGATAACATGGTCCAATTATTCATAAAGCTATACATTTGTTTTACGTACCTTCACAACCTTGCCAATATCACCTTCATGAACTTCTTCGTATGTTCTACAACACTTCACCGTCATACCGACTTGTATCTTGTCTCGAACGTATTTAGCATACTCCTCGTTGTCATGAAAGAATGTTCTGTTTTTATAGACAACAGGTGCACCATTTATTTGTTCAGAAGATGAGTCGTCGTCACTTTGACTGCTGCTTGAGTTACAATCCCATTCATTCTCAGAAGAAACATGTTCAGTTCCATTCATTTCCGGTATCTAAATGAAAATATGTATAGCCTTTGATACATAACTCGACACAGTTTGTCTATCCACGCCTAGTATGTATGTGGCTTGAGCCCTGAATATCCTTAAAGTATGAAGATGGGTGGAGGACGTTTGTTGAAAAGAGCCTGTTGTGATACTTTACACTCGAAAGTTTTTACCATGTTTAATTTGGAAAGTTGAAGCAACTACAACATAGCTTACGCTCGGCTAAGTAGGCTTTTCATGTATTTTACTGTAGCAAAAATATGAAAGCAACATGTATCGATTTTTCTCAATCACAACAACATACGTAACTACTTAATGTTGTCTAAAAGCTGCTTTATACTCGCAAACCGAAATACATTCAAAACAAAATCCAGAGAGTTCTACAAGATGATAGCTAGTTCAAGAAAACATGATGACAAGTAACGTGATTTGTAAGCAGTCAGTGCATATTATGTCACAGATATAGTGAGCATTTCACTTGCTTTTGATTAGTGAAGGAATGGGCTCATTTCTAAAAGTTTTGGCTACATCTTAAACGCAGTCAATCTTGATGGAGAAAAATGTTGATGAATATAAAGTCAATACCTCAGGATGATCGAGTAACCACGCAACAACTATCTCAGGTCGCGGATTTTCCACTTTTAGTTCCTTCAAAGCGTATTCCACGTGACTTTGGGGAAAACCCATCTCAACACACTTAGTCAAGAGTGGGTTGGTAACTTTCGTAAGCGATTTCTTTCTCTTTAATGGCGAATTACTGCTACGAGGAGTTGCACCTTTACCTTTAAAACTGATCATGTCAATGTCACGTGATACAGGACTATAGGCTTCAGCAGCTAAATATTGACAGGTTGAGAGAGCAGCAGCCTAAGAATGAAACAAAATTAATCATTGACCACAAAAAAGGCATAATTTGTTCGATGCACAGACAGTTCACAAGACTTTACAATTTGCTGTTTGAAAAATATGCTTCGTCAACCCGCGATTTGATTGGATGTATTTGGAATCGGATTTGTATAAATATATAATTCATTTATGAACGTACTAAAAACGTGAATTTAACTTATGAGTTCAGTTAAGAGTTTAGGAATTTCTCAAAAAGTCAGTGAAATATTTTCTATAGCAAAATTCTAATGAAAAACGAAATTGATAATTTTCTGGCACATGAGAACAACAACTCACTTCTAACTCCTCCCGACCAAAGATTGGTTTTATTGGTGAGGGTCTTACTGCAGTTTTCAACAATTGTTGAAACAGTGTTTGCGTATCCGATGAGCCAGCATCTTGTACATCTAAAAAGCCAGCGGTTTGCGCATCCAAAGAGCTAGCAGCTCGGTACGACGAAAGAATTATCTTTCTCAGATGTTCTTGGGGACTTAAAAGAACGCGGACCGCTTTCAATAGTCCAAGACAAATTTGCTGCTTCCGTAGTAAAACAGTATCGATGGCGTCAATTACTTCTACAAAGTGAAATCAATCTAAGAAATTATACCTACGTAATTATCAGTATTTACAATATGTAGATACCAGGTATGTGACGAAGTCTTTCAATTTTAACTACTGTCGCAATGTAGCTACACGTTTTATACGCTTTTCAGTGAAAATAAAGATCAATTTATATTAGACTTAAGACATGCATCATTCACACCAACATAAATGTAAGAGTGTAAATAAGATACTGCACGTTCATTCTAACCTTGACTAAATGAGGGATCATACATTTCATCATCAGAAACAACCAACGAGTCACTGCTTTTAAGCACGCCTTCTCCTGTAAGTCTCACCAAAGATGACCATACACTTAACATACTTCCAGACACATTGAGACGCTCAACACAAAATGATATTACGGGAACCTACGTAAAAAAGCACAGACTTGAAAAAAACATACGTGTTAATGAATTAGTGGAGCCTTGAAAGATGTCAGATCACTTACAGATTTGAGTTGTGATATGGAGCAAGTATGAAGTTCGTTGCTCCCTTGACATTGCATTGTTATCTTTCCATTAGCAGCAATACGTGATACTGTACCAATACCATAGTCCTTGTGATACACCATACCACCTAAACGCGGTCTGCTATCGACACCACCAATCACAGCCAGAGCCGCCATAATACCACCTTCAACTGGTTCATATTCACCTGCATCTAACTGCAGAAATATTTTTTTGCAGACGTACGTTTTATTATATGCGGCGTAGCATTAAAAACATGCTCTTGAAAATATTCAAAATGAGAATTTCAAATTCATAAAGTATTGAGTACCTTTGATTGTGACGCCGTCTGAGCAATGGAATTTAGCCTGGCAATGATAAAATCATTGATCAAAGGATTCCATGAATCAAATGAATGAAGATGACGAAGCAGTACAACCAATTCTTCAGCAACGGTACTGCTATGCGAAGCGGTAAGAGACGCTTTGGGTTTGAATCTTCTATTTTGTATTCTCTTTCTACGATCTACAAAGATGAGATAAAAAATGATATATATATAAAGCGTAGAAACACCCCTTGTCTAGCTCAAAGAAATTCATATTTGATAAACATATCAGAAAAAACTTGTGTTTTGCAGTAATATTTTCAGCAAAGAATGGCAAAAAAAAAGCACTTACGAGGAATCGGAAGAATTCCTGTGCAACTCATCAACACACGGCCAAGTAATGCGAAGAGTTTTTGAACCAAATCCGACTTTTGCGAACCATAATCATCTGTGTTCCATGAAGGAAGAACAACTCGCATTAATCTTAACGTAAGTATCTAAAGAAAAGATTTTCTCCTCGTTTAGTCACAAGCTAAGTCTCTTTGAACAAACGTAGTTCACGGTAGGATAACGCAATAAATTAAACAGTAGTGTTGTTTACGACTCCCTGAAGCCATTCATAAGGAATATTGTGGCATGAATGTTACGAAAAGACGTACGCGGTCATTTATATGAATTACATAGCAAAATCGTATCAAAGCAATTAAAATGGATTTCGGAACAGTTTTTTGCCAAGAACGTGGATGTTGTGTATTTTAGAATAAAACATTTGCAATATTTCGAAGCCATAACACTTTTAAACACACGGGGAAAAAAATAACACATCTTGCTAAAAAAGAATTGACACATACAATCAAAGTTTAACTCCTTTGAACTTATGTTAATCCTACCCATGAACGAAAAATCTCTACATTGACGACAAAGTGTTGATAATATAAAAACTAAATGTTAGAGATACAGCATAATGCCTTAAGCTTACCTGACTAGGCAATTGACTGAGAAGTTTTGTTTCTTGAAAAGATTTCAGCTCATGGTTAGGTGGACTACAAAAATTTGTTTCGTCAAAACTTCCACCAACGACGTCAAGAAATAGATTTATCCACTGCGGTGAGCTGAATACTCTACTTGCTGATGGCGCCAATGTTATACCACGAATACAACCAAGTTTGGCCCATTCATAGTGTTGTTGACGATAGAGATTATCCATATCTTCTTCTGATATATAATAAAAGCGATGTTCATGCTTAAATTTAATTAAAGAAGCAAGTGTAAATGGGGTGTGATTGTGGATAAGAACATATAAGCAACAGTAAACAAGTGTAAATGGGGTGTGATTGTGGATATGAACATATAAGCAACAGTAAACAGGTGTAAATGGGGTGTAAATGTGGATAAGAACATACGTATAAGCAATACAGCAAGAAACTCGATCATTTATGCTGTACAACATTTAGCACTGTCAAAAAAGACTCAACATACATTAATCAATTAAAAGATGTTTACTGTGTTTGCATTGACTTATGCAAAGCAAGGAGACGTTTGGGAGAACTCGAGAGCAGATCAGTGCAAAAACCTGCTCGAGATATCTCACTAACGTCTTCGAGGTTTGCATAAGCCAGTGCAAACGCGAAAAACATCTTTTATTTCTGTTTAAAAACAACAATATTGCCAAACAAATAAATTTAAAACAAATGTTTCAATATTTCCTGTAACATGTATTCGTGATCGATTTGCGAATTCTCTTTGATTGATTTGACTGATTGAGCTCAGATCGGTTTTCACAGGCTGATGCAAACTCAGCTATAGACCAATCAGCGAACGCGTTCATTGCTGTTATTTTACATTTACCTTTGCTTCCTCTATCTAGAATTGTAAACAAAAGACCAGAAACTGTCTTCAATGCATTGAGTGGTACATCATCTGCATGAATGCCAGCAGATATCACCAAGCATCGAAATAAAGCCAAAGTTGAACGGCGTATGAGAGAAGTAGGATTGGAAAGTTGCTTGCCATCATTAGATGCTAACATAGTTTCTTTCTTTTCATCTACTTTTCAAAAAAAATCAAGCAAAATTACAATGGTTCCTACGGTTACTGGTTGGAAAATATTACATATTTCTTGAAAGATGCTTTATAAAAATATTATGTGATATTTACAACGTTGACGTGACAAATACCTGCTTTCATTTCTTCATCGCCATCTTCATCATCACTAGTATCGGGTAGAGGTGGTGGACCAGCAAGTTGAAGATCATATTTTCCTTCTTTCCCCATACGATACGAGTTTGTACATCCTGTATCCCACTGAATCCTTATCCAACCGTCATCACCAAGTTCGCCAACAACACGACCTTCTCCCGGAGGCTTTCCGTCCTGCACAATAGAAACGATACTTATGTCCAAGTATTAAAAAATAAACTTTAATGAATAAACACCTAAGCAAGAATTTTTCCACAACGTTTGAGCGAATCTCAGTTCAATTATCAGTTTTTTGACTTAAGACTCAGATTCGGGATGATTCAGGAATATTTAGATCCAAGTATCCTTTAATTCAGCCTTTTTACCTGGTCACCCCATTTCCAATCAGGTCCACGGATAACTTTAGTCCCTACTTTAAGCATTCTCGCCATTTCTGGGCCAACCGCCGGCAGAGGTTGAGGTGAACGTGCCTTTTTGTTCTCATCAATTACGGCAGCTGCTAAAAATTCTTCCTCGTCATCGTTTGCCTCATCAGAAGGTCCAGTTAGGCGCAAGATTGTCTATGGAGGAAAAACAAGTTACCTTTAAGGAAACTTAGAAAACCAGACACATCTCATGTAGCTTGTATTGTAGCTTATATCAATGTATCTCATTGCTTTTGCTTATACACAGTAATGAATGCTATTTACCTGAGCGAGAGCAAGAAGTCCGTTGTTGAGAAGCATACTTAGACCTGCGGTACTATACTCCATAGTCAACATACCCAAAGCAGACATCATAAAACGAGAACAGGGTAAAACACCAATAGAAAAATCAGATTTACTTCGACATAGATTAAGTTGTGATTTCTTTATTGAATCGTTTGCTTCCAAAACTGACTCGCGCAACAAACTGATGGACCATTCATCGATTTTAGTGAAGACATTTTCGAGCACAACTTGATCGTAGGGAGGAATTAAGTGGATATCTGATAAATTTCGTCGAACCAACGTCCTGAAAAACAAAGTTGTTCCTGACATTTAGCTACCTTTATTGTTTTAAACATAACTAAATCGAATATGTCAAAACAATATTATGGCAGAAAGACGGCAAATGTAAAAAAAGACAGTGTAGAAAATTTCTCCATATTATAGAGAATTTTCTAAAGTTGCAATGAATATAAAGCTCTTACCCTCGTTTGGAAGTATTTGTTGTAAGCCCCAGCCATCCACTGAGAATGGCATACTTTACAGAATTCATGAAACTCTTATTAAGCAATGACAGCAGAAACTGTGTTCCTTCTAAACGAAGTCTAGCTCTTTTTACCTATACATATAAGGAAATGTGGATGTTCGCCACTGCTTTTTTAGCTGCAGGTTATTACAAACTTGTTCCATAGTCGCATAATTCATGACGTTGGAAGCAATAATATACCTGACACTCCATGGCATCCATTATCAGCTCAAGATTTATACTGTCTTCTTTTAAGACAAAATCTTTTATGTGATTCATCAATAAAGATACCGAAGAATTACTTGCAACACGTTCTCGGAGCCATTTGAATTTCTTGATGTTGGTTAAAACAGATGATGGAACTGTAAAGGATGTCTGTAGGAAAACAAGATAATCCATATTTAACTTATTCTCTAGATAATGAATGCTTTATGTATTCTCTGATTGTAAAGGATGTCTGTAGGAAAACAAGATAATGAATGCTTTACATGCTCTCTGAATGTAAAGGATGTAATTCTTTATGTATTCTCTAACTGTAAACGACGTCTGAAGGAAAACAAGATAATGAATGCTTTATGTATTCTCTTACTGAAAAGGATGTAATACTTTATGTATTCTCTGATTGTAAGAGATTTCTGAAGGAAAACAAGATGATGAATGCTTTGTGTACTCTCAAACTGTAAAGGATGTCTATAGGAAATCAAGGTAATGAATACTTTATGTATAATACGATGGAAACAATTTGCACAAACAAGTTCGATACAGGCGGGTATTTTAGGTAAACTCAGAAATACCATAATCCACATAGATATATATATCCGTAATCGACCAGCCGTACACTCAGAAAGCCAGAGCTTTCCATTCTTACCGTTTGTTCTTGTTTTGATTCTTCGATCTCCGCTAGCCTTAAAGCAACACGTTGAACGTTTATTTGATCTTCTTTTTCATCCATTTCACCTTCTCTGTCATCGACATTTCTCTTTTCACCTTCTCGTGATTTTCTATTTTCCTGGATGACCTGCCTAACCAAACGCTTCCAACGAGGAATCAAGTTTAGTAGTTTTAGTTTTGAAAGCGCCGAAAGCTCACTGGAGACAGCAGGTCGAAGTACTTGAAGGAGAAACTGACATCTCTCGATTGGTGACGCACAAACTTCCTCGTAAGACCGGAATGATTCTTGATGGGACTAAACCATTTGGAAAGTCTCGTTCAAAAAATGCATAGCATTCATCTGTCTTTATCATTAGACACAAAAAAGACGTAAAACAACTGGGTTCTACCATGAAAAATACACATTGGAAAATAGACATACTTTGTCAATTAGTAAAAATAGGATAAGGTTGAGTTGAGATCAATTCGACGTTTGCATGTTAGTAAAAAAAAATTGCCATGCATACGCACGATGTAGCAGAGTTTTGGTATATTTGGTTAAAAGATAGTTGTATCTGATCAACCAATGGCTGATCTAAGGTGAGTCAGAATACATTAAAACAGTTACATTTAAATTCAAAATACTATATAAATAATCCTGTTCGTAAAATTTTCTTTCGTCTTCAAAATCGTCTTCAAAATATTCTTTAGAAATTTTTAACCAACAGAGTTATGGCTGTGGTATTAATTATGGATAACGAATCTATACTTCCGTTTAATCACATAGCACTATACACTATTTTGTATCCATGTAAACTTCCTATTCACTTCTACTTCGCACTGAAGATGGGATAAAGCATGCCGAAACATGTTTGCCTTAAAAATTTGTCGTGTATTTCAAATGTTTTAAAATGAGGAGTTGCAATGTATTCTGAGTTACCCTTGATCGGTCACTGCATTCAATCATAACTTGCACAGAGATATATAATGTGACAGAGTTTCATTGTATCATGTTATGAATAGGTAACAACCATGTTTATAATTGTTCAAAAACAATGATTAGTGCATTGAAAGATACCTTTATTAAGTTACACTTGGCCTGATTAGTAACTCTCAGAACTTGAACAAGTGATGCAGGATAATATCCATGTTCTATTGATGATGATAGCTCTCCATCAGGTAATTTGTCCAAATCCTCGTGCTCTATCAGAGATAACGCCATGCCGACTGGGAAAAAATGAATAAGACGGTGAACAAAACAATGCGGACATGAATACACTATCATATGTACATGGAACATGTAGTCAATACAGTTAAGCGATCATTGTCTGTCAAAGACGGTGCACTGACATGTGAAAAAAAGGAAAAGATAAAAATACTAATAGTTGTTTTCGTTGATGTACCGAACTAGCAAAAACTTTTCATTGGCGTTATAAAAAGCAGGTGCAATTTCTAGCGTATTCGTGAAAAAGTTTTTAATTTGGTCAAATCGCTCCATGTTTATGGCGGTTTAAAGTGGGCAGAAATACCCTTTTTGATGGATCTCCGTCGTCAGAGAAGTTTGGACTTATTTCTATGATGTCATTCGAGGGATCTGTCAATACAAAATATATATGCCACTTGAATGGTGGCTAGACCCAGACTTTATGTCACGACAGACAAGGTCCATTGACATGGTCGCACTTACAAGATGACGATTTCACCAAATTGAAAAATTTTATCAGCTACACCATTGAAACGGCCCAAAGTTTTATTAACGCAAATAAAATTTTTAATGGCGAGGCGACTTTGAACGTAGCTAACAAGTTCCATTTGATGCATGTGTTTAATGTCTAGTGACATTTCAAATTACAAAAAAAAACATACCCAGATCATGGTGTTTGAGTAAACAAGCAAGAAATAATCTTCCAAACTGCTCAACAGGGTGGTCAGCAGAAAATTCGATGGGTATTACGATTCTCTTTACATGACAACAACGTTTTACCAACGATAAAAACTTCTCCACACTATTTTCTTTGAAATTCTCGCATAGATTTGTGAGAAACAGTCGCACAGCATCGGAGCTCTGTACTTGGGACGTATTCTGACAGGTTGATTGAATTAATTTCTGAAATCCTTTTCCGCGCCTAGAAATGAAATGACAAGTTTTTGGAATGACAGACTCTAGAGCACTTGATTGTTAAAAAGGCAGATCATGGAACTGTAAAAATGACACATCCTAGAATACTTGATTGTCAAAATGATGAATCCTAGAACAACTTATCTTTTGAAAGCATAGAGTAGAAGCAACCATACACTATTTCTCCAACATAACATACACATTATTATGCATATAGCATGCGTCACTTATACGGAAAAATAGTGCGCTTTGATTGGTTTACAAACATTATCGGCGGTCCAATACATTCCCGTAAACAAATAAACAAAGTAGAGAAAAGTAGACTATGTCTTATGTATATGTTTTATGCTACGTACATAATGAACTTTTTTATTAAACTCGCTTTTCCGGTCTCTATCTCTCGCCCTATAAACTCAATCCGTACAAAAAGGCCCGGGTCCGATATTTCTCTATGAAGAAACTCCAATGCTATAGAACATACTCGCTTTTCTTGAAAACTCTCCTCTTTCAAGTATAAAATACGTGTTGACGAACCTACCTTTCATTTTTGTTTTGGTTATGAGAGTAAATGTCCGACGTTTCAAGTCCTCCAGCAAAGAAATCAGAATTTAACCATTGATCGCAATCTTCTTCGTCAGATGTGATAGAGCTTCCCTGACACAGCAGATGGGCATGATGGCCAAGAAGAAATGCCAGGCAGCGTTCAATATCTAGAAATGGTGCCAATACAGATGGAGTAATTTCTTCACATCGATGTTGTTCATCTGACTAAAAAATAAAAACAAAAAAATACAAGGTAATGTAAATGTCCGTCGAACATGAAAGACTAATTGAATATCAACAAACTCTATGATTTAAAATGAACCTTTTCAATCGAACATGAAATATTAACTAAGGTCTTTGAAAAGAAAATAATTTTAACAAAACAACAATCTGCTTTTTTATTTAACTGAACTTTTTTTGTTTCCACGGTTTCAATGTCCACGGCTGTCTTTTTGTCTACATTTCCTTTACTGGCGCATGACGGGTGAAAAGCAAAAGAAGACAGGCAACGCAAAAATATACAAATAAAAATCTGAGCATGCGCGGTCCACTAAGTCCCGTACGTATTATTGGAGTAATCATCTGAGCAAGGGAAGTCACTCAACCATGATCAGTCGACTCGACTAACTGTCCGAGTTCATAGCCATGGCAATAACTAATTGGATCTACTAGCGCCAAGTTTGTCGTAATTAGCTCGCTTTTATAATTTATTGAAGAAATTATCTGCGCATGGTATTGTATGCACGAAAAAGGGAGTCTTTCTTTCGAAATTGGTCCTTTTTCTCTAGCAATAAACTATAACATCAACGGTTCTGGAATATTTCAAACAACTTCTGTATCTTTGACTTAAAAGTTAAGCCAACTTTATAGATTTTTAATTCATTCATATCTTTCCTGATTTAACTCTCTCATTTACTGTTTCGTGTATCGCGAACAAACCATACATGAGCTTCATGGCAAAAAGGGATGTTTCTCAAGTTTTTACAATGAAAAGATTTGATAATCACTGATGATCTAAGGATAGAGCAAAGTTTAGAAGACATAAAACATCAACTTGTATTACGTCATTACCTCCAGATATACACCAACACAAAATGCTTGGATCATGTCCCTTGCTTCACTTGAATGTTTAGCAGCTTCGAATGCTTCTGTCGCATCTTTAGCTATAGTACATTTTCAAAACAGACAAACGTTTTAAAACATGAAATCAAAGCTTGAGTAAAAAAAATGATAAAGATGTATGAAATTGTCCAACCTGCGTAAATTTATTTAACTAAATTTAAGCTATATCTGGAGGAAAAGAAGCTCAGTTATACCTGAATATCTCGAGAGAAGTTCTTTTCCGCATGGTGCCTTAAACAAAAAGAAACTCAGGTTACATAGCCTAATGTTGCGGGGGTAGGGTAGTTGTGTGTGTGGGGGGGGGGGAGGGTAGTAGTGTTTGTGGGGTTGATCACTATATGAGTAATTAAGAATTACCTGATCTTTAAATTCTTGCAAATCATAAACTTTGCCGTGAATGATTACCCAAAGTCCGCCTTCCTTATTATGATTTTCTAAATCTGCCTTTTCAATCACGGCAAGTTCAACTGAATTTTCAGACGTTGTTGTCGATGAATTTCCTGAATGTCACAAATAAGCAAATCCTTACTCAATAATTCTCTCAACAAGCATCACTCGGATTTACAGTTTGATTAAAGCCACCAAGTAATTAAAGATGGAAAAATGATCCATTGCGTATTCACAATTATTCTATAGTTACCATTTATTTATCGAGTTCCAGCAATCAACAAAACATACGTCTTTAATTGAAGCTTCAAAAAACATTAGTTTCTTACCTAATCCTTCTTCTGACCAAACCAAATCCTCGGTGTCCTCCAACATAATGTTAGATGCCAATCGATTAAACTTATCCAAAAGCTCCATAAGATCACGCAACACAGGAAATACTTTAGAAAGTTCTGTTCTCAAACCAATACGAGTATGAAGGAATAGTAACGATGTCAAAAACTCGCTTAACAACACAGAAGGAAGTTCTTGTTCTATAATCCCTGAAATACGCGGTAGAAGTTCAGCTGTACTAGCGTAATTATGAGCTTGAACGAGAACTTGACTGACATGACAACACAACAGTTGAATGTATTTATGAAGAAGACAGAAAGAGGCTCGTAGGGCATCATCTGGTTGAGGATCTGCAAACGAAATACGCCAAGTATTTTCACAACTATACCGACAAAAAATACGACTGATAGTTGGATAATATGGAAAGTAACTTTGTCGAAACATTGAACGTTACCTCTTTGAGGACAGATTGACTCCTGCTGAGACATGAATATGACGAAAATGGAACCGACAAATAACCTTTGCAGTTTCAATAATAATTCCATTATCGCATTTTGATTTCCTTTCCTGTTATCCTGATGCTGTTCCCCAGATTGTTGTGTCTTCGCATGAAAACGATTCAAACAATTATCAACGCAGCTAATAAGAAGTTCTCTCGCCAGCTTTAATAATGGTGTACTGTTTGAGATATCCAGCGCGCCACTACTTAACTCTTCACTCTTCTCTCGCGACAACTGGTCCTTGACAGCGTTTTCAAAAGCACTTTCAAGACTGCCTTCGACCATGAGACTTTGAACAAGAAGATCAATCATAAAATCACGTCCGCAATCCATAGTTGTATTGTCAGCTGATCCTAACAAAAATCAAAGCTGTAAGGTAGTGTCATTCTGTACAAAAAAGAGAAAAGAAACTTTCCTGTTTTCTTATTTTTCGATGTAAAATTTTAACAGGACAAACATCAACTATTTATCACTTGTCCAAAGCGATGAATCAATGGAGTCATGAATAAGCGTTCTCAACTCAAGCGTTCAGCAATGGCATTCATTGAGTAAAAACTATGCTGAATAAATACTAAATGTTGCAAATTTCTTCAGAAAAATATTCAGTGAAATACCTAGCTTTTCGGAAAGAAGTTCAGACAAAGTCTTTGCTCTTTCTTCTGTAGTGGGCAGGAGTAAAGACCAGCCACTTCGCAATGCTCCTTTTGCAGCTGTTTTAACTGTAATCAAAACACCTTGGTTTATTGCAAGCATAACCACTTGCTGACGTAGTGATTGCAACAATTTACTGCCAATGTGAAGACCAAGATCATCACCACTAACATTTTCACGTATGGCGGCATTGAACTATACAATAAATCACATGAAAGATAATGAAGAATCGAAAGGGCTCAACTCGTTCACACATCGACATTTCATCAACATTTCAGGCTGGCAGTTACTTGTTTCAAAAGCAAAACCGAAACTGTCTCTTTTAAATTTTTCATTCGTTTACGATAGCTCGCTACAAATGATCAAAGACATTAGATACCTGCAATCGTAAAAGATTCAAAGCAGCAACAGCAATACATTCTTTTTCTTGTGCAGGAGGAGGCCAATCACGGGTACCATCAAGATCTTCGCTTACTCGTCGTAACAAAACATCCAAATATTCAAACGTAATCTTTCTTACATCAAGTACATACGGCGCTCTTAGGCCAACACTTGCCTTTGTTGCACTGGACCATAAAAAACTCTGAAATACACACAATAAAAGAATTACACACACACCAAACATTCAATACGACAGATTCGTAAAATTCGCGAAAAAGTAATGTGAAATCGACTGTAACTCGAGGAACATTTTTATATGTTTGAATCAGGCCATCAGAATACTAGGAAAGTATAAAATAGTTGTTTTCACAAAATCACCAACGCATCATTTTTTATTAGCTAAAGTTTATTTGTTGCAAAGTAAACAAAGGCGATTTAAACTTGCAAGGTTGGAGAACTTTGCCCAAAGATAAGTTCAGCCAACTAGAAACGCGTCAAAAACATGCTTTTCAAGAAAGACCTTCTTGCTGTTTGTGTATGAACCAATCATATTACAATAAACAGAAAGTAGCTAAAATCCTAGCTTCCAAATCTAATGAAACAATATTTAAGTAATTAATTTACCAAAAACGTATGAACAAGCAGCTGCATGTATACGTAAGAAACAGTCAGTGATCCGGAGTATCCTATTTAAACAACAAAGAATGCTCTTGCGAGTAGGCCTACCTGTGCTGGACCACATGCAACTTGATTGAAAGATTTTTCTTCATTTATTACAACTTCGGTCGGAATATTCTTGGAATTGCAGTTCGACAACCCAAGTTGCCCTTTATCATTTCCACCCCATGCAAAAACCTTGCCACATTTTGTAACGGCGAGACAGTGAGCGGTGCCAAGAGAAATAGCCACCACATCTCTTCCTCGAAGAGTTTCAATGACAACAGGAACGTGGCAGTTTTCGTCAGAGCCATTTCCCAGTCTGAAGTGATGACCTTTCCCCCTGAACAAAATATAAATGTTGCTAAGTCATGACGCTCCCCTGAACATAATTTTTGTTTTTAAAGATGGAAAATACGATTACATAATCAAGATTCCAAAATTCAAGTAGTTTTCAAGGAGTTGTAGCATTTTCCTAATTTCAAGGGCTCTTCAAGTGCATTTAAAAGTGAGACTTCGGTTCAAGAGCTTTTTCAATGAGTTCAAGGAGCAGAACGAGTCTCGAATAAAGATGTCGTTAAGTCATGACCGTTTCTCTAAACAAATAAAAATGCTCCCTTTCGCTGAAAAGAATAAAGATGTCGCAAAGTTATCCCCTTTCCCTGAAAAGAATAAAGATGTCGCAAAGTTATCCCTTTCGCTGAAAAGAATAAAGATGTCGCAAAGTTATCCCTTTCGCTGAAAAGAATAAAGATGTCGCAAAGTTATCACCTGAAAAGAATAAAGATGTCGCGAAAAGTTATCCCCTAAAGATTCGCAAAGTTATCCCCTTTCGCTGAAAAGAATAAAGATGTCGCAAAGTTATCCCCTTTCGCTGAAAAGAATAAAGATATTGTATAGTTATCGCCCTTCCCTTGAAAAGAATAAAAATGTCGCAAAGTTACGACCGTTTCCATGAAAAGAATGGAGATGTCACAAAGTTATGACCCTTTCCTTAAAAAGAATCAAGATGTCGTAAAGTTTGATGATGACAAAATGACTATTACAAAATACCATCTTCAAAATCATACACAATTCCCATAAATACAAATTTCACGTATGTCGAAATGAATTAACTAACCAGGTCCAAATATTTCCTTCTCGAGTAAGAGCAAGAGAAATTTGATTGCCACAAAGAACTTTGTTGACGTGCTCGTTATCAAATTTGTCGACTAACTTTGGTGTTTTGCAACTGTCACTTCCCCCTCTGCCAAGTTTACCATAATCACCATCACCCCATGACCACACTTTACCTGATAAAATATCAATTACATTTCAGTAAAAAAAATTTTAAGATATTTCTTGATTCTTCAAAACCTAAATTATGTAGCGTATGTCGAAATGAAATAACTAACCAGGTCCAAATATTTCCTTCTCGAGTAAGAGCAAGAGAAATTTGATTACACAAATGGATTAATGGAATACATTAGGGTCACTCAGGTGTTCAACGTGTCTTCACGACGGCCATTAATCCAGAGGCATTTGATTAGGGTTTGTTACTGGTTTCTAACCATCAAAATTACATGACGTCAATACTTAATAATGAATTCGAGAATATTTTGACTTTAGAAATGACTTCGGATCATTTTGAAGGTTGGGAAAAAGTCAAAAACCCAAATCAACTGTCTGGAATAATGGCGGCCGCCATGCGCGGCGCGACATGCGCGAGGACAAAAACATCAAAGGTTGCGACACGAGAGACTCTTCTGTACATTCTTATTTTGTGTCGAAAGTGTAATACTAATTACTCGCATTACCGAACGCAAGCCCGAGATTACAAAAATCACGCGTGACAGATACGAAGTCCTTGAACCAATCAAAATTTTTCTTAGATCGTTTCACGCGCGAGTGTCACTAATGACACGTATAATGAAAAACGATTTACTTACATGTAAATGAATATTGCCACATGTGACATTGCATTGCCGCGAATTTTGTTGTCCTTTTTGGCAGCTATTATAACACGCAAGCATTAACCAAACATTGTAGCCCAAGTTAACACCTGATAGGCGTCTTGTTTTAACTTTAAAAGGGATAACCGCACAGTAACACAATTACATGTTGCCAGGGTAACAGTATAGCCTCAAGTCTATCGTTTGATCAATATCTCAAGCAAACGGATCAAAAGCTAGCCCTTGTGATGTAATTAAAATTCAAATTAACACTATTTTCTACAAAAGCTAAATTTCATTATTATCCTCACCATCTTTGGTAACCGCAAGTGTCTGAGCATCCCCGCTCCCACATGCAACATGAATTACGTGAATGCCTTTAAGACCGTTGACAACCTTTGGTAGCAACGCGTCTTCACTATTACCTAAAAGAAAGTCCAGAAAAATTTTTGATACAATGCGTAGCTATATTTTGGACTTGGAGTATACAAATATCAGATGAACGCGAACTGAGTTTACTGCGTATCAGTACACTAAATCCATTGAAGAAATATCCGAAATATATTCTCCAAATACAAAAATCTCAAGTCCTAGTTAAAATGAAAAAGTAGACTTGTTGTAGTTTTTTATTTACATACCATGCCCCAGTCGACCATGGTTTCCACGACCCCAAGTATAAAGATCACCTTCAACTGAAATCGCTGCACAATGTGAACTTCCAGAGCTGATTGAAACGATGTTTTTACCAGATAAAGCGGAAATAAGTGTAGGTTCCTCTCGCGAACTAAATTTATTCATCAAGTAAATTGAACAAAAAACAACATTGTGTTTTCTGAGTTTATTTGTGTTCTTCATAGAGAATAGATTAACTTTTTTTGAATGCAACAAAACATTATCGTTCAAATATGTATTAAAGTATACATTTATAATAATTAGTAGGACAAGTCAATCACTTTGTATGTCAAGCGAGTTCACGCAGTGAGAATTAGGATAGGGAAATTTGTGCTGCATTATTCTTATGGTACAAAAAATACTAAATTATCTCGTTTGATTGATAAACTAAATCTCTATCTTTTCCACGTAAAGGCAGTCAAACAGACATTAAAAAATGAATGATTGATTTATGCTGTAACTTACTTGTCATCTCCATGTCCAAGTGCCCCAGCTTCTCCGGATCCCCAACTGTAAACTAGTCCTTCTTTACTCAATGCCAAGTAATGGCGAGCCTCTGGATGCGATGCGATTTTCGTGATTTCAACTTTTCCAGCGAGCGGTCTTATCAATTCAGGGATCTAGTTGAAAAACAAACAACCTTAATCAACCAGAACAGACACTTAAACATGCAGTGTTTTGGTTAAAAATGTAATTGATTGTTATATGATCGACAATGAGTACTGAGTACAGGCGTATTATTTTTCGTGTTTTAGTAAGATCAATATTAGAAGCATAAAATCTACAAAAATCTCTGAAACAATAGGCCAATATGTAATTAAACCTGTTTTTCAGCGTTGTACAAACAAGAGTAAACTTTTCCATCATTTGTGAGAACCAAAAAAGACAGTTCACCACAAGTGATCTCTTTAACATCAAGCTGACTAAGTTCAGGCGAGCGTTCAGGTGCATTATTATCGGATACGCCGATATAACCCCAACTGTATACATCTTGTGAATTACATAGGTTATTCTACAGCAAAGATAAACGAAAGAAAATATATCTAAAACAATGTCATAACAATTCACATCAGTATGCAAACTCAGAGTTGGTAAAAAACCGCCAGGGGGGGGAAGAGTGTGCAGGGGATTAGCAATCAAAGTACCTAATAAAAGTTTAAAGTTAACAAAAATTTTCGATTTCTGTTTTCAAGCAATTTCAGCCTGTTTTGTCTTAATTATGCTTTATTGCACCACGTCGTATATACTAGACTATCACGAAACAGAATCAAACAATTATTTGATTCTTTCAATAAGATTTTTAAATAAATTACGACTCTGAACTGACCGAGTCACTGCTTTGATCACGAGAGTACGTTGAGAATTGATCCATATAAGAAAGAACTGCAACAGCAACTTGTTGAACATCCAGTAACTCAATATCGTCCTCAATAAATGAGGAATAGCGAAGGAAACATTCTGTTGGACTGACAACTGGAATGGCAGACTATGGAAGATAGAAGAAATATAAAAATATAGTAACTATAAAACAATTGAACCATTATCAAGCATTTTAAAAACGAGTGGATATCTTCATACGTACAACACTTTACACAATTTGTTTGATTTCATCCGGTGATTAAAATTTTTAACTTTAATTGGTAGGTATAAATGTCTTGTTTTCAAAAAAAGTTTCCATTGGTATATAAGCAAAAAATTTCACGTTGGTTTCTGGTTTTCCTCTCGCCAGATGTAGTCATTTCACCTCTATATAGATGTATTCAGTCCCCCTCTTCAAGTGAGTTCAGTAAGGTGTAATAAATATAATACAGACAAAATGAAAACAATGAGGGTGATTACCTCTTCAATAAATGGAGAAAATGACAGTTTACACTCTGTTTCAGCAAGTCGTTCCAAACGTCTCAATACTGGATTCAAAGGAGCAGTTGTAGATGACGAGTTTTTCTCATTATCTTGGGCACGATCCCATAACTGTAGTAGGAGAATTACTGCCTCTAAGATATGACTCAAAGATCCACGCTGGAATGCTAGTTCCAAAAAAATGCCCAAGGCCAAGTGCTGATCAACAATGGGTACTTCATCCAATGTTCGAAAAAGAATTCCCCCTTCATTGCTTCCTCTAAAATCATCCATTTCATATGCAAACAGCAATGTGCAATACCTTTGCTAAGGAAACCTTACAAACAGTGGCATAGCCAGCCCAAAAAATTTGTTTATTTTATGTAAATTTTTCATCATCGGCATTATTCACTTCTCTATCATTTTACAGTGCATGAACACTTGAATATTTACATACCATGAACAAACTAGCAGGCTGGCTACACCACTGCTCACTGCTCAAACATACATAAGCCTAAAATGTTTCAAAATCTTTTTAAAGCATTTCAAAACAACTTAAGCAAGTATGTACTTGACGCAACTTTTTATATACAAAAAACAATGTGCAACCTCTTTGTTTGAGCACATTGAAACTATAAATATATACATCATAAGATTTTTATTCCTAACAAAAAAATTTGTTATAGATACTTCAAGAAATGCTTCAAAAAATAAGATGAGATTAAGTTTACTTACCCCAGGACAACTGCCTTCAAAAAAACAGATACCCTTTCAACAGTATCAGTCCAGACTGGCGACACTGAATCCTCGTTGAATAATAAACATTCTGGCAGACTTTGCAAGGCTTCATATGCCTCTTGAAGAAACTCTCTACATATATCAGCATCCTCACCAGATTTCCAAGCTCGTCGCAAGAATGCACAAGCAAAGGAAAATGCTGCTCGCGCACCAATATGCGCAAGACCCATGGTTGCAGATGGTGGTTTTTTTGCAGATGTTTGTCTGAAAATAATTGTGACAGAAGACCTAAATTTACTAACAGTATAAAGTGCATAAGAACAAGATACACACACACAATATGTAAAAGCAATAATAGACAATAGTAAAGAAAATTACCTGCCGGCAATGGCTAATTGATTGGTTGTTTTCTTAGTATTTTTACTTTGACAACTTTTTCCAACAAAAATGTTGGAAACTGATGTATATGCAATGTAGTATCTCTCAAGGATAAGCAACCGTTGATGTAAGCGCACAGATGAGGGTGCAGATTTTGATGCCTTATAAGTTAGTTCAAGCTGTTCTGCCATTAATGAATGAATAGCTTCAGTAAGCCCATATATTGATGGTTGTTCACCCCATATCCATGAATCTATTATTTCATCTGAGTTTCTCTGAATATTTTTTGCCTCTTCCTCCCCCATGTCATGATCCAGCTTCTGATCAGGGCAATTGCAGCTAGTTTGACCAGTTGTTGTTGAAACCTTCAATGTTGCTTTAACTTTGTCATCAGTCCTTTGTAGTTCTTCTTTTCTTTTTCCAGATACTGTGCCACAATTTTTACTGACAAGCTCACCATCTTTTACAAGTTCATTCCAGAACTTGTTCAATCCGTTAATTGTAAAGGAATCCTATGAAAAAGGTGAACATTTTTGAGACAAATAAATTTATGCCCAATTGTACTATAAACAACCCTAAATTGCACTATATTACTCAAACTACTAAATATTAAAAGCTAAAACAAGAGCAGATAACGCAGACCTTTATGATAGGTATTACCTGTAAGTCCACTTTTGTCCATTTTGCATCATGAACAGATTGCGGATGAAGAAGAGAGCTTGAAACAGCTGACACAGACATTTTTAAGCCAACGTTTGCACAATGTTCCTACAATTGCCATTGGTGATGAAAGAAATCCATTTTTTAATGAATAAAATCGCAAAGCACGGAGAGCAAGAAAATGTGAAAGTAAAATTCTTAGCTTGCTCAATGCCAGCGGCTTGCTTCTGCTATTGTGGTATTTTGACGTATTAAAATTAGACGCCACTTCCTCATTTCCATCCACCAAATGACGAGTGACAATGGTGGTCTTGCGTGGTATCTTGGATTGTTCTGTGGATGGTCTTCAAAGAATTATAAGAATCGGCGATTTTTTCATTTCTGATCATAACTTTACCACGTTTTTCAAGTCAAGAAAATAACCATTGACTGTGAAGAGTTTTCTAAGCGAGCTGAGACAAAGTGTAACGTCTTCTTTTTGCGACGTTTCCTGGTCTATTACGAACAAACAGCTTTACAATAACTTTTTGAAAAATCCGAGAAAAGTTTCAAACAAATCTCCTTTATGTATTTTGTTCTACGAAATTCAACATGGCTGGGGTGTACAAACTTGAAGATACTGTGTTGAAAATCATAGCATAAATTTGAGCAAAAGGGGAAGGATTAAACAACAGTGGCACTGTGCCACTCCATGTAAAATCTGGATCGTGCATGCCACAAAAATGGAACTATTCATGAATTTAAATAGTTAATTTCAAAACACTTTCGGGTATAAAAATTGAAAAATGTCTTCGTGCTCCACCATCTTCTTACACTTTGAATTTTATGAAGCAAGTGAGGGTGGACCTTGGATTAAATGCTTACTGTTTGAAAGATAACATTCTTCTCGAAAGTTAGATATTTCCAATTTTACACTGCCAGCCACAGAATAAAATATACTCATTTCCGTGGAGAGAAACTCTGAAATTCAAATAAGTGACATGCAGAGAGAATAAACGATGTTCTTGAAAATAACAAGATCAATACACGAGCTTTGTACAGTGGATACTAAAAGAAAACAAATGAAACTACAACATCAACACACAACAAGATAACAAGATCAATACATGAGCTTTATACAGTTGACACTAAAGGAAAACAAATGAAACTACAACATCAATACACAAGATAACAAGATCAATACATGAGCTTTGTACAGTGGACACTAAAAAAAACAAATGAAACTACAACATCAATACACAAGATAACAAGATCAATACATGAGCTTTGTACAGTGGACACTAAAAAAAACAAATGAAACTACAACATCAATACACAAGATAACAAGATCAATACACGAGCTTTGTACAGTGGACACTAAAAAAACCAAATGAAACTACAACATCAATACACAAGATAACAAGATCAATACACGAGCTTTATACAGTGGACACTAAAAGAAAACAAATGAAACTACAACATCAATACACAAAAAGATAACAAGATCAACACACGAGTTTTATTTCACGTAGAGACCGGTGCTGTAGAACTAAATTTATCAGATGGGGAGGCTCTCTTGACGTTTTTGTCAATAGTGCCCTTTTAAAATTACCTAGTTCAAAGGTAGAAGGGGGGCTCCTCCCCAAGCGCCACCACCCCACCCCACTTCTACAACATTGATGGACACTGAAAGAAAACAAACGAAACTACAACATTAAATTGGACTTCATCAAGCAGCTTCCAAATCCGAACAAAACCAAAAAACCTGCCATCTTTGCCTTGAAGAAAGACTACTTATCCTAAAAGGACGTAAAAAGAACATTTTAAATAAACGTTCCGATATCTTTAGTGCATGTCGTCATGTAACCTAACACCTTTTAATCAATTGTATATAGTCAGCGAATAATAAATGATCTGTCAGTTGCCTGAAGAACGCCCTACGGCGTGAAACTCCGAGTAGCGACGCAAAAACTTGTCGATTTTATTTCACTTTATCTTACGCTCTTCTAATATATAAGATATTGAGCGCTCTTTTGTCCAGGAATATTCTCCATTAATATATATATATATATATATATATTTTTCCCGACAAGCCTGTTTCCAGTGATTTATCCCCTGAAGAGTGAGCAATCACGAAACAGGCTTGTCGGGATGAAATTGTAGTTTTTGTGTATTTTCTTCTTCTTATCAATATTTACGCTCTGCTCTCGGGCATCGAGCACTGTTTTATACGGAAAATCATAAATTATAAACTTCCTATATATATATATATATATTTTACTCCAATTTTACACAGCTCACGGAACATAAAGTATACTCATTTTGATGAGAGAGAAATTCTGTAATTCAAATCAGTGAAATGTAGCAAAATGTTTATTTTTTTTTATGTTTATTTTTATTTTATTTTTATTTTTATTTATTTTTATTTTATAAAAAATGTTTATTTTTTATTTTGTGTACGTAGAATATAGCTAGTCAATGATGTTTTCGAAGACAGCAAGATTAGTGTACAAGTTACAAACGGATATATTGCCTATGTGTATTAAAACTATCGCATGTCACAAACTGAACACCAAATCAACCAAGTTTAAAAATGCATTACCTTTATTCAAAGATATAGATGTATACAATTGTTGACACACTGTATTAGTGAATGTAAGAAATTCATTGAAATCGTTAATTGTTATACTTTTGATTCATAAATCATTAATCAGGGATTGCAAAAGATCACAAAAGCATAGACAGTCAGTGAAAATGAGAACCTTGCTAAATTTATTATAAAGTGTATGCAGAGTACAATGTAAAAGGGGTATTATTTGATTCTAAACATGTTCTTTTCTATGACTTGATGTCTTAAGCAAGAAAGGTTATGATTATGCACTGTAGTCGCTTGCATTCCATGATCTCGGCATTGCCATTAGCAACTATTATAATAAACGTATTAAATGGTCGAATTAAAACTATAACCAATAGAGTTAAATTATTTGACTGCGCAACAGCGTAATTTGTACCAGTTAACACAGCGATATATTTAAAAGTTGTGGGATTCTATTTCATAACATGAAATCTCAAGAATGGCTTAGAAATGTTATCATATCCGCCATCACAATATTTCTCAAGAACAGGCAAACGTTTGGGGTAGACCACAACAACAGATTCACTACAATCATAAATAATGGTAACAACAGACAAAAATGCAAGTTCTTTCAGCAGATAGTTTACTCCTTCTTCTAAATCAATGGTTTTGGTTTGAAGGTTGACACACCCACGAGTTTTTGAAATCAACGCTCTTGGTGACGCAATTTTTTGCAAGGATATGTAATTGGGATGAGAGTGGAACTATTTTTTCGTTCATTTTAAGCATGAGCAAGTCAAATCATGTATGAATATTTAGTCTATACTCGACTAATATTGACACATGCACGATACTGCACCTAAAGAAGTTTTACTTTACTTTTTACTTATGTTATTGTTTATCAATTGTCATGATAAGAAGTAATTAAATATTCTACATTAACAGACTAGCCTGCTTATAAATACAAATACAAATTGACATGTCTAACGTAACGTTAACAGGAATCTTTGAATTTGATATTTTAATTTCACTTCATGGCGATCGCAGTTTAGAAAAGTCTTGTATGCGAACTGCAATGTCGTCGTTTCTTTCAAAACGAATCTTGTACTCTTGGTGCAAATGATTTGCACATTGCCCTCCGAGCTATTTAACGCTTCACGCCCCGTTTACACTATACCGTATTGATATCGTAGCAGTTTGAATATTCTTTGTATTAAAAGGCAGTGACAATGTTCAACTTCTGAAACACAATCAAATTAACAAAATCTATCAACTTAATGAGCTCTTACTCCGAACAGTTACCCCCTTAAAGCCAATGAAGATGTCTTGATGAACGATTCTGGTATGGCGTAAACGCAGCCTCAATTATATCACCTGATTTTGCTTGGCTGCGAAATATCTCTTCAATTTTCACTAAAGCTGTGGTCTTGTTGTAAAAGACGTTTATTGAAGCATAAACAGAACAATTATATGTTCTTTACATTGCATCGTAGAGCTTATCAAGTTTTTTGCGTATTGATTCAGATTTCGCAATAATTCAGGTGAAACTCTTGCCCACTGATGCCAAACTATTGTCATCTGATTAGAATAGCGACTTTTGATTCGCTGGCGGCTTTTGACTGTTGCCCACCATGCTAAATTTAGCGAGAAAAAGGCTGCTGACTGTTGCCCAAAAATTGTGTTTGCAGATCTACGAGCTCCTTCCGAAACGTAAAAAGATGTTCGGCATATACTCGCGCAAACCTCTGGAAATAATTAACTTACGCGGGCTCTTCCCCACAGCTAGCAAAGAGAATATAAAATCACATGTACTAATAGTCGCATTCAATTTGTTCTTTGTTTACGTCACTCTGCGGATTCATAGCTGAATAAATATTTAAAATGCCAGAAATATGATAACTGTTAAAAACCGTACGATCTACTGTTTAAATGCACGGTGCTCAGAACGCATGAAGTTTGAACTTTAAATTTATTCCTTATTGTCAATAGACTCAATACTACGAGTTACAAAAACAAGCTGGGAAATGCAAAGGCAGAGGCGCGTAAGGAACGGAAATGTCATCAAGACACTGAACTTCGTAAGAGAATAAATATCTGACTAAAAATCCGACAACTTTGTCTTAGCCTACAGTACAGGCCCCGTAATTAGTAATTCGCCTCTGCAAACGATCTTAATCAACCAGAAGAAACACTTAACATTTAAAATGTTTTTTTACAAACTGTGATTGATTATTATATGATCAACGAGAATTTTAGAGGCTGATAAAAAAACATTCGTGATGACATTTGCCAATTGATCTATTGCTTTCTTAGTATTTGCACTTTGGCAACTTTTTCCAACAAAAATGTTGCAAACTAGTGCGCTGGTTTTGATGCCTTATATGTCAGTTCAAGCTTTTCTCTTCATGAGGGAATTGGGAATGAACAGGGCAATTGCAGGTAGTGCGATCAGTTGTATTGGAACCTTCGATGTTGCTTTACTTTATCGTTAGTCTTCGGTAGTTTTTCTTTTCTTTTTCCATATAATAGCTGTGCCACAATTTTACTGAAAAGCTTGTCATCTTGTTGATTCGGGAACTTGCTTAATCTAGTAAAAGTAATGGCATTCTATACAAATAAAGAAGATTGCTGAGACAGTGTTGACTAATCCCGTCCTCTGCCGACAGAAAGATTACGTGTTTCATTTATCTCTGTTGTAAGCGTCATCTCTCAATTTAGAGATGACATTGACTTTTCGTTGTATTAGCTATAAATATAGCATGATCTGAAGCTTTCATTTAGCAGACGTTGACAACTGATAAGTAGTCTGCCGAAATCCACAGTGTCTTTCATCTTTAAAAACTGTTAGTATAGAATTGTTGGTTTAGTGTTCTGGCTTAAATAGTTCTTTTAAGAACTATTTCGATATTGACCATTTCCCATGGTATTTACTCTTTTTAAGACAATTTTTAAAGTTGTCACCACGACAAAGTCTTTGTTTTACAATTAAGTTTATGCACAACACCACAAAGTACTCCAGTAGTACGATAAATAATCCTGTTCTAAATTGCACATTACTATTGAAACTACTAAAGATTAATAGCTAAAATGAGAGCAGATAACGCACACCTTTATATACTTGTAATATATTTTTGTCCGTTTTGATTCATAAACAGATTGCAGATGAAGAAGATAGATTGAAACAGCTGACACAGACATTATCGCAGTACTGGACAATGTCCCTATATAATTGCCATTGATGGTGAATAAAATCCTTTCATAAATAGATGAAAACGGAAAGCTAGATATCCAAAAAAAGACTGAAAGTAAATTTCTCACCTTGCTATTGTAGTGTTTTGACGTACTGAACACACTTGAACACTGCAACACTTGGACAACGAATTCAAACGATTCGGTACATAGAAGAAAGTTTTCGTTGATTTACATTGATTAACATTAAATCACAATGATTTTTTTCATAATTTTTTCTTATCGCTAAGAAAAAGTTTTACATAAAAACGTAAGAAGATTTTCAAACTTTTTATTTGTCTTTGAAACAAATCGTAAATTTAAATTGTTACAAGCAAAACACTTACTGTGAAAGTTAAGCAACTAGCTGATATATATAACAAAAACAAGGAGGTTATTTGTTGTTCAAATTATTTTAAATCAAATAAAATACCAATTTTTAATGAATAGAGATCAGAATGACTCATTTTATACAATTAGGAAATTTTTTATGAATTGCAGTTTAATTTGTTTGTTTAAATACATATTCAACTAAGAAGACAGAAAGCGATGTGCCTAATAAAATCCCTGTTTGTAAGAACATATATCCAATACTGGTCGCCAGTCCTTCTTCGTATTTTTTGCCTTCTTCTCCTGGGGCGAGTAGCATCATCGCTGCACACAAACCATAACCATTAATAAGGCCCAACAATCCAACAGTTAAGTACGCTACCCAATCTGCTTGTAATCCTTGGTAACATGGCTCAAAGTAAATAAGTAATATTGGTATGGCAATAATCAATTGAATGAGGCAATTAACTATTACTGTTCTTTTGTTGTAAATTATTCCTAGAATTGGGAGGTTTTTTCCAATTGCATCTGCAACAGAGTAACAGCCAAAAAGAATAACCATAAACCAACCTGTCGTATCACCTTTTCCCTCCACGGTTGTGTGAGGTTCAGCTGTTGGATTCTTAGATAATGAAAAATTTATTGTATGATTCAACTGAGATGTTGTTGAACAGTTGTGATTTCCATGAAACTCTGCAGTGATTCCTGGAAAAAGAGCATTCGATATCAACAATGTCAAGGCAATCATAAGAAGCGCTGGCAAGTTATTTCGAATGACGTTTCGTCGAGAGAGACTTGAGTTAAATTCATTGCTTCTAATAAGTGGTGTGCTTTCATTAGCTTTTTCCGAATTTACATGTTTGAATCGTTTGATGTAGTTTTGCCTTTGATGATGTTTTAGGACTTGCATTAGAACGCATGCAACAATGATAATCAAATCGACAAGAGCGACAAAAAGATAGCCGCTTAGTCGAAAGCCACGCTTCTTGTCACTTTCATGAGAAAATGAACCTTTTGAGACGCAACGAATCACAAAAGTAGCAGCAAAAGCACCGACGCCTCCAGACTGAGCTGCATGGACGCCAAAACTCGGAAATTGTTTACCCAAAAAATCATAAAGTGCACCACCACCAAAGTTCTGCACAATAGCTGCAAGAAATATGACAGCAAGAACTGTGCCAAAACGTTTAGGAATCGAAATCGTCTCCATTGGTGTCAACACAACTACTACGATTAGTAATACAGCTGAAAATATCTGTGTTAACAATATAACTGTAAGATTTTTACCACGTGGAGGAAAAATTACCGTTAAAACAGCACCTGCACATGCTGCAACACCACTGTAACTCCAACATACAATTCGGGCTTATAATCATTTGGGAAAAAAAAGTTGAAGTAATCAACTGCATTGAAAGAAAAGAATACTGCACTTTGCACGGATGCTCCAAGAAACCAGCAAGCTATGTATAACTTCATATTGCAACGTTGAATTGTTCGACTGCGCACAAACTTGTTCAATCATTCTTTTTATTTTGCTTCCATGTATTTTCCAGGAAAATACACTTAATGATTTTCATTGAAGAACACGTGATCAGTTTTCCGAGTAGCACTTGGTAATTTATATGAGCCAGCAATTTTAACAATAAACATTTTAATGGGCATAAATATGTAAAGCTCAATTGATCTCTGTTGACATTTTAAAAACGCTTTAGCTTTGCTCGCCTTTTGTGTTGAGCCGAGACACGCTATTTTTGCCACAGTGAATTTGTGTAGTATGATTTCTGTAGTATATTTTTAAGACCATTTTGTGATTTGCTGCTTCCTAAAAGAAAATCCATTACTTCCAGCGTTTTTTGTTCCAGGAAGTTTCGAATATAAAAGTAAATACATGGTTTATTGTTCCATCATCTTCTTTTTCTTTGAATTCTATGGAAATGAATTCAAATATTACTCTTGGAAATGAGATATTTTTACTCCAATTTTACACTGCCCACGGAACATAAAGTACACTCAATTTGATGAGAGAGAAATTCTGAAATTCAAATCAGTGAAATGCAGCAGAATGTCGTTTTATTTTGTGTACGTGAAATATAGCTAGTCAATGATATTTTTGAAGACAGCAAGATTAGTGTACAAATTACAAACGGTATATTGCCTATGTGTATTAAAACTATCGCATGTCCCAAACTGAACACAATATCAACCAAGTTTAAAAATGTATAATCTTTATTCAAAGATATAGATGTATACAATTGCTGACACACTGTATTAGTGAATGTAAGAAATTCATTAAAATCGTTAATTGTTAAACTTTTGATTCAAAAATCATTAATCAAGCATTGCAAAAGATCACAAAAGCATAGACAGTAAATGAAAATGAGATTCTTGCTAAATTTATTATAAAGTGTATGCAGAGCACAATGTAAAAGGGTATTATTTGAGGCAAGGGATGATTCGAAACATGCTCTTCTCTATAACTTGTTGTCTTGAGAGAAAGGTTAATTAGGTTAAGATTATACACTGTAGTCGTTTGTCTTCCATGATGTCAGCATTGCCAATAGCAAATATAATTATTGTATTGAATGGTCAATTTTAAACTATAATCAAGCAGATTTAAATTATTTGGTTGTGCAACAGCGTAATTTGTACCAGTAACACAGCAATACATTTAAAAGTCCTGGAATTCTATTTCATAACATGAAATCCTAAGAATGGCTTAGAAATGTTATCATATCCACCATCAAAATATTTCTCAAGAACAGGCCAACGTTTGTGGTAGACCAAAACAACAGATTCACTGCAATGATAAATATTGTTTACAACAGACAAAAAAGCGAGCTCTTTCAGTAAATAGTTAACTCCTTCTTCTAAATCGATGGTTTTGGTTTGAAGGTTGAAACCATTTTCAATCGACGCTTTTTCACGACCATTTTTAAGAGAAAGTAACGCATCTTTGGTACATTCCACAACATCTTTTTGAAATGTGTAATTTTCCTCATATAGACGTTTGATACAAGTTAAAGCATCAATATATGGACCTGAAACTTCAACATTCTCACTCCAATTGATAAACTGAAAACGACCTTGACCATTACATAAGCAGATTGTTTCGTTGCATTTATTACGCACGCGATTTGCTTTCACTCTTGCCGATCTTTCAGGATTTGAACTTCCAATTGCTCTGTAATTATGCTCGGATATTTTATCCGTAAGAAACAGTAAGATCTAAAAAAAGTTCATAAAAACAAAGTTCGACATCATGTTAACGAGCTAGAAATCCATCACTTTATTCAGTTAATCAAAAGAGAACTTTTACTTTTTGTGTGGAATGATTTTGCGCGAAATCGAACAAGCTTTTAAGATTTTGAACATTATGGTATTGTGGATTGCCAGGACTAATACCCAAAATTATTGTAGAGTCTTTTCCCAAGTAAATTCTTCCATTCTTTAATGTGTTCGATTCTTCCATCTTCACTCTTGTAGCAGAATGTTTGAAGTGTTCTGAGTAACGTTAGGCAGGCGATCTAAGACCTTAAACGTTTCGGTGGAAATCGTGTAACGAAATGCAGGACATTATGTCATAAAGCTGAAAATATTTGAGCATTATTCAATTGGATTCCCAGAATAACAACGGTTCTCCTTTTACACGTTTTAACTGAGATAGAAACGAAAAAACATTGTGATTATACTTATGACGGTACACTAGTAACTTTTCAGAATCTAACTTGTATTAAATAGCTACAAAAATTAGGAGTAATGATAACTACTTGCATTTTGGTCAAGAATATCGATGCAACCTTCGTCACGTTTTAATGAATTTACAAAGTGCTGCTATGCCTGCATGTGGTGCTAAAATTCACTCTGGATTATTTAATGGTACATGGATGTGCAGGCATCAACAGCATGCATGCACGTGCTTTTATCGTTGATCTATTTGTTTCCGTGTGCAGTAATAGCAGATCACTATGTTTAGCATATTGTGAGGTCTTCGACGCAGTCTATCTAGGCAGGATTTACCACGAGACAAAAGTGGAATTTGCCACAGAAGTCGAACTTTAGAGAAACTCAAATTTTGATGTGCCTCACCCATATTTAAGTACACATCACTTTCTGTTGTGACACGGATAAAGTCCCTTTTCGGGGATAGTTTATTAAAATTCAACGTTTCTTTCTCAGAATTTTTCAGTCTTCCCAGTAATCATACGATTACAGGCCATCAACGACATGCTATAATTTATGAGGCAATGGTTGATTGACTGTTAAAATTAATATGTTTCTAAGAAGTGTGTTACCAAGAACTCTAATTGCAGGAAAACATGCGATGAATTCCGAATTATTTACCACTTTCAAAAAGTCATGTGATCAAATTGTGTCGCTATATACAACAATCATTTGATTTTACGCATTTATTTGAAGTCATCAGTATAGCAGCTGCGAAGAACAACTCTATCACGATACCATTATGGATCACTCTATCTCAGCATTATTTATAGCATCAGTCGTACTAGCTCTGCCAATAGTGTATAAGACATTGCAGGTTTGTAAAATTCAGGTTCAATTTCTTTTTTTTGAATTTATTTCTGTGACAAGTAAATACTTCGTTCTGTGACAAGTAAATACTTTGAATCACACCAACAAATACCGAACTGGAAGATAATTCAATCCATTTCTTTGCTTTAAGCAAAGTTATTTTAACAGTAGTCGATGACTTGCATGCAAACGAGTTCCAAAACAAATGTTCGTTATTTCATTGTTGCGTCTAAAACATCTATGAACAATCATATGCACATTTACTGAACTCTCGAGGAAGTCTGTGAGAAATATCTCAAACATCTTGAATGCCCACCTAAAGTTTCATCACTCAATAACTGGCGATAGCGTTTAGACTAAGCTTATATGGACTGTAGAACCACCGTTACACATTATTTTACTCAAATTTGCTCTGTCTTTACAAATAAGCCATACATCTAAAATATTGGAAAGTTTGACAGTTAAAGTAAAATAGATTTTTCTGGTGCAACTTAAATGAAGTAACATTCATGGCTATCGTTTCTAAATCACGACAAGTAAACTTTCTTGTGTGATTTGAGTTAATGAAAATGATGCTCAAATTGCAATAGTTATTGTCTTGTTTAATCGTAAAGACACTCAGATGGCATGCTTTTCAAAAAAATTGTGATTTACTTGAACAATTTAAAATACCCAACGTCAATTTATTTTAAGAGATTTGAATAACTTCCGTGACGATGTTGAAACAGACTGTGCAAGCTACGACGTTTTTCAGTTATAAATTTATACTGCATTTTCAAAATTTCATAAAGCATGCATGTTTAGCACTAAATGAAAGAGATGATCATTCTTTTCAATTTATCATTACTGTAAAGAATATGCAAGATTCAGAATTAACCACTCTCAAATCTTTAACTGTCGGACCATATACCAAATCATGTGCATTGTATAAAGCTGTATTTTTATAAGCTTTGTCTAGCAAGTGTAAACTATAACTGAGCTTTGGAAGATCACATGCTAGATAATGGTTTTGTTTATATCATATATGATTCAGTGTCATTTCTAATTGTACAAGTGACCAAAGCCTGCCATTTAAAAGGTAGTTAGCAAACATGGGATTTGATGTTGCCTATTTACCCCGATGAAGACGGTAATTGGCGTCTCACATTGAAAAAAATGTCACTACAGATTTCGAGAACTTTCTAAATTCGGAAGCTTCATAAAATGTTCGAAATTGTTGAAGCAATAAGCTTATGAAGTTACCTAGGATTAACAAGAAGGCACTTTTTCCATATTCAGTGACAGCGCTAGATCAAAATACGTACGAGGAGTTACAAGGAAAAGAAGTGCTTTGAAAGGCACTCTGTGTTTTATGTAACCCTTAAAGTTTCTTAATGGACAATAGTGAGATGAAAATATTGGCAAACTGAAGGCAAACAATAAACAACAAACATCATGATTTCAAGCAGAATTTAATAAAATTATGTCTACATAAAGATAAACACGGAGAAAGGCAATTTTTTATTAAAGTTTCAATGAAACAATGCCCACGGTTCATTTACATTGAGCATGAGTATTTTAAGACATCTTTCCATTCCTTCTGCTAAAAGCTCTAGATACCAGTTACTGTATTGTCATCATAGATTTTTAAATTATCTGATCCAATCATTGCATTTCTGCCGGACGTATCCACAAATAAACTAACACCTTTCGCAAAATGAAAACATCTACTTTATTTAAAGAAATCGTTGACATTGAAAAAAACTTGTAGCTACTGATTCTATGATATTAATGAGGAAGAAATGTTATCAGAGCTCTCCTAAAAACGTACAAGATCAGTATACGTAGTCATCACTTCGAGCCAGCGGTGTCAGCCAGGAGAACAGCTCCCCACACCCCCTCCCACATAGTTATTAGCCTATAAAATAACATACTTTCCAGATAGACAAATGATATAAGCGTAATAACTATAACGTTGTCACTATTGTGGTTTTTATTATGATTATCATCATCAATGAAACTTGTGTTCTCTGGGTTCATTGAAAGTTGTTTTTATTCAAATGAATCTTCTACAGTGTGTATTTTTCCACATTTGTAGGTATGTCTGGTATTTCTTCTAGCTCGTTGGAAAATAGAGAAGGGAAATTAATGCCAGGAGAGCTTCCAAAATTACCATTTGGTGATTTTAGTCAAGTTAATTTCTTTGGACGTGAGCTTTCTAAAAAACATGGACCCGTATATTATATCTGGAACTGTTTGACGCCCGTCGTGTAAGTAGGGCTTGTCATTTTAGTTTCTTGCTTATCTGAACTTTCGCTTTGTTTATTACCAATCATCATAATGACACATTAAAAAGAATAAGAGTTGTTGTACTCCCCTTTCCTTGCAAGGCCAGCCATCATATTTTGACATTCAAAATTAAAAATTTCCATTCTAGAATTTTATCTGATGCAAAAGCTATTCGTAGCTTTTACACAGATCACTATTCACACATTAGAGAAGCTGACATGTTTTGCCTTGGAGCTGTATTCGAGAGTATCTTTGGTCGTTGCATGGCCACAAGCCACGGGAGAGACGAGGTGAAAAGATGTCGAGGACCTTTCGAGAAGTACTTTTCAGCTTCTTCAACAGTTAATCATATGAACGTAATTGGACGAGAGTGTAAAGATTTTATTCACACCTTGAAGCAAGGACAAGCCATAAATCTTAAAACATCTAGGATGGAAGATGTCACGCTTCGAGTGATCGTGCATTTAGTATACGGAGGAGAAGTACTCGAAAAATACTTTCATAAAATCATTGAACTTCAAAGTATGCTTGAAGACGCAGTTGCTGACATTAGTCACGGCACCACACGTCTACCTCTGTACAAAAAAGTGAAATCGACGACAAACAGCAAAGTAAAAAGGTTTAATGAAGCATGGGCAGCCTTTAATCACGACTTGTTTGCTTTATACGAAAAAGGAAAGCTTACCGGCAAAGATGGCTTCTTCTTTGACTCCATGGCTCTTCTCAAGGGAAACGCTTTGGGGATCGATGAAGAAGAGGTAAAATAATCTGCTCAAGTTAAGTTGATTCACAAGAGATACATTTTGAATTCGTAATACTTATGATCAATTTTAATTTTTAATGATCGATACTTTTAACGATTAGTCACAGGGCGAGTACAAATTGTATTTTCAATGTGAACATGCGACCTATATTCATTAGAATGCGTAAATTTTCTGGCAATCTTAGATAATCCTTCACTCTAATGTCAAGATTTACCGTCTTAAAAATAATCAATAGTCATTGACAGGAGAAGCGCTTGACCGATTCTCGAAAGCACAACATTTCAAAACATATTTATGAGCACCTGAAAATTAATTGAAAATAAGCATTTGTGTCCTAGAAGCTCAGTGACTACCAGCACACATTTGCCGATGGTATTTGCATCGGTGATAATAGGTTTGTAACACACCTGCCGTTGGCATTAAATGTAATTTTATTCCATCAATTCTCACAGTTCCTTCAATCATTGGATGAGATTTTATTGTTGAACATCGATGTAAGTTTTGCCGCGACATCATTTGCAATAGCAGACCTTGCAAAGTACCAGGATATCCAAATCAAACTCCGAGATGAGGTAGACAACCAATTGAAAGGATTGGAACCGAGTAGTTTTGAAAACTTGGAGAAGAAACTACCGTTCATGGAAATGGTTCTGAAAGAAAGTGCACGAATGCATCCAGCGTTGGCGCTCAGTCTACCAGAAAAAACGAAGAAAACCACTGAATTGGCAGGTTTCATCGTACCTAAAGGGGTAAATGACTTTATAACCTCATAAACAGATAACTTTTTAATGTTTTGTTAGTTTTCACTATTCTTGGGTTAAGATTGATTTTCAATAGGTTATGACGTATGATAGACAAATCAAAAAGCTGAGAATATTCGATTACAAAAAGCTCCTATCCGAAAAGACTTAGTTTAAACAATTGAATTTTTAAGTATGAATCTGGCGTATCCCCAAACTCCATTCACCCAATTAGCTTCAAGATTCCCACTCGCCTCACTGGCAAGGTTTTATAATATTTATATATATTTATAATAATTATAATAATTATACGTGGTTTATTTACATCTTCCAGACAACAGTATGTGTCGATACATATTCACTCAATTACTCTGAAACGTATTGGGACAATCCGGAGGTTTTTAATCCGGAGCGATTCGCTGCTGGAAAGAATCTTGTACCTGGTTCATTTTTCCGTTTTGGTTTGGGTCCAAGGAAATGTTTGGGATATCGAATCGCTTTGGCTATCACAAGGATCGTCGTTGCCTCATTTATACAGCGATATGAAATACAATTGTTCGACAAAAATAGCTTTGCCCACGTTAAAAGCACTGGGATGCTATTTTTCACACCCTACTTAAGTCCTGATATAATTTTGAAATGTAGATGAGCAACGCAAGTATTTCTTTAAACTAAACTGCATTAAAATTACTAGATTCTCAAATTTGAATATAGCAGCCATAAAAAAATCAAAACACAAGCCTGGTAACATTTCTGTGCTGTTGGTTGCAACTGATTTTATGAATGTTAAGTTTAATTAATCATATTAAATATTATAAGAATAAAACACGTCATTTTAACTATTCAAAATTTTCTGGTCATTTTGTGGAGCATAAGGAAGAATTCATCTTGAGTGATAAGCTAAGCCCATTGGTATGAGACTTATCCCTTCGCCCATGATTAATTAGTAAAGCTTATCATCACCTTTATTATGTAGTACTGTTAATAGCCTTATATAAAGCTTTAATTGTAGCTTCGAGACAAAACCCTACGAAAAAATACACTGAATGTTGCTGATTATAATCTAAGTTATCGGCTATCGGATAATTATAATCAAAATTATTCGATATCCGATAATTATTAAACATTACGCATTCACACATATAACAAAAAAAGCCTTGTGACAACAAGCATCTTCTATTTATGTTATTCGTAATGAGCAACTAATTTTATGTATTTGGTCGAGCAATCACGTACTTTCAACGAGTCGTCACAGCAATACAATCAAAAGTCCTGGAATTCTATTTCATAACATGAAATCCTAAGAATGGCTTAGAAATGTTATCATATCCACCATCACAATATTTCTCAAGAACAGGCCAACGTTTGTGGTAGACCACAACAACAGATTCACTGCAATGATAAATATTGTTTACAACAGACAAGAAAGCGAGTTCTTTCAGCGAATAATTTACTCCTTCTTCTATGTTGAAACCATTCTCCATCGATGATTTTTGACGATTTTTTTTGAGTGAATGTAACGCAATATTTGACGACTCCATAACATATTTCTGAAAAGAATGACTTTCCTCATATAAACTTTTCATACCAGTAAAAGCATCAATATATGGACCTGAAACTTCGACATTCTCACTCCAGTTGACAAACTGAAAACGACCTTGACCATGACATAATCGGATTGCTTCTTTGCTTTTATTACGCACGCAATTTGCTTGTACTCTTGCCGATCTTTCAGGATTTGAACTTCCAATTGCTTTGTAATTATGCTCGGATATTTTATCCGTAAGAAACAGTAAGATCTAAAAAAAGAAGTTGATAAAAACAAAATTCGACATCATGTTAACGAGCTAGAAATCCATCACTTTATTCAGTTAATCAAAAGAGAACTTTTACTTTTTGTGTGGAATGATTTTGCGCGAAATCGAACAAGCTTTTAAGATTTTGAACATTATGGTAATGTGGATTGCCAGGACTAATACCCAAAATTATTGTAGAGTCTTTTTCCAAGTAAATTCTTCCATTCTTTAATGTGTTCGATTCTTCCATCTTCACTCTTGTAGCAGAATGTTTGAAGTGTTCTGAGTAACGTTAGGCAGGTGATCTAAGACCTTGAACGTTTCGGTGGAAATCTTGTAACGAAATGCAGGACATTATGTCATAAAGCTGAAAATATTTGAGCATTATTCAATTGGATTCCCAGAATAACAACGGTTTTCATTTTACACGTGTTAACTTAGATAGAAACGAAAAAAACATTGTGAGTGTTACATAAATAATCGCTACTTTTTGAGCAGCTGTATAGCGGTAAACTTAGACGGTACACTAGTAACTTTTCAGAATCTAACTTGTATTAAATAGCTACAAAAATTAGGAGTAATGATAGCTCGTTGCATTTTGGTCAAAAATACTGATGCAACCTTCGTCACGTTTTGGCAATGAATTTACAAATTGCTGCTATGCCTGCATGTGGTGCTAAAATTCACTCTGGATTATTTAATGGTACGTGGATATGCAGGCATCAACAGCATGCATGCACATGCTTTTATCGTTGATCTATTTGTTTCCGTGTGCGGTAATAGCAGATCACTATGTTTAGCACATTGTGAGGTCTTCGACGCAGTCTATCTAGGCCGGATTTACCACGAGGCAAAAGTGGCATTTGCCACAGAAGTCGAACTTTAGAGAAACTCAAATTTTGATGTGCCTCACCCATATTTAAGTACACATCACTTTCTGTTGTGACACAGATAAAGTCCCTTTTCGGGGATAGTTTATTAAAATTCAACGTATTCTTTCTCAGAATTTTTCAGTCTTCCCAGTAATCATACGATTACAGGCCATCAACGACTTGCTGTAAATTACAGCCTGTAATTTATGAAGCAATGGTCGATTGATGTTGGTTTAAACTAGCTACATATGGACTGTTAAAATTAATATATTAATAAGAAGTGTGTTACCAAGAACTCTAATTACAGGAAAACATGCGGTGAATTCTGAATAATTTACCATTTCCAAAAAGTCATGTGATCAAATTGTGTCGCTATATACAACAATCATTTGATTTTACGCATTTATTTGAAGTCATCAGTATAGCAGCTGCGAAGAACAACTCTATCACGATACCATTATGGATCACTCTATCTCAGCATTATTTATAGCATCAGTCGTACTAGCTCTGCCAATAGTGTATAAGACATTGCAGGTTTGTAAAATTCAGGTTCAATTTCTTTTTTTTGAATTTATTTCTGTGACAAGTAAATACTTCGTTCTGTGACAAGTAAATACTTTGAATCACACCAACAAATACCGAACTGGAAGATAATTCAATCCATTTCTTTGCTTTAAGCAAAGTTATTTTAACAGTAGTCGATGACTTGCTTGCAAACGAGTTCCAAAACAAATGCTCGTTATTTCATTGTTGCGTCTAAAATATCTATGAACAATCATATGCACATTTACTGAACTCAAGGTCCGAATTAGCGCTTCGCAAATCGCAAATTGCGAAGTGATTTCGATTTTGGCGAAATATTGCGAAGCAAATTTCGTAAAATTGCGAAGCTCATATCGCATTTCTTGTTATTTAATGTAAATTTGCTTACTGAAAGCACAGAATAGATACATACAAAAGCGCCACTCGATGTCGGAACCTTTGATGTTATTGTCCCCAGCATCCGGGAACTTTACACGGCGGCCATGTTTCCAGCCAGATAAATGCAGCCAGATCGCAATGTAATTTATAGTTCTATGGATGGGTTTTGGCAAATAAACCCAAATATTTCTATAGATTGGCCATTTTTTTGATATTTTTTGTGTGGATACAGTTAACACATCAAGCTCTCAACAATTTATCATTAATTCGACGTCCGTTTTTATAAATGAGGGTTTATTTACAAAGTAGATATGTATCTGACGAGATGCGTACTCGGTATATGGTTTGTCGTCAGTTTTAATTTTATCATATAAGAATTCTTCAGAGAATCTTGAAGACATTTGTGCTAACATTTGAAATCTCGGTCGTGGCTGAAACAGGTGACAAATCAAATTATCCTCCAGTTAGTTTATATATTGCAAACAACGTTTGGCAGGACATTCGAATCACCAAAATTGTCTACCCAGGTGTTTTAAACTATCAGAAGCGAAGCTGCATGGCCACTATGAAAGTCATCTGATGCCAAAATATTTTGTATTCATCACAGTTGTGACTTGTGAAGCTTGAATGAGTTTTTGAGCAAGTTGGAACATAAGCAGCAGCATGTTGGCCTCCACCAATAGAGTGCTTGAATAGCAATTTGTAAAACATATACTGCCATATGGTCCACATGACTTAACTTTGTTATTTCTGCCTTTTAAATTCAATCAGGAGATTATTTATATATTTGACATGGATGCTTATTGATGATGTGAGAAGTAGTAGTAGTTTGGTCACCCCTCCATGTGTGTCTCATCAAGCCAGCTTGCGAAGTTATCATCTGCTTTGTGCACTGTTGCGTAGCATGTGAGAAGTGAACATAAAAAAAGCTTCCTGAATGCTTTTGTGAATTGGATTGGAGTTGGCTCGGCACAGTTTCCCCCTGTTAAATGTTTTAAAAAAGTTTTCTGGTGTATCTGTGTTTCACCTTTTGGTAAACATTTTACTGTGTAAAGTATTATGATTTAAATAATGGCATTAAGAGTAACTATAACTGGTTTTTGTCAGAATAAGTTCCGTTTGTGACATGATTACTTACAATAAAAATTTTAATTTATTGAATGAAGTTATGGATTTTAGCAAAAATTAAATGAAGTTATTGAATGAAGTTATGGATTCATTCAATTTATGGATTCATATCAATTTATTGAATATGAATCCATAGTTATGGATTCATATCAATGAAGTTATGGATTCATAGAAGTTATGGATTCATATCAATTTATTGAATGAAGTTATGGAATTTAGCAAAAATTAAATGTTCGAGCCCTTTGTTGCAATAAGTTCTCTCTGCTGGTTGATCAATGCGGTAAATCAAACATAATTCTAATCATTTTTCACATACAATTGTTGGTCACAACTCACAAGTGAAGTTTAACCAAAGAGGTAAGCTGTAGGAGCTTGACAATATGTTTGACATAATGGCAAAGTTGTTAATTTAATTGTAACAATTTATCAATAACTTCATTCTTTAAAAAATTGTAATTTCATATATTGTTTATTAAAAATAAGACAACAAAAAACATCTTTATTTGTAAGTTAATACAAATTTGACAGACATGATAGCCACAGGAACTCAATATACAATTACAAATAAAAACTTTCAATTACAATTATGCAGACAAGCTACATTGCAAATAAAAAGCCCCGATTCAAGAATCAAATATAAATTAGTTAAGTCCAAATTTTATACTAATAACGTCTTCATCTGAAGAACGTTCTTTACGCATAGTAGGTCTTTTATCGCTTCTATCAAATCCGTTGGCCATTCTAATAGGAAACTCTTTACTAGAAAATACAGAAATGGAATCACACTAAATATATTTATTACTTTTGTCCTAAATTATAAATTCTTAGGGCAACTGCCGTTCAATATAAGAGACGTTCTAAACATGGATCTCGCATACAACTCAAGGCAAGAAACTATAAAACCCGTAAAATTATATTTGACGAACGTATTTTACAACAAAACTGTTTCTCACCTCATATGCTTGGTATTCTATCCGATGGCATTAAAAATTTTGTCCATAAGTGAATTTAAATTCGTCAAATTTTCGTAATACTAAACTCTTCATAATACTAACCTATATACATTCTGGCCAGTTTATCTGGCTGGAGTAATGGCGGACGCAAAAGATGCGCACTTGAGAACTGGGTACAAGTAGGGGACAGATTTTTCGCTGAGTGGCGCTCATTGAGCTCTATAAGACCTGGAGGGGCAAAGGGGCCTGGACCCCGTGGTCAAAAACATGGCGGTAATGGCGGATTTTGGTTGTCAAAACTTCCACTTTGAGAAAAATTTTTAACATTCGCTCCCTCCCGAAACGGATCTCTATTACTGCTCATAGTAATGACAACCAGCGAAAACAACCACGATACCGTAAGCATAAAATATTGAAAATAATGCTTCAGGTTTTTTGTGAAATAGACACACACATTTAAATGAGGTAAATCTACTGTAAAATAACGTATATTTTTTCAAGTAATGCTTTAGCTATATAAGAAATAAATATCAAACTGCAATCTTTACACTGTCAATGTGTTGTTAAGCTTTAATGCATAATCCCATGCGCATTACTTGTGTTTTTGACTGTTTGTGAACAGCTTGGTGCAACTGTCTTTCTTGAATAGATGGGTAAATCTTAGTTAAAATGTCCAAAAAGGAGTTTGAAAAAGTTAGCTTACCCCTACGACTTAAGTCGACTGGAAATATATTATTAGTAGGTATGCAATTTTTTGAGTTTTTTTTGGTAGGATTGATTCTGGATGTCTTATAAAGTATTATGATATTCTGTTAAATCTACTGAGAACTTATGAGGAAAATATCTTGAACTAGGAGAGCAAAAGAACGAAATTCAGAAATTCTATAATCATGTTGCTGGTTCTGTTTTGAGCCAACATATTAGAAACTGGATTGTTATTGACAACCATGGATCTACTACTGAACAGAACTACATTAATTTCCCATTGAAAATACTATTTCTTAAATCAAAGTGCATTGGTTTCTCTGACATAACACTTTTCTTAATGGTGCATGAAGGCAAACCTGTTTAAATATTATAATGTAGGTGAAGATATTTAGCATGTTGTATAATTGTTATTATACAGACATTATTTATAATATTATGGCCTTGTGTAATGTATGTCAAGAACTTATTAATTCTCAAAAATGCTAACCTTCTTGCACTACTTTTCTTTTGTGTCCTTACAAATTACAGTTACCTATACTAATTTTTTCTAGATTCAAACAACTTGACAAATTTTTGAATTTTACATTATGCCTTTGAATTTTTCTTTTTGTCTTTTGGTAAAAATATCAGTGAATGACGTAAAAATCAAGTTTATCTAAAATAGTATTTTGTACAAAGTAACTATACATAATTGGAAAAGTCTCATGTTGAAGGCAGATGTGGCTTCTTTTACTAGATTGCAACTCTTATTCTTTTAAATGATATCGTAATTCTTCAAAAGACATAAAAAGTTCTTTGCCATCAATTTTTGCTTCTTCCACATTCAACTTCATTGCAACCAATGCATCTTATGTGAATTTTTAATCACCTGGAATTGAAAAACGTATGCATTTTGTCAGATGATGCAGTACTGTATTTAATGTTTCATGCATGTCATGATAAGCTTTTCTTGAGCAAATATTTCAAGGTAGGAGCAAAATTTGGCACATTATTGAAAAAAGTAGTTTTTATCTTGATTTTGATGTACTAACCTGTTTACTACACTGTGTAACAAACAATTCATTTACAGAAACACCAGATGGCATTTATAAAACTTTTAGCATAAAGCAAATCTTTACACACCATCATCATGCTTGTCCAAATCTGTCAAATTGTCCAGGCTAGCTGTTTAATACAGGTAATTTTTATTGTACGACATGTACCAAAGAGCTCATTAATTAATCCTGCACTGCATTTGATTTCAATACAGCTCTGTCCTTAATATTTGCTTCATATTTTCAGAAAATATCATGAAAAATCCTCCATTTCAACTCAGTTGAAACAAGGAGTTTTAAGATATGCATATCTCGATAAGAACTGGTTGCTTTGCCTCGTCTAGCAATCGATTAAGTAAAGAACAAATAAGAATGGATAAACATAACTTAAATTATAACTTAGGAGTAAAACATTCACAAAATATATGCCATCACACTTCAAGTATTGACTTAAAACAAAACACTGAACACTTTAAATAGTAAACAATCTTACGTTGCTTACCGGTGTCATGAAATGTTTCCTTTCTGGCATTACAGCATCCGTATGCCAAACAAGTTTGCAGCATGTTTTAAAGATAAAATTTCTAAAAGTTTTGTGTTTGGCATTGATATTTTATATAATCGCAATTGTGGTTGTCAAATCCGGGTGGGCGAAAAATTTCATTTTATGAGCCCGCGTCTTTCCTGACTTTGACAACCAAAATCCGCCATGTTTTTGACCACGCGGCCGCGCGCTGATAATTTATAGTAATTTGGTTGACGTTTCCCCTCCAGGTCTTATAGAACTCAATGGTGGCGCTTCTGTATGTATCTATTCTGTGCTGAAAGCACTCATTTTATATTGCTGTGATGGATGGATGTGTTTTTATTATGCTTTGCGACCACTCCCTAAGTTTTAAAATACGTCAAAAGAAATATCAAATGATCAAATTTCTTGCACTATTTGCATAATTTCAAAGCGTTGCTATTTCATCATGCCTCTGGAATGTGACTAACAGGAATTTATCCTAAAATGGTCGCAACTTTTTAAAAAACGTCGCTACAATTGTAATATGAAACGTAACATTTTCAATATTATCTGAAAACGCGAAGTGACAAAGTCACAAACTAATGCACACTGCATACGTTAACGATGGCGAAGCAAAAGACTGTAGAAAATTGGGAGCGAGATTTAAACGTTAAATTGATCAAAAGTCTTAGTACAGATAAGAAAAAAGTAGAAGGGTTAAAATGTTCTGTCTGTGTGGAATTCTCCTCAACAATTTCTTCAATAGCTGGTTTTTCGCAAGCATGGATAGATGGGACAACATCTGTCAAATTAGATAGCTTGAAAAAACATGTCCAAAGTAAAGCACATCAACATGCAAAACGTCTTTTTGATCAGAAGTCCTTGGGCGAAACTTTTGGCGCACAAGTTGTTGAACGATCTCCAATTGGAAGAGGTTTGATGAAAATGGCAGAGATTGACAGGAAAGTAATGATTACTCGTTTCAACACTGCCTACTATTTAGCCACTTCAGAAAGACCCTATAGCGATAATGAGGGCATCATTACGTTAAACGAAATGAACAGAATGATTCGCAGTTCCAAATTCCGAAACGAGCGTGCTATGGCAAACATCACTGATTCAATTGCTGACAAACTCAAGCAGAAGTTGATGTCTGAATTGAAGAAAACACGCTATTTTTCTTTGTTGACCGACGCCAGCACTGACAAAGGCGTTTCTGAACAGGAAGTTTTGTATCTCCTTTTTATAAGCAGTGAAGGTAAATGCAATACACTGAACTGAATTATTTCGATTCTTGTCTTTAGATGCGTTATTTCTATTTTTTCAATGGACAGGTATCCCTCAAATAAGGTTTTTAGCAATTGAATCACCTACATCAACAAGTGCAGATGGCCTTAAGAAGATGATACAGGATTGCTTTTGCCGGTTTCACATGAACAATTTCCCAAGACAACTGGAACCTCACCAACCTTTGACAAAACGTCAAAAAATTACCAGGCATCAAGTGGAAGAACTTGAAGACGATGAAGATGAAGCAGGTACTTTTAAATGTTATAATTAGTGTTTTGTAAATGTAATACTTTATGTCGTAACATTGCCTTTTCTGTTTCTGAAGATGTTTCTTACCAAAAAATAAAGCTAAAAGGGTTTAATGCGTCCCGGAGGAAAGTAACGAAAACTTATGAAAAAATGATTAATGCTGTGTCTAGGAGTGTGCAAGGAAGATTTGAAGAGTTCCGAGAAAGTGTGGTGTTTAAAAATCTGCCAGTCATATTGGACTTTGCAATGTGGCCCAAGGACGACGAAGCACTTAAGCGGTAAGGGCACAAGGCAATTTTAGAACTGAAAGAGTTTTACCAGGCTTTACTTGTTCAGAATGGATGCAACATTGACAAAGTCGTCTCAGAATGGAATCGTTTGAAGGTTTGAATAGTAAATGCATCGTTTTCCTTTCGTATTATACAGTTGGATAACTGAATATTTCTTCTGCCAGTGCCACGTCAAAAGCTACATAGTTGGAGCAGAAAAAAAGGAAAAATATGTAAATGTATGGCAAAGCATCTGGGAAAATGTTATAATGCAAAAAGAGTGCAAAAATGTACTGCATATGATTGAATTGTTGCTCATAACACCATTCACGAATGCCAAGGTGGAGCGTTTATTTAGCCGAATGAACAGAATTAAGACAACTCTGCGAAATAGTTTGAGTACACAACGACTCGACGCTCAGCTAAGAATTGGTGAAGAAGGATGCCCGCTAGCTGAATTCAATGCGGAGGAAGCTCTCCAATATTGGCTAGAGCAAAAGATTAGACGCCCAAATGGTGCAAAACCACGAAAGTATCCAGCAGAAAGGCAATCAAAGTCAGCGTCATCTACAAACGTTGTTGATATTGCAGCAGCTACGCTTTCCGATTTGGAAGAGAACGAATGCGAGGATTTTAGTTTATAGTTTTTAAAATTAATAAAAAATATTGGCGTAATCATGTGCATTGTAAAAATTGCGAGAGGAAAGTAAATCGGGGGGGGGGTCGGTAGGAACTTATTCGAAAAAGTTGCGAAGCAATTTTTTTGCGATAATTCGGACCTTGGAACTCTCGAGGAAGTCTGTGAGACGTCCATGCAAACGAGTTCCAAAACAAATGTTCGTTATTTCATTGTTGCGTCTAAAATATCTATGAACAATCATATGCACATTTACTGAACTCTCGAGGAAGTCTGTGAGAAATATCTCAAACATCTTGAATGCCCACCTAAAGTTTCATCACTCAATAACTGGCGATAGCGTTTAGACTAAGCTTATATGGACTGTAGAACCACCGTTACACATTATTTTACTCAAATTTGCTCTGTCTTTACAAATAAGCCATACATCTAAAATATTGGAAAGTTTGACAGTTAAAGTAAAATAGATTTTTCTGGTGCAACTTAAATGAAGTAACATTCATGGCTATCGTTTCTAAATCACGACAAGTAAACTTTCTTGTGTGATTTGAGTTAATGAAAATGATGCTCAAATTGCAACAGTTGTTGTCTTGTTTAATCGTAAAGACACTCAGCTGGCATGCTTTTCAAAAAAATTGTGATTTACTTGAGCAATTTAAAATACACAACGGCAATTTATTTTAAGAGATTTGAATAACTTCCGTGACGATGTTGAAACAGACTGTGCAAGCTACGACGTTTTTCAGTTATAAATTTATACTGCATTTTCAAAATTTCATAAAGCATGCATGTTTAGCACTAAATGAAAGAGATGATCATTCTTTTCAATTTATCATTACTGTAAAGAATATGCAAGATTCAGAATTAACCACTCTCAAATCTTTAACTGTCGGACCGTATACCAAATCATGTGCATTGTATAAAGCTGTATTTTTATAAGCTTTGTCTAGCAAGTGTAAACTATAACTGAGCTTTGGAAGATCACATGCTAGATAATGGTTTTGTTTATATCATATATGATTCAGTGTCATTTCTAATTGTACAAGTGACCAAAGCCTGCCATTTAAAAGGTAGTTAGCAAACATGGGATTTGATGTTGCCTATTTACCCCGATGAAGACGGTAATTGGCGTCTCACATTGAAAAAAATGTCACTACAGATTTCGAGAACTTTCTAAATTCGGAAGCTTCATAAAATGTTCGAAATTGTTGAAGCAATAAGCTTATGAAGTTACCTAGGATTAACAAGAAGGCACTTTTTCCATATTCAGTGACAGCGCTAGATCAAAATACGTACGAGGAGTTACAAGGAAAAGAAGTGCTTTGAAAGGCACTCTGTGTTTTATGTAACCCTTAAAGTTTCTTAATGGACAATAGTGAGATGAAAATATTGGCAAACTGAAGGCAAACAATAAACAACAAACATCATGATTTCAAGCAGAATTTAATAAAATTATGTCTACATAAAGATAAACACGGAGAAAGGCAATTTTTTATTAAAGTTTCAATGAAACAATGCCCACGGTTCATTTACATTGAGCATGAGTATTTTAAGACATCTTTCCATTCCTTCTGCTAAAAGCTCTAGATACCAGTTACTGTATTGTCATCATAGATTTTAAATTATCTGATCCAATCATTGCATTTCTGCCGGACGTATCCACAAATAAACTAACACCTTTCGCAAAATGAAAACATCTACTTTATTTAAAGAAATCGTTGACATTGAAAAAAACTTGTAGCTACTGATTCTATGATATTAATGAGGAAGAAATGTTATCAGAGCTCTCCTAAAAACGTACAAGATCAGTATACGTAGTCATCACTTCGAGCCAGCGGTGTCAGCCAGGAGAACAGCTCCCCACACCCCCTCCCACATAGTTATTAGCCTATAAAATAACATACTTTCCAGATAGACAAATGATATAAGCGTAATAACTATAACGTTGTCACTATTGTGGTTTTTATTATGATTATCATCATCAATGAAACTTGTGTTCTCTGGGTTCATTGAAAGTTGTTTTTATTCAAATGAATCTTCTACAGTGTGTATTTTTCCACATTTGTAGGTATGTCTGGTATTTCTTCTAGCTCGTTGGAAAAATAGAGAAGGGAAATTAATGCCAGGAGAGCTTCCAAAATTACCATTTGGTGATTTTAGTCAAGTTAATTTCTTTGGACGTGAGCTTTCTAAAAAACATGGACCCGTTTATTATATCTGGAACTGTTTGACGCCCGTCGTGTAAGTAGGGCTTGTCATTTTAGTTTCTTGCTTATCTGAACTTTCGCTTTGTTTATTACCAATCATCATAATGACACATTAAAAAGAATAAGAGTTGTTGTACTCCCCTTTCCTTGCAAGGCCAGCCATCATATTTTGACATTCAAAATTAAAAATTTCCATTCTAGAATTTTATCTGATGCAAAAGCTATTCGTAGCTTTTACACAGATCACTATTCACACATTAGAGAAGCTGACATGTTTTGCCTTGGAGCTGTATTCGAGAGTATCTTTGGTCGTTGCATGGCCACAAGCCACGGGAGAGACGAGGTGAAAAGATGTCGAGGACCTTTCGAGAAGTACTTTTCAGCTTCTTCAACAGTTAATCATATGAACGTAATTGGACGAGAGTGTAAAGATTTTATTCACACCTTGAAGCCAGGACAAGCCATAAATCTTAAAACATCTAGGATGGAAGATGTCACGCTTCGAGTGATCGTGCATTTAGTATACGGAGGAGAAGTACTCGAAAAATACTTTCATAAAATTATTGAACTTCAAAGTATGCTTGAAGACGCAGTTGCTGACATTAGTCACGGCACCACACGTCTACCTCTGTACAAAAAGGTGAAATCGACAACAAACAGCAAAGTAAAAAGGTTTAATGAAGCATGGGCAGCCTTTAATCACGACTTGTTTGCTTTATACGAAAAAGGAAAGCTTACCGGCAAAGATGGCTTCTTCTTTGACTCCATGGCTCTTCTCAAAGGAAACGCTTTGGGGATCGATGAAGAAGAGGTAAAATAATCAGCTCAAGTTAAGTTGATTCACAAGAGATACATTTTTAATTCGTGATACTTATGATCAATTTTAATTTTTAATGATCGATACTTTTAACGATTAGTCACAGGGCGAGTACAAATTGTATTTTCAATGTAAACATGCGACCTATATTCATTAGAATGCATAAATTTTCTGGCAATCTTAGATAATCCTTCACTCTAATGTCAAGATTTACCGTCTTAAAAATAATCAATAGTCATTGACAGGAGAAGCGCTTGACCAATTCTCGAAAGCACAACATTTCAAAACATATTTATGAGCACCTGAAAATTAATTGAAAATAAGCATTTGTGTCCTAGAAGCTCAGTGACTACCAGCACACATTTGCCGATGGTATTTGCATCGGTGATAATAGGTTTGTAACACACCTGCCGTTAGTATTAAATGTAAATTTATTCCATCAATTCTCACAGTTCCTTCAATCACTGGATGAGATTTTATTGTTGAACATCGATGTAAGTTTTGCTGCGACATCATTTGCAATAGCAGACCTTGCAAAGTACCAGGATATCCAAATCAAACTCCGAGATGAGGTAGACAACCAATTGAAAGGATTGGAACCGAGTAGTTTTGAAAACTTGGAGAAGAAACTACCGTTCATGGAAATGGTTCTGAAAGAAAGTGCACGAATGCATCCAGCGTTGGCGCTCAGTCTACCAGAAAAAACGAAGAAAACCACTGATTTGGCAGGTTTCATCGTACCTAAAGGGGTAAATGACTTCATAACCTCATAAACAGTTTTGTTAGTTTTCACTATTCTTGGGTTAAGATTGATTTTCAACAGGTTATGAGGTATGATAGACAAATCAAAAAGTTGAGAATATTCGATTACAAAAAGCTCCTATCCGAAAAGACTTAGTTTAAACAATTGAATTTTTAAGTATGAATCTGGCGTATCCCCAAACTCCATTCACCCAATTAGCTTCAAGATTCCCACTCGTCTCACCGGCAAGGTTTTTTAATATTTTTTGTTGCACAAACGAAGAGTATAGAGTACAGAAAAAAATATTGGCAAGTAAATGCTTTTTGTCGTTCTACCTTGCCGGCGCTTGCAACCAGCGCTTGCAACTGACACGAACACAATTATCATGTAAGGAATAAATACGTAAACAGAAATTACTCAGCAATGAACAAATTTAGTTGATTAATTATAATAATTACACGTGGTTTATTTACATCTTCCAGACAACAGTATGTGTCGATCCTTTTTCACTCAATTACTCTGAAACGTATTGGGATAATCCGGATGTTTTTGATCCGGAGCGATTCGCTGCTGGAAAGAATCCTGTACCTGGTTCATTTTTCCGTTTTGGTTTGGGTCCAAGGAAATGTTTGGGATATCGAATCGCTTTGGCTATCACAAGGATCGTCGTTGCCTCATTTATACAGCGATATGAAATACAATTGTTCGACAAAAATAGCTTTGCCCACGTTAAAAGCACTGGGATGCTATTTTTCACACCCTACTTAAGTCCTGATATAATTTTGAAATGTAGATGAGCAACGCAAGTATTTCTTTAAACTAAACTGCATTAAAATTACTAGATTCTCGAATTTGAATATAGCAGCCATAAAAAATATCAAAACACAAGCCTGTAAACATTTCTGTGCTGTTGGTTGCAACTGATTTTATGAATGTTAAGTTTAATTAATCATATTAAATATTATAAGAATAAAACACGTCATTTTAACTATTCAAAATTTTCTGGTCATTTTGTGGAGCATAAGGAAGAATTCATCTTGAGTGATAAGCTAAGCCCATTGGTATGAGACTTATCCCTTCGCCCATGATTAATTAGTAAAGCTTATCATCACCTTTATTATGTAGTACTGTTAATAGCCTTATATAAAGCTTTAATTGTAGCTTCAAGACAAAACCCTACGAAAAAATACACTGAATGTTGCTGATTATAATCTAAATTATCGGCTATCGGATAATTATAATCAAAATTATTCGATATCCGATAATTTTTAAACTTACGCATTCACACATATAACAAAAAAAGCCTTGTGACAACAAGCATATACAGTATATTCACGTCTTCTATTTATGTTATTCGTAATGAGCAACTAATTTTATGTATTTGGTCGAGCAATCACGTACTTTCAACGAGTCGTCACAGCAATACAATTAAAAGTCCTGGAATTCTATTTCATAACATGAAATCCTAAGAATGGCTTAGAAATGTTATCATATCCACCATCACAATATTTCTCAAGAACAGGCCAACGTCTGTGGTAGACCAAAACCATATATTCACTGCAATCATAAATATTGTTTACAACAGACAAGAAAGCGAGTTCTTTCAGCAAATAATTTACTCCTTCTTCTAAGTTGAAACCATTCTCCATCGATGATTTTTGACGATTTTTTTTGAGTGATTGTAACGCATTATTGGACGACTCCATAACATCTTTCTGGAAAGAGTGATTTTCCTCATATAAACGTTTCATAGCAGTAAAAGCATCAATATATGGACCTGAAACTTCGACATTCTCACTCCAATTGACAAACTGAAAACGACCTTGACCATTACATAATCGGATTGCTTCTTTGCTTTTATTACGCACGCAATTTGCTTGTACTCTTGCTGATCTTTCGGGATTTGAACTTCCAATTGCTCTGTAATTATGCTCGGATATTTTATCCGTAAGAAACAGTAAGATTTAAAAAAAGAAGTTGATAAAAACAAAATTCGACATCATGTTAACGAGCTAGAAATCCATCACTTTATTCAGTTAATCAAAAGAGAACTTTTACTTTTTGTGTGGAATGATTTTGCGCGAAATCGAACAAGCTTTTAAGATTTTGAACATTATGGTAGTGTGGATTGCCGGGACTAATACCCAAAATTATTGTAGAGTCTTTTCCCAAGTAAATTCTTCCATTCTTTAATGTGTTTGATTCTTCCATCTTCACTCCAATAACAGAATGTTTAATGTGTTCTTAGTAGCTAATGATCGGCGAAATACTTAATTGCATTTATTACGCACGCAATTTGCTTGTACCCTTGCTGATCTTTCAGGATATGAACTTCCAATAGCTCGTTTATTATGCTCAGTGATTATATCATCGGTAAGACACAGTAAGATCTAAAAATGAGCACATTTCGACATTTATTGAAGAGAAGCATCATATTGGCAAGAAATAAAACGCATTTTTCTATGTAAAATAGTGCTTGTACTTTACCTCATCTTTGGAAATACTTTGTGCAAAATCGAATATTTTAAAATTTTTAGTATTGTATAATGTGGACTGCCAGGACTGATAGCCAAAACAATTGTAGATACTTCTTCTACATCTCAATGCCAGAGATTCTTCCATCTTCACTGGATATTACCAATCGAATGAACGATCTTGGAACCAAAAATAGGAAACTATTTTCAACAAGTTAACACAATGCTATTCAATGAGTAAATGGTTTTTCCCTAAACAAGAAAATAAGAATTATAATTAAAGATACTTAATTATGTTATATTACTTAAGTATAATTAAAGATACTTAATTATGTTATATTACTTAAGTATAATTAAAGTACTTAATTATGTTATATTACTTAATTATAATTAAAGATACTCATAATGATGTTATAAACAAAGATGATGAACACATCGTACGAGAAGCAATTTGAACAGCTGAGTTGTCTTTTTTTTTACCAAAAGTTTTACGCAATCTCTTTTTCATTCTGCAGGAGTTCATAACTTGTAGAGGCACAAAAAGTTAAATTCGCACGCCCGTATGCTAAAAGCTCCCTCACATTCACACTCATACTCCCTGAATAAGGGAAAGCGTAATAAGAGAGAGTGTGTGATTTTTACGATGCAATGATAAGAGAAAGCTTCATTTTCATATTGAGCCAATAGTGAGTGTGAGCTTTTAGAATATGGGCAGTAGTCTTTGACCTATGGTTTGTTCATGTAAACTAACAGGAAAGGTCTTTAGGAGCCATATTATGAAGATTGCCATCTTGATATAATCTAGCATTGAACTTTGCAGTTCATCTTTACAAGTATGGATTAATATCTTAGATTGACTTATAAGATCAAGATCGAACGATGCCTTATAAAACAATCTCAGCCTTGATTTTTCCCTCCCTGCCCTCCAACATGAGTTTTTTCCCATAAGAAATGATCTACATGCGCATGCTCTATAAAAATATTTCCTTGGGAGAAAAGAATAAAGACAATGGACACATGTTTCGTTTTTGTTTATATTACGTATCATCTTATCAGCTGTAACATTTTGTTCCTAACTTCTCAAACAAAGTTTAATTGTCGTCTTTAAAACTGCGTAAGTTGACTCCAAATGTGAGCAGGAAATAAATCTTCGAATTTTTGAGCCAGCAAGCCGAATGGCGTCGACAACCACGCGACCACCTGAACAATAATCATCGAGATTTACCGAGATTTACAATAAAAACAATCAGACAAAATCTGGGTGGCTTGTACATGAAATAAATTTACAATTGATGATTTTTCTGTCAGAAGAAATTACTGTCACATGCTTTAATTAAAGAATTAAGCTATGATTTCGACCAGCAAACTTAGATAGTTTGCCTCTGTTCTATAAACCACCTACGTGTTTCTTAATAACAATGAATTTATTTTATTATTCACTATGTAAACAAGTCGGTTTTGATTGGTCAACTGCCTGCAAATAATTCTCGATATTTGTAATTGTGACGTCATATTTACAAATAATTGTCCATACCTGTAATTATGAGGTCATAATCTACAAATAATAGTTTTGACAATTTTTTTCGCCATTAAAAGCTGGTTTTGAAAAAAATCAAATAATAGCGATGTTCATCACAGTTTTTTAAAACGATATGCAAAGCCTTTGAACAAAAAGGATGCGGAAAACTCGACGAAGCATATTTAACTGACAAAAACAAATCAGCGAAGGTTTAAAAAATGTTGTACATTTGAAATGTTGTACATCTGAATAATTCTTGATATCATGCTGAACCTCATCCAATAATTGTTTAATGTCAGTATCCGTTATTCAATGACCTAGAACTCAGTCGACAAGATATATGACTCCGCCAAAATTCGATAGTTACGAGTGAGGCAAGCCGCCATCTTGAAAGGTGGCAAAACTGATGATATTTCCGACGAATATCTTCTTTTCCTTTGTTGATAGAAATTTGATAGTCTAGGTTTGATTTTCAAAATATTTGATATGATTGGTTTTTTAAACTTTCTTTCAACTTAGTTTTCATTTTCAGTGTTGCTCTTTGCGACTTTTCAAGATGGCGCTTTGCCTCACATCGTCTAGGTTAGTAGAGTCCTGAGAAGGACTGCTGGTGTTAATGTTGCATGACGTTTCGACAACCTTAGCGGTATGGTCATCTTAAGAGTGCCAGAGTTGTTAGACATAAAGGGGATTGAGTACTAAATCATTGACTTTACCGTTTTGGACGCTGCAGCCATTGAGTTTGGAAACTGATAAGTAAGTAAGGCCAAAAGCGCATTAAATGAACAGAGACCAGCGGTAAATAATACAAAGAATGGAAGTTCTCGTTTTGGATATACTGACAAAACATGGTGAGCTGAAACGAAGCGATGATGAAAACATATCCAATTGATCAAAAATAAGATGTACGTTAAATTCATACCAGGTAACAGCTCTCTATCAGCAGACTCAGTACACGCTGGATATGGATGAAATAAATGACCTTTTTCCATAGGATAAGGCAAAAGGCGAAATGCTAAAACGCAATACAATCATTTTAGTCATGTATGAAAAGAATTTCGATAAAATACTAAAAAGCAGTTATCATATTATCAAACACCACAAACAGACTTCACCCCCCGGAACAAATCATGACTTAATCACAAGATATGTTTACTTCAGTCAAGAGCATTTGTTCAACAAGTGCAAAACATTGATAATTGGGGGGGGGCTATATTCATGTATTCATATGTTGTAATTCGTAGACACAATTGATTTCAATAGAAACTAAAAAAGTAAAACATGCATGTATGAATAATACCCCTCAATTATCAATGTTCCACCGCCCTCGTGTTCAACGTAATAGCAAATAAATTACAACATACTTCCTTCCCATGTGCAATGAAGAAGGTTCAAGGCACCATCAACTCTCTTCCAATGTGCGAGATGAAAAAAACAATATGCAAGAGCTTCACTATCCCCTCTTTTGAGTATATGTTCCGGAGGAAGAATCAGACTCTTCTGTTCTAATAAATACTAAAAAAAGTATATTCAATGGCGTCTTTTTATGTGCTTCTGCAAAAGTTTAGAAACAAAAATAAAGACTAAATAAGGCTCTTCTGTTCTAACACTGAAAAATATTTTTCATGGCGTCTTACTATGTGCTTCGTAAAGACTAGAAATTAGAATAAAAACTGAATTAGACTTTTTTGTTCTAAAGCCTAGTTCTCATTCATCGCAAAGCGTTATTTATCTGCGATGTCTATCGCCGATGGTCGGTGATGTCCAGTGTACGAAAGGTTCTCATAAATCGGCGATGATATATAAGTATGCGCGCTTTGATATTCATACCAAAGAAAAAATGGCTCCTTTTAATCTAAAGTTGATAATTTCAGTGCAAATTCAATTGTTTATAATATAAGTTGTCGCCGAAGTTGCCGGACTCAACAAATTCTCGTTCTAAAAGATGTTTTAATCTTGTAGCACTTGGCAACGATCGGCGATGATCGGCAATGATCGCAAGAAACAAACTGGGTTTTTTCTTGCGATTGCAGCGCCGATATTCGGCGACCGTCACAAAAAGTCCGCAACACAATTTTCGATGCTCTCTCACTAATCGTAAGCGCTCGCTGATTTTGTAAAAGCTCGATCACCAACGTTTCGCGATGAATGAGAGCTAGGCTTAATAATTACTGAAAAATATTTTTTCACAACGTCTTGTCTTGTGCTTCGTTAAAGATGACAAATAAAAAATGACCACTTATAGTGAAAAACTTTCATATGTTTTGGGGTGAAGGTGTTCAAAGACACATTAACTCTAGCTTTGGCAAAAAAGTGTAATATATAGTTACCTTTGGAACATGAGGATTAAACTCAACTGCTCTATGTATTGCTTCAACGGCAGCCATCTCCGTTGGACTCAAACCACGTTTAGCAGCTACTTCAGGAGAAAATCTAAAGATATATTTAACGGTAATGACACAGTGAGCACCCACATAAAGTATTATATTGAAATCTATAAGCCTCAATAAAGGGTAAGAAAAGTTAAATAATTAATAGTGATTTTTCGCTGAGAGAATTTTGGTAACCATTGCCATATTCTCAATTTGTATAAAATAATCATTTGATTGGTCGATTCCGTCATAAATATTGTATATTTTGAGCAATAGAAACTTCCCAAATTTGTTCAACCTTATTTCACAATAATTTCATAGTCAAGAAAGAAAGTGTTTGATTGATCTAATGAAATACGGTGAAGGAATAATCCCATTAATTCGAAACCTGTTTTATCTGAATTAGATTATCAACAAGACGAAATACGTAGCTAGTTCCCTACTTCTCTGCGACCACTCTTGCTTTTAGTAATGCAGCAGTATAACAAATGGTAGCAGATTTCGGCAACGATATATCTAGAGCGAAGTAAAATATTTCTAATAAATTGACGTTTCGAGAAGTTTGTTATACTGACTTAACATGGACCTTATTCAAGTGGTCATAAAATAATGAAAACAGTAATTCAAACTCACCGTCATATTTTGCTAAAACTTGCTAAAAAACAGAAAAGAAATTCAAGAGAAATTTTTTACATGGACGGTCTGAGCCACAGATTGAATAACACATTTTAGTGCCAAAATAAGAAATCGACATTTAAAAAAACGCAGAAACAGAAATAAACAGACTTTTTGTGTATTTTCTATAGGATGGTACAATGTTCCCTCCAGCAAAAATATAAACTTTGAAAATCTTGAATAAGCAACAATTTATCCAATTACCATCAACAATTTTGTGATTTTAAAATGCCCACTGTGCAATAAACTGAAAGATCATTCATGGATTTGTATTTACTTGAACCTCTGTATACACGCATGCTTGATCGTGGATTTGTATTTACTTGAACCTCTGTATACACGCATGCTTGATCTTGGATTTGTATTTACTAGAACCTCTGTATACACGCATGCTTGATCGTGGATTTGTATTTACCTGAACCTCTGTATACGCTTGCATTTCTAATAATGCTTCAATGAGATTTTCATGAATATTAAGAACACTCATTGCAGGAAATTCTTTCATCAACTATAAAAACAACACACAATGAAACAGAAATTACCATATTGAAGTCAATTTAAACCACTGAATAAAAAGTGACATTTCCAACTAAAAATTTACCTCTTTCATTAACTTCACAGCTTCTTTGACTCGACCCAGCTTTCTTGCGCACATTGCTAAACGTCGTTTTATATAAGCACAGGTATTTGTATCACGACCTGTGTTGAAAATTATCTGGTTATTATATTGCCTGCGAACGGGTACTTGTTATGTTATGTACTCTTGAGGAATTTCATAAATGTATGAAAAGTGGCTAAGCTCATGACTAATTTAGGAGTTTTATGTAAGTTTAGTTTCTTTGTTTATTTGTATAAATTCCGTTATAAGTAGGTGTACAAGCTTGTATTGTACAGGGAAAAAGTAAATGAGGAACAGAATTGAAATACATAATATAGTTAAAGATGAGAAAATGAACTTTGTGAAGGAAATGATGTTATGTTCGAAGTGTTACCATTACTATACATAGTTTTAAAACATTTATTGTAGTTAGACTTTGTTTGTAAGTGTGTGTTCAAAAAATGTCAAGACAGGTACAGTCCCCTGAGTGTTACATGAACCAGCAAATAGAAAATTAAAATTACAAGGACTGCACTTGACTTGAACGATTTACATCAACTAAAGTACAAAGTATAAAATCGCTATCTAACGAGTGACTTCACAACCACCCTTCAACACCCTTCAGCAGAAACTGATTTTACCATGGCAATTAACAAAATTCACATTTCCAAACACTGAACAATCTTGGAGAAGAAAGATAAAAACGGAAAGACAAGAGAATTCTGTGTCAGACATAAGTATTAGTACTTACTATGTATGGGGTCAGCTTTGACAGGATAAAATTTATATTTAACACAGCCTTCGACTGCTTTAAGAGCTTGCTTGAAAAACGACTCAGCCTTAATGAAAGCAATGAAATCTCAATAAACGATCGTATAGTGAAAGGATTTGTATTAAATATGACTTTCCAGAAACACGACCTAGTTCGTACCTGTAGTATTGTAGTGGCTTCCTCTTCAGCTAGCAATACATAGGCTGAAGCGCAGCTGTAAATAATAACAAATATAAAACTGAACTCGTTACTTGTACATAAAATTACCTCGCAAACTTCATATAGTAAGAGTTAAGATGAGGAAGGAGACACACAATGTTATCTTGAAACCTTTACGTAGTAAATGTAAGGGGAGGGGTGAGAGGACAATCAAGCAGTAAAAGTTAACGAGAGCGGGAAACTTAGTGAGGAAGAGTAAATAAGAGGAAGAGATGACAGAGACATAAGTTCACGTTGAAATCTTCACGTTGTGAAGTAAGGCAACAAAAGTTCTCACACACCAAGACATGGTATTACAACAGCCAATGGTAAACTTAGTTATCAAAGTTATTCAGTATTACGCACTTGACATCTTGTTGCAATGCATTGTGGGCTATCTCTATTCTCTTCTCAGCATTGCGTTCTCTCCACGCAGTGTACATGACTAAAACATCAGAATAAATTCCAGATGAAATCGTTACACTTACTGTGCGGTAAATCGAAAAAATCGGTTCTTTCGGTACTTTCTTATTCACCGACAACAGTATAGGCCAAACCTGCTTTCTCATGTAAATTTTGAATAGTTATAAAACTTACAATGGAAATATTTAAGGAGAATCATCGATCATTGATGAAGCAATATAAATGCAACTATTGTAAAAAACTAAGGAAAAGAATCATCACATAACCTCCAGAAAGTTTACACAATCCCATTTGATGAATGAATTTTTTCTAGTTGTAATGATAGCGCAAAGTTTCTTTGAAACTCTATGAAGTGTCAGACCAAATTCAGGTTTTTTCTCCGAAAAGTAAAAAACTGATACCAAAGCCGACATAAAACTTCTTGAACTGCACAACTATAGTGGTATGCGCCATTGCTGCGCAAATTAATAGTCGTGGAAATCTAACAAACAATCTTTGCTGATTTTTTGTTTATAATTGAAGGCAAAATTCAAAGATCATATCAAGCCAATGGAAAACATACTTGTATCAGATGCTCCTCCAGTTGGACTATCTAATTCACATGTAAAGAATTTCTGCAAAGGTGAAAGGAAACAATAAATACCTTAAACACTTTGCATAAAATGGAAAACAGCCTCAGTGACATCAAGATGCATTGTAAATATTTTACCTGATGGTCTTGTGAGGAAAGATTCATATCATAAAAGGTTAGTGGTTCTTTGCCAGTTACCCATGTATATCTATAGATAAAATGTACTTTTAAAAATGGGCATCGCATTTTTTCATCATTAAGCACTAATTCATAATAAAATGAGTTCATTGCCACATCAACAATATCTCAAAAATACGCCATGAAAATGTCTTAATTGAAGATAAAATAGAAAAAATTCTTCAATGGACAATAAAGATGCTGATAAATCTATATCTCCTCATGTTAGATGTCCTATTTTTAATGTGACATCAAAACTTTTATTCACCTTTGATATTCAGCTCCGCGAAACAAATTCATTGGGTTTCTCCAAACTTTACACTCTAGAAAACATGTTTTAGTTGCGACAAAAGATTAGCCAGATAAAGCCCTATCTGCTGCAAAACAATTAGCACCAACAAGCAGACAGACCTCCATTCAATGTAAAAGCATAAGGTAGTCCTAAATATTTCATTTCTCTTACCAGACATCCTACACAAAAATCTTCCCTTACCTGTTGAATGAAAGACCCCACAGTATTTGGTTCAGGTGTGAAAGTAAGGAAGTTGACGTTATGTCCAAAAACATACCTGAAACACCTTGATGAGAATGTGATGAACCTTCACTGCCACTTAATAAAGGGCCTAAGTAATTCACTGATATTTGCTCAATAAACGACATCCCATGTCGCTTAAAATACAACAGCTCGAAAATCTAAAACATTGAAACAAAATCGATACCTTCAAATCCATGTCTCTGTAAATTTTGTGCTGAATTTAAATGTTTAACTGATCATTTTCGTCCATCAACATAATCACAAACTTACCAAAATAACACCAGATATAAATGAGGATGTTGCGGTCAAAGCAACATAAAATTTGGGAGTAAGTGCATTAAAAAAACTTGTTGCTGAAAATATACAGGTAATATTCGCTTTATAAAAGCAGGTCAATTTAAAATGACATTTGCCTAAACCTCAAGATTGCTCAAACATTTAATTTAGCAATCAATCAAATAATGCATATCTCCACAGAAATTTCTCTTTAAGAACATTAACGCAACAAATGTTTTTCACTCTGACGGAAAATAGTACCACTACAGTCTTTTCTATTAATTAATGTACATCTATCTAAAATTTTTACCCAAACAGATGTTTTCTCTTAATTTTAAAGGGTTTCTCAGCATATAGAGAAGAAAAATCATTGTCAAGAACCACACTCCCCAAAGATAGGTCCATGACCAACCAATCCATTTAAATTTATTAGATTCTTTATTTTTCACATCATCGTTGACCGCCATATTGTATTGTGAATGATGAATCGATGATTCTTCTTGTGCCTAGTACTCTAGAACTTAGTGCCATCTTAGTACATTTACACGTATGTACAACACGTCATTCGCTATGTGCTAACGACTTCCTGCCTGGCCAATTTCATTGCCTGCTGAACAGTCCCATTCTCTGACGGTTGTTCAAATAAAATAGCAGTGGCACGGGTAATGAAGGTAGACTCCGTCCCCTCAATCAGAAGACAGAAAACTCTAGTGAAGCAATGAAATTCAGATAGAAATTAAGAGAGAAAACAGGCAACTAGTTGACAACCTATTTTACTACCAAATTATGCTTACCTCACCTCAGAAACACGGGGCAATTACTAATGAAAGGCTCCAGATTTCCCGCCACGGGGAGCACGGCCGAGAGCGCTTAAGTAAAATGAAAACATACAGCTGAACTGCGTGAACAATGCTGGCCTAGTTGTGGCCACTGGTTGTAGCCTTATAAATGTATTTAAAATAAAATATAACACATATGCCGACATCAACGTCCTTCTTATCTACTTAAAATGACAAAACTCATTGATACATACGGATCACTAAATAGTCTACAACTCTTTTACTTAATATTCTCATTATTACAACATTGATGGTGAGTTGACTGTAGAAATTTATAATTTACAATCAGTGTTGAATTTAGAAATGCTACAGGAAAATGTCAGAAAGCAAAGCTTCTTATTGGTTATCACTCAAACTTCGAAATACTCGACGTTCTTATCACTTATACTTCACAATACTTAATGCTCTTATTACAAATACTTCACAATACTTCATGTTCTTAAATCACTTATACTTTACAATACTTCACTTTCTTATCACAAACACTTCAAATTACTTCATCACAGTACTGCACAAGACAATACATCTAAAGCAAAGTGCACAGGGTATTGACGATTGATAGAGTCACTGTTGGAAGTCATATGTACAATAACTGTTGACAAAATGAAAGAAAAGTCGACCCATGCAAGTTTATTACAAAAGAGAAAATGTTATTGACTTATTGTCAACAGAAATATCTAAATAGAAAAAACAACATGACATGCGTATAACTCTTTACATCTAGCAATTCTAGTCCAGGAGAACACACTCGCCATGATCTTTTACTGAAGCTCAATCAATCATAAAGCTTCAATAGCAGCCCTCATTCCAGCTATTATTGAGATCACTAGTTGCCGGCGACTTTCTTCTATAAAGAAAAAATTGACGCACAATATTTCAATACATCTTAGAGTCTTGCAATTAACCAAACAATTTTAATAGCAAAAAACAAAGAGTCCAACTATCTCACATGCAGTCATTATCAACTGTAAATTTAATACTGATTATTGTTAAACAAAACGTAAGAAACTGTTTTTTTGTTTTACTTAATGAATAGCTTTATTCTGCTATGGCTAACTCTACATTCAGTATTCATGTAATTTCTATGAGTTCAAGGAAGATTGCTGTGGAGTAAAATATTAATAAACTTATTCATTTAAAATGATAAAGTATGTAAATTAGAATGCAAAGATTGCAAAGAGAATCCAAACAAAGTAAACTTTCTTTCACAGAAAGAAGTATCGTCCATAAATAACATTAAATCAAACGCCCATTGCCAGAAAAGTTTTAATAAATGCATTTCATTGTTCTTTCTGGGAAGCAGGCTTTCATTAAGCAATCGTTGTGGGTTTAGAACCGATCAAACGCCGACTTACACCATTTCCCTCGGGTAAAACCCCTAGTGAGTTTTTGACGATATCATAGCCTACTTAAATAGCCTAAATGCATTGCTTTAAGCCAAACACAACCGAGTAAAAGATGATTCCTTCTATATTAATATTAATGATTAAAGTACTGATAACAATGTGAATCATTACCTAGCAACTACACCTTTTGATGCAGCTGACGATGGTGTAGCTAGTTTTGAACGACGGGCAACAACAGGATTTCCTTGTTGCTGCAGCTGTTGTTGCGGTTGTTGTTGGAAAGTTTGGAGTTTACTTTTTGGTTTTAATTGCGTTCTGTTCATAATACCATCGTCAGCTTTCAATGTACGTGATTTTACACCAGCCGAATCGAACGGTACATGAGGCAAGCTTCGTCGTTGCACAGCTAAATGTCATCACGATAAAAGAAAAGTTCCAACATACACTGGGTTAGAATGCTACAATCTCATTCAAAAACATTTATTCAGAGAGTGTAGAAATGTTGTAAACATGCACTGGAGCAATGGGAAACAAAATGTAGTAACCAGGACTATGTTTTGATCATGTATGAAGTCCATTTTTTAAAAACACCAAATATTTTATGAACCGAAGAGCTTATTCAACTTTTCGAAAAACGAGTTTTACAGCTCGTTTCGATATTTGAAAGTTCAAATGCGGGCGAACGTCAACGTTTACATGATCAAAAAATTCTATTTCTTTTCGTTTATTTTAATTGTGTGATGAAATGTTATGAATTGAATCCTTCTATTGTAGTGGCTTTGGAAGAATAACCTCAATGTTGTTTAGTTATAAAGTTAAAATAAAAATTTCGCGATCGATCAGAAGCAATGGACGTCAAGGATTTGTGTCGTATGTATACAAAGTCATCATCATATATCAACTAACATACACAGTTATCATTAAACTTACGCGTTGCTGTGTTCTCTGAATCCAATAAATCCTCCATACTCCCTCTAGATCCAGCAGATCTCCGCGGGGTGACTGTTGAAAAAATCGCTTGCTACATGTCATCAATGTTATTATTGAAACTTGTATAACATACAGTCGATAATTTCTTGAAATGTAAATAGGTAAACTTACTGCCAGATTGTGTTCTTGGTTGAAGTTTGTTTATTCCGTCCGGACTCGGCGAAAGAGATCGCCTTGTTGCTAAAAGAACAAAATTTGCCGTGCAAGAAGATAGTAGTCCTATAATATCTTCTGAGCAACAAAGCAAAACAAGTTTGTCTGTGTTTTATATGCTGGTTTTATGCATTTTATTCTTATATGACTTTCGCTGAAAACAAATATCGAATTTTTTTCAAACATATTTATTAAGTTTGTTTAGTTTGCATTACATTGCATTGCGGTGCGTTGTATTGTATTGTATCGTATTGTACCGTATCGTACCATATCGTACCATATCGTACCGTATTTGAATGCATGGCAGTATAGTACTGTATTACATAATATTGTATTGTATAATAAGTTCTGTAAGAGCTGCAAATATAAATTTGATGCAAATTAAGTAGATGTCATGAAAAAATTTACCTTTTGCATCGATTTTTGTTTTACGTTGGTTCATTTGAGAAATGGGTCCTGAATACCACAGTTGCTTTGATAGACCTTCAGATGATGGCTTTGGTAAGGCAAGTGCAGAACGCTTTACAACAGGGACTAAAAATTGAGTTCATAAAGCAAACCATAAAAATGAAATGTACACCGTAAGATCAATAATGAAGAGAATCAATAAGACGTAGTACCAACCTTTTCCTTGGATATCATCTGAATGAAGATCTTCCTGGCTGCCTTGAGAGCTTACATCCAGACCTTTATTATCACTTGCTTCGTTTTCTGTCCGACCAAAATGCAAACTGTTTTATGGTATTTTACTCACTGATTCACACATTAATTGCCTGGATGTACAAGGGGGCCAAAGGGGATACCTTATCCAAAATAGGGAAAAATGTTGTGTAAGAGTTTCATGCACTACTAAATTGAATTTGGTGTTTGTTGACCGCTGACTACAACACTACCCGAGCCCGCACTATTTGTTGGCAACCCATTGAACTAAATACGTACATAAGTGGAAGACTACCTTCAAATGACCATGCAATGCATGCAATGCAGTTTACTGTTGTTAGAAATTTTCTTAAGGCCGTGCTATTTTCAGTTGTATTCGCTTTAATGGAGAATACTCATAAATCAGCAGATGTAAGTAAAATTACCTGACATTTTACTGCGAGATCGAGGTTGAAGACGCAAGCCTGGTAAAGAGGTTTGTCTGGGAGATTCTGGTGATTCATTGATTTGAGACTGAATCTTTGTGTCTTTAGATAATGCCGATCGGCGCTGTATTGGAGCTAAAAAATTTGAAATCAATTTGTAAACAATATATTCCCTCAAATTCCTTGTTTACTTGAATAAATTAATGCATTCACTACAATGTGTTTCATTCAATATATTATACTACCTTGCTCATCATCATCGTCACCATCGTCATCATGAACGTTTGATAAATTCTCTTCATGATTTTTTTTAACAACAGCCGATCTTCTCAAAATGGGACCTTGCATAAATTAAAAAAAGATGAGAGCTTCACGATGTACAATACCTTTATTACAAGAACATTATTTGTCTTCACCAGTACAGGCAGTTGCACGGCATGTGATCCGTCAAATATTTTAAAAGTTTTTCTTAATGGAGACAGAATTTATTGAAATTTGCGTGTTGATGCACATCGCTCTATAAGATTCACACGCACGTACCAGTCAATTCATCGTCGACTTCGGGTTGAGATACTCTTGATGGATCACTTTCATTGACGGCTGATCTTCGAAGAATTGGACCTTGAACAAATGAATTGAGAATATAAACAAAACAACCTACAGTACTACGTATCGTTTTAAACAAAACAACCTACAGTACTACGTATCGTTTTAAACAAAAAACCTACAGTACTACGTATCGTTTTAAACAAAAAAACCTACAGTACTACGTATCGTTTTAAACAAAACAACCTACAGTACTACGTATCGTTTTAAACAAAAAACCTACAGTACTACGTATCGTTTTAAACAAAAAAACCCTACAGTACTACGTATCGTTTTAAACCACTGAAAGTTCCACAATTGGTGACAAAAGCTGTTATACTGGTATAAAAAGAGCATTGATGCCATTCATAAATAGAGTTTGAAAACTTTTGAAAACCGTGGAACACAATTAGATTTTCCTTGTTTAAAGGAAAGTTTTCCCAACATTACAACAAGGAACGTATCACCTGATTCTTTATCATAATCTTCAGATTGCAACATTGTAGTGAGAGAAAGAGAACCGGAGTTTTCATTCTTTTCTCTTCTCACAGCTGATCTACGTAATATGGGACCTTGTATGCTATCATCAACTTCGTATGACTGAGAAAGGGTGGTATTCTCTTCAAGCTCAGCATTTCTTGTAGCTGATCTTCTCAAAATAGGACCTACACACATATTTAAAGAAGACCATTAGTCAAAGGAGGAGAATCTTCGCATTAGAATTTATCAAATAAACAGCACTTATATCAAGAAAAAAAAATAACTCAAAACATTTTAAGACAAGCCTGTTGAACTTTACTGACACATCATTCTTGAATAGCATTGCACAAGCTGATGCTACCAAACATACACACTATAGTTACAATAATGTTGCAAAATATGTAAAAATATGAAGATTTCATTATGCTTGTGCAAAAATGTGTGAGTGCATGTCCACGCTAAAGGTCACTTTAAAATAAAATTCATAACCTCTTGAATACTGGAGAAACGAATACTTAAAACTTATTTGAGGATACCTCAAATGATATCTGAGGATACCTCACATAATAATATGATAAGAATAATAATTATAATAATTATAATAATTAAAAACATGCCCAACATTCAGAACTATCTTCAACAAGTTCAATTTTCATTTCAACATCATTAAATGTTCAGGCTTTTATTTTGGCAGAAGTGTAAAGAAGTGAACAATTTGGCGTACTGTAACTTAACATTTTTAATAATGGACCAACATACCTTGCAAAACATCTTCCATTTCATTTATACTGTCATCATTTTCATGGTTTTTTTGGTGACTATCATTATACCTTTTGCCTAAACAAATAAAGATATTGAAATTACAATAGGGACTATCGAAAGAATCAAAGCTATGTTTTAGGACAAATTTACCTTTTTTTGAACTTATTGCTTGACTTGAAGGTTGAAAAAACATTGTATTCTTTTGAGCACTGAATGAAGAAACTTTATTGACACGTGACTGGGCTGCCCTCACTTTTGATATTTCTACATAAGGGATGCTATGTTTTGAAAACAAATCAACAATAGCATATAATTACTGTTTCATGATAATGCATGCAATGAATGTCTATACGTTACAATGCTATGAATGTCTTTGCAATAAGGGGAAAGCAGTTGACCATCTAACAGATCAATGCTTTTTGTATAATTTGCCTCTCACAACACTTTGAATATTCTACATCAATCATTTTTCTCTTTTCAAAATAAGATGTCAAAAGTCGTATGGTTTTTGGTAAGTATTCATGTTTTTGTGTGCGGGAAAGGAATAACAACAATGCATCTCAAATATGAAACAAACCTTGTTGAGTTTCGATATCATCAAGTTTGTCAATAAGGTTTCCTCTTATACTATCCAAACCATCAACAGTCAAAGTATTAGTCCATTTTGTTGAATTAACAGACTTTTGTGCTGGTGTGGCTGATTTAACAGGTGACTCGTACAACCTTAAATAATGATTGAAGGATAATTTCTATTACAAATTAACCATGACCCACAAAGAGGTCAGAATAGCAGGTGGTCTATGTGTACATGTCACTGTCAGAAAGTACATTTGCTGAACAATGTAGTCAGTACATTCTATCAGTGGTTCAAAAATAAAAGTAGATGTTTATTATAATAGCTGCAAAACAAGGAACTATCTAGAAGAAGTTAGTGTACTTCATCGAACTCTTCTACAAAAATAATGAGTGTTTTTTATGGATGTACTATACCAGCTATCTTCAAGTTCATCAGACGAATCATTTAAATTAATAAGCTCCACTTCTTCTAGCTCCACAGAATCTCTCGACGATGATGGGACAAAACCTGCACTATTTTGGGACGAGCCATGTCGAAGAATTTCATTTTGTTCTTCCAACCTCTTCACCATGTCTTGAAGTTTCCGAACTTCTTGTTCGGCTGAACTTGAAGTTTTTAAATCCATGGGCGGAACCTCAAACATATTTTCCATACTGATCGTTCTGCTCACTTCATATTCATTTTGGCAAAATACAGAGTATGAAATATAAAAGAAAGTTTTGAATTTAGCTTTCAAGGAGATTTCCGCTAGAAATTATAAAATTAAAGCGATGTTTTTCTTCCATAGGTGGTGGTAAAGGTGTACATTAAGGAGCTTAATATGTCATGGGAGACTGCGTGGGATTCAAGAACTTAGTAAAATGGGATATTGTGGAATATTTTAGGCCGGCAGGAATTCAACGTATATACTCAACCTAGAAATAAGCGATCCGGATTGTGATTTTTGAGATTAAGATATTTCAGAGTTTAGACCATCGATATTGCTTATTACGAGTTACGAACATGTTACGAAGTGATGAACTTTTTAAAGTCATGTGTACAACATTATACTGTTATCGTTTTAGCAAATTTACAAATGAAAAAATGGCTAATCATAATATGGATGGCGATTTATAAACAATTAACTTAGGAATATTTGTAAAAGACACTACTTCAATTTCAAGTTCAATTCTTATCTGAATGTCTAGATTAGGTTGTAGAAATCAAGACAAAATTGCGAATAACCGCTGACAAATAAGTTTTAAGTATTCGTTTCTCGAGCGCGCGATATTATAATTAAGTTACGTCATAAAGGGCGGCATATTTTCAGCAAATTTCGAAGAGGCCGGTGTTAGAAAGTTGCTGTTATCAAAAAGTGTTCATTTGCTATTGCTTAATCTTCATTATCGAGAGAAATCGTTATGTAAGTATCCAAGGTTTTACATTTCATGATTTTGGAAGATTTTATCAGAAAATATTGAACAAAATTAACTCGGCCTACACTTTTCGAATTCAACAAGCTTGATATATCTTTTAGTTTGGATAAGTATAAATTGGCAACTATCAAACAATTTACCAGGAAACTATGCTTTGAAATAGGATGGGGGTGTTTGTGTAAACATGATCAATCAAAATGAAGACGCTGAAAAAATTTCAAAACAAGAGTTTTAACAAAAATTGAGCGCGCGAAAAATCCTTTGTTGACGAAAGTTAAATCCATACAAGGTCATCGGGTGAACTTAATTGGCCATCGATTTTGCATATTAAAATCTTTTTTCGTGTGTTGACTATTTGTTCATTTTTCCTTGAAAGCTCTTAAAAAAAGAAATTACTGTCATCACTTGCACAAAGCTCTTGATTTTTTGAAGTCTTTGTTACAATAACAGGAGAAGTCTTTGTTACAATAGACATATCTTGATATCGGAAAACTATGTTTTTAGGTCTTTGCAGAGCATTGAAAAGCGCGAAGGCGAGATTGAAATCGAGGTAGGTAGTTATATGATGCAGTAGATGCATTTCCAATCTTTTTCTCACCAAAAATAAACAGGACAAACATGCTTTTCCATTTTTAAGGATGCAGTTTATGCTTCTCTGGAAAATGTTTTTTCTATCGCTAAGCCTGAGCAAGATTTAATGTAAGTATTTTAAAATACATTTTGAAAAGATTATCAGAAGATGCAATACTGAAAAAAATACCTAATTCTTTATTTCATAGAAACAGCGTCAGTCTTATTATCGACGACAAGAATGTTTACGTAAATATTTAACCTATTTATACAAATTTTATACAATACTTAACTTATCGTTGAAATTCCTGTTGTATTAAAAAAATTTCTAATTTAGAGTCAAGACGTTGCCAATAATCTTTCAATAGGAGAATGGTAAACTTTTCATGCGTATTTTACTTGACTACAAAAACTGGTTCAAATTTTCAGTCGAAGCTAAATTGAAGCTCTCAGTTGGCAAAAACAAAGAAGTTAAAGATATAATCTTTATATTTAGGCCATTTGGAAATTTCGCTGAAGTTCCATGTATGGCTATATCTGCCAACCAGGTGAATTACGATGTTTACACATTTAGTAATAAAATTTTGGTCATTACTTTCAAAATATTAAACACAAAATTGATTGAGAAAATAAATGTTACAATTACAGACTTCGCTCGAATTGTCCAATGGATCACCGTATTGGACACCACGTGAGAGCTCTAACTTTCAAGAGGAAAGGTAGGATCACATTTGTCTGCAATTACAATAACTAATTTACAACAATATGAAACTCAGAAACGTTTATACAGGCATGATGGAAAGTCAAAAACATTAGAAAATGTCGAAGATAAAGTTGATAAGGTAATTTCATTTATGCAGAATTGAAAGTAACAAGAAAAGCTTCCTCTCAAATTAAGATAGGCAATGAAATTTCTGGCTGTATATTTCCACAGACCAAGACGCAAGCCATATTTGATTGTTTAATTAAATCTATTGGAAGTTCTCACTTCAATGAAGAAGGGTAGGATATTTGAGTGGTTGCCTTACGGTTGCCAATATCATTGTGTAAAAAACATTTTTCTTGTTGCAGTTACCCAGTAATTGGTGATGTAGTTGTGAAACAACTATCGGATTTCGTGGATAAGAAAGATAACGTAAACGGCACTTAACCTTTATCCACTTCCATGGTTTTTAAATTGCGATAGAAAATAACGATTGGATGTATTTTATAGGAACATTCACAAGTCAAAATTGGAACAGATCAATTCATGCATCAAAGGTTTAAGTGACTTTTAAAGATACGCTCGTTTTATAAATCAGAGTACTAAATATTTCTTCGTTAACATAATTTAGTCAAGAGCAGGTGAAATCGCAAGTGAAGGTCGAATTCAATCCAATTGAAAGGTGTGTGCTCACTTGATTAACACTATACACTGTCAAATACCATCGTTCAACGTAATAGTGAACACGTAGTAATATTATAATATGCAATATTGAATAGCAATTCTTTCTTCACATCTTAAAAAGTCGATACTTTTGACGATTTTATACCAATTACATCTTAAAAAAATCTTAGATTTGTTCAACATGAAATAGAGATGATTTATCATGATTATAGTTACCAGCAAGCTCAAAAGAAAGAGAGCTCCATCACACCAACGTTAACAAAGTGCCACACTATCAAAGAGCAGATGGCTAAAAACACAAAAAAAGTGCAACGCATAGCCTCTGATACTGGTATACATAATTTTACTATTGTCTAAAAACTGTGATACTTTAAACAATAGAGAGCTCTATGCTTATAAATCAAAATCTTGCTCACTATAATATATAAATATATACAAAGTATTCTACTTTGTACTTAATAAGTGCAGTTCTACATTAAATGTGTTAATTTATTTATTAAATCATAATATATATTGCAATATTACCAAAATATTACAGTTAATTATCTTGTTTATAACTTAAGTTTGAGTCAACAAATGTCCTTTTTTGGAAATGCTTTATTTCATACCTTCTACATTGCAAAATCTCGAAAAAAAACACACTTTTATTTCCCTAAGTAAAAACACTATTTATACAACAATATGATACAGCTATTCATCGTTGCCATCTTCACCAGGAAGAAAAGTAACTCTAACACTTGATTTTAGTGTACGAGTACTACTACGATAAGGATGCTTGCCTTGGTTCTGGAGGATTCGGCTCCGTTTATAAGGGTTACGCAATCAGTGGATCCAAACAAATCCCTGTAAGTAATGTAGATTGTGACAGTTCATGATATATTAAGAATATATAGTCTGTACGTCTCATGCGCGAGTGATATATTTTAGGTAGCCGTCAAATTTTCAACATTTTCCCAAGTGCACGAATACTACATGGCAAGTTTCTCTTCGACTTTTTTATGTAGTCCGATTTTGTGGGTAGCTGAAGAATTACAATTAATTATTTGGCTCTTGCTTTTACATCTGATACACTGCTGAGATTTTCAATTGCCTTTCCTGTAAAATTATTTCATCCTAAGTTTCACCTCTTCCAATTTTTTCATTAGGATCCTCAACTGGGACGAATTCCTAGTGAAGTCTACTTCCTGAAGCAAATGCAGTTTCACAAGAATGTCATTAAATTTTACCACTACCAAAAAGTGTCGTCTGAACAGTTTGTTATCATCATGGAAAGATCCTTGAACAGTTCAGATCTTTTAAAACTACGAGCGGAAAATGGGGGGAAACTAAGCGAAGATGAAAGTAAATCGATCATTACAAAGCTCGTTCGTGTCATGAAAGCGATGGAAAAGAAAAACATCATGCATCGAGATTTGAAAATGGAAAACATTATCTATGATAAAGTTACGAACGATATAAAAATTATAGACTTTGGTTTGGCGTGTTTTTCTCCACCTGGGAAAATTTTCTTCAACTTTTCAGGTTAGCTCCATCTGCCATCATTCTATGATATGGAATGTCTCTACCCATAAACATTTGTGGGTTTAGGAAAGTCTATAGCTTCCGAGGTTCTTTGTCGGTAAAATTCCTTAAAGCAAGTGATTGCAATCAAAAATTTTAGCATATTCTATGAATCAGCTCTTCAAAAGTAGTTTTTACTGCCAGACGTTTGTCGATATCCAACGCTAAAATTATCATACACCTGTTTGAAACCGTTTGTTACGAAAAGCAAAAAAATTGACAAAATGCGTCTTTGTCTAGGTACTTTGAAAAATATCCCACCAGAGTTCTACAACGAAGGCGAATACCAATTGCGTAAAGAGGCGGTGCGATCTGTTGGAGTGATAGCTTATGAATTGATATGCGGTAAACCAGTGTATAATGAAAATTTGCATAGACATGAATGCACCGCAGGATTACCTGATTTTGACCAGGTTTCTGATGGTGAGTAACTCTAACCGTTGCACTGTTTGATCAACTAACACAAACAGCAAAATGATAACGGATTTACCACAATCCCTAAACTAAATCTGCAAATTTCGATCATTTCTCGACAGACCTAAGAGATCTTCTCCAGAAATTGTTTGCAATGGAATCAGAAAATCGTCCAGACATAAGAATGATCATCAAACATAGGTGGTAAGTCAAGGCAACACGAATTTCTCAAACATCTTTGATTCCAAAGCTGTTTGAAATCGACGTGAAAAACAAACTGAAATGAGATCGTGAAAACGAGAATTTCATTTTTCCATGTAGGTTCCGTACATCAAGCAAGTTCCAAAGATTTTTGCGTCGTGGCTTAAAATTGTTGAGAGGAATATCACCGTGCGGAACATCCAAACTTTAATGCAAACAAGGTATAAATACGACTGCATAACTTATACGATCGATCTTTCACTAAGGACACATACATCAGATCTGTACATTTGAAGTGTAACTTAGATGAGTAAGGCTTTGTTTCCGAATATACGGAGCTGATAAATTATAATGAAAAATATGCTTCGCTCTGGTCAACAATGGGCGCGCTTGCACCTTCGCTAGCCCATTTTAGAGCTTTTATCTATCTGTGACAATGCTTTACTCAATGAAAAGACTAAACATACAATAGTTTTATTTGAAATTAAATGAAGATACGATCTTCATTTGTACGATCTTCATTTGATACGATCATCAATTGCTTAAATTGTCCAGCAAAGTGCGAAGATCGTATCTTCATTTAATTTCAAACACCGCACTGCATATAACAATCTTTCATAGTTTCATTTGAGTCATACATATATGAACACATCGAACTGACTTCAATGTTCTAAAATTTTAGATCTTAACAATAAAAGCAACCACGAATGATATGATCAGAAATGACTTTAGCCTGGCAATGCACGTCTTTCAATCGCAGGAATTATGTCAACTTATGATTCGGGGCTTCCGAATCATTATTTGATAATTTTCATTCGGAAATAATTCTCTGAAATCGCTCGTATTTGCAGCACATTCCAAAGAAGTCTTTGGAGAGGATGCTGTGCGATGTTTTCGATTAGAAAACAGTTGCGGTACTACAATCAAAACAGTTGCTTGTAAGACGATCTTGTATATATATGTATATATTTTTAGTTTGTATATATATTTAAGTTAATATATCATAATTATTTTTATCGATTCTTAACTAATTTTGATGTTGCATATAAATGCACATACAATCAGTTCGTTAATAAATAATAAATAGTAATTATTTTTATAGTTTCTTAACAATATTTAACAAAAGAGCATTCTTCTTACGATTGTAATTCACCGCAGTTCACCAATGTATAATCATTATATTTTTATTGTAAAGCATAACAGATATATCCACGCTCTGGTATCGAGTCAGGGGTGAATCTTTCACTAATTACTATACATCAAAAAGGTAAAATTATTTAAACTTGTTCTTTTGGTTTTTCATAAGCTATATATTTAAAGTTAGACTTAATAAAAACAAAGCAGAAATGTGAACAACTCGGTCATTTAATGAATTATACTTCATTAATAACGAGATTAGTTATCACAGAGGAAGCACAAAGTAGTACAGGCACGCCACAGATTCAGCAAAAGACTTTGATGATTAACATAACAATCATATCATACGACCATGGTTTCCGAATAAAATTCTCAACGATATATACATTCAAAAAATTAATAAACTAAGCCGACAATTTCCACTGAGGCTTGATCGGAAATTCGATTTAATGGACGATGGTAAAAATCTTTATAAATTAAGTCAGTTAGCAATGCATGACGATGTTATAAAAAGCATAAAAGTCAAAACAAACCAAATGGATGTAATCTTCTCGGGTCATCTTGCTTTTGCCTTTAGCAGCCTATCTTTGTTATATTTATCAATTAACTCTGCCTGGACTTGGCGCGATGCTGGTAGATATTTGCAGTATTCCATCGTAAACTCTCCTTTGCCCTTCACAAGAAAAATAGTTTCATAAATGTAAAATCACGATATTTATGTACGTATATAGCTCATTTTCTTAACTTTCACTTTGATTTTATGTTTCATACCTGCGTTAGGGACCTTAACTCAGACGCGTAACCAAACATATCATTTAATGGTACCTGAATGCAAACATAATATTTTTGTTGACACAGATGCAGCTAGACCTTTAGGAGATAAAATAAATATAATATAATGAACCTCAGCGTATAAAGTAAAGTATCCTTCACTGCCGTCGGTTCCAGTAATAACGCAGTTTCGACGATTGAGACCCGCTATAACCGAACCCTAAAAGGAGAAATAAGTTTTTTGACTGATGTAACTGTGATTTGGATGTAGTGAATGATGGTATGCATTGCTAAGCGAGAGTCGAGTTGAAAAAGTGAAAGCTTCAAGAAATGAGATCTGATTAAAAATGGTGACAGTATTGGGAAACGAGAGACGGGTGAAGAAGGTGAAAGCGGTGAAAAGTGGAAACTAAGTAAAGAAGAGGACAGCATCAAGTAAAGACAGACACAACATCAAGAAATGAGAGACAAATGAAGAAGAACTTGAGAAGAACTCGAACAGCATTGAGAAGTGAAAGTCGCGTGAAGAAAGTGAAACTGATTGTGAACAATAATTGATAAAGAATTGTGGTCACTGATCTGCTATATAATACCTGAAACTCTACTGGAGCATTAACTTCAACACTCATCACTGGCTCCAAAATTACAGGAGAAGATGATGACATAGCTTTTTATGAAAAAACAAAAATTCCCGATGAAATACATCAAACTGCACAGTCAACTAGTTAATTGTCCAACACAGCGATGGAAATTACCTTGTCTCATTGCACCAATGGCAGCCATACGAAATGCAATATCACTCGAATCAACGGCATGAGCTGCACCTGTTTTTGGACGATCAATACGTACATAAACATTATCATAAAGTTTAAAATACTTCTCACAAGCGGATATTCTCGTTACGTACCATCAAGAAGGAGAAACTTAACGCCCGAAATCTTGTGGCCGGAATAATATCCCCTATCACATGCTTCATAGAAACCCTATAAACATACACCAATACTCGCTGGAAATATTGCAAACAAATGGACTACTTGATACACATCTCTATACAAACACACGATAAGCATAACCATATAAAACAATTGTGAATATTTCATATCACGACTATGAAACGTCCTACTCGCACCTTTTCAATGGACGGAATAAAATTTTTTGGAATATTCATTCCTATCGTTCCATCGTTGAATTCGACTTTTGTATATTCTTCCACTGGTAAAGGCTGAAAAAGACGGAAAATAGTCGATTCAACTTTGCAGTAAGTTATTTCAATTTTGATAAGTGAGAAAAAGAGTAGACGACGCAACTGACACTTCAAATGAATGGAAATCGGTTCATTCAAGAAGTGCAAGAGAAACAAAGACTTACCAGGAGTTGTCCAATCACACGACCATACTGACCAGAACCTCCACTTTGTTTCTTATGTATGTAATCAAACCTAAATTGTAATGTTTGCGTATTTAATGGTCGTGAAAATTGAAAATTTATCACTAATAAATCAAAAGATGAAACATAAAACAACGTCCTGGCGTATGCTATCACTACAAACGGGATAAATACGATGACAATTTTAAAACATTTCCGCGTTTTGCGCGAGATGAACAGAAGAATAAAACAGAAACTATCAATTCTTTGGCCTATAAAGATTTCGCTGCATAAAAAAGACCGAAAGAACCGACTTTTTCGATTGACCGCACAGCTCTACAACCAATGACAATAAAGCATTGCAAACAATACAATGAAACGCTTGCTCATTAACACGAATGACACAAGCCGACCAAAGAAAATAACACATAACTAATGACTCTCATACTTTTAAACACTTGAGAATCACACGTACATGGCCCCATTGAGAACAGCACTTTCCTGACAGCCAATCAAAGCGAAACATGCTGAGTAGCTGACCAATGAGTGTGGGCATAAATATCCTGCCCACAGAGATCCTTTCAATATTGTGTAAACACTACACCCAACCTATACTTTAGTATTTATCTTATACATGTATAAGAACAGCACTTCAACTTACTCAATAGAACTGTCAATTGTTTCACGGAAAGCAACTTTAGGTTTACCAGATATCACAGGACAGTTATATTCTGTTTTCATTCGCTAAAGAATTTCACCAAATATGTTACACACATAGCGCATGTGAATTAAACACGCTAGGGAAAATCATCATGCATGTATTTTTTCATGATTGAAATACTGACTTTCTACATCTGAATGCAATGTATACAAAACTATACCTAACATACAATGATACTAAGAACAAATTTTTTTTATTTTTCATTAATACCTCTGTGTATATTTCCAAATGCAGCTCCCCCATTCCAGATATGATAGTCTTGATGACCAAGAAGAAAAGACAATAAAGTAGTACATTGGTTTTTTTTGCAGCCAGTCGGCAGTTAACACTGCGCGGTCTTAAGGCGTAGGGCGAACTAGCTGCGCTAATGCCTTACTTTTTTTCATTCAAAAATGTTCAGAAATTCCGCTCTAAAATATGGCAAAATGGTACGAGAGAAATTTAAATTTCATGCTTTTCTTTGGTTGCATGCAGTTAGCTTCAGGCATTTGCAGGTAGCACAGCTACCTTAGATCCCAATAATTGACACTCGTGCTCTCACTAAATACACACAAAGCACATCTTTAATTAAGTACTTCAGTATTGTTTCAACATCAATACATACATAGCAAGAAACTATCCATACCTCTTTGCTTTCATCGTCAAAATGAACTCTAAATGTCGGATCTTCTTTTGTAAATCGGTTTACAGCTTTGGAAAATGAATCCAAATCATTCTATATGGGATATGAAATGCGCGAGTCGTCACAAAAACCGAATATAAAAAAGTACATGAGTTAAGAAAAAACTTATAATGCCTTGAAGAGCATGTTTCCTATGGTGAATGACAACTATAGCCTAGGCTCGTTCTGAAAAGAACTGTTTAAACTCAATGTTATAAAATATATCAAAAAAAGCCATCTTTTTGTAACTACATGAAAATGAAAACTCTCTGCTAAAACTCAATGCAATAAAAAATATATAAAAAGCCATCTTTTTGTAGCTACATGAAAATGACCGGGTATACACGAGTTAACTAACCTTGTTCTTGGCTTCAACAGCAAGGGATATTACAGGATCAGGTACAAAAATTGGTTCCTATAGAAGTAAAACGATGTTCTCTAACATAAAACGCGAAGAACTTTAAAAGTAGAACATAAATAACAGAATACAAATTACAGTGAAAGAGAGTATTGTTTGTAAAAACATCGACGTTCTATTACCATAGATAATTTAGGAGCTCCTTCAACAGTAAATGTATCCCCTGAGGCACAATCAACTCCGAACAAAGCACATATATCACCTGCGCGTACTTCAGTAACATCCTGAAGATTTCACGACAAAGTTAATCCAAATTCATTAATGGGGGCTAGCTACGTAAGGGTATAAGGATTAGGTTGAGTTGACAATTAAATATCATGATAAAATCTTTAGCAATATTTCCTTTCGTAACTAAAGGGTCGGATAGAACGAAAACTTTGCAATTGATGTCACGTTTTTATTGACGAGAATTCTTAAAATGACAGTGGACTTTCTATGACAGAAAAGTCTCTTTTTGTTCTCAGGTTATTGAAGTGACGTCACATTGCATAATATAGAAATTCAAGTATCAAGAATATTTGCTAATATGTTGGTTCAAACGAAGTGTTAATGGTATAAAATCCGGCTTAAATATTTCATCGAAAATTTATAAGGAAAAGTAAAGGATTTTCATAAAATTGGAGCTTTTTATTGCCTTTGAAATATGACACAACCAGTCAAGTCACAAAAACTTCAATATCTTAAGATTGAAAAGAGATGTGAATAAAGTGTTTTCGAAAGTACACTGTAACTTTAAGTATTCCGATCGCAAAGTTATTTCAATAGCACAATTCTCATTTTACTGGCCAAAGCTTTAAAACATTACGTTGTTGGTGGAGGAAGACATTTATTTAAATGTATCAAGTACCTCCATCACATCACTGTGCATTTTGACAATCCTTGGCACTCGAACACGTTTTTCTGTTCTTGTGTTAAATATGAAAGTTCCCTTCTTTAGAAGGCCTTGATAAACTCGAACGTATGTTAACTGACCGTATTTGCCAGCCTTGAATATCATAAAAAAATTTATATATATATGTATACAAAATACACACTTATCATTTTATCGACGTCAAAAATATTACCTCAAGTTTGAAAGCCAACCCAACGAATGGACTGGATTCATTACCTGAAGAATCCATCAACACTTTGTTCTCACTAAGATGCAAAGTAAAAACTGAAAACTGAAAACTTCATTCAAATGCAACAAAGTCTTGATATTACACGTATTTCTTGTAAGCATAAAATGACAACGTTATAACCGCGAGAACATCATACAAATTCAGTTGCAAGTCATTAAAATGCTTTGATTATCAAAATGGCATTGTTTACCTAACTAATTTCTTTCAGACTTACAACAATCTTTAGGCCGGACCGTGAAGTTTCATTTCTCCAATATGATATATTATGATATAATTAAATAATCGCAAAAAGAATAAAAAAGCATGAATCTAATACCTGATCTACTCTAAGGTCGATCTAAGGACACAATGAAAAGCAAAAACTTACTCATCTGATTTCAATGCGAAGTTCTCAACATCCAAAGGGCTTGGCAAATAATCCAAAACAGCGTCAAGTAAAGGCTTTATAAAATGATGGACAAATAGTATGAGGCAAATCAAACAATGAGCTGCATTCAACTTTTTATCTTGTAATAATGTAGCTTTATTAATTCAAGTGAATGGCATGTATTAAGATGAACAATAACTGCACAACCGGGTATACAGAACGTGTGAGTTCAAATATAGTCTGATTCACATGTTTTTCATCAGTATGCACTTAATTAACATTTCAGAACTAATACTGAGTATTTCTTCATTGTCCGCCATGTTGAAAGAAAATCCAATATAGTGTGATTATTGGATTTATCTTTGAAGTCACCTCCAACATGGCCGACTTCACGTCACATGAGAACACACCATAATATAACATTTATTCTTTGTAATTTTTGCAAGTGCTCACAGAACATCGAAGAGCTATCAAACAATTAAATGTAAACGTACTTGAACACCTTTATTCTTAAGTGCGGATCCAACAAAAACCGGAGTAAATGATCTTTTGACGGTTGCGCGACGAATGGCAGCCTGGAAACGAATTGCAATTATTTAACAGTTGTACGTACAATGTTCAAATGCAGGTAAAAAATATTGAAATGAAGATTAACAAGCGAATTTTTTTTTCGTACGGTAATATAAAATTTTGTTACATGTTTGTAGATATAGATCGTCCAGGTTGGTATAGTCCTGCGAAGGACTGTTTTTGTTGTTGTTAACTGACGTTTCGACAACCTTAGCGGTAATCATCTTCAGAGTCAAATGACTAGTCAACAACAACAAAAACAGTCCTTCTCAGGACTATACCATCCTGGACGATCTACATCTACAAACATGTAACGATAGTCCCGGGTTCAAACCATTTACTTTATAAAATTTTGTATACCTTTAGCTGCTCGTCAGTTGGTGGAATTTCCTCAAGAAATAATTCACCCAAACAGTCGTCGACATTAGCAACCGCCTCTGTAAACAAACTAAAAGAGATGAGACCCTTAAGTCAATCAAACAAAAAGTCAAATGAATATCACAATAGTAAAAAAGATACAAATCTCGTGTACAGGTGTATGTAAAATAAGGAAATATAAACTGTATTATGCTGTAATTACTAAAATTACCAGTTAAACACAATAATTAATAATTACGATACAATACGATGCAATGTTTAAAAACAATTAAAAATGAACAAGCTCCGAGCATTCCTCTCTACACTGTACACTACGCACAAGGATATTTGTTCAAGGATTTTTTCACCCTCATTGATATTTGACAATCATGTATTGCAAATCTAATCCATACCACCATATGGGAAAAACGACAAACGAAACTAGTCGTTGTGTGCCTAACCTATCAATTCATCTCGTCTTGCTTCAACTTCATCGACCATATCATTAGGTATTACATCCTCACGTATATCACTCCTACAAATAAGTAAGAGCTAGTTGAAAGATGACCAATCATTTTAACCAATGGCGAAGCAAACCCGATTTCTTACTCCTGCAATGTAAATACTTTTGTGTTCATTTGTTCTGCAAACACAATGTACGTATGAGATCAATTTTCAAAAGAAATGAATTATTATTTGTCGAAAATTTCGAAAGCAGTGGTAAAATCCCAGAATGGCTTTGTCACTGTCAACAGAGCACATATTGTGATTTTCTTTCTGCATAGAAATCTGCAGAAAGTTAAACTCAGTTTTCAAAAATTATTGACTTGAGCAAGCAATCTAGCTTTAATATCATTAGAAAAACCCTAACAAAATTTTTCGACTTTGAATTTCTATTCTTTCTTATCGACTTTGAATTTCTATTATTTTTATTCATACTCATAAAGATTGCCCTATGGTACCATACGCGTGGTAATAGTTATGATAGATGGCAATATGTCTTATTACCCAAAGTCACCATCAAAGTATAACGCCTTTCTTCTTATGATATCTATAATTCCATTATGATCTCGCTCTAGACCAATTGGGAGCTGTAAAAACGCCGCGTTGTGATTCAATTTGGCCCTTGAAGATGAAACAGAATAATTTCTAATAATAACTATTGTAGTCATAGAAAAATGAAATTTAATACGACAAAAACTGTAATACGTGTGTCAAATTCTGATTGGCTACATCACTGTCCATAAGGACGTTGGTGATAGCCTTGGTAGAAAGATTTGGTGACGGAATCAGCTAATCGCGTTTACGTTAACAATTATCATATAACGAATATACGTTTTTAAATAGAATTACGGTAATAAATCAAAATATCAAATATATAAGTATGAACAATCACTTTGATGGTTGAGCACAAAAATCAGTTTACAAATAGCACGTGACTAGTGAAAATTAATTACCTCATTTGACTAATCACTTTGTTATGATTCGCACCCATTCTTGACAAAAAGACTGGACGTCATTTATGGTACAGTTATCGCAAAGCAACATGTAACAGCAAGAATTGTATGGTAGTTAAAGAAGCTAGAGGCATGTGACCAACACACATGTAGGTTACCTGTCCAATTTATTTATAAACGCAATGCATGGAACACTGTATCTTTTCATTTGACGGTTGACAGTTAAAGTTTGGCTCTAGGAAAAATTCATTCCAAAGTTATTTGGAGCAAAACAGAAATTTGATTCTGACAAATTATATGCACATGTGACTTAGATCTTCGCGATTGAGTTCAAACACAGTGCCATTTAAGACTGTTGTCATGGAGAAAATATCTTGCTCACTCGCAGTTTAAAAGAAATTAAACTTGTCTCTAAACACTGTTAGCTTCTCATCTCAATGGTAGAACGGTGGACTAGTGCGGAGTTGCAAAATTCAATTTCAAGTCACTATTAGTCTATATTTTTCATGAGCAAATTACCTATGGAAAGTTCATGATTGTAACATTAGCAAAATGGAAAGAAGAAAAGAAATTTAAATATCATTGTACGTTTTAAGGCTTACAAGAGATATGAGAAAACTTAAAATTTTGATAATCATCAAAATCTTCATATGCGGGTCCAGCATTACACAAAATTAAAGCTCCTCAATTTTAAATTCAAAACATCTTAAGAACACTATTGGTTTTGAATTTCTCAAGAGCAAAATATTCATGCTTATAAAATGTTGCATGAATCAATGATAAGCATTTGACTAACAGTAAACAAAGCAGTTTGACCAAATAGCCATGTACTCAGAGAATACATTCAGACTTTCATTAACTTTTTAGTTTACAATGCTAGACCAATAACAATGCAAAAACTATCTGTGTTGCACATGCGCACCTGTACACCTCCAACTCCACATAATACTAAGATAGCTCCATCAAGAACACGCAAGGCTCTTTCAACCTCAACAGTGAAATCTACATGACCTAGTTGATAAATGTATGAATTAATAAAATCAAAAATATTAGTAACAACACAGTAAACACTTCATGAAACAATTATTCAGGCTAGCTGTGAGTCATCTTATTGCAAGCGGCTATATGCCCATTATACGACCTTCATATACCTATAAATCTAGCTGTGCAACCACCTAAATATAAATTAATTTACTAATAACTGATAGTGCTTCAAAGTGAAATAAATTATGCACATGCAAAAATGTCATCTTAGAAACAGTTAGACTGCATAATACCAAGGTAGCTAGGAAAGTTTAAAATACCTGGTGTATCAATGATATTTACATTGTGATCTTTCCATTCAGCAAAAGTGGCTGCAGACTAAAAACATGGAAATTGGACAGGTTCATTCTCAAGTTTTTTGACATATCATCAGATCACTTCATTTAATGCTTGTAAACTGTAGACATTTTGTAAACTGAAAACTTTTTACCTGAATTGTAATCCCTCTTTGACGTTCCAAGTCCATTGAATCCATTGTTGCTCCTACATTATCTTTTCCCTTGACCTGCAATATTCGGAAATGAAGATTGGTAGCTGAGTAAATAATAATAATGTTAATACTATAATAATAAAATACTTTATCTTATCAATGTACAACAAATCATATACTTCATGCATCGTCTTTATTCTGCCAGTATAATATAGAACTCTTTCAGTAAGCGTAGTTTTCCCAGAATCAATATGAGCCGAGATTCCAATATTACGGATCCATTCAATGTCATTCTAGGATCAATTTAAAAAGGCATGATGTTAATTGTTTTAGATGACATTAACTTTTCATTTTTCACCTATCAGGCAATTCAAGGCATCATTGTCTGATAGTAAAAATTTTATAGCAAATGTTTCTAACAAATCATTGTTTGTTTAGCATTGGAGTTATATGATGATAACAAATATTGAAGTTTTTCATGATATTTTACAATTTCAAATTCCCAAAAGCATCTTCTTCAATATTACCTAGTTAAAAGACTTCTAATAAATACTTTGAATATTGAAACATACTGAAATTTTGCCAAACTTTAATAATTATTAATCAACAAACTTTAGTGCACCATAAAAATATAAACATGAATACCTTTTTGTAATCAGATAGAAATCTTGTAAGCCACTTGACCAGTTTTTGTATAGGATAAGTTGATGGCTAAATAAGACACATAGAAGAACATTTAGGGGTAATTTGCAAGTTTTGATAATGAAATTGAGCATTTGCTTTGAAAGAAATGAGGGACTAGAATAATGGGCCTTATTTAAAACATGCTTGTAAGCTCTGTATACTCACATTAACAGTTATGAGAATATAATGTAGCTAACAAGGTTGGAAGGCCATTAATACATGAAAATCAATAAATTCTAATGGTAGCACGTCTTATGTACTAGTCTGTCGACTTCGTTGCTACAGACATGGAAAGAAAAATACAATGCTTATATACTCCCACATCTCACAAGTAACAACTCAACTTCAACTTTAAGGTGCTATAAATATTAATTTATGATTCTTCAATCTTCCAAATGCCGTTCACCTACCAATGATTTTAAGTGATGAATATTGTTCTTTCTAGTTTGACAGTACGTATAGAGACGAAACATAATGAAACCGAAGCCCACAAAATTTGTGTGTTGACTATTGACTATGTTTGTATAATTACGATTATGCAATTTATTCGTTCATTATTTTGATTACTCACCTCACGTGTAGAAAACCGCTGAGCAACTTTAAAAGAGGTGGAAAACGGAACACGTGACCATTGAGGGTTGTCAACATCACAACATGACATTTCAAGCTCGAGTCTCAAGATTTTAAGTCTTTTTCAAAGCAGCAGATCAGCAGATTGATAGTAAAGTAAAACAAACACGTCAAGTCTAACCCCCGTTCCACTAACAATCAATAATTTAAAATAGGCAAAATTTCTCATTTCCCCGACCAAGTTCTACAACAAAAACATTACACATTTCTGTTACGTGTTTGAGTAACGTTAAACATGTTGAACCAAGTCCTGGCTTAGTAATTCTGTACGCAGCCATTCCAGTGTAGTTCTTTTAGAACTATTGGGTTAATGTTCTGGTGCTAAACAGTTCTTTTTAACTATTACGTTATTATTTTGACCATTCACCATGGTATTTGCCATTTTTAGATTAGTCACAACGACAAAGTCTCTATTTTACTATACAAAAAAGTTGTTTACTAAGTGAAAGTTTATAAAAATTAAAGCAGATAAAACTTAGTGTGAGCAGTAATTTGCTTAATATTCTCATAAATTTTCGGTAAGAGCGAGTGCATACTTATTAAGTGAAAGTTTGTGAAAAATTACGACATAGTTAAAATTGGGCAGGTAGTATTACTCGTGCTCTGGAGGGGCACGAGCAGGACACGAGTTGAGGTTTCGGCTTGTGGTGTGGAGAAATCGATTTTGTTGACCCACAATGCATTGCGCTTTCACAATTCCTCTTTTTAATTCTAATAGGACTATAGTAAACCAAAATCATCATCAAAAATTTATCTAAGTTAGTTTTGAATGTTTTGATTGATACTGTATCATAACCAGGCATGAGTTAAAACTGTTTGACATTGTAATCTGTAGCAAAAAAATACTATTTCTAAATCCTAAAGAATATCATATCTCTATACTCTAAGTCAGTGAACAAAACTTCTTTTATCACGATGCTTAGCACGGGATAATGTTCTAGCTTTTGACGCCCGGTTGTTAAACGTTTTCTAAAAAAAGACATTGACTTAAAAATTTAATTTGCTCGCAAATGAAAAAGTATTTGAATAAATTTTTTTCTGCACTATATTAGATTCCCTTCTTCTACAATTTTACTAACAGTTGCAGACAATAATCCCAAACATCTAACATCTCGAAGAACAAATTCTTTACTAAAAGAAATAGTCAGTGCGCTAAGAAATCATAGAAAAAATGGTGGGATAAAGCTAATAGTTATTCTATACTGTACCATAAAAAATTTACACATCAATTTTTCTTTTCTACTTACTCTTTGATCCTTCGAGGGCTTTTCTACCGCTTTTGTATCGAGTTGTACAGGTCCCAGGTCAAAAACGTCTCGTAATAATAAGTTCTCCTAAAATAGGCACACAGTTTGACAGTATAAGTTCCGGCAATAGATGGTTAGGTATAATGTAATGACAGACCTTATAGAAATATCCTTAAACAAACAAAATATACATTATACATGGTGTACGAATCTTCCAAAGTACTAGCTTCAATGTTGGCATTATACGTGCATATTCACTGTACACACGATACTTATGTTTCCAAAATCTGCAATTTAGCTATTGCTACCTTCAAATGTAAATTTATTCCAGGCCCAAGAAGATCTTTAAATGCAGCATATTGTCTTCTTTGTGTCCAAGTAACGAGATTCATTGTCTCGTTACCAAATTTTACAATCTCTTCGGGCACAACGCCATCCTAATTTGGAATGAAGGCAAGCTGATTTTACATCTTCCCAGTTATACTTTTGTGTACAGTTGTATTTTTTAATCAAACTTTGATGTGTAATTTTGCTATCCTTATGCAGAATCTGAAAGCCAATACACAGATTTATGTTCAACTTTAGGTAAAAGTTCTGACGATATAGTTAGAAAACGAATTAAGCAGAGCTGTAGACAGGTTGATAATTGTGCGGGGGGGGGGCTAATATTCATACATGCATGCATGTTATATCAACAACTACTGATTTCAAAAATACAGAGTCTATACAAAAGTAGACAAAATGCCTACAATGATAATACGGCATAACATGCAGATATGAATAAACATCTCTTTCTGAAGTCGATTTACGTCTTTGGAAGTCTTAAGTGCAAGATTATCAATAGACGCACCTCAATGGTACCCAATATGTCCCTAAACGTCGATCTTTGTTGGCGACGATCTTTCTTAGCTCGATGTTTTGTACCGTCTGTTGCGAGATCTTTGAGAATGTCTAATGAACCAAATTGCTGTGGTTCAAAGTCTTCAATTTTCTCTCGGCCTACTTCACAAATAAGTGCAAACACTTCACCCGCGGCAATTCGTAAGTTGACGTCATCGCTGTTCATCAACTTGAGTATTCTTCGACATTGCCTGTTACAAAACATACATTCATGTAAGATTATTAAATTTTGCCAATACCTTCTAGTCACGAGATCTCTTTTCTGAAGTATAAAACAGTTAATTCATCAAGTCGATTTATTGATAGGATTTGATCATTTGGATCAAGGGTCCATAAAATTCAAGATGTTCCGTAATCAGATCAAGTTCAAAAAAATACTTAGCAAAAAATGTAAGTTGCAAAAAAATGTGTCAAAACTTTTGTTACCCTGCTTGCAGCTTGAATTCCCTTCATTAAGAAAGGAAATTCAGACTGCAAGCAGGCCAGTCTTTTGTGCATTTTGAAATTTAAGAATAATATGGAATGTTAAAAAATAACTTGAACTCGTATGTTTCATATTACAAAATGCATATGTATATTGTTTTATAACATATCAATTCTCAAGGTCTTACACACCAAAAGATTTACACTAACTTTTTAACACATTCCTCAACCAAACTCTCAGGAGCTACAGACAAGAGAAGAGCCCAAGAAAACAAGCACTCGCAAAACAAAGTTGATAATGCAGCCGAGTGAGCTGAAGAAAACACCTTTTGAAGAGCGTTGAGACAATTAACAATATCCTAAGGTAATAAAAATCTAAATGTTAAACATTAAACAAATAAGAAATAACAGAAACATTTTAAAGGTCGAGTTGAATTTTGTGATGTAACATTAATGGGTCATTTGTCTGAAAATTCTCAAACCTCATGTTCTTCTGAAGCAAGAAAACAGCATAAAGCCAAAGCATTTGCACACTAGAAATACAATTTAGACAATACTATTTATTAAATGTGCAAGCCCATGTTAAAATTCAAAATTCATATGTAGCTACAAGCACAGGTGAAGCAAATGGAAAATAGAATGAAATTACAATTTAATGTTAAATTGATGTTAATGAGTTAATATAAATCTCACTTACACTTGTTCGTGCAGAAACTTTGGCAGTTGGATCTTGTAAAGTTGCTAACAAAAGTGACTTAAGAGATTGAAAAATTTGCTTGCTTTCTGAGCCATACCCCAGTTGAATACACAAAAGCACTGCCAAGGGACCTGCACACACCTGGTCTTCAGCCTGACCTATTGATGAATTGAAATATTATTTGCTTGATATTATTAACATGTTAAAAGATGAAAACACAATTAATCACACAAATGGGTCACTGCAAACCTCTCTTCAATGATTTTTCAATGATATCAAGTATCGTGTCTTTCCTACAGTTGGAGTTAAAAGCTTTTTAGCGAAAAATATAAAACTGTAAAGATTAAAGATAAATACCTTTCCGCGACAAGGTCAAATATGCGGTGGCTTGCAAACGTCCCTCGCATAGCTTTCATAGATGCCTGACGTAGCTTAGCACTACAATGTTAATAATAAATGCAAAATTAAGATAAAACTAAATTTTCATATCAAAGGTTTTATGTGTATCTAAGGGATGTGAAAATAATAAAATATGACAAAAATATTTTATTATTTGTCAGAAGATTCTTACATAAACAAACATCTAAAAATTCTCTATATAGTGGTTTTGATAATTTCACCTAAGCAAACAAGTCAATTCTATTTACAACAACAATAAAAACGTGAAATTATGAAATAAATTGAGAATTTTGAGTTAACCCAGAAATCAAACAAACATCATATTCTTTGCATACATACTTCTTGTCAGTGGCATTCTCAATGTTTTCTTCCAAAATTGATTCAAAGTTTGTTTCCACCTCTTCCACATCAGTACCTAAATAACATAAATGGTAGAGCTGAAATGACTGAGAGCACATACTATTTATCCTTCTACATATGCTTTTCTAGCTTTCCTCTCATTGGCAGGTTTCTTTATTCAAATTGTGTACACAGAGTCATCTAAGTTTGTGTAGAATTGTAATTTGATCAACTATACTGAAGATGTTCATTATATAAATAATATTTTTCTCATCAACGACAAATTTCAGACAGTTGTTTTTGTTGTGTTACATAGTAAAGTATTCAACTTATCCTCATAGTTCATTTACCTGCTGTATGTAAGGCTACAAAACCTTTCATAATTTTGTTTTTTTTTTGTACTGTAGCAAAATGATGAAAAAGGGTTTTACTTTATACAATTGCGTTGTCAGGTTGGGACTGTAAAAAAGCCTTCAAATTTCCAAGCACCCAAAGATATCAAAAAAATCTTACCATCCGTGCTTTCCAAATCATCAGTGTGATTACTTAGTGTTTCAAGTGTCTCTTGACTTGATGCAACACTGTGTGTTTCATGATGGTCATCAAACCCTTCCTCAACTCCTTTCCCTGCAAACAAGAGTGTATTATACTAAGCACAGTAATAAGGAATATCATATATATTATAGAGCTTCTTATTTTTGAAGTAACAAAACAACAATTTCAATACAAGATGTTGGCAGCTATTGTGACAAAAATTGCTACTGCGACAAATTTTTCCAAAGAAAGCAAATGGCCACGTACTAAAACCTCACTAATCTCTTTGCCGACTGCCGTTAATTCTTAATCCACATTATAACTTCAACCATACATATTCTCGAACATCTCTACTACTTCAAACTTACTAAATAAATGCATAAAAACCTGTACACAACATCATGTTTCACATACGCATACATAAATGGTAGTTATACATCTTGCAATAACGCTATTCAGTTATTCTTTGCTTTTATTGCATTGTTTCTCGTACATTTTAGCCGGACTAAGTGCTACAAAAAGGCAGACTAGCCAACGAGTAAAATTATAAGCAATACAAGTTGTTGATAAACAATGATATCCATTTGCCATTCGAAAAGTCTTCAAACACTATCCGAAATGCCAGAATGAAACCATAATGAAACGTATTCAAATAAAATACTTGTTGTAAAACAATAATTCATCTCGTTTAGAACGCAGGCTAGCCCCATTCTCAGTATAAAAATATCCCTTTTAAAGTTACCTCACACATTTAATTTCTTAAAACAAAATAATACCTTTATTCTTCGTTCCTCTCTTTCGACCTTTAGGCATGGCAGAGATTTTGATCACTGATAAACTGAATGCCTGTATCAATGAAAATCTTCAATGGCGGACTCTACAAAGTTGTGTGTAGAAAGACGTAGGAGTCTGTTCAATTTCCTAATTTCAAGTCTTTGTTTCCAATAACATAAAACACTTTTCTATTTTTCTTTTTCGTTTCCAAACAAATGGACAGTACGACAAATAAAAAAATTCAAATTTTCGGAGATGCATTGAGTAGATCGTTGTTTGCTTTAAGAAACCCAACTTGTGGGAAGGTTACATCGCCGATAGATAAATTGCTGTTCACATGCGCCCTGCGTGCATTGAAGGAAATGACGTCACGCCGGGTGGTAAATGGAAACTAGTGGAATACGTGGTTATAAACAGTTCGAATTGGAATTAATCGATTATTGTGTTTTATTTTACTCAGTGGAATTGTTTCATAGGATAAAATCGACTTAAAAGCGTAGTCTGTTTTTCAATTGTGATATCTTAAAGTACTGGCTGAAATGATGTTTTAAAATGACGAATGGTATGTTAATTTCATCAATTTATGTTGCACTTCCATCTACGTTTTATTTTTTACAAATATGTCACATACATGTAATTATGCTGTAAGTTATAAAAGTATGAAATGTAAATGGTATTTAATACATTTTTAAAAACAACAGTAAAGTACGGGCCACCTGGAAGGTAATCATATCAGATCTTTACTTTCTCAATTTGTCCACGATCACATCACTATTTCTAACATTTCACATGCCTTGTTTTAGCCTATTCTGTCGATGGTTTAGTAGTTTTCTCCCTTCTGGTGATATGTACTTGTTCATATATGAAAAGAGTTCCACGATTAAAAAGTTTTTTTCTAACTGAAAAGAAAGGTTTCTTTGGTGTCTTCTACAAAGGCAAGTTCTTAGTATTTATTTAATATTTCGATGATGCACAAACATGTTTAAACAAAATATTTTTAGAACGTAGTGATTGTGAGATGATGTGCAATGTACAGCATGCACAAGAAAATTATTTATGTGAATACCATAATTGTATTATGAACAATGTACAACATGCACAATAAATTTATTTATGTGAATACCATAATTATATTCCTAAGGCAAAATTTTCATTTGTTGTTTTTCCTACAGCTGCAGTTATTGGTGTTCGCCTACATTGGATAGTTGCTGTCTTTTGTGCTATAATGGCTGTTTACATTATATTGCTCAAATAAGTCAATAAAAATAGAAAAACAATGTTAGATAGCAATATATTATGATTAAAATTTGTTTTCTCTCTATATACTAAACATTTCATTAATTAAGGATCAAATACAAACTCCTGCCTTTTGATGTGTGCTACAATGTTTTGCCAACATTTCACAAGTTTTGAGCACTTAATACAACTCAATTCTGCCATAACAGAAATTCTATCTCTCAGGTGGCAATCCTAGTATACATTATTATAATGGTTTATTTCTATAGAAATGAAATTGTTTTCCAATCAATGAGTATGTCCATCATCAACTCAGTAATTATTTATACTATATTTATCAAAATAACATTGCATCACACATCAAGAAGACAAATTGATTGAAATCATCTATAAATCATATTCCACTTAAACAAGTGTTTGTTATTCTCCACAAAAATTCTAAAAATAAAAAGTAACATAACTGCTTCCAAATATCAACAACAGAAACTTATTTTCATTCAGATAAATGCACACAAGTTTTGAACATTTCTCATTTGTAAACATTGCCCAAAACAACAGTAATAATAAGGTGACCTATTCATGTGATTTGTAATTTAATGAGAATCCATCTTCACCTAATGTCTGCATAATTTTCCTCCAACAACGGAGTTTTGTTCTATGGGGTATTATACCCATCTTCAGCTGTACAAAGGTTCATGTCCTCGAACTCTTGGCGATCCATATTGTAGTATATCCAACTGAGATTTTGTCAATGTATTTAGCACCCGTTTCAAATTTTCTTCTTCCACAGACCTCTTGCTTTGATGTATATTGGCTGTGGTCAATTCACCAAAAATAGCAGACTTATTATCTTCTAGAAATAAAAATGCAGCCCAGGTTATAAATTTACTGTATCATGTGTGCTACAGGCAATGTTGCAAGTTTCATGATATCTGCTGTATCTACCCATTCAAGTCACCTGACTTATTGAAATATTAATGTATTTTAATTAAATTTGTGTGGCAAAACAAAGATTTTCTTTTTGCTACACTAATCAAATTTCTCTATAAAGATTCTTGATCTTCATATCGTTATCTGCTGTGTACAAACCTTTGCTTATACTCTCATTTTTCCAAGGGCATTTTTCAACATTTTCATGTAAAAGCTGAGAGCCCAACACTTGCCGAGGGATGAACTTTTGTGTCTTCAGCATCAACTTAAGCTTAAATTCCATTTTGGCTTCATGAGCAGTGACATTGATTGGTTGTTTAGTCAACGTCTCTTCACAATGCTTATCGTGTGATACCTTCGTTGCTTCCACGTTACGTGGAGTGACATCTTGCTTACGCTTATTTTGACCATGATCATTCATATATGGTACTTGCATTATCTTTGGAATATCAACTTCTTCCAAATCCGAAATGCTGTTGTTTGCAATTTCTTTCGTGTGCCGTTTTTGTTCCGAATTATCAACGCTGGTATTTTGGCGCTCATTCTCAATTACATCTATCCAACAAAGAAGTTAACAAGTTAGTTTCATAAATTTATAATGCAAGAAAGCAACATGTAATTTGTTTGAAAATAATTTCTATGACAATAAAATTTAATCTGATAATCAAAGATTTTATAAATCAGTCACCTTTGGAATTCAATCCTTTCAAATGTTTTCTCAGCATCTCACTGCAAAGAACAGCATTGAATGTTTCCACTGTTTTGTTCATACCAGATTCTTCATTATCACTTATTTCCATCGATAATGTATTATAATCACTGTCGTATCCAATGTTTGTCTCAACATGGCCATTCTGCTGATCGTCGGTCAATTTCTTAAACGAAATAGAAGCATCCTTCCACGTATTGTCGTTTGAATGTCTAACATTTCCATCGAATTGTCGAGTACAAAGATTCTCAAAAGTTTGATCACTTTCCAGTTTCTTTCTTCTGTTTAGTTCGTTTAGTCTCTTAAGTGTACGAATAACTTGACTCTGTGGTCCATGGACAGAAAGGTCATTCCTAATAAGTCTTAATCGCTGCAGCTGCGCAAGTATTATCGCAAATGAGTCAATTTTCTCCTTGCTTCGCATTTTCCTCATTTTTTGAACAAGGAAACGTCTCCTCTTTTGCTTAAATTTCTTAACGAAATCTTTAGTTAAAACGAGCGGAGTCTTCAAAGTAGTGTCATTTTCTTTGATCCTATCTTCAGTCTCACTCTTAAATGATTTTATAGCTCTGAGTAATTCATTCATTGTGTGTAAAACTCTTAGTTTAGTGCTATGATTTAGAGAACTCAGATCGACTACTCCCTCGCTTTCTCCGTCTGTGAAAAGAGAAATAAAATTGATAAACGATAATTGTAACTATAACTTGAGTATTTTGATCATGAACAATGTAAGGAAAAACCACATTATTGATAAAATATTTAATTAAATTTAGCTCACTTCCAATAGTTGACTACCCATTCCCCGAAATAATACTCCATGTGCGTAGAACAACCAGAATGCTTTTGGGAGGCATAATTATATAATAATTGTCAATGTAGTTTCAAAAAATACACGCGTTGAGGGGGGAATGGGCACTCGGTCTACGTCCAAACTAGGTTTGAACGAAGGAAATTAGAAACGCGATACAACACCTGCCTGCACCATGATAATCATCGGTAGCCTTCGACACAAATCTTTCATCACTTCTCAAGTCACTAGGCAAGCTTCCACCAAAGTCTTCGCCATGTTTATCGTACTAAAACGTCAGAGACACGATGAACGTAGCATTTAATGTTTTGTATTTTAACGATACCTGGATATCGCTGTATTTTTGTAATTTTTATAAATAAACCATATTTTGATACGTAGATATATGCTGGACAGCAATAAATTACCTCATCTGTGGGTTGTTCGTCAAGACGATTTCTTGGTCCATAAATGTATTTTCTAAATTTTACAAAAAACAGTTTTGAGACATCTTCACATACATGCTACACATTAAATTACTTAAATATCCAAAGTTCACACATCAGCAAATGAGAGTTTTATGTAGTAATGCTTTGTGTTTTCCTTCATCCAAAGAAAATCAAGCTAAATCCTTCACAAACATCTTAAATAAAAACTAAGAAACACTTACATGTTTTTAGCATCGAAATACTGAGGTTTGACTCATGCAATTACTGATTACTGTAATTACTCGTGTGAGTACAGTAAATCAAAACAAATTTTTGACAAGGAACATAAAGCTTCAGTGTTAACGTATCTCTATTCATGGTTATAAATAAGACCATATAAGACAACATCAAAATGTGTAGTAAATGCTCGCATGCGTTCTTATATATTACTTGCAAGCATACGTACCCAATCCCACCAAAAAAAGGTTGCTTGATTTCGTCTCTGCTATCTAGAAATACAGCAATCATTGCTTTAGCCACAATAAAACACCAATCTCTAACAAATTTTAACATAAAAGTATGCATCTTTAATGTAAACTGAGTCGGACAAGCTTCAACAAAAAAATTTCATAAGATTGGTATTTAGGATGGGAGATATCATACCAGGTATGTTAAAATATACGTTGCATTCATCCACAGCGCGTTGAAGAACATAGCCCTCCATTTGTTGAATGACTTCAGGGCTTGTCAAAGCTACATCGTAAATAAACTGATTGTTAAAATATTGTATGATACAAGTATTAAAAGTGATGATAACTGTAGAATGAACGTCTTAGCTAATATAGCAAAAACTGTTGATGTGAGAGTTTTGATAAACGTTAGACATTACATATTGTACACATACTTTCAATAGGTAATTAGATGGTTTAAATGATACAACAAACATATTTGTTGGTTGGCACAAGGGCATTGCACAAAATAAATCGTATAGTAATGATGACGTCACTCGTTAAAACATGGCTGTGATTGGTCAAACAATAATGGATGCAATATACTAACTTGACATCATTGATTCACTAGATGAATCAATCGTCTTTCGATTACAGTCATCATAATTTTCTTCCTCGGATTCATCGTAGCGTGGAGACGAATCTTTGATCCTCGTATCAAGTTGAGATCTTGTGTATTCTTCATTATGCCTTGGGTAACGACGAGATCGTGCGGTGTGCTCTTCCTTATTCTTGTGTCTGATACTATATCTTGATCGGTATTTACTATCTTTTGCTGGAGACTGACGCCTTCGTCTGCGATAACCATCCGACTCGTAATTCTCTCCGTAATAATTTGAAGACAATAATCTCCGTCGTCGGTCGTCAGATGTTCGCGAATAATAATCATCACACGAGCGTGTCGCGGGCTCATCATTTCTTGTACTTCTTTCTGGGGAACGTTCATCATTTTCATACATATACTCCTCACGAGCTCTATCAACATCACCAATTCGCATTTTTTTGCGCGAAGAATAATGGTTGCTAGGTGACCAGATGCTATCGATTTCCTGCACACTGTCGAAACCCTGATCAGAAGAACGATTTGTATACATACTATCATATCGAGAGGAGGTTTTGCTTTCGTGCCGTTTATGGCGTTCACGAGATTCGGTGCCTTTGTACAGTTCGTCAAAGGAATCAGAATATCTGGATGTCTCTTCGACTTTCTTTAAAATTGATGATCCTTCTTGGTAATCGTCATTGGTGTTTGCATCCAACAATCGCGAGTTTTCTACGTGACTTATATAAGAAATACTTTCATTTTTGACAGGAACATCGCAGAAAATTTCTTCGGGGCTTTCACTTCGTGTACGCCATATATTTTCCACATCTTCAGAACTGGAATCGATTAGCTCATCTAACCTACGACCATGGCCGATTTTACGCTTCTTGACATTTATTATCTCACGCAGATCTTTAATATGTTCTCCCTCATTTACAGTTGAACTTGTGAATTGATATTGGCGGCTATGACTTGCTACATTACTCTTTCTATCAACGTAAATGGGCTCTGATAATGATTCATCACCATATGCCTCATCACTATATATTTCGTCATCATATATTTCATCACCATACATCTCACGACTATACTCCTCATCAACATACTTCTCATCACCATACTTCTCATCACCATACGTGTCATCACTATACTCCTCATCACTATACTTCTCATCACCGTACGTCTCATCGCCATACATCTCATCACCATACATCTCATCACCATACTTCTCATCACCATACTTCTTATCACCATACTTCTTATCACCATACGTCTCATCACCATATATCTTATCACCATACTTCTCATCACCATACTTCTTGATTATATGTACTTTGATTACTTATCACCATTATTTATCACATATTTCGATCACCATATTTCTTATCACCATACGGACACTATATTTATCGCATCTTTATCATTTATTTATCACCGTTGTCCATCACCATACTTCTTATCCGCATACTTCTCATCCGCATATATCTTATCACCATACTTCTCATCACCATACTTCTCATCACCATATATCTTATCACCATACTTCTCATCATTACTATCAACATAATCAGACAAAATACCCATAGATTCAATGCTACTCTCAACGTCGTCTATACTTTTATCGTATTTCGATAACGTTGTCTTATTCTCTCCCTTTCGTTTTTTCCTTTTCGTTTTCTTGTTCGAGCTGCGACGTTTTTTCTTAGAACGTGGGAGAGTTGACTTATCTAACACATTCTTATCGGAGTTTGAGTACTCCGTGATATCTTTAAATTGTGAATTTAATTTGGAGGTCACCCCCACGTTTGATTTTAAGCGACAGCTTTCATTTATAGCAACTTCAACATCTTCATCTTCTGAAATATTTTCCACGGAAAGAATAGTTGCATGTAAATTTGTTTCTTTCCTGGATACACGCGTTTCAATATTGTCAGTGGCTACAGAAGACGTTTTAGGTTTTTTCTTATCTTCACACAAAATCATTTCCTCACCATCACTCGAAGGAGACGAGACGTCAATTGTGTCTTCATTAACAATTTTCTTTTGCTGCACCTCAAGTGTCGTGGTTTCTTCAAAAAATGCCTTTTCAGAAACCTCAGCGGGTTTCTTGTCTGTAAATGAAACAATGTTTGAATATGAGAAATCGACTGAGAAAGCGCAGCCTAATGCAATTATTTTAATCGATGTAAAATAATCGAATTCGATAAAAAATTCTAAATACTACAATTAATTCCTTGTCAAGCGTAAAACCCCGAAACACATGAAAACTGATTGCATATGAAATATTTCAGCTAGTTTGTAAATACTTTGTTTACAAAGCAAGCAGAATACGTCACCGAAATAGCCATTAGTGTGGGTATAGTATATTATAACAGAATGTACCGCCATTATTCATATTAAACTTAAAAATGAAAAGCGGTCTTTCCAACAAGGAGAGAGGTATTATTTTGTTCCAAAAAATATGAGAGAAATATTATTTTGTTCCACAAAATATGAGAGAGATATTATTTTGTTCCACAAAATATGAGAGAGATATTATTTTGTTCCACAAATTATGAGAGAGATATTATTTTGACATAAAATGAGCAAAGCTGTAGCTGAGATTTCGAGCATAGTAAAACCACAATGAACAAAGTGAAGACATCAATATTGGTATACACAAAACACTTACCATATTTTTTATCGAGTTCATCAAGTTTATCACTTGCACGATCTTCAGTTCGAGAAGTGTTTTTTTCTTTGTCATTGGCATTATGATTTTGGACATTTTCCTCCAATTTGACAAGTGTGTTCACCTCTGGAACGATTTCCTCTATGGAGCTGTCACTGTCGATATCGACAACTTCATCTGCCATAGCACTTTTAGAATCTTTTGTTAAAATTGCATCTTCGGGTAAAGGATGACCATAATTCGACAACATTGCCAAGTGCAAGTTCCACAATGGTGTTATTTGTTTTGTATATCCAAATCCAGAAGAGCTCGTTGATGTACAATGATTTTGAGGGTCAGGTAAAGGACATTTATAGTTGAAGAATTCTGGTCTCATTACTTGAATTCCGGAAAAATGTGATGTATAGTAAGGTTGGTATGGAAAAAAATAATTGTTGTTTGACGTGGGTATGGGACATGTAGAAATGTTTAGTGGTGAAATGGAACGTGGGGGTGGTGGTGGTGGAGGTGATGATGGTGGTGGAGGTGATGATGGTGGTGGAGGTGATGATGGTGGTGGAGGTGATGATGGTGGTGGCGGTGATGATGGTGGAGACAGTACAGTAATATTCTGGGATGTGAAGGGTAAGTCTGGTGCACCTGATGGACCGATCATTAATGACTTCACGTTAGGTTCATAAACTAAATTGCCATTCTGTACGCTTGTACAGGGTATTGATGGTGTAGCGATTCCATAATGAACCCGAGAACTCGGAGGTTGTGACACATTATTGAATTGTTTAGTCGAATTTAAAGAATCGACAGCCGAGTATGAAGTGATATGACTACCTTGAATAGATACAGGTGGGAGAGGTGGAGGCGGAGGTTGTAAGGTATCAGTTGGAATAGGTGGGGTATCAACAACATCTACATTTGAATCATTGGAATGTGTGTCCATCTTCACAGTATTTGACGCTTTGCAAGAGGTTACCTCTTTAGATATTCCTTCAATTCTCGATGATTTGATTATTGACGATTCTGCGTTGGTATGTACAACAGAAGTGGTTGTAGAGCTACATGCTACAGTTGACTTTGGCTGACTTTGCTTCGAGGGAAGATCATCATGGATTTCAGCACCATTATCAAACCAATCTATATCACAACTACTTCTTACAGTCGGCATCTCAATATTTCTCTCTCTACCTTCAGTCTTTCCATTAGCAACATCTTTATAGAATTTTGAACTATTCTCAAGGGGTGTGTTTTGCTTGCTCGATGCAGTTTCACCTCTGCTATCTTCAGCAAATATTGTAGTGATTGATTGGGATGAAATCGCACATGAAAGATCCGTTTGTATAGTTGTGGACGTTGGATTACCGTATGATGTTGTACTCGCAGTATCAAAAGGAATAGCTGTTGTTACAGCATCAAGCAATTCAGTCTGGATATCAGATGATTGACCAATTCTCCTGACATCGGTAGGTCTGGTATTTGTCGCAACATCACAAAAATCTGTAGTTGTCACGATGTCAGAAGATTCTACGACTGCTGTAGTGTCAGACGTGAAAGGTTTGGTCGAGGTCTGAGTTTCTTCATCCGTTGTTAAATTGTTGGGAGACCGTTTCGCCCTTTGAGAAAACAAAGCCTTTAGACGAGATGATATTCGCAAAACGTGATCCTTCTCATTACAGATTTTGTCGAATTCGGACTGGGAAGTGTTAGATTTCTCAGGTTCAAAAAGTGAAACTGCAGGTGGCGATGATGAATTGACACTGGAATATTTCCCGGGAGGCGATTTCTCTGGTGTATTTGCTTCACCGCTGGATGATACGTCTTCGATTTCCGTAGGGCTATAAAGAAATGACTTTTGCTTGTGATTTAAACGCGAATCTATAGAATGTCGGGTTATAATATCGTCTTCCGTTTCATTCTTCTTGAAATCATCATCCAAAATGCCGTGAAAACCATTATCGGTTGATTCGTTTATTTTTAGTGACGTTGACCGTGAATCGCACTTGATATCATCCGTCACTTTATCTTCATTCAACTTTCTTTCCCCGTCTATTGGTTTGAATTCCACAGTTATATTCTCCTCAGTTGCATCCTCAACGACGCTCTCATTTTCATTTTCAGTCATGACATCAGACCTGGCTTCTTCACATTCACATTCTAAAATTTTCTCCAAAACTATTCGCTTAATTTCATTGCCGATGTTTCGTTTGAATAACGCTTCGGTCACTGGGTCTGCGTTTATTCTTTTGTACGACTGAATGTCTAAAGCAAATCAAAATACAATTTGTGAATCTTAAAAATCACTTAACTTTGAAGGCCGAAAGTATTGGTTTGTCGTTCACGGCTATCTGCATGCCGTTGAGGCTTGCCATTTCAAAAAAATTGAGTTTTATACCTTCTTTAGGCAATTTCTTCACAATCAACATATTAAGGATATTTGGATAATGGCGATCAGTAAAACCTAAATAAAGAAGATAATGTGTTGCCTTTATCGCTCTGCTAAAAACAAAAGATCCAATTTTACACGTACCTAGCTCATGACTAAAATTTGAAGTCGGAATTAGATAAATATAGACGTCAGATTCATGATAATCAGCGACTCCAGCCTTAAAAAAATAAATTAACTTTGTGCATTTAAAGAATCGAAGTTAAAAATACGAATAGAAATCGAGTTAATCTCCTCTCTTGGCTTTGGATGGAAGATGGACAGAATTTTTATTCACTTTAAACGAAAGGTTTACCAATTTCTTATCTCTGAAATATTTAATCATCTTGAGAAAATTCGTGTCGCTCCTGTCCCTTGGTCGAACTTCGTAATAAAGAAACATCCTTCCACAGTCGAAAACTACAAAACACGAACATTATACTAAGGATTTCGTTTACTTCCACCATTTTAACTAAATCACAGGGTCAAGGAAATTACTTCTTTATAAAGTTAAATTTATTTTAATGACATTTGCAATATACTTTATGGGACAGAAAGATTATCTTCATGGCCTTTTGGGCCTATTCAGCGCCGGAAGTGACGTACATAGGAGAACCCATGCATTCAAGACAAAGCTTTCTTGATTTAGGTTTATAGTAACAATAAACAATTAAAAAGTAGAACTGTTTGGACTAAAATAGTATGGGGTGTTTATACTTTACGAAGCGAGCGCGTTCTCCTACGTATTACGTCACTTCCGGCGTTGAATCACCTACTTCTACGCCCGAGGAGTTCATTAACATAAAACTTTCAACGTATCAAATATATTGCAAATGTTGTTAAACTCAACTTAACTACCATAAGAAGTTATTTCTCCAGCCCGGATACTGTAAGTTGTCATTTATTCAAATAAATCAACATATGCTACCTTTGCATTTGCTAGAAATCGCCGGTAACTGTTTAAAAATAATTGAGGGCAGCAAGGGCTTTAATCTCGCGAAGGATACTTTCCCTTTGATGTCGATGTGATCACCACTAAAGAACAATATAAATTGAAAAAATGATATTACATATTACATGTGAAACACGATTTCAGTTAATAATATTTTACGAACATTTTGTAAAACTCACATTGTGATAGGTAAAATATCGCTAGAGTAACATATCAGATCAGCAGATGATAGAATATTTTCCTTATTTTTTATCAACCCAGACCAGAGAACTCGACCGTTCTTTGAGCAGTTCAGATACACTCGACCTATTAATTAAAATGCCATAAAACGTTTACTTCATGTAATGGTTGTCCAAATGATCAAACGGATGCGCATGCCCGAGGAATGATGGAATTACAGAGTAAAATTAGTACCATTCCTAGGCATATCAGAAGGAATTGCGAGCGAGCATTTGCACCTATATCTATAGGTGAATGACGTAACTCTTCAACTCGGTAAAATTATTAATTAGCAAACAAACATATTTAACAAAAATAACTACGTAGGAGCCAATAAAAACCATACAGAATGTCTGATCTACTGCTACATGCATTTTGAACATACTCACCACTGTCGAAATAATTAAAGTTTTTACCAGATTCGTTCTGAAAAAAATCAACACATATGTAAAGCGATGCGGTGGAGATAAATATATGATAGTGCTAGTTACAAGAGATAAGCAACGATTCACACCAAAGTTTAATTGTTACGATAATACGTACATTATTGATTTCTTTGTTAGAAAAAAGTTGCGTAGCTGAGACAGCGGAAGAATCCGAAGACGATATGTTTCTCGCTGAAAAATCTTGCGTGAGTATATTCCTTAAGGATGGATGTTGCGTCTGATTGGAGTTAAGAGAAAACTGAATGACGGCATGAGGACAACATTGTCTTGGTCTTTTTGTGTGTAAGTCTTCACCATCATCGGCAAACTCGTATAGATAATACTTAAGAGAAAATATTATAACTTATTTTTAAAACGCAAGTATTCAATAAACGTCTGAGTTACTAAGACTTTCATACTATTGAAGCACCAGCACAAACCAAACATCAACATATTCCCTTTGACGTACGCAAGTACAAACCTGAGAAGATCTGAATGCTTGATCCAATGAAATATTTTTGGCTGGAGGAAAGGACTTTGAAATATGGCCATCATAATTTGGTGTCGGTTCCAATGCAGAACAGCCATCACTTCGCTCACTCACGGCTTTTAATTTCCCCTTTTAAAATATTGTATGGTTTCGTCAAACAACTGGTAAGCAGAGACACAAACTTGGAAACAAAATCATAGAAGTTTTAGACATGAAAGTTTAGTTAAACTGCGTTTGTATAAAGGTGAAAATACGTGAAAATAAAAATACTTTTGCAATCCTGAAAACCATTATGTGTTTTGAAATCTTGTCTGGTAGAGGACACGGTGAGATAACATCAGGATATCGGCATACGTAAACACCTAAATAAATCGAACGTAAACACTTGTACCTTTACCTACATTGGACAGATTCATTGCAAAAGAAAACCCTAATCAACATGCTCTTGTCAAAGGGAAGTGGATGACTCCACCCCGGCTTACACACACGCGTGCGCAATAAAAATAATCCTTTTCTAATCACCCCAGGTTTCAAAGTAATTCACTCGTTGCAAAATCAACAGTTTGTTCATTAAAAATTACTGAGAATGAACTATGCAGATATGAGTAGAGAAAAGGGACTTCTTATTGCCAGACAGGCACACCTACATAAACCAACAAAGTCAGAGTATTAATTAGTTACTTTTTTATTCCCTTTCTAAAGTCACGTGGTAATTGTTGCTAAATTGGCAACATGTTGTGTCAATCAGCACCATTGAACTAAATTTAACTAAAGTTCTAAGTATAACTTTAACTTAAATGTTAATGATCAACCATGGAACATGAATAAGCATTCCCAGATCGATCTTAAGTTTCTTCAGAAAAATCAATTTAGCAAACAAACCCATGTTAGGATCCCCAATGCTGGAATCAAACACGTTTGGACCGACACAAAGTCCATCTTTGGCCAATTTTTTCACCTATTACAGGAAAGAGGGAGCGCGAAATTACCATCACAAATTGGGACAAAAGTATATTTGTGAATGGTGATTGATGATGACCTACCTTAAACCAACTATCCACATAAATAAATGCAAATGTATCGTCCAAATCCTTTTGAAAATATCCTTCCATTTTCATTTCTTGTTTCTTGGCACTGAACTGAACAGCATTTTACAATAATTTATAATAAAGAATTGGAGCAAACTCAAAATTTTGCAGTGTATTGGGAAACGTTGTGTTTTCCAAATCATCAATTTATCATTGTTTTTTTTTCTTTGATCTATGAGGTACCGCAACTCAATTTTATTTTGAATTATCTTTTCCTGTGTTTCTATTTATTTATTTTTTACGCATTTTTTTGAACAGTCGTAACAATAGGAAATTTTGACAGAATCTGGACAACACAACAACATCAATCCAACAGAAATCTCTCGTTGCTGAAGTACTAGTGATAAAGGTGTTTGTTTATTTGCTGCCGCATAACTGTACCACATAGGCTTAACTGGCTCTGAGAACCTCTGATAATGATTTATAATGGTTTATGAAGGAGTCGCCTAACTTATGCTTATTAATGCCAATATATTTATAAAATATTTTATTCATTTAATAGCATTTATTGCTTTCTCACCTCAGTGGAAAGTTGGGAGTTATGGATAATGATGACATCCTCAAAATTGAAGTTGGAAATGTTGTCTGGATGATGAAATGACTGTTTTACTTCCCTTAACAACTCTAACGCATCTCTTGTTCGAAGGCCTTGTTGATCCAGTAATTCTGCAAATCAAATAATAATGAAGAGCAAAAGAACCATGAAATACTAATTGTAATATGTTCATCATTAAAAATAAAGCTACCAATTGTCGGCAGACCTTTTTGTATGATGAGCTGGTTGTGTTAAATTTTGGCTTGTAAGACATGTTTTATGACAATAAAATACTGTGATTACTCTTGTTGCCATTGAATGCAAACAGTGATGACTTATGAGCCTGATATATTAGTTTGGTTTCTACATTTGCTAATAGCAATAGTGATGATTTACAAGGCCTACGTAAAGCAGGGATGGATCTTGGAGGGGGCTGCAGGATGTATACACCCACTGGCATTGGCATGAACAAGTGCAAGAGGTTTGCAAATTTCTCTATGGAAGCAAGTTTAAAGTTTGTTTTCCATTAGTTCGTTGTGACACAAGTAGCAAACAACCTTTGTCTTGCATATGTCTCCAAAAATGGTTGCATATGTGAGCTTTAAAATACAAAAAATTTAAACCACAGGGAATTTTTCAGTTTCATCCTGCAAATTATTTTCAAACAATCAGTCAAAGAATGAAAATGTATTGATGAAGTGGATCTTGAAATTTTCTTTTAAGTCAGGTTACCTTACTCATATCAAAACAAACAAGAGGAAAACAGGCCTTACAATGAAAGAGTTATAACAGAATATAATTGACAAGAGTACAAAAAACAATTAGTGCCTTGTGGTTGGTAAACGAATTGGATATTATTATGGATTATAGATTGCTATTGGTTACCTTTACCCTAACATAATAAACTACACGTTCCCAAGGGTCTCAAACCAACAAAAAAGTCTGACATGATAGACATAATGACACCCACAAAGTAACCACCAAAATCTAATCCAAACTAGAATAATCAAATGATATCTTATAAATACAAGAGTACCACCCTCCCCCCCCCCACACACACACAAACAAAATATTCATGGTCCATCCCTTGCCAAAAACAGTTTGATTCATGTAATTGCCAAAGCAGACATTGATGATTGAAAAGATCTATGCTGATTGCCAATGCAAACAGTTTTCATGATAAACAATACTATGAATATTGATTTTGTGACATTTACCAATATTTATTTGGTTAATATGTTCATGGTTATAATGATCAAAATTGCAAGCTGCTTTTGTACGGTTGTTCATAAGAGAAACCCTCAAATTCGACATCAACTTTAATGATGATTCTTCATGATAACAAAGGACGAGAACTCATTACACGTTTTATTTTAACTGATAATATTTCACCCTAAGCTTTTTATATAATTGGAAAATAAGATTAAACAGATACTTGCTTAAATACCTGCTAAAGATGAAGGTAATAACAATTTATTAGCATATTTTAGACTATTAATTGTATGTTTGTCCATGGGCGCGCAATTCTTTTAACAACTAAACAACAATACCTTTGGTCGTTTTCTTTCTTGGTATGACGAATTTCTTCTTCGAAACCATTTGCTCGACGGATTTTTCAATTACCTTTCCTTTCCTCCGTTCTTTAGTTAACTTTTTAACCTTCTTTCTTTCTTGAATTAAAGCAACATCATGTTCGTCCTCACGATACCTATTCATTGTCCTCAATGTAAATGTTTGTTTAGTCGAATGTCAAAGCGAACTGATTGCATTTAACACCGTAGATTTTAAACTCGCTATCAACTAAACGTGTTTTCAACTGTCTATAGTCTTTTTCATCTTAAAAGCTCCATAATAACGATAAACCAAAAAACATTCAGTTCACACATTAGAGTGATTTAGCAAACACGACGTTTATAGAACTCAATGATTCATGCAGTCACCCTGACAAACCTATTTGTCAATTTGATTCCATCTGCGAGGAGTCTGTGTGATCAAAAATTTCTAAAAAGTTCACAAAAAAAGCTATCTAATCCGCGATGAAGGCGTTGAGTTTTTCTTCAAGAGTTTGCAGCTATGCTGAAATGAACCAAATGATCTTACTAATTGAACTATGCAACAAAACGAACCGGATAATATTCTTACAACAAACAATGCCGTAAATATTAAATTACTCACATAGTCACACCAACAACATATGACATACTCCCCTTTTGACAATTACAGGTGTTACACCTTGAGTATGAGATTTCACATCAATAAAGCATGTCAACTTGACACTTCAACTATTCATAAATGAATGCAAGAGCATACACACCTTACTTAAATGCAAAAATTTCATCAATTTGATTTTTAATATGGTATAAATTGGTAAAGTGATATCTTTTCGTGCGCGCTCTGTCCATGCGTGCTAAAAATAACAAAAGATGTTCATATCTGTTGCACGCATGCAGGAAAAGAAAAGCGAAAAGCGCATAAAAACGTCACCACACATAGAAACATTCTCAAAAAGCATGAATAAAGATTTGCTAGATTTGGAAATTAACATAATTTATTATTTTGATCCCATAGATATGGTTGATCCGTGTAAAATGCTTCCCCCCTTTCCAAATGCTGCAACTATTTAATCAGGCGGAGCTGTCTAAGCTTACCAGAGCGAATCTGGTAATAAAAACTACGAAGTCTGGTCACACTGATAAAAAGATTAAATAAGGAAGTTAGACAATTGCATATAGGGGGGATGAAACAAAAATAAATTTGAGTTGTATTTGGAATCTGGCTGTGGAGAGTTACATCAATCTGTCAAAATACAAAAAAATAGGCTCACGACATTTTACGTTTTACAATGATCACATGTCCTGATGCAATTGAATAAAATGAGAGAGTTTTTAGATTGTCATCAAGTTCTAGTTCATGTCCATCCTCAAAAACTACAGACAAAGCTATAGAAGAAGTTGAGATTTTAAAAATATGCAGCAAAAGTCCTTTAAGTTTTGCAATAGTCATTGTTGCTGGAAGCTTCCTCTTCACCAATGGCCTGTCTACATCATCAATACATTTGAAAGTGACAGAAATCAAACTGCTCTTTAGCGTTTTAGGTTTAGTGGAACTGCCTTCAACATCATCAGGTGGTCCATGAACTTCCAGTAAAACCAAATATCTGGGGTGCTCGTCGTGAAAGCTAGATTGTGAAGAGTTGTTCTGTCTATCAAATGCATGCCATTCAGCAAAAGTACTTCTTGATATAAACTCTTTCAGCACACTTTCTCTCTTTTTTTGTGACATCACTGCTATTTAATACTTGACAGTTGGCAATCCGAGAGATTATTTCTTGTCTTGCATCATACTGATTCAAATGATCAAACAATGGGTTGCTTTTAAGAAATAGCTTTTGCAAAACTTTAAGTCTATTGAGTTGATTCACACTTCTCCACTTTGAGATCCCAACACTTACTAAACCAAATGTTTGCAATTTAACAAAAATGTCAATGGACTTCAAGGGATCCCCAGGAAAAACAAAGTCACCCAAAGGATTACCATTGACTATGAGGAATTCAAGTGATAGAAAAGCATCAAGGCTAAAAACATCATTCCAGCTATGCAAATTATTTCCCTCTAAGTTTAACTTGATTAAAGAAGTGCAAAGGGTTCCAGCATCACAGTCATTGATGTTGCTGATATTGTTGAAACTTGCGTGTAACTCTTGTAACCCTCTAAATGTACATGATAATGCAAGAGCCTGATTCCAATTTAACTGCATGTAATTAAGGACCAGAGTTCTTAAATGGCATGTCTCTGATGAAGTCACTGTCCCATCAAAGCTGCTCCTATTGAGTCGAAGACCGCTGACATTCAAATGATAAAGACGTGGTAACTCATTGACAATCTTAATAACATCTAACCAATCACTAAGTAAAGTTTTTGATAGATCTAATTCGACAATATTTGGTGCAATTGATCCAAGAGATTTACCATGGGAAGACATATAAGAGACTCTGTCACCACTTAAAGTTACACGATCGACATGCTGAAGTATTTCATCGATTGCACTCTCATCATAATAATGCTCATCATGATGTATGCGTTCAAACTCAGAAAAATTCTCTTTGCTATGTAGTTTAGTGAATTTATCCACCAAGGCTGTAACGACGTCTACACCAAAGTCCAGTTTTTTTTCGCGAATGAAACTTCCACTCTTTGGACGGGAGCAAGTGAAGTATTTGCACCCGTTGTGTTCACCATTATTTTTGCCTCTTCCATCAGCATCCCATTCAATTCCATACCATAACCCATTAGTAGGAGGAACTTCTCCAAAATATCGTACGGTACCGTATTCACCGTCACATATCACTCTTCTACCCAATACATTTTCGTCATCCCTATCCGCCATTTTTGTTTCGTACAGATTGTCATATTGTGGTGGATGTAAATTAGTGAGCTCAAATCCTTGTACCCATCTAATGCATTGAGTTCTATACATTGAGTTCTATAATAACTGGAGCGGCTATCTTTACTGGGGCGAGGCATTGAGTTCTATAATAACTGGAGCGGCTAAGTGGACTGGGAACTGTTGTAAAAAACATGGCGGCCAACGGACGTATTTCCGCTGAAATGATCGCTTTGCAGAAAAATAATATTCTCGACCTCCCTGGTGTCTATAGTAAATTATAAAGAATTTTTCAAAACAAATGACGATATCACAGTATATGGATATCGTTAGTTCCATATTCTGTGACGATATTTTTTGGCATTTCTTTTATAATGCCAACACTTCAATCGTTCAATTGTTGGATGTCGTAGTTTCCACAAAAGGAATATATCGCTTCTCACAGGTGAGATAGTTGCTTGTTTTGTTAGTCCGTCAACGATTGAAAAGCAATTATACATGCACTTGAAAAGCCATAAAATACATATTAAAGATCGTATTTTTTAAGACTGACTTGAACGCCAAATATACTGATGTTTTCCTGTTTATAAAACTCTGTACTTGTACAATTCTTATAAAATTCTGTATACTTTTCTGTCATTTGTTAATGCATGAAATCGTAAATTTACCCATCTATTTGCAAAATAGTTTCCCTAAAGCAAAAAAGACACTGCACACATTTTGCTCTGTATCAAAAATGTGATCTGGTATCAAAAAGAAATGATCAGCCCCAACGGTACCCATGATTTGGAGCAGAGCTTGTTATGTTCTATTTGCTGACAACATGCAGGAAGATCAAGGAGTAAAGATGACTGGATGTTATTGATTGTGGTCAAATTCTATGGATGGAGACAATGGATTCACTAAGGATGCCTTGAATGCTTTGAAGTTAAAGTTCATGATCCAAAGAAAGATGGCAAGAAGGTTGTGTGTGTTTTGATGCTTAATGAAATGTCAATTCACAAACATGTAAAATGGAAGGCCATAAAGTTTGTGTCTATGTAAACATTTGTACTGAGATTGATGATGACTATGCAGATGTGAAGCTTCAAACTGTATAAGCCATTGGGTTTTATGTAACTTAATGTTTAAATCATGTCATATCTTTGTCAAAATATTTTAGTTGAGTGTTGTTTGAATGTTACTAATATCTAATGCACTATACTGAAGCATTAAAGATTCAGTGATGAAACCTTAAAGTTACTGTACTGTATATTTCTTATATATTTCTTATATTTCTTCAAGAAAAATTTGAGCTTATTTACCTATTAGAGTATTAGAATGGAGATTTATCATATGCATTATTGCTGCTTTTTAAAGAAAAGTTTTCACTTTTCAAAGCTTTCAACAAATTTTTGCTTCTTATTTCTTATCATGAGATTGATGATATAGAGGTAATATAATCAATAACTTTCTAATTTCTAAAAGCTTTTAAGCTTCTAGCATAAAAGTACACTATAGGAATGTAATTCATTTGGTTATATTTGCTTGCTACATGACATATCTACTTGCACTTCATCATTCTTGTATGAACAAAACACCAGATGTGGATACTCAGAGAACAAAATACTACCAACTGCTTATGAAATTTATTATTGAGGTGAAGACTGTGTTAATCATTCAAATTATAGTGCACTTATATTGCAAATATAGGAAAAACAAAACAAAGTGAAAAAGAAAGGTAGAAGTATTAAACTACAAATGAATTATAAACACCATTGGAAGCATAAGTGTTTTGATGATTATTTGTATTTTGCCCAATTCATATATCAATACAAACAAAATCAAAATGTGCTACAACTTCCAAGTATTTGATGCAGTTGCACTTCAGAACATCACAAAAGGTTACTTAAAGTAATTTCTACACAATATTGTTTGTTTTTTTATTTACTAAACCTATGCAGACTTGAGTCTTTTTGAAATTTCATATGAAACTCAATTACAGAAAATCCGTAAATATCCAGAGATTTAATATTTACTTTTTTAAAGAAACAAGTAAAAATCTTACAATTGTGGCGAAAGCCATTGCCTTTCCACGAAAAGAAGCAAAAAGCAATGATAACAAATAAGCTAATCTCTCGTGAACCGTGGAGATGAACTATGATATGCTTTTTGTATAGACTAAAGAGTTTAATCGATCAAACATGTTTGACGCTGGTAAGAAAACGACGCACATCTGCATTCATACATGTGTAGCCGATATATAGGTTCGTCGATAGTTATAAATGCATCCTCGTAGCAGCAGATAACTGGACAACTACAGTTGACTCGCTGTTATGAATTTAAGGTTTTACCTTTGATTTGCAACAAAAATTGCTTGCCGAATCCCAACACACATACATTTTCCTCACTCTGCCTCAGGAGGAGGAAATTAGAATTTCGGAAAAGCGGTCAATTTCTGTAAATCTCAGCGGCAACGGACGAAATCCGCCATGTTTTTTACAACATCAGATATCTAAGGCCGCGCTTGAGATAGCCGCTCCAGTTATTATAGAACTCAATGGGGCGAGGTCGCCAAAAAAATGGCGGCCAACGGACGTATTTCCGCTGAAATGATCGCTTTGCAGAAAAATAATATTCTCGACCTCCCCCTGGTGTCTATAGTAAATTATAAAGAATTTTTCAAAAACAAACACGATATCACAGAAGATGGATATCGGTAGTTCCATATTCTGTGACGATATCTTTTTTGGCCTTTCTTTTATAATGCCAACACTTCAATCGTTCAATTGTTGGATGTCGTAGTTTCCACAAAAAGGAACTTATCGCTTCTCACAGGTGAGATAGTTGCTTGTTTTGTTAGTCCGTCAACGATTGAAAAGCCATTATATATGCACTTGAAAAGCCATAAAAATACATATTAAAGATCGTATTTTTTAAGACTGACTTGAACGCCAAATATACTGATGTTTCCTGTTTTGTTTATAAAATTCTGCATACTTTTCTGTCATTTGTTAATGCATGAAATCGTAAATTTACCCATCTATTTGCAAAATAGTTTCCCTAAAGCAAAAAAGACCCTGCACACATTTTGCTCTGTAAAAAGTATCAAAAAGAAATGATCAGCCCCAACAGTACCCATGATTTGGAGCAGAGGTTGTTATGTTCTATTTGCTGACAACATGCAGGGAAGACCAAGGAGTAAAGATGACTGGAAGATGTTATTGACCAGGCAGAGTCTTAAAAAAATGATAATGCTGTAAAGATAATTGATTTATTGTCTGCCCTATCCAGAGTTATTTAATTTGATCATGGTCAAATTCTATGGATGGAGACAATGGATTCACTAAAGATGCCTTGAATGCTTTGAAGTTAAAGTTCATGATCCAAAGAAAGATGGCAAGAAGGTTGTGTGTGTTTTGATGCTTAATGAATTGTCAATTCACAAACATATAAAATGGGAAGGCCATAAAGTTTGTGTCTATGTAAACATTTGTACTGAGATTGATGATGACTCGATGCAGATGTGAAGCATCAAACTGTATAAGCCATTGGGTTTTATACAACTTAATGTTTAAATCATGTCATATCTTTATCAAAATATTTTAGTTGAGTGTTGTTTAAATGTTACTAATATCTATTGCACTATACTGAAGCATTAAAGATTCAGTGATGAAACTTTTAAAGTTACTGTACTGTATATTTCTTCATTATTACAGTTTTTGCTTCAAGAAACAGTTTGAGCTTATTTACCTATTAGAGTACAGAATGGAGATTTATCATATGCATTAATGCTGCATTTTTTAAAGAAAAGTTTTTTCACTTTTCAAAGATTTTCTACAATTTTTTGCTTATTTCTTTTCATGAGATTGATGATATGTGGTTAATATAATCCAATAACTTTATAATTTCTAAAAAGCTTTTAAGCTTCTAGCACAAAAGTACACTATATGTATTTAATTCATTTGGTTATATTGCCTTGCTATGACATATCTATTTGCACTTCATCATTCTTGTATGAACAAAACATCAGATGTGGATACTCAGAGAACAAAATGCACTACCAACTGCTTATGAAATTTATTATTGAGGTGAAAACTGGGTTAATCATTCAAATTTTGTACTTATAATGCAAATATAGGAAAAACAAAACAAAGTGAAAAAGAAGGGTAGAAGTATTAAAACTACAAATGAATTATGAACACCATTGGAAGCATAAGTGTTTTGATGATTATTTGCATTTTGCCCAATTCATATATCAATACAACAAAATCAAAATGTGCTACAACTTTACAAGTATTTAATGCAGTTGCACTTCAAAACATCACAAAAAGGTTACTTAAAGTAATTTCTATAGTATATTGTTTGTTTTCATTTACCAAACCTATGCTGACTTGAGTCTTTTTGAAATTTAATACGAAACTCAATTACAGAAAATCCGTAAATGTCCAGAGATTTAATATGTACTTTTTTAAAGAAACAAATAAAAATCCTACAACTGTGGCGAAAAAAGCCATTGCCCATTGCACGAAAAGCAGCAAAATAGCAATGATAACAAATAAGCTAACTCTTCTCGTGAACCGTGGAGATGAACTATGATATACTTTTTTGTATAGACTAAAGAGTTTAATCGATCAAACAAATTTGACGCTGGTAAGAAAACGACGGACATCTGCATTCATACATGTGTAGCCGACATATAGGTCTTTCGTCCATAGTTATAAATGCATCCTCGTAGGAGCAGATAACTGACAACCACAGTTGACTCGCTGTTATGAATTTAAGGTTTTTACCTTAAAATTGCTTGCCGAATCCCAAATACACATATACATTTTCCTCACTCTTTCCTCAGGAGGGAGTGGGAAATTGTGAAATTTTCGGAAAAGCGGTCAATTTCGGTAAATCTCAGCGGCAACGGACGAAATCCGCCATTTTTTTGGCGTCATCAGATATCTAAGGCCGCGCTTGAGATAGCCGCTCCAGTTATTATAGAACTCAATGGTTCTATAGTTATTATAGAACTCAATGATCTAATGATGTAATCCACATTTTATATAAACGACAAGTTTTTTGAAAATAGACATGTTTCGACATCTCATGATGCCATCTTCAGTATGAGTGAAATAATGGTTGATACAAGGTTTATATAAATGTAATATGATACATAAATTACAACAATAAAAAGGAAATAAGATAAATTAATGGGGAGCGTCCGTGCGTATTATATACTAAATATTGTATTGAATTTAAAAACTTGAACATTGAGGAGAGGGTTAAGTTTGTTAAAGTGGAGCTTTTTGATTTTATGGGGAATGAGGTACGGCAATGTTGATGATTTTGAAGCAAGAGGGTGAATAGTTGGTTTTACATTGAGTGAGATTTAAGAAGGTGTCGGTAGATATGAGTTTTTGTCTGTTGTGGTATGTTCCCGATTCTGGTGGATAAACGAGTGATGCCATGTATCGGGAATTACATCCCGCGCAATTGAATTCATATACCACCATAAATTTAATGAACAGGGATTGTCTTTGAATAGGTTTTGATTTTGAATGATGTGAAATTTAGTCGAATGTTAATATCTGTACAGAAGCGTTTCATGTTTGTAAGTCTGCGTTTTGTGTGTCGTGAGTAATGTCCGATGTATGGTAGTTTGAAGTAAGAGTTGTTATTTTGGGATTCTATTTGTGTTGGTTGTGACCGTGTCAGAGTTTCGGTGTCTAGTTTGAGGTTGTTGCTTTGTTTGTTGTCGAGATATCGTTTTACGGTTCTGTTAATGTGTGTAGTGGGAAGAGTTTCGTAAAAGAGTGGATGTGATGTTTTTATGTCTCGTTGAAAGCCATTGTTCGTATTGTTAAGTTTGTATGCTCTGTCGATTAGTGTGCGTATAAGTCCGGTTTTGTATGAAAGTGGTGTGAAACTAAAATAGTTCGTCAGAAGTCCTGTGTATGTTGGTTTGTGGTATGTAGATGTTTCAAA